TCATCTTCATCTTCATCTTCATCTTCATCTTCATCTTCATCTTCATCGTCGTCGTCTGTTAGCTCATCCTCCTCCATCACCTCATCCTTAATCTCTGTATCTGGTCGACGACTTCCAGGATTAGAGTTAAAAGCGGGCTGAATGCTTATGGCTGCTGGTGAAAAGGCTTGGCGTGGCCTATTCATGTCCCGATCTTGACGTTCTTTCATGTCCCGATCTTCAAGTTCTTTCATGCCCCGCAATACACGTCGAAATAGCTCAAGGTCCTCTTGCAATGTCCAATCATTTAGATTTGGGTCCATGGTCGAAACGATCCCGCTCAGCTAGGATGGTAGAATGTGACGAACCACACTTCGAAGTAAGACGTCGTCGACGAAGGTGGAAGGATAACCTCGACAAGAGATTCGTTTGCTCTCCTGAAGCCTAATCGCACGTCTGCCAAATGACTGTCTATCCGTATTCCTGTTGCCACATAATCATCAAGGATTATCACGATTTCGCTGCTTCGCGAAGAATCTGGGGCAGTTTTGCCGACGGTGACGTGCAACTTACTACGTAAGGTGACCCTACCCGCCGATATTGGAGGAAGTTTGCTGATTGAACGAGAGTCAGTGCTACATCAAATAAGGATTCATATAATCTATAGCAGCTCTCGTCGCTTCGATCCACCTTAGATGCCTTTAAGATCTATCATGTGCCACCGTGGTGCCACCGGTGCCGCCAGTGCCACCACCAGTGTCACAAGAAAATGCGGCACTGCAAAAGCGAAAACCATAACCTGCGTACAAACCTACATGCAAAATGGATCTCAGTTCACCGACGCTGCTTTACCAATTTCAACCTAGAGCGAACCTTAGATGCATCATCACAGCCTGTTCGCGACTACTGTAACCGCCACCTGATAACTCTGGCCCTGAACCATACACTTGTCTCTTGCCTTTGGCCACGGCTACCACTGCTAGAGAGGGAAGGGAATACGAAGAGAGCAAGTGATGATACAACTGCGGCGGGAGCCATTAGCACCACCATGCTCGATTAACGTTGAAAACGCATGGGGTCCTCAGGTCCATGGCTGCGGCACGGACTTTGACTTGACGCTTCTCTTTCAAGAGGTCATCTTGTTCATCGGGCCTCTAGGTATAGCCATCTGCTTGGCCGTGTGGCGCATATGGCAGCTGGTCGGGCGAGAAGAAATCGTTGCCTCTCCCCTGCTCCACAGGCTCAAATTTGTGAGCGCATCAACCTGTTGCCTCGATTGATTATTGTTGTGGCGCTAACAGTGATCCGTGTTCCAGGGCGGTCATAGCCTGTTGACGCTTTTGCAGACGACTCTCCTTGTCATCCAGGCTGCCCTTCAGACCTCTCTTACCCGGGCGACGATTGCAGCCTCCTACCTGGGGGTCATCGGCTCCGTGATACTTCTGGTCGCCTCGCATTTTGAGCATGGCCGGTCGGTGCGAGCTTCGACGTTAATGCTTCTTTACCTAGGCTTTTCCACTCCGGTGGATGCGATGCGCGCCCGCACTCTTTGGAGCATGCCTCGCGATAACATTCCCGTGGCCTCCGTCTTCACCGCAATGTGCGTCTGCAAATTGGTCCTTCTTTTCCTGGAGGGCGGACGGAAGACGATGCAGCCAGGCATTCATCAACCTACCCCAGACGAACAAGCCGGTATTGTGTCGCGAGCCTTCCTATGGTGGCTGGTCCCTTTGTTCAGCCTTGGAAGAAAGACGTCGCCGCTGACTTCCAAGGCGCTCCCAGATATCGAGCCCCAGTTGACTCGCCCATGCGAGGGCCAGGGAGATGATGGAGGCAGCTTAAGCAAGCCATCCATTTTCCATCACCTCTTCGCCGTGAGGGGATGGCTACTGATGAGTGCCATTCCTCCAAGGCTTTGCTACACAGGCTTCCTATTTGCACAGCCGTTCTTGGTGGAGAGGGCGACGGAATTCATGTCAGAACCTTTGAATCCCAACACCTACAAGGTCGGCGCCGGCCTCATCTCAGCCTACGCGATTGTGTACTCAGGCATAGCGGTAAGAAGCCGTCTCCTACACATGCTTTGCATCATGTGACATACGTTACTAACTGTGGACATGTATAGGTAACTCAAGCCTTCTATCGCCAATGTACTGCACGCCTCATCACTGCTGTCCGCGCCGACCTGGTCACCAAGATCTATAGTCACACTCTGAATCTTAGTTCGTCATCGTCCTCTCGAGACGCGACGTCAACCCTCATGAGTGCTGATGTCGAGCGATTCGCGGCTGGATCACGCAACATGCACGAATGCTGGGCGTGTATAGTTGAGGTCGCCCTAGGGGTATGGATTCTCGAGCAGCAACTGGGTGTTGCTGTTGCCGCAACAGGTGGACTGACGGCAACCTTCGTTGGACTCACCATTGCGGTTCTGCCGCTGGCGGGAAAGCGACAAAGTGAGTGGCTCAAGGGCTTGGAGATGCGTATCGCGGCCACGACCCGATGTCTCCAGGCCATGAAAGGCGTCAAGATGACAGGTGTCGAATCGACCATTCGCAGAGACCTGATAGGCTTGCGAAAAGTAGAGGTCCGTAAGCTCAGGCAGTTCCGATATATCTTATTGATAGTTGCATGGGCAGCCTGGATTCCTGTCATTATAGCTCCAATCCTTGGCTTCACCCTCTACAGCGTCGTTTTCGGCCCACGAACCGGACGCATTCTTACCACTGCCGTGGTGTATCGATGTCTGACCATCTTCGGCCTCTTCGGAAACTCAGTCGCAACCTTGATCGAAAGTTCTATCAATCTCTTCACCGCTGTGGCTTCTCTCCAGCGAATTCAATCTTTCATCCATGGCGACAACACGCGTCTGGATAATCGGGTGCTTCTATCATCGCACAAGCCCCCGCCGGATGAAGATGAAGATGAAGATGGGATGCCACTGCTCCCGCGGCGGCGGCGGGTGCAGTCGAACAATCAAATACGCATGCACAGACTGAGTCGGGCCCTTACTCGCGCTCCGGCAGCGCTTCGACTTACTCAAGCTTCCGCCGGCTGGGATGCCGACAGGCCGTTGATCGTCCATGATGCCAATCTGGAGGTGTCTTCGCCATCAGTCATTGCCGTGGTCGGTCCAACCGGGAGTGGAAAGACGACCTTGCTCCAGATGCTCTTAGGTGAAATCCGGTGCGCCCTTGGCTCAGTCACCCTCTCGAGTCTGCGCATTGGCTACTGTGGCCAGACTCCGTGGCTCACCCATGAATCTGTCAGGAACAACATCGTGGGACCAGACATTTTTGAGAAAAGCTGGTACAACGCCGTCATCCGCGCGACAGCACTCGACAAGGATATCAGGGCCATGGCATTTGGCGACAACACTATCATAGGAAACGAGGGAAGCAGTCTGAGCGGGGGCCAAAAGAAAAGAATAGCTCTTGCACGTGCGATTTACACCAGGGCGCCAATTGTCATCCTGGACGATCCGTTTAACGGCCTCGATGGCCGCACAGAGACCGCCATACTAGAAGCAGTACTGGGGCGTCAGGGCCTACTGCGTAGACAGAAGACCTTAGTGGTATGGGCAACAAGCACAGGTGAGTGAACACGCATGATCGCTCTTCAGGAACACGATAATGAAGCTAAAAATTGGAGCAGTCCAGCAGGTCCAGGTCGCCGACCGCGTTATTTCACTCACCGACACCGGCAATATTCGGAAGAGGGGTTCTCTATTGATGGCCGCAGGTCGAATGGTTGTCCCACAGGGAGACGAGTCTGGAGATGACGACGAAAGTGCTGGTGCTGGCAACCGACCTTTATCCACACTCGAGGTCGTCCAAGGGATCGTTACTATGCCGCAAAATTCATCATGGCCAGACGACACTCATGCGACTGCCAGCAACCCGGGTGTGTACAGGTACTATGTTGGGTTTGCGGGCAGACGGAACTTTTTGATATTCCTCGGATTGTGCGCCATCTTCGTGTTTGGGATGACGTTTAACCGTTGAGTCTCCTCGTCCTTTACGTTCAACTCCGCGTACCCCGTTCGGGACAATGATTGCTAACTACTACGTCATCTTCAATAGAGTATTGGATAGTTCGCTGGGCTGAGAGCAACGCCATTAGCCCAAATCGCCTTCAAGGGTTCTACATTGGCTTATATTTTGCCATTGGGACCATTGAGCTGATTGCCTGGACTGGTGCAGCCTTGTATGCCGTCCTCCCGATCCTGTCCTCCGTTACACATTCAATTTTCCTGACCTAAACATACAAACTGCAGCTTCTTCATTGTATCTATCGCCGAAAAGTCTGCAGACCGCTGCCATGCAGTCCTCCTGGATACCGTCTTAAGGTTGGTCCCAAGAATCTCCTTGTTTCTTACCCCAGCAGCAAAACTGTGGTCTGCTGGTCGAACAAATACATGCTGATTTCAGAGCCAGGGCGCCAATGTCCTTTTTTGATTCTACGGCCGCTGGGGAAATCATCAACAGATTTAGCCAGGACCTACAGCTTATCGACACCGAGTTACCTTACGACTTGTTAGGGACCGTCACCCAAATAATGATTGTGGCTGGAAATTGTGGCATCATCATTTACGGATCCCCATGGTCTGGCCTTGCGATTCCCGTAGTGGGTGTCGCCGTCTACTTCCTCCAACGCGCCTATCTTCCAACCTCGCGCCAACTGCGGGTGCTGGAGATCGAAGCCAAAGCGCCCCTGTTCTCCCACTTTCTCGAGACTCTCAATGGTCTTGCGACCATCCGGGCGTTGCGATGGACCGCGGCCTATTCCCGCAGGAACCTTGAAGCGATCAAGATCAGCCAAAAGCCATTTTATCTGCTTTTTGCAGCCCAGAACTGGCTGAATCTGGTTCTGGACTTGATCACAGCCGGGCTTGCAGTTACCATCATGTGTGTGGGGGTGGCCACAAGGTCCGATGCGAACTCGACGATCGGATTGGCCTTGTTCAGTGCTACTGTTGTTGGCGCGTCGGCCAAGCAATTGATTGCGCACTGGACCAAGCTGGAGATCAGCATGGCTGCGGTTGAACGAGTGCGTGCCTTTACCGAGGAAACCGCCTCCGAGGAACACCCTGGGTCAAAATCTACAGCGGCCGGAGATCCTAAAACATGGCATGGAAAGGGCAGCATCGAGTTTCGTAACGTGTCTGCCAGGTACTCGTAAGTCTACCTTATTGACCACCCTAACTCTTGGATAATTTTCTGACGATGCCATTTATCTACAGATCATCTTCGCCGCTCGTCCTCCGCAATATTTCGTTCGACATTCAACCAGGTCAGCGATATGCGATCTGCGGCAGAACCGGAAGGTATGTGTAGTGCTCGCCGAGTATTCTTTGACTTATCAGAGAGTTGCAGAAGCTAACGGGCGGTGATAATAGTGGCAAAAGCACGTTGCTGGCGATACTGTTGCGTGTTATTAACCCACAGAATGGGACAATATTGGTCGACGATGCCGACATTTCTCAGATGAAACCCGGCCAAGTCCGATCTCGATTCATTACCCTGCCCCAGGAGCCAGTCCTTATTGGTGGAACTGTGCGCCATAACATGAAGCTGTATGAGCCCGACTGTGGGGACCGAGAAATGATTGCGGCGCTCAATGTCTTCGGCCTGTGGGATACGATCCGATCCAAAGGCGGGCTCGATGTCCCTTTGACCGAGGAGCTTCTGTCCCATGGGCAAAGGCAACTTTTCTGTTTTGCCAGGTCCACTCTACAGAAGGGCAACATTGTCATCCTTGATGAACCTTCAAGCCAATCCGATCGAGCTATCGAGCAAAAGATGGAGAGCGCTATTCGCGAAAGGTTCAAGAGTCACACGGTCCTGTGTATTGCGCACAGACTTAGTACCATCTTGAGTTTTGACACTGTCATCGTCATGGATGCTGGCTCAATCGCAGAGTCAGGCAACCCTCGCGCATTACTGCAAGACCACTCCTCCTTGTTCTCCACGTTGATGAAAAGTCAACGTGGTCAGGATGAGCGGGCCTAGCCAGCTAGAAGGTGGCCAAAGGATATACATAGATTAGATTAGCTTGACTTATTCAATATACCTGTCTAATAATTAACTGTATTAGAGGCTGTGAACCAAGTATAGCCCCATTCCAACACACCTCTCTACTAATCCTTCCCATGCTTTAGTGTCTATTCAGAGAACTTAATCAATACTACTAATATACTAGCAACTAGTTATTTCCCTGAATCCTTATTGCTCAAGGGGGAATTCAGAGACTAGTTTCTCTCTATCAAGAACAAATGACGATAACAACTAGTAAGGATATCCCCAAAGGCAATGATATACTAGGTGTAAAAGAACAGCTTATAGTGTTCTCTCAATGATATGTAGCATATGTAACATCATCTATCATTTAAATAATACTTGGTAGGCTATAACAAAAGTAGCCTCTTCGTTATAGTATTTCATTTCCCCCTTGCAGGAATGATTGGAGTCTTCACGAGCAGCAACAATGCCATACCCTAGGGACACGTATCAACACTAGGATCGAAGCCCACTATAAAGGTGCTGTGTTCATAAAAGACTAAGCTAAGAAAGAAAAAAGGCTACGCTTATCTTCGCGCTCGACTACTCCGTAAATACAGATTTCGGCTAAACCTCGGCGCACCAACTAGCGAATCACGGCCCGTACCGTAATGACGCTAGTCGTGATTCGGGCGGAGCAACTCCACTCAAACCCCGCGATATCCCCACATCCACGTTCGCGCCACCACGTGTTATCCACGTGAGAGCCCGTATTCCGACCAGCGCTGCCACAAACAACCGGCACATCACTCGCGTTCTGATAAGATGATCATCTGAGTTACGTCAGGTAAAATATTTGCATCATCTTCTGTACCGGGTGGTCCCTCCTTTTGCCCCTCCGGAAAAGATATATCGTACTTGAGCAGCAGGCTGGCGACAATTATCTTGCTCAAGGCACTGGCGTAATGTCTCCCTGGACAAGTGAGACGACCACTTCCCCACATGCCATTACCAGGCTCAATGCCGCTGAATTCGCGGTCAGGTTTGAGGGGGTAGCCGTCAGCGTCGATGAAGCGGCGCCCGTCAAACGTCTCTGGGTTCTGGTAGAAGTCAGGGTCAAGAGCCATGGCTTCACCGGCCACGGCTAGGTATGTGCCTTGAGGGATCCATGTCCCGTCTGACAGGCCAAACGAAGAGGTCGCGATGCGTGTGACACCCACTGCATACGTCGGTCAGCTTTTGCGACTCTTCAGTCCGGATCATAGGCCTTTTGATACATACGGCCTTCAGGCGCCAGCAAGCGCAACGACTCTTTCAAGAAGCTATCTAGAAGATGAAGTTTCTTGCAAACTTCCAATGTCCATTGCCCGCCTTCGCTGGCCAAGGCTTCGATGGCTTCGGCACGAATGTCAGCAATATACTGCGGCTGGGTGCAGATATCATAGATGGCTTGCGTGATAGCATGGGTGGACGTATTCAACTAAAAAAGCGTTATTACGGAATTGAACGAGCCTGTGGCCACCTAAATGAGGCGTCATAACTCCTACTCACCGCTCCTGTAATAATGCCCAGACTTTGCATTGCCACCTTTCTCGGGGACCCGTTATATTCGGCCAGAAACTTCAGGATGTCGACGTCGTGGTTGTTTGGTTCACGTCGCCTCCGGATCGGCTCCTCAAGAAAACGCTCTGCTCTTGTCAGGATCATTTCCAACTGATTATTAGGCACCAGAAAGGGTTTGACGATGGGCCGGATAGGGCGCGGCCAATGTATGAGTGCATTGCGAATGCGCATGGCTTCGGGAAAGTACTCCATGACAATTTTGTCCCATCCGCCGCCATGCGCGAGGTCCTCGCCGATAAAAACGGTCGAGGTTATACCTTGGACCATGGCGTAGCAGAAACTGTATACATTCATCTGATCTATCATGACGATGCATTAGTCGACGCGGTGTCTTCGTCATGGCAAGAACGGCCATACATACTGCTATCTTTAGGAATTTGGCTGAAGATAGCCTCGCTCGCGCGGCGGTACTCGCGATGCATAATTGGGACCACCGTTTCTAGTCAGGACTAAGATATCAGTCAAAGTATCTTGGGGATTGTTCTCGAGGAGGGGGTTTGCGCTGTTCATTACTTAGACTCCGCGTCAGAGGACCGCGAACGACATCAATGTGCTGGTGGCCCTCCATGGCCATTTCCGCGCCAATGTGCTCGCCCACCAAGTTGTAGATTATGACTTGCGCGTGGCTGAGCTTCGACTCTGGCATCATGCGGATCTCAGGCAGAAACTTGGGCGCGATGACCAGCTGTTCCTTGTGGGCCGTCTGGATGACGAAGTTCTGGCCCTTGTGCTGTTCGTGACATGTCAGTGGAAGCATTGTATGACTGCATCAGCGTGGTATGCCTCACCTTTCGGTAGCCATCTCGTACCAATGCCCGTCCATTCAGTTGGAACTCTTGTGACGCCGCTCTTCTGTTGACGCCAAAGGGTCCCGGCGAGCGCCCTACTCTGATCCACGCCTTTCGTTTCGAGGTAATGCCTCGCATCACCGCCAACAGACCAGCAGCCAGCAAGACGCTTACGGCTAAGACGGTGATATCGAACCTCATCGTTACCAATCGTGTTGAGAATGTGATACCAAGGGCGCGTCAGACGATAAGAATGACGGTAGCAATATGCAATCGGAATGTATGTCGCAGTACGACCTGCGAGATAGACTACAGCAAAAAAAGATATTATGTCATGGAATCATATGTCCCGTCTTCAAGTTCCTCTACCACGCTGCTGGCAGCGACGCGATTAACCAATTTAAGCTTTGTCTATCGATCCTGACATCCTTCATTCTAGCATAAAAGGGGCTTATAAGCGAGGAATGGTAAGCTCTGAATACCAAGGGATTGAAGGATCATTCGCTCTGTCCATGCTAGCCAACTATCATTAGCGCTGTGCATAATTGCTTAGGGAGTAAATGCAATGCTACATCGATATAGCGAGCAGCAATGAATCCGATAATGAAGCCGATACCGCTGTTTACGCTCTCTCGAGGAGTGGCACCACCACCATGCCTCACCCTCCTCAATAGTGGTGCCACCAAACATACAGTAAGTAACCCATGTGTCCCTCTCACTAAAAAGAAGGTGAGATCTCCTTCTCCCCAGCCTAGCATGTGTGTTCCTCACTGTGCAACGCCCAGCCCACCGCCAACAACGCTTGCACAATGTCGATGGTTCTACTGCCCACCACGGCGCTTGCCCTGCTGGCTTGGCTGATGATCCGACAGTTAGCCAAGCTGACGAAAAAGCCGAAGCTCGATATGCCGTATCTCGACTTCGAGGATGGCGACAACTCGATGCAACGGTACCTCCACGACGCGGGGAGTATCCTGGAACGGGGCTACGAGCAGTACCTCAAGGAGGGCTTGCCGTTTGCCATGTTCAATTATATGGATGCCTCCACTCCTATGGCCGTTATTCCCCTCAAGTATCTTGAGGAAGTTCGAAGCGCAAGCACCTGCAAGCTCAGCTTCAACAGTTTTCTTAATAAGGTACGTTGGGCAGCCCATGTCTCGGTCCATGGTTCATCCCTTGGCAGTGCGGCTAACAAATCCAACCTGGACAGTCTACCGTTGCCAAAGATATCGGTGGCCCTTTGGTGACCGATCGCGTGATCCGTGTTGTCCGACAAGATTTGAACAGGGCGCTGAGTGAGTTGGTTTCGTTTCGTGGCAAACCAAATTTTTCGGCCAGAAATGCTAACGAGACATTGCTGCTCAGACGAAATGATCGAACCAATCCAGCAGGCATGCGACAAGGTGTTCGGGATCCTTCTTCCACCAAGCCGAGACTGGACACCCCTTAATGGGCATTCCCTCCTCTGGCCACTCGTTTCCCGCATCATGGCACGCACTTTTGTAGGCCCCGAGTTGTGGGACAGCGAGGAATGGCACGCGGTAGTCTCATCTTACTTCCATGCGGGCCTTGCGGCTTCCCAACGCGTTCGTGATGGATATCACCCATGGCTGCGATGGACGGCCAAGTACTTTGACAAGGATATCAAGGCTATCTATGCTGTTCGCCGGAAGGGCGAGGAGCTTTTGAAGCCCGTGATAGATGCCCGAATTGCTGACGCCCGCAACCAAGCCAACGGTCAAGGGCCTGGGTTCAATGACGGAGTCCGGTGGCTCGTAGACGCATACAGGGCCGAGAACAAGCCGATCAAGGCTGAGCAGATCATGCAAGACGAGGCTTTCCTTGTCGGTGCTTCCGTCCACGGCATTACCGTTAATGCGCTCTCCATCCTGTTTGACCTTATGGATCGCCCCGAGTCGCTGGCCGAGATCCAGGCCGAGATTTCCCAGGTACATGCCGAGTACGGCGGCTGGACTCGAAAGTCACTCGGAGCGCTTCGGGTCATGGACAGCTTCATGAAGGAGAGCCAGCGGTTGCACACCCCCCAACACTGTATGCAGAGACGTTTCGGAAGATGGCGAAATGCATATGCTAACTTCGATCTCAGGCACCATGCAGCGCAGGGCTCTCGAGGGTTACACCTTCAAAGATGGACTCTACATCCCGGCCGGCACATCGATCTTCCTCCCTAGCAGGCTGCTTGGACGCGACCCGGACGTCCATCCTGACGGCGCCAAATTCGACGCCAAGCGCTGGAAGCGCATGAGGGAAGAAGGCGACGCCACCAAATTCCATTTCGCCTCGCTCCAGAACGACATGCTGCCATGGGGCAGCGGCCCCCACGCCTGCCCCGGTCGCTTCCTTGTTCAAGAAGTCATAAAAATCATCTTCATCCACCTTGTCACAAAGTACGACGTTAAGTATTCCGAGGGCGTGGAGAGTCGCCCCCCGGATTACCTCGAGCATACCAACTCCATACCAAATATAATGGCATTACTGCTCTTTAAGGAGAGGTAAGGTTTTCAAATCACCTTTCTAGGTCAACAGGCAGCGACTACAATCGGACTATACCCATTATATGTTAGCTGTTGAGCTGATGAATTTAAACGGCCACAATTGTGCCTTCGTACTCTTAACTTATAAAGAGAAGAAGGGCCTCGATGAACCCCACGGACACGTTTCGAGGCCAAAGTAATTAACCGAACTCTTTAAGGGGTATCACGTGTGAAGGGATAAACACGTGAGCAGTATACTACTTTGAACAATTTACTATTTCCGGACACATAGGCGTACATATATGTCCATGTGATTTGCCTTAATCACTTGGAGCCGTTTAAATACTACGCCTCTGCCCTTGAAAGCACGAAGGCCGTAGACTAGCACTCTTGTTCTCAGAACTAAGCCGGGAAAAGGGGTATCACGTGTGGAGGCGATCATGGATGAGGGCATGAGACAGCATTATGGCATGAAACAGCAATACGACACGAGATACCCGTTCGAATACAACTGAATTGACTCGACTGCATAACAGGGCGCCTGTGTAGCCTACTTACATATCCAGATTATCCACTACTACCCTCTCATTGGGCTTCCGATACCTATGGCTCTCAACAGCCCTGAAGTGCTACACCGATAGTTGTCAGCAAATAGTTAAAAATGAAGTGACTGCGATATGACCTTATCTTTGACTCGGCCCTAGAGTCCCCGTTACAATTGTATACAGAAGTCACGCGACTCAAGTGACCGTCTGGACAGAGACACTAGACAGCAAGGTTAATCTTTCCGTTTTCTTTTTCTTTTTCCTTTCCTAATATTTCCACTCTTATAAGTTGCGTCAGTTGCACTCTGCAGTGTAACTAGACCTATAGAACAGAAGAAACAGAAAACAAAAAGAAATATATAAACAAAAACACTTGTCCACCATGATGAATCGGGCTTCCGAGTCCAAACACAAAAGACGCGAAATCGTCCTACCGCTCAAATTACCCCAACCCGAAGACTTACTCCAGGCCGCTTCTCCTGCGCCCAAGACCCTCTCAAAACTGTCCCTGCCATCTTATTGCGTATTGCTCACTCCTCCTGGCAGTTGACTACCAATCAAGGCTTGCGGTGACGTGAGAACTCGCTCAATGGTGGAAACGAGTCCGTCGTAGAGACCTTGGGCAATCTGCTCAGGTACCTTTTCGACAGCATATGCCAGAGTGAACTCAAGGTTGTTGCCGATGTGTAGCCAGGAAATTCGCGTTTCGCTGAAGGTCCAGTTTTGCTCCTCTTGCTTTGGCTGGCAGATTGTATATTCAGTGCCTCCAATGTCAAGTTTACTTCCACCAATTCGTGTCGGCACATGGTTGATCCAAGATGTAGCTGCGGTCCCTGCGGGCCAGTCTGTGCATTGCTGAGCGATTCGACTGAAGCCAAACGTCTCGAAGGGGATACTATCCAGCTGCTGTTTTTGGACCGCATGCACGAGGTCCGCATACGTCGATGATGGGTCAAGTCTGATGCGCACCGGCATGGGAGTCGAACAACATCCAACCGTGTCCATAACAGACGGACCAACCTCCGCACGGCCAGATACAAGGTCTACGAATACGACGTCATTGCGCTTTGCATGTCGAGCCAGCACAAGGGCCCACGCTGCTTTGACAACGCTTGCGCAGGTCGAGCCTTTGGGAAGATTCTGGCCTATTTCCATGATCTTGGGGCCTATCACTCCGGCCCGCCAAACATAGTCCTTGTCTTGAAGTGTGGTGTGTCCAATGGGCGTCATTGTTGCATCCTTGAGAAGCTTGGTCCAGTATCTGGATGCCTCTGGAGTTCGGCGCTTCTCAACCTGGGCGATGTACTGCGAGAATGATGTTACCTTTTTGGTTTGGCCATTCTGATAGAGATCCTGGAGGGTCGACCACAACTTCGTTATACACATGCCGTCCCACACGGCGTGAGAGAGGCGGAAAAGGATCCGATGTTCCCCACCCTGCTTCCTGGTGGTGCAGATGGCAATGTCTGCTAGCGGTCGTCCGGGCTCGAGAGGTTTGAATCCCTCACGCTGTATAAAATCCTCGGTCCATTTGTCGATCGTGGCGTCGGTGGTATATGTTTCAACGATTGGTGTAAACGCCGGTATCACGACCCGCTTCCATCTTCCATCCGCCACAACAAAACCCGTGTGTAGGACCTCGATAGTGGTGAAGAGCTTCCTGCAGGCATTCGCCATCCTCTCGCCAACCAGTGGCTTTGTTGCATCCAGCGCAAAATAAGTCATGCCGACATCTGGGCGAGCGACATGGTAGTTCAACATCCACTCCTGGATGTCTGTCACGGCGGATGACTCCTCTGGCAATCCATTCAAGTCATAAGATGTCTCGTCTTCGGTCGTTGCTTCCAAGCACGAAGATAGAGCCGCGATGCTTTGTCTTTGCAACAAGTCTCGGATAGAGACGGTCATGCCTCGCTGGCGGCACGCCGCAACAACATGCATTGCCGCCACAGAGTCACCTCCTAGTTGGAAGAAATGGTCATCAGGCCCTATGTCGTCCGCGTGGCAGCCAAGCACCTCAGCATATGCTGCACGGAGCTGCTCCTCGGTTGCCGAGAGTGCCCTGTCCAGATCCCTCTCTACCCTACTGAAGGCTCCGAGTTGATCTCGGCTCAAGCTGTCGAGGATTGCGCGGGTGGCAAATCGATCCAATTTTCCGGAAGCATTAACAGGCAAATGGCTTGACATAGGCACAAAATAGCCGGGGACCATGTAGGGAGGAAGGTCCTGGAGTAGAGCTGCACGTATCTTTTGTATCATTGCAGTTAGATCCTGTGTGGGCGGTTGGACTGCTGGTGGCAAGCCGTACTTGTCATCGTAGTCACTGGCCCCAATTTCAACACCTTCCTGGAGTTCGATTGCGGCCACGAGCACGGGATCGGCGGATGCAGGTGTGTCGCGCGGTCTCACCAAGTCCACAAAAGCGTGGGAGATCTCTGGATGAAGCTGGACAATACGACTCTCAACCTCTCCAGGCTCTACCCGTTGCCCCCGGACCTTAATTTGGCTATCGCAACGGCCCAGGTAAACCAGTGAGCCATCTTCATTCTGCTGCACGAGATCGCCAGTACAATACATGCGACTACCACGCTCAGACAAGAGACCAAGCCGGGCGAGAAATTCCGGGTCCGACACGAAAGAAGCTGCGGTTTTGTCTGCGTCGTTCAGATAGCCTCGTGCAAGAAGTGGCCCCTGAATCAAGAGTTCACCTGGGGCTCCTACCGGGACAAGGCGGTTGTAGTTGGACGGATCGACCACCCAAGCAGCGCATTCGGCGATAGGAAAGCCAATGTTGGCCGCGTCCCGCTCCTGTTCAACCACGCTGATAACTGACTCGACAGAGCATTCACTCTGTCCGTAGGCGTTGAGGATCTTTGCATGTTTTGCCCACAATTCCACCACGGCAGGCCTGACGGCCTCGCCACCAAGTACCAACGTTTCAATCCCAGGGACGTCGTGCGGATCAATCAGGGATGCAGCAGTAGACGTCAGATTGACAAAGTTGACGTGCATGCGACGGATCGTACGTGCAAGCTCGGTCATGTCCAGGCGCTGGTCCTCGGATGGAATACATGTACAGCCCCCAAAGATGAGCGTTGTAAACATGTCTTCAATTACGACGCCAAAGGTGTGCGAAGCAAATTGAAGAGCACGGGTATGGGCGCTGTTGCCGAACAGGGTGCCGTGGCTTAAGATTCCCGTGCAGAGTGCCTGATGCTCGAGAACGACGCCCTTTGGCGTACCAGTGCTGCCCGACGTATAAACGATCCAGGCTGCATTGTCTGGAGTTACACTCGTCCAAGGAAGGCTTGTGTGTTCTGGGAGCTGCTCGACAATAGATTGGTCAACCACAATCGGATGTGGCATGCCCTGAAGCCGCTTTGCTTGCACCTGGTCGACTAGAGTCACACGAATGCCAGCGTCTGCGACAATTGTTTCGATACGGCTCAATGGGTGCTGCGTGCCTAGTGCCACCACTACACCGCCAGACTGGAGAATGGCCAGCATCGCCACCATCGCCCATAGCGATTTATCCATACACACGCCGACAGTCACTTCTGGCCCAACTCCGAGGCTGACCAAATGGTGGGCTAACCGGCAAGCAGCTTTGCTCAACGCTGCATAGGATAGTTCACCATCCCACGATGACACGGCCTGTGCATGTGGCTGTCTGTTAACCATCGTCTGCACGAGGTCCTGGATACAAGACCGGTTGGGGGCAGCCTGAAGGACGGGCTGATTCCATCTTCGAATCCTCTCTACATCAGCCGGTTTGAAAAGATCAAGGTCGCCGATAGCAGTATCGCCGTGAGTTTCCAGCTGTTGCATCATATGTTCAAACTGTGAGAGAAGCGCCTCGACCATTGGCATTGGAAGCACCCCGTCGTCGTATCGCATCTCGACATCTACTGTCCGGTCGGCATTGATGGTGCATTGTACCGCGAGTGCGTATCCACCAAAATCCGCCATGTCAGTGGCAAGTTCTTCGAGGCCGATTGCTAGGAGAGGATCGTTATCCCTGTCTCCCATAGTTGGTTGTATGATGAATAGGTGCCCCGGGTCAAAGTCGACTCCTAGACCAGGCACCGCAGCACGGATATGCTGCATACCTGTGTGCAAGAACGGCTTCATCTGTTCACTTTGCCGCCCCATAGCGGCCAAGAGATCAGAAACAAGTTGCGTACGATCGAGACATGTTCTCACTGGCACAGTGGCAAGGGTGGGCACAACTGCGTTGCTGATATCCAAAACCGGGATGTCACGGCCGGAGAGTGCAATAGCTGAGGTGGCCTCAGTACTACCTGTGTAAGTAGCGACCGTGATAGCCCACGCTGCTCGCAAGAGAATCACGACTGGCGCTCCACTGTGTGGCCTGCTGCGCTGTACTCGCCGCCGTGAGAGGCTATCGGCATGTGGGCGGTATAACGGGTGCGGGAGCGGGGGAAAGCGAGCCAGATGAGCATCTTCCAGTTGCTGCTTCCAGAAGGTAGCCACCTGTTCTTTGTCTCTCTGCTGCAGATATTTGATGAACCGAGGGACTGGGGGCGGGGGGTGGTACTGTCCTCCTTTGTTTTGATAAATTTGAGCAAGCATATTGAGCGTTAGACTGTTTTGATAACCGTCGTAACCGCTGTGATGCTGAGTCCACACGAAGTACTTTGCCTCATCTTCCACAACTCCCACGTGCTCGACAATCGCCAGACGGTGTAGCGGTGTTCCATAAGCAAAGGGCAACGCTTTATCCTGTGCTAGATACGTTTGCAAGTTGTTTGCCTGGTTCCAGTCTAGGGCTCTGCGCACGACTACCTGTACCGAGCCTGACCGTGCAGTGTGGTAAACGATGCGGGTCCGTAGAATCGGGAGAGAACTGATAAGTTTTGACCAAGCCTCCTTGAAACGTGCCATGTCGACATCTCGGATGCGGAAGACATTCTGCGCAACGTACGCACCAGGCTGCTGAGCTGTCACAACCATAAGGCCATCCTGGAGAGGCGTCACTGGGTATACATCCTCAATATCTTGTGGTGCGACATCACATCGCTCGGCGATTCCTGAAAGCCATTCCTTCTGCATTTTTGCATCTGCATCATTGAATCCGTCCCAAAGCTCGAACGGGGCCGGATCTTGCTCGGTGACTCCTGTCACGCTATAATTCTCAGCCACGCGAGCCAAATCCGATAATCGTGGGTTTTGGAGGATATCTGCTACTCCAATTCGTATGTCTACTCCCTGTGCTGCAGCAACAAGACGCATAGCGGTGACGGAGTCGCCTCCGAGCTGGACAAAATGGTCATGAGCGCCTACATCGGGCGAGCACCCCAGCACTTCAACCCAGATACGGCGGAGTTTGTCTTCCATGGGCGACAAAATTCTGTCCTCGGGGCTTTCGGTTGATTTCTCAAACACCCCGAGTTTTTCGCGGCTCAGACCCGCAAGGATCGTACGAGTAGCCTTTCTATCCAACTTGCTCGATGCATTGAGTGGCAAACTCGTCATCGGAACGAATTGCGGCACCATATATCGCGGAAGGACCAGCAACAACTCAGCCCGCAAATTTCGAATCATAGCACTAAGAGCATCCGTCGGCCGGCGCACTGTTTGCGGTGGTAGGATATCCTCCTTGTCGTTTTCGTCGCGGCCGAATTCATGAACGTCGATTGCGGCTACGAGCATCGGGTCGTCAGACGCACTACTCGGCCGTACCAGATCGACACAGGCAATTTGAACTTCCCGTTGGAGCCGGACTATATTACTCTCAATCTCCCCAGTCTCTACTCTTTGGCCACGGATTTTGATTTGGGTATCGATTCGACCAAGGTGGATTAGCGAGCCATTGGTATTCTGCTGCACGAGGTCTCCTGTCCTGTACATACGACGCCCCGGTGATATGCCAAGCTGCGCTACAAAGTCAGGATCCCATACAAAAGCCTTGGCCGTTTTGTCTGGATCGTTGAGGTATCCTCTTCCGAGATGCGGGCCTTCTACTAGGAGTTCTCCTGGTATCCCAATGGGAACTAGACGGTTGTAGTCAGATGGGCTCGTAACCCAGAAGCAGACGCCAAGCGAGAACCCGATTGTATACGAGTCGCGTGGTTGCTTCATGGGCGCCGAACAGCTGATATCAATGCAACATTCCGCTGGGCCATATGTATTTATTATTTTGGTGTATCCGAGCCATTGTTCGACAACCGCGGGACTAACGGTTTCGCCGCCAAGGAGCCTGCATATTTTGAAAAGGGACCCTGTCAGTTATGGGTTCTCTTATTGTTGCTAAAGCGGAAGAGGGCGTTGATAGCAACTTACAAAGTCTTGAGCATAGGCACATCAGTTGGCCGGATGAGTGACGCAACGGTCGGTGTGGTGTTGATAAGGTTAACGTTCATATGGCGGATGGTATCGGTGAGCGCGTTGAGACGCTGGTCCTCAGATGGAACGCAAACACAGCCTCCAAACACCAATACAGACAAGATATCCTCGATGGCATTGTCAAAAGTGTAGGCAGAGAACTGGAGGGCTCTAGTATCAGCATCAAATCCGACGCGAGGACCGTGCGCATAAAAGCTGCTGCAAAGCGCCCTGTGTTCGAGGACGATGCCCTTTGGTACTCCAGTACTACCAGAAGTATACACGATCCATGCCGCGTTATCGGGAGAAACGCTATCGCAGACTGGCCTTATAGTCGCAGGAGGTGGCAAACCTCCTAGGAAGGCGGCGTCCACGACAACGAGGCGTGGCGAGATACCCTCCAGTCGCGCGAGACGTGTAGCCTGTTCTGTGTCGACCAGGATGATGGATATATTTGAGTCACCCGCAATGGTCGCGACTCTCATGAGTGGCTGCTGGACTCCTAAGGGCACCACGACGCCACCTGCCATAAGTATCGACAGTATCGACACGATAGCCCAGCGCGACTTATTCATGCACAGCCCAACGGTGACCTCTGGACCAACGCCGCAGTAACTAACCAAGTGGTGAGCGAGCCGGCGAGCAGTGCCGTGAAGAGTTGCGTAGGAAAACTTCCCATCCCACGCGTCGACGGCTTGAGAACCTGGATTCTCATAGGCCGTTTTTTGTACAAGCTCGTGGATGCAGACCTGTCTAGCTAACGGGGTGTTCTGATTCCATTTCCGTACAGTATCGGCGTCAGCTGGACTGAAAAGGTCAAGGTTGGCCATGGAACCTCCACGACCGTGGGTCTCTAGCTGCCGGATAGTATGCTCGAACTGGGACAGAAGGGCCTCTGCTCTAGGCTGCGGGAGCGCGTTGTTGTCATGGCGAATTTCAATGTCGACCGAGTCAGCGTTGACCGTACAGTCTACGGCGAGGGCGTAACCGCCAAAGTCCGGGTTTTCTGCGCTTTCTGTTATGGCTGTGTCAAGCTTGAGGCCAATAGCCTCAAGGCTCTGAATTTCACCTTTTGTGGATGCCGCCTGTATAATGAATAGGTGACCTGCATCAAAATCTGAGCCGAGCTCCGGCACTGCGTTTCGAATCCTGTGCAGTCCAGCATGCGCAAAAGGAACCATTTCCTTGGCTTGCTGATCTACAGCAGCTAGGAACTCGTCCACAGACTGCTCCATGTCCATCACTATTCGGACCGGCACTGTTGTGAGGGTTGGCCCAACGACATTAGCAATGCCTAGGACTGGGGCATCACGGCCACTTAGAGCAATATTCACTATTGCCTCGTCGGTCCCAGTGTAGGTCGCTACAGTCACGGCCCATGCTGCACGCAAAAGGACGCCCAGAGAAACTGTTGTGATGCTGCTGCTGCTTCTATCTCTGCGGTACTTCTCTGAGAAGCTGTGGAGTCGAGTTTGGAGAAGACCCCTGGCATGTGGTTGATATGTCGAATATGGGAGTGGGGGGAATCGGTTTAATTGGGCATCTTCCAGTTGGTCTCTCCAGTATGTGGCTATGGCGTCCTCGTCTGTCTGCTGTATGTACCTGATAAAGCGCGAGACCGGAGTTACAACAAAGCTGCCTTCCCCTCCCTGGTAGATTTGGACGAGCATTCGCATGACAAGCAATAATGACCATCCGTCATATGCCGCATGATGCACAGTCCATACAAAGGACCTGCTTGTCTCGTCCTGGGCAATCGCCAGACGATGAAGAGACGTCCCATAAGCAAAGGGCCTTGATTGATCCTCTGCCAGATAGCTGGGCAGGTCGGTGACAAGCTCCCACTCTGGTGCCTTCTTCACGACGACCTGGACGGAACCCTGAGCAGTGTAGACAATGCGTGTGCGGAGGATCGAGAGTTTGTTGCTCAGTAGTTCCCATGTCCGTTGCAGGCGTGAAACATCGACATCTGCTCCCATCCGGAAGACTTGCTGTGCAACGTATGCGCTCGTCTGCTGGGATGTAGTCGCCATCAACCCCTCCTGTAAGGAGGTTGCGGGATACACGTCGACAATCTCATCAGGTCCAGCAAGATCTTTGCATTGCTTGGCTAGGGTGGCAAGCCATGCCTTCTTCTTTTCTGCATCTACATCGGTGAAGCCGTTCCAAAGCGCGAATGGCTCTGGATCCGCTTCCGCCGCGCACGCTGCTGTAGCAGTGTGCTCCTTTGACACCCGTGCCATATCCGCGAGGCGTGGGTTTCGGAGAATCTGCGCAACCCCAAGTTGCATTGGTATTGGCGCCGTTTGCGCTGCTGCAACGAGCCTCATAGCCGTTACCGAGTCTCCCCCGAGCTGGGAGAAGTCATCGTTCACGGCTCCAATCTCCCCTTCTGGAATACCAAGCACTTGGGCCCATAAAAGACGAAGCTGTTCCTCAGTCTCTGAGAGCATTCGGTTCTCAATCGTACTCCTTCGGTCAGCGGCCAACGCTCTCAGCTGTTCGAGGCTGAGACCTTCGAGTATTGTCCTTATACTTTGCCGGTCTAATTTGCCCGATGCATTCACCGAGAGGCTCATTGGTATAAAATATGTTGGAACCATGTAGAGGGGCAGAATTCGAAGAAGCTCGGAGCGAAGCTCTCCTAATATGGCTTTCAGACGCTGCGAAGGCCGAGAAACGGGGTCTGGCAACTCTGCCAGGTCAAGGTCATAGTCGTCCTCGGCGTCGCCATCATCAAGTCCGAACTCACTTGGAACCTCCACTGTAGCTAGGAGCATTGGGTCCGAGACGTTCTGCAGCTGCACGAGGTCTACGCACGCGCATTGAATCTCTGGTTGAAGACGCACAATATGACTTTCGATTTCCCCAACTTCCACGCGCTGGCCGCGGATTTTGATCTGCGTGTCGAGGCGGCCAAGATACTCCAACAAGCCATCGTCGCTGTTCTGCCGGACAAGATCGCCAGTTCGGTACATGCGGCGTCCGGGTGGTAGAAGAAGCGAACTAACAAAATGCGGGTCAAGCACGAAGGAATTTGTCGTCTTTTCAGGGTCGTGTAGGTATTCGCGAGCAAGTAGAGGGCCTTCAATAAGCAATTCACCTACAGCTCCAACGGGGACAAGGGAGTTATGGTCGAGCGGACTTGTCACCCATAGACGGTTCGACACAGGAGAGCCAATGATAGGTGCATCTTTCGAGCGGAGCATTGGACCGTTTATGGCAGAGAAAATTGAGCACTCGGCTGGCCCATAACCGTTGAATACATTTACACGTCCCAGCCAGGGCTTGGCGACTGCGGGCTTTACTGCTTCGCCCGCCAGAACAATGGTATTAAGTGACGTTGGAGCGCTATCCGGATTGAGCAATGAGATAACAGTCGGCGTGAAGGTAGCGAACGTCACTTCTAACTCTGTCATCGCAGATGCCAAATAGTCTGTACGATCCCTTTCTGAAGGGACACAAACACAGCCTCCAAAGGCCAAAGTGGTAAAAATGTCCTGAATGCTAATATCAAAGGTAAAGGCAGAGAACTGGAAAGTTCTTGTCGAGGATGTAACGACGTAACGGGTTCCCTGGGCAAGGATACCAGTACACAGAGCTTGATGTTCCAGGACAACTCCTTTAGGAACGCCAGTACTTCCAGATGTGTAGATTACCCATGCTGGAGTGCTTGGGCTTGCCCGCGAGAGCCCAGGTTTGCGTTGGACTGGTAGCGAGTCCAGAAGTCTGGCATTAACAATAATCGGATAAGGGACCAGGGCATTGAATCTCTTTGCCTGAGCGAAGTCGATAAGCGCCACAGAGATCTCGGCATCAGCAAGAATGGTCTTGATCCGGGAATTAGAGTATTGTACCCCAAGCGGCACAACAGCACCGCCTGCCCGTAAAATGGCAAGCATTGATACAACCGCGAATTTGGATTTGTCCATACACAGCCCAACTAAGATCTCCGGACCAACCCCAAGCCGAACGAGATGCTGCGCCAGACGCCCGGCAGTGGCGTCTAGTTGGGAATACGTGAGTTCGCCATCCCTTGCGCAGATTGCCAGGGCATCAGGGTTTTTTATCATTTGTTTTTCTACAAGCTCAACCAGAGACGCTTGCACAGCATCCGGATATGGCTTGTTCCAGCTCAGCAGTTTCTCTTTGTCTTCCGGGCTGACAAGGTCGAGATTTCCGACTGCGGCGTTTCGTTGGGTAGCATTCAAGGCCGCGCCTGGAAGGTTATAAGGGTGTAATTCGCGTGTAACATGTTCCAGCTGGGACATCAGAGCCGTCGCCCGAGAGGATGAGAGGACTTTTTTGTCGAATCGCATTTCGATATCTATTCCGGTTCCACCGGCATCGAGCGTGCATTCGACAACTAGTGCATAGCCTTCGAAGTTTCCTCTATCCCCCGTCACCCTCTGGAGACCAATCTCTTCGGCGGTTACAATATCCTCCGTGCCAGGATGCACAAGAAATAGGTGTCCAGGATCGAAGTCGTGACAAAGGCCCGGGACTGCACGTCGAATATTAGCAAGGCCAAATTGTGCGTAGGGCGCCATGTCTTTGCTCTGGGAGTTGATGGAAGAGAGGAAGTCCACGACAGCTTTCTTCCGATCAATTTTGATCCTGCAGGGAACGGTGGTGATAGTGGGTGCAGCCACGTCTTCAATTCCGAATAGGGGCATGTCGCGACCCGAGAGAACGACAGCAAGCATGGCCTCGTCGCTTGCGGTGCGGCTGGCGACAACCAGAGCCCATGCTGCTCGTAGAAGAATAGCAAGTGACACACGGCCGCCATGTCCGCTGACTTCTTCTGGCCGGCCGAGCTGCTCGAAGCGGTGCCTCAGAACACCATCGGCGAACGGCTGGTATGAGGTGCTGGGGACTTCTGGGAACTGTGTCAATTGCGCATTTTCAAGTTCCTTTTTCCAGTAAGTCTCGGACCGCTCCCGCCCTTCGTTTTGGGTGGTTTGTTCAAGGTACCGAATAAAGCGTGTAGTAGGAGTTACAGCATCGCAAGTGCCTCCGTGAAAGACCTGAGAGAGCATCTTAAGCGTCTTAAAGACAGTCTGGCCATCGTATGCAGAATGGTGAGCTGTCCATACAAAATATCGCTCGCTCTGGCCTTTGGTGGCCTTTTTGCAGTCATCGACGATGGCAAATCGATGTAGGGGCGTGCCATACGCAAAAGATGCTGCCCGGTCTCTTTTGATAAATGTCGAGAGATCAGATGCGCTAGTCCACCGAGGTGCATCTCGTGTCACCACCTGTACCGAGCCTGAGTCGGGCGCGTAGACAATTCGAGTCCGCAGAATAGGTAGTGAGCTTGCAACGTTGGCCCAGGCATTTTGGAAACGCTTCAAGTCGACTTTCGAATCGATGCGGTACACATGTTGTGCGACATAAGTCTCCGGGGACTGAGTCGTCATCGCCATCAGGCCTTCCTGGAGTGGCGAGGTAGGATATACGTCTTCCACGCGGCTCGGAGGAACGGTGCACTGGTCAGCCACGCTGGCCAGCCGCGTTTCCTGTTCCCCAGTGCTCGCCGAAAGAAATCCATTCCACAGCTCAAAGGGCACAGGGTCTTCCTTGGCGGCTCTCTCAACTGCAAGATCGTAGCCATCCACAATCCGCGCCAGGTCGGCCAGTCGTGGGTGTTGAACGATGTCGGCGACGGAAAGGGATATGTCCCTCCTCCGAGCAATTGCAGCCATGCGCATAGCAACCACCGAGTCGCCGCCAAGGTGCATAAAGTCGTCGTTACTACCAATGTCCGCTGCAGGGCGCTCAAGCACCTCGGCCCAGATTGCCTGAAGACTCTTCTCCGTCTCTGTTGATATGGTACCCGGCGCATCCTTCTTCTTGAACATTGCCAACTCGCTTTCCGTCAATGTTTCTAGCATTGCGCGCATAGCTTGCCGGTCCAGTTTCGCAGAAGCATTCGTTGGTAGGGATACAAAGGGCACAAAATGGCTTGGCACCATGTAGAGAGGCAGTTCAGCAACAAGCTTGGAATGGAGACTTTGCAACAAGTCTCTCAGACTTTCGGATGTCTCGTAAAGTATGCCTGGTACTGGATCCCCGTGAGAAGCTGCCTCGTTCATGTCAATTGCCGCTATGAGCATCGATGATCCTAAGGCATTATTGCGAGCTTCGACCAAATCCACACAGGTGAGTGGGTTTCCGGGCAGCGACTGTGAGATCCGACTCTCAATCTCTCCCACCTCAACCCGCTGGCCCCGGATCTTGATCTGCGTGTCCGTACGGCCCAGGTAGGTCAATGAACCGTCCTTATTCTGCCGAACAAGATCGCCTGTACGATACATACGCCGGCCAGGCGATATTCCAAGCCTCTTTACAAAGCCCGGATCTAGGACGAAGGCTGCTGCCGTCTTGTCTGGGTCGTGCAGGTACTCGCGCGCGATTGCTCCCTCGATAAAGAGTTCCCCCACAGCGCCAATGGGGCATAGGCGGTTGAAATCTAGAGGGTCCGCTATCCAAAGGCAATTCGCGGCTGGAAACCCAATATTCGATGCATCCTCCACACGAGTAATAGGCCCGTTGATTGTCGAGACGTGCGAACATTCGGAGGGGCCGTAGCCATTAAAACACTTCACACCCCCTTCTTCCAGCCAGGGCTGAATAACGGCAGGCCTTAGAGCCTCGCCTGTTAATACTATCGTATCGAGCGTAGGGAGGTCTCGTAGATCAAGTAATGATGCAATAGTCGGAGTCAACGTTGTAAAATTTACTTGCATGGTTTTGATGGCCATTCCGAGGTCGTCAAGCCGTTGGCTTTCCGAGGGGATACAGACGCATCCGCCAAAGCTTAGGGTTGTGAATATATCCTTCACGACAATGTCGAAAGTATGCGCTGAGAACTGCAGGGCCCGCGTCCAAGGTCCCATCTTATAACGGGCTGCTTGGACATGCATCGGGGCGCATAGTGTCTTGTGTTCTAGTACAACGCCCTTTGGAACCCCTGTGCTTCCAGAGGTGTGAACGATCCAGGCTGCATTGTCTGGCGACACGCTGGGCCAAATAGGGATCGTAGGTGGCGGCAGTTGATCCAAATAAGTGGCGTCTACTACGACTATGTGAGGCACGATGCCTTCCAGCCGGTTGGCGTGCACTCGATCTGCTAACAATATAGATATGTCGGCATTACGAGCGATAGTCTGAATGTGATTCGGCGGATGCTGATTTCCAAGGGGTACAACCACGCCTCCGGCTTGCAAGATTGCTAGCATAACGACTGGTACCCAAAGGGACTTGTCCATGCATACGCCGACCTTCCCCTCGAGTCCTACACCGAGACGAATAAGGCTGGCAGCCAGCCGGCTGGCTGAGTCGCCCAGCTCGGTATATGTTAGCTCTCCATCCCACGCGTAAACAGCTGGTCTGTCAGGTTGTCGCTGTGTCGTAGCCCACACCTGGTCGTGAACGCAATTGCGCATGACGGCGTATGGGCTTCCATTGGTGGCTACTATTTTCGCCTGGTCCTGCAAAGTCAGTCCCACGAAATCAGAGCAAGGCTTACCCGCATTTTGGAGCACGAAATTTAGACTGTCGCGGAAAAGCTGCATCATGTTGAGGGCATCTTCCCTTGATATCAGCGATTCCCACACATTGAATCTGAGCCCCAATCGGTGTCTGTCGATACTAATCGCCAGCGTGTAGTTGTACTATGAACGGCATGTCAGTTCCTGCTTGTGATGAGTCCTAGTCAGGCGTATCACGTACGTCCGACGGAGCCTCCCAAGACACGATGTCCACCGCAAATCCCGCCTTGGCAAGTTCTATTTCAGGCACTCCGCGTTGGAAGGACAGGAGAGAGTCGCCAAGTTGACCTGTCAAGCTCGCTCCCTGGTAAGGCAGACTGTCTAAGAAATCGCTTTGTGCACGCTCCAAGGCCTTGGCAATAGTTGTGTTTTCGCCAACATCAACACGACACGGAATGGTATTAACAAAGTTACCAACAGCATCTTGCAAACCCTTAATACGCTTCTGTCGGCCTGAGGTGGTGTACGAGAAGCAGACGTTGCTCGCACCGTTGTAACAACGCAGCATGAGCGCGTACGCGACTTGGCACGCGTTTACCAGTGTAGCGTTGGACCGATCCGAAAGCTTCTGAGCCAAATCTGGCGCGATGGGCATTTCTTGGTCGATGGTGTAGAACCCAGTCGGGCTCGTTTTCGAGCTTGGGCTGCTCAAAAAACTCCCCTCGGTGGCCACCATGTAGCGAGACCAATATGAGAGAGCCTCATGTGATGTATCAGGCTGCTGAGCTCGCACGAAATCCTCACATCGCATGTATTCATCCGCAGGAAGTGTTCCTGTTAGTGCTCGGAAGAGATCGCGGAAAAGGATCTCCATCGACACGGCGTCGACTATAGCATGCGAGATGATTAGTCTCACAAACAATTTATTGTCTGGCGCCTGTGCCAGGACTAAACGATGTGGAAATTCGGAGCCGTACGCCTCAAAAGATGCTTTGTTTTCGGCCTCAGAGAGTGGCAGGACGCTGATCTGGGGCTTGGTGTTCCTCCACACGACCTGGTCAAGTCTTCCAGGACGATCCACGCTCTCCACGAACATAGTTCGAAGAGCAGCATGCCTTTTCACCACCGCTGTCCACGATTTTCCGACCGCGTCAGTAGTCACCGCAACTGCAGGGTTGGTGGAAGATATTGTCGTTGCAAGCTGTAGCTGGTATGCTCGAGGATCAATGCTTTGGAGAGCGATGAAGTTCTCCTGCATGGGGGAACAAGGTCCGATGCCCTGGATCTCATCAAGAGGACCGCGCAAGACGTCGTGCAGCCCGTCTAAAGGGGGTCCTTTAGGCGAACCGTAGGAGTTCTCAATTCCATCGCTGGCCGGTTGTCTAGATTGGTGAGATTGTGCAATCCGATCGATCAAGTCGTCAAGACTTTCAGCTTGCAAGACACCGGGAATATCAACATCAATGCCAGCGTCATGACAATAGCCCATGAAGTTAATGGCGGTCAGGGAATCTCCACCCAGCGCGAGCCAGGTTTTGTGGATTTTATTTCGAAGCTTGTGTGGACTAATATCGAGAGCAGTGGCGGCGAAGCTTTCAAGCTTAAGCTTAAGCGGAGACAAATCGTCCTGTTGCTGCTCACTGGCGACGTGGTTTAGGGAGGGTTCCATGATGATTTGTGGTGACGATGATAACTTAGTGGTTCCGAGAAATGAGAATGAGTTGGATTGAGTGAAGACGATAAAGAGTAAGTATTGCGAAGGTGCATGGCGATGTTCGTGCTTTCTTGCAACACACGCATAGTGGGTCGGCAACCCAGTGGTATAGTACAATGGACGGAAAATAGTGGTACAATGCAGTGGACAGCAAATATGGCCGCTAGATAAGGTACGATGATCCTACAACGATTGACCGGTCATGTATTCTGTCCCGGGCTTGATAGCATGGCACCACCGTGGTGCCACAGTTCTGGGCGAGTGTGGCTATGAAGGAGGATATGAAGCGGGATATGAAGCTCACGTGTGGGTGGGTGTGGAGTAAGGTAAGGTAGAAAAGAGAGTTGTATTGGTTAAGGAAGAAGCTCGGTCCTCGAAACATCGAGGGTTTTACTAGTATCTATGGATATATGCCTGAGGCACGCACACGTGATGGTAAACTCGGCTATTTAGTACTACGGATGAAGCCCGAAATACTCAGGCAATCGTAGGAAGCATTTTATTCGACTAGTGTGAGATCAGTTATTGCCACATATGTCGGTAAAGAGTGAGAAGCTCATAGTCTCAAGGTATCTCGACAACAATTGTTGACAGTGATAGGCAACCTAATGTCAGGCATATGTCATAGTTTGGACAAAGACTATTATTAGACAAAACTGAAGTGCTTATATTGCTTTCCATTCTCTCAACTGTTGATATCCATATTTCTACTATAGTCATGCACACTTCGCATCCTTGTTCCCTTCACAGTAAATCTACGTCTACCAACATTCAAGAAGGAATCTACAGCCGTCTGCTATCCAAGGTTCTTGCATGGTCAACGAAGCGTCAAAGTTGTGCTCGCCAGGCAGCACCGATAGCATCTTAGGCACGTTGGGTACAATCTCTTCTATGCGTTTGACGAATTCTGTAGAGCAAGCGGTCGGAACCTATTGGATCAGATCCATCGATAATAATTAGCAAGGACCCCCGTAGACAGCCAACAACAATCACATGTTCTTGCTTACCACCGAGTCATTTTGTCCATGGATCACCCAAATTGGCGGGCAGCTCCTTTTCATCTCGATGCTACCAATGGTATCAAGCCGCGGATCGAGCCTCTGGTTCACCATCCGTGGCAGCCGACCCTGTTGTAGAATACATGCGACCAACCCCCACATCTCCATTACGTCTCCATGCGTTCGAACCGTACCCTTGGTACGCTTAATATACGATCGAATATTGACCTCTGCTTGTCGCGGCGAAGGAGGCCACGATCCTAGAATCTTTCTCGGCCGGGCCATCTTGAGCTCTGTAACATTGCCGTAGAGCGGCCCATAGAGCGACACGACGGCTTTAACAGCCGCGTCAGGGCGTTCAAGGGCGGAATGCAACGCAATGATTCCTCCGGCGCTGTGTCCAGCACAAATGATGTGGTCGACGTTCGGCCGCACACTCCATGATTCGGACTCGGCGACGCTGGGCAGAGCACCGAGAAACCAAGTCCAGAAGGCGTCCATGTCGTCCATAACGTCGGCGCCGGTCGCCTCGGGCAGGAGACGATAGTCAGGCGCCACGATCATGGCATCCTGCGATAAGGCGAACTCGAGTAGCCAATCCGGCCACCACGGCTCGTACAGGCGATCTCCAACGATGAAGCCTCCTCCATGCCAAAAGACCAGCACGGGGACATTGATATGGGCGCCGCCGCGTCGCTCTTCGGCCACTTTTCTAGGCGTTAGGACGGACGCCCAGATTTCATGGTTGGCAACCGTACTATAGACCAAATCTGTCCTCTGGAAACCGTCGAATTTGCTCTTTTGGGTACATGACATCTTCTTGTTGCTGCTGGTGAAACTTTGAAGCTGTAGGTCGGTCTTCGTCCTTAACCATGATGGTAAATGGGCGAATGAAACCGCCGATAAGTATATTCGCATGTCTGGCGTGGAATGGCCATTTACGCATAGGGATATGTGGCGTCAAGGGGTCAGAACTCGAGTGGTGCCACGGTGCATTTAAGAACCACATCGCGTGTAGTAGCTGACTCAGTACGCTTTGATTTACAGTTAGGCCTTGTGCCTTCTCATATATGTCTATCAGTCGCTGAGAGCGGTCAGCCTGGGGTATAAGCCATCCTTGGGTTTGGTGGGTAACATTCTACTCTGTGTTCACGTATGTAATCGACGACTGGTTATAAATGGTAAAGTTTAAAGGAATATAATAACTAGTTAACTTATTAATATCTTAGATTTATTTTCTATTATAAAGCTAGCAAAACTAAAAGCTACTTAATATACTATTATATAGGAAATTCTTGTTAGTTTATTTAAATTTAAGGGCGTTTAATATTAAAATCCCGAGAGTAGATAAAATAGGTGATTTAACGCGGAAAATTCGCTGACAAATTATAAAAAAGCGTATGGGAAATTGACCGGGGCGTCCGGTTAACTAATTGGCCAAATTGACCAACAGGGCTTAGCAGATCCCTTGATCCCTTAATCCTTCTATCCCAACAAGCATTATAATCCAAGCACTAAGCATTCATCGATTCAGTAGCGTCTCGTTTCGCAGAAGGCAACTTTAATGGATGAAAGTGCTGGCGCAGGGGACTAGACATTTCAAGTCCTTATTGTTATGCTCGAGCATCAAAAAACCACACAGTTGGGAAACGAGTGGCACCATGCTGGGCGTTGCACGCAGCAACTGAAGGATCACCCGGACTATCATGTACAGTCATCACCACAACTGGAAACGAGCTTCACGCGTATAAGCTGGCTAAGGAGTAAAATGCTCAACATTGATACAATTGCGCACCAAGTATTATCCTATCTACATCAACGGCGGCCCTAATTCTTCCGTGCAGAATAACAACGAGCATTTCACTATTTGCATATAGATACCCATTACCTATTACCTACATCCATTATCTCTACCAGCCCTGTCTATCTTCGTTCGTTCTCACTTACTTCTGCAGCATGTCAACAGGTATTGACTTTGGTGGCGGTCCGAATCGCCTCTCTCGTGCCAACGGAACAGCCACGAACGGGACGACGACCATGAAAGCTACATCCAACGGTAAGCCCATCAACGGCTCTTCAAGTACCCACGTTAACGGGGCCAACGGGGCCACGGGACCTGAGGACTTAACCAATACGCCAATCGCCATCTGTGGCATGGGCGTGAGACTACCCGGCGGAATCCGAAGCTCATCCGACCTCTTCAACTTTCTCGCAAACAAGGGAGATGCTAGAAACATCGTCCCTGAAGATCGATACAACGTTGAAGCCTACTATGATCCTGATGGTAAGGCCGGCTCCGTTATCACTAAATATGGATATTACCTAGACCTCGATCTCGCTCAATTTGACACCTCCATGTTCAATATATCCAACGCCGAACTTGCCTCCATGGATCCTAGTCAACGCCTCCTCCTCGAGGTGACGCGCGAGGCCTTCGAAAGCGCTGGCGAGGCCGACTTTCGAGGGAGGAACATCGGCACCTTTATTGGCGACTTCACGGAAGATTGGCAGGACCTGCAGAACGTCGATCTGTTGAACTTCGCGCCATATCAGATGACGGGCAAGGGGGATTTTGCCCTTGCGAACCGGCTTTCGTTTGAGTATAATCTATTAGGTCCCAGCGTCACTATCAAGACCGCCTGTTCCGCTACGGCCGAAGCAGTGCACGAGGCTGTATTGGCCATCCGCTCAGGCTCGTGCCCATCAGCCATCGTGGCCGGTGCAAATGTCATCATCACGCCCCGAGCAAGCATTGGAATGACCGCCGTGGGTCTGCTGGCGCCCGATGGCAATTGTAAGACGTTTGATGCTCGCGCCAACGGCTTCGCGCGGGGAGAGTCGGTCTGCGCCCTCTACATTAAGCGTCTCGACGACGCCATCCGCGACGGCAACCCCATCCGCGCCGTCATTCGCGCCTGTGACAGCAATGCGGACGGGGGGGACGGTTCCAGGACCTTTGGCACTCCTAATGCCGTCGCGCAGGAGACGTTGATCCGCCAAACATACGCGTCTGCAGGATTGCCGCTTACCGAGACCAAGATCGTTGAACTTCATGGCACTGGAACACCAATCGGCGATCCGTTGGAGACGGCCGCTATTGCCCAATGTTTTGGTGGCGACGAAACAGTGTACATTGGGTCTGTGAAGCCTAATCTGGGCCATGGAGAGGGTGGCTCCGCCATGGCCAGCATCATTAAATCAGTCGTCGCTCTAGAAAACAAGACAGTCTTGCCAAACATCAAGTTTGAGATCCCAAATCCGAAGAGTGAGTCTTTGATTACCTAGTCTTTCTTGGTCCGTTGGGCAGAGTTGACGCTGAGGTTCTTTTTCTAGTCCCATGGGAACGAAATCTCGAAGTGCCAGTGGAGCCTCTGCACTGGCCCAAAGGAACCCGTGAACGCATGAGCATTAACTCGTTCGGTCTGGGAGGCTCCAATGTACATGTTAGTAGCTCAAGTTTGTGCCTTACCCATGCTAGCAGTAGCACCACCGCTGACGCATGTCTTATAGATCGTGCTCGACTCTGCAGCCTCAATGGGAATCCCATCATGGCACCGCGGTCAAACGCTCACCGGCAACGGTCACGCTGTACCTAAACACAAGTCGTTACTACTACTGTCGGGCAACAGCGTACCGGCCATCACAAAAATGGCGGCCTACTACGGACAGTACTTGGAAAGGAATCCGGCGAATCTCGAGGCCATGATCTATACTCTTGCCTCGCGAAGAGAACGCCTAAAGCTAGCGAGTTATTGTATCGCAGATGGCTTGACCGTTGGAGAGCCTGGGGCCCCGTCGGAAACCCAAGGTGCTCGTCACGTTGCATTTGTCTTCACGGGTCAAGGCGCCCAATGGGTTGGCATGGGCCGCGAAATGATGCTGGGAAACGCAGACTTCGCTGCGAGCATCCGGCACATGGATGAGGTGCTGAAGTCGCTCGAGCATCCGCCCGAGTGGAGCCTTGAAGAGACGTTGCTTGACGACAAGGCCAACAAGAACCTGTTGAACTCGACGGACCGCTCTCAGCCCATATGTACTGCTGTGCAGGTTGCTTACGTTGATGCCCTTGCTGCGTGGGACATCAGACCATCCGCTGTTGTCGGACACTCGAGTGGAGAGATCGCCGCAGCCTACGCTGCTGGTGTGCTCACGAGCAGAGAGGCCATCATCACCGCCTACTATCGAGGCTACGCTTGCGCGCGAAACACAGTTTCCGGCAGCATGGCGGCTGTGGGCATGGGGCGCGAGAAGGTTGAGCAGCATCTGAAGCCCGGAGTCGTGCTCGCGTGCGAGAACAGCAACGCCAGCGTAACCATCTCCGGTGACCTGAAGGGCTTGGAAGAGACCATGGATAGTCTGAAGCAGGCGCATCCCGACTTGTTCGTCCGTCAGCTTCGCGTGCCGATGGCCTACCATTCTCACCATATGGGAACCGTCGCGGACCTCTACGGTTCTCTCCTTGCTCCACATCTGGCGCCAAAGCCTCCCGGTGTGCCGTACTATTCAGCAGTCTACGGCCGACAAGTGCTCGAAGCCAAAGACTTCGGTCCGCAGTACTGGCTGGTCAACCTGATGAACCCCGTGCTGTTCCGCACAGCCGTATCGCAGATGTTGACGGATATGCGCAACACGGCGCACTTGGAGATTGGTCCTCACTCCGCGCTGGCGGGTCCCCTCCGACACATATACAAGGAGACCGGCCACTCTGCTCCATATGCCTCGCTCGCCGAACGTGGCCAGGACGATTCCCACACCTTCCTCGCGGCCATAGGCAAGCTCTACTGCTTTGGCATTACACCTCAAGTGCCTGTATCAGACAACGCTTTTACTTTGCCAGACCTGCCCACCTACCCCTGGAACTATGAGATGCGCCACTGGGCTGAAACCCGTATGACGGCGGGCTGGAGGTTCCGCAAGCACCGCAAGCATGAGTTGCTAGGCCACCTCGTCCTTGAGAGCAGCGACATTGAGCCCGCGTGGAGGAACGTTATCAGACTCGGCGATGTGTCGTGGCTGGCAGATCATTGTGTTGAAAAGGACATTGTGTTCCCCGCAGCTGGTTACATTACCATGGCAGGAACGGCCGTGGCTCAGCTAACGGGATCAACGGCCTACACGGTGCAAGATGTCAACTTCGCGGCTGCAATGCTCCTTGGCGAGGGCAAGGGCACCGAGATCGTAACTACACTGCGGAAGCACTCTCTAACCGCCTCGAAGAACAGCAAGTGGTGGGAGTTTTCCATCTCTTCCGAGAAGGACGGGACCTGGACAAAACACTGCTGGGGCTTGGTTACTGATGGATGTGCTGTGGCCTGTCCGACGGCCCCGGAAGTTGCACCACATTCACGAAAGGTCGATTCGAAACGCTGGTATAAGGCGCTGTCGCGCATCGGCCTCAACTACAGCAATCGCTTCATTGGGCTAGAAAACGTCACCGCGAGTCCCGTTAATCAAAGTGCATCGGTCAGCATCACCGATCGACAGGACGAGGGCGAGGCGTACGCCCTCCACCCATCCACCTTAGATATCATCTTACAGTCGTGGTCAGTCGCAGTCACAAAGGGCGAGTATCGTCAGCTGGACAAACTGTTCCTCCCGACATTCATCGAACAATTCTACGTCTGCGCCGATCGCAGCCGGACAACGCTTCGTGTCCGCACCACTTCCCGCGGCTCTGCTGGATTGACGGTGGGCGAATCGTTTGGCGTAGGGGACGACAACGACGTGGTATTTGTTCTCAACGGGTTCCAAAGCGCGAGAATGGAGGGGTCGTTGACCCAGCAGGCGTCCGAACTGAAAGCCTGGTCGATCCAATGGCATCCTGCTTTTAATCTTGCCCCTCCGGATACACTCTTGCGTCCTACACTCGGCGCGACTGCCGACATTAAATTCGCGGAACAATATGGCCTGATGTGCGCGGTCGAGGTCCACCATGAGGCGGCTACGGTCACGTCTCTTGCACAGCCGTTCTTCAAGCACTTTCTGGCTGGAGTGGCCAAGCATATGGACCAGGTCGATCAGGGCCAGTCCAAAATACCCGACGCCGTGGAGCTGAAGGCCCTTAGTCGAGATGCTCGGCGGGAGAAGTTGGATGAATGGCGGGAGCTAAGCAGGGGCGGCGCCGTGGAGAACATTGTTGAAGCGCTCCGGCGCGTCTATACCAATATCAAGGATCTTCTTGAAGGTCGAAAAGTTTTATTGGACCTCCTTCTCGTCGGCGGAGTGCTGCAGAAGTTGTACGACGAAATCAACGCCTGGTCCGATATTGGAGACTTCTTTCGCGTTCTGGGCCTGAACAAGCCGCAGCTTCGTGTCCTGGAAATCGGTGCCGGCACGGGCAGCACGACTTCTATTGTGCTAGAGGCCATGCACTCCAGCCATGGGGAGCGCCTATACGAAGACTACACCATTACCGACGTCTCGGCTGGTTTCGTCAGTCAGACCAAGGAACGCTTCAGTCGATATCAAAATCTCAAGTTTGCCGTCTGTGATATTTCAGCGGATCCGCTCGAACAAGGGTTCGAGGCCGCGTCTTACGATTTGATCGTAGCTTCTAACGTAAGTTGACTCGGGGACACCAGGTAATCGTTGTCGACTACGAGGGTGACTGACGTGACTCGGCCGCCACGGCCATCTAGGTCTTACATGCCACTCCTAACTTGGTCGACACATTGACAAGGTGTCGAACGCTACTGAAACCGGATGGGCAAATATTTTTGCAGGAAATTTGTGCGAGTATGTCATCTCCCCATTCACATGCTCTCCAGAGTGAGCTGACACATTCTACTCGCGCACAGATACGAGATATGCCGACCTTATCATGGGTCTCTTCGACGGGTGGTGGGCTGGAGTCGAGGATGGCCGTGTTGACCGTCCAGTTATTGTAGAAGAAGAATGGGATATCAAACTGCGGCAGAGTGGCTTCCACGGCATCGAGTCCGCCGTTCGTGACAGCAAGCATCCACACCTTTTCAATACCGCCAACATTGTGGCAAAGGCTCGAGCTGTTGACACTTCCGAGTCTGACAACACTAGCAAGAGGATCACTCTACTAAAGCCAAGAGCCAGATTGAATGAGTTTGGAAAAGGTATCAAGAGCGTGCTCGAGGCCGCGGGATACACAGTGGACGAGTCTGTCTGGGGGGCCAAGCTGCCAGATGGCCAAGACATTATCTCGCTCATGGACGTTGACACCGAACGCGCTCCCTTGTTAGCAGACGTTGGTGCGGAAGACCTGTCGAATTTCATCGACATCGTGGGAGATGTGTCGGGACAGGCGGTGCTTTGGCTGATGCGGCCTGCCCAGACACAATGCTCTGATCCACACTACGGCCAGATGCTGGGAGTGGCGAGATGCATCCGCGCCGAGCTGGCCATTGACTTTGTCACCCTCGAGTTGGACAGGCTCGACAACGAGGTCAGCCACGTCGTGGCGCGGGTGCTGAGCGAGGTGCAACAGGCGCAGAAGATGGCAACAGACAACAACAGTGTTGACATAGAATCCGAATACGTCTGGCGGGACGGGCAGGTGCTCGTGGGCCGAATCCATGCGACGTCCGTCGCAAAGGCGCTGGTCGATGCCGCTCCCCAGACGGAAGCCAAACATCTGATGATACGACAGCCGGGCATGCTGCAGTCCATGTCTTGGACCGGCCATCCTCTCTCACCGGTAGCTGTCAAAGACGTCCAGGTACGCATCACGGCCGCGGGTCTGAACTTCCACGACGTTGCCGTGGCCATGGGCATTATCCCCCCCGACGGGCCTATGGAGAGCGACGGCTACCATGGCCTCGGCGTCGAGGCTACGGGCATTGTCACGGCCATCGGCGCGGATGTCAAGCACGTTGCTGTCGGCGACCGCGTCGTGTTCATGGAGATGCTGCTCCCTGTTTTCGCCACTGAGATCCAGCTGCCGGCAACATTGGTTGACCGGGCGCCTGCAAATGTGAGCAACGAGGATGCAGCAGCCTTGCTCATCCCATACGCCACCGTCCTGTGGAGTTTTGTCGAGAAGGCTCATGTGAAGCGCGGCCAGAAACTGCTGATCCACAGCGCAGCCGGTGGAGTGGGCATTGCTGCTATCCACGTCGCGCGCTGGCTGGGCGCCGACATCTACTGCACAGTGGGCTCACAGGCCAAGGTCGACTTCCTCACCACAGAGCTCGGCGTGCCGCGAGACCGCATCTTCCACTCCCGCGACGACAGCTTCGTTGCGGACGTATTACGCGCCACTGATGGGACTGGCGTCGACGTCGTCCTCAACTCGCTTTCGGGTGAGCTGCTCCATGCCTCTTGGAAGTGCGTTGCTTCTGAGGGCTGCATGCTTGACCTTGGAAAACGAGACTTCCTCGGCCGTGGTCGTCTAGCCATGTATCCATTTGCTGACAACCGCGCCTTCTTCGGCATCGATTTGGCTGCCCTCATCGTGACCCAGCCACACAAGGTCGCGCCGTTGCTGCGTCAAACCGTAGATCTCCTCCGAGACGGCAACATTTTCCCGTTACACCCCACTACCGTCTTCGAAGCTGACAAGATCCAGGATGCCTTCCGCTATATGCAGAAAGGCATTCACATCGGTCGAATCGTCATCAGGATGCCTACCGACCCTGCCGCCCTTCCGCCGACTATGCCAACCCCCAAGCCAACATTCAGCCCTCACGGCGTCTACGTCCTAGCGGGCGGGCTTGGGGGTTTGGGCCAATCGGTCCTTTCTTGGATGGTGAGCCACGGTGCTCGACATTTCATGGTTATTTCACCATCTGCGGGGACCCGAGATGAGCATCGTCAGTTTGTCGATGAGCTGCGCGAGCTCGGCTGCGAGTTACGCTGCTTCGCTGGCGACGTGGCCGACTTTGATTTCGTGCGTGAGGTGGTGATGGCCGCGGAGGGTCGCCCGATCAAGGGCGTCCTACAGTTAGCTATGGTGCTGCACGATACCGGATTTTTGAATATGGACCACAACGCTTGGACGGCGGCCACAGGTCCCAAGGTCCGGGGCACATGGAATCTGCACCAACTTCTTCCCAAAGACTTGGACTTCTTCGTCGTGTGTGGTTCGACTAGTGGGACGCTGGGTTCTTGCGGACAAGCCAACTATGCAGCGGCAAATACCTACCTCGACGCCTTTGTTCACTTCCGCCATGGCCTGGGCCTTCCTGCTGCGGTCCTGGATATCGCTGCAGTCGAGGATGTCGGCTATGTCGCGTCAACCAAGAACGTCGCCGAACGCCTCGGGAGAGCCCTCTCTCGTTTCATGAGTGAGAGAGACTTCCTTCGATGCCTCCACCTTGCGATTGAACGGTCATCCAATCAGTACATATTGCCCGTAGCATCGACTTCGACCATGGCGTACGAGGAGGCTGCACACTTGGTCCTGTACAACGATACGACCCTCCCACTGTCGGACCCACGGAACACGACACCGTGGAGGCGCGATCCACGCCTGTCGGTCTTCCGTAACAACCAGGGCGTGACGACACAGGGCGCTGGGATGGGCAGCGAAGAAGGCCTTCGAAGCTTCTTGGGTTCGCTATCGAGCGAGCCGGAGAGACTCGATGATCCTGCAACCGTGACATTCTTCGCGCAGGAGATTGCGAAGCGTATCTTCGCGTTCCTCATGAAGGAAGATGTCGCCAGAGACACATCTCAGACGCTCGTGACCATGGGCGCAGACTCGCTTGTCGCGATTGAGATTCGCAATTGGTGGAAGCAGACTCTCGGCATCGAGATTACGGTCCTGGAATTGGCAGACACGAGTAACACAATGGAGCGTCTGGGTGCACTGGCGGTTCAGCGACTCAAGGGAAAACTTGCATCCAAGTAGATAGGCGTGGTGAATCAACTCTTATGTCCCCTATTAAGGTCTTCGGCTTGTTGCTTACGCGGTACACACGACTCCGTGTCAGCGCCACAATCTGCCATTGCGGATCACCCACGACATGAAACAAACGGATGGTATGTATACAAAAGGGAGCGGCTCAGATCGAAGGCACTCACCACGCGTAACCTGCCTTACGTACCATCTGTGGGAGGGGGAGATAGATCGATGTGTAGGGACACGAAGTATATTCAGCTGAAGCCTGGAGCTAGAACAGGGCAGGTGGAGGTCTTATATACAAAGGTGGGTAGGGTAAGTACGGAGTAGGTGGGCTAGCTGGGATGGCCATCGGCTAGGCTGTGATATCCACCGACTAAGGTGTCAACGCCTATGGCAGCAATGCGTTTAAGGATCACGTAAGGTTCCAAGGGTTATAGCCAACAAGAGCCCTGGTCTTCCCTTAGTCATTCCGCAACCCTACTAGCAACATCCTTTGTACACAGGAAATGGGGCTTACCCCTATACCTTAGCCGTGACACTATCAATATTCCTCCACTCTACTGCCACCTCTCCCGCTTGGCCGTCCGAAATTCTTTGGGCGATCCTCTTCGGCGGGTGCATATGGTCCTCAAAGATACAAGGACACCGGCTGCTACGGTTTTGATCTCGACGGGAAGAGTTGCTCTGTAGGGGTACAATAAGTGACCACATTAAAGGGCCATAATAATATTTTACGTGACTTTTCATGTTTACACCTTACCTTCTTAATTATTTAACAGCATTAATTATGCCACCACAGTGTACTCCTTTACGTGTAATTAATCCCAATTGGCCTCGAGGTAAAGATCTATACATGGAAAGATTATTGACATGCTAGAGAAAAGTGTAGACTCTTTTTGGTTTGTCTAATCAGGTAGGATACTATGTTATTTAGCTTTTCCTCGTAACCACTCTCCATCATGTTGCTCGCGACTCGGCGGTATTTTCGCCCGTAGTATGTGCTGTACTCGATTTCTCACGTCATAAATACCGCATCGTAACTGTTCCAAACCCTCTGCTTCCCGCCTACAGCACCTGCTGAGAACGTTAATATTCTCAATAGTTCGTGAAAGCGTAGCCGTCTTCCCTTGCCGACTTCGCTCGTCCTTTGAACCGCCCTTTGAGCCAGAGGGAGCATCGTCCATCTCTACCGCCCAGTCCTGTGCTTCGGTTCTGCATATCCTCTGTATGGCCTCACTTGATAATATTCGGGCTAGAGCGGCGTACTTTTCGTTTAGTGTTGATCGGTATCGCTTCTCCACAGCATAATGTGGTCGCTCACTCCCCTTCGTCTTACGGGCTCGATCGGCCTGTACGTCTCGTTATATTTGGGTTTCCGCACAGAAGGAACAAGTGGTAAGCGCACTTTCTGCCTGCCAGACCGGCTTGAGCGGGGCTCAGTAGGACTCTGGCTTATTCCTGGGATCACTTCAGGGTGCTTGTTCGAGTTTGTTGGGCTAGCTGAGAAAATTATGAGTTAGCGGTCGATGAGAGGCGACGTGAGGTTGGGGCTACCTGTGTGATTCAACATTGATGGAGGAGGAGTTAACATGGGATCCTGTGAGGTGGTGGGATTCGGGTAACAATTTTCCAACTCTGATAAACCAAAGTCGAACAATTGATCACATGTTGACGAAGCACCGAAGTCTAGAGCGCGGTCTAGACCGACAGTATCGCCGTTATGGAAGTATTCGTCTGCTTTGCGCGTTAACAATGGGGGAGCACTCTCTCTTCCGGATTGCCTAACATACCTCTGTCAGATGTCGCAGCTAATTCGCGCTCTGCCGACGGCTGGCTCAGATCCACTGTAAAGTTGGTGTGCATACTCAAGATGTCTGAAGCCTCGCTGTACGTCGATCAGGCACAATCTACAGTTTACACTGCTTCACAGAGCCGTCTTATACTGTTCTTTTATATGCCCTCCGTATTTATGACCGCGACCTTCGTAAATGTGATCCAATAGTAATGACAGTAGCTCTTACTGTACTCTCGAGCAATCGTGACGCACTACCCCGCCGTTAATGTTCATGCGAAGAATAAACTGACATCCCAGCGTCGATTGGTTGATGGAGCGGCGCAGACGGCGTATGAGATGGCAACGGCAAATTCCAAAACAAGTTTGGAGAATACAGGCCCGACACCCTGTAATGCCCTGTAAGAAGCCTGTAGGGTCTCACCCCCTAAAATTCTCAAGCTTCAAGGCCTCTGATTGTCTGGCTAGGCGAAAATGTCATACCTTAGGGCCTCTAGTTGGTTGAGCTTGGGCGATGGGTTTAGATTATAGGCCTAACGGCCGCGAATTTTAGGGGTGAGACCTTGCTGTTTACAGGGCATTACAGGGTGTCAGGCCTATATTCTCCAAACTTATGACCGCGACCTCCGTACCCTGAAACCCCTTAATTATTTCAATGTATAATACGGAGGACCCAGCAAAAAGTTATGATAGTGCAGGGATCACAGCCAGTCTCGCTTACTAGTCACCCAGCAACTAGTGTCGGTGTAAGATTAGTGGACTACAGGCTTATTTTACAGAGCACGAAGTCTGTAAACCCTCACTGAAGGATCCTGATCACACGCCCCAGACCGTTACTAGGCCAGACCTTGGTCAATATTAGACTATCGTAACTTTTTGCCCGGGCCTCCGTGTAACGGTCCCCCGATTATCTCTCCCGGGTAACCGGTTTGCGTAAGGTTTCTGTTTGCGTAGCAAAGTAAGGCAGCGATCACTACAAGGATCACAAGGTTGAAGTAGGTGAGTAAGTCAAAGTTGTACGACATCCATAATTCCAAGGGCTGAAGTCGAGTCTTTCCAACTTCCCTAGCAGGCGCTTTAGATCTATGCTCGCGTTTTGGTGGCTGATGTTTTCATCCTCGCCAATGCACCAGTCGGTACCAGTGAATGAATGGCATTGTTCCCATCTAATAATGCGCTTCCAATATCTCGAATCTTTGGCACAAGGTTATGGCCATTCGCCTCCAGTGTCTCTTCGCACATGCAATAAATCTCCAACAAAATCTTCCACCATGCTCCCTCGTTGCAAGCGGATCTCTTCGGCACATATAGGTTCTGTATTTTGCCGGGTGCACTCTGGCTTGGATCTACATAAGGTGTAGATTTGCTCAAGTAGACAGGAATAGATGTGCAGCTGTGTGATGTAGAGATTGACGGTCTGCACGTCTGTCTCAAAATTGCTATCTGGGGGCCTAGACAGTCCGCCACGCCAGCGTAAATTCGGTGGTAAAGTATCAAGTGCACGTTCCACTACTGACATATGATGTTGAAGTTGTTCGAGCAAAGGCGATGACGATTGCTGGCTGGAATGCCACAGAAGAGGTGAGTTTGGAATGCAATATCGGGGATATAGGACATGTTGTCTCCATGCCACGGATGCGCTGGGTCGCCATTTGTGGGATCAAGCTTGACATCGTTCAGATCAAGGGGTAAGAGGCTCTAGAGGATATTCTTCGGTGAGAGTAGGGAGATAGATGGCCGATTATATATATTCAGTGTGCTCCAACGTAAGTCTCGCGTCTTTAGTCACTATACGAAATTGAGACACTTACTAGAGCGCATAGAAGATAAGCCAGTACAAGCGCTTTTGAGAGTTGCTGTTCCAAGGGTGCCATAAGATGCAGTTCATGGAAGGTGAGATATTTGATTCCTGTAGTTACTTCACCCAGGAAGCGGAACGAGTAAGCGCTGTCTGTGCCCTACACTAGGGGCAACCCAGTGCTAAGATGGTACTTTCTTGACACCAATGCGGTGTAATGTTTCGATGGTTATCCAAGAGATGGTTTCGCTCAATATCCTCAAGGTATTGTAGCGCAGTCAAGCCTGCATAGAGTAAAGCCCCTCGGGACAGTCGTGGCACACAATGAAATGACAACAACTGCTAGAGAGAAGTGGCACAGGATCAGTCAGATCACATCTAAGCAGGTGGGCCTTCAGGGATGTTGTCGAGGTCATTGAGGAGGTGCATACTCCGTAAGGCTTAGTATCCAACTAACCGAGCGGCAACAAATGCAGGGAAAGCCTGGCATTGAAAGGCGGGGGATAGATTCGGGAGCTAAGGGCCCAACAGTCCCTGCCTGCGGCGAAGCTAAATTTCACTACATTCGAGGTCAACACGCGCCAAAGCGCCGAATACGACGGAATTGAAACAAGATGACGTCCATATCGGAGTCAATTGAAGTCATTGGGACGGCCCGCGGCACCACAGGCCAATCGACTGGATATCCAATGATCGGTTGCTGCGACCAGCTCCAGGGAGATGGGTAACGAGAACCGAACGGCTGTTCTTCATCAAGAACGGGACGGCTTTGTCGAAGTCCATTATTACGCTTAGCCACATTCTATTAATCGATTTCTTTTCCACAGCTGTCCAACGGCTGGTTCAGTAGCGTAACCTTCGCCGACGTAACAATCCAACACGGTGTACCCAGGGTCGCGAGGGACTGGGATGGATGTCGTTCTTCGCCACACATTCCGTCCTCATGCACAAGAACAAGGTGACACACAACAGGAACCAATCGGGTGCTTCGCACCCAGGCGAAAACTGAGATGGAAAACCTCTTAGGAGAATATCTGACACCCACAAGGAGACGATCGTGCTTCGTCGGGGCAGTGCTCGCTCGACACGGCATCCCTCTCGATCAATGAAGCAGAGACTCGGGACATGGTACAAGCTATCCTTGGCTTCGCCAACTACTTCCTCCTGGACTTGGTCCTATAGCAAGACGCGAGAACCCGGACCAGCTCAACATCGTCCGATCCGACTAATAAGGGGAGGACACGACGCGGCCGATGCACGCCTGTTAGAATAACCTTGGTGACAGGAGAGGGATTTGACAGCCTTTTGATAGTTCTTTCGGCAAGCTAAGATATAGTTCGGTTATACAGCATTGCTGTGATGTATGGATTCATGTAGACCCTGGCGAGAAGGTCTGAAAATCCCCGAATAGGAAGTACATAGTCGAGTTCAAGGTAATATCCCTAGAGCATTTCTGCAGACTATGCTTCGCTGCCACGTCTTTACTCTCAGGGCTCCCGCTATATAAGAAGTAGTTAGTGCCCTTAGTGAAGGTACTAGGGACAATAATCGAGGTCTCGATGCCCCAGTGCGTCAATTCACTTACGTATAATACAGTAAGGGAGTCCATGGTAGCCTTCACAGCGAAGTAAGGCGCGAGGTAAGGAGGTATACCTTCGCATGTACTACTCAAGCCGACCTAAATTATAAGGCCTTTGCCTGCCTTGAATATGTGATCTATATAATAGGGACTGTAAAGGAAAACAAACTTTGTATCGAAAAAAAACGATCTCTACCTAAATAATACATTCCTAGTTCTCTCCTTAGCAATCAAGCTAAGTTACCTATACTAACAAAGATTCCCCTTGTCCCCTGTGTTTGACGATTGCCTTGTGCCCCAGTACACCATAAATTGGGAATGCACCCTTATAACACCCAGGTTAATTGGTGTTGTAACATATACGTGTATATATCCGTCGTGATAAGCAGCTTCATTATATATTGATAGTCTCTGGCATCTCCGACGACGAAGTATCGTCAAGCCAAAGCTGTAATTTACGCCTCAGCTCATTGCGCTCCGTCTCGTATTGTTGATACGTGGATACGAGATGATTGATATATTGTATCGCCCTGTCCAGGACGACCGATTTAGTTGGTACCTTTTGTGTCGTCCCTGCTCCTTGATCTTCGGGTGGCATGTTTGGGTCGATTAGGCTAAAGGTATTTGATGCTGGAATCGAGGCGCTGAGCTGCTGGATCTTGCTGTTTATGACGGATCGATAGCGCTTCTCCACGGCGGCATGAGCTCGTTGTCCTTGCTGCTGTTGTTGCCGGTGGCGCTGACGCTGGGCTCCTTCCCCAGTGTTGTTTTGTTGGGTGTTTGGTTGTTGGCGTTGTGGGATTTGAGGGCCTTTGTTGCCTGGTCCAACAGGCTGGCTGAATATCAATCCAGCGTTTGTGCTGTCTTCGTCCGCTTCCTCGTCTTCGTCTTCATCATCATCATCGTATTCGTCGTCATTATCGTTGTTGTAGTCATTATCCATTCCAGCAGCATGCCTAATGCTAGGTGGTGTCGCACCAAGATCGTCAATGTCGCGCGCATTTAGGAGCCGTACTACTCGCAGCAAGCGCCGGAATAGCTCAAAGTCTTCACGAGAAGTGGGACACTCATCAAGGGAGATGCGTGGTAGCTGATTCGAATCATTCGATGCGGAAGACATGGCATAACTCACGGCAAGTTGAGGCGGGACTGCAGTAGTCAATAGGATGGGGATTCTATATGTAGTACTCTCTTACGCGTTGCTGTCTATAAGTAGGCACGGCTTTTCAAGCTCTGAGCCTCTGCAGAAAATCTTGGGGTTCACCAATCTAGAGTGCCTTGGGGCTGTGGGTGCCTTGGGCTGTGGGTGCCTGGAGGCGAACAGTGCAAGGACGTTTATACGACCATACGCACTACATAAAGGACCCGAGCGTAGGTCGGCCAGTAAAGCTACAAGGACTACCTTAAACCGGCAGTTTTGATACAATATGATGCAAACCCATACTGAACTGTGACTGTTGCAGCCTAAAAGCTAGCATATTCCTCATAGAGAGGTTGTGCAGGAACAGTGGCTATGGTTGATCCTTCGTATAGCCTAAGAATGCCAGGGATCGCACCAAGGTCTTGCATGTGACCTACTAACATGCTAGGTACGTAGTATACCTCGTACAGCCTGGCCGATCAGACGTGGGGGGAAACGCCCTAAAACAGCTCACAACGTTACTAGGTAGTTCCTTATTTCCATGTAATTATAAATAAATTCGATATATTAGTAGATTTAATTAAAAATATAAGTATATTATAAGTTATAATACCTGAAAAGTAGGCGACGCGCTAGAAATGTAGCTAGAATCGACGCGTCTAATTAGTAGATAAGTGATTACTAAGTATTGTCCTAGAATCTAGCTTATAAGCCCCCTCCTGAGAGAGGGGCATTTGTCTCGGACGGGCTGTATAGGGGGGGGGGCTTATATGCTAGTTTATAGAGTATTAGAACAGTGATAAGTTAGAGACTATATCATAATATCGCTTAATCTATTTATAGTCGCGAATTAGCTTTTAGACAAGTAGGGTATTATATTTGAAACAACTTATTAGTAGCTAGTAATATTTCTTTATACGAAATTTCAACGATATGAAATCCCCTCTCCCTATGTCGACTATTTACAGCTCGCTAAAGTCGTAATAGCGCCAATAAGCTTTCTTGGCGTAGATCAAGAATATCGGGGGTATCGGGGATATCGGGGATAGGGAACCCAGCCTGGTGCACGAGATCTCTACTAGGATATTGTTCTTGACTCTACAGTGTGCTGATACAGCAGTGTCGCAAACAATGTCTGTTGCGCAATCATGATAATAGCCAGCTTGAAACCCTCCCGCGTCTGACTACTCCAGCTCGCTTACATACTTTATAGAAGTTTCGAAACATAGTAGTTCGGCTATAGCCTCGAGTTCCTGATCTTGCCAACATCTAAATTAAATGTATCGTACAGAGTGAGTATTAGGCTGCTTACAAAATGGTCTATTTTGTCCCGCTGTTTCAACGCAGGAGCCTTTCCAATGCTGGGGCCTCGATTTCTGCGAAACCGGAACGACAAAGTGTCCAGTATAACCAAGAGCTGGTAGACGGCGGTCGTCAGGTGAAACGGATCACCCAGCTTCCGTCCGGTCATCCCTACAAGTGGGCGATCCCTGGATACTTCCCTAAGATAATCGCTCTACACCGATGCAAAGTCCGTGTGTTGGATCGATCCTCACACGTTCAGAGATTCCAACTGAGACGTGAAAGACAAGTCAGGTCGCCTATAAGGGAATGAAGATGGCCTCACATGTGCCATTTCCATCAGTGCTCCCCTTCACTGCAGTCAACAATGTCTTCTGAGTTGTTAGTTTGCGACGCCATTTCTGATGGCTTTCCTAACCCTCGCGGGAAACGACTTGCGTTTGTCACTCGCTTTTACGTGCCTCTCCTTCCTATTTGTATCTACAAGATTCCTCGCCCGCTACTTCACAACAAAGGTAATTGGGCCCGACGATTATTTGATTATTTTCTATTTGGTATGTAATTTCATTTCTTCAGTTGTCTTCGAAGGGTTATTTTAGGGAGCCTTGGTTGCCTTTTCCTCTCCCTTCGATCCCGTTGTAGATATTCGTATTCTCTTCTACGCCATCCCTTCCTATCACGATTGAAATTCTTCATAACTTCTGACCTAAATTCAATAACTACGGCAACACTTTGGCTTGGTAGAGATGACTCGCAGAGCTCAGATTGCCTCTGTTTTCTTGCGACCATGGCAATGATAGCTGTGCAAATAATCTGCTCACAAAGCGTTTAGCTCAGAAATGGAATATCGTAAAAGTAAGATGGTGCTTTTGATAATGGTGAAGATTAGATGTGATTCACAGAAAAGATATTCAAAATAGAGACATCCGGAGGGCTTTATAAAGACTCTGGCCCACGCTATGATTTTACGACGAATCACGACCTACTTTTGGATGAGGATGGCATTCTTATTGTTGCTGCCTACCCCGAGAACTGCGCTTTTCCTGATATTAACTTTTTAGAGCCCTATTCTCGCGGATTGCTTCAATCTTAACGATGGCAAGCCTTAAAATGAGACGTCTCGTCCAGTTGGTCGATCGACGGCATGACCTCTGGCCCAACCATGATAGACCTCACCAAAATGGTATAAGATAGTTGTACAATCTGCAAGGCGGTAATACAAGGCGATCCGGTGGTGAGAATGAGAGTACTCTGTGAGAGATGTCACTCGCTGACACAGTCACAACCGCGCATCATTGGAAGAGGACGAGAGAAGCCCCTGCTCCGCAAGGGAGAGCCAAAGCTCATTGAAACTCCAAGTGCGCAGCGATGGAATACGAGCGGTCAATGTCAGGCTGGAGCTGGTAGCAGGGTGGGCAAGTACGTGCACATACCAACAAGTGAAGGGCAGAAGAGGACACGACCCGGCATTGACTGACTTTAGGCAAGCTGACAGAGGCACTTCCCCCACCATTCAACAGGTCGTGTTGGCGGACGGCTACCTGTGGTGGCGAGAGGATACGAGCAGGCGGTCCTTCTTGAAAACACAACCACTGTAAGTTCGGCCTTGTCATGGGGGATCCCTATCGAGAATGATCGTGTGCCTGGCATACTGGCCCTGGCGTGTTCACAACTCTGGGAGCGCTGCACTTTAGGGAGGTTCGGCCAGCGGGTCGGGAGGTGCGGTGTAGATCCCAACGCCAGCACCGTAGGATGAGGAGATGGCAGGGAGCAGAGATTGGTGAGGGGAGAAGAGGTGAGGGAAATAGAAAAGGTGATGGGAAATTATAGGAAGGAAGACGATGTGGTACTGTACTGACGGTGAGGAGGAGACACTATTGACAGACAGTAAGTGAGTGAGAGAGAGGCCGGTCACCGCATAGTGTCAGAACCCATTACCTATCGCAGTCTGGCAGAGAAATGCTGTAACAGAGAACCGCATCGTCTCCGCTTTAGATAACACCTCCTCCCTCATCTTTCTTCAACTTTCCACTCGTCAACGTCATCATCATAGAAAGAACGCCGAAGATCCGCTAGACCACGACCAAATTTCACGATAAATCATGGCTTCCTTTCACTTTCATCCTGCAGACTGTCCACTGAGTAACCGTCAATAATCTTCCGTCTTCTTCGCCGAATCTTGCCGATTCCTATCATCATCCGAACTACCAACTCAACAGGAGCGCGACGAAGCCATGATCCAACAACCTACCTTCAAGGATGATGAGAATGAGGGCCTCTTTAACCACGGCATTGGTGGCAGACGGGAGAAGAAGACAAATTCAAGAAATCGAAGTGACATTGATAGCGAAGAAAGTTTCCGTCAATGGACTGGGAAGATTCTACGACAAGGTCGTCAATTCCTCCATAATTACTCGATACCTCGTATACGTCCTCCCAGTTGCCCTCCTCCTCGCTGCTCCGATTGTCATATTTGCGATTTATAATCCTCACGCCATCTTCGCCAATACCGGGGTCAGGGTAACCCTCTTCTGGTTATGGATCGAGATCGTTTGGCTCAGTATTTGGGTTTCAAAACTTGTTGCCAAGGCTGTCCCATGGGTGTTTATGTTTCTCTGTGGAGTTGTCAGTTCTGGAACTCGGAAATATGCTCTAATATTGAAGTCTGTGGAGATTCCACTATCGCTGGTAGGATGGGCTATGACTTGTCTGGTGGCTTTCACAGCTATCGCCAGAATTGAACGAAGGCATACCTAGTAAGTGCTGGGTTGCTGTCATGACTAGGGCTTTAGGCCCTTGTCTGATTGCTTCTCTGCTGTTTCTCGGGGAGAAATTAGTTGTCCAATTGATCAGTGTTAATTACCATCGACGGACATTCGAGGGACGAATTATTCAGTCGAAACGTGATGTTCATCTGATAGGACTTCTCTACGAAGCTTCAAGAACACTCTTTCCCATGTACTGCAAGGATTTTATTGATTATGGATAGAAGTCTTGTTTCTTACCGTGCACGATAAATTTAGTTGAGGTGCTTTTTCCTAATCGGTTGGAAAGCGAGACTTGTCTAAACCCACAAAGCCTCTGGTCGGCCCCTACTTGATAACAAGCTGTTCTCAGATCAGCGTCACCTCTATGCCTATCTTGGAGACAAGCCCCCCAACTTCTCTTATTCGAGATTCAGACTCCCTCACGGGCATGCCCGTCCGCCTTGATGGATTGTAGCTAGCCTCGAATGCTTAGATACTGACCTCGAAATACCAACATCGCTCTCCGAAATAGCACTTAATGCTAGCTATCTAAGACATAAGTATACTCCTACTCTCTACTAGCAAGTTATCTAGAATATTTAGGTATTGCCACAAGCAACATCCTCCCCGACGTTTCAATCCATGAGCCTACGATAGCCCTCTCTAGTTGACCTTAATACTCTACTATTAAAGGTCAACTAACTTTGGGCCTCGTACCCTATGTACCTCCTGCACAAGCCTGACCCGGGGATGTATAGATGATTGACAAGCACAGCGAGCGCTGCCGGCAGTTAACTTCTTCGACTCCTGAAGGTCTGCTTCCATGGTCCGAAGAACCTCGGTATATCCCATGATTTTACCACCGAGAAAGACCAACTGGCGTTTTGCTGGCACAATTAATAGACAAGATTCTAACGACTGCAGGTTTTCCTCGGAAAGAACCCAGCCGCGGAGGTCTGGCGCACCCCATGGTCCAGTTGAGCAGTTGAAACTAAATGCACATAGCGGCCAGCCCCTATACGTGGGATTCCGTTGCCATATCGTGGCTGGGTTGTCATCATCTGGATCAAATCGGCGAATGGCCAAGTTGTGAATGCGAGCAATGTCGGCCTCGCTATTTCTATAAGATTATGTTCTGTAAACAATAGAATTTTAGAGCCGTACCTCAAGATGCACTCAAAGTCTCCAAGAAAATCAGCGTCGATAATGTCGTGCGACCAGTCAATGTATGAGTAAGGGTGGTTAGATATCGGGCTGAAGGACTGTAAGGCAACCATTCGGGATTCGTGGCATACCGAGAGTGCGACGGGTGCTGAGGAGAAAGGGAACTGATTAATCCATCGAGGTCCCGGCAATGTGGCTTTCCAAATCAGGAGACGGAGCTCGGTGGGTAGGGAGGAGAATGTATTGTATAACAAAGGGGTCTCGACGTCCAAGCTGGGTTCTCTGGATGAAATTGTCTCCGGCTGGAGCGGATATTGAGGCTGAGGGCTGAAGGGGTTATGCGCTATCGAGGTCATCGTGACTTCGTAGTATTAAAAGCTGATACAGGTGATTGGGAGATAGACAAAGGACATTTCAAGAGACGGGAGCGTCATGAATAAGGCCAAAGCATGCGAATTGCCGGTCGAAGAGGTAGTTAAAGGGCTCTTGGATTGAAGGTGAGCTGGCATGACCTAGCATTTGGCATATTTCGAATAGGTCGTGCTAACAACCAATGGTCAAATACAATTAAGGAATGGAAAAACTGGCGAGCAAGATATATACTTATACCTCAACCGTGTTCATCGGCCACCTGGCAGAAACGACCGCCAGCCAACAGCTGGGGTTCGCGATGATAACCAGTCAACAGCCCAGCAACATAAGAAGCCCAAAGAAACAGCTAACATCGCTCTCCGCACACCCCATGGAACCAGTATTTGTGTACAGATATTGAGGCTATTCAATAGGTCGGCAACGGAGGTCATTCCCAAGTCCCAAACATTTGTCATGCGCGTCATGCACCGAATCCCTCCGCAAGCTTGCGCTTGGCACTCGCTGCGCATACTCGTAACTTGCTGACCCCGCATGCAGAGATCGATACGAGTGACGGAGCGTGGAAGGACGAGATCTCGGAATGGCAGATACAACCAAAAACACCAATACCTTTATCGAAACAAACCCATAGGACAAGCATATCAGATTAGCACGCGCCGCATGATTGGCAACCGTTTGGACTGCCGAGTCTGGATCTCGAAAAGCCATGCATGACATGGGACGACTTGAGCTCCAAAGGTGAGTTATTGCAACCTGATGCCCTGCTATTTGTATTATGTTGCCATGCAGTTAGATATCGCAGCTTTATGAAGATCTGACTGCTTCAGCGACGCGCGCCAATTGATAGCGATCTAGTCTTGAACAGGGGAAGACGAGAAACCGCATAAGAGGAAGAGGAAGGAGAAATTACATTAAACCAGAAACTGTGTCTCGCGAACGCAATCATATATTCGTGTCATCTTTCCCCACCATTGCTCGCATCCACCCGGACGTATCGGTGCTCTTCCAAACACCTGGCAGTCAAACATCCAAGGGGCGTGGCACTAACTCGGAGGGAGCCCCAAAAGCAACCCAAGGCCCCTGGCATCTTTCTCTCTGCTCCGCTTACCAGCTCTGCCAGATGCATGTAGTCAGACATGACAGATTATCAAGATCGCGCCTAAAATCCCGAGGATAATATCGACAATTCAAGATTATGCAAATACTCGCACCGTCGTCAACCACAGGCAAAGATGAATCGGCGGCCGGAATACCAGTCGTGAATAACCTGTTTTTGGACGAGCGTGTCGGACGAAGATTTCAAGTAGTATTTGGGTGCATTATAATGAGATATTTAAACCGAAATAATGGGGAGTTTTGGCATTCCTGTATCCTTGCAGTAGGCGTATCAGCGTTTTAACCCGACAACGACGAGGTTACGCGGACTCTGCTGATACTCAAACACAGGCTGGACCCAGCAATCCCTCACCAGATGTTTCTGCTCTTTTAAGAATAGCCAACGATCGACTACAATCAGGCTCTCAACGACCCCAGCGCTAAACGCCATCAACGACCAGATGGCACTTAATTCCTTCTTCCATTCCTTATGTTGCAGCCAGTACAATTCCAGCTCTTCATCTGTGATGCCTCCCATTTTGTCGTCCAAAGGAAGGTTCTTCTCAGGGTCTTGCTTGAGCTTTTCCAGCGCACCGCGGACGTAAGTTGTGAATGAGCCGTAACATCCCTTCCTCAGCGAGCCAATGCTTACCGGTTCGGTACTATCTGGACTATCGCTGTCCGCTATCTTCGACACCACACCGTAATCGAGAAACAGTTTCTGCAGCAGAGCTCGGTAGAAATGCCTCGTAAAGAATGAGTCGCTTTCCTTGGCCGCCCAATTCTGTGGTGCTTGAACTGCCATCATCCTCGCAGTGATGTTTAGTCTGAAACCCTCCTCGCCATATGTTGCCAGGCGCTCGCTCATGGGAAACCCGTGCGGGTCGCCATCAGACAGCTGTTTACTGCCTTCAGGAGCGTTAATTGCTTGCAAGTTACGTCGAAGATGAGGATGCTTCAAGGTTGGTGGCCCAAGACGGGAGGAAAGTAGGTTGTAGCAACAACCCACAATCGCGATGGCTTGTACGGTTGTGTTAAGCACGAGAGAACGGATTGCGTGGTGTGAAAGATTTCCGCAGGAGTGTATGGAGACTGCCATGATACGAATTTTCTCAGGGCTCGACATTGAATCAAGAGCTTCACGGTCCGCAGAATCGCTATTGGCGATTCGCGAGGAGCTTAGTTTAGTATCCCCCTCGATTTTCTCGATCTGGCCCACCACACTCGAGAGGTCCCCATTATGAAGGGTTGCTTCTACATATTGCATATAGCCTTTCCCTTCTGTATGAGTGTATACCGTGTCGAGATCCTTCATAGGTCTAAAGTCAACCCCGGCGATCACGGGAGGCTTCACTCTATTGACTGCTCTTCGTGCATTGTCCTTCGTCGACTCAACTGGCGTGACACTATCCCGGATCTGACGGTATGCTTTCTTATTTCGCATGACCTTCTCTCTTTCCCCTACCCCGGCAAAGATGTCCATTCTTTTAGCTCCCTTGACGTTCAGCTCTTTGCTTTCGACAGCCACGACGTGCTTATTGTATGGCGGACTAGCCAAAGCGCGACCAAGATAGTTTTGGCCACTTCCAAAGTCAACGAAATGAGTGATCTGCTCTCCAGAGTACTCTGCGATTTGGGAAACTAAATCTGAAAACCGGCTAACCTCGTGGACCTTTTTAGGGATCATGCCAACAGCCACGTGCCTGGCGAGTTTCGTCTCTTTCTGGCCAGGGGGTAGATCTCTTCGTAGGGAGTGCTTTCTTATCACTTTGACATATGCGGTCAAACTCTCAGGCGGTTCATCTTCCCGTGGTTGCTCCAGCTCATCGCGCATCAAAAAGTCTAGTAAATCCATTGGCTCACGGGCTAACAGCCACGATCGCCATTCTTCCGGGATAACTTTATGATACAGGCTCGGTTCACTTGTGAAGAAGTCGAGGATGTGGACTCCGCCACACAATGTCTGGAAGAGGGTAGATGAAGCAGAGAATCGCAGGAGTGAATCGACATACTCATCTGCGGTTCCGAAGTCATCCGGAAAAGGGATAGGTTTGGCTGGTGGCATTGTATTTGTGCTCCTAAATCTTGCGAAGGGAGAGATCAATAAAGCTTGGTTTCGGAAACTCCACAGGCAATTTCGGACTTGCATGTCACCGCATTTTGGTGAGGTAGGGCAAGGAGGGAGAATTTCGCGGATGGCCCGAGAAATTTGTTAATCTTGAGCAAGCAAATTTAGCGAGGCAGTTTGATGCGCCCTACGCTGTATTAGGTACTGTATTGACAACCGTCTTGGGTTCCCTTCGTCTTTAACATGCAGAGAATATTAAAGGACCTCATATACATTTTATCTACACATCTGGATCCCCTTTGTAACTTTGGTCGCTCTATTCAAGAATGCCTAGCAAATAGTCACGTGATTCGTACCGAGGTCGACGAAGGTGGTTTAGGCAAAGACATATAAGACTTGTAATAATAGGTTGATATAGATTTGCGACTCTACGGGGGTCCTAAATCGCTAATATTTACAAGTCTGGCTTGTACCCCCATACCTACCAACGCTGGGAGTTGAGCCGTCCTGGTGACAGACCTATGCCCATGAGAAACACCACTAGCATCATTTTCAATTCAATCAGCATCGCCATCGCTCTCCTCGTCATCCTCCTCATCCTCCTCATCCTCGTCGTCTTCGCGGCTATCGCTGGACATCTCCGAATCGCCAACATCATCTCCATCCCCATCCGCATCTAGATCACTTCCAATGTCCTCCCCAGCCGCTTCATCGAGCTTCTTGTCAGCTTTCCCGGCGACAGACACCACCCCTTTCTCGCCCAACACACCCGTACGTTTCAGTTGCTCAAGAGCCACTCGCGCTCGTTCGTCGGGGGTAACCGAGTTCATCCGCTCAATATATCTCTCAGTCTTTACTTGATATTCCCCTCGTGGCTGGTAATCCTTATTCGAAATTTTGGGTCGAATACGCTCCGAGCGCTTCTTTTGCTTGTTGTTTCTCTTTTTGATGCTTCTTTGCGTGATACTCAGGCCACTTCGGCCCTTCAGCTCCTTCATCTCCTCCTCCGTAATCCCAATATCTGGTACAGGTATATGAAGTTTCCGACTATTTCTGCCCGGCACAATATCAGGCATCGATAAGGAAATCTTAAAAGCGTCGTCAGGGACCTCCTTTCCCAGCCTCACAGCTGTCAATTTGGTTCTCATGATGGCTTTGATCTTGGCCCAAGCCCCATTTACGAACCACCCATCAGAGCGGGGATCGCAAGTATCCGAGTATGGCGCATCTCTCATAAGTTGGGCGAGTAAAGGATCTGTAACATCACAAACTTGGAATATCTTGCCATCGAGGGTGAGGGACTTTCCATCAAAGAGATGGGTGGTTTGGTTGATTTTGTCGTGCGCGTTCCTCTTGGATACAGAGTAGCCGGTGCGGACATCATGCCACACCCTTCCCGTGTGTTTCTCCTCTTCGTCGAAGAGCTTAAAAAACATGGTTTGGTAGCTGCGGTACTTCTTATCGCTCCGAGGATCAACCCCAAATTTTATGATGGCATCGCGCCAGGGGCCTCCCCTGAACTGATAGCCAACATATCGGAAAGCATGTCTAATCTGATAGAGAAAGGGCGAATTTGCAACTCTGTTTGTCAACGCCCTTCGTGTCCATATAGGGCGCTCTTCCATCACTGCTTCTATTTCGCCAACGAGGGCTTGTAGGTCCGCATCCTCGGGCATCCCATATGGATGGGTATGCGGAATCGACGCTGCATCATAAGCCAGATAGTCCACCATAGCCTTCTTAGCTTTGGATCGATTTCTCAGAACTTCCTTGCCCGTCGTTTCATCAATTTCAGGCTGCACGTGAGGATTTTGATGCCAGCCCCAGTTAAAGGGCAGCGACTGACTCGACATTGCGGGAGGTGGCATAAACTCGTCATTTTTCCTCCAGCCTCTCTCCGGTTTCAGCGCAAATTGACGGATTTTATCAACTAATCCCCATTAGTCAAGCAATTTCATAAATGCAGAAATCAACCTGTACCTTGACCTGTAAGAGCTGTCTCCTGAAAATGGGGTAAGAAGGTTGTGTTGTCGGTCGAGTGATGAAAATCGGCAAGGCCTTGAACATGTTGGCATCAGCAACACAATAAGGACCAATCCCATCTAGGCACATACCTCGAAACCGATGGGTTTGTTTGATTTGAGCCACCGGCTCGATTTTATAGCTGCCTATGTTGTCCCTGAGACTCTGCGAAAGTGTGGAGGGGGCATCCATTCGCGATAAGGATCGTATGTTTGTCTGGGCAGACACATCATCCCGGCTGGAACTTGCGTGTTCCCCTGAATGGCCGACGTATGGATCTTGAGAACCACGTTTCCTTTTCCTGCCTGTTCGTCGTGGGACGGTGATCTTCAGAAGGACATTGTTTGTGAAGCTGTGGTATGACAATACCGGCACACACATCGGGTCATTTCGCCGAAGATATAGAGGAACGCACTCCTCAATGTCATCAGATTCAATCATCTACACGGTCACTCCATCAGCCTAACTGAGCATTTGGAGCTGCCAAGAACGCGGCAACGATGCTTAAATGTAGTAAATGCAATTCCAAAGTCACGAGACTCCCTCGGGGTGCTTGTTTAATCCCATCGGCATTCCGACTGCTGGATTGATTGTTACTGCTGTCAAACGGGACAAGCTTGCCCAACGTGAAATAAAAAATAGAGCTTGACGGGAAAGGAAATGGTGAGGTGGACGGAAGGGTAATGCTAGAAACTTACTCGTTCAAATGGCCGGTTAGTGCCAAATGTCTTGAGCGCATTATCGAGATTCTTGATGATCATGGGGTGTTCAACCGCCACGACCTCTCTTGGGTCGATGTTGAACGCGGCCGCCGAGGGTTTGGCGGCCATGGTATCCTGGGGCTATTCAGTAGCCTGTGGCGGGGGTTTCAAATCCCATGCGTAGATGTACTTAGTATATGTGCATGGAGATAGGGATGCTCGTATAAAAAATAGGAATAGTAGGTGCGAAAGGGTTTGGCATGAAGGAATCAAACGATATTCGTTTCAGTGGCGATGAATACACGACAAAGCACTCACTCCACGGCGTCGATGTCAAGTTTGGCTTTGGCTGCAGCTTCAGCTTTGGCATAGAGACTGGTTGAAGCCTGAGGCAGAGCACCCCTGGCTGCCTTGCCAAATTACCCTTAGCTCAACTCGTCGACCGACACCACCACCGCGAGGGGACAACGACGACGGCGACAACGAGACCGCGACCACCACAATCACAACCACATCCGTACCCGGGGCTCCATCCCTCACCGACGCCATATCCCATTGAGTTGAGTCCACAACCATCCTCCAGCTATTGCCCTTCTTCCCTTTCCATCGTCGGTGCGGTGCTTCCCAGAAGACGCTCATCCTGCCAAAGCCCCTTCTCGCCGTCTCTCCCGCGGTACGACGAGGGTAAAGCTCAGCTCAGGCCGAACGGTTCCAGCAAGAGTCTCCCTTCACCGCCCGAGGAGTCTTGCCCACCGACGGAGGTACGGCTGTATGCGCAGAGCCATCATATTACCGGATTCTTCGCTGCCTGTCAATGTCAAGAGGTATGTCAATGCCGGTGGCTCTGCAACCAACGCGGCTCTTTAGCGATTCAATGATATTGGGCTGACGGTGTCTGTTTATGGGTGATGTAGCTCTGGTTCATCAAGCTGCCCCACCACGATATCTCGGCCTCAGCTTGACCTCTACTCACTCGATCGCCTACAATTCTTCTGGCAACCGGTTTTTAGGGTTAAAGTGATATATGCATGTCCGCAGACTGTATAGCTCATAATAGCGTTATTTCAACGCCCGGCAGAGTTTTGACTCTCGGTCAGGACTCCATTCCACCAATCAACAAGCGCTAGCTGGAATCCGAAGAGAAGCCTGGTATTGCCAATAGCATAGCACAAATAAGTCGCCAATCCGTCGCGAATATTCCTCCCCAACCTTAGCAGGTGCTTGTCGGCCGGATCTGAAGTTCCCAAGACTCGCATTGAGCGCGTCTCATCATCATTCGCTCGCTGGTCCTGGAACGTTGCAGTCGGCGCGCCGTATGCTAAGATTTCGGTTTGGCCCTTTTGTTCCGACCTCGCGCCTTTGCACCCATCGCAAGCATATCAGATACCATCGCAGTGCGCCAAACCCCGTTAGATCTGGAGCACAAATAGTACCCTGTTCAAAATGAATCGCTTCAGGCAGAAGGTTGTAAGTCGCGCCCCTTGGACGAGCCTAGCTTCAATGCAAATCCTATGACCAACATACTAACACTTCCAGCACGAACAGCTGTCGCGCACGAAAGACCCTAACAAAACGTCTAAATCTAAAAGCAAGGAGTCGAAAGATGGCACCTCGTCGCCTTCACAATCCGGCGCGTCGCGGGATTCTGGTCAATCACCCGTCGCGACGCCATCCTCTTCAACCACGACCCTTAACGACCCTCGAAACAAGCCACTACCGCCAAATGATGGTGGTCCTCCAAATTCGGTTTCCAGTCCCAGTTCGCAGCCACAACCAGCGTCGATGGGCACGTTGAATTCAGGCCACAACACGCTGTCCGCCCCAGATCGCTTCAACGCGGTGACCGGCCCATCACCAAGTGCTGGTGGTCCAGGAACCCCTGGCCGGCAACTGCCCCCTAGTGTTATTATTAGCCCCAGTGCGCCTGTAAGTAAACTGCGATGGGCTGCTAGCTGAGGCTTAGATTGCTAACATTACCTTGCTCAGCATGTCCCTCCTCCTGGCGCGGCAGAGACGATGCCTCATGATCTTGCTCCTCCGAAGGCGGGACAAAAATCCCTCATGTTTCATGGCTTGCAAACAACCCCGAAAGATGTCCCAGAAGGGCTCAGAACACCAAAGCGACAGCATTCATCAAGATTTGATATATCCCCGCAACGCGAGCTTGAGAAACTTCCTGGTTTCCACGAGGTTCCTCCAAATCGCCGGCAGGAGCTTTTTATGCAGAAGATCGATCAATGCAATGTTATTTTTGACTTCAACGACGCCAGCGCTGATATGAAATCCAAGGAGATCAAGCGACTAGCGTTGCACGAACTGCTAGACTATGTCGCGAACAATAGACAAGTCATCACAGAAGCCATGTATCCTAGAGTGGTAGACATGTTCAGCAAGAATCTCTTCCGGCCCATCCCACCGCCCATGAACCCCCAAGGGGAAGCTTTTGATCCAGAAGAAGACGAGCCGGTCCTTGAAGTTGCCTGGCCTCATATCCAGGTGGTTTACGAGTTCTTCCTTCGGTTTATCGAGAGCCAGGATTTCAATACCAATATCGCCAAGGCATATATAGACCACAGCTTTGTCTTGCAACTTCTCGAGCTATTCGATTCAGAAGATCCCCGAGAGCGTGACTTCCTGAAGACAACCTTGCACCGAATATATGGGAAGTTCTTAAATTTGCGGTCCTACATCCGAAGATCCATCAACAACGTGTTTTTCCACTTTGCTTATGAGACGGAGCGGTTCAATGGCATCGCGGAGCTGTTGGAAATTTTGGGGTCTATCATCAACGGGTTTGCCTTGCCACTCAAGGAGGAGCACAAACTTTTCTTGACTCGCGTTTTGATGCCTATGCACAAAGTGAAGAGCCTGAGCATGTATCACCCTCAGCTCGCCTATTGTATCGTGCAGTTCTTGGAGAAGGACGCAGCGCTGACGGAAGAGGTTTGTCGCGCAAGGCTGCCCCATTTTGCAAAGCTAACACAATTCAGGTCGTCCTCGGCCTCCTCCGATACTGGCCGAAGGTCAATAGCACCAAGGAGGTTATGTTCTTGAATGAAGTTGAGGATATCTTTGAGGTTATGGACCCTGCAGAGTTTGCCAAGGTTCAAGAGCCCCTGTTCCACCAGCTCGCGAAGTCCGTCGCCAGCCCGCATTTCCAGGTTGCAGAGCGCGCTCTGTACTTCTGGAACAACGAATATTTCTGCAACCTCGTCAGCGATAACGTAGAGATCATCCTCCCTATTATGTTCGCACCTCTTTATGAGAACTCGAAGGGTCACTGGAACAGGTAAGTAGAGCCACTGCACGGTCCAAGCACTGCTGACACCCTCAGGACGATTCACGGCATGGTCTACAATGCTATGAAGCTCTTCATGGAGATCAATCCCCAGCTCTTCGATGACTGCTCGCATGATTACACGGAGCACCAGAACAATGCAGAAGCTCGCGAGAAGGCCCGAGACAACAAGTGGAAAGCGCTCCAAGAGCAAGCCAACCGCTCAAAGACCAATGGTTCCATCCGATCCGGAACCGCCTCGTCGCCATCGCGAAATAAGGCCTCCACCCCACTACGGGTTGATCAGGTTGACCCCATTACCGAGGACAACCAAAAGCGACTGGACTCTCTCAAGCTTCAAGATGCAGATCGGAGAGAAAGAAGACCCGCTCACGATAGACAAAACTCGGTAGGCTCTTCCAGAAGCCAGCGATGATCGTCTTTAGTACTATGCCGCTTGATTCTGCGTTTGCGATGGCCAGCTTGTGGAAGTTTTCGTCACGGGTAGAAAGTGTTGGCTCGCGCATCATTCCCTATTCTCCGATTTAGCATTTTCTATACACATGCTTTGCAGCTGCATCCACCCATGTGGCGGTAATTGACAAATGTTGCAGAAACTAAGCTCGGGTCCCAGAAGCTTGAAAAGCAATCGCGATCGGTCTGGGAGTGCTTCTCCGTCGCCTGTCCCGGCATTCAGCCCATCGGAAGGGGATTATGGGTTAACGCAGACATTGACGGATGAGCAAGCAAGCCACCTTTCCTGAGCTGAAACTAGGGTCTGAGTTTTTATGGGAGAGGCAGGTGAATCCTAGGTGGGCTTCTTGGCCAACCAAGAATGTTGATTTATGTACGGCGAATAGGCATACTCACGCAAGCGATTCTTGCATGCCGTCGCGAAGGCTTTTCCTCGTTAGAACTTTCAAAGGGCTGCCTTTCTTGTTTCAGTAAATACGGAGATTAAAAGGCATCCTGGCGTTCAGATTATGGAGAACACAAGGAGCTAATGAAATGTGATGATGACACTCTAATCTTCTGTCTTGACTTGTGATATCCCAAGCTCCTAACGCCAAGTTTCAAAATATATATGAGCGTGAAGTAGAACGCCATCCCAGCTATGCCTACCTTGCCGTAGGTGGTGCCATGTCCCCAGCCTACAGTACCAAGACCAAAACCAGCAGTATTATCAGCACGAAGATAAGGACCCCGATGCAACAACTACTTAGTCCATCCTCGTTTCTCCTAATGACCGTGCCCATCTTCTTCATGCCAGTCTGCAACCTGCCCCCTACTCGATCGGCCAATCCATCTACGGTGTCCAGCATCTCGGCCTGTTCTTCTAATTCCCTCCCCATATCACTCGCCTGTTGCCGCAGGTTGCCCACGGTGCGCGAGACGCCATCAAGCTGTTGGTCTTGTTCGGCCATCATATGTAACTGTTGCTGCTGTTCAAATTCGGCATAATTATCTCCGCCGGCTTCGTCTTCTCTAGCATCTTCGGCCATCCCATTGCTTCTCCGCTGTCCATTCGCATTACCTGCGCGGCTCTCTGCGACTTCATCTTTCATATCCTCTAGCTCCCCGGCCACCTCGTCTACTAATCTCCTCCGACGACTGACTTCATCGATATCTAGGCCATATTTGTAGGGGTCCGATTGCACGGCCTGCACCGAGGCGACGAGGTCCGCGAGGTCATCTGCGATGGTGGAGAGATTGGTTTCGAGTTCGCCGCGAGCAGAAACGAGCTCGGGGTTCGTGGCGGATGTGGATATGGAGCGGATTCGGAGAAAGGATGTGAAGAGCGGGCGAGTGTGGGAGAGCTGTTGGAGGACGTCGCTATATATATGGACATGCGCAATTAGCTTGTGATATGGCTAGATTGGATTGGACCTTGTAGAAACGGACGAGTGCTGGACTCGATATACATACGCCTGGACTTGGAGGAACGGGTCCTCTTCGTTAGTAGAGGACATCATCTTCACTGCGAATCTGACGACATGAATGGATCCGGATTCTACGACGTCGCGCTCAGCTGTAGAACTCTATATGCGGCGGTGTGAGCACAACATACACCATTTATCATCGTATATCAGCTCAACAGAGCTGGTTTTGGATTCTATGAAGCACGGAGCAATGTTATATGTGCGCAACAGGCGTATCCAGTGTCCCGTAGTAGACACCACCACACGTTCGTCTCTTCTCCTTCCCCATCATCTAACAACTACATCACGCCAACTATCGTCCTTGGTCGCCTCGCCTTGATCCTCATCTGGATCACAATGGGGTGGACACGAGATATCGACTGGATCTCAAAGAAAAAACTGCCGACTGCATGCCGACTGAGGCGTTTGACTGGGCTATGGAAAAGTGCTGTACTCAATAGCAACGAGGATCCTGGCGATAAGCACTGGTTTCTTATGTTTATTTAAGTCTACTTCCATTCTTGATTATTCGATTACATGGTCACATGGAACACAGCACGGAGATTCCGAGAACTAATAAGAGACTTTCATCAACTGCATTTAATTTGAGACGTGATTTGCAATAGCAAGCAATACGAGCACTTATTAATAGTTCAAGCCGCAGAATGCATATACACATATGTGCGTACCCATAGGCCGTGAATTACCCACTCCATGCCCTCCATAGTAACGCCAAGGTCGGAAGACTCGTATTAACGAAACTCGCAAGTGTTCAATTGAAAGTGGTATCTCCGCACCAGCGCAACACACGGCAAAGCGAGCAAATAAAACAGACATCCCCCTCCTTACTCCTTAATCTCCGTCACCGGGGTTTTGTGTTCGGCAGTTGGAGTCATGGGAATATCTTCGACGTCCTTGGAAGTAACGACGTGCCCAGCAGGTAACATATTCAGCTCGTCTTCCTCCATATCCAGGTTGCGGAAGTTGAAATAGAATAGGACACCTCCGATGAATGCAATAACAGCCATGGAGCCGTAGTTCCACACCAACAATGGATCAGCACTCACAGTCACGAATGCCTCGCCGATCGCAGCCGAGATGGCATTGGTGAAGAGAGCAACTGACATAACAAGGGAGCGCATATTAACTGGTGCCTTCGAAAATGCGTATTCGAGAGAGGTGATAGAGGCGAAGATTTCAGAGATGGCGATTAGCACGTAGGCGCCTGTCTGAGCCCACACATTGATGTCGACGGTTGGGCAGGGGGTCTTTCCATCACCTCCAAGGGATGCGGGGAGGAGGAGAGATGCTGAGGATCCACAGACCGACTTCTTGTAGATGTAGGCTTGGATCACGGCGGCCCAGACCATGGCTGCGGAGCCACATAGGAAGCCCGCGGTAATCCTCTTGATCGGGGTGAACCGGATCTTGGCCTTTCTAAGAGCAGGATAGACCAATATATCACAGATCGGAATCAGAATGATCAGGGCAAAAGGGTCCAAGTTGGAAAGAATATCGTTCGGCAGGCCGTTCAGCTTCATCACAGCCGCCTGCGATGTCAGATTGTTGTTGAGTTGGTTGTATGTGAGCCAGTAAATGGGATACCAGCAGAAGACTGAGCAGGCAGCGAATCCTCTTCTAAGTTCATCCACCCACTGGTCATCGAAGGTCATCCAGCGAGGGCGCATGGAAGGCTCGACGTTCGATGGCTTGACGCTTTCCCAAAAGGTTCCGTCGTTAAGGCGCTTGTATGTTGCGATGGGATTGAGACTCCAACGCCCCTTGTTGGCACGTAAGAAGACGCGCATAGCCTTGCTGAAAACGGACCCGGTCGGGGGTTGACTGACATATCTGCCCTTTCCATACCACAGAACTAGAGGGCAGAGGCAGAGCAACATTGTCGGAAGGAGGAATGCAAGCCAGAAGCCGACATATTTCTCGCAGTAGACCATGGAGATTTGTCCAACGAGGGCGCCAATGTTGATAAACAGGTAGAAGTAGTTGTAGACACGGTTCTGAGTAACCGCAGGATCAACGATGACGCGCTCACCAGAGGGGAGTTCTCGAACAATCATCCGGGTCAAAGGGAGCTGCTCCACGATAAGTGGTGAGATGTTGGGCTTGAAGGCGCCAGTTCCAACTCCCATGATGATAAGACCAATGATGAACGCACCGATAGAGCTGTTGGGCTTGGTGATAACAGGCGGGATGGCAGAGATGACGAGAATGATGTGTCCGACGATAGCAACCGCGCATGCAATGCAAATGGTCTTGTAGCGGCCCCAATGGGCATCTGCCATGTATGCGCCGAAAAGGGGGAGGAGGTAAACCCAGAATTGATTGAAGGTGGTTAGTCCAGTCGAAGCTTGCTGCCCCTTGTTAAGGGCACCACTCTGGCCGTCTGTGAATCCAGCCCCGGTTCTCGACCCCGCGGGGAGAGGCTGCTGGATGAAATTGGTGACTTCAACTTATCAGTCCGGTGGGCCGAAATGGGTGGAAGGTGAAAACTTACAGACAACCGTGGTGCCATAGTACGAGAATCGCTCGCAGAGCTCTACAAATGCGATGGTGTAGACTCCCCATGGGACCTTGTCTGAGACTCTCCGGAGGGTATGAAACTCCTCTTCGGTAGGCCACTCGCCCTGGACATCTTCGTCGTACTCCTCATTGGGGTAATCTGGGGGCGCGGAGTGAGCTGCAACAGCACCATCCTCGCGTTTCTCATCGACGACGGAGGGGACAGTAGCTGGTGGGATGGGCACAACTGCCTCGATGTTGGTCGCCATGGCCACCGTTAGGGTTGGTGAGATTGGCGTTGGGGATCTGTGATGGTCGAAGGTGGGAAGAGGAATACAGATCGACCTGCCAGACTCCACGCTGGATGTTGTGGGGTTGAAAGTTATATAGGTATGCCACGAGGTGTGTCACCTCACGTTCTGAGGCGGTGGCAGTTCCGACTACACTTTCCCAGCTCCCTGTTTCTGGTTGCAGCTTGCCACTCGCGTCTCGGGGGATTTACCTACTCGAGGGTGGTGAAGGTGAGTGAATGGGAGGGGGGCCGCAACCAGCCATCGTATCGTTCCCTGTTGACTTTTTCCTGCCAGGGCGGCGAAGAGACTTCACCTACTGGATCTAGTTCGGTCCTCTACGATATCGCCCTATTGTTTCCCAGCGCCTCGGTCTGCCGTTGATTAGCATAAAGCGTTTGGCATATGGAATGACGGGGGAAACCCTACAGGAGCGAGTTAGGGTCCTAGACGGCTCTACCAGACCTCGTCGTCCCGTCCCACGCCAGCGACTTGGTACATCATTCGTCTCCACGCCATGTCGCACCACGGCCCTCCATTATCATCTGGAAGGTGTCTATAGTACCTTACGAAGATTATGGCGCTAGAAGGCCCGAAGAAGAACGATGGCGGCCGTTGATTTGCTGAGGCGCTACTCGAGTACAAGCCTCGGCTGTCAGAACTCAATGTCAAGCATTGAAGCAAGGAGGGCCAAACCATCAGGAGCCAGGAGAACTGGATGGCATGCACGGATATTGATCTCGGCTTAAGGAATCTACGTCGGACTGTCGCAGTAGCCATATTGCTACGGCACTCTGGTACGAGTATGCTGGGACTTGGTATTCGGCGGATACAACATGCGGACAACAATGGCATACCCCATACAGGAACAATACAGTCCTGCCTGATCATCAGTCGCCGGAGAGGAAAGTTCAGAGCAGGTGGCGAATATTGGAAGCACGACTCGTTGGACCATTTTCTGGATCCCCAAAAGCCCCGACTGGCGTGGACCGGGGTTGCCGATAGTGGCACACACCGGAGCACGATGCCAAATTGAATTATTCTGCTCTGGCCAGGGCCGGTCGGTGGTGGGCTCTGAACCTCGGATTGGGATAAGAAGGAAGATCCGTTGCCGTTGGACGAGGATGTTATACTCGGCCCAAAGCCAAAAAAAAACTGACGCAGAACACGCCAATAACAACGGGGGAGGATGATTGCTGACAAGATAAGCATTAAGGCTTAACTTAAGCACATCGGCGATCGTTAGCTTGGTACTTGGGGGCCAAGGGCCAAGGCACACACACGACTTGGAGCCTCGGACGGGGAAATCCATGAGGCAAAGGCCGGTGTAGATCTGAAGCTAATCGAGCCCTAGCATAGGACGTACTTACAGTACTACTCGAGTACTTCGTACGCAGATACCTACCTACCTACCTACCTACCTTAGGTACATGTACGAAGTAAGGTTTTCGCAATCCGAAACGTTGCATGCGATCTTCATGGCCCGATACATACCCGAGTGTCACGAATCACGATTCGGACGTTTGCAGCCGCCAGAGATGATGTAGATATTCGACGCCCCGCAGCATCATCTCAACCCATTTCCGAACTTCCTTTTTCTTGTCTTGGCCGCCCGTTGAGCCCGTCCATCCAGCGCTATATTAGCCCCCGAACCGTGGCCCTGCCAGACCTCCAAATTACTCGGGTATGCCGCCGCATACGAGGAACCCGCCAAACCCCAATGCCTCCATCGTGGACCACTCGAGAAATATACTCCGCCTTGCGACTTATCTCGTCTCATCCACGGCGGCTTATGCTGATCTCGAAAGCCTCCATGCGCTTCCACAGATCCAAAGGAGGAAGGTCCTTCGGGGTTTGCGCATCACAAGGGCCGCCATCAACGCCATAACATGGATTCCCTTCCTCGTACTTGGTCTCTCGGCTGTTGGGAACTTGGGCGTCGATAAGCCGCAGCCAGTCCCCGTCCACCAAGTCTCCAGTTCCCCAGATCCCCAGTGCGGTGCTTGTACTAGTACCGGCACTCGTCATAGTGTACACATGGTGCGGCAGTGAATTGAGGAGACAGGTGTATCGTTCCTTGATTCCTTTTCGCCTGCGACGGTGGGAGTAATAAACCTGGGCCCCGCAGGAGTAGTGGTGCTGTTAGTCAGCTTTCCGGTTTAACGCATGGTTGGCCTGGACATACTCAATATCCCCGACCTCACAGGCGTTATAATTGGTAGAGTTCGTCCTGGTGGATTTCCCAATATATCCATCCCGCCCTCGTAGATGGCGGAACAATGCAGTGGGCCTTTCGATGAATCGGATCCTGGAGAACATATGATTTGTTACGGCATAGGAAAAACGGCATAGGAAAAACGAGAAGGGAGGAAAGCTGTGAGTTCAGGAGACTGTCCCACTTCCTACTAGAGCCATAATAGGGAACAGCATGTCACGTCATGCTATCTCGTTGCACTTTGACAACGGTAACGCTGTGGTATGGTTGGATAGGTATCTTCCGGGTCTTCTCATCTCTTGTCATTCTCGGAAACGAATTGTCTGGCCGATATGACCCTTTTAAGTTGTGGGAATTCTTCATTACGTAGTCTAGGCCGACGGCTACATATTGGCACTATATTCATCAGATTGCGGTAGTCCTGAGATGTGGGTTATAAATGCAGCAGAGGTTACATGATGTCTATTTGGTTGTATTAAGTATTTTGTATCTGGCCCCTTATAGCTCTTTAACAATGATTCACTTTACGAACTCTACGCTTTTATATCTCACGTTTCCCATTCGCATTTGCCTCCTCTGGTTTTCTCGGGTTATCTATCGCCTCGACATATTGGATCAGAGTCAGTGAACGGGCTGAAACGCCCAAGAACACTGCGCATATCCGTTTCTACTCACGCTCTCTTTCTGTGCCTGCTCCTTCCGATGCTCTCATCATCGACTCTCCATGGGTGTAGCGCAAAGTGGAGGCAGCAGGCCCATGCCTGCACAAATCGGTCGCTCAAGGCTTCATAGCATCGTCTTTCGTCAACCTCTTCCCATTACCGTTCTTCTCAGTTCCAATGCCCTTCTCGATCTCTTCAACATGCAAATGCGCGCCCACCTCCATTAATAGCCTGACGGCTTCCTCGTTGCCAGCCTGCCTCGCTAAGAACAAAGGGGTGTTACTCGCTCGATTCCTCGTATGCACACTGGCACCTCTATGCAACAGCGCTCTCAATACCATCGGATTTGGGCCGACAGCGGCAAGGTGCACGGCGGTATTGTCAGCGTAGTCCTTTGCTTCAAGAAGGCCGAGTTGGTCGCCTGTCAGCATATGATCTACCGTCTCGAGCTCGCCGTTCGCGATAGCATATCCGAGGGCCGTGAATGCTTGTTGGCGGTCGGTGACTTGGGGGACGTCGGAGGATGGGTGCGAGAACTGCGTGGTCGACATTTCCGTCATCTCCCCGCGGATGCTGCAAATCATTTGAGAGATTATATCCTCATACGTCATCTCTGGGAGCGCAAGCAAGAAGGAGAGTTTAGTTAGTGCGGCCTCTGTTGTCAGATCGTGTCCGAACACGACACCGGCCTTCCCAAGTGCAGTTGCAGGCGCATATAACGGGGACACAGAGCCGGACTGGCACTGGCTCACGTTGACAATCACAATGCCTCGTGCAACGGCTGCTTCGATGATCGATGTGAGGCTGCCATCTTCGCCGCTAGGAGCATTACCCGCACCAAAGGTCTCCAGGATGAGCCCTCGGAGGCCGGGGACTCGAAGAACCGCGTCGATCATTTCGGGCTTAATGCCAGGGAAGATCCGCAGGCAGGCTACGTGAGCGGTGTCCAGGTTGCGGAGGACATCGAATCGCTCAATACTCTTGGGGCGACGGATCAGATGCCAGTTGACCTCAACACCCATGGCGGTGACCTTGGCGAGGGGTTCACAGTTCGGCGAGGCGAAAGCGCCAAACGACGAAGCGGAGACTTTGGTGGTTCGGTTGCCACGGTAGAGGTTGTGATGGAAGAAGAGGCATACTTCCGAGATCATGAATGTGCCAGCTATGATGAGCGAACCAAGGAGGTTGTCCACGGCGTCGGATTGAAGCGCGAAGATTGATGCTTGAGAGCCGGTGAGAATGATTGGTTTTCCAAGGTGGGAGAACATGAAGGATAGAGCGGAGCTGGTGTATGCTAAACTGTCGGTGCCGTGAAGAATCACGAAGCCGTCAAAGAGGGAGTAATTATTTTGGATTGCCGCTGCGATCTGTGACCATCCGGCCGATGAGATAGAGGATGAATCAAGGAGAACCGGGAACTCGTAGAGTGTATAGCGGACATGCCGTGAGTAGGTGCTTGGTGGGGTTCGGAGACTGGGGAGATACGCCTTAGTGGAGGCATCAAGCATTACAGGAAGGGGATCTGGAATATACTCTTACCGTCAGCAATAATTCAATGCCGCCGTACTTGAAATCAGAAAAGATGGGGGGCTCGTGGTAGATGAAATCGGACTTTTGATCAGATCAATTCCCAATCAGCTGGAAACGCATATAACAAATTCACACCCTGTACATTCCATAGCCTTGAGCTGGAATAAGGAGGATTGAAAGGCACAACTCTGCACTACCAAATTCGGTTACTCTCAATGAGTTTTGAACGGACAGCCATAATATACTTGATGAACTACACCACACAACTACCCCGTGACCACCTGGCTGGGGGTTGCTGGAGCTTTGCCCACATATTTCGGGGTATCCTCGTCAAATTGACAGACTTGAAGCAAATGGGGGATGATTAAACTTGTTGTATAAACCTCCCGTTCGGTCCTCTCGATATTATACCATGAAATTTGTTACTACATACCAGGTTTGGAATCATCGTTGAAAGATGGCCTGGGCGCCATCCCCTCTTCCAAGAAGCCCCGGGCAGGAATTAACCCCTCCGGAGACGATTTCATGCAAATTGTCCCACCGGTCATGATAATAAGAACGCGCGATTCTGGGTATTGTGCAGGCATCTTGGCGCTGCGTTGCGTTCAGTTGTCTTGAGTTAGGTTGTGATGTGGTGTGGCGCGGGAAGGCCGGAGCAAGGGGGACGAGAAGAACCTCACGCAACCGGAAGTCAGCTAAACAGAGACGAAATCAAGCCAATGCTGCTTGCGAATATATGCTGCCGCGCAGGTAGTAAGGCTGCAAAGGTCGAATAGGAATGGTGATGGTTCTCGAATCGGCGTCACAGTCTAGCTATATGTGAGTAGTCGTAGTGCTCTATTCGCCAGTGGGGAGTCCTCGGAACGTATCAAGGCTATCAATACATTCAGCAGGGGAAGTTAAAAAGACGGGACAATCCCCGGTGACTTCGCACTACGTACTCTGTAATTGCAATGTTCCACAAAGCAGAAACAGCATTGATAGGGGGGGCTGGGGGCTTCTTAATAGCACGGAGTAGAAAGAAGCTTCGGGGGCTAGTTGCTGTACGAGTAGGCTAGTTCACCGCCCCCAAAATCGCAAGGTGACAATCGCAATATCAGGCCTCTTTTTCAATCGCCGCCCATTCACCAATTCAAGTTAGCTCAGCTCCAGCTCCACCTGGCCCAAGCTCCGAAGCTCCCCAGGGCGAAGGCAAAGCAAAATATTTAAATCCAAAAGTCTGATCTCACTCCTTCAAGCTCGAGCCTCTGCTTAGCTATCCCCACTCCACCACCGCTACAATGGCTGCAGCTTTAGAAGGAACATCCGTCACCTATGAGGATCTCGCTGATCTCGAGCGCGAGTTCGAGGATGTTGAGACGGAAATCAGTACGTATTCTCTTCGATCGAATCTATGGAGATGAGATGCGATAATATCAGATCCTCTACCAAGTCTACTATTCGCTACATCATAATCAGAGCGTGATCCGGCCCAATCCATGCAGCATAACATGCCGCTGACAACCTCTTCTCCATTATCTGCAATTGCTAATTCAATTCAATTTCCTCTTCACAGTCCGTCAACAAGTCGCCTTATCAGCCCCCCTCTACGTAAAGCGCACCGCAACCGTCTCAAAGATCCCCAACTTCTGGCCTCTAGTCCTGGAGCAAGCCCCGCCAGACATCGATCAGTACATCCAACCCTCCGACTCCGCGCTACTTCTCTCGTCTCTAACCTCCGTCTCCGTCTCCCACTTCGAGATCGATCCCGCATCACCCAGCAAAAGCGATGCAGGCGATCCCCGCTCCGTAAGCATCCGCTTCGAGTTCTCTCCCAACGACGGTTTTTCCGATTCCGTACTGGAGAAGAAATTCTGGTATCGGCAGTCGAAAGATGGATGGACCGGCTTGGTCAGTGAGCCGGTGCGCATACATTGGAAATCAGCCGATAAAGATCTCACGGGGGGGTTGCTGGATATGGTTTGTTCGGCTTGGGAGGCGGAATTGAAATCCAAAGCCAACCCATCTAATGGATCCACCTCTGGAAAAACGTCGAAGAAATTATTGCCTGAGCATGAAGCGTTGAGGAAGAAGATCGAGGGCACGGGAATGGGTGGCCTGTCGTTCTTCGCGTGGTTTGGATTTATTGGGCCGAGGGTTGGCGCGGAGGAGAGTGCTGAGGCCAAGAAGCTGGACAAGGAGAGGAAGGGGAAGAAGGATTCGTCGCCTCCTGAGGAGGCCCAGATTGAGGAGGGGGATCAGGAAGACGAGGAAGAGGAGCTCTACATGGAGTTGGAGATCTTCCCTGATGGAGATGATCTCGCCATTGCGTTTTCGGAGGATTTGTGGCCTGGCGCTATCAAGTATTTCAGTGAGTCCCCGCGGCCTCCTTGATTTTGGGGTGCACGAGCTAATGGAATTGGGCAGCACAAGCACAAGAACAAGATGCCCTTTCGGACTTGGACTTTGAGTCTGGCGATGAGGATCTCGGCGACTTGCTTGGCGAGGTCCAGCCCTCATCCGACAGTGAGGATGAGCCGCCAAAGAAGAAACAAAAGTCCTCGTAAATAATGGACTAGGAGCGGCATGCTGCGAATCGTTATAAATACGAAAGGTATAATGCTGGCCTGTGCGGGCGCTCACAAGAGGATCTTTCGGTGATTGCGCAGATGTGCTATTGAATAAGGGGATGAAGATGTGTGACGGTGGATGAATACCCTGAGGCTACAATCGTTAGAATAAAAGTTATTTTGCTTTCCCTTCCGAAGTATATTTTGCTTTACTGCTGCGATTCACGTTTCTGATATCCGATTTATCTAGTCCACGTCCGGTAACATGGAATTTTTTTAACTTACGATGTTGAGCGTTCCACAGATAATTAGGGCAAAGACGATCATGTCCCTCCCTATGGCCAGCAGCTAGTTACCACTCAAGGACAAAGGGCCTCGACTCAAGCAGTGCATTAGTATAAAATAAGTATACCATCAAGTAAACGCCTAAAGAACGGCCCCATTCTTTTTCACCTATTCATCTTTTTTGTTTTCGGAGTTGATCTTACGCTTTCTAGCAAGGACTCCTCTCGGGGCTCTTTCACCACCGGAGGGTCTTCTGAAATAGTGTATGGTTGGGCATTGATATCGCTTATCTTTCTTTGGGCGACCAGGCTTTCTCCCACGGTATATTACGTGGGTATATAGCTCTATCATTCCCGGCCATTACATACCTGGCTTGACAGATCATTAATAATGGCCATCCCCATCTCATTCCTCAGGCTAACCAACTCTCTTCCCTCCTCGCAGGGGTATTCTCGCCACCAGTCCCTGTCCCCGAACTCGCCCCAGCCATCCCACCGGCCATTTCCAACCCGTAATCACTACCCTCCTCTTCTGCATCCGCGGCATCCATTTCGTCGCCGGTCTGTTCGCCGTCCGTGGTATCATTCATCCACGTTAGCCCATTTGCCGCCTCCTCCAGCGGGAATACCTCCCTCGCATACTCTTCCAAGCCCCTGGGTCCCTCCCACAACCCCAGCGACTGCTCTACGCACCGTTCGTCCAGTGCGTTGGTGCCAAAGTAGGGCGGCTGCAGGTTTGGATCCTCCTCGCCCAATTTATACATCTCCTCCAGCGCCAGAAGCTGTTCTCGATAACCAGTAGGAATCTTCACTCGCACCTCGATCGTCGTCCGTCGCCGGTACGAGACTTTTCTGCCACCAATGCCCCGCGAAAATGCTTGGCATGCCTCGGTTGGGGATAGCATTTCATATGCCAGTGGGATCGTCTGTCCTGCCCATTTGTCGGCTCCATCTTTGAATATTTGGAGGACGGCCGGGCCGACATCGTGTTCTGCGTCCAGCCAGGGGAGCTTGACGTGGGGGTGGAAGGGGGCTTCCCATACGAAGCTACCGTCAGGCTGCAATTCCGTGCAGAAAATTGGGTAGGGGAGAGAAGTGAAATTATTATTATATATTCCAGTATAGAGAAAGGTGGTCCTGGATGCTAATGTGGGGATAGACTTGATATAGGCTGAAATGGCAGCTTTGGAACTCCAGAGGGGGAGTGACGGCCATGGCTGGGGGGCTGATGGCGGGGTGAGCTGAGAATGGTCTGGCATGGACGAATACACCAGGTGTTTGATGTTGGCTCTGACGGCGGCGTCCGCCACAGCGCAGCCAATCGCCACCTCATCACCCCAGTACGTAGTATTGATAAATGCCAGATGCGCGCCACGGAAGAGGTCGGCGATAAGTTCATGATTCACACCCTTCTTTGGATTGCCATTTGGAGACGTGGGGGAGTTGGGTTTATGAAAGAGATCTCCAACCACAACGGTCACATTTGGCAGGGACGAGATTTCCGAGGCGACTATGCCATCTAGACTCCGCAACTGTGCCCGAACCCGATATCCCACGGCGACGGCGACACGTATAAACGATGCAGCTTGCCGGCCAGAGGAGTTGACGACGACAATGGTTTGGTGAGGGGTGGGCATCGATCGTTTGGCGGGGCGCGTGTCGTAGGCTGGAAGGGTATGGTTTTGATAGCGGATGGGGTGGAAGCCCAAACTGTACAGGGAATTTCCTTCAGAGTCTGGGTAGGAGGTGCAAGGCGGGTGCTTAAGCTTGCGTGGTGGAGCTGATTCAGGAGCTGGTACTTGGACGGGCACCGGCTGACGATGAGACCTGACAGTCAGAGTGGTGGTGGGGGCTGCGGAGGGCATAGATGGACGTGTGAATGACAATCGGTTTCCAGGCGTGGTTGGGCGGCCGTCTTGTTTCAATCTAGTTTTCTTGCCAGAGACCAACTATTTGTGTTCGTCTCAGTCTCAGACTCAGTCCGCCGTCCAGCTTCCTCTTTTTGCGCTATCGTCACCGCGGCCGAGCATCAGCGTGCTGAGCGAGCCGAGATTCGTAATAGCAGGTAACAAAGGGGGGGGATGTAGGATAGACAACAGGGGAAATTGGTCCAAGTCTCGGAAGTATGCGATTCCCAGATCCCGATATAGGTTATATCTCAAGGGAATCGCAAGGCAGAAGAGGCTAGGCCACCAAAACGGCCGATAACGACCACGACGATAGCAGCCAGGATCCAAACCCTACGGGCTTTCTGGCCGTGGGTAGAAGTGTCTTTAAGCAAAGTTCCAAGAAAGCAGAACACCTTGAGGCGGGTGGAGGCAAGGTGGGACGGTCACGTGCAGAGATAGCTGCAGAGACGTCGTCGGAAAAGGGGAGTTGGCAGTTAGGTGTTGAGTTGGATATTTGGTGGTTGGTGGTGACGGTGGTGAGGATGGAGGGGTTAAGCGCTGCGAGGTGAGGGGTCGAGGGCGATGCGTGCTCTGTGAGGAGCGTTATCTGATATGTGATATATGAATCTGAATTAGTGGCGAGCGGGTTTGGTTTGGCCTGGTTCTACTGTGGTTGGGACCAGTTTGGGCTTGATTTGACTCGATTTGCGGGAAGAGTTTGCGGTTTTCCGTGGTGCTGTACTGTACGGAGCAAAGTAGTACGAAGTAGCTTTGGATTATTATTGGGTTGTGGTTGCGGTTGTGGTGCGATGCGCGGCCGAGGGTAGGGATACCGGGATAGGGATAGGGATGCTTCGTAGGGATGAGGACGAGAATGAGGATGAGGATGGGGGAGCCGTTATGTAACAGCTTCAACGATGTCTATGGCACTGTGATCGGTTGGGCCTGGAGGTGGAGCTGGGGCCGTGGGTTTCCGCTTGAGCAGTGAGGCTAAGGGCGCCGTAATAGAATGAGAGCCTCGAGATGGGAGCAAAGAGAAGAGAGATAGACAGAAGAGAGAAGATAGAAGAGAGAAAGTCAGTCGGTATTCTTGTCCTGAACGGAGTACGTAGTATAAAAGAGTAATTGACTTGAAAGGATAAAGTCGGCTTTTGGCGACAAGGAAAACATTACGTAAGACCGTCCAGCCTAGAGCACCGCCAGAGCCCAGAGCGAGTCGGCGAGTCTGCGAGTTACGGTAGTGAGATTGTGAGACTGTGAGGGCGAGGGGAGGAGCTCCAGAATCAATAATCAGCTTCGGCTCCAGCTCCAGCACATCAGCCAGCGCGAGCGAGTGACGCGATATTCATAGAGAAAGACGACGACCACGGCTAAGTGCCAACGACGAAGTACTACTTACTGCCTTTGCGCCCAAGCCCAGGGCAGAACGGAAACATACGTGTGAATTATTATCGTTTACCTGTTGGATATGTGCTGCTTCCCGTTGCCATTGCCATTGCCATTCTCAGTCATTGTCATTGTGTTGTCCAGAGGCAGGAGATGACAAGCCCTGGCCGTCAACTCAGCAGCCCTATGGAACAGCAAGCAAGACATCAATAGCACCCTACTCCAGCACTCGGATACTTGAGTACCGTAACATTCACGGGTTGGCGGTTGCCAACTATACTATCGAAATCAACTTACACGACAGACTATTAACAACACCACTTTACCACTATACTAACCCCAAGGTAGATGGGTGACGGTTGGGCTGAGGCGTCGTGTGCCTGACCGACTCCGAACTACCTAGGTACGACTTGTTCCGCGCCTCAACTTCGTTACCTAGGTATGATCCTATGTACCTACTTACTCCTCATTTTGCCATGGCATCGTGCATCGTGAATAATCGTGAACCACGAGGACATCAACAATAATATGATCAATATCAATTGGCTCTGCCTGGGCGCCGCGCCAAGTGCAGCGCGGTGGGCGGGTCTTTTGCGAAGGAACTCTGGACTCTAGAGGGCGGGGCAGGCGACAGGACCCACGGCCTAATTAATAATAAATCCAACCAAGGTGTCGTCAATCACGTCCATTCGCAGGCCATCGGAGCGATTGTGTAAGGAAAACGAGTCTGGGAATGGCGTCGTCGTTGCGGGACCGGCTGAAAAATCTCTGCGCCGGGGGGGTTGAGACTTGATTACTGCAGACGAATGAATCCTCGATCACCGACTGCTGCGTTTGCATTGCGAGTCTTGTCACAAGAGAGGCGCGGCATATTATATTATTAATAGAGAGAGAATAGCGACTGATACAGTATGCAAAGTACTTTGTATTTCGTCCTTCGTGGGTCGATTACTGTCATATTCAACATTGTCAGGCATCAAGGCAACAAGGTCACGAGCACTTCCCGAGAACTGCCCGAGGACTTAATATCCTGCCTGAGGCTGCAGATCTCTCGTCTCTCATCTCTTCTCCCTTGTGATGCCCCGATGCTATGATCGCTGTCACTCACTATCACTACAGTAGTACTGCCACTATCACACCCACTGCTACTCAATCGCTCCTTTACTGCTTGCACAAACAACGCATCAATCTATCAACTGCTACTTCAGAGCACACAGCACACCGCATCGTCACCTCCAACTCAGACTTCAGCCAGGCTTCGTAGCGAACCGCCAGTCAACCACCAGAATCATGGAACGTTGGTCGCACGTTACGTAACGGGTTTCGCTCTCTTCCTATCGCCATATGGACGGATGCATCTCCGCCGTCCCAGGTGAAAATGCCTCAATCGCGCGCTGCTGGGGACGGATGGGCAATTATTTAGATTTAGTGACGCAACTCGTCACGGCTGGATGCCATCGAGTTAGTTGCAGACAGCCCACCAGCTGGGGCAGTACTCGATCCGGTACCAAGTACTGTGTACGCTCTCCCGACCAGCCCATTGAAGGACAAGCACGTGGGCTACACTTGAGTGCTACTACTATTATTATTACTGGAAAGCGAGTTGCCCCACGACAACACAATAGCATGACGGCATAGGTGATGGGTTGTGCAGGACCGATGCAACCCATCAGTCACAGAAATCCGGGGTTATCAAGCACCCGTTGCTCTCGTGCATACAAAGCACTTAGACCCGACTTTCACGCCACAGGTGTAAAGTTGAAACTGGGGTCCCGGGCGGGGGCAACCGGGACAGGAGCGACAGACAAAGTCCTATAGATATAGGTAGGTAAACAGTGCTGCCCCTGGGCTAGGTAACAAGTATGTGGCCGAACTCAATACCTAAACAGACGGCCATTTCTGAGATGGAACCGAACGTTTGGATTTTGGGAACAGAGAGCGTTGTATAGATCGTCCCCCCACCCAATTTCGCAGTTCTGGCCCATTCATTACACGGTCACTCACACCTTATTACCGGCACGTCACGTAATAGTGTCTGCCTGCCGTTAATCAGGGATCAAAAAGCAAAAGTCGGTGACGGTGATTCAGTAGTCAAGGTGCCTCTCACTGCTTTTCCGCTTCAGTATTGAATACAAACGAAATATCATTCGTAGGTTCGCAAGCGCAACTCCCTGTATTCAATAACTTGTTACAATCTCCATCATATCGCGCCTACGTGGCCAACTTTCCATGTCTGGCTTGATTTCTATATGGTCTCTTGCAAGCGCACACTATAAGGCGAATCCTGTCGAGTATGTGTTTCCTATCGTGACTCCACAATTTTCATCTGTATTGCACTCCCGAAGTTGACTGTTCCTTTTCTCCTCACGCAGTACCATCACTGCTGTAGGCGAGCTAGGCTTTGGGACATTGAAGCCAACTACCCTTTCCCAGCTCGTTCTTCTCTTAGCTCCACGATGACGAAATTTTTATCCTCATGTTCATCAGTCCCTTCAGGACCGGCAAATGGATCCATCCAGGAACATTGAGCTATGTCAACCAGCAATTGAGAATCTCGAAAAGCCGCGGAAAATGGCCACATGGTCAACGTAGACTGATGTTGATAGGCATGCGGTCAGCCTTTTGCTGAGTGACTGCTGTAAGTGAGGTCATATTTATTATTTTGCTAAATAGATTGCTTGATGTAAGAATCCTTGGTATTGGGTTAATGGTTGGTTTGCGAGGCCTAATTTTCAAGTTCCCGTTTCTAATAGACGTTTAGTCTTGGACGATTCAAAATAGTTATCGAAACGTCTATACTCGTTACTCGCGTTCTATACATAGCGAAGCCTTGGTCTTGGCCTCGTACTTGGACTCGGAATCCTCCCAGTTTAATCCCCATCTCAAATATCAGGCTAATTCCCATCACAAAACCTTATAGTTATCTCTACTACTAATGTTACAGCGCACTCGACTAGAGCTCCGGATACGATTGCCAATCACGTGATCCGTCTCACATGGAAACACCGTCGCGATCAATTCGATCAATTACCCCGCATTGTGTCTCCAGGATGGTCTTTAGGTAAGTCTTGTCAAATTGACACTCGATGGAGATGGATTAAATCTAAAATGCGAGAGCAGCTAAGTACGAAATGGAATGCTTAGTGCGGTTTAAACAGCCAGGAGAAAGCTTGCAACACCAGCCAGTACGATTTTCATGCTTTAACCCTCATCCCACTACTTCTCTATCTAATACCTAATCTAACAGAGGTTCATGGACAACATAAGGAGCTCGCTCCAGCACCTCATAGGTTTCAATATATGTATCTGAAACCTTCCGGATTCTGTCTGCCATAGCCGTCTAGTATCTATATTCATAGAACTTGAATACCTCAATTCTAGTGAGATATTTATATAGCTTGAATACCTCAATTTTAGTAAGATATTCACATGATATCAGATTTATATCAGATTTATATCCGTAGGCTTTAAAATAGACGACATACTTGCAATCGTGGATCTCTATGCGACCAGAAACAAAATCGTCCACTCTAACTTATCGATACTCATCAAGAAAGGTTGATTTGACAACCTAAAGAAGCAGCTTTACAACGATTTCTGCGATATACCTAGAGTTATCCTAGCTGTCGAAGGTCTTCAGTTACAACTCATGTCAGGGCTGCCGCAAGAAGTGATGAATCATTGGTTTACCCCGAACATAATCGACCCTAACAACTTACAATTGTGGAAGCCATCCGCAGAACCCCCCGAGGCCCGCTTCGTTGAACTGCAGGGCAAGGAAGTTGAAGGTGATGGCTATAGCAAGATGATACAGAAGATCACTACGAAAATAGCCAAGAGATTGAAAGATGAGGCACGAGACACTGCTCTGGCGGAGGACCTTGAAACAAATTTCGGGATTATATCAGGTAAATAGAAGCTCAAGCGTGTTGCCTCAAGAGACTTACAGAAGGAAATCAAGAGGGCCAAAGACATATATAGAGACTAGACGAGGTTGATGGCTATAGCAGACAGAATCCGGAAGGTTTCAGGTACATATCTCACTAGAATTGAGGTATTCAAGTTCATGAATATCTCACTAGAGTTGAGGTATTTACGCTAGCTAGGTTAGTATTACAGCAAATTCGCCCAAGAATGCGCCATACTTGGCCTTATACTTGAGCTCGGAATCCTCCCAGTTTAATCCCCATCTCAAATATCAGACTAATTTCCATCCCCAAACCTTATAGTTATCTATACTAATGTTACAGCCCACTCGACTCGGGATATGAGGGTAAATCACGTGATCCATCTTACACTCTCAAATCTACTCTCGATCAGCCTCAACGTCCGACGTTCTATCATCGTCAACATTAAAATCAACACTAGACGGCATAATGGACAGCGAATCGCATCAAAGCCTGCCCCAACTTCCGGTAAAAAGGAACCGAATGCAACTGAGTTGCGCGCAATGCCGCCATGCCAAATTGAAGTGCGATCGGAAACAACCATGTGGGCAGTGCTTAAAGAAGGGCCGGGATCTGTCATGTACTTTTCCAGCTCCAGCTCCTCGTCGCCAACCACCCATCAGTATGCAGAATCGATTGAGACATCTCGAGAGTTTGGTCAAGGATGTTATGTCTGCCCAGAGTCCGAACCAACAACTCACTTCTTCTCCCATGGGCGTAGCCGACACCTCCAACACCTCCATAGAAATCGAGTCCCAAAGTAATAGGAGATTAAGTGACAACGTCCAGTCGCCCCACCAGTCAGGTCAAGTCCTTGTTGGATCAAAGGAGGCAACATACGTTGGTGCTACGCATTGGGCCGCCATCCTTGAAAATGTGAGACGCTGCCACGCTCGTGACTTCCGTAGCCACATCACTAATATTCTCCAGATCGAGGAAGTAAAAGATTATTTTGAGGGCATGGATACCGAAGACACTGATGAAACCGAAAATATTACCCCGTATGCGAGCCTTACCTTCAACTCACAACCAACTTCCTCTAAGAACGATCTTTTGGCCGCGCTCCCTGAGAAATTCGTTGTCGATCGTCTGATCTCCCAGTATTTCAACTCGAACAGTCCTTCCCTACGTGAGTTTCCTCCCTTCCTGCCATGGATGATGCTGATCTTGTAACAGCAATCCTTCATAAACCAACGTTCCAGAAAATGGTAGGTTTGGCCAAGTTCTCTTCGTGCATATTACCGTGATATGTATTCCTATCCCTAGTATGCATTTAATGATGAGGCGTTTTCGCGCGCCATATTTGTCCTATTTGATACCTACCAAAAGCTTTTATCGGCCATAACTTTTATAAGAAATAGGTCCAAACTTCTGGTTGCTACGATTATGCTGATTCCCTGGTAGTATATATCCTTCTGGGAAAGCCCTGCAGAAGCTCAAGTAAACTGGCTTGGATTACTGTTTGCCCTGATGAGCATGGCTACAATAGCATCCCTACATCCAGGAGGGAGGCAGCCAGACAGTTCCAGCACACCACTGGAAACGGTTCGCCTTTATAGAAATTGCTGCATTCAAGCTCTTATCCTGTCCAACTATACCAAGCCTGGGCCCTATACTATCGAAACACTCCTGCTATTCATGGAAGGGGAATTTATCCTGAGCGCTGATGATCAGGTTCATTTATATCTTCTGGTAGGGAACGTCGTTCGGCTTTCCTTGCGGATGGGTCTTCACAGGGACTCCGCCAATGTCGGCGGAAATATCACACCCTTTCAAGCAGAATTTCGGCGGCGACTCTGGCATCATCTAGCTCAGATCGACCTACTTTCCAGCTTCCTCCTCGGCCTTCCAGGCATGGTTGAAGCCATTGCAAGTGATACCAGATATCCTCGGAATCTGAGAGACGAGGATTTTCGTGAGGACTCGGTTAAACTACCGCCTTCGCGTCCTGAATCCGAACTCACGCCAACAACATATCTTATTTGCAAAAGCAGATTGGGTCACGAGTGTGGCAAGGTTGCGACCCTAGCAAATAATCTAGCGCTTCCATATTATGAAGAAGTGCTTACATTGGATGGCCTTCTTCGGGAGGCATATGAGAAAGTTCCAACCTTCTTCCGGGTCAGCTCGTCGGGATTTTCCATTACCGATTCACCTGGGCATGTTATTAAACAGTTTAGTTTATTTCTGTTATTTCACAAAAGTCGCTGTATGCTGCATCGAAAGTATGTCACGAAGGTGGGGAAAAATTCGGAATACTTGTATTCGAAAAATACCGCTTTGGATGCGTCGCTGGAGTTGTTGAAGGGGCAGTCAATGAGTTACGAAGCAGCTCGCCCCGGAGGACCTCTTGCTCATGACCGATGGTTTTTATCGACCATTTCGATGCATGACTTCCTTTTGGCAGCCATGATTGTGTGTATGAAGGTCATACAGTCAGCCAAGGAAGGGTTAAATACGTCGAATATCTCGGATTCGAATCATCAGGAAGACCGGGAGATGATCATAGCTCTGGGCAAATCGTACAAAATATGGACTGAAATGGGTGTCAATGCTGCCGATGCTCGGAAAGCGTCATCCTTGCTCAAGTCCATGTTGAGAAAGGTTGACGCCGCACTGCAACGTCAGCCTGGCTATCATGGCGCATCTGTGAACGGGGCTGGTAGAGCAAACCTAATCTCAGGTTTGTCTTTGGATGGTATGTTGTAGTTCGGATTCTGTACAAAGAGCAGCCCATTTTTATGCGACAGCCTACCAGTATTGACACTGACGGAATTTAGATTTATTACAATCCCATGATCTACCTCCCCCGAGTACTCTCGCCTCCGAAGTATCGCAGGCCAATGTATCCAACAGAACAACACCATCATCAGGCTTGGGGCCACAATACGAAGACGATTCCATGGCAGTTCCTACCGAGCCTTTTGAGCTATTGATTGATTTCCCGGACAATCTTGATTGGGTAGGTCACATCCAAGGGAGTTCATTCGTTCTTGCCCATTATATGACAGCCTTACTCCCGGTTTTGTGTCTTAGAGTATATACTAAAACTGTCTAGGAAAACTTTGATACTAGTATCTTCCCAAAGTCCGGTTCAGATCAATCCTGGCCAACTTCCAACCTGGACGACCTATCATTTGGAGATTTTGATTATGATGTGCTCGGAAATAATTAGATACTGTGTTCTGTTGTTACAAATACGCCACGGAAACGTGGACAACGCGTTATACGAAAGCTTTTATCTCCCGGTCGCAATAACCAAAGAACTTCTCGGCATTTCCGCTCCCGCCTTCGTTCTTGCTCTTGAGGCCCTTGGCAAGGTCAGCCGGCAGATCCGCGACCCGTCCCCACGCCATGAGATGTCCACCGTTGTGATTTGACTTGACTTCTGGAGAGAAGCTAGCATAAAGTTCGGAATATGCTCCGTATACTGGAGGCTTGAAGATGAGGCCCTGCACAATATTATCAGCATATGACTTAGAGTGCAATCGCGGAGTATTACCATGAGCAGCCTCAATGGGAGCGGCCAGTGTCGTTGCAATTCCGTGCGCATCAAACCTGGATGCAGGCTCTGTATCTGCTGTTAGTCTGGGCCAATTCGCTACATGATTCTAAATGCTCACAACACTCAATATGCCCTTTGCACCCAACCGATGAGCAAATTTATCGGCAAACCAAGCACACCCAGCTTTGCTCTGCATATAGTTATCCATGAACTTCAGCACAACTGGTGTGCCGTTTTCGTCGAAATTTACCCCGCCGGCCGGCGTACCTTCCTGGAGCAACGAGGTAACCCAGACAATTCGAACGCTCGATGGAGGTGTCCCTGGAGCACCAGCGGTGTTGATGAGTACCGGCTCAAGTAGGAGAGTCAACAGATACGGCGCCAAACAGTTCGTGCCAATCTCAAGATCATGTCCCTAGCATTGAAGTTCTAATCAGCTTTCGGCCCGAACAACACCATTCCGGCAAATCTGAACGTACCAAGCTGTCTTTACTCCCAGCTGGTGGCGTCATCACAGCCGCATTGTGCACCAAAACGTCCAGCCTAGTCTCCTTCTTCAAAAACTCCTCCGCGGCATATTTTACCGTCTTCAGATCCGACAGATCAACAACCATACTCTCCAACTTCCCTCCCTTGCTTCGCGGAAGTGAGCGGGTGTCACTCTGAACTCTCTCAATCGCCCCTTTGCATCGCTCCGCAGATCGAGCTGCGATATAGACGGTCCCTCCCGCGGAATATAGGATCTTTGACAGCTCGTACCCGACTCCCGAAGCTCCTCCGGTCACGATATAGACTTTCCCGGCGAGGGAAGGCAGGTCGTTGTCCGTGAACCTTGGGGCCGGCGGAAATATAGCGGAACATCTAGATATGGGAGCCATTATCGATGACCTGGATTTTTCTGATAGAACGATGAGTTTCAAGTTATAATTTGGCTCCGTTGATCATAACAGTTGGGAGGAACTGGAATGGATTTTGTGCTTGAATGTGAATATGAATGAGTAGAGAATTAGAGAGATGTCGCCGGTTTATATAGAACATATAACTCCATCAATTTCCCTCTCCTTCCGTAGGGTTATTATCTCCGCTTCAATACTCATCGCCGCCTTTCTGGTAGTATGACCCCTACACAAACTCCTTTCTGGGGAAAGATTCGGACTTTGGAAGCTCTTCCACCAAGCTCCTGGCCAATTAAAGGCCACCGGGCTCGAGCCCAGATATAAATCCGAAGTCGCGGATTATCATTTTTCCTACAGCCGTGTTAGATATTCCGTTATCTCACGTGCATCTCCGATTTCAGAGGCTAACTAACTGCCTTCAGTAATTGGATAAATTTTGTTGCATATCGCAGTTAAATCCCAGTGGCACTGCCTCGGGGCCGATTCGTGGTCGATTCGTGGCCGAATAAGTACGGCTAGGTATTGCTAACAAGCTGTGCCAGAAGCAACCAAAACTTTCATTCGGCTGTGCTACATATGATCAGACCGTCTAGATTCGCAGTAACATAAAGTTAACGACGTGAAGAATAAGTGGCATCACGTCGTCAGTCAGGGGGTACTGGACGACAACCTCACTGGTACGGGATTAAAGGAATCTTAGCATAGGTAATCTAGGTTTGGGCGGGTAGGTTCATTAAGTATAGAACACCACATATCTTTAAGCTGCATGTACCGATGCCCACCATTCACTTTCCACGACCTACCACAACACTCTCAAAACTACTAGCTCTCCTCGTCCTATGCAGTCAACGTTCCCGTCAACCTCAAATCTCTTGAACTCGCCCCAACAAAAACATTGAATGTCCCAGTGGGCAAAACCCACTTCTGACTCCCCGAATCCCAATAACTCAGGTCCTTCCTCCTTAAGGTGAACTTAACAGTTGCCGATGCCGCCGGTTGAAGGCTGATCTTGTTAAAACCCCTAAGCTGTCTAACAGGTGTAGCTGGTGCCGAGGAAGGAAGACCGATGTATAGCTGCGCTACCTCCGCGCCGGCTACCGTGCCATTGTTCGTTATTGTCGCGGTGACGGTCGCGACTGTGTCGTACAGATTGGAGATACCGCCAGGGGCTTTGGTCGTGCTGCCAGGGGATGTTGAGATCGGGGTTGAGGTGAGTGATGAATACGAAAAGGTGGTGTATGATAATCCGAACCCAAACTCGTAGCGGGGGCTGATGGAATTCTTATCGAAGTGGCGGTAGTCGATGTATAAGCCTTCAGAATAGTTATCATCGCCACTTGCGATTGACACCCCGTAGTCGGACGGGGCTTTCGCGATCGTGTACGGGAGTTTGCCGCTGGGGGAAGTGGAACCGTAGAGGATATCGGCAAGGCCATTTCCTGTTTCTTGGCCTGGTATCCCGGCCCAGACAACTGCTACGACATTGGGGAGACTGAGTATTGGCTCGAGGATTAAGGGACCGGCGCTATGGACGACAACAATGGTCTTCTTGTTGACGTTTGCAACAGCCTTGACAAGGTCATTGCCATTGTGCCATGGATCGAGGTTGAGCCGATCCCCAGCTGCTCCTTCAACCTGGGACTTGTTAGATAATAATCGGAAAGAGAAATAGAGGCCCGACTTGCCGTGATATACTCTTCTCCGGCATCCGAATTAATAAGTACGATGGCGGTTGCCGCTGCCGCTGCAGCAGAAGCACCTTGCGATGGGTCATCAGTAGTGGACGTGGTTATTGTCGTTCCGTCCTTTGATGCTTGGGCCTTGATCGCATCCAAGGGCGCAATAAGGTACTGTATCGATCAGTCTATGGCGTAGAAGCATGGAATAAGTGCATTCTTACAGGAAAATCAGCTGTTCCGGAGCCCCAACCCTGTATAAAATTAGCACATCACCATACGGTATCAGAAGCCACAAACCATAGCTAGAGTTCCGCTATCACAGCCTCGATCCTCACATGAATTAGCTCCCTTTGGATTCACAATCGCATCATCACCGATAATGGCGAGGCTTGCGGGCTTTTTGAGCGGGAGTGCGTTGTCATCATTCTTCAAGAGCACAATCCCATCGCGGGCAATGGCTCTGGCAACATTCTTATGATCCCCCTGGACATTTGGGCCACCTATGCCTCCGTTCCAGGATGTCCAGCCTTGAACGCTGGGATATCCTTTATCTTGGCCTACAAAATACCATGACGCTAGAATTCGGGTCACCATGTCATCTAGACGAGATTGCGGTACTTCGGATCTTCCTTGGTGTTAGCTTGTCGAATTGGTACGAGAGCAGGCGCAGCTTACGTTTGAATTGCCTGCAGCAGAGCAGATCCCCATAGAAACTTGTTGTCGCCGAAATTGTCACCCGGCATTGTCATATCCTCGTAGTATGTCAGCATCACTCATTTTCAGGCCATGCACTTCCTCTCACCAGGCCCGCATTTGCACTCCCAGCTGTGGAATGCTGTCCAGCCCAATCTTAAAAAGCAGGGTCAGCAAGACATCCATTTTGCATATATAGAACAGAAGATATCAGCGCAAGCATACCACTAACAACATATCCCTGGAAGTCAAGCTCATCTTTCAGGATATTAGTAAGTAGCTGCTTGTTCTCGCAAACCCACGTAGTATTGAATTTATTGTATGAGCACATGACAGAGGTCACATTCGCTTTGACCGCGTCTGCAAAAGGCCACAAGTAGAGCTGTTTTTATTAGAACTCCTGTTACAAATGATCAGGCTTTCAATCACCAACCTCATGGTTCGTTCTATCGTCGATGTTCGCGCTCTGTGTGCCGCGGTGCAGCTCTTGCTCATTGCCAACTGCAAAGAGTCAGAGTCCGCCGCGATTCAACTGGGGGTACAAACTGTAATGTTTTGCACATGCTTGAACACCAGCGGCTTGCATGCCTTCGACAGTCTGTTACAAATGTGTCAGCTGTGTTGGCATATTTAGTGGGATTCCGCACCTCGGCCATAGCTATTCCCGACAAGTAAGGATCAGCCGCAAAGCCTTCCCAGTTTCGGCCTCCCTGTCAAGTATTCAGCGACATTCGCCCCATCTAATTGTGTTGTTTTTACCGTAGGGATCTTTCCCAATGGCCCAGCAACGGGGCCGAGTTGGACATGTACGCCTAATCCCTTTGCTTCCTCGCCTGTCCCGAAATCGGAAAATCAGAAAATTAGATGCTCCAGGGCTATATACTAGAACATACCAATCGCGTAGCCGCGAGCATACATCAACGAAGGATCCCAAGTTGATCCTGTTGTGATTCCAGCCGGAAACGCAGTAACCTGCTGTGCATACCGTATACTACCAAAATTAGAATAGGAACAAAACTCGCACATCGAGTGGCAATTTGTCAAGACCTACCCTAAGGGACCATCCTGGAGACACAATGCGGGGTAATTGATCGAATTGATCGCGACAGTGTTTCCGACACAAGGCCCCTTCTGCCATCCTGAGCCAGTCACCATGTTCACCTTATCCTGATTTGACAACTTCCCCAGCGCTGCCTTAGCCTTTGTATATGCAGCAGCCCAGTCCCCATCTCCAGCCGCGCCAAAAACGGGCGTGGCCAATGCCAGCAAGAACGAAAATGCAGAGATCTGCATATTGAATGTCAAAATGGTGGATTGAGAGTAGGAAACGGTTGAGAATTATCAAACAGAGAATGCGGCGTATTATAAGGAAAATACCATATTTGTAAATGTGTTAACACGCAGGGAATCATAGAAGATACCGATCTGCCTGGAATCGGATCCAAGGGCTTGAGCAGCTTGCATCACTGTGCCTAAGACGCAAGGCGGGTCCTCTAGTCGAGGCATTGGGGATGGATCCAATGAAAATCAAGTCGTCCTGAGGATATTGACGTGACTGGTCACCAGATCGTGGAAATCTATCGCAATGACGGGATACATAGGTCTTGCGGCTACAAAGTCATTCCGTGGATGGGTCCCCAACATAACGGAGTATATGAGCGATACCTAGCTACCGTGGCATTACCCGCGGAGGTTTGAGATAGATTGATTGGGCGACGATTGAAGGTGGAAATGTAATAATCGATTAGCGAGTTGGGTTTAGGATAAATAACACAAGACATTTAGACAAGCTGCGGCCCGAACCTGCCGCCGGAGAATGAATTTCAACTTGGACATTCAGTAAGTTGATACTTGGTTTATATTTTGTATTGACAGGGTCAGAGATGCTATGCCGACCTTGCGGCATGCTTTAAGCAAAATGACTGCGGTATTTCATTGCTCTGGATCAACATCGTAGAGCACATCGGTACGTATAACGTACTTGGCTGACGGAGTAGCTCCTCGACCAACGCCGGTGCCTTCATGTAGTAGACTACCCTCGGTCTCACCATGAGGGAACATAGCCACACTTCCTTGAATGGGCTTGACGGGATATGCATTCATCACCCCCTCCCGCGCGCTGGGCAGGAAGAAAGTGGTTTCTCCGGATTCAAATTCGTCATTTAGATAAATAAGGAAGGTAAATAGAGAAGATTGTTTCGCGTTGGGAGGAGAGTCGTCGTAGATATAGGTATCGTTAGGGGATATTGAGGAGGGAGGCCAAGCACCATCTATATGGGGCAGATTAGGTACAAACGAATGCAAAGAACTTGATTTGAAACTCACCAATATGGGCACGATACTCAGCCCCAGGGACATATCTGTACACCCTGAATCTTCGATTTAGTCCTCGGACTCTCTTGCTCCCCATTTTCTCGGGGACGAAAGGTTCAACCCTTTGCCAGAGTTTTGTGCAGAACGCGGTATCCACAATCCAGTAGAAATTATGTGCCAGGATACTGCTCTCTTCACCCTCACCGCGAATTGGGGCATCGGGCGTAAACCCTATCGCCTCTGCTGCAGCAATTATTTGCGTGCATTCTTCGGGTGCCAATACATCTTTCAGTAAGTGTAGGTTCGGAACGACGGGGTGTTTGTGGTGAGTTGTTTTCGGTGCTGCACTGGAGAGGGCTATAGCATCGTCTTTCGAAGCATGGAGGATGGCGGGATGTAAATTTGGAGGTTTTCGTTGCAAGCCCGGAGTGGTGTCGATGGTTCGAAATTGGAGCTGGGCATTTCCTGCTAGTAAAGCTGGAATCGTGCCATCCAGCACATTTGCATATACTTGTTGCCTCGTAGAACCGTTCCTCAGGTCCCATGCCTTCCTAGGGGCAATTGGCCCTGTGACCGTTGTTCCAACCTCAGTGTAATCAATTGGTCCCGCAACTCTAAGAATTGAATCGAGCACAACTAGTAAACTCTCCTCGCGCGATGTCCTCTTGGAGCTGCCCCCGATTTGCTCTGCTAAGCCGCTGACAACGTCGAGATCCCGTACCCATCGACACAGCGCGCCCAGCTTCGGTGTCTGCCCTCTTATCCGCATCTCAGCCAGAAGGATCCGCGCTTCAGTATATCCTCCATCCGCAAGAGCGCCGCTTATTCGCGCCGTGAGATTCGTATCGACTTCATGGCTGTGTTAGTTGAAGACTGGAGAATATATTCTCCGCACTATCTGATGGAAACGAACCTGCGGCATTGAAGCCAGTTGTGCATGCCTGGCGGAATTCATATACTGCAGTCCGCAGGTCTTTGCACGCCTTCGACTTTATCACAGTTGGATTGCCCGCTAGAGTATGAAGTGTATCAATCGCGAGTTCGAGGTCATCTTCGTGCAGACCTATGGCCTGGATCGTCCTATGCTCGTCTTTAACCTGGGAGGAAGTTTTTTCGGGTGGTGGGGTGATGATTGTAGTATTTTTGTGCCTTTTGGTGGTCACATCATTTTGTGATCCTTCGTGCTTCCGTTTCCCTTTCGACTTGGCCATTTTGTCTGTATCAAATAGGTCTAAGAAGTGTCGGACAGTTGTTGTTGGAATTTCCTGAGATAATTGATTCTCGAGCACGAAGTTATTCGATGTGGGCGCAGTAGGAGTATGTGGATGCGGATACATCATCGCTGGGCGGTGTGGGTGGCAGAAAATCAACCACAAATCCCGTCCACTTTACCTCTATTTTCCCTCCATTCTTAACTGCAACTCTAACTATAACAACTACAGCTGCTTCACACTTACGGTATCGGTTTTTACCCATATTGATATTAATCAGCTGCCGCAAACTTTGGTATGGTCAACCGTTCTTGGACCATCAGTGACAATTGTTACATCGTTGCCGTCCTGGATGGCATGGGAGCACTGGAAGAGGAGGCGGTTGGCCCTACTCCTCAGGTTGAGCTTGTCTCATCTCGTGTAGTTGTATTGGAAGAAGCTATCTGTCCTAAATTTCTTTCCATCTGCATCTAAGCAGAAGTCTGCTGGTATCCGCTAAAATTCCAAGGCATGTTGTAAACGCCCAAGTAGCGGCATAGCAGGACCTGCAAACCTGTTCCTCTTGGGTCAAACGGATACTGTCTATGGCCCATTATGAGTCTTCATCTTAGTAGATTCACAAATATTCTATTCTCTTCTAAGGATATTCCACGATAGGTGAGACATTTTCTTTACACTTATTCCATTTTGTGGGAAGGCTCAACAATTGAATCAATCTCCTAAAAGGAGCGCCGCTCAGTGTCCCTTGTCATAATCACGCGTCGTGTTTTGCAATTGCGAAGTTAGTTCTCATGTCCAACGCGAGGTTAAAACCCTCATTCAACAAGTTCTCCAACATTTCCCCGCAAACCACTTTGCAAGCCCAACACTTTTCGCATCCACAGCTCTCCAGAATATATCTGCCGCCCAAACACAAAGAACGGTGTTCATGATCCCTCCCGCGATAAAAGCTGCCCCCCAATGCCAGCTATCAGTGGCTTGGCCATAGGTATCCATAAACCACGTTCCCGCCGTGAACAAAATCGGCCCATGCACAATATAGAGTGCGTACGATATATCCCCAAGATATTGCGCCAACCGAGTGGTGAACGGCCGCTGAAGATTCGTCGACTTGGAGATTGTGAACACAACGATTACGCCGCCGATCGTCGTCCAAAATCGCTCAATGCCGAACCACAGCTCGATATATCGGGGCGGGGTCCAAGATACCAAGTAGTGGTGAAAGGGCCCTGGCGGAGTTTCGTACTCGGGCCAGGGTTCGCCGGGGTATGAGAGGAGGTATAACGAGAAGATGAGCAACAGATAATTCAGCGTTGGGAGGAATCTGCAACATGCAAGCGAAGCCGAACCTAGGATCCCAAATATACCTGTTCTTTTTTCGGAGTATTCGAGTGCGAAGTCATCCGAGCTTACACTTATCAGACTTGTTTCAGCGAGCAGTATGCCAGATAAGAACAGACAAATGTCCCATCGCTCATATTGGAGTGTCAGAAGGGCGCCAAGTCCTATGAGCAGAAGTCGGATCCATGCCTGGCAACGAGATAGCCCTAGTACCGTCACATAAACAACCATTGAGCCATAAAACTCGATTGGGATTGTCCAAAGATGACCATTATAAGGGGGGGCGTAAGGCGAATTTGGCATAACATCCTGAAGAGGCCAAGAGACGCCCACGGTGTGGTCCCGCCAATACCAGAAGTGTTCCGAGAATGTTGGCAGGTCTGGTGGCAGGCTATCTGTAGAGGATTCCGGGAGTGCTCGATACCACCCCCAATAAGCTGCGAGCATGGAGATAAATGTCCCGGCTGCAACGGGAAGATAGAGTCTTAGTCCCCGTCGAAATACCGAGGATGCAAGTGTGTCGAGCAGTGACTCAAACTTCTCCATACGAATCTCCTTGATAGGTCTGTAGCTCAAGACAAATCCTGATATGACGAAAAACACTGCCACCGATGCCCTGCCCGCAAACAGTAATCGAATGAACGGGAGCTGCGCCAGGTGATGGTCTTCATCAGTGCTACCGTATCCGCGACGCAGCGGGTCAAACCAATTGGTTGTGAAATGATCGATGAACACGATGAAAGCTGCAACACCACGGAGTCCATCGAGGTATGATGTGGGATACAGTTTCCGTTTGACGCCCAGGCGAACGAAACTCGGCACTGTGGCAATTGCTATCGCTGATATTGTGCCTCTCACTCGACCACATGCTCTTGATGGCTTTTGGGGATGACCAAAACAACTCCCCACTCTCTCGTTGGCCCTGTTAAGAGCTACGGTACCACCGCTCTCAATATCTGGGAGGCCAGCTAATAGACCTAATGACGCATGGCGAGACACTGCACTCTCGTCATCCTCTGGGGATTCGCCTGGATACCGCATCCTGGATATCTATAGACATTATCTACGGGATAGAGAAGAACATAAATAAACTCTCCAAAAACAGCACCCAAGCACTCCCCATATGTGTGAGTAATTATGCCTTCACCGGCTCAATTATCGCGTGATCCCAAGTTGAGGCAGTCGGGATAAAATAAATAAATGCAGGCCAGCCCAGGCCGTGCAGTCTAAATTGCCGCCGGCACATACGCAGGGATGCGACATAAGCATATCTGCAATACATGCCGGGAAAGCTTGTATTCCTGGGTGCAGGTGGAGTAGATGAGGGGGGGCCAAATGGAGCGCCATGAGATTAGGGGAATTCAGCCGTTAACCCATCTGGTAACACTCGCGTTCAAAATGCTAACCAAGTTCGTAGGAATATACAGTCAATTAGAATTGTTATTTCGTGTTATAGTATAAAATTACTGTTCTACTGTTCTACTATTCCACGAATTATTTAAAGGGTTGGATTATTACTATAGCAAGCCTTTGTAAAAATAGTCGCAAGTTACAACTCCCTAGCCAGCGCCACGCTAAAGCAAAACAAAACCCGCCCATTTTATCCACCTCAAGCAAAAGCAAAATCCCCTCCATATCCAGCAGAACACCAGTGCAGCAACTGATACCACCTAACCAATCCCACCCATCACAAATATGGCATAAAGAGCGCTTCACACTGAGACAGATTCATAGGATTCACCGCCTTGGCAATCAAATCAATAACAGTTTGGTTTGCAGGCAAAGCACCAGCCGGTGACTGCGCAAGACTTAGTGCACGCTTGACGATGAGTTCGCTATTATTCTGCACAGTTTCTCTCAACTGTCCCTCTCCCATATGACCCGACCTATGATTGCTGGTAAACCAGAAGATCATCTCGTCTCGGACGAACAAGCTAAGCTGTTGCTCGAGTTCAAATTCCGGCTCGGTGAGACAGCGGGCAATGGCCATAATGGCGCAGCTGAATATCCCTTCCGTTGCGAGTGGGCCCATGAGGGTTTGTAAATTGGGCGTAAGACGGAACGGAACAGGTTCCGGATTGTGGAAGAAGGCCTTTCCTGCTGTCATGCACGGCATCAATTCTGAGCCCCATACATTGCCGGTGCCGCGAGCGATGTTGAGTTTCTGTGGGTATCGGTTGTGCATATGTAGAACATATGTCATAAACGTAAGGGCAGCAAACTGGTAAGAGAAATGTCGCCGGAAGAGCCAGAACTCCGAGAACGAGGGGTATACCTTGGTGAAGTACTCCAGGGCGATAGTGTGGGGAACCCATCTCTCTTGAATGGCGGTAAAAGTCTCCAGCTTGGCAGTCATGGACTGGTCGGGGTGTTTCTGACCACACATTAGCAGATGTCGTACGTCCTGCAATAGATCTAAGCTTACCTTGGTCTCTACTAAAGCCCTCATTTTCTCCATGGTGAATAGAATAGGGTCGTCCTTCGACATGCCACTCTTCCTACAGTGATCCTCAAATATGCCTTGCAATGAGACGTAGCTGGGATCATCTTGGACCATGCGGATGTGTGGAGCAAGAGGGATCATCAGGGGAAGATGGAAATTCAAATTGCGGCGTCGGCTCTCCTTTCTCTTGCTCAAGGTGCCATTGAAGTGTCTGAACAGCTGTAATATTCGCTCTTCGCGCCTGCAATGACGAGCGGCTGGATGTTGTATGGCGAAAGGATGGACACTACCATCATGTCCTCGAATCTTTAATCTGCGATGGCAGACACCAATACCGCGCACCAGGTCCACGTTTGGCAAGAACCGCTCAACACGGATAAAATCCTGATTCTTGTCTTTGTGTTGTAGGTATTGTCCCGGCACTTCAACCTCATCAAACTTTTGGAATCGGAATTCGCTGAGATGGTGGCTATACGCCTCTAGGTACGCAGATGGCCGTCTTCGATCGAGTTTTGCCTCAAATTTATCACGCCATTTGCGAAGTTTGTGAATGTACTCATACATTGTAGGCTTCCTTTGGACAAAGTCTACTTCGAATGAGGTGCGAATGTGCGCAGGGAGGATGGTCTCGGCAAATCTGGTAATGTTGGCCTCTGTTGCAGACGGCAGCTTGACATCCTGGGCATATGATGTGGGCATTCTGCCAACGTAGGAGAGAGCATCATTGAGCAGCGCAGTAATCAGTCGATATGCATCCTCATCGGGTGGGCATTTGAAGTGCTTCGAGATTTGATCCACCATAGACTCCATTGACAGGGCTAAGAGGGGGAAAGCAGTCTTGAGCACTGCAAGAATCTCTTCGGTGTGCTCCCAGGGCGGTTTCTTTTGTGGTGCTTGGGACACTGGTTGCTGAGCATTTGCAACGGCGGTGTTGGCCATATTGGTATCATTCGGAGCAGTATTTGCTTCGGCTCCTTCTGCCTTGACAGTCGTGTTGCCCTCGGGGTTTGCGGTCCCGGGCCTCGAGCTAGCAGAACTTCCTGGTCGTGCGCCGGCCATCTCCTGCCGTTGGACTTGTGGCGAGCTGCTTGCCTTTTGAGCTGCGCTACCAGCATTTGCTTGTTTCTGAGCCTCAGCTCTGGCTTTGAGTTGTCGTTCCCTTGCCTCCTTCGCTTCCTGCGTCTTCTTGATAGCAAGCATATCCTCCCGATTGGTGCGCAATTGGAAGTAAAGAGCTTGAGGGTAAGACTTCGCAATCTTGGCAAGAATAGCGTGTGCCTTGGGGGCTTCTTTATGGCCAAGACCAGTCAGTAACTGGGGAATGAATGTGATCCAATACCACACAGGCGTCTCGCCCTTGTACTCGTCGAATTGTGCGGAGAGGGTGCCTTCAGCATCGTCGAGACTCAAAAGCCAGAGGATCCGAGTGAGTAGCTTCCTAGATTTCGCGTTCTTGAAGAGGCCCGCAGCCTCCAAATAGCAACTCAGTGCATTCTTAGCGTATGCGTAATTGGTTGGATTCTCTTTGAACAGACGGTCGTTGTAGTAACCCCATTCGGCCCAAGCCTTTGGAAGCTTAATATCAAAGAACAGTGCCATGCCGTAAGCCTCGGCTGCCTCATCACGCTGACCCAGCTTCTCCAAGAACATTCCTTTGAGGGTATAGAACTCGGCCTTTTGGTTGGGGCCAAAATAATTGAGATTCGTGTTGTTGATCACATCAAGACCGTTTGTGAGTTCCGAGGGATTCTGGTAATGGCATTTTGCTTGTTCTCTAAGCTTCAGGAAAGCTTCTTGAATCTCGATGTTTGGCAAGGTGTAGATTCGGCTGAGCTGGCTGATACACACTTCAGGAAGTTGATGCTTGCGGGCGACGTGGGCAAAACGGTTGATAATCCAGGCAGTTTCATGATATCCACGGTATGCGAAAGACGCACCGTTAGCATTCTGACCTTGTTGAGGCAGGAGGCCTAGGTAAGTGGTGTTTATCAGGCCAAAGATATGTTGCCTCCAGGTGACCAAATCTTGCCAAGCGGTGATGTCGTCCCATACATTTGGAAGTCGATCACGCCAAGTCCCGAGGAGCAACTTCAATTCGCCAGATTTGACGTCGAGGTTCCCCTGATTGGTCTGCGACAGGCTCTGGCATATGATACTTGCATCGTGTAGTTCCACAAGCTGTTGAAAGTTTTGAAGAAGAGGTATATGCGCATTCGTAATGCGCTTTGGGAGTTGGTGCCATTTGCGAATGGACAACTGTATTGCCTCGTCACAGACCTTGCTGAACTCGGCTTGAGTTTCAGTCTTGTTGTGGAGCTTCAGCAATGACATGAAAGCCTGGAAGAAAGTTCGCCTGGGTGTAGGCGCATCCATAACACCCCTGATTAGGTTGTCGAGCGACTCGCGATTTTCAGGCGTCTGCCACATATCGGTTTGCTTCCATGCACACTCCAAGAGTAGGTCTTGGAAATTCTCGTGCTTGGCAAAATCGGACAAGATCTCCCACTGTTGAAGCTTCTGGGCGCATAGAACCCAGTGGTCTTCCCAAAGCATGTATTCACCCTGGGAAAACGGAATAGCACCGGTACGAGCCTTGATCTGCGCGGCCTCGTACATATGCTGAGCTTTGTCCCACATGCCGTTCTGCTCATATGAAAGGGCAGCATTTGTTTCCACGAATTGACATCTTCGGCGCCATGTCCCGTAATAGAGATCGTCCTCTTGCAAGCCAGCATACAACTCAACCAATGCATCCAGATTGCTTTCTCGAACTAGAGGGCTATCAACTTCGGGGTTGATCGCAGCATTCTCAAGCTGTACGAGCGCAGTGTACCATGCGTCGTATGTTTTGGCTTCAAATTTGAGAACATGAGGTGGAATCTTGCATTCTGGCCATGCTTTGGCCGCCCCTTCGAGCAAAGATTGAACCACGTTCGGCCGCTTGTCGATTTGGCGAGAGTGGTGGTCTTTTGTAAGCAGTGCAACCATGCCTCGCTCCAGGTCGGCACGCTCGTCCTTGGGTGTAGCAGACCAGAACATTGGGAATAAGGCCACCCAGATCTCGTGGGCCATGTTGGGATCTAGATGCTGAAGTTGACTCAGTGGGTCGATGATATCGCGAACTTTGACATCCCCTAGTTCAGCCACAAATCGCCTATGCGAGGTAATCAGGCTATCAAATTTGCTGTCCGATGGGAGCGTGGGGTTACGGGCATCTCTAGCATAAGTCCCGAAGATGGTTGAAGCAGGCATGACGCGGAAATCCTCGGAATGGAGTTGCACGGAATTATTTACATCCATGGCTCCAAAGAGCAGTTGAGACGCCTGTGCAAGCCAGTAAGAATCGGCCAGGGTATCCCAATTCTGGGTGGTGATGACATAGCTCAGTCTTGCACTGGCGGTTTTCGACTGACTCTTATCGAAGATGGTCATAAATCGATTGCGCATGTCAACATCTTGCGCTCGGGTCCCAATCAAGAAGGCATGCTCCATACGAACCGTGAGCTCCGTCCGTATAACCTTGGGGTCCTCGTAAATACGTATCACGAGCTCCAAGAAATGCATCAATAGAGTCTGATCCGTGCGATTTTCAAAGGTAAGCATCTTATGCAAGACCGCAGTCTTCTCCTTGAGCGTTGGCCAGGATCCTTCCGACTTGAAAACCCACGTCTCCACCATGTCAAGGATTTTCAGGCACAGAGTGTTGCTCATCGACTTCTCAACAAGGTTGGCAAGAACGCTGAGAAATGGGCGTCGATTCTCTCCGAGGACATCCATGCGCATCGCAAGCACATCGATCGCCTTTAGCATGAGCCGGGTTTGGATGTCCAGGTCGTAAGTGGTCATGACACCGGCGGGTTCCGCCTCGCCTGGCCTAGCAGGAGCAACCATCCCGGATTGGCCGGTGACCGCATAGTAGTGAGCAACATGGTCTCGAGCAAGCTTCGATTGAAGAGCCTTCATAACGGAGGGGATATGCTGATCCATTTCCGAAGGCTTTCGTTGTGCTATGGTCCACAGGATGTTGATGCCAGCGGCATAGTTGCTGTTTGAGAGTAACTCAATCGCCATGCTCGAGAGGAACTTGATGATCTCCGATGTAGATGCCTCCGGCTCGCCTTCGGCATCTGCGTCTTCCATTGGAATATCGTCAGGCACGGCATCCAATATCCGTCTGACTAAAGGTTTTGATTTCCGACCGCCATCCCAATTTTCGTCTGCCGCATGCAAGCAATCCTGGATTTCTGGGTTGTCTGACTTCAGAGACTTCTCGAGAATATGTTGTAATGTGGACATGTTCTGGAGGACCCATTCGTCAGGTTTGGCATTGACAATGATGCGCACTATCTGGAGAGTGTTAATCATGTTTGTGATAAACTTCTCGTCAGGTTTGTCCTTGTCGGAGTGTTCGCTAGCAAGAGCCGCCACGGTTCGGTCGCTTGCTAAGACTGTCTCTGTCACATTGGGGAACAGATCGACCTGGGCATCGCCCCAGTATTGGGGCTGGAGAAGATTATAAAGAAGGCCCATCGCCTTTTTGCACATTTCCGATGGTGGGGGTTGCAAGCCTGTATGCGACGCTCCGGCATCTTTGGTTTTCGCAGACGGGAGTGGGTAGCGCTCGCCGAGAGATGCGATGAACTCCACAAGATATTTGATCATCTTAGTCTGAGCCATAACTGGCGTTTTGTATTCGGGCTTGTCGGCTGCCCCTGATACCGAAGATCCTGTCTTGGATGGGGTAGGGGAGAGCGCTTGCTCATTGAGATTTTCAAGCTTTCGCTTCTTCGCATTTGGAGATTCAGAGAAAGCTCGCGTGGGTGATGCATCCTTGCCTTCAACGCGCTTCTGTTCCCACAGCCATATCATGGTCATTAAATTGAGGACCAACTTCTTGCTCTCGTTTGACGGGTTTGGGAACTGTGCCACCTTACGGAGCGAACCGATGATGAGGTTGATAAACTTTTCCCGAGATTCATAGAACAGATCTGGATGCCTGACCAGAAAGTGGAAGATACTAGTCATCTGCTGCACATTTTGACCCTCTTCGGATAAGATACGGCGGGGGGCTGCGGCCCAGACCGGGTTGCGATCTCCTGGCACAGCGTTGCACCGCTTGGGAAGGACGGGTGCGATGAGTTCCAATGCTTGAGTGACGAGAGCTCTGCCTTCGTTTTGGTTCGTCTTCAACAGCGAGAAATAGACCTGCTGGACAATCTTGGCAGGGGTCTCGTAGTGAGCTATGAAGTAGCCAATCACTACATAGGCGGCATGTTTGTTGATCACATCCTCAAGCCTAATATATGTCCAGCCGAACTTGATGATATCCTTCCTGGCGTCCTGCAAGATTGCATGGTGATACTTGACGAGCATTGCGGTTAATTGAAGAACCTCCATTCGAGTGTGGTCAATGGCAGGCTGAGTCAAATCCTCGTTCGAGTCGCCAAGGCTAACCTTCCAAATCTTGGTGTGAATTGACTCGATGACAGCTTTATCCATAAGCCTTGGTGACTTGGGGTTGGACGGATTGGAGGTGCGCATGACATCCATAGCAATGAGCGGGTTGACTAGATAATGAAGCAGGAAAGCTTTTGTTTTTTGCGAGCCGGCCTTTCCAGCGTAGATATCTAAGCTGCGCATGACGACAGTTTTCCATGTTTCCATAGAATCGCTGCAAATAACATGACGGTAAATGTGGTCAAAAAGCGCTTGGGTGGGCTTGAAATCCTCCGCGGTGACCGATTCAACCAGGGCAAATAGCGATTCGTAATCCTTTGGATGGTACTCGAGATATTTGGTGAGGATGACCATAAGCTGCTCGCCAGCTTGCTCAGCAGCAAGTCGAAGGCTTTTTGGCAACGTATCGGTGCGGAGATGAAGCTCCAATTTCTTGCCAACGAGCTTGAACCACGTCAGGGTCTCCTTCTTGTCCATCCACGATCTAGTGCCTTCGACCTTGCATATTGAGTGCATGATGTTTACTGCATTAATGACGGCAGTATACCGGCTCTCTTTGTTCTCGGCCCCCATATCCCCACAATACTTGATCAGCGATTCAACATTGTTGACAACAACATCGCGAAGGGCCCCACTATCTGGGTGCTCCAAGACTTGAGCTAGAAAGCGACCGTATTTTTGGTCCTCGATCTTGCTTAGCAGCAGTAGCCAAACCTCCTTGGGGTATCGATTGAGGTATTCATAAAGGGGGGCTCTGAAAGGGCTATTGCGGGTTCGGCGTAGCTTGTCCTCCAAGTCCAAAACCGTGTCAATGAGTCTTTCCTTGAATTGCTCTGCAGCTGGAGGCAGCAGATGAAAGATGTTGAATACGGCAGCGATGATCTTTACAGCTTCATTCTGCTCAATTAAAGTGAACGATATCCGTTGGAGCATGTTTGGCTCGGCAAGAATTTTGATGTGGTCAAGCAAGCGGGACCCAATTTCAACCTTGAAATACGTCGTCAAGAGTTGCAAAAGGCGAGCTAGGCCATCGAGGCCATGAGTGCTTAAACGACGCGGATCCTGGAGATTTGCGAGCACAGGACGGAGCCCGTTTTGAAGGAGCTCTTTGGGAAGCTTTGTTGTCTGGGATAGGACGACCTTCAAGGCATCGTTCGCTGACTCGATTGTCTGCTTAGACTCTGAGTAAAGGCATTTGAAGAAGACGGATACGATCTTCGTCCGTGTAGGATTGGCAGGACCTTTTTGAAACTCTTCAAAGCCCATCGCTGTAGTCAGCATCTTGATGCAGGCTACTCGAAGAGTGATGATGGACTCGTGCGTTCGGTACTCGGCTGGCTTTCCAGCTAGAGACTCATCAGGGGCGTCTGCTAGGGCCAAGGTTTCCATGAGCAGACGATTGAGGTGATCATCAAAGGGAACAAAGTCATTTTTCAAGCCCATGTAATAAGTGACTGCGTCGATGAAGCCAATCTGAACACCAAAGGGAAGCGCTCTCAGCGGTTTGCTGTAGATTGGTGACAGACAGCGTTCCTTGGTAAACTCAAGCAAGTCATAAATCTCAACCCCGAGCTCTTTCGCGATGATTTCCAGGGCTTGCTTGACTGCTTCGCGGACATGTTTGTTCATATGAGAAAGCTCGGTGTTCAAGATTCCGCAAAGTTGAAGTAGTCGAGAAGCGCGTACCTGAGGCTGTCCTGGTTGAGGTGCAGCAGGAGGAACGAGATCTGCTTTGGAAGCATTCTTCATGCTGCGTCGCAGGAGAATTTCAAGAGTGTCTTGCGCTCCTCGTCGAGTCTTCGCAGGAAGATCAGGAGGCATATCCTTGATGACATACAGGAGCGCTCTTGCAAAATCAATCTGCCGATCTTGGACCCATGCATTGCCCATATTGATGTCAGTAATCATGAAGTTGATGCCCAGACTTCCACCAGCCTTGGTAAACCACTCCTCCTCATAGCAAGCATGGCAAAAAGTGCTGCTGAGATAGGTGAAGAATGACAATCGGAATACATTGTCGGACGACCCAAAAATTGTGGCAGTCGAGTCATAGACTTCTCGGATTGCAAGCTGCGCAGCTTCACGCACTGCAGGCATGTCGGACGATAATGATTGAACTATAGCATCGCCAAGGATTCTGCTGTCGATGAACAGAGGTCCTTCCCCTGCCTTAACATCAAATGGTTGCCTTGTTCGCTTCAGGTCTAACAATGTCTTGCCCACTTCGAGAATAGTGAAGTGTCTGCAGATGTTGGTTAACAGTGCCTGTGCTTCAGCAGAAAATTCGGGAAGGGAGACGGCAAAAATGCAGGCCTTCAGAAGCTTCTTCAGCATCGCATCCTGCTCATCCTTCTTGAATACGGAGCGTTGGCGATCAGAGGACTCCAGTGACGACAGATCGACATCGCACCTTCTTGCCAGCAAATCCTGAGCTTGCAGACGAACCAGTCGTGCAAAATCGTCGGGAAGATTGTCGATGCCGAGGCGCAATTTGAGTTGCGTCTTGACAAGTTGGAGAGCCTGCCTCTTGTAGTAACTATCCGACTTCTTTGCCGCAGCGGCCTTTGGAACCTCCATCAATTTTCCGATGGCAAGGTCGATTCCAATCTCAGCGGGGAATGCTCTGTCTTTCTTCGAGCCAATCAATTTTAGGTCAAAGCTTGTTACATCATCAGAATACTGCTGGAAGGTCAAGGGAGGAGCGCCAGTCATGAATTTTCTGTTACGACCTCCCAACTTGCCTAATATTCGCATTGTTGTATGGGCGTAAAAGTGGCTGTAGGGAGTCGGCCGCAGATGATCAAACAGAGCAGTCATTAGCTCGTCAATAACGGGAGCCATAATCGGGTCCAAATAGTCGGCCGTGAGGTTGTCAACGCAGAGCTCCAACGTCCGCAGCCCTTGGCCGACGAGGTCAGAGCCGGGTCGCAGCGCAACGACGAGAGGCCGCATTAGGTAGCTCAGATGAGGAAGCAGATTGCTCAGTCTTGCTGGCACTGTAAGGCATAACTCTACATAGAGATCACGATCCGCTGGCTTTCGTGCTGCCAAAAGTAAGTTATTGAGGACTTCCAGGAGCATCTCCAGAAGTGGAAGGATTTGTTTATAGAGATGCTCAAACTTCCCGCCGCCGATGCTTCGGAAAAGGGATCTTAGAAGCAGGAAGTAGTTCATGGGTTCTTCGGCAGTTGTTGACAGCTCTATCGATTTCGTAACGATATCAACGACGTGAGGCAGCAGTACCTGTTCATTTGTGTTCGAGAACAGCGTGACAGCCATGAACGCCAATTTGAATAGGCGAAGAAGAATCGATGATTTCTTCACATCAGCAGTGCCCACCTGATCTATACGATCCATGAGGAAGCGCAACAGCATGCCTGCGAAGCTTGGTGAGGTTGCCTCGCTAGCAAGGAAAAACTGTGGAACGTGAAGGAGGGCGGTATGCTCGAAAATCATGTCATAAAGCTTGGGGATTTCCTCATGAAAGACCTCATGGAATGTCGCCGGATCAATACAATGAAAGACTGTGGCAAAGGTCTCTAAAAGGTCCTTCTCCTCCTTGCTGCTGGAAATCATATAGTGGTTTGCCATGAACTCGACCGGTGATGAATACTGAGATTCCGTCGCTGGCTTTTCAATCTCGTAGTATCGAAAGACGTAGGCACCCTCGCGGAACAGCTTCATGATGACCTGAACTTCCTCCGCCGAAAACCCGTACGAGACATCCTGCCAATGAGCCGGGGCGTTGTTGGGATCTATCGGCGTGCCGACATTGCATGCTTTCAGTTGATAAAATGTATTCTTCAGTCCGTTCATGAGATTTTTGAAGAGAAACTTGTTATCAGCAACTGGATCAAGTCCACGATCACGCGGGTTTGATGTTTTGATTGGCATGGCCGTGAAAATGTCAATCTCGTCCCAATCAGGCGGGTGCTCCTTGTCTGCCAGGTACTGCTCAGGGGGAGCATCGATAGACTGGTTTGGGTTGAGCTTGGAGAGCTTCACAGCATTGGGATATTGTCGATTCATGGCGGCAAACTTGTCTCCAATCGCGTTCAGTATCATAATAAGATAATGGCGAGCATCCTGTTTGTTGTGCATTTTCGCAATGCATTCGGCCATATTAAGCAGCAATTTGGCGCTCATGGTCTGGAAGCTGGTGCCCGGAAAGTCATCCTGCAAATTCTTGGTGTACACTTCGACGGTTTTCCGTATCTGTTCCGGCTCGAGCGCCTCTCGAACATGATGAATGAGGTCGGCAAGCATGCTATATGCAAGAGGCCTCATCGTCTCATAGACCGTCAATCCGTCACCAATCAGCGTCTTCTCATCAAGAAGTTCGCCGATCTTGGACACGAATATCTTACGGAAATTGAAATTGATGATGTGTCGAATAGCAACCAATAGTTCTTTGCGCGCCCCAGATTTCTCACGCGGGCAATCCTTCAACAGCCGAACTATTATATTTGGGAGCGTTGGTAAGAAGTCGTTCAGTTGCTGCGAGTAAACACGCAGGAGGTATGCTAGGAAACTCATGGTCTTGACTTGAGCGGTGATGAACTCTCCGAAAGCCGCCCTGTTCTTGATATTTGGGCTCACTCCGGTGAAGATTGTGCCCCGCGCCGCAGCATCAAGATGTGCCTGCTCTTGCGGTTTCGCCTGGAGTAGAAGGACAGTCTTGATGAGGGGCACAAAGAGCTTGACGTTCGGCCCAACAGTTGATCGATATACCTGGAAAATAGATACAACTATGATCGGACACTCTGCCAGAACCTTAAACGACTGCATCCCCTTCAAGAGCGGCCGGGTTTGCTGTTGGGGGTCTGCACCGAGATCTGCCACCGATGCAACTGGCGAACCGGGTCGCGGTGAATTTTGGTAGGCTTGGGAGCTGCCTGGGGTCGACAGCACCACCGCTGCAGAACTATCCAACTGATCCCGCACCACAGACTCCATCTGGTCAAATAGCTCTTGAATGAGGGTCAGAAAAGGCTGCACCTTATCTTCCAGCACCTTGGTCTGGTGCCGCATGATGTCCATAATCGTCTTGACGCATAGTGACGCATTTTCCTCATTATCACATTTCACCAAGTTCATTAACAGATCCACCGTTTCCTTCGCATAAGGTTCGAATGACTCGGGGGGGTTCGTAGGCAGACGATGGAGGATTTCGAGGGTCGTGTTTCGTAATTTCTGCAGAGGTCAGCCTATGCGCAAAGCCCGATATCAGATCAAGGCGCTCACCTGCTCAGCAGATGTGCTGACGAAAACCGGCGGGCCTTTGAGAATGTTGATGAAGATGGGCATGAGCTTCTTCAAGAAGGCTGGGTATATAGGGCCCGAAATGTAGTGCTCAAGGTTGTCGCGCAGCTGCGCTGCGGCCTCAACCCTGATTTTGACATCTATATATACCAATGTCAGCTGGAACCCAATTGGAGAACTCCGCGCATGTGTGCGATCGAAGGGACGAGGTGCAAGATTTGAGCTGCAAAACAGGGCTTCGCCGTACCGGAATCTACAGAGCTTAGTCGCTGCACAACCAGGTCGATAGTGCTCGCAGACATGGCTGCGACATTCGCAATGGCGCAAGCCGTCAATATAGGGACCTCATTCGACAAAGGACGGGCTTTGGGCGTGTGGATTGTGATGCGCCGGGGAGGGAATCGTGATGGGGCAGCCTAGGTAAGGTAACGGTAAAACCTCGCAGGATACTTCGCACTCGGAACCAGATACCTCTAAATAAGTAGAGCGGGAGTAAAAGAGAAGCCTCTTTTGATGGGATTTCGTCTCGTTGCGTGGCGACGTGTTGCGGTGGTAGGTTGTCGTAGGTGTTGTCGTAGTTGTCGTTGTGGTTGTGAATGTACCAGACGAGGCTCTCAGAAAGCGTGTAATTATTATCGCGACTTTCCATCAAGGCGTTGCAACTCGCCGCCTGCCAGGTCGGTGGGCGGTCCATTTGACCCTGAACGGCGTGGTTCACGTGACTTTGACAGTGGATAGCGCAGGGGCACGGATGGCCAATGACACGCGTCAGTCCGGACGTTTTCAGCCAATAATCCGCCCTCGTTTATTGGTGGGCTTCTCACTGCTCGGAAAGGGGCTTAAGGGGGGAGGAATTGGCAACCACTACTGCTATTTACTATCTCAAGTATATTAACATTCAGGATGTAGATGTCGAGAAGAATTTGCTGAACTATTGCTCATATGGCCACGAGACTTGCGAAGTATTTGTATTCGGTCCATTCCGCAAAACGCGTCCCTTGGACTTTTTAATGTATCACAAGTTCTGGCAGGCGTAAATCAATATGGAGGGATATTCACAGTCAAACACAGAGCCATCACCTGCTTCGTGCCAGGACATCAGAATCAGAATAACTGACATACTTATGCTCCAACTACGAACCCATTCTGCCATAGCTGATCATATTTATGGGACTGCTCGCCTCCGCACCCTTAGAGAGAGTTAACAATCGTAGTACCATCTATCCTTCGCCCCTTTTTCATTCATTTCTTCCACTTCCAGACCAGCAGCTTCTTCTTACCCCCGCCACCCTTCTTCTCGGGCCACTCCACCCACTCGACCCCTTTCTCCCCCTCGACCCTGATAAACTCGCTCATTCCCTCCACGACTCTTCTGCTCGCCAAATTCGTCTCCAACACCTTCAAGATAGCGTCTCCAACCCCACACTCCCTCCGGCCCCAATTAACCAGAGCCCTTACAGCCTCCTTCATGATGCCCCGCCCTTGGAACTCCGGGTGCAACCAATACCCAATATTACAGTCCCTATTTCCCTCGCCCATAGGTTCTCCAGATCGGAGGAAAGTAAAGCCATCCTCATCATGCGGCACAAGCGCGACACCTCCAATCCCAGTTCCCTTCTCATCGGGGCTGCCTACCCTGAGACAAGAAAGTGACAATTCGGCCTTTCCACTCCTCACATGCTCAATCCACCACTCGGCATCAGCGAGGGTGTAGGGCTTTGGCGGGCCGATCAGGGCGTTGTTTACGGACTCGATAGAGAGGGCTGCTTGGTGGGTCGGGGCATCGGTGGGGTATAGCTCTGTAAGGTAGATGGCTTCCTGGGAGCGGGTTGTGAGAGCAATATATGGAAGATTGGTGGTGGGTGTGTGGAGGAGGGCGTATTTGCTGTTGCTCGGGTGTTCTGCATTGTGGCTATCTAGGTCTCGAGCTGCCATGATGTCTAAAATCCGGCTTTAGTTATCTTTTGCTTCTCTGGAAGCTGTTTATCTCGGGAGAAGATAGGGATGATATAGATTTCGGAATTGACTCATGCTCGTCGACTTCAACACCGTAGGTAGGCATCGTAAATCCGGCGTTCAATTGGTTGGGCTATTCCGGGTCGCGGCGTTCGTCCGAACTAGCCAATGGGATAGAGAAGAGATCTTATTATACTCCGTAAGACTGATAATGAAGGTGTAAGCTGACGATCGATTCAAGAGAAATAGACGTAGATAGGAAGATGGCAGCTCTAAGTTGAGGGGCGGGATTAAGACCCCGTCGTGGATGATTTAGACATATATATGATCACGCTCTCAAGGTCAACCCGAAGTCCGTACTAACGGCCCTTGGTGCGCAAGCTGGCGGACAGTAACTATGGCAGCTCTATGGCCAAACCAGCTTGGTCCGGGCATAGTTATTGCTGTGATTTGGAAGGTCTCATTGTGCTTATATCATGTTATAAAATTCGTAGCCCCGGCACTCGCGACTGGAGAGAAAGGCACCTTGGACCAACAAGAGACGCGCTGAGTCAACAGCTTGGTTTTAGACATGCCAATGCTGGTGCCGCTGATGAAGTGGTGCGGGCCGGTGTTGCATAGAGTGGTAAGTCATTGAGCCGTTGGAAATGTCTAAAAGAATGGCAATAGTCGTCTCCGAGAAGTTGTAGATGTGACGAGGATGACACTCGATTGAATGTCGAAGTATAAGAAGTATCGGCCTTGGATGAAATCAAGGCCTCGGCACGTGAAGCAGAAATAGATCAAAGTTACAGTACAAGACCTCGCAATGTCACAGCTTTAGGGGTGAATTTACTTCCTAGAACCCCAGATGCTTTGGAATGCAGGGTGCCATCCATAAGAATGAATTGGAACTTTGCAGGCGTTGTTACGACAAGAATAGCAGTGCACCATTGCCCAGCCACGATAATGCAGGGCCTCGGTCCGTCTTATCGCGTCCTTATCGGGATCCCAACATTAGAACCCCAATTCCCCTTGGCAAAAGCGATGGCTGTCCAGGTTTGGGAGGGCAGGCATCAGTTCATCATCCAGAGTCGTCAATACCTTCACGGTTAAAGGGCTAGAGAACCGTCTACAATGGCCGATCGTAAGGCCTTCTTTTACGGTTCGTCCTGTCGCTTCCTCTCATCATGTCTATCCACGGGCCGCTGCTAATATATTCACCTTTTAGGCACTTTGGTTAGCCACACCTCGCCCAATATCCTTTAGAATACTATACTGATATATGCCGTATAGATGGTCCGGGAAGTCTTATATCGAGTATGTTATGGCGACGAGAGGGCAGACAAGGACCCGATTCTCGGACTGCTGGCTGCCAGCCTTACCATTCAACCCGCCATCCTCCACGACTATTGTCGGCACCGGGTCCTTAACGTAGATTATCCGGGGATTGCTCCGCAGAAAGGCCATACTGTGCGAGGAACGTACGTCACCGGATTGACGGACGCTGACATCTGGCGCCTGGATCATTTCGAGGGCAGCGAGTACGAGAGGAGGGACGTCCAGGTTCAACTGCTGAAGAAGGATGGCGAGGTCGGGGCTAAGGAGAAACTTGTGTATGCGGATGCGGAAACGTATGTGTACACGGCGGGTGAGGAACATCTCGAGGAGAGGGAATGGGATTTCGACGAGTTCCGCCGCGAGAAAATGCACCGATGGGTCGGGTCACGTCAGGAGTATGAAGGTGAGTGATGCAGGTGAGGAAAGGACAGGTGGATTGTCAGGCTGATGAGGGGCAGAGGTTGACGAGGCACTTGCACGCAATGGCCATGACCAGACGGGAGGGAGAGGCGTCCAGAATTGTTCATATGGGAGGGAAAGCGAAGGGGACGTTCTGAAGTCGGCCGTTTAACATAGATCCATTGGCCATGGAGACGCGGCATTTTCAGAAGGCTGGAGGCTCGTACATACCGCGTCAGATACCACGTAGAATACAACACATTTGACTCACAAAGTCATCGCACATGATCTCGAGCATTCCGCAGGGCCCAGGCAGCTTGGATCAAGCAGCCTGATCCTTTCCATTCTTCTCCAAAGCCGCATGACGAAACAGAACCCTCTTTTGCATACGAAGTAGCGCCAATGGGGATCAGATCGAGGGGCCACGCCGTTCTGCGCCACCCCGTCACGAAACAATTCAGTTGAGCAGAAGCAGCAGCAGCACGAGGCCTTCGTACTTCCTACATTCTTGCATGAGGATGGCGGGCATCACCGCGTAATCAAAATCATTCGAGCTCCAGTCGAAATGTTTCCACTCACACGGCGGCGTCCAGATTCCAGCGACTCCAAGGGTTGTTGGGGCTGAGCGAACGATGGCTGCCGAACAGGAGTTAGAAGCGGGCGTGCTGTACGCCAGCGGCGAGGACGCAGAAGGTTGATCGACGACGGGACCGACTTAATTGATCCTGCTACTACGGAAGTATACGAGGACCGAGCTAAAAGGATTTTGTGCATTGCTGGCAATTTAGAACCCGCTCGTATATTAAATTATCAACTCGGAAATCGACAAGACCATTCCCAGGCAGCAAGTGTGCATGTACATGCACCGCCACAGCCACGACTCTGGCATGAATGATGAATGATGAATGCTCCGCAAAGTCTGGTCTGCCTTGTGGCTGAGAGGCTGGCGGGGTGTGTATGCAGGGCGAACGCCTCGGTACTACTTTGTACTGGCCACTGGCTACTGGAACGAACGTTTCGATGTTTCACGGCGAGCGACTGGCGGTTGGGTGCTGGGGAACATATCCACACGGACATCAGCGAGGAGAAAGAGAGCAATCGATCTCCGAGGTGCCAGTGCCTCGGGCGTCCCTGGTGAAGATCCGGCGTTTCTTTTCCTTCGACCCAACCGCCTCGAAGGCCAACGACTCAGGAGGCAGGAGGCAGGAGTCAGGAGGGAGGAGGGAGGAGTCAGGAGGGGGAGGGAGGAGTCAGTCAATGCAAGTTACTATTCCTTCGAAGGAAGTGTGCTACGCAGCGAGTGCCTTTTCTCGTGTGCGTTGCGTGGTACAGACTGCCACATGCTGAAGAGTTTCCTGTTTCTTGTTTCCTGTTTCTTTGTGTCTGCAATTGCGTCCAATGATGACCCCGATCCTCAAAAGATCCTCAGATCCTCCTATGATCCCTCCTGGTGAGACGATGGAAGTTTCACGGCACCCGCACCAAATCCCGCCGGAGTGGACTGTCCTGGGGGAGAAGGGGGGCAGATCGGACGAGGAGCTCGGACGAAGAGTCTTCCTTGTGGGCCAGTGTGTGTGTGTGTGTGTGTGTGTGGGGTTCCTATAGGGGTCCTGGTGGTACAGTACCGGTACAGTCCAGTAGTACTCCGTAGTATCACGATGCGCGATTCACGATCCACGATTCATACTTAGCAGCACCGCAATCCAATCACGGAGCGGTCGGCTTTGGCCGGGTCTTGTCTTGGACGTGTGTCAGGTCCGCATTAGGAAAAGGGGACGCCGGGTCGTAATTGGAGGGGAGGAGGCTGTGGCGACGGGGCCAGGGCTGGGCGGCGGCGCAACGCCTATCGCTTGGAGCTTAAAGCCAGAATCTGCCAGATGCCGAGCATTCCCCTGGCCGGCTGAAGGCTAATATAAGATAAAAGATAAAAGAAGACGCCGTGCTGACTATCCGTCTTATCCCACGCCCCCCTTTGCGCCTATCCCCGTGCAGTGCCGTATCACTGGCGCCGGTGTGTGCGGTAGTGCTGTACTTAGTGTAATCCCTATTATTCCCCAATCCCTAATCCCTCTCTCTCGCTCTCCCAAGTACAGCCTCTGCACTGGCTCTACCCAAGGTACACCACACCGAGTCAATAATAGGCTCTCCAGGCTCTCCTGACTCTCCTCCGCCCCAGCGTCAACCCTCGTCCCCAGCATACCCGCCCGATCCCAGCTGGGGGGGAGTAGTCGTCGTCGTAGTCGTCGTCGTAGTCGTAGTCGTAGTCGTAGTCGAAGTAGCGCCGACATGAAAGGGATGGGATGGGATAGGGGTCGGGGGACGACTCGTCGCCATCCCGCCATCCGACCTCGCCCATCGAGCATCGTGAAACAACCGCCTGGCCCAACCATCGCGCTGCAATGCGCTGCTTCTGCGCTTTGAGCTGCCCAGTCGAGGGGCCTCCTCCGCCCGTGGTCACCTCGTACCTCCTACGCACCGCTGCCCAGCCTCCGAACAGCACGAAGTACAGGTGAACTGGGCCAGGTTCGCCATACAACGTAGCACTGATACCCCCCGACTCCCATACGAATACCACATGTACATGTACGGTACGAGCACTCCTCCACTCCTCCAGACTCCTCCAGCGGCCGATCGATCCTCCCGCCTAAAGGAATGCGGGGACATGCTGGGCTGGTGAGCGTTTGAAGGGAGATGGTCCGTAGCCCGTGGTCCGTAGTCCGCCACTCGCTACTCGTAGCACCGAGTACTGTAGAAGCGTCCAGTCGTCCAGTCGTCCAGTCGTGCACAACCCCAGTACCCAGTAGTAACCCAGTCCCTGAGTCCCCTCGTACCTCGTCGACCACAGCCTGTCTGGTCGTAGATTGCCAAGGACCAATTATAGCACATTGGGCCGATCTTCCTGAAGCTCATGCTCCTGTTCCTGTTCCTGTTCCTGCTTCCTGTCCCTGGGCGCGCGCGCAAACGCAGGGGCGAGTGCATGTGCAGGGGCGAGTGGAACGGCCGCACCCCCGGTCAGCCCCCAGTCCTGGGCAGTCCGCGAGCCTGAGTCGGGGTCTGGGAGGGAGAATCGCATCGCATAGGAATATATATAATAGCCACCATTCCCGACCCACCACTCTGTTTCTCCCTCCTCACCACCTTGGCATCCGACCTTCTCACTCTTTGATTTTGATTCTTGATTCTTCCTCGAGGCTAGCCCTCCTGCATCGCCTGTCTTCTTCTGTCTGATCCTCCGTCTACTACGTCTACCTCGACAATTTACCTGTGGCGGGATCGCTTTAACCACATTCCTTCAGCCCTCGATATAACCATCGAACAACACTCCTTCTCTTCGCACTCGGCACCATAAAGCAACGCGGTTGAACCGGTTGTTCATTATCCCTCACGAACAACGAGGTACGTGGAAATTTGGGGCTTGGATCCCAGAAGTTGTCTTTGTGTTATTCACCTCCCACCCGCGCATCACAATAGATCCCGCGTTTCTATTCGTGGCGACTGCACTTTAGCGCTATTATTGTCTTTCAGCAATAGCTGCGATTGTCTATGCCCTTTTATTGTTCAGCAATAGCGCCCACCGCCAATCTTTGTTTTTCCACCTGCATCTAGTGAACAGCCAGAAATCTCTGTTCCTTTTCTTCTATATATCAACATCCGCTTCCGCTTCTAACATTTCTCTTCATAGAACTCCACACCACAGCTACACAGCATCTCACCTTCGAGATCATCACTCTCAGAAAAACACCCACACAGCTCTCTTCACCAACAAGAAAATCATATCAACATGTTGTACTCATCCGCAGCAGCGCTCCTTGGCTTCGCCGCCTTGGGAAGCTCCCACATGATCATGAACACTCCAATTCCCTTTGGAAAATCATCCCTCAACAACTCGCCTCTTCTGGCCGACGGCAGTGACTTTCCCTGCAAGCAACGCGGCGGCGTATACGAGCCCGAAGGAGCCAGCAACCCCATGCCCATCGGCTCAACCCAACCGCTGAAGTTCACTGGGAGCGCAACCCATGGAGGTGGTTCCTGCCAGATCTCCGTCACCTATGATGCCAAGCCAAACAAGAACAGCGTCTGGAAGGTCATCCACTCCATCCAAGGTGGCTGCCCCGCCCAGGGAGTTGAAGGAAACACTGGCAACGACGCCAACGCGGCTAGCCCAAGCACATACTCCTTCAAGGTCCCTTCGGCCCTCCCAGTTGGCGAGGCAGTGCTCGCCTGGACATGGTTCAACAAGGTCGGTAACCGTGAGATGTACATGAACTGTGCTCCCATCACCATCTCTGGCGGCTCTGCCAAGCGCAGCGCCCGTCTCGTGCAACGCGACCAAGCCGCCTTCAACGCACTCCCAGACATGTTCACAGCCAACATCGGCCCTGGATGCGCTACAGAAAACGGCGACTTGAAGTTCCCCAATCCCGGCGCCTCCCTCGAGACGCTCGGAGCCCCAGGTGTGAAGTACTTTGATCCTGTGGGAGCGACTTGCCAAAAAGCAGGGTCTGCCCCAGTTGCAGGATCCTCGCCATCAGCAGATGCAGAAGCCACTAAGTCCACTGCTAAAGCTACTGCTAAAGCTACTGCGGCCCCAAGCCCTCCAGGAGGTGTCTTCGCAACTGTCGAGGTCGGTTCTAAGCCAACTGGAACCGGCGAGGCATCAAAGCCCACGGCAACCGGCGAAGCATCAAAGCCTACGGCAACCGGCGAAGCACCAAAGCCCACGGCAACCGGCTCAGCGCCAACGCCAACTGGCTCAGCACCAAATACTGGCTCTGGCTCAGCTGGAGCATCGGCCCCGGGTACCAAGTGCGCCACTGAGGGAATGTGGAACTGCATCGGCGGGACCTCCTTCCAGCAATGCGCCAGTGGTACCTGGTCCGTTGTGCAACAACTCGCTGCCGGTACCACATGCGCCGTCGGTCAATCCGCTGCTATCGACATCAATGCCTCGAAAGGATCCAACGCCAAGAGGGCTGTCAACTTCTCTGCATAACCGTCTTCCTCACCAGTTCTTATTCGCCGGTCGGCTGAGTACTGATCATTCGCTTTGAGCCGCGCTTGCGGTTTAGGGGGGGTTATAGCATTGCCATGGCGTTGATATTCCGATTCTTTAGACTTCTTGTAAATAACAATTTTTCTTGCTTTCTTTCTTGCCCTTGAGGCTTTACAAATGCATCGGTACCTGCCAAGAATTGTACACCACGTGTTTCATCTGCAATCAGTCACGCGATAGACCAGTCAATAGAACGTCTGAATTTTGAAACGTTTTGAAGCCATGTGAAAATAGAATTTTGTGACATGCTTGATGTAAATGTGCAATGCTGCTAACCAATAGCACCTAGACGAATTAGAACAGGGAGTTGAGGCACACCTTGGCCGTCCATCGATGGGGAGTATCTCCGACTCTCTATGGAGGGAGGCTCGGTGGGGCGATACTAACATAGCTTTGATCACTTGCTACAAGGCGGCTTAACATTATACCAGTATCTGTGAGTATATCTCAGCCTTGTAAATATACCACTCTTCGAATACCAAGCAGACCCCAAATTTTCGTAGCGTGTTGGGCCAAGCACTAGCCAAAAAGCACCTCAATTATAATTTCGGAAGCAGAGTAGGGTGACCTTGTCAAGGCCGCGGCTGCCACTAAAGTAGCTTCGACCTAATTCCTACGTGGATTCGCAGGCGTACGATACGTGTAGATAGTCACGAGTAGCCTTGGTGTAACTCCACTCGAAGCCATTTGTGGACAAATGGTGCCAGCGAAATGGCCAACGATATCATACTCGAATAATTCGTCGAGTCCGGTGCTCAACATTAAGTCGCATATCTCCTAAAGCTTCCAATGGCGAAATTTCGCTGTCGAGGCATTCCCCCGATGAGAAAGACATCTCTGGCTACATCATCCAACCGAATCTCTTCGGCCTCCGAGTATAGTAGATATTCCATTACCAATCGTGGCAGTTTTTCAACGCTTTCCCTTCTTCTTTGTAGAAGAGTCTATCACAAACTCGCCTTTGACAAAAGCATCTCGGGCTACGGTGTTGATGATACTGAATCTTTTCGGCCCTAGTTGATGTCCACCATACCACCTCGTCACGACGACCATGACATTCCATATATCCATCAACTGCATCAAATGGAGAACCCGACCGCCAGCTGCTGTTTCGCCGTCGTCGTCACAGTCCTGGAATGTGACACCGTTGTCGCCTTTTATCCGCCACTAATGACTGGTCATTAGCATTCTGCAACTCCATCAATTGAGGGCAAGAGATCGTGAGAATAAGACTGGTTAGGGTCCGATAGGATAATATACAAGACAAGGAAACACGCTCCGGAAATACAAATTACGGCAACCCACCAAATAACGGGTATTTTACTTACAGCAGTGATGTTGTGGGTGGCCGAGCGGACCTTCTTGTCGCTATCGAGGAGGTGCTGGAGATATAGCTTCGCCTGCTCTGGCGACGAAACTGGTGCGCATCGAGCGACAAAAACAGACTTCAACTCCACCACTACATCGGATTGTGTCCATGGTACATGTTCCCCAATTATAACCCCAGGGTTATTCTCCAATATTGGGGCCAACTCTCTGGATTCCACTTCCGTAGTTGCAGCCGAAACATCGTCGTCTGAGCCATCCTTGCCTTGGGACGACAAGATGCCATTCACCTCCTCAATAACATCGAACAAACAGACTTGGCCAGGCTGGTACAGCCTCCCTAGCATATCCCTGAACACCTCGACCACATGAGCGGCCTCCCCTTTGCGGGCATTGTCTCCAGAGCTCTGCGTTCGGACAGTCGGGGGGACCGCGGGGTATTCGGAGGGAAATTGAAGTCTCAACAAGACGGTTTGTTGTGGGAGATGAAGGATATAGGCGCCATCTTGGTCAGCAGCTGTCAATGTATCATCTCCATAAATGGACTTTATTGCTTCGAGTTCATTTTCTAGATCTTCGTTCATGCTCAGGGTTGGTATCACTGCGGATGCTGTGTTGTTGTTGTTGTTATTGTCAAGCCAAGGATGGTGGAAAAGTCCGGAGAAACAGTTTGTCCGTGTCAAGCTTTACGTAAGGCAAGGTAGGTGATAAACAACTTTGGAGATGTCGAAGATGGAAATAAACAAACATGGCATTTCTAGGACTGTGGTTCGAAGGGCACAGTGCAATTCTACAGGGAGTTGGTCTATATCCCATAGTAACTAGTGACATTGCCATATGTGGCATCGGGCTGGAATTAACCATCGTTAAGTCAATGGGAATAGTTATACGAGATAGGCTTTTCAGGCAACCTACAACCCAAGCCCACCAAGTCAGCTATCCCAAATTCATGCGAGAGCAAGCTACCGGCCAAGGGAAATCGTTATGTGGAGGAAGGTCACCTCGCATCTGAAATATGCAGTACTTTCTCTAAAGGTTTCTTGAATATGAAGGAGAACAAGGAGTTTCAACTTCAAATGACGCCTCTGACATGGATACGGCTTCATCCCAAAAGCGATCACCACTGATGCAATAAATAATCTCCAGGACAGGCCTCTGACAAGGCTAAATCCCCCTGAACCACCTCCCATAGCCTGACATCTGGTAACCTGTCGATACAGCGACTTGAAAATTAGATCGGCGAGAAAAGAGGCAACGCGTATGGTTCCTCCTCCCTATTACTTCCATTGTTCATTATCGCCCAGCCAAGATCACCCACCCAAGGCCTTGCATCAACTCCATCACCAAAGGAGTTGGAGTTCCATCGTAGGATCTAACGATGAATTTTTTCAGTGAAGAGATAGCTTTCAGCTGCACGTCAATTTGCGACAATGCCTCTCGAATGAACTACGTGTCGTCGTGGCTTGCACTGATCAGACGGCTGGAATTTCGGCTATGAATGAGAGTTTCCAGCGTCGTTAGATTGGTACACTTCTCTTGAAGAAGCTTCAAACTGTACAAATCATCTTCCCTGAGCATGACTTTCCCTGGTTGACCTTCCACATTCTCCGCGACGGGGAAGTTGATGCATAGGTGTGACAACAGACTTGCGTTCACAGACCCGATGCAGTTGAGAAAGGACTGTAGGAGACCACCTTGGTGCTGCGTCGTATCCAGGAAATTAAAATCATTCAAACCATAGCACTGCGCAAGTCTCGTCGTGTACCTGTCGGTTGGTATACAGCAGTGCAAGCCATCGAAATGGTCTTTCTGGCGCAAAAGTCTCTACCACTTGAGAGCCTGTGTCCTGGAAAATATAGAGTGGGTGCGCCACGACGAGCACCCTTCTGTAGATATTATTGCGGACGTCGCCAGGCAAGCTGAAAAGGTTGATTGGAGCTGAGCTTGTTTGCTGTGAGAGAACGCCCTTTCCGATCTCGGGCCCGACTCGAGAGGACGGTCGTAGGAGGGGGACCTGAATGTCAGGCGATGTCGAAGTGTGTATGCTCTGTTGTTCGGAATCCATAGCAAGATGAATCGCGAGTGCAGAGTATTCTGAGAGATGTAGCAAGGCCAAGGAATCTTATGGACTTCGGATGGTCAGGCAAACACTGGGGATGCCAGGCGATTGACAAAGAAGAAGTACTTCGTAGCGAATTCACAAGTGGAGGTTTTGATAGCTACCTGGTATGTATCAGTTGGATATTGCGAACAGTGTCTGGTTGGGCGACGCGGCATCCACATCCACTTCCTTGAGATGGTATATATATGTATGTATAATGATCAAGCATGCATCTGTGGATGCAGTCTGGCCTTGAAGCTATAATGTAAGAGCAGAGAAGAGAAGAGAGAGAGAAACTGGAGGAAGAGCTGTTGGTAGATGTTGGGGCATGGGGCAAGGGGCATGGGCCACGACATGGGGCGCGGGGAAGAGTGCAACCCAACCCCCAACCCAATTACAAAGGTTGATCGTGCAGGACGATCATTGGCGCCGATCTGCACTCTGCACGCTCCCGATTAACTCATTCCGCTTTGGTCTCAGTCACTGATAGGTACCTAGGTACATGTACCTAGTGACTTTAGGTCATCTCCCGCTTGGAGGTGCGTTGCTTTGCCTTTAGCTAGAATCCATACTCATATATTCATATATTCATATCCATTGCTCTGTTACCACCTCTACGTACACGTATCGAGTGGCATCGGCATCGGAAATCCACCTACCTCGAATGTGTAATCATTTTCTTGACAAAGAAATAATTATAATTATTCTGATTGGGTCTAAACGCAGCTGATCTCTCACTCATTGACACTGACATCCTCCAATGAGACTACTAACCGACAACTTAATTTCCTGGAGTTTATCTATATACCATTGTTTACATAACCGTTGGGGTTTTAGTACCCCCCTCTATAGCTTGCTCTTGATCTCCGATCTATTCAAGAATTCCTCTACCTTAGCGAACTGGTAATAATACTCCAGCGACTTGGGATTTAAAAGCGTCCCACTCGGCTTAACAATCTTCCCCGAAACAATGTGCTTCACAGGGAGCTCAACCTTCTTTAAATTGACCGTTGTCTGTTACCCATTAGTTATCATCATTTCTCACTCCCACTTCCCCAGGCAAAAATTGAAAAGGGGGCCACTCACAGGAATATCGGGCGTCTCAAAGATATACTTTGGCACATGCCGCTTACTCAACTGACTCCCAATCGCCGTCTTTACATCCCTGACCAGGCTCTCGGTAAACTTATGGCCACCCCTCATGAGCAGAAATAGCATCACGCTCTCATCGGCATCGCCCTCCCTTCTCTGTCCTACACAAATACTATCTGCCACCCCAGGGAACTGGCCGCTCTCAAGAACACCATATATTTCCGCACTGCCGAACCTTACACCAGAGGGATTCAACACGCCATCTGCGCGGCCCAGGAAGAGAAGCTGTTTTGTTATTGGGTGAATAGCAGCGAAATCGCCATGTGTCCAGACAGAGGTATATTTTGCGAAGTAGGCTTGGAAGTAGCGAGACGATGAGTGAGGTGATTGGAAGGGGTCGTTCCAAAAGTAGACGGGCATATTGGGGAATGCTTGGGGTGCTATGAGTTCGCCTGCTTCGCCGTCTGAAATCTGTTGTCCGTAACCAGACGCAATGGTGCTGTCATAAATGGAGACGGGGGTGCCGAGGCTGGGCCCTTGGGTGCCACCTACGTAGACAGGGCTTAGGGGGTTTTCCTGTGAGCCGTTAGACAATCTATTTGAATGGATTGTAGGATGGATTGGAGGTGGGAATTACTATGCCAAAGCAACCTGCCTGTACAAGATAAGATGTTAGCGACTTAAGTTACTCGAGTTGTGCTTATGAATTCAACGTACCAAATCCGTCCCACCAGAGATATTCGCCAGATGAACATGTTTCGGAAATCCTACATCATAAAACCACTCAAACAACTGATCCGAAAGTACCATACCCGTGGAACAAACAGCCTTCAAACTTGAAAGATCAGCAATATCCCTTGGTGAGATCCCATTCTTCTGCAACTCATGCATCCACTTCGGACTAGTGCCTAACTTTGTAACCTTCTGGTCTCCAGTCAACTTCACGAACGTGGTGAGGTCGGGTTGAAAGGGACTTCCGTCATAGAGCACCACCCGTGCCCCTGCTATAAGGTTCGCGACAGAGGCGAGGTACATAATCCAGCCTGTGGTTGTGTATTGAAGTACCACACTCTCGGGACCAATCTCCCCATGTAGTTTCCCTTCTTTGGTCGAGTTCGCAAGACAGCCTCCTACGGAGTGGACGATACACTTTGGTGTTCCAGTGGTCCCGGACGAGTAAGCGATAAAGAAGGGGTCGCGAAAGGCAACTTGTTCGAATGCTGGAACTGAGGATGCCGAGCCTTTTGCAACCTCGAGAAAGCTGGCGAGTGTTCGTGTTTGAGGTACATGGCTGATATCTGCTGGCTGAGAAAATCGAGGCATTGATATCATTCCAGAGAACTCTGGCAAGTTATCCATTCCACGAACAACCTCTGACATTTTTTGACGTAGATCAACTTTCTTCCCATTATAGATGGCGAAGTCATCCATAAATATATACTGTTTAAAAAATAAGTTTCAAGTCAGAAGGAAATTTAGGGAATTGATACGAACCTTAGGTGTAACCTGCGTCGTTCTTTGCAACACGCCTGACACCCCCATATCCGTAGAACTGCTGCTGAAGAGTCCACCCAGCGTAGTTATAGCTAAGAACACCTTCAGCGTGTCCACAGAATTACTCGCCACAACCACAACCCTATCCCCCTTCTTCACACCATGGGCTTTCATCGCCACTGTCAATTCCGCAACCTCCTTCCTGAGTTGCCCCCAACTCACATGCCGTATCTCGGTCGCACCCTCCCGCACCTCGGTGACGGCAATCTTCTCATCTTCCTTCCCGATCGTCCCTCGCTCGGACGTCGATGCTCCAGGAACTCGTGAGTACAACATGTTCTCGGCGAAATTCAAGCTGACGCCTTCGAACCAGCGCGGTATCGTTTCAATAGATGCAGATTCATCAACGACTTGTTTATACGAGCCGCTGTGAATGATATCCAGAGACTGGAAGCATTGATCCCAGAACTGTGCACGATTTGAGATGGAATATTGGTAGAGTTCCCAAAATGTCTGAGGTAGATGTCAGCACGTGATATAGGACAATGCAATGGGAGACATTTTCTGTTGTTTCTGTACATTTAAATTGAGATTGTGCTTTTGATTAATCTGCTGCATCATTTTGTACATCTCTGTGCTTTCGGGGTTTGGGTGCTTCCAGAGCTCTCTGGGCACCGGCATGTTGACCGAGGCCATTTTGGGCCAACTAAAGAATTGACAACAGCGTCTTGGAGGGGGGAGAGGGGCAAAATATAAAAGATGCAATTGTAAGGAATGAGTTGTTTCGTTTTGGGAATTAGAGGCGATATGGATTCGAAGGTATAGTCAGATATATGTACTGGTCAAACCCGAGATCGCAGCAGGTACAAGTGTAACCGAGTAGAGTACCGAGCACCGTGCGGGGACCCGAGGCCCCGATACTTAGTTTTATATATTACCTAGGTACAAAGGTAGGTATGATTATGATATGGCCAGCTATTTCGCTTTTAGAATCGAAACAAAACACGGCAGATTTTTGGTGATTCGGCAGATCCTATCTTACATACTTCGAAGCAGCTCCAAGTCTTGATTCGGCTGGTGTTGATATTACCCCGAAAATATTAAATTTACAAGCACCACAATCCTAATATTCTGTTCGCAGATGCCCTGATACCCACATCTTAGACTCCTGTCACAGAATATTTTCCTCCCACTTTCCCCCCTTAACGCCATACCTCCAGGCCATATATCCCACCATTCCCGCGACACTTCCAGCACCAAGGCCACCAGCCAGCCCCTTCCACCTCAACTCCCCCACCTTGCCTCTCACAACCGCCGCCACAGTACCTGTAGCCATTCCTACATAAGTCCAATCATCACACTCGACCTGCCCCCTATTCTCCAGCAGTCTCCAGCTCCTATCCTGCCATTCGATCTCGTCCTTCCCGCGCATCATCATCGGCAACGCCACAGCCAGAATACCTGTTCCTATCACGGTTCCGATGCCCGTCGATCGTAGCAAAGTAGTGGTAAATGTCGAGGGAGCGATTCGCGGTTTGAGGATTCCAAAGTGCCGCAAGAAGAAGATGGATGCGCCAGCGCCGGTGCCTAACACAGAGCCGGCCTGAACAGCACGCGTGAGGACGTGGGTATAGAGGATTGCGTGGGAGAAGGGTTGATCTTCGGCATAGGGAGAATGAGGCCAGAATCGCGACATCGTGGAAAAGTTCAGGGAGGCTTAACAATATCGCGGGCCCTCGTAGATCGTAGCTGCAGCTACTTGGTGTCGTGTGGTGGTTCGCAGCTAGAGGTGCTTTGAGATGTGAGTAATTCAGGCGGTGGGTTAGTCTGACAGTGTGACAACAACTGCTATATCAAAGAAAACAGAGGTGAAGCTGATAGCCATTCCTTTATACTTAATTCTGCCATGGTTCTGGCCTGACACTGGGTTATAGGCTGTCTCGTTGTGGAATTCGATGTGGGGAATTGGACTGATTCTGTTGATAAGGAAGCAAGTGCTTACGGCGGCGGACTCTCACAAAGCCCGACCAGACCATTGCTGGGATGCTAACTAGGGGCATACGTACGTACTGGAGTAACTTGTATTAATCACCCAGTCGTTAAGTACACACGAAAGTATGTAGGTACTAGGTACTTAGGTACATATAACTAGTACAATATGCACAACCGCGTTAAATTAACATTTCCATCTTTCTTACCGTGTACAACTGTCCAGGCACTTTGGATTTTGAGGGCCAATTATGAATTTGCATGGCAACGGTTTTGTAACGAGTAGATATCTAGCTTTCCTGAAAATGGCTCCCTGCCAGGCACTGAGTTAGTAGGCTGCTTTGTCCTCCCACAGGAGTAGACCTCAGAGTCAAGACATATAGCCATAGCTCTGTATCCTCCCAGCAACTTGAATTTAATACTCCTTGCCGCGCCGCTGTTGGGGCCTAAAAATACTTGTCCAAACGCCAACCCATCCCTCTCCGCGCCATGAATGCAATGCATATGCCATTAATCATCATCAGCCAGGTCCATAAGAATATTCCTATTCCCACCAAAGCCGCCGCCCATCCTTTGCCTTTCTTTGCCCTTCCCAGCTCTTCTCTTGGCAAGAACCTGTGCTGCCTCGACCTTTTTCAGCGCCAATTCTCTTTCAAAATCATCATTATCCTCAATTTCTTGCGCACCACTTGTGCCACCACCAGCAGTTTCTTCAAGTGCCTTGTTCAACAGTTCCGTGGCGATGGCATCTTGAGGGGAAATTGCCAAAGCCTCGTGGAAAACATAAACGGCGTCATAAGATCGTTTTTGTTCCATCAATACAAGGCCTTTGGCACAGAAAATAGCAGGATCTTTGCCGCCCTGGCGTAGGACCTCGTCGAATTCGGCCAGCGCTAGGTCCCATTGCTGAAGCCTTCGGTAAGCGTGGCCAAGATTGGCTCGTGTTGAGATCCAAGCTTGGGAATCACTATCAATTTCGTCCGCAATCTCCAACGCTTTAGTGAGCATGGTTACCGAATCTTCGAGTCGATCTTGATGGTAGAAAACAACGCCCATCTCATTGAGGAGTAAAGGATCGGTTCTGCACAGTCCATAGGCAGTCTTGAGGAATTCATCCGCAAGTGTCATGTTGTTCAACAAGTGGTTTTGCATCCCGAGAAAGAGCTGTGGGAGATGTGTACCCATAAAGAGCCTAGCGGCCGTTGAATATGCTGAAATGGCTTGATCGTGTTCGCCTTCAGCAGCGAATGTATGCGCAAAACCAATCCATGCAGGTCCGAAATGGGGGTCCATCATGCTCGCTTTGCTAAAATACCGACGAGCCTCCGCGATTTTATTGATCGCAAGATAGTATATACCAACGGCGAGCCAAGAACACGGCTCTTCGGGGTGGTTATCCGCTAGGTCATGAGACACGAGGAAGAGAGCGTTCTTCAGCCCGAGCTCGTAGAGACAAGCCAAGTGCAGAGGGTATATGCTGAAATTGTATTTATCGGTTTGAAGAATGGAATTGGTGATTGCCAGTGCATCCTTAAATCTGCATTGGGTAAAGAGGAGATCAGCTTTCGCGAGGAGAAGATCTGGGTTGGTGGCGAGATTATAATGCGTGGACAGTGTTTCTGTAGCTGCTGTGAATGCAGTTGGGTTCTTATACTTTGACAGTCTTGTCGTGTATAGCATCTTGGTGAACTCCGCTGCCTCCTGAGACGAGGATGGGTTGTCCGAAATGGAGATAGCGTCAAAGTCAAGAGATTCAAGGAATTGCCATTCCTCATCTGGTGACATTAGGCAGTTTTTCATAAGCTGTTCGAAAGCCTCGAAGCACTGTACGTCTATGCGGACGGCATCTTTGTAGCATTCCTTAGCCCGGTCGAATGCGTTTTGTTTGGCGTAACACTGCCCTCGGAGGAAGCACATTGCGGCTTCAAATCTAATGTTGGCCGCGTCTTCTTGTGCCGCCTCGTCCCTGCTATCATGACTCTCTCTCTCGGGTCTGCTTGTTTTGCCATGGTGTGTGAGCCCTGACCGGCCGGTTCCGCTGGTATGCTGTAGTTTCCGCCGACTGTTACTCGAACTTGTGATGAGGTGGGTGGGGTTCTTCTCCCCGAGGACGTTGAGTGCCTCTTCGAACCTAGATTGCTTTATTAAGCAGTGGCCGGCAAGATATCGACATGAGGGATTCCGAGCGATCAGGTCTTGCTTTGAGAGGAAGCTTTGGGCCCTAGTGTAGTTGCCGGTGGAGAAATGAACCTGGGCAAGCCAGAAGGCGTCTTTGTCATTCCCTGGAGCCAGTATTAGCATGCAAGGGTAAAGACCTTGGTAACTATATAACTGAGGAATAAATCGGTGCATTACTTGTTAGAGCGAGCAGCTTGTCGCCGATAAATATCGCTGAATCGTACTGGTGTTTATTCAAGGCATCCTGGCGCCAGTCCCTTAGAAAGTCCTCCATTCCGCGAACGAGGCATTCGTGATAGAAATGGCGAAATCATAGGTTGTAATGCATAAAAGGTAGAGCCTAGAGCGACCTTTGTAGGATCGAACTCTACTTGCAGTAGGCTGGGGATTAACAGTGTAGCCCCTCCGTCGCGCTTCTGTCATCGAAGTCGCGTTCCGGGAGACGCAAGGCTGACGATTACTCGTACCTATGTACCTTGTCTTGGCTTGCATGGACGAATCACGTGAAAAGCTCGCGCTTATGACATCTACTAAATCCATCCCGCCTCCATTTCCATGCCCCTCTTCAACAACATCTCCATATTCCTCTCCATCTACCTCTCCATCTCCGCCAATAATCCCCCATAGGTCGTCCCGCAACACACGCTTCTGCAACTTAACAATACTGGTTACATATCTTGATTTCAAGCCCTCTCAGACTTGACCTTTCCAGCTGCGATACTTGCCCGAGACGGGACGCTCAAAAGTCCAAACCTTGAACACGTATACCCTCCCAACAGTAGCCCAACATGGCAGAGCGCAAGGTGCTTTCGAAGTATTTCCCACCGGACTTTAATCCATCCTTGATTGTTCGAACACGAGGCCCAAAGCAGGTCGGCCCCAAAGTCCAAACAGTGCGGCTTATGGCGCCTTTTCCCATGAAATGCACTGCCTGTGGAGAGTATATCTATAAAGGCCGCAAATTCAACGCACGCAAGGAGACCACCGAAGAACGATACTACTCTATTCCAATTTACCGCTTCTATATCAGATGCACGAGATGGTGAGTTGCACCTTTTGCCAGTTCAGGTTTCCCTTGGTTAAATAACATAAGTTTCTGATTATTAAGTAGTTCGGGAGAGATTACATTCAAGACTGACCCTCGCAATATGGATTATGTGAGTGAGAGGGGTGCAAAGAGGAATACTGAGCCGTGGCGCATGAACGGTGGCGGCAAACAGGAGTCCGATGAAGAGAGGCTGGACCGCTTGGAAAGAGAAGAAGAAGAGAAGAATGCAATGCAGGAGCTTGAGACCAAGACCCTCGATGCAAAGAGAGAGATGGCCGTTGCTGATGCGCTGGACGAGATTCGGACACGGAATGCGAGGAACGAAAGAGTGGGGAAGGACGGGCTGGAGGTAACTGTTGTGAGGGAGAGCATCGACGAAGAGAGGCAACGGCAGGAGCAGGAGGACGATGAAGCCGCTCGACTGGCGTTTATGAAGCGGTACGAGGCTATGGAAGAGATCGTCGTCGATGACGAGGATGATGACCAAGAAGCCGCCCTAGAAATGCCGCCACCGAGTTTCAAGCGTGTGAAGAAGAAGAAGAAGGATCATGCTGCTGCTTTGGGGATCAAAAAGAAGCCATCTCTGGTCTGATATGTGGGCTGGCGCTCTGGACATCGAGTGGCGTTAAGGCATGGCATATTATATCGTACGGCATCCGCAGAGTACTTGTTGACTTTATGCAAATTATCGCGAAAGTCTCAATGAATTGTTCTACTGGTTATTCCGGCTGGCAGTGTTTGTTCATGGACTATTGACTTGGGGGTATGTGAAATCGTTTTCCCATGTGCTTGTCACTCGTGGTGTGATGGCGAAGAAACGGTTAGTCGACATTCTCGACCAATTACCTAGGTTAGAGCCATCCCCATGAATCAACAAGCGTTTCTCACTGTTAGTTTGGCTCAACTCTCCTCCTATCAATACCCTGTTCATCCCTCAACGCGACCGGGCCATTCTCGTCGCATGTTTTGGCAGCATTAAGCTAGTCCAGCTCTATACCTCCGTGCTCTGAATCCCAACTTGGCGGGTCAAATCGTCACGCCGTCCAGAATCCAAACCACCGGAAGCCCACAACACACATTAGCACCGCAAGCCCCTTTGGTGCCAATAAGGTGCAGGACATTCATATCATTTGTCATGCGATGGATAGTATATCCGTATGTCTTCAGCGGAATATATGCTTCGATGCCCGCTAACAGTTTCTTTCGATCTCCTGGAGGGGCTACGAGTGCACGCTCAAAATATCCATGGCATAATACGTGCGCCACTGCACAACAAAACTCGGTTCGATAAATTTAGGGGTTTTCCCGAAGGTCGTTACTGGCCTTCATTGCTAGACGCCAACCATGAGAAGTTTCCCACCATGAACAGTTATACGAGGCATGCTCTTTTAGCTTAGGGTAATCTGGCCGACACTGTGCCTGCATCATTTCCCTGGAGATGTTCCTTAGCCTAGTCTAAAATATGAGGGTTCCCCAAAGATGTAGTTTCCTCCTAAGATAGTGTTCTTGGAGTTATTCTTGGCCCAAGGTTCTGGCTGATCTAGGATATCAGGCTACTATATGCTTCCACGGCCCCCAGACAAACTTTTGATTACTTTGATATGCAACCAGTTCCTGTATAATCTTATGTAAATAATGTGGCCATATAGGCATATCTTGGGAAAACGGTAGGACGTTCACAGGATGAAGTTTCATGTACAGGCACAAGATTCAGACTAGATCCTAGCAGCTTTGAAGACCTATTCTTACAGAAACCCCAGAGATAGCAATGACAAATGCCTTCCTAACATACAATTTGCTCCCTTCGTTATTGATCACTCCATCGCCACCTTTCGCCCTCCTTCAACAAAGGCTATGAATGATGATCTAGTTGGCTTACATCTATCAGCGCTGACTCCATACCTGATTTCACCTCGCCTCAACAGCAGAAGATGTTAATTTCTTTATTAGTTAATCTACTCGAACTTCGCTAGCGCTAAGCTAAAAATCTGCACAAACTGCCATACCTCCTCGTATGTGTTATACAGCGGAACAGGCGCAACCCTTATAACATCTGGTTTCCGCTTATCAACCACAATCCCTGCATCCTCTAACATACCCATTAGCACATCCATCCTTCCAGGTTTAAGCAGAATGCTCAGCTGAGTGCCTCGAGCCTGAGGATTAGAGGGAGTTGTTATTCTGAAAGCGCGAGTGGTGGAATCTGTGCCTGAAAGCAGGAGATACTCGAGGTAAGCCGTGAGTGTGACAGATTTCCTCCTTATATCTGACATCGATGTCTGATTGAAGACGGAAAGTGAAGCGCATAGTGAGGTGAGGTCGATGACCGAAGGATTGGAAATCTGGTAACCGCTTGCTCCTGGGCTAGGACGGAATTCTACCCCCAAAGTTAGCTATGATCTGTCCCAATATCGTGTGCAGCTTACTGTTATCCATGTTAAATCTCCCGACTTGGTCCCCACCGTACCAACCTGATAAACGATGTCGGAAAATTGGTTTATCTTGGCCTTCGATGTACTCGACAGTTCCATGTCTCTCGTGCACAAAGGCACCTGCAATGGCCCCAGGGCCCGCATTCATATATTTATACGTGCACCACGCGGCAAAATCAACATTCCAGTCATGCAATTGCAGAGGTACATTGCCAGCTGCATGAGCCAAATCCCAACCCACGACCAAACCCTTTGACTGCGCATATTTGGTGATTGTTTTGATATCGAAAAATTGGCCAGTATAATATTGGATTCCAGGGAGAAGAATCAATGAAGTAGACGAAGCGTGTTTGTCAATAACCGAGAGAATCTTCTCAGTAGATACCTCGTATTCGCCGTCTTCGGGTCCAATCATGATCATTGATTCAGCAGGATCATAACCGTGGCCGCGGATCTGAGATTCGATTGCATAATGATCACTTGGGAAGGCTTTCCAGTCCAGAATAATCTTATTTTTCGACGAGGTTGGAGTATAGAAGCTGGCCATGAGCAGATGGAGATTAACGGTCAGACTGCCCATCGTGGCCACTTCGTTGGCAAGGGCACCGACTATGGGAGCTTGTTGCTTTGATGCATGTTCAGCCAGGAGTTGCCACTGTGTTAAAGGAGAATCTTCCAGCTCTCTGAAGTGGCCGTGGACACCAATTGTGGCCCATGTGGTCAAATAGGCCTGCAAATACTCTGCTGCTGCACGAGGCTGTAAACCTAGAGAGTTTCCGCAAAAATATATACATTTCTCCTCGTGGCTTTTGCTTTCGTCTAAAATGGGGTCAATAGATAGAAAAAGGGTGTGAAATCACATGATGGCCAGGATGGAAGGGGGAAAGTGGCACACACCTGGCTTCGCCAATTTCTTTGTTTTTGTGTTCAATTTCGACGGGATGATAAACTTCTCTCGGAACGACCGCAGATGATCCTTTGCATCAAGTGATTGCGCATATTCTAGTGTCGTTGCCTCAACTGGGAAGGCTGGCTTCCCCAGCTCTAGCTGTTCTTTGGCGATGGAAATCGACCCCATTTTGCTGCGACGGGATGAAGTTGGCCGGAATTATCTTGAACTCCTCACGGTGACTGGTAAGAACAGCAATGCTTCCCTCGCTCTGCACTTTGTATAGCGCTCTCATCACCCCATTCTTACTTCCCGGAATATTTATTTATGTCTTCGATGAATGATTACGCCTACCCACAAGCAAGGGAGGCAGTGACCCGTCCCTCTCCCACATCCGTTCCGCTTCCGCTTCCGTGGTCGATCCGTTTCCGTTTCCGCTTCCGTTTCCCCTTCAGCTGTCGCATCCGCCACAAGGAAGAATCGCTACGATCCAATCCCCTGGTTTGATCACTTCCGCACTGTAGCGGCATAGTTGCACTACCGGCGAATTACCTCACGCCCGCCCCGTTAATGTTGGCGAGGGTTTCGCAATTGGCGTCACTTAGAGACATTGGCTTGTCTTGTCACACCTCATTTTTCCTTTTGAGGTTTCCTGATCGGCACCAGCCTCCCTGGCAGAAGGCTTGGTAATGCTTAAGCTATTCAGCTCTTCGCCCGTAGTAAGGCCTTCCCCAAGGATTCTAGTATCACTTGGTAGTTTACATAGTTAGCTAAGTTGTCGTATGACTGAGCAATCGCCGCATTGCTCCCGTCATATATATTCCGCTCGACTCCACCCTGGAGCTGTTCTACAGACTTCATCAATGATACTCGCCCCCTTATTTGCACTACAATTCCAAAATCCCCTTCAAAGTCTCCCACCATGTTGCCTCCGTCGAGTACCCATCTGGCGGAATTCGAAATATCTTCTCGAAATGGCTTCTTACCCGACCAACCACCTCTCCAGAAATTGGACGATACATATTATGCGAGTTGGGAGGCAATAATTGGAGACCTTCCGGGCCTGCTCAACTCAAGCTCCTTGAGAAATGAGGTTGACCACTTACCTATCCTCTCAACCTCCCGGTTAAGGTCGGAAAGAGAATGGCAACGAGCATATCTCATCCTATCATTCGTGACACATGCATATATCTGGGAAGCTCCAGGTCCATCGGAGGTAAGGGTTTTATTATGCCCCTTATAGCACTTTGGACGTTATCTTACAAACATCCAAGCGGTTACCTCCATCAATATCCGTACCCTTCTTGAAAGTATCCTCCCATCTCCAACTTCCGCCAACTGCAACATACGCCGCCCTCAGCCTCTGGAACTTCAAATCGTCCAATACAGATTGCGATCTAAGTCGAATCGAGGACCTCCAAGTCCTGCATACATTCACCGGTACCCAGGACGAGGAGTGGTTTTATCTTATCTCCGTCGCAATTGAAGCACAAGGTGCTGAAGCTATTCCGTTAATGTTAAATGCCATCGATGCGGTCGAATCAGATAACTCGCCGATGGTTATAGCGGCATTGAAAGAATTCTCCTATCTCATCCGGAAGATCAGTCTACTGCTCAAGAGAATGCACGAAAAGTGCTCCCCGGAGATATTTTACAACGAAATCAGACCTTATTTCGCCGGGAGTAAGAATATGGGATTAGCCGGCCTTCCAAATGGAGTGTTTTATGATGAGGGAGAAGGAAATGGGCAATGGCAACAATATAGCGGTGGGAGTAATGCTCAGAGCTCACTAATACAGTTCTTTGATATCGTTCTTGGGGTTGAGCATTTCGACGTCAAGGGGACCAAGGGTTCGAAACATGGATTTCTTCGGGTGAGCTATATTCATTGAGATACAGGGGTGAAACAATGGCTAACACTTAAAAAGCAAATGCGAAGCTACATGCCCGGTCCTCACTGCAGCTTTCTAGAGCACCTGGAGTCTATCGCAAATATACGAGCATACGCCGAACAAACAGCTGTTCCCGAAGTGACCGAGGCGTATAATTTTGCGGTCAAAGAACTAGAGAGTTTTAGGGATATCCATATCCAGATTGTTGCGCGGTATATTATTATGCCATCGAGACAACACGTATCTACTGGGCATCGGGGTGTGAATCTTGCGATTGCGTCGGCAAATCCAGATGTGAGGAAGGACTTGCATGGGACAGGTGGAACGGAATTAATGCCCTTTTTGAGACAGAGTCGGGATGAGACGAGGGCGGCAGCTTTGAGTTGATATTGAATGGCATGTGGATAGATCAATGTAAGCTTCTCTGGTCAGTTGGTTAGAAAATATATAATATCTGCTTTTCCTCTTATTCCGTGATGTGCCTTTGAGCTCCATCTCTACTAAGTGATACAACTCGTCTCGTAGTGAGACTAAGCCATACAGTGTCGTCTTTTAGTCACGGGACTGGCCAGAATTTTGCTGAGGCGGGATTGATTAGAGTTTGCATTGAGCAGGCAGAACTTTCCAATTCTACACACAAAGCGAAATTAGTGTCGTCGAATGACAGTCGACCTTCCCACCTCTCCTAGTGTGGAGTTTACCATATCAGAACCTCGGAAGCGGAAGCGGAAGCGGATGTCGAAACGGAAACCGGATGAGCTTCGGGACCAATAAGTAATCCCAACCTTAACAAGAGCTCGGCTTAGGATGACCCTATGTGATAAGGCCGCACAACCCTCCACCGGCCACAGAGAGTACTGTAGGCAAGATGGAAACGGCGCTAGAGAACCTGCTCCCTCGAGAGGCCGCATATTATATTGCTTCTTTCTTACGCATCAGATCTGAGTAGGAGCCCCGGCGAGAGGTGGAACCACTGCGTCACACTGGAAGAACTGTTCAATCCATCCCAAACTTTAGATCCAGATGCTCTTACCTTGCTCATGAACTCCACGTATATCGAACCTAGGTGCTTGGGCTTCGGAATTCGGGTGTCCCGCAAACAAGAGGCGAGTGAAGCTAGAAAGAATTTGACTGGGCGCATAGGTTTTTGAGAAATGCTGAAGACTCGTTGTAAAAGGTGAGGAATGAGAAGAGGAAGCTGACTTGAATAGATATATGGATATGATATGCCCAGTGATATCGAGGTTTGAATAGTTATGGAAGTTGGGGCTTACCCCTCAAGAAATAAATACTCCCCACCACACAGGACCAACTCCATCATATATTAAGAGAATTTTATCTACCTTTGCTTGCCATGCGCCAGAAAATATTATATGTGCTACCAAAAGTAACACTCTTAAACTGTCATGTTTAACAGCTGGAAACATTTCGAGCACTCAGTAGACGTTATAATGGGCTACCACCCCAAACTTAATAACCATTGCGAGTATAACACCACGAGAGCCATTTTAAAAGCAAAATCGCTGTGGTGTTATCGTGTTATTGCCATGACCGTCTTGACGCGAGTCTCCTCCACCGGACCTCTTAAAATAGCTTACTAAGCTCATCATAGATTTCACTGCTCCGTTTGATCTCAAGTTCGAGCGCACATGCGGCACATCGTAGATCAAGGGATGAGCTTCCCTTATGGCAACAAACAAATAGGGCTCTAGTCAAGCATCTATGCAATTACGTGTCATGTCGTCGCCTATAGAGCGGCCCGCCAAACGTGTACGACAGGCTTGTGAGCCTTGTCGGTGAGTGACCACTCATCATCTACTCGCCCTCAATGTTGAAAATTATCTAAGGAAATAACTAGTCGAAAGAAAGCGCGATGCTCGGGAGAGAAGCCTGTTTGTTCGCACTGTTCACGATTGCGACAAGCTTGCATTTACGCCGACGAGCGACATGAGAATGGGCCATCTCTGAGGAGTGCTTCGCCCACCCCACAACCTCGGACATCGAGGCAGTCGACGACACATGACCGCATACTGGTAAGTCCTGTCTAGTATCGTGCCCGCATACGTGGCTTATCAGATAAAGGAGGACCGCTTGAGGTCTGTTGAAGCGCAACTTGCCGAAGTGATTACGAACCAGGATAGCGTGAGAAGAAGTGCGTCTTCCCAGGTGCCAGAGGTCATGTCAGAACCTTCAAGGGCTAGCGGAAATATTAATCCCTCCGAGACGTAAGTTTCGACTTTGGAATATATTAAGCAATGCTGACTATGTTCATGTAGCCGGCTGCCATCATGGGAGGTCATTCAGACGGCCGCAGAAACATACCTGCTGTATTGTGATTGCCAGCCACTTCCATTATTCCATCGGTCAACATTCATTCAGACTCTGAGATCTCGAGACGGCGAGGTTATTTTTTCCCTGCTTGCATTGGCGGCAAGGTTCCTCGAAGATCCCGCTCTACGCGCGAGTCAAGTGAGTTCTGTTCATGAATACATGGAGGCTGCCCGGACAATTGTTTCCAAAAAGGTGTTTGATGGAGTGGTAGAGCTATCGACCATTCAAACGCTATGCCTTCTGAGTCTGGTTGATTTTACAGGTACTATGGACTCCGGAATCATTGTTCTGTTTCTCAACTTACTCCAATAGAGGGCACCACCCGGCGTGCTAGCATGCACAGTAGCCTCGCTATGAGCCTGGCTCATAATGCGGGTTTGACTGCCGAAAGCCACTCAGTGCTTTCGGGTCACGATAAAGAGGAGCGAAGAAGATGCTTCTGGAGTCTTTTCCTTCTCAAGAGACTGCATGGAGCCGATTTTATGGTATTGGATCTATCAACGGACGATAATAACCCACGATATCCCGAGATTACTAGAAGCCCTCTCAGCCCTGCTCAACCAATTAATGAGCCCATTCCGACTGGTGCGGCCTTGGAAGTTCCCAAGGATAAAGGTGTAATTGCATACGCCATCCAGCTGAGCGAAGTTTGGTTCAAGATCACAAGATATGCCTGGAGGCGTGAAATACGCAACGCCCTACCCCCATGGTCTCCAGAATCCGAGTATTCCATCATACTCGCACAACAAATGGATTTCGAGACTCGAGTACCTTATAGCTACCGGTTTAAGCCCTCCAAATTCTCCCAAAGATCAGCTGAAGAATTGAACACGGCTCGGGATTACTGGGGGCCATGGCTCTTAATCCAATTCCTCTATCACACCAACCTCTGTCTACTCAATCATCCACTTTTATTGTCACTTCGACTGCTAAGCTTCAAAGGGGTTATACCGGAGATCTTCCTTCAGCATACATCTGATCTCCTGTCATCTCATACCTCTTGGATCATCAACTTTATCGATATGCTTGAATCCAAGCCCTACAAAGTCACAGATCCGTTCTTGGCGCATTGTGTTGCTATCGTCGCTACAATATACTTGCAGGAGAGTTTCGTAGATGATCTGTCAAGAAGACATGAGAAGCAACAGAATTTTGATAAATGTCTAGGGTTTATCAGAGGTTTTGGCACTGAATGGCCACATGTTGGGCGAATAGTAAGTCATTCTCCCTGTGGAATAGAATCCGCCCTAACCATATATTCTTCCAGGCGGATAAGCTAGAGGGTTTGAGCCGAACAGTCTCATCAACATATGTGGCCAGCGATGAGCCGACCCGTAAGAATCGCAAGTTGCTAATCGACCTTGGGCAATTCTTTGAGATTCTGGAGTATTCCTCATCAAGCGAAATAGCTGGTTCGGCAAGGCAGCTCTTTGGGCCGTCGCTTCATTCGAGTTTCCGTGCTTCTCGGACGGAAATGGCGCAGACTTCAATCCTCCCAGAACCTACCAGAGTTGAGCGACAGGAATTTGGCACCCCTACATCGGCGACCATTCTGGATAATCATACTGGCTTGTCGGATTTTGGGCAAAGTTCCTCCTTCGAGATTGCAGCTCCCTTCCAGTTTTCTGATGATGAATTGGCAGTTCTTGCTGGGAACTTTTTTCACCCAAGACCTGATGTCGATGGCAATGCAAACTGGTGGAACATGGGGAATTTTCGATGACGACAATGAGTACTCGCGGATTTCATGGCCGCGAATTCATCGCTTCGTACAGCTTCAGGATCTGCATGCTGCGTGCAGCGATCACTGCCACCGGCGGTCTCTCACCTCGGAATCAGCCATCACATTTACTGTATACCCCCACGCAGGTCCCAGGAATTTATATCCAAGCCCATACTTGGTTGGAGCCCTTCGTGACTCTAGGGGTAACATCGGGTAAGCTGACCAGGTGCTGCATCATCGTTAATCAGCGAACTCACGCCAGTCCTAAGAGTCACTCATTTGGAGCTTACTCAATCGTCCTTGTTCTGGATCTTTCACTTTATGTAAGGTATTCGATGGCCGTATCAGTCACCTGGACGATCACCAATTGATTTCATTCAAATACAAGGAGTGCCTGCCCTTTTGAACTGGGAGCCGTTCTCGAAATTTGAATTATTGGTCACCATTCTTCCTACTGTTCAGATGTTTCAAATCAATTGAAACATTCGACTGTCATTGCTCTTTTGCCAATTTCTGGAGAGACCTAGAGTACTAGATGATTGGATTGTCCTTGTTCAACGCTAAGAGTTAGGCAATACATCGTCGAGCTTGATATTCCTACCCAAGTCTTATAATATGTCAACCGGCTCAAACGCCAACCAACCCGATATGGAAAAACATTTTAACAAGCCCTGCCAAATCCACACGTTCGATACAAGTGTTTAGAATGGACGGGATGATTGCTTGCATTCCTCCTAGCCCTTCGTTTATTGACTCCGCTCATTCAATATTCTCAGGCTCCTTGATGCTTGTCTTTCTCACAACTTGGATCAGTTCCTCGACAGCAGTAATGCCGGAACCGCCAACACCACAAATGCGAATTTTCGACAACGCAGCCTTCATCGGCCCCCTAGTAGGAGGAATTACGAACTGGTTGCTGATAACTCTCTTTACATTCACCTTCGGCGCCGTCACAGGATCCCACCTTAATCCAACCATCACCATCGCGAGATTCTGTGCTCGACTCTGCTCCTTCCCCCGTACGGTGCTTTACGTCGCCTTTCAGACAGTTGGAGGGGCCTCGGCCGGGATATTAGTACGAGCTGCTATCGGGTGAGGGAGTTCAAAGCCGGTGGCTGCTGGCTGTACCCCGATGTAGTTCCGGCGTCAAGTGTGGTGGTCATCGAATTCGTGTTATGTCTGACGCTGCTTTTCCTTGCGTTTGGTGTGGGTTTGGATCCGAGATAAAAACTGGCCATTGGACCCTCATTGGGGCCATTCTTGGTTGGCATGTATCTTGTGGTGGTGAGCTTTGGTAGTGGGTTTACGAGGTATGGGTATGGTTGGGCGAGTTTGAATCCAGCGAGGTGCTTTGGGGTATTTGTAGGGGGCCGGTTTCCGCGATGGCATTGGATCCATTGGTAGGTAACTGCTCTGTTTATCTCGTCTCGCTTTCAACTCACTCTAGATTTGGCGCTTTATAGGGCTGTGGCTAATTCTTGGACGAAGGGTGGCTGAAATTATTGCTTGTATGGTTCATGGAGCCTTTTATGGGCTCATACCATCGTGGCAAAAACATCTGGAGTCTTAGGTGTATACTGCTGTGAAATTCAACTGCTGATATACAAGCGAGTACATCTCCAATGCAGCTAGTGAGTGTCGCCGGTATAATCATATCATGGCATTTGTGGTGTTGATGAAACTTACCAAAGTCTAGCTAGCAAAAGTCCTTTGCTAACGGAAGCATAAGCAGTTCTAGCGGATACTTCGTACTGCAATCCGGTGCTCAGTAAAGAAATGCGAGTTTAATAGAGGCTAGAATTGTAGTATTGTCGAGAACGAGTAAGACTAGGCATAGACTTATACAATCGGTTGGCCAACATGGACATGGAGTCAGGGGAAACTTCCTTACACACCTTACCAATAATTTGAAATCTAAGACTCTAAACGCTGTATTAATATTTGAGCGTTGGAGGTTGCTGACTTGAGAAAGTTGCAATCGGCATATGGAAAAGCAGAGTGTCAAAAACAGCAAGGTAAGAAGCTCGTTTTCCAGCTCTCTGAATCCAAGATTTACAGAATTTCATGATTTTGAGGGGCAGAACAAAACTTAGCTAGGGAAAAACATCAAGATGCCAATGTTCGTACAACGAGCAACCTACTCTAGAACATAGGGCCCTATTGCTGATTTATTCGGTATGCCAGACTACGTATTCGCCTTGTCTGCCTGCGCTGGGCACTTTCGGATTTGGTAGCCGACGAAAATCACTATCGAAATTATTATTTCTTTACACGTTACTTTCCAAGACCCTCATCAGCACTCAACCCCACAGACAGATACACCAAGCTGGACTGGACGAGGTTCGAACTTCGGGGTCACAAGCGCACAACATAAGTACATACATACAGGTACAGTACTGTCCTTGAAATTGGGCTCCCGCCATTGATTCTTGGCCATGCATGAGTACTTGGCAATCCATGCTTCTCCAACCCTATGCTACGAAGTATAGAACCATTCATTTCATGAGTCCATGGCAATGTGCATTATTGCGCACGTTATCAGTCCCGTTCCATACTTTGCCCTGCTTGGCTCTTGGCTCAAATTGCAATCACTGCCTCCCCGATGTCCTCTGCAATGTCCGCTGAGGCGTCCCTCTTTGAAGCAATATATCGCTACTTCGGCAGTCAGACGCCGTGTTTATCAACTAGAATCACCTTGAGCAAGACAAGAATTGAAACTCGACATTCATAACAAACATGTTCACCACGCCAAGAAACACCCATGTTCTTCTATAGCAGGGCTGAATTGTTAACTCATGCGTCAGCACATCCAATGTTACTCTGCTGCCCAATTGATAACCGATATGGAAGAATAGAAGCAATGATCTAGGCTTCGCAAGCCGTCCACTTCTCCGAGCCTTGCGGACAATTCGAACCTTTCTAGATGCAGGTCCGCCTCTATTTTGTCACTAGGGAGCTAGCTGGTTTAGCCTTGGCCCTCTCCGTGCCCTAACACGAATACAGACCGGGTGTTCCTCGATTCGCTTTACGCCGTCGAAAGGCTCTCTTCCAAGCTCTAGTTGTTTCGAGCGCTGCTCGCGAGCCGCGATCTTGTCAGCAATCTCTCGACTAGGTCGACCCAGGGGAAGCAATTTTGCAGCTCAGGATCTACGTACAGTACAGTACACAGGCCAAGCAGCCCCATCCAATCTGCCAAATTTCCAATATATTGGTTACCCGCAGTGCGTATTCCGGATAAATACAATTCTCAAAAGCATTACGAAGTATCCAATGCCGGCAGTTAAATCAGCTGACCCCTACAGGTTGTGGAGGCTGCGCGGCATCTCCACCACCTCGGCGCTCCACCGTGAGATCCATATAATGCAATTGCAACTGCAGTTTGGTTTTGGTTGGTTTGGTTTAGGATTTTTTCTTCTTTAAGTTGGGAGTTGGTAAGGCTGAGGTTCACCAGTCAGGCACCACCAAGTATTAAGTTTCTAACCAGTTCCAAGATGCATCTCTTGGGGCTTGCTGCAACTGCAGCAACTTATTTGTTGCTCCCAGGTGCCACCGCAGATCCTCTCCCATTCGAGCGGATTCAATTGCACGAGAGGGACATCGCGTCTTTGGGCAAGGCCTCGTCGCTCCTTTCATTCGGTGATGCACCTGTCGCAGACCCAGCAACTTCACATCGGAGAGCACCGCCCACGGGTTGCAAAGTGTTCCCTGGTGACAAGAAATGGCCGGCTGATAAAGCTTGGAGTAACTTCAATAATACTCTTAACGGAGCCTTGATCAAGACCGTTCCTCTTGCGGCACCTTGTTATGCTGGTCCGAATTATGTGAGTTGTCTTCAGAGAATTATATTTCGTGTACTAATACTACCCAGGACGCAAACCGGTGTAGCTATGTTACAGCAAACTGGGCCAACTCGAGTCTCCAGTGAGTCCTTAGTTTTTGTGGCAGAAATCCATCTGATTTTATGTGATGGAGGCTCGAGTGAGAATCCAGGCTAGGCTTTGAGAAGGCCAGTCCAAGATGGGCTAATCTAAACAATTCTTGATCAATATCCTATTTATCGAAGATTCATAGAAGCTAAATGGTAATAGTGAGATGGACCCGGCATCGGTCATGACCGGACTCTACCAAGGCCACACCTGCCAAATACCCTCCAATCCGGACGACACCTGCACCCTCGGCGGCCTTCCATCCTACGTCGTCAACGCAACAACAGTAAAGCAAGTCCAGCTTGCAGTTAATTTTGCTCGCAACGCAGACATCCGCTTGATCGTCCGAAACACCGGGCACGACTTCTCTGGTAAATCTGGCGGCGCGGGGTCTCTGAGCATCTGGACCCATAACCTCAATGCTATAGAATACGTCCCACGTTTTGAGGACCAGAAACAGGGTTATTCTGGCCCTGCTTTCAGGGGCGGTTCGGGGGTAATTGGACGTGATCTCTTCAAAGCGGCAGGGGACAAAGGGTTACTTGTCATAGGAGGTGAAGGGCAGGATGTCGGTATCCTTGGAGGCTACCTCCAAAACGGAGGCCACTCGCCTATGTCCTCCGTGTATGGCCTTGCAGCGGACCAAGTTCTGTCAATTAGTCTCGTAACTGCAGATGGACGCTTCCTTACGGCCTCAAGCACAGAGAACACCGACCTGTTCTGGGCACTCCGGGGAGGTGGAGCATCTACCTGGGGAGTTGTGACTTCTGTCACTGTTCGAGCACACCCTTCTATGCCGATATCGACAGCCCAGTTCATCTTCACCGCGAAGTCTAGCGCCGCCTTCTGGCTGGGGGTTCGCAGCTACTGGGAACGCTTCATCCCATATGCAGACGCAGGGACATACTCATATTTCATGATCATACCCGGCGCACCAGCACCGACATTCATTATGCTTGGGTTCTGGGCGCCGAACATGACGACGACGGAAACCACGGCTCTCCTTACGCCTTGGTTGGACGACCTTTCTGCTCTCGACATCTCCGTCAAACCCGCCTACGCCACATATCCCACCACCTACCCAGCCCTAATAGCCACCTGGCCCCAAGAGGCGGTCCAAGACAATGCCATAATCGGATCCCGCCTCTTCCCCCGCTCGGCATGGGAAGCACCTAACTCAGAAACATTCAACAAAACATGGGAGGCATGGTCCACAACCAACAATCTCCTAATCTCCTTCAACATTCGTGCACCCAACGCCCTTGGCGTCGATAACGCCGTCCTGCCGGCGTGGCGTGAGACGGTACTTCACACTATGCAAGGCTCTGGATTCGCTCCGAATGCCGATGATGCGACTAAGAGAGCTGTGAGGCAAGCGTTGACTGTAAGTATGGCTAATTGGAAGGCGGCCACTCCTGGAGCAGGGGCATATATAGGCGAATCGGATGCTGAGGAGGTGGGATGGCAGGAGAGTTTCTTTGGCAAGAACTATGACCGGTTGTTGAAGATTAAGAACAAGTATGACCGGGATGGGGTGTTTTGGGCGAAGCAGGCGGTTGGAAGTGAATGCATGGCTGTTCAGAGTAACGGTCCGATTCCAGATGAAAACGGGAAGTTGTGTCGGGTTAAATAAATAGAAAGATGCGAATTCCTTATCGCCGGCTTTCCACGCAGAAATATATATTTCGTATTTCCGTGCTTTCTTGCTTTTGTGCGACTTATGTCTCTAGACCAACCCTATAGCTATATCAGAACTAGGGATACAGTCGGGCGACTCTAAACAAGTTGTAGTGTATATTGTGAACTAAAATATGCTAGATAGCATGTGATGAACGCAGCAAAATAACAGCAGAATTCCAAAGGTCTCGATGTTCAGAGAAGGGAAGGAAAATGGAACGTCTAATTTTTCGAAAATAAGAATCCCAGCCCACCGCCACAACAGAAGGTGATTTTGTTGCCAGTCGCAGATTTGATACCGAGATGTAAAGTAGAAGAATATAATGCAGTTTTATTATCTTGACGTTTCCTGAGGAAATAACAATATCAGACCAGGGCTATGGGTGCAAGGTAGAAGGGGTATATCCTATGGAATTTGGTCGAATATTATGGTTCTAAAAATTGAACCAAAGGAGAAGAATATAATATTACACATTCTAGGGGAGAACGACAAGGGCGGTCAATGTACTGGCCATCTATTATATTGGGCTGCTAAGGGTAAAAAGAGGAACAATCCAAAATTTTAATAGATAGGGGCATAAAAGAACAATGTGATTTGTCACTCTTAACATTTTCAAATGGTGTAGACCTATATCGCACTTACTGTCATGACTTCTAGGCAGGGAGACGACGGAGAACGGGGGAAGGCCGAAGACCGACTTGTGCCGTTCATAATTGGGAAAGGATAATCATGACTTATAACATTTAAGATTTCGTATATATTTACCACGGCAAAAGCGTAAGCGGGACACAATAGTAAAAGAATATGCGGACATTAGATTGAGTGAGGCCATGGCCATCCCTATTCCTTGAGAAGAGGGCGTTAAGTAACATAACGGGCACCGAAACAATAAGAGAGCGGCCTCAAAACATACGTTATCGTTTATCTGTACATGTTCATTGTACTCACCTTCGCCATCCTATCGAAAAGCGAGGAATGCAATACCGGAAGATGTTCCTACAACACATATATTGCTACAGATAACTTTCCCCGGACCAGGAAACGCTGAGAACTCTGCACTACAGCTGCTTTAGCTCAAACCCCAGTCGCATTCGACAGTGGATTTGATGTGCGTTGCAAACCCCTTTTCTGTGTTGGAAAGGCGACGAAGCGCGCAAGTTCCGATAAAATGGCCTGGAGGATGATGCTGAGGATTTTGACTACCGCCCTAGGAAGGACAGAGATAGAGACATGATCTGGAAGTGATGGGCATGTTTTAATAATCGTATAAGCGGCTTGAAACTAATCGAACGATTATAGATCATCAACATATATATGCGATAGATAGATTCATACTTATGATATAGTATGCCAGAAAAATGCCTTTGTCTGGGTGATTTCAGAGTGTCAGCAACATCGAAAGGACTATTAAGAGTTGAGGGGCAGAAAATAATGAGACGAGAACCGTAGCTTGCAGTTGAGGAGGTAACGAGGTTCTCGGGATTGCTTATCTCTTGGACCGCCAGGACGAAATTGTGGGAAAGCCTGTAATACCATAACGTGTCGTTTCTCCTTCTACGGAGCAGACTAGGGCTTGAATTCCGGGCTCAATCACATGTCTAAGCAGCTACAGTGACTTCCATAAACCGACATGAACTTGCTAGCGTTCGGAAGCTGATGATTGAGAAGGCGACTTCTTCCCTCGTAAGACAAACCGGGTCAGTATTGTAGTGGGCGGTTGATAGGAAGGCCCCGCCCTGTGGTACTATATGCAGCGAGGAGGATCTCAAATTAGGACGAGGCGTGTAGCCTAGAATGCGATTGTTTCACCGATACGAGCAGTACGAAGTAAGACAAAATAACCCAAAAGCCGACCCGCGTTCAGCCGAGCGGCAGGCTACCAAGAAGGGCTGCTTGATGGTCTACACAGACGACACCAGAATGTTGTGCTCGGAAAGGTATTCATGAGGTTGGTTTTGTATATGGACTTGGAGTGGATCGGCCCGTGGCTCCGGCGACGCACCCACCCGGATCGTAAGAGGAAAAGGGGTTGCAGTTGCGGGGCGACACAACTTCCCCGAGAACTGAATAAACACTGCTAACATTATCTGCAGTGCTAATCCAAACAATCGGCCAACAAGTGTAACGAGGATTCAATCAATAATGACTTCGGTGTTGTGGACACACACACACACCGGACAGACCCCTTCGGCTTCCCCATGGCAGGCAGGCCTAGCCCCCTAGCTGCCAAGCTCGATACAGTACCAACTTTTGACCCTGGACGAATATATTTTTGGTACCACAGCCGTCAGCACTTCTCATTTAATACTTTCAAAGTGCCGTGTACGTTTCACAGATCCGCTCTGCGGTTCGGTATTCGACCCCACGAGCGCGCCTGCCGCCATTATTATTTGGTCAGGTTGGATCATCTCCTCGTGTATCTGCCAGGTTGCGCCTTAAAATGGGAGGTAGAAGGGAGCGGATTTCGAATTTATGCATAAGCAGCCCTTCTTGCAACCCAACAAGCCACCGACCAAGCCTTGACATCTGATCTCGATACGATCTCTCCCTTTGCCCGGATTGAGCCTGCAACGGTTTGTTGGTTGGCCATTTCCTCGGGAAAAGATCGGATGAGCTTGAAAATGCTGAAGAATGTTGCACAGCAGCGAATAAAAACGAAACCATAGAACATGGCCAATCCAGATGGCTCAGCATGGAACTAGCCCATTAGGAGTTGCCGCGCTGCGCGGCTATTCAGAATTGGAGCCTGGGGAGGAAGCCTTGTGACGATTAATCTATTAAACGTGCGCATCCCTTCGTTACCCCTGAGAGCCCTAAGTTTGATCCACCCACTCTACCTGGAACGGGAAAGTTTGCGAGTTCAGCTGGGCAGTTGTACTGTATGATCTACTGCTCATAGCCTGTATGGAGGACGGAGAACGGAGCACGATGCACCCCGTACTCCAGCTGTGCCACCCACCACTCTGCCGCTACAGATCGAGGAAGCCATGTGGCATCGCGGCCCGGGCTGCTCACATTCTCGGAGTCGCAAGGTTGGAAGCCGGCATATGTTCCCGAGGTCTGCACGTAGATACAAGGTAGGTGCTCCATGTGTGAAGTGCTCTGTAATATCCCTCCAACCACCCCATCCACAACCGGCGTGTTCTGCGCTTCAACCCTGATTAGCCGGCTGAATTGCGGCCGTTATGTGAGAATCTGCAGTTCTGAGAAGCATGGGCAGCATGGGCAACACGGGAACTGGGTCAATCTGGACGATAGGCTCCAGAGGAGCTGACCGATAAGCATTACAGCGGAATAATGCGTTGTAGCAGGGTGCGTAGCCCAATATCGAGATGCGTTGGTGAGGCGCACGACGCGAGAAGCTTGTCCCCAAGTGGGTGCGTTGTGGCCGGACTGCTTGGGGCAGCTTTGTCTCTCCGAGGGAATCACTTTGGCGTGGCGTAGGCTCGTAGCTTATGATCTTTTTTTTAATTCCCAACACTCGGGAGGAGCACAAGATCTATTTCAATTCCGAGGGTATGGAGTATCATTTCGTGTATGTATGCATGCAACCACCCAACTGATCCCTGGCCGGCCCTTTGCAGGTGTAGGAAATATTTGCCTATAGGACATAGGAATATAGTCTCCCCGCACCCGACAACCGTTATGTCGCATTTGCTGGCAATATCCAGCAGATTGATAATTTGATAGTCCATAGATTATGATGAGACCAAATGGCCAAACGGCCAAATGCGCTGTGCGCGACCGCAAGCGGCGAGCCTCATCGCCAGGCATCTTCAACGCATTGGCCAGCGCATCGCTCTCCAATTTATTGCAGTCTGGGGACATGATGACGCAGTCCGACGAATCACGGCAATTCCGGAACCCCCTCACTCGGTAGTGCTCACTCCAACTTCCAAGCCGAAATCCCCAGGGCCCTGGTTTTAAGTACCATTTAACGGTGCAGTGGGGGGCGGGGGCTGTCACAGTCGCAGATCAGCGACCACACGTGGGGAGAATCCTCGTCCTTCCACTTGGGGGAATACTAGACGAAAGACGAGAATAATTCGCACTGTTTCGTCTTCTCCTGCATCAACAGTGCCGTTGTAGGGGTAGGCTTCGGAAAAGCAGTATACTCGATAGGACTTTCAAACCGCTATCGAGATCAGCATACGAAGGTACTGAAGTGGATATTGTTTGACTTTCCGAGGCACTGTACTTGACAGTTGCACTCCGTACGTTCGTACCTAGTATGTACTGTGCCTGTAACTTCAATATGGTGGGCCGCTTTCACCCCATTGGATAACCGCGAGTATCGTGAGCTCCCACTGCACAAAGTACGCTGTGTGCTTTGCAAAACGACCCCATTTTCCGGAACTCCGAATTTTATGTTTTCCATGCCCAACAGCTTTCCTCAGTGGGCTATTCTTAGGAACTTCTGCAGGGGCAGCTTATCTGCAGCGACAAGCCTATGTTTCGTAAATGAGCCAACCAAACGATTCAGCAGACGCCCTCGGCCTCTAATTCGCAGGCCTCTGCCCCTCCGTGGAAGGCTCCAAGCATCCAGTTGAATGTTGGTAACGAGACATTTAGAAGGGTTGCTCCCGCTCCCGAGAAGCGTTCGGCGGGTGCTGATGCCAGATGGTTGGCGGTTAGGGAGGGACGTGGCAGGATGCCAATGCTGGTAATACGCAAGCGGTGCAGATTTCCATCATCGCTGTAGTTTTCTGAAGAAAACTCTATCGATCCGTTCCCACAATATCTCTCTGTAATAGGCGTTGTATTTCGATCGCAAGCCTGGCTAAAAAGGGCCTTGGGCTGCGTTTCAGGACATTGTCGTATAGCCCAAAGTTTTGTTCGCTATATTCCAAGCACCGGGTTATCGGCCGTAATTTTAGAGGATCGCCAGGCGTGCCTGGGAGGTTGGGACGGAGCTGTACAAGAGCTGTACGTACTTCGTACAGTGCGTGCGAAGCACCCTACGAGTGCCAGCACCACATAGGGATACTGGTTCGGGTACTGTACGGAGATACAGGCAGCTCAGATCCAACAGTGGCCCTGACCTCCCTAAGTCCCTGGGCGCGAGCACAACGGCACTGATATTTACAACCGTGCCCACAGTAGTGACGGTACTTGTCGGCGTATCGCTGCCCCGGCATGGCCGGCAAGCTGCTCCGTCGGCATTGTCCTCGAAAGCATTGTACTGCGCATACTTCGTACTTCGTACTGTACCTTAAAGTACCAAGTGTCACGGAGCATGGTCAGTATGACGGTCGTAGCGTGGACCCGTGGTCTTTGCCATGGTCATAATCGTGGCATCGTCGTGGCACCCTTGGAGCGAGACCTGGCTGGCCACATGAATCCCCGCCTCCTGTACGCCGTTCGGTGGAACTCTACTCGAGTATCGAGTACTAGTACAGAGGGAGGTACTTTGTCGTGAGTGCTCGTACTGACGTGCTCGGAAGTGTGTGGCATGATGTCCACACTCCACACTCAGCAAGCTCTCGTCAATAATAATAGTACAGTATCTCTGTTTGCCTCGGGTTCGCCATGTCCATGGCGCTTGTTCCTTCATGCGGTGATGGGGCACGGCGGGAAATCCAGAGGAACAGGTTCAACAGGCTGTCAAGGCCACCCATGCCCGGTATATTTTTGCACGATGAACGGCACATGGATGGGCGGTTGATTGCGTGAGCGAGTCCCTACTGTATGTATGCTGATGCTGGATCTTATCTCATCTCACGGCCTCAGACTCTCAGCCCAGGCCCCCAGGTCCTTGTCGGCCCCGCAATCCTCGTTTTCTGGATAAGACGTGGAGACGTGCCAGTCTCGGTCCCTGATTTTAGGCCGTACGTCGTATTATATTATTGGAGTCCCAGAAATGACATGAAGCTCCGGCCTGGCGGCGGCGCTGTTTGGAAATATGCAAGCGGCTCTAGATTTGGCTAGTTGCTGGTTCTGGGTCACTGGGGAGCCTTGAAGCAGCGGTGACAGCCTGGCAGGAGACTCAGGAGAGGCCCGGAAGGGGCAAAACAATAGGGGTCGAACGTGGAGGAGATGAAGCCTGAAGGAGATGAAGGGGATGGATACTTCCACGCCGTCCGTGATGTCCATGATGGTGGTGATAACAGCGCTGTCCCGATCAGATTTAGTGGCAGTGCTGCAATGGCCTCCAACACCTGCCGACAGTGCTGAATGCCACGGTTTTAGCTGTGCGAATCCTGTATGCCACGATTGCAACTGCCACAGCCGCCAGCTCGACTGCGACGACGAAGATTACCGTTACAAATTACAACTACCAACTACCAACTATCAACTACCGCTACTCGAGTAATACAACCATGGCCATACTCTGTACAAAGCGCCGGCATTGCCTCTTGACTACTGACACCATCCGAGTACCCCGCGGTTGGACAGTGCTCAAGACACTCTCGAGAACCAGTCCCACGTTTGCGCCCCACAGCCTTGTGTCGGATACTGCGAGAATCCTATCTGCTATGGAATCCCCAGATCGTCTCCGGCTCCAGCTCCATCTGCCGCCCCGTCTCGAGCTTGGCCAGGCAAACTGATAATCGATTGTCCACGCTCCAGTTAGTGGGGGGAGAAACACTCTGTCGTACTTCATACAGACGGTACTCGTGCGATCCTCCAGTAAACACGCCAATCGCGCCACCAACCAACAATAATGACACCTGGCCCATCCACCTCCCCAGCTCGACGACGAGGCTAACAGCAGGTGCTCAATAATTAATAAGTTGCGAGTATATACTTGCTGCAGGGCCACTGCTCTGCATCGCCAGACCATTCTCACCAACGCCACGTGCTCCCAAGCTTCTCTTTGATCCGAGATATGCAGAGGATGGCGAGTAAGTGGTGCAGATATCTCACATGGACCCGACGTGCTGGTCCGCTACTGCGCCAGTTGAGGCATGGGAGGGCGGTGCAGAAATACGGAAATACGGACGGGAATCCTCGTTCTGCGTGGTCCGCCGGGGCGATGTAACAAGGGTTTTCCTCTTACGGGGTAGTATAGCCTCGTGGTGGCTCAAGAGTCGAAAGTCAACACTCCAGAACCTCGGATTCTCAGAAGCAGCCGGCAATTCCTTCAAACATTCCACTGGAAGGGGAGAAGGTTACTATTGATTACCCCTAGGTTGCATCGGGCATCGGGCACCGACCCGGATCCAGTTTGGCGGGATCCATCATCCATCACCTACATGGCGGGTACGCCAGAATTCCATCAATCAAGACCATCCATTATCTGATTCCTATCGCTATCGTGTCGTAGGTTTGTGGCCCGCCTCCTCGGCACTCTAGAGACGACAAAATCCTGCACACGCAAAAGTGGACATGGGATTGCCTGGTGGTGGGTGCTTGAAAATCTTGGGAACGCAGCGCTGGATGTACAGTACAGCCCATTAGGATTCTGGAGGAGAGTGCTACCGACGCGCCTGGGAAGAAGTGGTAAGGAGTGGATATTGACCCTTTGAAATGGGCAATAATGCCCTGCAACGAAGGAACCTGTAATGGACAACACTGTGGAGCGGCATTCAACGAAAAGAGTGAACTGCTCGGTTCCCAACTACCAACGCTCCTTTTTATTACCTCCGTGCAGGGGACGTTGGTGCTTCCAAGACCATAGTAGTCTCGTGAGAGGCCGTCTCCAACCTTCGCCAACGGTTCGTCTCGGATGCTATTCTAGGCTCGTCTTGACTGCTCGGGCCTTAGGTCGGGAGTGGGGGACGTTGGCCTAGTGGGGATCTTGCTTAAAGGGGCATGTTGCAACAACTAGGTGCAAGCAGTGGCTTGTTATTGCTAGCTCTAATGACTCGGTATGCTACGTAGTACTTCGTACCACACTACACTACTTCGCATGCACAGGCAAGGAACAACAGCCGTGTCATCAGCCGGTGCTACAGAATAGCCCCCGTCTGGCAACTATCCTCAGTATGGCCGCACCAGAAGCCGGAAACATATCGCCGTGTGCTCGGGAAGTTATGAGCGAGGTATCGTGGTCAAGTGGGATGGGCATATGAAAGTTGGTTTCAACACTCCGACATGTCGTGTTCACCTCCACTAACTTCAGCCCCTCGTCTAGGATCCAGACTGCCCCAATTCTAAATCTCCCCTTGTTAGCCTACCTGGCGGTCGGGAACATTATTGCCGCGCCAAGTTTATTATTAAACTCGCGGGGTATTTCACTGGAATTGAGCACAACAACCAACCTCCAGTCATACTATCCCTCCGCCACGGCGAAAGAATTCCTCCATTCAAGGGCATTCGTGTCAATCCGAGGGAATGGCCCCCATTTATACCGCAAGGAGCCTGGCGCATCTCACCAGCAGGAGTGGGAGTAGGCTCAAAGCAGCTCCAACATCAACCATACTGCACTCAACAACTACTTCTGCTCTCGTACGGAGTACAGATAGGCTGTACGTAGATACATAGTCACGTGTCGAACAGAACACCGAGCTGCTCTTAACAGCGATCTACCTATTTGCATACTTACTACTACTAACATTGAGTATAACCGTAGCTACAACTTACTTGAACACAGTTCCTCTTGGTTTAGATATAGGCAGCCGTCCTGGACAACGAGCATCTCCACTTCCCACTCCGCAACCTATCCTCGGCATAGAGCCCCTGATATGCTAGTTACTTCGCACTTCATCGCTTCGATACACATGGCTCTCCCTAACGCCTCAATCTTACCCCACAAGTTCCCACGAACTCGAATCCACATGGCTCCTAGGCAGGATCGCAGGGACCTTGGGGCGCACGAAACACTAAGAGCGCCTTGATCACCCCGTACTCCTTCCATCTGCCTAGGGGGTATGCCCCAAATGCCCCCCTCCGCGAAACCATGTGTCCATTGCTTTTCTTCCCCCTTTAGGTCTAGACCAGCCATGATGTAGACTTACCAAATCACTGCTCGAATTATAGAACCCCCAAAAGCAGAATATCTCGCGATGGCTTGTTAGAAGAATTCCAAAAGCTGGAATCCACGAAGTAAAGCCATACAACATCGTTCAACCCGCCCATCTGCGATTTATAGGGGGACCAAGTCCAGAGATACATCTTCCTCAGCGGAGTACTGCAACATCGAACTTTCTGAACGCACAGCTAGGTAGTTGTTTGCTTCCCCCCGATTATCTGCATCTACCGCCTTGTCCGTCCCGGTCCCAAACATCCCCTGGCTCTAGATCCCACCAACACGGCCTACAGCACCCCTCCTCCACGACACAGGGGTTTGCCGCTATCCTTGGAGCCATCCGTCGTGACGCCCGCATGTGTTTGGACTTACTTAGCAGCCGTCCTCTAAGTAAATTAGTCTTGCACGAGCTTCCGCTTCCAGATCAGTGGGTAAGGCCGGCGTTACGGGCACCGCATGAGCCATCCTTTCTCCCACTGCCGAAGATATCAACCTGGTCGTCTCACTACAGTACTACACACATACATACATACACAGAGGTCCATGTTTTTCATAGAGTCAACAGAGAGGAAACTATCCTATCACACCTTCTCCCATCTGATCAGCCATCCCTCCGCACCCGCTGTCGTGATCAAGACCAAGGACCTCTCAGGATTCATACCGCCCACCCATCGCCGGACGTATCCCGCGAATCGGCGCTGACGGCATTTCGTGGCGCTTGCCGCTTGGGAAATCCACTATAGGTGCAGAGGGACCGTTGTTGGAAAGTCAGCTGGATTCATCCGGTTGTCGACGACCTTTCCAGTCCTCTGAACGAGTGGACTAGACATCTACCTGTGCCACACAGATACGCTCACCCGACTAGTATCCTCGTTGCCTTGATGTAGGAAGGCAATTCTGCGACTCGGATATACTCACACGGCTTGAACATGACCCAAGTATACACTCGACCAGTAGTTGCCTCTTTACATGAACGAACACATAGCTACGAGAGGCAGCAAGCGCCGTTTTTTTCAATAGAAAGCCAGGATCCCAACACATCTACATCCCATCGAGACCTGGAGGCAACAGAACGAGGTGGAAGAGACCCCCCGCATCCTCGTTCACCAATGTCCGACACCAGCAAAGGACTTCGGGGAGTTGGAGAGTTGTACCAGAACCACCCAGATATCAACCAACATCATTCTCGGGAACGGCTACCCTCATTAAGTAGTCTCTTCGGTTCTAGTTCACACCAGAGCAGACCTGCTCAGTCGCCCTACTCAGATCGTCACAGTCCCATCTTTCCAACCGCATCACCTCACGATATTCGACCTCCTGGAACCCCCGTCCATCCGGATAGACCCTTTGATGGATCCTACTTTCAGCGCCCATCTCAACAATATCCACTTACTTCTAAAGTGGAGCAAGCCGAAAGGTTGGGAATTGCTCTATCTTCTCGCGCTGCACAAACACCGCTAAGGGCGGAATCTCCTCGATACGAAGCACGATTTGGTCCGGCTGAGGCATCCAGAGCCCAAGCACCTTCTCTCAATGCTTGGTCTCCTCGTCCCCAGTCTGGTCGAACTGAATATTTCCCTAGGGACACGTCTTCATCGTTCCGTACCCATTCAGACCATGCCCATCCGTCACATCGGCCTGAGCCAGAACTCAGGGCGAGCTATCGTGACGGATCGCACAGCATGCCAGTTACCCCAAGTTTCCCTCCGACGCCTGCAAGCACGGTAGTTGGTGAGCTGACGACGGCAAAGGACGGCCTTGGACCCAAGATCTGGACAGGGACGCAGTTTCTGCCTCGTTTTGTCCGACAGGCTGAGGCTCCAGGTGAAGGAATGTGCTATTTCTACGACGATGGCACGCATTGTAAGACGGTGATTGATGGCGAAGCGGTAAATGCTCACTGGGGCGTGACGAAAGCTGGGAAACCTAGAAAGAGGCTAGCAATTGCTTGTATAACTTGCAGAGAGAAGAAGATCAAGTGTGACCCTGACTACCCTCGCTGCGTCCAGTGCGAGAAGTTTGGGACAATGTGCAAGTTCAAGAATGCGTGAGTTAATCTCCGGCTAACTTAATTGTTTCTCGGCTTACAATATCTATAGGCCTCGAGGTGGCCAAGGATCGCCAGACACACCACCAGCTGACCCAGAGGATGTTGTATCGAGAGCAGGTTTGTCTCAAGCTGATGCCGAGTCATCTAAAGCTGGTGAACGTGACGACAGTAGATCTGTTTCTCCTCGACCTGTATCGCGAGTCACCCCCGAGCCGGAGACACACCACGCAAAGCGCCAAAGGACAGGCTATAGCAATTTCACTCCCGTTCCTTCGGAAGGCTCCCCGCAGCAATCTGTTCGGGAAGTCGAGTCTCCAGCTGTTCCATGGCCACAGCCTTCAAATCTAGGTGGCTTCGACCATGACCTACTTCGCGAATGGCAGGTCAATCCTAACACTATCCGTCCCGCAGTTGTTAGCGAACTAGTTGATGTGTTTTTTAAGCACGCTCCAGAAACCTCATCGTCGATGTTTCCCCGAGGCGCCTTTAGGCTATGGATTCTTTCTGGAAGGGAGAAGTCTCTGGATGACCTCATGCTTATTTACACCGTCCTTGCCCTCGGAAGCATCTTCTCGCAGAACCAAGAACATAAAGCTCTCGGCACTCAGTACGCGTCCATCTCTCGATATGCTTGCGAAAACCGTCGATTTAGCATTCAGCTTGTGCAATCCCGACTGTTGCTCTCCCTATATTATTTTGCCATGAACAATTCAAACGACGCTTGGGATTTCTGCGGAGCAGCAGTCAGGGCGGCGAGCGGGTTAAGGCTAAACGTGGAAATCGAGAAGAGCGAAGATGCCTATCTTGAATTTTTCCCTTACGGCCTAAACCGCGCTGGTTATGCTGAATGTAGAAGACGCACGTTTTGGAGCTGCTACCTCATGGACCGTTTCAATGGGTCCTGCTCTGGGCACCTGAGCATGCTCCACCCCGAGGACGTCTTCCTCCGACTCCCTTGCGATTCGACTAGCTTTGAATCGCAAGCAAATATCCAAACCCCTTTCTTCGATATCACAACTCCACCCATCCCGAATAATAACTGGACTGTTGACTCTATGGCCTATTTGATCAACGTCTCAACAATCTGGGGAGATGTTACGGCGAGCATTTATCGAAACTCCCAGCGATGTAACCCTTCGGCGTCGAACTCCTTCAGCACGTTTTATGAAGCCACAACTCGACGTCTCCATGAATGGAACGATTCATTACCTCGCTCCTATGCCTTTTCTGGAGAGAATCTATGGAGAGCTGCTGAGGATGGGAAGATGAACACCTTTGTAATGATGCACACGGTATATCATTCCACGATGATCAAGCTGAATCGTTACATCCAACGATCGTCTCTCCATAGTTCTCAGCTTGATCATCACATTACGGTTGCGCAGCAACATGCGGAAGCACTACTAAGGATTACGGATTCGATCGCCGCTCGCCAGGCATCAGCATCGTCTGGTGTAAGTGACCAGACCATGCCGCGCGCAAAGCTCTCAACCCCTTTTGTAGGATCCTCAATAGTTTCCGCGATCGATGTCGTCACCGCAAAATTCCCACTCGCATCAGTTCCTAGCCGCCTCGCATCATTCATAGGTGCACAATCAGTTCTTGCAGAGCTCGCAATCTTTTGGCAAAGCGCAAAGAATCAACAAGCTCTTGTTCGTGAACGAGTCGGGGATCTGGCGGAACTCACGGCAGAGCGGAGTGGGCCAGGAGCAAGAGAGTTCGGATTTGGCAGCGTGGGAGCGACGAATAAGGAAGGGCAGGTAATATTTGAGATGAGGGATGCGATTGAGAAGACCTTCTCGAGAGATTACGATTGTGTTTACGGTTGAATTGTGAATGTTTACAAGCTATACGATTACGATGGGCGGGATTTCTCGAATTTTTACAATACGGTCTCATAGCATGGCGTTGCACTTGGAAAATAGCGGGGATTGTACAATACACATGCGCATTTTGGGCAAACGGGAGCATGGCATCTAGCGAATCTTTTAGTGAGATATAATAGTATTATTTATACCCTACAATTGCCTACATAACCATAGTCAGATCTCTAGCCTATTAGCCACCATCTAGACAACGGTATCCCACGCTATCGTGTACCATCCGGCCTAGCAATAACGGGATTTACTAATACCCTAGTAACCTCCGCGATATGGAGTACTATTAGAGTTTTATATATATAAATATTTAGGTATGTTTAAGTACCTAAGTAGTCGAGGAATAGTTTGGTGTAGTTGAGTGACGAAAAAAGGAGCTTTATTGGATTTAAGGCACCAAGGCAAACATGGTGGGAAGGCTTGCGCTAACCACTTTGGATTTCGAGTTCTAAATTTCTACTGAGGAACAGATGATTACTAGCTACCTACCGAGATATTAAGCCTTTGGATATTCCCAAAGCGAGAAGAAGCTGATGCTGCTGCTGCTGCTGCGAGACTGCTCATAATCAAACATGCGATGACCCGTTGGCAACAATGGCATTTCCCTCGAAGCCATTGACACAGCTCCATGGCTCAAATGGTACGTATCTATCGCAAGTCCTCATCTCGTCAAGCTTCCCCGTTTTGCGAGGAATCCAACACCACAAGCTCTCCCAGCCGCCCATGTAGAGGCCTGTACTGACTATCATCTCACAGGCCCGGTCCATGCACTGGCATACTCGTCCTCCCCGTCGACATACATCCTCGCTGGCTCCGCCGACCGCTGCATCAGGCTGTACAACCCGTCCCGCCCTGCGCCGGAGACCACCAGCAACCCCCTCGATCCGCCTCGCGCAACACAGCTGATCAAGACCTACACGGCACACGGCTACGAGGTTCTGGACATATCAGTCGCGCAGGACAACGCGACATTCGCGAGCGTCGGGGGGGACCGGAGCGTGTTCCTCTGGGATGTCGCGAGGGGCCAAACAATCCGGCGGTTTGGGCAGCACAATCATGGGCATAATGCTAGGGTCAATAGTGTTACGTTTGCGGGGGTTGGGGATAGTGTGTTGATTTCTGGAAGCTTTGATGCCACGGTGAGGATTTGGGATGTTAAGAGTCAGAATTCCAAGCCCGTTGTGGTGTTGGACGATGCCAAGGACTCGATTTCTTGTGTCCTGGTGGGTACGGGCTGGGGCGGGGAGCATGAGATCTTGACCGGCAGTGTGGATGGGAGGGTCAGATGTTATGATATTAGGATGGGAAGGCTGCATACTGATGTTATTGGGGCCAGTGTTACCAGTCTGCAAAGAACGAGGGATGGGAAGGGTGTCCTTGTTGGAGCACTGGATTCCACCATCAGATTGATGGATAGAGATGGTGGTGGACTCTTGAAAGCGTACAAAGCGGACACTTGGAAAAACTCCGAATTCCGACTGAGGAGCACCTTTGGCGGTAACGAGAGATGGGTGCTCTGCGGGAATGAGAATGTCAACGGAGATGACGGTGAGGTGGTCGTCTGGGATACCCTGACGGGAAATATCGCGGAAAAGATTCGTGTTGCCGGCTCCAAAGCTGAAGGCAAGAAGAAAATCGGCAGAGATGGGAAAGAGAGGGAGAAACAAAACGTCATCAGTTGTGTAGCTTGGAAAGAGAACGGCCGCGGAGATCAGTGGTGTTGTGCCGGCATCGATGGCCTCGTTACCGTTTTTGGGTTTGCTTGACGAGAGCCGGACAGAGAAAATGTTACATACGATTTGACGAATGTCTACCGGGTATGTGGGATTGAGGGAATATGGACATTGGTAGTGCGGCCGAGTTGCTATTGTTAGCAACGTGATCGTCGTGGAGAGCTAGATCTAGATGGCAGCACGTCAAGCTTTGAAACCCAGTACGACTGGATAAACTTCCCGCTCCAGCATTGGGCACATCCGAGATTCGCGGTCTGATGGCCGGGATGCGGCTTCCAAGCGCGCCGGTATGTCGAAATTCAGATCGGCGACCAAATTCCCTGTCCTTGTCAATCTCCAACGATAACCTAGTTGCAATCCCACGTGGCGATATCCCGAACACTTGCAGCTGTGCTTCTCGGACCAGGAGGTTTTTCATTTCACTGAGACGAACAGTGTTGGGAAATCTATGGAAGGATACTAGCGATCTACAGGCCAGGCTATTCGCGCCATCAAAATATATGATTCCGCTCGGCTCGTAGAGGATGGATCGATGTAGAAGAGGTTACCTGGAAATTACTTCCGGTCGCGAGGATATATTATTGCAAAGTATCAGGGAGGGATGCTTGAGAATTGCCGGCCCGCAGCATCTTCGCCCGCGTTGTCAACAGCACCCCTGGAGGCATGGGTGGACATGAATGGCGAGCGATCCCTGACCTTAATATATCTACTTCCAGTTGGCCACCTGCCGAAGTGTGAGATTTGTCCGGTAATACTACGCTCGTGCATGGGGTAAATGCGATTCTGCATGGTCGAAAGTCGCGTGGCAGAAGGGATTGCTGGAGTGCGGCCGCAATGCAATTTCTGACGTTCTGACGTTCTGACGTTCTGACCCCTAGGAGAGACTCTGCCTCCGATAAACTGCTACACAGAATCGCTTGTGCCGCTCCAGGGGGGACTGGGAAAAAGATTGACAGGCACACGAAACATATGCGAGTGTTTGTCGATGTGAGACTGACACTGAGGGTAGTGGTGGGAAAATATAACAGAAGCTCAGCTCGTTCTTTCGTGTCCCGCCGCCTCCCCTTTTGCTTTGCAAATCTTTACCTATTGTCGTAATTCTCGTGACGAGGTGCAGCCCTTTGCTAATGATCCAGTTCCTACGAGCAGCTCCTGGTCTGGTTTTTATTGTCCCGTGGCATGTGTACGTACCGGCCGTCTCGACCGCCCTGAAAGGGACATGCTGCCAGTGTTGCATTGTGGTTTTGTAGATCATCAAGGGGTTATTGAAGTTCAATGCGAGAGGTGGGCAGTATCCATTATCCTATGCATGTATGCGAAGTTACAGTTGGCGCACAGAATCCCTTCTGCCATCGGTAAAGCTAGTCCTAGCCTCAGAACCGTGTTGAAGCCGCGGGTTGAGCCTCAAGAGTACGTCTACACTAGATGATGGCTGGTCCCGAACCACTTTGCTCACCTGCTTATACAATATTGAAGGGGGCATGAGTGGGTTAATGGCTCTAGGGGAAGTCCTCTGAATTGAGTGTGTCACAAGTATGACCGCCTGTCTGTATCCAAATTTTCCAGCTTCGATTGACGTAGGCCATCCTGAACTTTCTTTGCGTAGTTGAGTTCTGCCCTTTGTCCCTTGAGACCCCTTATTTATCCTGGAGTAGATGCCTCTACAAAGGGAGTTTCGTTCTTTTCTATTCGACAAAATGTCAACGCAGTTTGCTTGGGCTCTCTATTGGGCCATCATCTCCTATATATTAAGATGCTGATGGAAGACCATATGATTCCATAGCCTTGCCGGTTTTATTGGTTGGTTCCTTTCTGCCCGTTCTTCTCCTATCCATTTCTTGAATTCTAAATTATTGCTTAGGCTTGAGTGTCGGTTGTAGAAACGCACTAATTGCAGCCAATCCCTTAGACATCTTCCATAAGTTTTCGAACTCTTGACAGGAGAGAAAGAGCTTGAGGTTTGCGGTCTAAATAATAAATCCGATAGACAAGCCGCCAACCAGTACTATATTGGACCTTCATAGGGCATTGGTAGATATCTGGCTTGTAATTCTAGCCGTGATGTTTATCTAGTTAAGCTCGTGGCCTTGCTATTTGAATTTCGGTTTGGGGCTAGAGGACATTGTATGCGCCAGCGAGCCACCAACCTCTTTACTTTATAGTAAGGGTCCCCATGTCCTCCATCGGAGACTTACCTCATCAACGAAAGCGCCTCAGTCCCAATGTTCACCACTGCAGATCCAAACAGATGTGAGGAAGGACTAATCCCGCAATTGGATTCCTATCATATTGAGTACGAGTAATTCCGAATAAACACGGCCCGAGACAATCAGCGTCAAGGAGATAGATTCTTGCTATCAAAACATTGCGCCGGAAAACTATTTCTTCTCCGAAGCAGCCAACGACATTCTAGGGTGCTAGACTTACAAAGAGCTTCCTTCGTCCCATGGCCTGATTGAGAATGCGACTTCTCCTATGCCTACCTATATGGCCATCCCGTGGTCCTAGCAGAGTGGCGGGAGAAATACCAAGAGACCCCCTATCATCAAGGACGCAGCCAGAGCGGAGAGCAGAGACTGGAACAAATCGTCGGCCAAGGAGCATACTTTCTTCCACCTTGTCCTCCATACACTCAGAGAACTAGGCGTCTTGAACAGCTAAGTTGAACCCCACCCTTTTTAAATCTAGAGAGATATCCAGCTATTGAGGTATTGTCTCTCTGGGCCACTATCGTCCTGGCCCTCTTTTGGCTCTCGAACTGACCCGGGAAGATCGTTACCGGCTCCTCTTTTTTATTTAACTCTATCCTCGGATTTTAATCACTTAATTATTTCGGCTATAGGTGGGAAGGGAAACACCTAGTACCTTTTATAAAGCTTCATTTACTTGATCATATTTCCCATAACAATAGCTAACAATTAAACCCAAAATAACAGCAAAGCTGCTCCGAAATGTTTTGTCTTATATTATTTCAGGATCCGTTAATCGGACATGTCTTATACACGGTCCCCATTAGCCCTGTGAAGGCGTGTCCGCTCCTCAGATTCTCACTAACTTATAATAAGTCAACCTCTTCTCTCTCTCAACATCACCTATTATATTATATAGCATCTCGCACTTATACTATGAACACCTCGGCAAATCCCCAATGTGGGGCTTGGAAGATATTTCTATCGCCGGCTCCAAATGGCCGGCATCTCATCCGGTATGTTCACCCAGCCCCACATTATCGAGAACATCCGGACTCTTAAGGGAATCAAATAAAGCCAGGTGATAATTCGCAGGTATCTTCTCTGCCCCTCCATCGCCTTACTCCAAAAGCTTAATCATCAAAATATATTCTGTCCTTGGGCCTGGAGTCGAAGATCGCCGTGGTCCTCCTCCCCCGTTCTGCACTTGAACTTGAACATCCGACATCCCTCGAAATCTGTGTTGCCGAAACATCTGCCATATATATTTCGCGGGGTAAATATTATCCCCGATCTGGAAAAGGAGAGCCATTTTTAGAGGTATTCACGTGACATCCCACTATCAGGGGTACTTTATTCCCCTTGTTGCCGTAGCAAGTCCCGCTGTCCCCCACCTCACGTCCTGACGACGTAAGTCGGACACCAAAACCCTCCGTTGTGGTCCGACGTCGGTCAATTTATATATATACGTAAGTCAGGATTGACCAGTTATTCTATCCTGTGTCCAAGACTTGGTGTGCTCATCCAATCCACAGTTTCCACTCGTCCAGGGCGTTCTCCAGTGTCTTCATATTCTATCCATTGTTGAAGGGGCCTCAACCTTGCGCTAGAAATTGTGCTTCTCAAGTATCGGTTTTGCAAACGCAGGCCGGTTATACTATAAGACATTCTCTGTGAAAATGGACAAAAATTTACGTATCGTCATTGTGGGGGCGGGTAAGTCTCCCGTAAGTATCCATGTATGAACAGATTTGCTGAGTTCAGATTTACAGGAATGGGTGGCTTAGCCACGGCTCTCGCCCTGGCGAAGAAAGGATTTACCCAAATCGAGGTCTATGAGACAGCATCAAATCTCGGCTTTGTGGGAGCAGGAATTCAACTTGCTCCAAACATGGCCAGAATATTGGATAGATTAGGTGTCTGGGCCGACATCGATAGGGAGGCTGTTGTAGTTTCAGAAACAAGCATTAGACGTAAGTCCTCTCCTACTTGTCCCAATCTTATAACTTATTGATGAAAAACAGAGGGCGATGAGGATAAAGAACTGGCCCGTGTCGATTTGGGGTACGTCAAGAAGCAATATGGATACCCGCACATGGTAGGCCATCGGGCCTCGCTCGCCGGTTCCCTATATGAAGGGTGTAAAAATGAGCCAAACATCAAATTCTATTTCTCAACCTCGGTAGAAGACGTAGAGTCGTTCCTCCCCAAGCCGTCTATCATCATGAAACCCCGCAACGGGGAGCCCTACACCGTGAAAGCGGATATCCTTCTCGGTGCCGACGGAATAAAGAGCAACACCCGTACCGCAATGCTGAAAGAGATCAATGCACCAGATGCAAAGGTCCTCGACACAGACCAAGCAGCATACCGTATCATGCTCCGACGTGAAGAAATGGCTCACGATCCGGAACTCCTGCAACTGATCGATAGGGATGTCGTTACGAGGTGGATTGGCGAGAAGCGTCATATCATCGCGTACCCCGTTTCCAACAAGACCATCTATAACATCTCTACCGCGCAGCCAGACAAGAATTTTGCGGCTGGTCCATCGGCAACGTATACCACAAAAGGATCCAAGTCTGCGATGTTGGGGACGTTTGGTGATTTCTGCCCGATGATCAAGAGAATGTTAGATCTTGTGCCGGATGGTGATGTTTGTGAGTGGAAATTGCGGGTTCATAGCCCCCTTCCTACGTGGGTCCATGGCTCTTTTGCCCTCGTTGGTGATGCATGCCATCCCACGCTTCCACATCTTGCGCAAGGAGCTGCGCAGGCTATTGAAGATGCTGCCGTGCTAGGCGTTGTGCTCGATAAATGCCCGGACTCGGGTCCCGAAAGCATCAATAAATCTCTCCGTGTCTACCAAGAGCTGAGGAAAGACCGTGCAGAGACACTGGTGGAGCTTGCGGCGGCAAATGGAAGGGACTTGCATCTCGGAGCCGGGTCTGCAAAGGAGGAGCGCGACAAGAAGTTTGCAGCGCTCAAGGACAAGCAAGGTGCGGTGCCAGATAAGTGGGCGGATGCGGATGTGCAGAAGATGATTTATGGGCATGATTGTATGAAGGAAGCAGAGGAGCAGTACCAGGGGCTTTTTGCGAAGCTATGAGCTAGTTGTTGTGATGTGCTATTTTGGCTTGGATATCCTCCTTGGTGGCCCTTCATATTGTGGAATGGCAGATTAGAAAAAGATCTGCGTACCGATTTTAACTTGGGGACAGGAATCATGGCGCGCACGATCGCTTTCTCATAAAACGCCTGAGCTTTTCGCGAAACTGTGAGCAGGCACTAAGCTAGGATGATAGTGTAAGTTTGGCTTGGATGACCTCTTTGTTGTCTCTCGGTTTTCAGCCAGCAGGGTAAGTTTTTGGGAAATGTAACAACAGATTTAGTAGGCTCATCAGAACTGCCTCTGCACTTTGCCGAATTGTGTGTTATTTCATTAGCTGTAAGAATCCCCTTGGTTCCGATGTGCTCTTCTTCCTATGAGAAATGATAATGACTTGGAAGAATACATTATTTGCCCAGACTGAAACTTCAGGACACTCCTAAGTGTCAAACTCGCCAATGCCCCAACAACACCGTTTGAATATCGATCAGTCGTCATATTCCCATGCTATGCTTGTTTTAATCCATTTTAACCTTACACATAGCCCACGCAGTAACACCACTCCCCCGTATCGTTGTCGGATAAACAACACAAGACGATACCTCCCTCCGATGCTTTAATAAATGCCAAAGTTGAAGAATCATCAAGCAAAGCGACGGTCAGTCCTGGTACTTGATAATGCCTTGAAGAAGCTCAACATATATTTGAAGGGTTGTAAAAGGCTGTAGAAGCCAAGACCATCCTCAAAACTTGCCTCTCAAGCGAATTCAATAGCCAAGAGCATGAAAAGAAAGCGAAATTAGAGATCCCTTATGTGCGGCCTTAGCAAGAAGGATGCGGATAATTAGATGCTCCAACTCACATTCAACAAGCCCTTACCTTTGACGCTTTGAGAACATTTCAAAGCCAAATCGCAGAAAAGGTGTAGCAACAGTAAAGAGAGTGACCAGTGGAAATGGTATGACAACTTCGTCAAATGCTAGCCTAGCTTGGGTATATTGTAAGCAGCTGTTAAACGAGCAAAACACTTACTCAAATGCCATTCGCACACGCTAAAATGCCCAACCCTATATATATATATATATATAGATACCCCGAACGCCATGCTTATATGTTGCCATCGTCCCCATCCTGTCCAAAGCATAGACCCAGCCCGAACTGAAATTTGAGCATCTAACACCCATTCATAACATCACTTCGACTTCTACCTCTGGAACTAGATATCTCCCGGTCCCCATTGGTCAGATTGCCATTGACCCCTTGCCCACCACCCAAACTCGCCGTCAAAGCATCCATCTGCTTCTTGGTATGTTTATGCATACTTTGGGCGTATGTGGAGAGAGAGTAGAAGGAGTCTTCAATTGTGTTGTTATATGTTTCGCGGATGGGTGTAGTGCCATTAGTTGACATTTGTGAGGTGGTGGTGGCAGAAGTCGTCGGCATCTCGTTTAGTATTGGTTTTGCGTTGATTTCCGTTGCGTAAGAGGGGTTGGTTTGCGGTTTGAGGAGAAGCGACGTTGGCGTGTGAATTGAGGCGCGAAGCAGGGGCCGAGGTTGAAGTGATGGGGTAGGATTACAGAAGAGAGCAGAGTGTAAGTGTATATTTGGCTAGTATAAATGGTACCTGAGGTGGTTTGGCATAGAAGACGAAGGTGTTAGTGGTAAATAGATATAAGATCCTTGGGGAAGTGGTGGGCTTAATGGACTCTAGAGATGGATAGTCGCTCATCCCCAGTGGGTTTCACGCATGGGGGTTTGATGGACGAGTTGATCGATGCAAGTTAGCGCACGCGCTGGGAATGGTGGACATTGGGCTATGTACGTATGTCGTCATCCTGCCTCATGGAGTCATAAACAGGACTTGGTTGCACTTAGGAACTCGCCCATCACTTACCGTTTTGCTATCACATACCTCAGTCTACTCGAGCATCTCCTCCCCCCAATTATGAGAGACCACTTTTGCACCCTTGAACGCTACCCACCGCCCAGCTTCCTACTTTCGTAACCACGCAGCCTGCACCGTAGCCATGGCCCGTAAATCTGTTAAGATATGCGTCACAATCATCTACAGTAACTGTCCAGCATATTTCAGTCAAGGAAAAGGGGGAAGGAAAGCAGGGTAGCAGCGCTAGAGAGCAAAAGGAATGAGTTTGTAGATCATGACATGAAGAGGCGTCATAAACGATGTCATGAGGCGGGAGGGATAGAGTAGCATAAGAGCAGCTCCCGTGCTCCTCTTCTGAATTTGGCTAGCATGAAGATAGAACAAAGTACTTGTACCCTCCACAAATTGTATACTTCCCGTCGCAGTTGTTGAGGCACCTCCCTCGCTCGAGTCCATGGAAAGATATCAACAAGGAAGGGTGCTGGGAGATGTTCGCGGGACAGCGCTAATTCTGTCCTTCCTTTTCCGGGATTTGGTGAAGACGGGTGAATCTAAACAACTTGGTCATATCCAGGAGCTACCTGTTTCTGTTAAGCTGGCTGAGACAGTCCTGCAGCCTTTGAAATCACTTCTTGTTGTTCACATCATACCCACCAAGTTAGTGCGGACAACGGCTGCCAGCGGTGGAGAAGCCCCAGATTCTCAAAACAAGGATTGAATTGCATCGCAACCCTGTAGATATCATCCTTTTCCCCAAACTCGTACTGGTACGACCTGGCAGGATGACAAAGGTGTAGGTGCAGCCTGTACAGAGTGTCTTTGAATGAAGCCACGAAAATGCAAGAAACTCGGAGAAAATTCGATCGATAGCGCCCTCCCTCTCGGTCTGAGACTCCGAGTGTGGTGCGAGCAGTAATTCGTATAAACGGGGGCCATATACTCTCTATACGAATGACAGCATACAAAGCCCCTCCATAAGGATTCCGTCGCAGTGCCTCATCGCAGTGCCTCATCGCAGTGCCACTGGGCTGTGGTGTTGTTGTCGTACCAAAACAAGGGCGTAAAAGGGGTTCCTTCCCTATGTCGCTACGTATGCCAAGCATCATGCGCATTGACATCATGCTGACAGTACACATGCTAACCGTATCCATAGAAACCCGGCAATCCAGCGGGAGTGGCTTGGTGGCTGGACCAGGTACAGATTCAAACGGAAAGCACCCGAGTTGCCCCGCTGGAGATGGTCTGGGTGGAATTGGTCATATCTTCTCAATTAACTGAACTGATACGAGACACTCTACTCCACGGTCTCCCGCGACTGTATTCGAAAACGAGCAGCGAAGTTTTATGACGATACAAGTACTTGTATGAATAACATATCCTAGGATGCTGGACAACTCAGATCCGCTCCAAACCTCGCTCCCTGCTATGATGGAAGGGTTCAAGTGCCACTGTAAGTCTAATCACCTGGAGCCCACAGCCCGTATTCTACAAGTCCGCTTTCCCAGCCTTCTTGTACACGTCCTGCTCCCATGCCTTGAACAGAATATTGGTCTTGATGTCGCCACAGGGAATGGTTTGGCTTCCCAAGATGGCAGATATGCCTGCCTTCCTATCAACTAACCAACATAAGTTCGGCAAACCACCCCAGTTCATCGACCCAGCTCTGCGGCGATCCGGCATATCTGTCAGGTAAATCAAGCCGCCGAGACCAAACGTGACGACCGTTCCTGGTGGGACGCCGCCGCAGATCTGATTGAACATGGGAATGGCCAGGTTCTCATTGAGGGCTTTCTTGGACTCTGGTGTAAGCTGATCCTGAAACATCATATCAACGGTTCCTTTCTTGAGAACCTTCTCATCATCTGAAGCAAGACTATGCAGCAGCTTCTGGTAATCGACCGGATTGCCATAACTTCCAGCGCCGCCGTGGCAACCAGGAGTATCCCTATTCCAAACACCATCATCAGTATATACCATTTTGCCCTCTGGGTTTAACGCGCTACCCCAAGCGGCGAGACCGCCACTGCGCAAGCTCATATCGGTAAATTTCTCCAGAATAGCTGGTGCTTCGTTGATGTGGAAGGTCATGCTCTTAACTCCCAGTGGGCCCCAGATCTTCTTGTTCTCATACACCTCGAGTGTCATACCAGATAGGCGCTCCACAATCAACCCAGCCCAGTCAAGTCCTGCGCCGTACGCCCATTTTTCTCCGGGTGCGGCTATGAGGGGGTCCCTGTGGGCTACCGGAACCGTATCCCTGATGAAGAAACCGGGCGTGTATCCCTCCTGGAGACGATATTTGGCGAGAAGTGGATCTGGTACGGAGTAAGCACTCGATCCAATATGATTCAACGGTGGCACTCACTCATCGAATTGTATGCAAGGCCGGATGAATGGGTGAGAAGATGTCTGTTATCAAAAATAAATCTCCATATAGATTTACCAGTAGATTCAAGCGTACCTCAGAGTAATGGTCTTGGTATTCTCGACCAAGATCGGCTTGTCAGTACCTTCGTTAAAACCGGTCAAGATCTTTAGGCCCTTGAGTTCCGGTAGGATTGCTGTAACATCGTCATCCAAACTCAACTGGCCGCGCTCAACAAACTGCATGACAGCAACTGTCGTGGGCAGCTTGGTAAAAGATGCCAGCCACATGGTGGCATCAAGCGTCAGAGGGTCGGGATTGGAGGGATTCTTGAGAGAACGATGCCCGAAGGCTTTGGCGGAATAGAATTTCCCTCCATTTGGTTAGCTATCACATCTATTAGACACAACGAAAGCAACCAAACACAAACATACCTTCCGCATCTCCAGCCGCGAATATAGCCCCAGGGATCTCCCTATCCTTAACGGCCCGGTCAATTCGCTCGTCAAAAGTTTCACTGGCCATGCTGCTAGATGTATCCTTTCTAACGTCTTCAGGCCTTCAGTGACTCAAGATCTCAGCAACGTCCAGACCTCGGCTTATTAAATGGAACAAAGGGGAGGGCCGCCTGGCACCTACACCGTCTCACATACGCCCGTAAACGTACGTACAAAACCACGAAGTCAGCCCTAAATCCTTACAGAGCCGAAATCCAACCAACGACGACGCCATACCATGAACCCCAGAGAACTTGGCGCGCCCAGTACCCGTACTGTGCCATGCTAATAATTTTGTATGGCAATTCTGTCGTACTTGTCGTACCAGTAAGCTTGGACTTGGGCTCAAGTGCCTTGCCGCGGACCTTCCCAATTTAGCTATGACTCGTCCGACAGTATCACGAGGCTGCGGAGCGAAACTGGTGAAACATAGCATCTAAGGTGCTCATACTACGAAGCACAGTACGTACTCCGTATGGACGTACTTGTAGTGTAGTATATGCTGAGTCGTGCTATCGTTACTACGTAACTTACGAGGTACTAATGTGGTAACTTGATAGGCCTAATAATATACCTGCCGATGAACCTCAGGCGAATCTTGTGGGACCTATCATAACCACTGGCAATCAAGCGGAAAGTCTAGATGGGATTCAGGGTAAATGAACCAGTGGCGGAGGGATGGTAAATTAGATAGCTATGAAAGCCGGGCTCGGTAAGTAACGGTGGCCTTTGGCGCTTTTCCGTAGAATGAACAAGCCGCGGAGGAAAATGATGGATATCTCTCTTGAGGAATAGGTTTGGTAGATATGTCGAGAAGGAAATCAACCATTACAATACAGGGAACCTCTATGATTCGGTTCCAACCCCCAGCCTTTACCAGAACGCCTTGCCAATGCTTCATCATACACGCATCGTGCTGCACTGCACGGTACCGTTCAAACAACGCAAACTGATAATACAACGGGCAGAAGGACTTAGGTCGTTCTTCATCCCATCCCAACATACTTGAACCAGTTCGGTCGGCAATCTTCCTTCAGCAGCAAGGATTCTCCGTCTGTGAGCCGTCCTGTCACGCAGCCTTTGCATTTCGGCGAGTTGGGACAGTTGAAGAATGGGATGTGTTGATATCCGATGTCGCGGAACCTAACGGGGGCTTGGTTAGTTGAATGTTCTCGAGGGGTTGGGAAACAGTAATCTTACCAATGGACCTTACTTGAATCTTCAAACAGACCTACTGCGATACTATGGACGGGCGCATCGCCCCATCTCTCATAGAAGAAGCCGCCGGCGCGATCAAGATGGTTGAAATAATCTTCGTACGCTTGACTACGCCAGAGATTCATATCGGCAATCTCGAAGTTCGACCAGAAATGACAGGTCGAGTACCCGTTCGCTTCTTGATTGTGTTGTGGTCTTCTCTGGCTATCCGTCAACCAATCCATCGCGTTATTATCATTCATATACTCCGGGTGTTGTGCCAGGAATTTGACCGTCTCCGGCCATAGTGTAGGGATCGATTTAGGGGCGTCGAAGAGGGAGATGGTGAACCCATAGGTTTTGTTGTTATCCTGCATGTATCGAAACACATCGTAATCGACGTCGCAGAAGAAATGAACTTTAGGCTCGACCCGCCAGTAGAATTGCGTGTTGGCTAATGCCGGGTGTTTGTAGAAAAGGCCACTATTCCAGCGACACATTTGGTGGTACGACTTCATGTTTCCATATTGGATATCGTTCTCTTGTAGGATCTTGGCCGACTCGGCGAATATTTCGTCATTTATCCAGGATGGAACGTCCCAGTGCTCTTTTGGAATCACCTCTGCAATAGCAACATTGTTAGCCTCGATACAGATCAGGGCCAACAGCGACACGTACCGTATCTGCATTCTGCTTTCGTCTCCGCTTTCGTGAGCCTCTTGAACTCCTCTGTAAATGGCTTATCGTTGAAAAAAGTCCAGGGATAGTTGAACTTCGAATTCCAAGTCCTTTCCAGGTCTTGCATTGCTTGCACCATCCCCTTAACCTCCTCGTTGCGTACTAAAGCCAGAAGGGTCGCATTAATTCGCGCCGTGCCCTCAGCACCAGGTGCATATCCTTCTTCCGCTCGATGCAGTATCCCTTCAGGTTCTCCGGTAACTATATCGTCATCAGTACAGCCCTGGACAAGGCGGAGGTTGAAGTTAAGGGGCACATACGATCTAGATTTGGTTCCCTATCCATGTTCTCGAGCGTGTCGCCAGGACCTCTCTGGGCCCTCTCCGGACCAAACACTTGGTACAGGAAGAAAACCCATAGTATTATAGCTGCCAAACCCAGCACCCTAATCGGTCGTGCTACGGCCATGTTGTGATGAGGATTGTTTGTGTTTCGAAGGGAGTCTTCTGCCGCGCATAACTTTTATCCCCTTTACAGCAATCCTGCGGCTCTTGCCGACCGAAACCCAGAAGACGTCGATGTCACCGAACCCTTGCAGATAATTGGCCTGAGGCGCCAAAGTCGCGTTCCAGTCGCGTCCACCAGCTGTCGTCGACATGTAAAGCTTGACTTTCTGGATGCTCATTGTTCATATATACTTGTACAATGTGTGACGCCCCGAGTTATGGCGCATATAGCGAAGCTTGGTGCTCTGACCGATGAGCTGGTAGCATTGTTGACTTCGGCTTCTGCAGATGTAGGCATTCTAGCTATCCCATTGCATTGCATCTCTTCTTCCATTGATTTTACTAACACGCTAGATAGGGCGAACCCGCAAAGTTCAACGCTCATAAAGAGTCTGCCCTCCGAGCTCTGCGAAATCATAACTATCCGCGGACGAATCAATTCGATGTTTGGAACCGCCTGGATGGCCTGGACGAGAAATTCCGCGTTTACAATGAAGACCAGTTAGCAGACGCCCTGAAAGAGCGGCTTCAAAAAATCTCAAGATTGGAGGGGAAATGGTCATCTGAGATATTACATTTGCTTCTTGAGCTATCCGATAAACCGCTTGCAAACTCCAAGCTCAAAGACCTCGACTTGTTAAAAGAGCCGGAGCCGCAGACGGAGACCCCGTTAAGATGGAAGGATCTCGCTGCCAATGATCCTCTACTTCGGGACAAACATGTGTGGCGAAACGTAGATTTTGGTGCCGAGAGCTCTGATGAAGATGGCTTATCTGATATATCTATGCCAACCGAGACCACCACTCAATCAAGCGTCGAGGATGATGTGGACATTCATCCCAATGACCATGTAGTGGACGTTTCCAGCGAGGAGAAATTGATTGAACTACGAGAGGCCCAGTTCTGGCTCAAAACTCCGAGTATCAATGGGGTCAAACTGGAAACGGTAAAGAAACCTATCACAGAGCTCCAGGCCATTCGTGAAGTCCTGTTCATGCTCGCCGGATTTCCAACTTCGTTATTTGAAGTAAGGACTGAGGGTTCTAAGATTTTTGAACCTTGCAAAGGCTATGCTCTCAGGCATGCATCCCCAGATTCTTTCCGGAAGTTGCTCAAGTCTTTGGCTGCCGATGGCTCATCTATCACCTTCTTAAAGTCCTGGGCCATTCGCCCCCAGCACATACCATTGCTTCAAGTCTTTCAAGCCGCCATCCTGAAACATATTGCGGAATTCGATGGTCTGCTATCTCGGATTCAGGAGCGCTTTGTTGACCCTGCTGATGATGTTGTTGTTAGTCTTTTACTTGTTAAAGAAGAGATCAGTTCATATATAAGATCGTTGATCTGCTTGTCTGAACTCACCAAGAGACTGGATACAGAACCATACGCGCATGCTTTTCGATACTTAGAGATGTTATATGAGCAGGCTAGCATCTCACAAATGGGTGGCGACGAAGAAATGTATGCCTTCATGGGGACGCTCTTCTTCGAGTGTTTTCAGGTATACCTCCGTCCGATTCGGACCTGGATGGAAGAAGGGGAGCTAGAGAAGGAGGACAAGGTTTTCTTCGTTGCAGAATCTTCAGGAGAGATGGACACATTATCCATCTGGCAGGCTCGATTTAAACTTCGTCAGACTCAGGATGGTACATTACACGCTCCAAACTTTCTTCAGGCCGCCGCTGGCAAGATTTTTACTACAGGCAAGAGCGTCGTAGTTCTCAAGCATCTTAATAAAGTCTCTTTGATGGAATCTTTTGAGAGGATCCTTGAACCGAGCTTGGATTTCGCAACATTGTGCAATCCCGCGGCCCTCCAACTGGTGCCTTTCGTCGAGCTCTTCGATGGAGCATTCGATGCCTGGATTCGAAGCAAACATCAATATGCTTCATCCACCCTTCGTAAAATTCTCTTCGATCAATTTGGGTTGTGCTCTTCGCTTGATGCCCTTTCTGGAATTTATTTCATGGCTGATGGAGCGCAGGGGTCAGCATTTACCAACCCCTCGTACGACAAATTGGACACTCTGGATGTTACTTGGAACGACCGATTTGCACTTACTGAGCTTGCTCGAGGAGCTTTTGGCACATTGCCATCCGTCAGTCCTGATCGTCTTCGGATTGCAGTTTTGCCTCTGAGTCGAAAAAACCAGGATATCGGAAGATGCAGGAGAACTGTCAAGGTCTTGTCGATCATTGAGCTCAAATACCAGCTCTCTTGGCCTATCCAGATCATTTTGACTCCTGACACTATATCTTCCTATCAGCGGATATTTACCTTCCTCATTCAGATTCGCAGAAGTTCCCACATTCTCTCCCGCCAACGATTAGCAACCGACCTTCTTACGATAACAAGCAGCTCGGACGAACGCTCTCTTTATTACTCACTCCGTACTCGGCTGCTCTGGTTCATCCAAGCGCTCTATTACTATATCTCTTGCCTTGTACTGGAGCCAAGCTCTTGCAAAATGAGAGAGGATTTAGAAGCAGCCGTCGATATAGACTCTATGGTCCAAGTCCATTCCTCATATATCAAATCCACAGTCAACCAAGCGTTACTTGGCAGCAAACTGGAGTTGATTCACAAAACTATTCTCAAGATTCTCGATCTAGCGATCAAACTCGAGGATGCACAGGCTGCTAACGCTGCTGGGGCTAAAGATACCATGGACCGACAACAGGAAATGATGGACTTGTCAATGGCAAGTTTAGGTTTACATACTCCGCAGAAACCACGCCGCCCGTCAAAATTCAGCCCGAGGAATCTTAAGGTGGCTAATCCCAAGGATGAAGCCTCCAGCGACGACGAAGAAAAAGATATCGATCTAAGTATTCTCTCATCCACTCTACTCGAAGGTGATGAGACAGAACTATCATATTTTGAGAAGCTTCTAGAAATGAGAGCCGACTTTGATAGATTGGTGCGATTTGTGGCGAATGGGTTGAGGGGTGTTGCTAGGGCTGGTGGGGGGCAGGAAGCGAGGAGTTGGGACACGCTGGGGGAGATGCTCGAGGCTGGGCTTGGGGATGGGAATGGATCGATAGGACGATCGTACTAGAATCCCACTTTAAATGGAATTCAAGCTGGCAGAATGTCCCTGCTACGGGTTTTAGCTCTAACTCACAACTCTCAGCGACGAAAATAGCAAGTTGAAGACTTTATTAGATGCCCTCCAGGAATTGTTTGGGCATAGGTGTTCTTAGTACTTAGGTACCAGGCCCCTAAGAATATATTACTCCGTGGTCCGCACAACGTGATGGACAAAAGTGCATCATCACATCCAGTTCTAATGCTGGCCCGGTATACCGAATATTCTCATACATATAAATAAAGCAAACCTCAAACACTCACACAGTCCTATGATGTTCAATTAAGGTATAAAACCCTATGTTGCTTTCACTCGCCAGGTTCCATTGGTATGGAGTACAAAGTGTAACCGATCAATCAGGCTTGCAGCACGCAATAATCGGGTATGTGAGACAGCGTTAAACGTGTCGATCCCATCCATCCGTTTTGCGCCTCCTATCCCACGGATCCCAATTGCTGCTTTCAACTCCAATATCACGCTTTCACACACACGAATGTCGCGAGGTTTCTTCCATTTTCACACGACGACCTAGGTTCAGTGTACGAAGCACTCGTATTTGATCCCGGCTAGCGATCTCCGAGCCTGCTTTGTAAGATGGCTTTATTTCTTATCTCCGCTCGAGGTGCCCTCGTGCTTATCAATTCTGTTGAATTGCGTTCTGTTGTTCTTCCTTGGAGTTCCCATATACACCATCTATTTATATTTTATGTTAAATATGTCAGGTCTTGAATATGAATATGTCTCCCGAGTGGATGAGACAGGAGCCAACACAGGGCCAAAGCCGCCCTTGGATTTAAGTCATCATTACTCCAGAGTTACCCAGCAGAGACATGCGAGTGACATGAAGGACTTCTACAAGTATTTCCAGATTCCTGGCATTGGAAACCTGGCCGGTGGTAAGCCCCATTTCGCATTGTTGATTAACCAAGGGGTTTCCCGTTTGACTTTGAAATCGCCCTGCTACAACCTCAACTGACTTGTTGGTGCCATACCTATTGCAGGCCTCCCAAATGAAGCACTCTTTCCATTTGACACACTCGAAGCGCAGATTGCACGACCCGAGCGCTTCAAGCCCACACCCAATGATCCAAATAGCTCCAGCAAACTCGCTCACAAGCTTGCCACCACCTCGATCGATAAGCCTCAAAATGCTCTAGGATCGTCCCATCTAACGGTTCCGCACACCTCTGCGATCCAGAATCTACTAGAAAAGATCGATCTAGCAACTGCGCTTCAATATGGTCAGGCACAGGGTTATCCGCCGTTATACTCCTTTCTCCGACAATTTACACGTGAGAATCTGCACCCAAACTGCCCATACCTCGATGGACCCGATATCATTCTTACAAATGGGAATACGGATGGGTTTGCGAAAGCAATCGAGGCGCTAAGCAATATTTGGATTGAAGAACGGGATTGGATTAGAGAGCGTGAAGGCTTACTGTGTGAAGAATTCGCGTATATGAATGCAATTCAAACGGCGAAGCCGAGAGGGTTGAATGTTGTGCCCGTCAAGATGGATCTAGAGGGTATGCTGGCTATAGGTCCTGGTGGCCTAGCGGATGTCCTCGAAAATTGGGATGAGTCGAAGGGCAAAAGGCCCCATTTGATGTATACGGTTTCGTAGGTCGGCTTTCCTATCAAGGAGGGCGTACTATTAACAACTCTCGCAGCATTGGCCAGAATCCTACAAGTGGGACACAGTCGATTCAACGCCGAGAGGAGATATATGCTCTGTGTAGCAAATATGATGTTATAATAATCGAAGACGAGCCCTACTGGTATCTCCAATACCCTTCGGCAATAGGCAAGGAAGTTGAAGCTCGTGGAACGACTTTTCCCAAGGCTCAAGCCCCACACAAATTGGGGAAATCTACTGGATATCCATTTCTCGACAGCCTTGTGCCTTCCTATGTGAATTTGGATCACGATGGACGAGTCGTCCGTTTGGATACATTTTCCAAGACCGTAGCACCAGGCTGCCGATTAGGATGGATCACCGCACAACCTTCAATTGTTGAACGAATCACTAGAATTACCGAGTCATCGACTCAGCAGCCCTCTGGATTCGTGCAATCTGTAATTGCTGAATTACTTATAGGTCCTCAACCTGCGGCTGTAGAATTTTCCAAGAAATCCAGGCTTGAGCAGCGCACGTTTTCAGGGTGGCAGACTGACGGTTGGGTCCGCTGGCTTGAGGGCCTAAGAGGCGCTTATGAGCGCCGCATGAACGAGATGTGCGATCTTCTCGAAGCCGGCCGCTTCCAACTTAAACAGGGTACACCGATCAAATCATCGGATAGCGATTGGGCTGTTATCTCCAAAACCGAAATGTACTCGTTCGATTGGCCACGTGCGGGGATGTTCGTCTGGATCCAAATGCACTTTGATTCCCACCCGCTATGGGGGCAGCTCGATGGACCACAGCTGGCCACGGCCTTGTGGGCGTATTTGACTAGGAAGCCATTTTTGGTCCTAGCTGCTCCAGGGGCGATTTTCAGTCCTACGCCAGAGATCGCGGCAGAAAAGGGCTGGCAGTTTTTTAGATTGTGTTTTGCCGCTGTCGTTGAAGAGGAAGTTGAGAGATGCTCAAAGAGCTTTGCCAAGGGTGTGAAAGCATTTTGGTTGATTAAGAGTAAGGATGAACTGGATGACGATGACGAGAGTAATGCTCGGGCTCAAGTGATGCCGGGGGATTTAGTGGATTTAGGTATGAATTGGGCTTGTTAACTCCTCTAGCCCCCAGGTGCAGAAGATATCAATGGCTTTGTTCCAAATTCACGATATGAGCTAATATACGCAATTTACGTGTGATATTATTTCATAGCCCACACAAATAGAGATACCTTCACGACGGGAACGCTTTTTAATGTTGATTTGTTATAGTCCCACGCGTCCCACATATAGCAGTCCCCCACCAACCCTTCCCCACATCACAGGTATAATAATAACTGAATACATTACATATGTAGGTACCTAGGTAGGTAGGTAAGTAAGTGGTACGGAGTACGCACAGTTCTGGTAGTCGAGCAGATCAACCATCGCCTCCCCGAAGTTCACCCGCCCCCCACGGACGCGATGAACCGCCAAATACCCCTCCACGTCCCTTTCTCTTCACACAACTCCAACGTCACCGAAGCTCCTAGCATCGATCATACAGAGCTCCACGGCACCTGCACAGCGCTGGACACAAGCATGGAGAAAATCACCGACAAGATCGCGGCCTTGCCGCCAAACACCAACTACTTCTCCCTCGAATTCTTCCCTCCCAAGACCGCCATGGGCTCCTCCAACCTGCGAGCCCGACTCGACCGCATGTCGCGAGCCTTGCATCCCCTCTTTGTCACAATCACCTGGGGAGCAGGCGGATCCACGGCGACGAAATCTCTCGAGCTGGCCGAGCTATGCCAACGAGAACTCGGCCTCACAACATGTTTGCACCTTACCTGCACAAATATGAACCGGGCATTGGTGGATAAGGCTTTGGAGGATGCGAAGGCGCTAGGGATTAGAAATATTCTTGCTTTAAGAGGGGATCCGCCACGGCCTGACGAGTACAGAGAAGCCGAAGAGCAGGGTCAGACCTCCGAAGCAATGAACGAGGAGTTTGTGTGGGCAATCGATTTGGTGAAATATATTAGGAAGCAATATGGCGACTATTTCTGTATCGGAGTTGCGGCATATCCGGAGGGCCATGCCGATGAGGGCGATCCTGCGGGACAGTCTCTGGAGCATGACCTCCCGTATTTGGTGGAGAAGACGCAGGCCGGCGCGGACTTCATTATGACCCAGTTATTCTTCGACGTGGACGCGTTCGACAGTTTTGAGAAGAGGCTAAGGGAGCATGAGAGCGAGGCCTTCAAGACGATCCCAATTATACCCGGCATGATGCCTATTCAGAGCTACCAGATGATTAAGAGGACGACAAAGCTTAGCCATGCAACCCTACCTCCGGGTATTGTGTCGAGATTAGATGCAGTCAGAGGTGACGACGAACTGGTGAAGAAAGCTGGGGTAGATATCCTCAGCGAGATCATCACACATATCAAAAAGACACCTTCACCAACTCCCAGAGGGTTCCATTTCTACACCCTCAACCTCGAGAAAGCAGTATCTTTTATTCTGGAACGGACGGATCTAATACCTAGTTCGCCTTCAGATATTGAGTCTGCACAGTTTGATCTTCCTCTACCATTGCTCACCATTAACGGTTCACAGAAACCATCCCGTCGAGAGAGCTTTGCAGGCTCTGACCCACATAACCGGGTGATCACCACCACACCAGAAATCTCACACCCAAATTACGAGACCTCAGCCTTGCAGGCCAGTGAGCCTGTGGAGCCGATTATTAGCCGTGCTAACACACTGGCAATATCGGAAGGGGAGGGCAGCCTGGGCCGGGAAGCAACATGGGATGACTTCCCCAACGGAAGGTGGGGAGACGCCCGATCACCGGCGTACGGTGAAATTGACGGCTATGGAGTAAGTCTCCATATGTCTGTCAATCAGGCCATCAAACTCTGGGGCTACCCAACCTCCGTGTCAGACATCACATCCCTCTTCATCCGACATATCGAAGGCGAGATTTCCGCCCTACCTTGGAGCGAAGAAGGTCTCAACGAAGAAACCAACACTATCAAACAGCAGCTCCTCTCCATTATTAAGAAGGGCTGGTGGACCGTCGCCTCCCAACCAGCTGTCAACGGCGTCCCCTCCTCGGACCCGATCTTCGGCTGGGGTCCCAAAAATGGCTTCGCCTTTCAAAAATCATTCGTAGAATTCTTCCTCCCATCTAACGATTGGAAAGATCTCCACGCAAAACTTACCTCCCCCGAAGTCGCCCCCCAAGTCTCCTTCTACGCGTCGAACATCAAAGGCGATTACCTATCCTCAGTGACCGGCGACGCGAGGGGCGGCACCAATGCTGTTACTTGGGGTGCGTTTCCGGCCAAGGAAATCGTCACTCCTACAATTATTGAGGAGGTTAGTTTCCGGGCGTGGGCGGAAGAGGCGTTTGGGATTTGGGAGGAGTGGGGAAGGGTTTATAGCAAGGGAAGTAGGAGTAAGGAATTGATTGAGCAAGTCAGTAACGATGTGTGGTTGGTTAATGTTATCCATCATGGGTTTGTGGAGCAGGAGGCATTATGGGAGTTGTTGCGAGCTTAAGAAACGCACAATTTGGCTTGCCAGAAGAGTATGATGGCAATGGCGTTTGGGAAACCATTAGGCATCTGTTGGAAATTTATATTGTTAGCATAGCGTAGGTATGGCAAGGGGCGGCATTAACATGGCGTCTTGGCTTTATGTCTTTCTCCCTTTAATTTTCTCTTGCTGTCTTTCCTAGTAAATCTCGCTCGAGTAGTTCAGAGAAACGACGCTTTATTAACACAAATTTGTAGTTGTTGACTCTACATATCAAGGCTCACATTATATGTAGTAATAGATCGGGGCTACTACATGATGCTAAATATCCGTTGAGGATATTGCTATCTATGCGTCTATTACTCTCCGCTTGAGTCATTCTCAAGCTAGGGCTATTAGGGTTTAAGTTAGTCAAAGAGACAGTAATATTTGTTATATTGGGCGAGGTATTTGTGGTCGAATTAGCAGTTGAAGTGGTAGCTAAAGTGGCTGGATTGTTAGTTAAGGTGACTCAAGATGGGGAGACCGAATTGGTCGAATTAGCTAGAATGAGCACTAGCGAAACAAGAACAGTCTACACTTATGATATATACAAAGCAAAGCCTTACCCAACCTAGTTAGGTTGTTTACTTTCGGCTGAAACTACTTTGCTTAATCTAATTGAGTAATTTGCTATTAGATTTTTAAGCTGTTCACATGTTATGAAAACTAGAACTCTAGCAGGTAGGACCAGCGGGACTTCGAAAGACGATTAAAAATGTGTGATTTGAATTAAACTCGGACAGGTTATTTCCTTGCCACTCCTGTTCGTCTTCTTTCACTGATAGGCAATAAAATCCCCAACCTTTACGTCACGAAATGAAGCAGCGCAGACGTATTTGAAAGCAGTTCTGTTCTTGCTATATCCTCCCTATGCTCCATCACAACCCGCCCATAATCTCATGCCATTTTCACTATTCTAATTGACTTCAATCAAGCCAGGTCCAAAGACAACAGGTGCCTTTGCAATGTTGTCAGGGGATGAGAAATCAGCTGAGGCTGAGGCAACAGCTGCGATTGTCAACCCATTGCCAAATGTTGCAGCATCAAATAGAAAGGGTGCCTCGAATGAGACAGTGTCGGTGTTGACTTTGACGTTGTGAAGGTTCTCTGTGACTGGTATATTCTGTTGGTTGATATATGCAAGCTTCAAGCCGGTCCAGTCAGATCCCCACTCAGGCTTAGGACCACCCAAAGGAAGTTGGAAGCTGAACTTCAAGGTTGTTGGTTTGGGGTTTTGCTGGAGGCTTTTAAGTGTCTCACTGTCCACAGTGAGAGGGGAAAATATCTTGAGGTCGATCACATTAATATTCGGGCACGAGTTCGGGACGACGAAGTTTTGGTTTATGGCTGAGAAGGTGAAGTCTCTAGTACTAGTCGTTAGAAATGGCAGGGCACTGGGGATTTTGTTTCCGAATTGGCGAAAAAGCCCGTTCTGCTCGCCTTCTTGGCCGATTATTGCCCCTACGCCGCGGATAAGGCCGATATCGCCATCTGATCCTAGTTGGGATTGCACATCTTGGAGAACTCCAAGGGCCATATCGGTAAAGGTTGACGCAAGGCCGATGGCGTCGTTCAGGTTGGAGACTGGGAAGTCGTAGTGGCATGGCTGGATGGGGTCGGTCTTGAAGTGCTTAAGGGCGTTGTTGGCATCCAACGTATGGAGTTCCTCTTGAGCTTGTATGGCGATGAGGCTGGCCAGGACAGATTTCTTAGTGCTGACGTCGTTGATCTTATACCCATCCACGTTATTGGTAATATTGGCAATAAGCTCAGCAAAAAAAGCTACCTCGAAGAGCTCGTTGAAGGCGATGAGGCGGAGGCTCGTCAGCGTATTCTGTTGGGCGGTGGCCGGCGGAGCGGTATTTGGCAGGCTGCCGTGTGCTTGTGTCTCAATGGCTTTGATCTGGTCATTGCTTGGGGTAGGGAAATTGTTCTTCAGCGGGTTGTTGTCATATGAGAAAGGGGTTGCCGATGTCATAGTCGAAAGGCACCAGAAGGCGATCAAAGAGGAGGTAAGAGTAGAGAACATGTTGTACTCCTGGTTTGACGACGGATCTAAAGGAAATGGAACGCAGACAAGAGGATGTAGGAAATTGAAAGGAGTGGCGATGGGAAATGACTGCGGTTGCAGCTGCGAGGGCAAGTGGATATAGAATTGGATAGATGATGATCATGATGAGAGAGCCGTATCCTGCAACCTAGCTGACGGAAGGAACTCTCCTTAAGGTAAGAAGGTATGCTCGTACGCAGTACCCGTAGCCCCGACTGCCACGGGCATTATACACCTGGGCACTTCATTGATTGTATGGCTGGACTTCCAGCGCAAAAAATAACTAATAACTTGGTTGTAGCATTGCCGACAACTTGAGACTGTCAAAGGATTGGTGGTCAGTCATAGAACAGCAATCAGGGGAAGTAAACCCCATCACTGCCTACCTATACCCAACTGAGGTATTAGTTCTTCGGGCCTCTCTGCTACTACGAATAGCGTTGGATCAAGCTGTAAGAGTAACTGGCTAAGTCAAGCATAGGGGGACTACCACTTATTATATAATATACTGGTGCCAAAGGGATAACCGAATTGATAGATGGAGTTGCAGTTGAGGGCGCGGAGTGGGGTGTTACAATGTACCTCGGCTGGTTTCACAGGATACAACAGCCTCGTTGCCCCTACGCCAACATGGTCTCTGAGCTGTATATGTCGATAAGCTACATGCTATCTTTTGGGAATTGGAATTGGATCACTTGAACTTCCCGGGTCACTCGCTATGAGCTCCCAATCTCTCTCTTCGCCTCCATTGACGGGGCTACGTGTCCTAGAATTTGCTGGCCTCGCTCCAGGTAAGTCGACTTGTCCCCATTTCCTTCACTGTTTCTCCGCGAGAACATGAGCGTCCATCTCTAACATACCGGCTTTCAGGACCATTTGCAGGCCTTCTCCTTGCCGACAATGGCGCCTCAGTCCTACGAATCGACCGGGCCATCCCCAGCACAACTCACACTTCCGCATCGGGGGCTCCCCCACCGCCACCAACAAGTGATCTTCTCACACGACACAAATCCTCAATTGCCGTAGATCTCAAGTCTCCTTCGGGAATCGCCTTCATCAAGTCTTTGGTCCCACACATAGACGTCATCATCGATCCTTTCCGGCCGGGGGTCCTGGAGAAGTTGGGTTTAGGTCCTAATGTGCTACTTAGACTCAATCCCAAGGTTATCCTGGGCCGCATGACGGGCTTTCGCCGCGATGGGAAGTACAAAGACATGGCAGGCCATGATATAAATTATATTGCTGTCTCAGGGGCCTTGTCGATGCTTGGCCGGAAGAGCGAGAAACCTCTCCCGCCCGCGAATATTCTTGGGGATTTTGCCGGCGGCGGAGCCACACTCTTTCAAGGCATTTTACTGGCCTTACTCGCTAGGGAGAAGAATGGGAGAGGGCAGGTCGTCGAGGCAAATATGGTGGATGGGAGTTCGTATCTCGCGACGTTTCCTAGGATCTTGATGAAAACGATGATGTGGGATCGAACCAGGGGAGAAAATACACTCGATGGTGGCTGCCCTTGGTACGATACTTATGAGACCAAGGATGGGAAGCACATGGCAGTGGGAGCATTGGAGCCGCAGTTTTTCAAACTGTTAGTAAAGGGCCTAGGGCTTCAGGGGAGAGGCATTGAGAAGACTCGAGAGGATAGGAATACGTGGCCCGCATTGAGAGAAACATTCACGAGTCTTTTCCTGGAGAAAACGAGAGCGGATTGGGAGAAGATTTTTGACGGCACGGATGCATGCTGCACTCCAGTCCTTGACTACCCTGAGCTGGAAAAAGATCCTAGCAGAGAAGGGGACCAACGGCCAGCAGTTACACTTCGAGAAACACCTAGCTTTGCTATCTCTCAAGCCCAACCATCTCGCGATCCATCAACCGGACAAGGAGCGGGGGTAAGAGGCGGAGGTTACAGAGGGCATTCATTGTATCCCGGCCAAGGAGGAGAAGATACATTGAAGCAATGGCTAGGATGGCAACGTGGCAAGGACTTCGACGTAGAGAATGGTGGATTGGCGAGGAAGCCATCCCTGAAATTATGATTATGAATATTGGTCCTATTCGATCTGTCTGTCAGAGGATATTCCATTTCCGACATACCGTCTAAACAAAAGTCCTAATCCGAAGTTTATGCAGTTTTCCAAATTCTGACAAGTGTCTGGAGAATGTCCTAGGCCGTACACGTCCTAATCGGGGTGTTGCTCTCATTATTATTCCCGACTCCCATTCCTAGCTCTTTATCCCAAGATTAATACGCCCATATGTTCAGATATCCTTCCCATTCCATTCTAGTCGCATTAAGCAGAAACGATATCCGCATCGCAAAAGAAGCACAGAAAAGTCCACTGTGTCTGTAATTGTCTGTTAGTTGGGAACATATAAGGAAGTCTTCATATATCCCCACTCACCAAACCCTCTTTTTGAGCTATTCATTCAACACCATACCTTACGAAGGACTAGGCGGTGGATTTGGAGGAGGCGAGGGAGGATCGCCTCTCGACATGTCGATCTGTCCAGAGCCAGTCTTGTGGTTCGACCTCGTAGTTTCTAAGTCACTATTCCGGCTTTCACATCGATGTCCTCCCTTTCGCCGGAGATTCTTCGTTGACACAGCCATTTCCCCTTTCTTTTAAAAGTTTTGACGGATATATTTGCCTCCCTTCCCGATCCACCTCTTGCCCTCCAACAAATATCTGAAATAACGGATAGGTGCTCTCTATCAAGTTGAATATCTCGCTTGCAGGACAAAAAGCAAGTGTGCCCGGTGTCAGCTCGGGCTATCTCGAAGCAATGAAGGTTGAAGGTGGCTTGCGTACGACAGGATATTTCTTTTCCAGAGGATTTGATCGAATATGATAAAACGCGACCTGGACTTTCACCGCTTCTTAAATACTGCTTCTTGCTGATTTCCTACCTCCCCACACCATTCAATGACCGTCCAGTCATTTCTTTGGAACGAAAAATAAAACGGGAGTGTTGCACTCCAAACAACTGAACACTTGTCACTGAACTCAACGCATCCTCCCGGCCGGGAAGGTTGAAGGCCCACCACGCCTCACTTGAGGCCCAGTATCTGATATGGAATGTCTGTCTCCCAACCCAACACAACGGCCTGCCCATCATTCATTCGCTATTATTATCAGATCCTGTAAGCACAGACAAAGGTTCCATACATGTCAATAAAAAATGGGAATGGGCATCCGTGATGAGGCTCCATATAACATGCAAGGACCCCTTCGCTCTCGAATATGCCAGCACAGCGGCCCTCGTACCAGATCCCCACAAAATCAAGACATGTACGACAGAGATCTGATCAGTGCGACCTGCCTCGTCCCAGTCCCCGGTGCACTAGAAAGTCTCCGTTACACGCATGCGCAGCCTTGCAGCCCGGACACGCCCCCGAGTGGCCGCCCCAGAACATCCACCGCACATCTGGAAATCAGATACGGGCCGCCATGCGAGGCGGACGCGTTGAACCGGAAGTCTGGATCTCTCCCCGGGGCGGACGGCCTCGGAGGCGCTTAAATGCCAATGGCGGCGTTCTACCATTTGTGTATCCTTGGGCTAGGCAAGCCTTGATGCCCAAGTGTATGGATTGTATGGATTTCTTTGATTAGAAAGGGATGAGGGGGCTATGCAGGGGATGGTGAAATATGCAGGATGCCCCCGTACAGTAACCGGCGGGAGCATTATTTTGGCTGGCGGAGAATCAGGTTCTTGGATTTCTATTCGCAATTATGCTTTCTGGTGTGGTGCTTTTGTTGGGCATCAGGTATGGATGAATACGACGTGCAGAGAAGAGGATGGTCTGACAAGGTACACAGAGCAAGGTTGAGAAGAATTTTACCACACAGGGAATCTCTTGTAACTACCTATCTATTTGTCTGGTTTGAAACTGCTGGCTCAGAGACGGAAAAATGCAAATAAAACAAGCACATCACCCATCAATAAAATCAACTCTCGCTCCCGTAGCAAGCAAGCATAATCGCCTTGTGCTTTGTCATTGCCATCATCAAGAATTTGTGACATGCTTCTCGGGCTCAAAAGACCACCGCAACATATTAGGCTCCCTATGGTATCGCCACTCTCAACCCTATCGCGCACCCCCGCTATGTGCTTCACTAGTTCCACGCCCACTTCCCTATCGTTATAAGCTACTTCTCGGTTCGAAAGAGGTATCAATCATATCAAAGATGCCCATGAGAAAAAAATCTAGGGTGCCGGCATACTATAATATGCTGGGCTGTGAAGATCTATGCCATGTGGATTCCCCCCTTTCCGTTTCCCCTCGGTAGCCGGGAATGAATATTCCTTCGCCTTTCATGTCCACGCGTCCGTTGGCCCCCTTGGCCTATTGCACTTGACTGACGATCTCGCTGGCACGTGACAACGACTCTACCATTTGGTGGCATTCCTTTCTCCTGCGAATGGTGTAATCGCTTTCCTTGAGCAGCTCCTCGAGCGAATCGGTTCGGTACATGTTCTCAAGGAGTTCTCGTTGCATTTCATCCTTGGTATATCTAAAGAATGTTAATTGCAGCTTGCGAGAGCTTCGGGATCTACTTACTCGACGAGGTTTAGCATAATTGCCTTTGGCACCATATCAATCAAGGTCTTCTTCACAATACCATAGTATGAGTTGATGAGAAGTTCTAATCATCGTTAGTGCCGTTTCCACCTCTGCTGAATATATGAGACGTACTGATGACTTCCACCTCAACTCCCTCCCTCTCGGACAATGTACCAGAAGCTTTCAAACTTGGTGGCGGCGCTTCCATGGAAGCCATCTTCTTCTTGTTTCTGGAAGCAAAGAAACTTCCAAAGAACCCGCCGTTCTGATCATTCATAGAATCAATTGTTGGGCTAGCTGCTCGTGCTGGAGTTCCTGCCATCGGCTTGCCGGTCTTGGGGTCAACCTGAACAGGCTTTGCGGACGAATGTTTCTCGTTGACGATAGCCATGGCCTGTAATTATTAGTCGGAAATGCAGAAATTTACTAGGAAGGTTTGCTTACCTTGTGGCCGTTCAAGAAATCTGGATGGCCTGTATTAATATAGCATGCTTCCATGGCGACCAAATCTCTGACAAGCTTATTCGCTGGATCCATAGACTTCTTGAAGAAGTTAATGACAACTGCATGGAACTTCTCCTTTAGTTGAGGGTAGCGTCGGAACATTGGCTTGGCGAGTAATTGTGTGAGGATGCGGACGAGTTCATCATAGACCAAGGATGCACACTTCAGACTTGGCTCTTCTAAGCGTTTAATCTGCTGCTTGACGATGAGTTCAAACGCGGTAGTACCCACGAAGAGAGCGGGTGACGATCCAGACGAGTTGTACAGAATTGTTCTAATGTCAACATCCTTGACCTGATCGAATGGGTCCACTGCCTTGACGCCATTGGAGTACAGCTCGTGAAAGACGAAGCTGATTCTAGCACCCCCGGAAAGCTCGATGCTTGATAGTTCTGTGCTGTTCCCCTCAAGTACTGTTCTCCATTCATTGGTGAATTCCGTAATGATGTTGAGGACAATGTTTGCGCTGTTGCCCAGCATCTGGTCGCCGAGGCCTTGCAGTTCCGTTGTGTATTTTTGCAGCGACGCTGAAATTCTGGCCTTGATATCTGGCAGGGTTTGCTTAATATGCATCATCAGGATGAGGTTGAGCTTCCTGGCCAAATACGGGGTTCCACAGTACGAGCTCTTGTTACGGTACGCCTTGTGGTTCTCAAAAAATGATTTTTCATTCTCCAAAGCAGATGCGATGGCCTTTTTGTTGTCGATATCCCTCTGCCCTCTGTTGACAACCGGCACATATCCTAGTCTGAGGGGGATAATCCGGCCTGCCAAAATATCCACGACATCGGTACCGTCATCCATCAAATCAACCTTGGTCAGCACACCGATGGTTCTTTGGCCCTCTGGGTCGACTTCGCGTGCGAGCTTCAGCCCATCGGAATTTGCCAAATCGGTATTCGCTCCTGTAACAGCAAGGATGATGGCATTTGGTTTACTGATTTGCTTCAGTACCATTTCCTTAATCTGCCTCTCGATATCTCTTGGCTGATCGCCCACGGGGACCTTGGTCAGGCCAGGTAAATCGACGAGGGTAAGCGTCAAGACATGCGGAGAGTATATTCGTAAGTTGATCGGGGCAGGAGAAATGCCCGCATTGCGGCCAGTCTTCGCTTCTGTCTCCTTGACAATTTCATCTCGGATCTTGTTGAAATCATGGAACTTCTGGCCGGGGATGTGTAGAAACTCGCCCCACTCGTCAACGTTTGCCTCCTTATCAGCTCCAGCAGCTATCTCCTCCTTCACTCCATTTGCCTTTGGTGCTGCAGCTGGGCGGTTGATGAGCTGGAGGACGAGGGGCCGTCTAGTCACAATACCGGTTCCTCGGGGCAGGCTATGATCTCCAGTTAGCTTTCTCCTATGTTGTGATCTTCAGACCCAAGGTATGATATGTGGCGGTCATACAAGTCCCTGCCCACTATGTTTTCCAGCACCGAACTCTTTCCACTCGACTGGCTTCCCACCACGACTATCTGAGGCAGATCAATAGGGTTCTGTACACCCACAGTCGTAAACACATCTTGAAGCTTGTTAACCAGTCTGCATATCTTGTTAGTCCAACGGCGCATCAGAAGATATTCAGGGGGTACCGACGTTATGAGGCCGGGGTCTGAGATCCCCCCTTGGGCTGGGGCTTGCGCCATGATAGAAGGGCGTGCGATGCGAATATGCGGAGAGTGTTCGTGGGTGTTAGATGCTGTCGTGTATAAGTGGAATACTGGGTGCGTAAGGGCGAGGGGTTATATGTGAAGCGTTCTGGGAGTAGAGTAGGCGGGCGGCATGGAGATTTGGATTATTGACCTGAGGGCATACGCAACTTGGCGCGACTCGTTTACGGAGGACGCAGATTGTGGACTGTGGCTTACGCCTGCTGTGTTGTGTTGTGTCTCGGCCGTTCATCCAGTGACCGGATTGCACAGCCACACGCCGTAGGACTCTGCCGAGAGTCCGAAGTCATCCGTTCTTGCTTGGACTTCTGCTTCCACTTGTACTTCTCTACAAACTTAACCATTATTATTATTAGCCTTTTAGAAGCACCTCACCTATTCGGCTCTTATCTTTCCAGGCAGATATCAAGTCCCAATTCTAGCTTGCGCTCACCCTTTGAGCGTATCTATCTTGGCTCGTTTTTATATTGACACGAGCCCGGCTCTCTATGATAGGGCCTTCCCTACGTGACAGTCCAGTACGAGTCTCTTAGGCACCGATTCAAATATCAATATCGCAATACGAATCAAGAGCTTCCGACTTGGTTTAAACCGCAAATTGCTGTATACGCCTAGAGTTGAGCTTACGACTCAAGACGCGTCCTCAGCCTCAACCTCAACCCCAAATCCCCAGGCTCCGACCTAGGGGTGGAGCCGCGCAAGAAGTCTCCCCACTTTGCTCCAAACTTCAAGTTCTTCGATTTATTACATTTTGTCTTCCGGTTTGGCCTGTAACGTACAAAACACCTTCCGGCATAGCGCTATTCAATTCAAACTCGAGCTTCTCGCTTGCTCTCCCATCTCCTATAGGCTGCGCATCTCATACTTCGTATCTCATACCTCATATCCATTCAAACCACCCCCTCCCCCCTGTCTCTTATACACATCTAGATGTGTATAAGAGACAGTCCCTAAACACCGACCTGGTCACAGTTACCCCCCGGGTCCCTTCCGGCGGCGAGACCTTGACCGCAACCTCATTCAGTACCGGCGCCGGGGGCAAAGGCGCCAACCAAGCCGTAGCAGCTGCCCGGCTTTCCCGTCCTCGCCCATCCCCCAATGATGCTACCGCCACCACCTCAGAGATCACGGTGAAAATGGTCGGAGCGGTAGGGGCGGACGAGTTTGGCCCCCCTTTGCTAAAAGGCATGCAAGCGGACGGCATCGACATCAGCGGCGTCCAGGTCGTTGAGGGCCAAACAACGGGCGTAGCCGTGATACTCGTCGAGCAATCCAAGGGCGAGAATCGGATCCTTCTAAATCCCGGTGCGAACTACAAGCTTCAGCCTGAGGACTTCCTATCCACCGAAGCATTGGGGACTCCTAAACCTGATTTGATCATCATGCAGCTGGAAATCCCCCTCCCAACTGTCTTGCAAATCCTCAAGACGGCCAAGGAAGCCGATGTTGATGTGCTGTTCAATCCTGCGCCTGCGGTGGAGTTACCACTCGATGTATATGGAGCGATCACGCACTTGGTAGTCAACGAAAGCGAAGCTGCCATCCTAACCGGCCGGAAGGTCGGGGAGGTCGAGGAGGTCGGCTTCGATTGGAATTTAGTCACGGATGAATTTCTGCGCCGAGGCGTGAAGAACATCATCGTAACACTGGGCTCCAAGGGGGCGTTCTATTCGCATGAGGGCAAGGGGAAGGGGGCATTTGTCCCAGCGGAGAAGGTTGAGAAGGTTGTGGATACTACGGCTGCGGGGGATACGTGGGTTGGTGCTTATGCAGTGAGTATTGTGAGGAGGATGGGTGATCCGGATAGGTTTGTTAGAGAGGAGGATGTTAGGTTGGCGTGTAGGGCTGCGGGGAGGACGGTGGAGAAGAAGGGCGCGCAGAGCGCAATTCCGTGGGAGGATGAGGTTGATAGGAAAATATAGCCATGGTATTAATCGGAATTAGTTTGTATTATATTGTCACTTTTGAGAGTGTAGTTTAGGCTTTGAGTGGATTGCGAGGAATCTAAACGCCACAATTTCTCACCAGCTCATCCTCTCTTCAAGTTTCAGTGTCCGGCCCCGTAAATCTCGGAGGCAACTTAACTTGAGATACCGCACGCCTACTTTTGAACTCAACGGACTACACATGGATGATTTCATGTGTCTTGAATTCAAGCATTGGTGTCCTCGGCCTAGATTCCTATACCACGTATCCTAGCAAGCTCTCCTTGATGCAAGCTTAAAATAATCACAACGCAGTCAACTAATCACCCACAATCTACTGGGGAAGATGAAAGCATCTAAAAGTCCGCGCTGCGCATCCCAACTCCGGAAGGGTAACATAATCTCCCCAACACCTTACACAAATGCCATGATGCCTCCAAATGCTCACACCTGTCTTACATCATTCAAGACTAAAACGTTCGCCCTTGCCACGTGTAATGTTGCAAATCTGCAATAATGCAGTCTCGATGATACCAAATGTGCCATACCATACCTCTCGACGCCGAGTTTCCATGCCGTTCGGTTAAAAAGGTCATTGTAACCACCCATTAGATTCTGGATGCGAGCCGTTAGATTGTCGTGGGGGTTTTGATGACCTTGAGCGCGGGCCTTCGTTTGACCATCTAACAAGCTAGTTAGCAGGCACTTTACTAGAGATAAAATAGCTACTTACATTCGAACCTTGCAATCATCACCCGCGGAGGCGAACATGCAAGGGTTGACAGGATTCCACGAAACAGCACTACAGCACCCCTTTCCATGGCCCTCGAGTTTCTCGATTAGCTGGCCATTCTCCCTACGCCAGATGAATATCGAACCCTCTGAAATGTGCATTAGCATAGGTTTCATATCAATCAAGGATGACTCGGTAATACCTTCACTTCCACTAACCACAAAGCTCTCATTGGCACCGCCAAACGAAGCTCGGATGATGAATTCTGATCCCTTGTCGCCGGATTGAAAATAGCGAATGGGTTCGCGAGTATCTAAATCCACTATCCGAGCTTTTCCGTCCTTCTGTTCCACTAGCAACCATCGCGAGTTTTGACTTATGCTTACAGAACCCATCTTGACTTTCATGTCTATCTCGTACTCCAGTTCGCGTGTAACAAAATCATAGACGTGGATATGGGTTTCGTTGTCCATCGCTACCAGGCGGTGGCCATTTGGTGAGACTGCCAGGTCCTGTATTCGGTGACTCCGGCGCCAGTCGTATATCAGGTCACCGCTTAGACTATATTGGCATAAGTTGCGCTCTTTGTCCAAGCAGCCTGTGACGAATGTCTGTCCATCCGGGGCCCAGGCACAACTGCTAACCGGCTCTCCAAAACGGTTCAACGTCCGCTTGATCTCACCTCTCTAAACACGTGTAAGCAAAAGAAACCAGAGGGGTCTGATACAAGCCGTTAACCTACAGTGGTATCCCATAATCGGGCGCGTCTGTCTTGCGAACACGTGACCATCATCGAATCGTCTGGACTCCATGCAAGGGAACACACGCCGGACTCGTGCCCTTCAAGAGTGTGGAGTAGCTCGAATGATGGCACGTCGTAGATGTGAACATTGCCATCTGACCCGCAACTTGCTAGTCGTGTCCCATCATTGGAGAACTGCACTTGCCAAACTTCGCCATCATGCTCGCCGAGCTCGAGGATTGTCTGTAGTGGAAACCCGTTCCTGTCACATGTATGATCCTGGTATAAAGACGGTGAAGTGGGTGTGTTGTGATATAGACAGCTCGAGATCTGATGCTGCTTGACTTGTTGCAAAAGAATTGCTAAACGGTGTTCGGGTATCATGACTGAGGGAGAAATATATCCTAAATATATGTCAGCAACGCATTCACCAGGGCTATATTTTCATTAATCAGAACTAACTTGCTAACTCCGAGAGCAGGTGATGGCGCGAACCGCCATTTGCACCATCCCAGTCTGCTTTTGCTTTGAGATCCTCGGTCGATTGGCACATCAATAGACTGATATATGAAGTTAGTAAAGTATACCCCGAAGGAAGCATGGTATGCCTGACCTCGACAGGAAGTGGAGCTTGCCGATATCTTGATATAGAGGCGTCAATTCCGAGCGTAGGACCATCAGGGCCCGACCGGTATCGCGTTGTTCTAAAAGCTCTAGGAATTTCTGCTGCCTTAACCAGAACCGCATGATATTCTGGTCCACACCCTCTTGCAGTGCCAGACTATTCCTATTCGTACTGCTACCGTCTTCCTCTGCCGTTTCGCCAAAGAGCAGTTCCTCTGCCTCGGTCCACTCGCCCTGCAAGACGGCATTCCGAAATGCTACAATTGCGGGACTCTCCAGTTCATAGCCACTTTCCTGGGTCAAACTTGCGGCCGCCCCGTGGTATCCCATATCCCCTAATGCCTGGAGGATTATCCTCGTCACCTCTTCCCGGTCGTGGCCGAAATATGGCAGAATGGACCTGCCATTTGCACTAGCATAGCCGTTTGTGCTGGACGAGCCGTTCATGGCCACGGGGGACCTTCGCTTGCCATTTGTATTCGTCGAGCTTGACACGGCAGCCTTGTGCAGAGGGTATGGCCCCGACCCATTCGGGAATGGCCTCGAAGTACCATTGGTGTTGCTCGGTTCCCCGTCCGCTCTCATCATAGAGCGCTCACGTCTGCGTTTTCGGCGGTGTTCGTTCTCAGGCGGTGGCACATCCACCGAGCCTCTGGGGCTCTGGTAAAGGGTTGGGTGGCCTTCTGACTCTGGAGAGCTGTTGCGGCGTCTGCGACCGAGGATCGTAGCCGGGATCGAGGTCTGGGGACGGGGTTGGGGTTGGGGATCTGGAAGAGGGGGGTCGGACGCAGACAGAAGGTTATTTGATAGTAAACGTAGATGCTCTTCGGTTTCGGGATCGGTATTAGTATCTGTAAGGGTATTTGTATTTGTAGTGGTAGTTGTAGTTGGATGTGTAGTTGTATGTGTATTTGTACTATCGGGATATTGGGCTGAGATGGTAGTGCTGGAAGGTTGTAGGGGGCGTGGCGGGGTGGATGGGCGGTCGGAAGTGGATGGGGATGGGGATGATATAGAGGATTGGGAGTGATCGTCTGCCAGGACGACTTTTGCGGGAGTGCCGCTTGTATATTATGGCTTCAAAGAAAGGGTCTCTGAAGACTCGAGGCGTTTCGGGTGATTCTAGGGCGTTGCTGATCGTGGTGGTAGTCGGGATGGGGGGGCGTGAAGGAGAGTGGTGAGCAGTGAGTAGTGTGTAATGTGTAATGCGTAGTAGTGTTGGTTATCCGGATGCAGCTTGGGATACGGAGGATACAGCACGAAGTGCAGCGGTGCAGCTATCGCCGTCCACGCTGCTTATTAACCTTGAGCTGAGCCACGGGCAGCCAGTCGGAAGGGGACAGGGCGAGGTCACGTCCACGGTTGCGAGCGGGTGGCGAAGGGGGGCATTATCCTGCGATTCCTGGAGTCGAGTACAGTTGAGTTGAGTAGTGTAGAGAGAGTATTGGAGAGTAGGTACCAACTGTAGACGTCGACGTCGACAGCTGAGTATCGAGAGCACGAAGTAAGGTAGGTGTAAGTACTCTCGTACACGTCGGGGCGTGGCGTGGCGGGCACTATAGGCACGAGTAGGCTGGCGTGAAGGAGAGCAAGTGATACTTCGTACTTACATACATGATACCGTAAGTACCTGGTAAGTACCCCCGACATGTGCAAAGTACCTTGACATGCGGTTGTGCTTGCACCGGTACTTTAAGTGTACTTACAGTGTACTTATATTGCACTTGCAAAATCCCCTTGTCAAACAAGTATGTACCTTGTACCTAGCTGTACCTAGCTACGAGTGGTGGACTTCGTAATCGCACACAATCAATTACAATGGTACGCGTGACGCCTTTCCCTCCGCCGGCCAAACCTGCTTGCGGTTGCGGGCGTTGCGGGCGTTGCGGGCGTTTCGGTGTTGTGGTAAGCCTGTCAGTAGGTATCCCCAGGATAGAGAGGATCATCAGCTGCGCTGAGCACGACCACATGCGCAGGCAACAGGTCTCACTCAGTCCGAGAGTCAAAAAGAAACAAACCCGGGGTCTCCTGTATATATAAGAAGTACGCTTGTCAAGTACCTACCCAGGTAGGTATCGAAGGTAAGTATGCTGTCGTTTTGCATGCTTTGGAGTTGTGCAAGAATGGCGAGGGGTCTTATCGCGACTACCAAGGCAATGACTGTGCTATAGGTCACCTCTCTATCCTACGTATTTAAATATTTAAATAATAACAATAACTTATATTAAAAGTACCTATTAACACTCACCTTCCACAAGGGCACTGTCTGTTCTTTTCTGTCCATAGCAAGTATATCAGTTTGTCAATAGCAGTAAAACAGTAATATATTTGCGTCGTACTACATAACAGCCCCCGGAGCTTTCGTTTTCTCGCTAAAGCTCCCCCCAAGATCCCCCATCTAACGTATTATCTGAATCAGAATCTCAGAACAAGACAGCTAACGTAGATAGACCCGCCGTCTGCCTTGGTACGGGTTGATGAATATTGGCTTCCGACCTCGTTTGAAAGCCCGTCCCTCCTTGTACGATCTCATCCGGAATTCAAGCTCCGGCCAGCTATCGCTATCACAGAACGCCAGTTTCGCTGGGGATCCCCAACCGCTTTCAGAGCTGCCTGTTCTCCCCTCCTCCCCACTATCATCACCTCCCGCGACCCCCAGCTCAGCTTCGCAGATCGAGCTTATAGCAGAACCAGCACCAGCGCCAGTACCTCTCAAAATGGCCCCAAAGAAGGTTGCGAGGGATGCCGATGGCGAGGAGCAATATGGTATGGTCTTGGATGGGGAGCGGCTTGGGCAAGACGAGAGCTAATGATGATCGTGCAGGCTCCATCTACTCAGTCTCGGGGTATGCATACGAGCACTCTGTATCACGGCATACCAATCGAATACTGACCTCTATAGGCCCGTCGTCATCGCAGAGAATATGATTGGAGTTGCCATGTACGAATTGGTGAGCTCGCGGAACCTTTCCCAAGGCTGGCTGGCAGGGCGATAGCTCACATGAAGCTCTAGGTCAAAGTCGGACACGATAACCTCGTCGGGGAAGTTATTCGAATAGAAGCCGACAGGGCAACAATTCAGGTGTATGAGGAAACTGGTATGGACCTTGGTCGTATTGCTTTGGTGGGAGAGGTGCTGATAGAATAAATTTTAGCTGGCGTAACTGTTGGCGACCCCGTCATTCGAACCGGAAAGCCCCTATCAGTCGAACTCGGCCCTGGGTTGATGGAAACCATCTACGATGGTATCCAACGTCCCCTCAAAGCAATTGCCGACGCTTCAAACAGCATCTATATTCCCCGTGGTATTTCTGCCGCGGCTTTGAACAGAGAGAAAGACTGGGACTTCAAGCCAACAAAAAAGGTGGGAGATCACATTACTGGCGGAGATATTTGGGGTAGCGTCTACGAGAATTCCCTGCTGGACGACCACAAGATTATGCTCCCACCCCGAGCAAGGGGAACGATCACGCGGATTGCGGGGAAGGGGAGCTACAAAGTCGACGAGAAGATCCTCGAAGTGGAATTCGATGGCAAGAAGACCGAGTTCAGCATGATGCATACATGGCCAGTCCGTGTCCCCCGTCCAACTACCGAGAAGCTCGCAGCAGATAAGCCCTTCGTTGTTGGGCAAAGAGTTTTGGATGCTCTGTTCCCTAGTGTCCAGGGCGGCACTGTCGCCATCCCAGGGGCTTTCGGCTGTGGAAAGACTGTTATTAGTCAATCTGTGTCCAAGTTTTCGAACAGCGATATTATCGTCTATGTTGGATGCGGTGAGCGCGGAAATGAGATGGCTGAAGTGTTAATGGATTTCCCAGAGCTCTCCATCGATATCGATGGCCGGAAGGAACCTATCATGAAGCGCACAACACTTATCGCCAACACCTCAAACATGCCCGTTGCTGCACGTGAAGCCTCTATCTATACCGGTATCACCGTGGCAGAGTACTTCCGTGACCAAGGCAAGGATGTGGCGATGATGGCTGACTCGACATCTCGATGGGCCGAAGCTCTTCGTGAACTTTCCGGTCGTCTAGGTGAAATGCCTGCGGATCAAGGTTTCCCAGCTTACTTGGGTGCCAAGCTAGCCAGTTTCTACGAACGTGCTGGAAAGGTTGCAGCTCTTGGTAGCCCTGACCGCGAGGGTAGTGTCAGCATCGTTGGCGCCGTCAGTCCCCCCGGTGGAGATTTCTCGGATCCAGTCACCAGTAGCACACTGGGTATTGTGCAAGTCTTTTGGGGTCTCGATAAGAAACTCGCCCAGCGAAAACATTTCCCCTCCATCAACACGGCCGTTAGTTACAGCAAATACACCGCGGTGCTTGATAAATATTACGAGAAAGACTACCCCGAGTTCCCTCGGCTCCGAAACCGCATCAGGCAGCTCCTGTCGGACTCTGAGGAATTGGACCAGGTCGTGCAATTGGTTGGAAAATCAGCTCTATCTGATCCCGATAAGATCACCTTAGATGTTGCTGCTATGATCAAGGAGGATTTCTTGCAACAAAATGGCTACAGTGACTATGATCAATTCTGTCCCATCTGGAAGACGGAATGGATGATGAAGGCAATGATGGGTTTCCATGACGAAGCACAAAAAACCATCGCCCAGGGCCAGAGTTGGGGCAAGGTCCGGGAAGCTACCAGCGATCTTCAGAGCCAACTTCGAAGCATGAAATTCGAGGTCCCAAGCGATGGAGAGGAGATCATCACCAAGAAGGTATGTATATTGTTCCACCCAACCCCCTGTTCTTTGTCTGTGACTTTTGACTGACAATATTATAGTACGAGGACCTCGTGCAAGCCATGACGGATAAGTTCGCCGCCGTCACGGATGAGTAAATGAAGCTTTGGAAATTGGGCTCTGGAGATGGACCTGTTGTGTTGCATTCCCTGGTTTGGGACTTTTGATCAATAGACCGAGAATGTCATGTAAATATGCGTCTTTGATTTGATATCATGTGATATCGGAAAACTTATTTCTTTCCTGATTTTACGTCGTTTCCAAACTGTTTATATTTTATATCCTGCCAATCTTTACGTTTACTTTTTGCCCACCGCCCCATCCGTATCCCCGGCCTAAGCAGGCAAGGAAACGCGCACATGTTCAAAACTTTAATCCTAGACCTTAAGATTCTAAATCTACCGAATAGCTATAATGGATAAGCTAGTAAGTGCGTATGATATTCTTCCCGAGGTTTATTTAAAGAAGCCTAGCTGTAGTTGATGTCGAAATTTGAACTACTTCGTTACACCTCAGCAAACGGCCTTTTCTGTTCAAGGTTGGAGATTTCTCAGCGTCGAACTAGGTAGAGTTGCTGAATGGAGGTCTTGTAGGGAATATCTTACTTTAATTTAGCTAACCAGGTTTCTAGACTTGCACAACCTGTATTTATTCCCACCAGGAAGTTACACAGCCTTAAACAACTATAGATACTGCACCCCCTTCTGCTCCCTGCAAAAATCTGTTCCGGCTCAATCCCGTCAAACAGTTCTCTAGTTAACATAGTAAAATCGAACCAGACTTGCCTCCTACGTCCAACCCACCATGTGTTCCGGACTGCATGAAATATATAACAAGCCACCCTATACAAGTAGTGTCGTGTGTGCACTAGAGTATGTCAGGTGTGTCGTATCGGACTCCATTACCGAAGTCCGGCATAAGGCATGTACATAGTAGGTTCACGAGATAAGTATCGTGAAACTAGCCAGGCAGACAGACAGCTACGTAGGATGGAGGGAAATGTTGAAGGAGGGGGGATGACTGAGCCACGATAATGCAGGCCACCAGGACGACGACTGAGGATACGCAGCATTGGATCGAGTTGGTTAGCTAGTAAGAACTCCGAAGAAGGTAGGTAAAGCGCTTGCTTGCCTGGTTTTTTGGTTTGCATTATGCCTGTGTAGGCCACCACGCCTCACCTTACTCTGCTAGTCTACATATTACCTAGGTACGTTGGGGCTTCAGCTTCAAAGTATCTCATATTACACAGGGCATCCCCTTAGCACTAGCCCCCATCTGCTCTCTCCGGCATCATTCTCACCAAACGGCCCCCCAATATCGGATCCAATGCCAACCGGAGTCCGGATGAGGCTGAGCTTCCATGTACGCATGGGCGATCGATGCATATCGCATAGCATAGGTACGGGATGTTGTATGCATGCAAGCGTGAGGCATGTATGTATACCTATGTATGCAGGTTCCCGGGGAGAGCTATCTTTGGGGGCGGTCGAGGGTGGATGTTGTTTGCCTTGTTACTTGGGTACAATACTTTACTTTCAGGTTGCTTGGTCACCGCCCCACTGGGTGGTTTGGTTTGGAGATGTATTGTGTCCTCCCATTAATAATATCTTTACCTTCAGCTCAGCATCAGGTTTCGACCACCGTCGTGTCGTGACCATCATGTCTCATAGTAGCCCCGAGAAACAAATTTCTCAAAAGGCACCCTAATATATCAAGGAACAGAGGTTCAACACCCCCTTCCAGTGAGTCCGATGGCAAACTTGTAGACAATGACAAACTTGTGGGTAGGAAGCGAAATGCGTGCGGGCAAGTCAGACGGATCTATTATGAACAAACCTAGTTGTCGACATTGCTTAGATGCCCTAATAATGCGATTCGCTGATCTCTTAGTAATATGGACCATACCATCGTCACAGTGACTGCCACAATTATCACTGCCATCCTAACATCGTGTATTGTATTGCAGGCTCTGGGGGTGATGGATGGAGGCAGACGAGCAAGTGGGGTGGTTGTGCAACGTGGATATAGTATAGTTGGAGGATGGTGGTGGCGCGGGGAGTTTCGAACAGATTATATTGGCCCCCAGCCAGGGAATAAATCATGTGAAGCATCTGTGTACTTTTCCTTCCCTAGGCAACTTCCACAGCTTTCTCGAATCCAGGGCTCACAGCACAAACAGCCAAAGATCATGAGCAACGTAAAGGATTTTTGATTCCGGCTCGCATCATCTGCTAGCTACCTTCGGAACATGCTTCATTCACCACATCATCCTAAAAGAAACCAATAGGAAAGCAAAATATATTCCTTTCACTTCGCTGCATGCCATTCGTGCATTGGGTATAAAAATAATAACAGGTTGCCGATGCGTTGATGTTCCATCCATCCATCCATCTCATGATGTTCTCATGATGCACATTAAAAAGAAAATCAAACCCCCATACTATTGCCTAAATCCCAAAACCAAAACGCCCCGTGCTGAAAATTATATAATTAAGACATCAGTAGAATGCTCGTAGTTCCGGGTTTCGATATATAAAAAAAGAAAAAGGCGGAATCAAGAAGCTTTATTTCGAATTATACATATGCTCGGGCACCCAGAAGGCAAGACTGGGGGAATCATATATCTTCACGGAGCCTTGACACTCTTGCGTCTGCCTAAGCCTAATATACTACTCGTCTTGACTTTCGTAGTAGATTGAGCACTCAGCGGTGACTTTGGCGGTGGCTGCCGAATAACACTTTTCATTATGTCCTCGTATGTTAACGGGCCTTGGTGTGGCGCAGGCGGTGGTGAGGCCTGTGATTGAGAAATTGCTGCGGGTAATGCAACTGATTTCCGTCTTTGGTGGCTTGGTTCTTTCGCTGGCTGCTCGAGTGGCTGGGATATGTTTTGAGAAAGATTGACCATTGACCCGCTTCGTGATGAGGAGTTATATACCGAGGACAATGAGGGCATTGAGGGTTTACGGGCGCGATTGAGACCTCGCGTGAGCCCCTTCTTGAAGGCTGCTGCTGCCATGCTGGTGGGTGTTTTGGGAGTGGTAGGTATATCGGAATCAAGTTGAGGGTTGGGGCTGGGGCTGTGGGCTTCCTTTGAAGGGTAAGGGTCGGAATTTAGGAAGGAGTGAGGCAGGGAGCTTGTGACGAGGGAGGTGAGATTGGCTATACGGGAAGTTTTCCGGAGTTGACGCTGAGGTTGAGTAAATGATTGATCTGAAGGGAGGAATCCGGACGAAGTCGATGTGGAGGAATGAGTCAATGAGGCTATGGACGAGATAGATAATCGGCGGAGGGAGTTGGGGTAACGCTTTAGGGGCGAAGGTCGACGACGCGTTTCAGTAGATGAACGATACGATTTGATGGAGGGAGATTCTGAAGCTGAGGAGGGCTGTTTGGGCGTGGCGGTGGATAATATGTGGATTATCTGTGGCTTCACCAGCGTGAATGATACAACCCGTGCAGTGACTTCTTGTGATTTTCTGCTAGAAGCCCCTGACGATGATGCTCGCTCTCGCTCAGTCTCCTGATCTTGGTTGTCCATGGGCTCGAAATCAAGGAGTGAGTCTTCGTAGTCATCTGCCAGAGATTCATCTTCCTCACTGGACAAGTATAGCTCATGTGGATCAGTCTCTTGAACCATTGACGAGGTGTCAAGGTCCTTGGCCATTGATCCGTCCAGACTTTGTAGCTCCAGCATAACATTCGCTAGCATCTTCGACGCTCGTTTGTCGCTGCGAGGGGGAACAGCTGGTGGCCTGGATATCGTCCTTGGCCGAGCAGTTTGCACTATCGAGCCCTCTAGATCCAGATCACTGCCCAAACACTCCTCGTCCTTCAAGTCGTCGAACTTGAACTGGTAGCCGCTATCGTTCTCGTCCAGTGTGTGACCACAACGTTGTGCTTGGAGCTGGAAGGAGGAATCATGAACATGACTAGTCATATCCTCCACCTGTGGCTTTTTGATAAGCGGCATCTTTGTGCTAGTAATATTTGTGAAACAGTTAATTGCTTGTTGCTCGGTGGGCCTTTTTATGGCGCTGGGTCCGCTAGACTGAACTCTTTGTGTGCTGTTGGAAACCGATACACTCGCTCGTGCTCGAGCGTCGAATATGGATGGATATATCGTTATCGGGGACCCCTCATTGACCAAAGGGCTTTTCCACTGGAGGTGTGGTATATCAAGAAGCGGTCACCGGCTAAAAGTTATATCTTGTGCACGAACTGAGTACTAGTACGCCGCCGAAGTATAATAGCGATATGTATATGTATATATATCTAGATGAACGGAACGTCCAAGTCGAGGACTAATACGGACGTATCGAGATATAGTTTTGTAAGATTTAAGATCTTACTTATCGGCGGCGTTCCTATCGGATGGAGAAGTGTCCGACGGAGGTAAGGCAGTGCGTTTCACGTACACACCACTTGGACGGTTTCTCGAAACTCGAACGAGGATACTCTTAGTGAGTGTTCCGTGTCGTGAGGTCAAAGAGAGAGTCCTTGCCGCCTGCCACGGTGCGGGGAGACGGTCGAGAGAGTAACGAAGGAGGGTGAGTGGCCTCCTGACGGTAGAGCGCGACGTGAAGCATAAGAAGCATCGAAAGAATCCGGGTCGGTCGACCCGTGTGGGCAGCTGTCCTCATATTCTCCTAGGCATCATGGTGGGCTGTCTTGTTGTTGGCTGTTGCTCGCCCGGAGCAGCGCCCCCCACCACCGCCCCTAATCGCCAACTCGTACAGAGAGAGGGTCGCAGGAGGGAGAGTCGGAGACGCAGGACGAGCATTCGGATCCTCGAATCCTCGAATCCTAAGCCACGGCGGCCACACCTCTGGGCCAGCCTCGCAGTGGGCGATGGTGGCGGGCATCTTTGTGTGGAGGCGATCCTTGAAAGGATTCAGCACCAACCTCACCAAGCTATTCCTGGAATCATTGCCAGGCACAGCTGCGTCCGACTACTTCTGACGGCGGCGTTCGATTGGGCGTGGGCACCACAGGCTGAAGATTCTGAGACGTCCACGACTCCTCCGGTCCCCCTCTGCCGTTCAGCCTGTGTCCGGTGCTGTGGGTGCAGCCTCTTCTGCGCATGGTATTGGGCTGGTGTTGGACTGGTATTGGGGAGCGTTTGGCATAGATGGGACGAACGGCGGCGATAGTCCCAGACGAAGTGCGAAGCACTCGGCCGTCAACTCGGGGCCAAGGGATCCTATGATCCACGATCCTTCTGCTGGCTGTCACTTACTCGCTCGCCGCCAAGGTCAGTCAAACCGCCGATCTGTGCCGATGAGGTTGAGTACTTTGCGGTACTCGGTACTGTAAGTCTGCAAGTCTGTAGGGCAGAAACACTGTTGCTCCGGACGGCTGGAGCTTGATACATAGCATCGCATAGCATTGGAAACCCCATACAGAGTACAAGTGGCAATGCAATAAAGAACACCATGCGCTTGCTTGCACTTGCAATCATGGCCATCGACTCGTAGCTGAAAACCACACAATTCTAGATACTCGTAGATCCTACTACGCACTTAATGCGACAAGCGGATAAGCGTACTATACGCCCGTATTCGTACTAGACTACCTAGGTAGTACAATACATATCTATACTTCGTACGTACGATACCTTTACGTACCTTAGTCCAAGAATGACGACTAAACAGCCACCAACAGCGATACTAGCAGATGCTGGGAGAGCCGTTTCACAACCAGCCACACTCTCTCCGTTCCCGGTACTAGAGTAATAGATCTACTCGTACGGAGTACTTCCTTCGTACATAGTCTGGCAGGGGATAACGAGGTACATTCCAAAGTACTTACGGAGGTATACAAAGTACATTACTGGCGGCTTTCCTCAGCCTCGATTATCCCAACTTTACAAGCCACTCCTGTTCACGCAACCAAGTCAGGCAGCGGCGTCTTCCTCTACGGCCCTTAGACTTTGACTAAACCCTTACGAAGGACTGCAATTGTGGCGGCCTACAACTTCCGCTACCTTCTGGATACAGGTCATGAATGCTTTTACGGTCTACCCCCCGTCGTCTAATCTGCCAAGCTACCTGGGTATGTAGTAGGTACATAGGTGGTATCCTGGCCAAGGGTCAAGATTTAAGAATTTCCATCTTCTTTTTACAAGTGAGGTAGGATGAATCGTCTGGGAATCGAGTATGATATGATCTGCAGTAACAATAACTGACAGACATGCGTGGTACACATTCAAGGGATAGTCAAATACAGCATGTAAAAATACAGTCGTAAATTAGCAGACATACGTCTATTAGGACTTATCGATACACAATATCCCACTATGCATCGATCCTCGTCTACATCCACCCAACCCAGCTACTCCGCCGTCTTGATGTGCATGTACAATAACAAAGACCAAGGGCAAAAGAACAACCTTTTTCATGCGCGCATCCCATCCCATCCCATGCTTGCTGACATAACATTATAGAATCTTCTATGACGAGGTAGACCCGCCAGATACATTGTACAGAGAATAATATCGACCCGTATCTCTCGACTGTTTTGCAGGCCACAGTCATCTTTCCCTTTGCCGGTGCAGCCGACGTCTTATCTCAGCTGATTCTAATCGAGCCTTTACAGACCTATGCCTTGCGCGATCGGGTGACGGGGCGGCTTGGGGTGGCAGTGGTGGTAGCATTGCCGTTGGCCGCTCCGTTGGCACTTCCATGGGACTTACTGTGGAGCAGAGAAGCAACGTCTGGCACCTGAGCATCTTTCAAGGATCGTGCGGCTTTGCGACCGGTGGGGCGTTTGCCATCCTTCTTGTAGGTTGCGAAATAGAACGAGATGAACAGGAGGAGGTAAGAGCTGATGATGCCCATGCCAGCGAATGCCGCGAATTCCTCTCCGGCGCAGTTGCCCGAGTTCGGCATCCATGGGAAGTATGTCGAGGTGAAGTAGGTGTACGATGCGAAGTAGACGAACCCTACAACGGACGAACCCTGTCAGTAGCTGAAAACTAGTCTATGCCACACGAGGCTCAGCCTTACCGATATCAATGACAAACTGAGTGATCTGGAGTCGGGTGATCCACTCCTTCCACCAAATACGGATTCCGCGCGCGCTCTGGAAGTAGTACCAGTACATGACGACGTGAACCATCAGGTTCAGGGTGATGGGCACCCATGAGACAGAGGTCAGGCCAATCAACTGGGTATAGCAGAGGAGGGCAGTGGCGCCGTGGTGGTAGCAATGGAGGAAGGCTTGACGGGGTATTAGCAGATGTTGCTTTTGTAAAGTCCCAAAGTTTTACATACTCAATGGCTTCTTCTTCAGGACAAGGAAGACTGTGTCGAGTAGTTCGATGTATTTGGTGAGATAATTGAGCTATGCAGGTCAGCGCAAACACACTCGCAGCCCTGGTCTTTCTTGCAGCATCTTACATAGTAGAGAATCACCAAAGGAGGCGTCCAGCCACCCTTCACATCGCAGATGGCATAGAAAACGCCATGGTTGTAGACGGTAGGCACTAATTGCTCAATAAACAACGCCAGCAAGACCCCACTGATGACCGTGAGATAGAAGTTGTGCACTATGAAAATGCTATTCAACTTGAATGCTGCCCGATTCCGCATTATTTCCCTCCCCCCAAAAATTACAAGGTAGTATGTCAAAATGGTCATGGCGCTCTCCTTCATCGTCGACATCGGTGTTACGCGCGGCTGGAATTCAAAGTCTTGCGGGTGATAGCCCATGACCGTCGTGAAGGCCTTGTCGAAGAGAGGCCATAGCTGGATACCAAAGGGGCGCTCGATGCTCGGTAGAGGCACCGACTTGAAGATATCTGTTGACGACATAATTGCGATGCAGAACAGAAAGAAGCCGAGTCTAGGTTGCCAGAAAACGGGAATCGGTGTGCGCGTGGATATAGGTTCTTGCGACTGGTGAGGATGACGCGGTATCGGCGCGCTCGGGGGGATTCAGGAGAATAAAAAAAATGGGAGCAACACGACACGTTGCGCCCAAGAGAAGACTGAAGAATGAAAAGAAAAGGGTTCGAGGAGGAACTCGAGTAAGGAGTGACGAGAAGACGGCGGCCAACAATAAAGAAGGCCGGGCGGATGAGGATGAGGGTGAAGGTGGAAGGGAGGGAGTTGTAGGGAGGTAGACGAGAGAAAAGAAAGTCCCGGTTCTGGTTGCTGGTTTGTGGTTCCCAGGATGTTGTTCATGACATTGGGCCTTTCTATGCCTAAAGGGGGATTTCGGCCTTGCCGAGATTGGATTGGACGCTGGAACTTGGGGCGACGGGGAGGAAAAACGCCGACGAAGCATGTGATTGACGGGGGGTGGATCACGTGAATTAATCATGGGCAAAACAAGGAGTTGAGTTGTAAGTTGAGAGTTGTAATAAATTGTGGAAATAGATAAACAAAATAATGGCGAGATAGAGAGTGCTTGCATATCAGGACTCCTCGAGTACAAATAATAGCAGTTTAATAGCGGCTACTACTACGAAAGACAGTACAGTACATCTCTGGAAGAAATGGAACAGACGAGGCTCTATGCGGTTTTGCCCAAACGATAAATTCAAAGAAATACGATTTAGAATAGATTTAAAGAAGTTAGTTAGTTAGATCGCTTAGATGGCATTATATATATAAGGGTAGCTAGGTAGTTTAATCATAAAATTTAAATTTGCTATTATAACATGCTACTTCGTGGGTAGGTAGGTACGTATATCTATTTCGTATTAACCTCGGCAAGCCTATCTGTTCCATTCTCACAATGCTTTCCTTTAATAACTTTTTACAAGCAAGGAAGCTAGAATTTAATTGAGAGACTCCCATTGAGCATACTTAGACCCGCATAGGAATGAAATAAAAAGGAGGGAGAGCATTCGTAAGTGCGCGTGGTCTGGCGTAGGGACATGTCACGTGAGACGTCACTCCTTGTGCTGGTAAAGCGGCAAGACGTGACAATGCCAATCAAACGCCTGACGCTTGTTCCTGGAATTGGTCGAAAATCGTCAGACCTCACTTCAAGAGCTCCTCCAAAACCAACCGCAGCATCCCTCGATCATTGCCTTTCCTAATGTCTTCAACATCACTGCTGCGCATCGCGGCACGCGCCCAGCCATCTACCTTCTTCCGCTCCAATGGCCTCCGCAGCCTGACACCTCGCACCTCGAACGCACTCTACGCTGTGCCTGCCCTCCTCGCAACCGCCGGCTCCGCCAGCAGCTTCAGCACCACCAGCATCCGTCGGTCTGACAATGAGGAGACCTTCGAAGAGTTCACTGCTAGGTACGCTGGGCCCCAACCCCAATTGGCGTCAAGGCGTTTGAGCATGTTCCTACAGAACCCGACCATCGCCGGATAATTGATGACGATGGCCAATTGCTGATACATTGGTGCCAAAACATAGATTTGAGAAGGAGTTCGAACAAGTGAATGATGTCTTTGAGCTCCAGGTAGATTTTCCGCTGAGTGTGCCCGGCCAGCGTTGCTGGTACGCGTGTATGTGCATTTGCTAATTATCGTACGATCGGTAGCGAAACCTAAACAATGCCTTCGCATATGATCTCGTCCCTTCGCCGTCCGTCCTCGTTGCCGCGTTGAAGGCCGCGAGAAGAGTTAACGATTTCCCTACGGCTGTGCGGATCTTCGAGGGTATGTACCTTTTGTGCTGCTGGCGTCGATGGTGGAGCGGTGGATAGTGAACCGGGCATGTAGAGGAACACGAACTGATTCAATGGCGAATTTTAGGCATCAAAGCGAAGGTCGAGAACCGTGGACAATATGACCAATATCTCGAGGAACTCAAGCCGCTCCGGGAAGAGCTCGGCATTAGCTTGAAGGAGGATCTATATCCCGAGCCGGCAAAATAGATACCGAATGTTGTATTATGGGAGAAGCATCTTGAGTGGATGAATATCAAGGCGATGGTGGAATAGATGATAAGCGGCCATAGAGCTTCTTTATCTTTCGTGTTGCGAGCTCTGTTATATGTACTGTTGTATCACATACTGCAATACATTCCTCTTATTGTAATGATTGTGTGTCTCTCAGTACCGGTGATGATAGTGCTACTTCGCGAGAACATGGAAGGGATGGAAGTCCCAAGGGTGCTATGGTGAATAATTTACTACTCCGCAGATATAACCTTGACCCCTACGTTGGACCAAGTATTGCCAACCCGTGGGATATTTGGCGCTTGTCACCCTTGAGGGAACACACGTATCTTCCCTTGGAGAGAGAAGTAACAGGAAGCCCTGATGCTATCCATTGAACCGCGGTAACTACAGGTGGTCTGCTCCGTGGGGATATCAAATGTACCGTGGCCATTCTTCTCGCACATCCGCAGAGTTACGACAATATCAAGCCTCACGGTTTGCCTTCCTACGAAGGTGAGAATCCACTATAGCAAATATAACTATTGTCTGCGCAGGTGAATATGCTCGAGACAATACCCTCTAGTGAATATACTCAGAACAATACCACACGGGATATCAACAATAACACCCTAGCTCGCCGTTGCTATTGTAAACGATCTTACTATTGTCCCTTCACTACTGAATACCCCGCCGACTGTTAACGCCGCAAACCAAGATATCACTTTATCGCTTCCTTATTCTTTCCTTTTCATCCCCTCTCCAGCTTTCGCACATGTTTAGGACAGCCACCTCAGCTAAACATCAAAAGCCATCACGATGGACGCACTGCGGGACCCTGATAAAGCTCTACCAAGCATCGAAAACAACGGCACTGGAGAATTCTGTCATGAATACGACGGCAACAGTAAAATCACTAAAGAAGACAAGACTTTGAATATTGAGAAAGACAAGGCTGACGCAGAGATGAAGTGGAATGACATGGACCAAGGCAAGAAAAGCACTGTTACTGGACACGATCTCGATTTCAAACAAGGAAAAGGAACCCAAGGCAGACAGCTGGAGCTAGAAGCAAGTGGCCAAACTGTTCCTGTCACTGAGCTTGACATTGGCGATGCTGGCGATACTGGCATGGAGCCCAAGGAAGGAGAGTTGAGAAGGCTGATGGTGGATGAGGAGCCCAATCACAAGCGAACATCTCCAAATCCGCAGCTTGAGACTCCCACTCAACTCCAAGCCGCCGAGAACAAGAACTCCAAGAAAAAACCTCGACCTCACAGCGAAGAGCCCAGCGAGGAACCATGCGCCAAAAAGAGACGTCTCCTGTATTCAGACATACAAGTACCAGGACAACATACACTCTTATTCGACGATGAGGCGGGGACCATGCAGCCCAAAAGCCCTGGGAAGAAGAAGCGCAAGGAACACAGCACCGATCATAGAGCACGCGCAGGCAGCCGCAAAGTAGCCGTCAAGGCAAAGGCAGCTTCCGAGCCTCCGGGCAGTCTAGCAGCAACTGCAGGTGATTCTGAGGGTTCCTATGTAAGTCCTTTGTACTGTCCGTTGCGAAGTATGCCGCAAGGCAAGGCTATCTATCATATCGCTGGGAGCTCGGCTAGCGGCCATCGCCACGTCCAAGTCGCTAATCGTGCCTGTAGGAAAATGACGGCGAGGTTCTGGCTGCGAAAAGGGTCAGGCCCAACACCACGAAGCAATCGAATCCAACGCACAACAGCGTGGAATATTCGCCATACTTCCGACAACCAGCCCACGGAGAGCACGAACAGGGTCCGTTGGCCGCAGATACGGCGCGCCGCGAGGGAAAGCGGACCAAGCCAAATGTCTCCCAGCAGTTAGTGCAGCACAACTCTGAGATTGAGCGGGCCAATTCCCCAAGCTCAGAATCTAAGCACCACGCCGATGCTGGTTTGGCGCCATACTCGGAGGCCAGTCAGACAGACGGAAACGGCAAAGGGAATGTGCAGGAGCCTAGAAAGCCCACCCAAGTTCAAGACGCTCCGCGAAAGAAATGGTAGGTTATGCATGACTAGAAGTCCTTTGGCTATTTTCTAATCCCCCGTTTGCAGGAAGTTTGCAAACCGTTATAATCTCTATAAATCCACTCCCCAACACGAGCGCCGGTAGGTCTCCTATGTGCTTATTTGGCGGAAATACAACTTTGCTTACCAGCGCTCTCCAGACGCTCCGAGAATTCGACATCTGCCGCGAGACCCCCGCAAAGACAAACGGCACCAATGGTATTGTCTGCTTGTCCCTTTCAAACATCTTCTCTAACAATTCTCAGAAGCCCCGGATCCCAGGTAGCCTAAAGCCGATGAACAGACTAGGAGGCAACATTTCTGTAGTAATCCCACCGCTATCAGTGGAAACCAAGCTCAACCTGGACCATAGCCATTCGAGACACCCAGAGAACAATGCCCAAGGACGGGAACAGAGCCCGGCTAAGAGACGGCGAATTGATGACAAAGGCAATGGAAAATGGGTTTCTTCGACACCAGTTATCGAATTGGACCCCGAATCGCCGCCCAGTCAGACTTACCGGGAAAATTCCACAATAAAACCGTCGCTGCCAGGCTATGAACAGCAAAGTCAACGTAGAGGAAATACATCGGCTAATATTGGGATGGTGGGCGAGTTCCAGACTGTTGAAGCCATGGTCAATCCGCAAAATCAGAAACCGCGAAATAAGCTTCCACAAACAGTAAATGCGCGGGAACAGCGAGACCAAGGGGCCAGGCTTAGAAGTCTTTCGCCGAACGAAGACCAGGACGATCCTATTTCTGATGGAGAAAGAACCCGCGCTGAACCTAAAAAGAATTCCGTGCCACGGGTTGAAATTCCCTCCTACAAGGGCAATGCATTTCGGAAGCCCGCGCGCAACAATCTAGGAGGGTATTTAAATAATAGTAGGTCACCGAGACATGTATCGGTAGACAGCAATCAGGCTACGGGCGACCAAAAGGCCAAGAAAAGACGTCTGGATCCGCCATCAACTGATCAAGACGAAAACCTTGATATCGATGACCTCGCTGCCGACCACTACATTGATATGGGCAAAGATCTTGCGGAGAAGAAACGTGCCGTGGAATTGTTAACCGCAGCAAGCGGAACAAATATGATTGGAAAACGAGTATCGAAGGAATTCACGGCGGTGGACGAGTCCAGCGAGGATGATTACACCAACAGCACAGCAGACATTAAACCAACCAAATTCAATAAGGCGAAGCAGACACAAAAGCCAAACGAAACTAAATATGCTCTCCAGCAGATATTCTCCAAAACCCACAAATGGCTTACCGAGTGTGCCGTCGGCCCGTGGATCCTGAATTACAAGAAAGATATAGACCACAATAGTCTCAGGGACGATGTCTTACAAATTATAGATCGCGATGAGGGTCATCAGTTCGATATCCGGGCTAGCACGATCAATAAGATCGAATTCGATAATAACAGTGGGAAGATGGTTCTTCATCGGTCTAAAGATCTGAAAAATCGCGATGGTCATCAGGTATTCCTAGAGCTATCGGATGCCGGTGATAGCCTCAAACTCCGGAGTCTACTGGAAAAGCGACGCAGTGATATTAGCTACATCAATAAGACTACATCACTCGGTTATCTGGAGAAAACGTTCGAGCGCATCAAGAGTACGCTACTTGAGCCGAAATCAGCTCAGCCCTCACTCACGGAAACTCCTACAGATATCGACTTTCTCACGCACAAGGCGCAGAAGCGTCGGCAGCAAACGCTGCGTGAATCAGAAGAGCCAAACATACCAGACATTACTCCGATCTCTAATAATGGCAGACGGACGGTTGATGAGAGGGGTGTGCCAAGGGCCAAGGGTCTTGCTAAAGGCATGAGGACATACTCAACCGATTCTTCTACCGGAGACGGCATTCGCCAGTCCGAAGAAAACGGTATATCCCCTAACAATTTCTATGGCACTCCTGGATTATCTCGCGAGCCTACATCTCACGCAACACGCTCCACGAGACGAGTAGCAGCAAAGGATTTCCCCTCCCAACAGCGACCAAAGTCCAGATCCCCCAGCCCGCCAGGATGGACGCGGGAACATCCTGACTGGGAAGATGAGTGGCACGGGACTGTCGTCTATCCTCCTGAAGGTAGGAATAAAGCGAACGTTGATAAGCCGGATATCGAAAGGTTGGATGAGGGGGAATTTTTGAATGACAGTCTGATCAACTTCTATATCCGTTGGCTACAACATGGGCTCGAGAAGTCTAGACCGGATCTTGCTAAACGCATATACTTTCAGAATTCCTTCTTCTATGAAAGGTTAACAAGTTCAGCGAAAGGCAGAAGAGGCATCAACTATGAGGCAGTTCAGCGATGGACCGCCAAAGTCGACCTTTTCGAGAAGGACTATATTGTGGTGCCCGTTTGCGAGAATTTACATTGGTACGTTGCCATTATTTGCAATGCTCCGAGACTTCTCAACCCTGAGCCTGATATCGAAGCCGTGGATGAGACCAGTCCTGTCTCTGTGTCGGAAAAGCCAGATTCGGAAATGATCGATGGGATGTTGGCGGATTTGCATACCGAAACTGTTGCCTCTTCAAATTCAAAACCTGCATCTTCTCCACCTTCCTCAAACCATACATCGCTGTCTGAAGCCGATCTCGGGATAGACCGCATGTCTTTGCGGGACCGCCCTCGAGAGTCTAGCGAGCATTCGTGGCCCGATGAATGTCTCGACCAAGGTGTATCCACACAACGTCCTTCGAAACCAAGCAGCGCAATTCCCATCGATGATGAAGCGGCCGAGCATGTTGTTGAAAAGTCTCATGGTCAGCCCACCGCGAAGGTTGTTTCTGATTTGCTACCGTCTGAGGTCAAGAAGACAAACATGGGGCGTAAGGGTAAAAGGGCTTCCATGGGCCGGAAATATGACCCTAACGATCCGCGGATCATCACCCTAGACTCCCTTGGCTCATCACATTCTCGGACGTGTACCAATCTCAGAGACTATCTGCTAGCAGAACTCAAGGCGAAGCACGGAAAGGAGATCAGTCCAGTTCCGCTCGGTATGACTGCGAAGAATATCCCAGAGCAACATAATTTCTCCGATTGCGGCCTATTTCTACTAAGCTACGTTGAAAAGTTTCTTGAAACGCCTGACGACTTCATCCGTGGTATCTTGCAAAATCAGCATGATGTTGATATGGAGTGGCCGAAAGCATCGGAGATGCGTAATCGCATCCGTAAACTACTCTTTGAACTCCAGAGGGAGCAATTCGGCAAGTCAAAAAAGCCCCAGAAATCGAAGAGAAAAGAAGAGGACCCCGAAAGGTTTGATGCTGAAACGGGTAATGTATCTCCGGTGAACTCTGCAGAGCATGAGGTCTCTGGAGGGGCAGAGCCATTGGAACACGTCGAAAATTCCAGCCTGCACGAGGGCGACCCTCTCCATAATGCACGCGCAACCCTAGGCGCGAGACAATCCACAGAAATAAAACAAGATTCCCCACCGAGGGGTGTGCTTCTGAACGGCCAGCATGAATCGAAGGACGGCGTCCAGCAACCGCGGAATTCAAAGCGTGGTGTATTTAAAGCAGACCCTGGGCTTTTGTCATATATGTCAAGGTTTGCGGCCGAGGGTGGCCAGGAGGAGGAAGCCATCAAGGGCGATATACCGAAATCTGGGAAGTCCGAATCTGACGCTGTTGAAATTGGTGATTCTCCCACAAAAACACATCGTGGCAGGCGCCGTACGACGAATGATATAGAAGCATCTAACCACCCTTCAAAGGTGATGGACTCCCAACAAGAAGAATATGATGGGCTCTCCAACGGTCTGCAGAGAACAGATTCTATCAACGAGATTCCATCGTCGTCGGAACTCATTGAGCCCAAACTAGATCAATCAAGTCAACACCTCCCTGAATTATCCTCCCAGGAAACTATCAAAGGAAGTGGAGCAGATGACGCGGAGATGTTATTTTCTGGACGTGATAGTGTGTCGCAGGGTGCTGGCCCTAACCTTCGCTCGTCGGCACCTAACTCTCCTGTCAAGGAACGGTGTCTGAAGAGAAAAGTTCGGACTGCATCATCGTCGCCAGTGGCGACCAAGTTGAAGAGTTCACCTAGATTTAGGGAGAAAGTATTTGCTGCCCGAGATTCTTCAGATAATGCTATCATGGGTAAATTGGGGAAGCATACACGGTTTTCACCCTAAACTGCTTTCCCTACAACGAAAGTTGGTGGTAGAGGCAGAATACGAAATAGGACAATGTCTTTCTTCTTCTTTTGTAGCATAGCATAGCAATGGCGTTTTAGTGGCCGGTTTTGTCCGTCTGGGTTTATACCTGGCCTTCTCGCTATGCATTATGGAGTTTGGGAACAGGCTGGCAGTGGAGTTTCGGACAGCCATTAACGAAGCATGTACTTTTAGAAAGTCTTTGCGCTTCGACTTGTACAGCTGAGCAGGAATTTGGTGTGAAAGCCTACCTAGGTATGGTAGGATGGGTGACTTGAGTGATAGGCTAAACTTCTAGCTATACAGTATAAATTACGCTTGCTCTGAACTTGCGAAATTTGTTTTATTGAAGTGAAATATGAATGTTGATGTAGGTTCTTAATTATTTAGTGACTCCATCATCCCGGATCTGCGCACCACAACTATATCAAGAGGATATACATACGGCATAGCACAGTCTTGATACAGTACAACGGACGAAAAGCCAACGGATGAAAAACTGGTCTTGATACATGATTACCCTATTAACACAGCTATCCCCCGTTCCCCTCCTCCAACAAGCTTCTGAATTCGCGCCATTCACCCTAATGTCCTACTACCACTTCTCAATTCGGTTTTAGGTTTTAAATATGTAGCTGACGATAGCTGTCCTACATCATAAACTGCAAGAATAAAAATATACAGCCCGCTACGTCGACGCTTTGCTACTGCCGTTTGTAATTACATCCTCAGCAGGGCTAGTCGGCCCAGTGGGTTTCTTCGTTCTCAGGGTAAGAGGGAATTGGTATTCATCTGGGTCTTCCTCCTCACTGTATCCAAAAAGATTAGCAAGGATGCTTATCATGGACGGTTATAAAACTTACGGTAATTTCCAAGCAACATAATCCTCCGTGCTCAATCCCTCTCGCCCCTCTTGCAAGCTGGCGAAATCGCCTGGCGTCATCATACCACTGCGGTCTCTGGGCGACCCTGGGACGGAGAACGGTCTCGAGATCTTCTGATCAGGGCCAGCGATGAAGTCATCCTCCTCGCCATCGAAGGACGCAGGGTATGCTCTTCGGAGGGCCAACTGCCTAGCCTTGACATACTCCATACCCATGCGTTTCCAATCCAAGAGGTCGCTAAGCCTTTCGGTGCGGTTTCTTTGGTTGATACGTTGACGTCTTGACTTGCCTGCGAAGTCATACATAAAGGTAGTAAGCTGGTTGACAGAGTCATCGACGCCTTTCATGCGACGATCCACGATGTAGATACCGTAGTCGGTAGAATTTTCGATCAGCTCTTCCATATAGCACCCGAACCCGGAAAGGTTGGTCGTGATACTGGGGACGCCCATGACCGTGCACTCGGCTGGTGTATAACCCCATGGCTCGTAGTAAGATGGGAAAACGCCGAGATGTGTGCCTCGAACAAACTCGTCGTAGTCCATTGGCAAAACGGGATTGGCAGAATTCAGGAATTCTGGGTGGAAGACGATCTTGACGCGGTCCGTAGGGTGATTGAACAATTGGACTCTCCGGATCTGATTCAAGATTGGATCCTCGGCATCATTGGCCATATTGTGCGTAACAATCGGAGGAAGGCCGTGTCTTTTCATAGCGAATAATCGTCGTCGAAGCAGGATTCTGTCCTGGCTGGTGACGAGGTCCTTCGCATCCGGCATTGGGTCTCCATCGTGCCATTTCAGGGCTCGCTCGAATATCCGTTTCCCAACACCGCGCTCAATAACGTCAACGGTATCCCGCAAAGATTTGATCACCGCTTGTCCCTTCAAAGCTTCCACGGTTAGAGATTGGGTCTGTGCCGGCATGATGATGAATGCAACAACGGTCATCTTCGATCCGGAGGATTTCAGTCGGTGGTTTAACCGTGCAAGTGACTCAATGAACATATCCACGCCCTTATTTCGATACTCATATCGGCCAGCAGTAAATACGTACAGAGTATTCTCCGGATCAAAATCATTGTGCCCATAGAAGTGCCCTCGAACAAAGTCATGAATCTTCTCCTTGGCTTGTTGATGCAAATTCTGGAACTCATGCACCGCGGAGAACTTCGTGACATTGAGGCCATTGGGAAGGACGCCATCTGGCTTTCGTTTCAGGAGGTGCTCGCTCTCGTAAGCGGTAATGTGGGAGACTGTGGTAAACACATCGCAAGCGTGTGCAGAGGCACGTTCGATGCAGTAGCGGTGATAGATACCACGCTTCCCCGCCTCGGCATCCACGTCAAAGTATTGGAGATTATTGTAGAAATCGACCGAGCCTGCGCATAGATATCGTCCCAGGAGGGTCGCGTGTGTAGTGAAGATGGTCGTCACGTCGATTCGGCGCTTTTTGCAGAGGGGAAGAGCTACACCAGACAGCCATTCGTGGAAGTGTGCAATGACGGCCTTCTCCTTCTCGTGATAAACAAACTGTGCAAGTCAGCCACCGCATGTCAGATTGAGTTTCTCCATCTGCCTACCTCTCCCAAGAACCACGCGACCAGGTAGCCAAACACCACGGCCTCATTGGTCTCGTCATCGCCTGGTGGTGATGGGATCCCAGCCGTATTCCACAAGTCCGCCTTCCACTCGTCCAGAAATTTGTAGGCCGTCTTCGTGTCGATCAGTAGGACTCGTGGAGCGCCTTCAATTAGCCATCGCCCGTATACAATGCCAATTCCTCGCTCCTCCATCGACGCGATGGTCGCCGCGAGATGTGGGTTCGTAGGCGTCAGGGCTTCCACCTCGACGGCGGCCTGGGAGGGTCAGTCTCTGGCCCGGAAGCTTCGAGGAAGATTGTACTCACAGATTGCTTATTGAGCGGCCCAATAAGAGTGTATCGGTCGCCATATTCAGCTGTGGTGACGGGCGCCTTGGACTTGATGACAGAGTAGATACCGCCGACTTGATGGCGTCAGTTCGGTCCCTCGCCGCATTCCAGCTCTCCTCTACCGCTCTGACGGAGGGGGGAGAAGGGGGGGGGTTGTGTCACATACCTCGGTTGGCGACTTCGGTGGCTATCTCGAACAGATAGTGGTTCCGAATGTCTCTGTTCCCTTTCGTCGCCATCTTGTAGGTATATTACCGGAATAGATTTCGAATTGGGGAGTTTCGGGTGTCTGGTGAAGCAAGGAGAGGGGGAGGGGCGCGCGCCGCAAAGAGAGGGCGCTACTAGTTATGGGAGGTAAATAGTTCGCCGATCCAACGGCCTGACGGTCCAGTAGCGGGACGTCCAACAAGTCCTTTGACTAGAGGAGATCAGATCCTATCAAGACAACCGGAGGGACTCCCAGTTGGTGGTTGTGGTAATAGAGGCCGGAGCAACTATATCGAGAGATCCTTGTAGCAGAGACAGCTTGTTGGGTTTTCCTCCCCACGGAAAGCTAGGAAGCTGTATACGAACGAGTCCAAAACTGTGATTAATTTAATATTAAGAATTCTCGTATAGGTCGGTGCACCAGAGCAGCGACGCAACAGCCGGTGGATTAAGTGATGAAGGACGGCGAGCGGGCGACTTTGGCGCCCAAAGCGGGAGATGCGAGGGAATGGATAGATACGCAGCAGGTACCTTGTAATAGATACGTACTATATTCAATAACGAATAAGTTTCTGCAAGAACCACGGCAATTGAAGGGAAGCTCTCGGAGAAGGAGGTGGAGTGTCGATCGCGAAGGAAAGATTGTTGCCTCACCCACCCTTTATGTTTACTGTCTCGTTCTCAATGTTTTGCGGTTGCGCTCTCCGGCGGCTTGGAATGTGCATCGGGAGGTTGGGACAGCGGCAGCTTCAGCAGCTTTAGCAGCAATGCAGCGTCATGCACCGCAGTTTTGCGGCGGCTGCTTTACCACTGCTATCATCATTGGCTAAGTGTTGCATGTGGACCGTTTTGCCTGTCTTTTTGTCTATAAACCCTTGCCCTTATGACCTCATGCTCGCACCGACACTGGCATTTGGCTCTCAATGGCACTGCTGAGTGCCGTTGTTGGTATAGGATGTAGGTATAATAAGGGTCAACGCTTGTCCTGTCCGATCATCGTGCCCTCATCCTGCGTGCAAAGCTGCAGACGACATGGCCAGGAGGGAGACGTCTTGATGTCTGGAAGGTAACTTTGTTTTCTGTTCTCCAGGTTTTGCCCCCACAACTCCACACAAAACTCCACTACCTCTGTACACACCGCGATCCCCGTGGAAGCATGCCTATGGCGTGTTTTCGCGCTGTTGAGCTTTTGGGCTCAGCATTATTGTGGCAATAGTCTCGTCCCGGGCTGGTGGGCTAGACCTCTGTTTCTTCTGGCAACTTATCCTTATCCACTCTGGTTGCCTAGCTACCTTTGCATGGAATGGGGCAAAGCATTCACAGCAGACGGAGGACACCTTCTTGGCTAGCTTCTTTGCTCTGGTATTTTCATCTGGTGGTTGTCGTGGGCTTTGCTTCCGTGGCCCGAGTCTCCGATGTTGGTGCAAGGCTACAAAACCAGCAACTACCTACATGTATCTCCATCCTGTATCTAGAGCTGGCTGCACCTCATACGAACGGCTCTCTCTCTCTATGTGTGCTTCGTACCTAAGGTACCTTACTTAGCTAAGGGCAGCAGCAGCAATTCACAGGACCTCTCTCGCGCCACAGCCAAGCGCCTGACTGGCCCTGGTGCACCAGCCCGTAGCGGGGCCGTTGCACTGCAACTCAGAGCTTGTTCGCTGTGTTCTTATTATCCTGTACTTGTGCCACTGGACTGGACTGGGCTGCACTATTACTGGACGACCACTGCCAAAGCCCACGCTATCGAAGCATTCCCTTCACACCCCCCATTCTACAAATTCTGCCGCCTGGTTTTTCTTCATTCTTTATTAGGTACTTCACGAGAAGAGCCAACAGCGGCAGCAATTCTGCATGCCGTATCGGCTCAACCCAAGTTCCCCAGGGCGCAGTTTGTTGAGACTCGAGATCCCAGATCCCTGCGGAAACCCCTTCTCTGCAGTGCGATCTATATTTTCATCCCTGCTGTGGCGTCTTCCCGCTGCACAACAGTCGAGAATTGTATCGTATTATTAGCGAGTTCGCCGCAGTCTCTCCGTCAATAGCCTCAAAAACATCGGGCTTGCCGTTAGAGCCAAGAGGAGGAGCTTTTCCTCTCCATCGAAACAGGCCGATTCGGTGCTTGGTGAGTATTTATGGAACTTTCCGAATAGTTGCCACCGCGTTGCGTTCCAGGGAATCTCACCAGCCCGGACCGAAATACCGACTCTTGGCGCCGGATCCCTTGTGCAGATCTCGACCGGGACATGGACATTTGAAAAAGGGGAAGATAGAGTACTGCACCAATCTGGAATAATACCTCGCAAGAAATCTCCTGTGCCCGTTGGCCAACGGGTAGGTCGCTAGGGAAATCTAGCAGGGCAAAATGGACGCATCTCAAATCATTGTGTTTCTGGAGAAGCGGAACGTTGATTACTGTACTGTATATTTTGCCTGTTTCTTTCCATCTTCATTAATTAGTATGTTGACCTCGCCCTATGATGACCTCGGTGAACAGGCGAGGTGCTTAAGTATTCGAATACTACGTACTAGTTCAGTATTCAAAGTACAGCAAAACTTCACGATTGAATCCCATTTATGTCGGGGGGGTTTTTCTTTCGTGAATTATGGTCAAATTCTGCCAGGGTGCTGTCGTGTTTAGAAATGCCTAGGACAACGCGATCGAAACAACGTGATCGATCCATCGGCAAGGCAGTTTCAAAAGCTTGAGAACCCAGAGGATAAGAGGCGGCAATGAGCGAGCCAATTCGGAAGGTAAAATCACAGTCGTGGATTCAAAGTTAATTGGGGGTGCGTTTAGGTTAGCCTCCCAGGTTTGTTAAAGCAAGTGCCAACCCCGTCAATTATGCGTATTTTTGAAGGTGATTTATATTCCGTGAAGTTGCGGCGAGGTTTTTCATGATAGTATCAGTTGTGAAATTCCATCTCTAGCTGCATTAAGTGTATAGTGGTGAGGAGTTATTAAATGACTTAGCCCTGCTAGGTAGAGGTACAGACGGTTCTGTTAGGGGAAGGGGTTTGTACACTGCTAATACCACTCAATATCTCTTCTCTCTGCGCCTCTCCAACCAACTGGTTCCAGAGGGTTTCGCTACAGGCCAATGAAATATCAGGCCGAAAGAAGGTTCGCTCTGCTATGATGTCTACGGAAAGTCCGGTGATGGGTGAAATCGTCTGTCAAGGGACCCACAGGCATCATTTTGGATATTCACATTCATTGAAGGAAGTCTAGTTTAATTTCACTTTGCTTGTTGCTTTCTAGTAATACGCTATGAAGGAGAATTTGTTTTTGGTGTTTCCTAGTGAATGGTAAATGGGAGCGAGAAGGAAGTCTCGTGCAGTCAAGATGACAAAGGAAATCTATGTGGCACTCGCACTACGTGCTTACTGTTCTGGCTCATAACTCTCCGCTCTATCACTATCGCTATCATGGTATTCATGCTTCTCGAAGGCAGGAATCGCAACATCATCATGCCATTTTTTGATGTCACACTCGTTGACATCCATATAGGATTTAATCGCCTCGTGATTCCATGAGCCAACAACCATCCGAGCCGAAATCTGGAGAGGGAAGATGTATTCCTCATCGTAATCCTCAAGCACCTTGTGCTCGGGGATTTCAATCTCGTAGTTTTCAATCTCCCGTTTCATGTTGATAATGGGCCATCCAAGCTTATGGCAGAGTGTTGCGTCTATACAGTGCAACACCACGCTGCACGGAGGTGCCTCGCGATCCTCGGCTCTTGTCTTGGAGTCCCTCTCCAGCAATACTTGGATGCGGCGAATAACTTCTTCAAACGAAGTTGTGCAGGAGATGAAAGGGGTCAGTTTTGCTCGCGACCAGTGGACATGGTCCTCTAGACTGGACTTCCGGCCCTTGAAGCTGTATAAATCGCAATCCCAAACGTCCGAGAAGAACCCCTCGTCTCTCAAGGGTGACCTGGATATGCTGTCTGTGACACGGTATACCATTCCCATGCCGTGGCCCGATGCGTGAGGAACAGGAAATGTTAACCACGGGTGCTCCAATTCTTCCAATGGCCCGTGCTCATAGCGTATGAAGAGTCGCAGAGTTTGTAGGTCCAGTATCAATTTGTGCTCTTCTCCTCCATATATTCCTCTCTTAAGGTCAGCAGTGGTCTCTTGCAAGTCGTGGTATTTGTCTTCCAAGTCGTGGTATTTACCTTCCAAGTCTTGGTATTTGTCCGAAAGAACCCGTGCGTACCGTGTTAACTTATTCATGGGGTTACCCTTTCTCTTCGCGAGGCTGCCTATAAGCTCTCGGAACAGAATTCTAGGAGGTTGTAGTAGCTCAGGTAGTAATGGCTTAGGCTCTAGTACTTCGGGATCATCCATCACCTCCTCGTTGATAGGCGATGCCGGGAGGGAGGGAGATAAAGGAGGACTAGAAAGTGTGGATATGCTGGCGATATCGTCGATATCCATTTTATCTGCAAGGCTGCTGGACTCGAGCGGGAAGATTAAAGACTCGGGCATCGCTGCAATTTTTCTCCTTTTTGATGCTCAGATGAAGTCTATGCGGTGAATATGAGTAGGTTAAGAGGATATAAATATGTTTTATAACAAGAAGTATACAGTCCCAATTTTGGGAACAAGTGTGGTGTTCTTTGCTGTATCAAGCACAAATGGTATTTAGCCAGCTTCGTTATATGCAGCTTCCCAAGTGGGCGAGAGCTAGCTCGCAAGATACCGATGTGCTTATAAAATTATCCAAGTCGGTCCTTGTCGAATGGCTCGGATTAATTAGATTTGTTTCTAAACAAAGGCCCATTTTCCCCCGACAAGGTCATTGTTTTTTTACCCCTAGCTGTTCATATACACAAAGCCTTTTGAATTATCCTTTCACATCTCCTAACAAACGATGCCACTTGAATTAACGTTTCACTTCAAACAATGCCAATGCATAAATAAAGAAACGAAGAACAATGGCTTCATTCCCCTTTGGTCTGCCTTCTAATCCATCTTTGTTTGTCATCTCCAAAACAGTGTTTGGTTGAAAACTATACTTACCTAGTGCCCCAGCATGTAGTAGTCTCTGTTATATCATCAATACTTTATCAGTCGGATTATCCCTCTGGATTCAACTCAAAGATAATCAATCGTCCCATCACCACACATATCCAACCACTCTAAATACTTGCCTCAACTCAGCCGAAAATTCGATCCAGCACTTCACAAACACACATATCTAAAATATCTAAAATGGGTAGAGGCAGGAACGGTGGGGGTAATAACAACAACGGTGGCAATCAGGGGAATAACAATAACGGCTACAGCAATAACAACAACGGCGGTAATCAAGGGAATAATAATAACGGCTACAACAACAACAACAGCGGCAATCAAGGGGATAACAATAACCGCAACAACAACAACGGCGGCAATCATGGGAATAGCAATAACCGCAACAACAACAACGGTGGCAATCATGGGAATAGCAATAACCGCAACAACAACAACGGTGGCAATCAAGGGAATAACAATAACCGCAACAACAACGGCAACCAAGGCAACGTAGCCTGCGGCAACTGCGGAAGAACAAACCACACAACGAGAAATTGCAAGGCCCCGACAAACAACAATGGCAACGTAGCCTGCGGCAATTGCGGAAGATCAAACCACACAACAAGAAACTGCAAGGCCCCGAAAAACAACAACGGTAATGTAGCCTGCGCCAACTGTGGAAGATCAAACCACACAACAGCAAATTGCAAGGCCCCCAAAAATAACAATAACAGCAATTTGCAGTGCTACTATTGCGGTTCCCAGGACCATCTCAGCGACGATTGCTCCTTCAAAGATGTTCTACAGCCATTGTACCCGCCGGTACGGGACAATAATGGTGGTGATGGAAGATATCAGAATGATCTTGACGATCAAATCTCGACGGCTAGTTTGGATCCTTCGGGTTCAGACCGGACATACGTCGAGTGCCATTGGGATCCATATAGTTATACAGATGGCGACGGCGATATCCTTATGAACTTTAGTGATCCGATGGACATTTGTGGGCCACATGGATGTGGTAATTGCGCCATAACCATGAATGGCCATGATCGGCAGCTTATATCTGGTACTATGCGAGTAATGCATAGGAAGATGCAGCAGTTGGAGTCAGCCGCGTCACTATTTGGAATTGGACCCTGATGGTGAGGGCGTAGGTATAGACGACATAGATCTACTACTGGTGTAGTAGGGCAAAGGCTAGATCTTTTGTCCACTGGAAGGCAATTGGGAGAGTTGGAAAGAGAGTACCCTTTGGGATCCATAGACCATGTTTCTGTTTTGTGCCCATATTATAGAAATTATATCTTATTCCTACTTCGAATTATCGTTACAAACTTGAAAAATATATTATTGTCGAATTTTTAGACCACTTAGAATTAATTATTTCCTAGCTCTATGGCTTTGATATCAGCCTCTCCCTACCAGGCTACCACTAAGGGTGAAGCGCAAATCCAGTTCCTCCATTCCTCCAAAAAATTATACCGGGAGTAGAAAATCCCTTAATGATCCGTATTTTGAGCAATAGAAAGCCTAGAGGACAAATGACTGGGGTTGTAGAGCTGAAGAAGGATTGTTATTTGTCGAGTGAAAATATAAGTTTTATCTAAGAATACATAGATTGAAGTAAACGAGCAGTAAAGAAAGAGTTCATATCCATTGTTAGCTAACCAGGCAATTGTTGCTGAACTAAGGACTTGGGAACTATGAAATATCAGCTCTCGAGCTCAAAGGCAAGTTTATTTTCTCGTTTATTCATGATTAGGTCGAGGGCAGACTGTTCTCGTTAGAATATTAGCATCTTGTGCATTGTACTAAGAGTAAAACAGCGGCCGGGGGTGTTGTCAAAGTTACTGTAAGAGCGGACAGTGATATCATATAGCTTTCCGTTGAGATATTGTTTAACTAAATATTCCATCTTCCCTCTGACTCCCCAAATTCTCGAATTTTGTCCAAACATCAGATATTGCGTGGCTACGCAACCTCATCCCCAACACGACTAAGGGCTTGTTGACGCATCAAGCATTTGGTTCTACTCCACTCATCCAAACTCCAGACAGCACCCTAGCAATAACATGGATCTTGACGGCGAATTTGTGGAGGTGCTCGAGGAAGACTTCAAGGAATGGCCATCCTCGACAAGATCTAGGGCTGTGGATCTTGGGGGTATATCCGGTACCACCAAGGTAGTGAGGGAGCACACTGTTGTAGAACGGAGAGCTTTTACCAAAGAATTAAAGGAGTTCCAAAACTACCGGCCGGATCAGGACTTGGATGATGATGAACTCGAGCAAAGAGCTACCAAATTAATATCACCCTTGAAGGAAGAGTTTGATGCCTTTTATATGGACCCAGCCTCTCCGATGGATGAAGAGCAGGATATATTTGAGTCTACTAGAATAAACCCATTCGGGTACTCAAACCCAATGGCAGATTATGACTTTTTAGAGGATGAATCTACGTGTTCCTTCGAGGGCATATTTGGTGCCCTGAATGACGCTTTCGGAGAACTCGACGTCGAAGGATACATCGCTGATGCAACGTCCGGCGAGTACGAGATGGAGGACCACGACGACATACGGTTTCCTGAAGCGGGTCTCGAAGATGCTAGAGAGACACTCCTTCACGGTATCTCAACGTGCTTCCATTTTTCGAGACAGAACTGCAAGTGTGACGATTGCAGGGAAGAAAACCAAGCCGAAAAGGCGAGAAGAGGGCTGAGGGAGGCAAAGGATTATCTAATTGAGGATAGTTTGCTTAAATGCCGCATCGAAATGCTCCTCCACAACCAGGAAAAGCAAACTAATCTTGGGCCGAGACCCGGAGAGCAAGATATGGATCCTTCACAGAGGGCCGAAGAGCACGCGATCAGATTGTCCAACCAAGCAACGGACCAGACCGAGGATGAAATCAACACGTTCCTAGACTTAAATTGGTACCTCGAGGAGCAAAGTAAGTTGAGACGGCGCTTTTTCATCCAGTCAAAGCAGTAAAATACAGAGGGGTATTTTCGAGAGCGAAGAAGCCGATGATAGACCTGGAACCTGAACTAAATCACCGAGATGTGTCCTGGAAGACGAAGGGCTCACGATTGCCCACTTGGACGAGAATTTGTTTCCTGTTGATTTCCCTATCAATAAGCCGAATACCGGGTCTAAAGCAGGGGCAAGTCTGTTGTATTATTTCATGTCTCGCAATGAATATTTATATTTTAATTTATTTCTGTGGACGTAAGTCGGTACATCATCGCCCAGCGGCAAGACAATACGAAAACGAGGACAAAAGCGCCTTGGAGTTTGGAGTTTGGGGAGTGGCTTAGAGTATTCAATTTCGACTAGACAATAAACATTAACAAAAATAAAATTCGCCTTTAACTAAAGTGCTTGTTGCTACCCTTGTGCAAAACTTCCAGCCAGGCCACTGGCTGACATTGTGTGGTAATACTAACTCGATATAAAACCTTCGCCCCCTTCTTTCCGCCTCCTATCATTCACGCCTTCACAATTAAACCAACAAGCTTTGCAGTGAAGGAATTTAGCAAATTCAAGCTTCTCTCAGTCAGATTCAACTTCCTCAGATAACTGGCACTTGACCATTATCCAAGCCACATTCCGCCTCGGACTCCTACACGCCCTCCTCGCCCACATATAATTTGGTGCTCTGAACCAACTCAAAGCTCAACTCAGACGGTAGCGGCGCTCGTGAAAATCCGAGGACCGGCGATACTCTCTCATCAGAGCTCAGCTCTCAACTCTCAGTTACACATCTTCTCACCCCCCAAAACTCAAGCAAAGCTGTAACGCCTATCTATCCTAACCTGCCAAAACGTCAGCTTCAGCGGTGTTCACATCCCTTCTTTATACATTAGCACATTACCATCATTCTAATATCGCCATATTCTTAGCTCATATAATCAATCATAGCTCAGAATCTAGCTTTCATCCTATCTTCACGATTAGTTTCAGTCCCAAACACTACTTCGCTTAGATCTGACCAAATATCAAGCAGCCATGGAGCAGATACCAGGCATTCATATTCCGGGATCTGAAAACGGTAAGCCATTAACAATCAGCTTTCTAGATGGATTGTTGCTGACAAAGATAGCCGGCAATATGCCACTCGATAAACCTCCCCTTGAGGGCAATGCGGTTAACGGTGCTATCAAGGAAGCAGACTCCATCCTGACACCCAACGCTGATGCAAAGTCTACTACTCAACATCGCAAAGCCTCCTACACGGCTAAATATCTCGATAATATCAGATTCTATGAGATTCTATGAGATCACTAAAGGGCTGAGAGATCTGCTGCCGCGGCTCGATGCTTCAGACGGAAGCGATATCTGGATTGTCTCTACACCCTTGACGAGAAGTACGCCAAGGCGAGCAACCCTCCCCGAAGAAGGAAAAAGCCGTATCGTCCGCACCCAGAAACACCTGCCGAAATGGAGAGTTTGTTCCGTGGAGTGCCTCCCCCTCGAGAGTCTGAGTCTAGATACGAAGGTGGTGCAGGCCCAGTATTCACGACCTCTAACACAACCCTACTGCCGACTTCGATTAGTTCTCGCCTGAAAGTGAAGACCCGGAAGACGCTGACGACGAAGAGAGCAAACTCCCTAGAACAAACTGGTAGTTCGTCAGGCAAGCCTGAGGATAATAAATATAACGAGAGTGAGGAAGAATACGGCGATGAGGAAGATAGTCACCCCTGGATGCCCTCCTCAAAAGTTAGGGTGGGTGTAGAACATGAGGAAGGTCTACTCTTTAGAGCGTGGGATCACAAGTCTGAGTGCCAGATAAATGACAGCAAGGTCGGCTTTCTCTCAGGCGCGAGCCGATTTATGCTTGGCACAAAAGAAAGTCGCCAGCGAGCGATTGGCAACCACGCAAATTGGGGAAACCGCGAGAAGACTCCCTTTATATCAATGACCTCGAACATTCAGGAGATTGCAAATGTCCGAATCAAGCAGTTGACAAACCGCCAAATTAATGCGGGCATCAGATCTAACACGAGACTGACAATAGTGAACGCCTTTGCGCGGGCTGCAGCAGGGATGCCAATCCTGCGAATGAAGGATGAGCTTGACTACTACCGAGTGGAGACTCCTTACGGCAATGTTAAAAACTACAAGACCTGGTTCTTTGAGCACGAGTATTTACTCCCTTTCCGCGTGCCTGTAACCGAAATCGTGGGCACTTGGTGCTGGCAGGATATTGAGAAGTCGGTAGGGGATATTAACACTTGGTACAACACCGTGGCGTTGCCTGCGTTTAAGGAGCACGAGAATGCAAGGAAGGAAGCCCGGACGACTCGTCCTGCTGGCTGCACTTGCTGCGGGGAATCGATATAGGAGCAAGGAACTGCATCTTTCAAATGTAACTAGCAGGCAACAAAACGTGGTTAGGTTGAGCATCAAGGTTCAGGTCTGGAACTGGAGCTCTCCAGCACTGAACATGATGGGCATCCGAGACAAAATAGGACAGTGTTTCGGCTTCGCACAGCTGCTATAGTGGATCAATATTGATAGGAAGGCAAGAACATCATTCACATACTACAGTGATTGGAACATAACCCCCACTGCTGCGTTCTGTGTGAGTAATTCAAGATATTTGAGACATTGGCCGGGATAGGATTTATAACGCGCTGAATAGCCAAACCCCCTCTAGATCTCAACTGCACTTAGCCCATTGGACTAATCTGAGCGCGCCGTTTGTTTGACAACTTGTCTAGGGAGCATGTATAGTCCACGTTGACTTGATGTATGCCCACTGGGGCGGTAGCAGGTATCTCCCATGTTTGTGCTTGTACCCGTACTAGACAAAGAATGCCTCTCCATCACGACTCCAGCTATTTTGAGCACAAAGAACATCATGGCCTTGCGAATCGGCGTTTGCTGTGTACTTCGGTGACGCCTAGTGTCCTTCCTCATGAAGCTCTATAGGGATCCATCGCTTGATGGACTGCACCGTTGGATACTGTAGGTGGTCTTGTCTTTGTACGAAGTACCGCAGATGCGGCGGGGCGCCGTTGGATCGAACCCATCAGAGCTTCAGTGGGCGCAAGAATGGAATTGCATCGCATCCCACAGGTCGGGACCCGGGCACCAACCGACATTTGCTGTCCAGCACATAATGACATGCGCCGCTCTGGGCCAGCATCCTCCCATTTCGACTTCAGTGCAATCTTGCCCACGGAAAACATATAACATTCGCGGTTCGCTGCTGGTGAAACTGGCGCCCGTTCCCCTTCCCCGCAAGACAACCACAACCAACACGAGCTCCTGTTGAGTTGTCAGCCTTCGAGACCTACAGGTACCAGAGGGCTGGAGTACTGTTGCTGACCCCAATCCTGATACTTCCCCCGACGCAGGACAGCACCCTTTGCAGGGCAATTAATACCGTCAAGCTGGCCAAATTCAACATGAAGAAGTGGTTTAGGAGGAAGAAATCAAGGGGCTTCGAGATCCAGCGGTATGAGGACAAAGAAACGCCTCGCTTCCTTCCCCCGTACTATGCCCCGCCTGCGACCGACCAAGTAATCGCGAAGCTCCCTATATCAGTTCTTCAAAACATCTTCTTCATTGTCTGCGCTCACACACGGGACGAGACATACGAGACCTGCGAGCAGTCTGCTACAGACGATCTTTGCCCGCTATGCGACCTACGCGATCTGGCTCACTGCGCGCAAGTCTCGAGGAAATGGCGGAGCGCTGCTTCCCCTGTCTTGTAAGTTCTACATACACGGTGTCGCGATTCTCAGACGAGATTGAATCGAACTGACGTCTTGGTAGATACCATAGCATACGCATAGATGCTGTCCACTACTGCAAACTCGAGGGTATCCTTGCCGACAGGCGCAGACGCGGAAGGATTGATCACAATGCCATGCCAGAAGACGTACCGGCAGTTCGACTTCGGCTTCTAGCTAGGACACTACGAGATCAGTACCGCACCTCTGCCTTGAGCGTCCAGTATCTGAAGACCCCATACATGGTGAGGGAGACATGCAAGCCGGATCTTGCTCGGTGTGTGTCGGTATGCACGAACCTGCGATACATCGATCTACCAGACGGCTGCTACACCAACGACCCGTCCTGCGATACCTTGAGACAAGAAGTTCAGGGGCGATGTCCGGATATCAGGAAAATGACATACATGGGAGGGTCTGAGGCGAATCTGGAGCTGCTGGTGGGAGGAAGGCTTTGGCGGAATCTTGAAGTCATGGAGCTGTCCAAACTAGATCTCGACCCAAGAGTTATCCGGCAAGCCCTTGGATCTTTGCAGTACCTACGCGCCCTCAAGGTCACGAATATGAGATCGTTCGACGATAAGCTTCTTCAACATAGCGAATTTCTTCCACCTTTCCCACCTGTTACAGAGCTCATCTTCGAATATACGCCCAGTGTCACGCCGGACGGTCTGGCCGCCTACCTTCAACGCCCTGATACCCAGAACGCGCTCAAGACATTATCACTCAAGGAGACTGGCGTCCACCCGTCAACCCTACAGCGGATCCTAGCTATTGCCCCGAGATTGCAGCACCTTTCAATCGTTGAAGACGTAAAGACTTCCTTGCCGACTGGTGTACCGCCCCTGTCTTCCAAGTCCCTCCGCACTTTCCACTACGAGATCACTTCCGCCGCTTCTGCAAGTTCATATACTAGCACTGCTCCAAGCTACTACTCCTATCTCGCATCTTCGCTCCTGTCCAATGGCCTTCCCAATCTCAGAGAGCTCTATGTCCGAGATGCCAATTTTCCCGAATCACTCATTGACCTAGCACCCCCGATAGCCCCGTTCGCGTGTGACCCTGACAACTTCTCACCCCAACAATCTCCAAATCCGCGATTTAGCTCAAACAACCCCTTTGCAAATGTGCAGAGCGGACAGGGACTTCGGCAGGAATTACAAGTGTTTAGCAAAGGCCTGGATGAGATGGAGTGGAATATCTTCAGAGTCCAACCTCCAACTGCACCTGGTAGACGCGGCAGTGTCTCGGAGCCAAGACCGATTAGTAGCTACGGGCTGGGTGAGAATATGGACCTTAGGTGGGGACAGGGCACAGGTGCGAGAAGAAGCGTGATCGTTGGGAATGGCTTTGGTGGCTTTCTCGCGGTGCCCTCGGACGATGGGCAGAGGCCGAGTAGCTCAGCTGGCGAGAAGAAGAGGGGCAGTCAGTATGATATGTGGCGTTGACGTGGCGGATTTCAACGCGAGGCGTTGTGTTTTCACGATGCATTTGGAGTCTGGCGAAACATGAGGGGATTTGCTATGCCTGGCTTATGAGTTTATGGTGTTGCACGACTCGGTGGATCTTTTTGCAAGTGGGTGCCCTTGCGAAGTAGACTTGCTGAGAGCGTTGCATTCGTTCCAAGGTGTATACCCGTTGCGGCCTACGTCAGATAATGAAATTGAGATGACATTCAAAACTTGTTAGCCATATTATGAGGTTGGTAAATTACTACTTGGTTGAGTAAGACCCGTGTAATTGAAGAGTGATTGCTATTCTTGTTTATCATTATTTACAGACCAGCAGAAACCCCCGCTTGGTCAGGTCAGACGCTTGCCCATTATCCCAGGTATGCAACCCAGGGTTTCCTTTGAACACCCATTTCAATGCCCAAATCACGCATCTAAAGCAACCAGCTCACAACCACGGCCCCCATACCGGCAACAGCTCCCGCGACCAACATCGAATTAGCTTCTCTTCCCGAAACGGCAGCAGAAGCCTTGGTCGAGCTGGGGTTCGCTCCAGATTCGGTCGAGGAAGGGCTGGATGTAGTGCTGGAGCCGTTGACTTGCTGCTTAATGGCAGCGACGGTGACGCCGTTAGTCTTGCACTTGTCTCCGTCGAGGGTGGCGCCCTTGCTGCTGAAGGTGATGTCGGCGCACTAGATTTCATGGTCTTAGTATTCGTATCTCGCCCTCCGCGTATGCCGATCGAGGAATCAATAAATGAGGAGGGAGGATGACGCGTGACTTACGTTGTATAGAGCGCTTCCGGTCTCGCCCAGGGTAACCACCTGCAGAGTAGCATTCTGACCATCCTTCACGTTGACACTGGCAGGAATCTTAACCTCGGGCAAGCACAACGTTCCATTGCCGGTGGCGTTCAGGAATTCGGGGGTGAGAGAGATATTGAGGGAGGGATAGTCGGTTCCGAGGCCGAGGTTGATGAAGACGTAGGTCCAAGGATGATGGAGGTCCAGATTCAGGGAGCCGCCGGTCAAGGGCCAGATGGTGCGGTTTGTGTTGGCGGTCTGGTTGACGTTGGCGCCTGGGAAGGTGAGTTAGTTTGATGGTGATAGGTATGGGGATGGGAATGGGGACAGAGTTGGTTTGAGTTTTTTTTTTAATTTTGGGGTGGTTTTAGGGAGTAAACACGGACGAAGGATTGAAAGGTGATCAGAGGGGGATAGTTACATGGATAGATGTATTGAGAAGCACCAGTAGCGAAGGAGTCGCCGCGCATCTCAGGGTATTCGATGGAGAAATGCGCCGTGGCCAGCGAGACCAAGACGCAGAGGGTGGTGGTAACGTGAGAAAGCATAACTTGAGAGTTTTTGAATCTGGAGATCTAGAGGATGGAGGAGGAGTTGAGGGTGGAGAGGGAGAGGGAGTGATGGAGAGAGATATCGAGGTAAAGCGGTAGAGAAGCGGTTGAGCAGCTGGTGTAGGTAGAGGGAAAAGGAGGCAGAAACTTGATATCACAGGGAGGGGCCGCCGAGTTCTTGTAGTTCTCGACCTGGCGGGTTCGTTATATTGATATGGTTACAGCAGGTAGTACCTCCGTACTACGTAGTCCGCCCCTTGATATTATTCACTCACCTTATCATATGTTACTCCATACTTGGTGCAAGCTACCCAGCTGCCCAGCTACTGTACCATGGATGGATGCATGTCCCAGCTAGCCCAAACCGCTGCAGAGCTCAAAGGACGAGAGGCTCTAAGTGACGCTGAGAGACACTGAAAGAGCTCTCGAATCCCGCCATATGCACGTTCTGCGAGCCTCGCCCATAGCGAGCCAATAGCGCGCTCTCCCGAGTGTATGGGGACTTGGGAAGGTGGCGTTGCTCCCGATTAAATCTGCTCACAACCAGCAGGAGCGACAAACAACACCAACAAACATCAACAAACGCCGCCGTCGCCGCTGCCAAAACCTGCGCTTGGCGAAGAGGCGCGGCGCTATACAGCTTGGCGGCGGTGGGGGAACTTGCTCATATTCTCGCATTCGCGCTCGTTGCTCTTGTTGCAGTAATATCTCTCGTACGGTTCTGGGAGTTACGAAGGGCATTTGTGGTTTTTATTTTGTTTATTATTATTGGGATTGGCATTGGGATTGGCATTGGGATTGGCATTGTTCATTGATTCAATAATGAATGTTACGTAGAATGGGGGGCCGAGGTTCTGTCTCAGGGCCGTTTCGTTCTGCATTCCATTGCTTCGTCGTATTTGCCTTTGTCCGGGGTTGCCGCCCGTTCGGGTTCATCGGGCAATCTATATCTATAAATTGATCGTTGCCGATTCTTCTAACAACTTCATTTGGACTTGATTCCGGCTTCAAGGTCTTCTCTTTTACCAACTTCCACACCGAACGCGATTCAACGAGGGCCTCCCTTACTCGTACTGGCGAGATGGCCGTTATCGATGAAAGTATCCTAGGGTATGGCGCATTCTTGGGCGAATTTGGTGCAAAACTCTTTTCGCTAGAAATATCAGGCACCAACCGATATTCAAGTTACCTACCTATATATACCATTTCTATATACTAATCTAGATAGCGTAAATATCTCAATCCTAGTGAGATATTCATATAACTTGAATACCTCAATTCTAGTGAGATACTCATACAACCTTAATACCTCAATTTTAGTAAGATATTTATACTATACTAAATTTATATCTAGGTAATTACCGTTAGGCCTTATAATACTGGCGAAAAGAGTTTTGCACCAAAGTCGCCCAAGAATGCGCCATACTAGGGGTCCTGGCTTCTGCGATGGTTTCTCCAGGAGAGAGAAGCATTCACTTGGATAAGTCGGACTCCTGGGAAGATGACCACTCCCATTTTTCGCAATTGACAAAGAAGGACGAAGTACAGTACTACATATGGATTCAGAAGTTGTTTCAAAACCAGAGCTATTGGCCGAGTCGCTTATTAACCTTTATCCACACTGTAAGTACTCGAGTACCTCATACGCTGGCGTTCCCTGTCGCCGATCGCGAGAGTGCTGAGACACTTCATTTAACTCTATTTCCAACCTCACATCACAGCTTGACTACTGTACCTACTATACCGCACACGTCTCGAGATGTCTATTGAGCTGAACGCCAAATGGCGCACTAGCTGGAGGATTAAGATTTAAGGCACTCGCCATTAACTGAACCGAGTTAGATATGGACAGTCTTCAAACCCCTCCTGGACCCCCGCCTCCATATCACCGGGGAGATTTCGGCCGGCCGAATTCTCGCCATGATGAATCAAATCAATTCAGAATCCATCGCAAGCCATTAGGCGCACCATCAGACGTGAATCCGAAGTTCAGGGAGCCATATGGAGGATCGGTTCGGGGCGCGTCCAGAGGCGCCGAAATGAAACCAGCTCCTCCCCAGCAGAACATCGAAATGGAATCACGTCCGGCGCTTCCGCCGCGGCCTGAGTTAACCTTGAGAATTACCCCTCCGGGGCAGATATCACAATCGCAACTATACCTCAGTCCCGACAGCATGAGCGGGAGATCTGCAAGTACTGGTCTGCGTTCTGTTTCAAGCCTAAACTCTCTGCGCTCATCGGCGGCGTCATCTGTCAGCCTCGAAACCTCACCTGCTCGGCCCTCGTCTTCTAAATCCTCAACATCATTGTATGTGCAGAAAGCCTACCGGGAGGCGCGCCACTTTGCGGGAGGGCTCATCCACCATCCTTCGGAAAGCACAAAGCATTTTAGCATTCTAAGACACTCCCACGGGTTGGTATTCTACCAGGGGAACAGTACCACTGTGGCCGTATCCATCTTCGCAAATGCATCCATGCCGGAAAACCGAACTCTCTGGCTCCAAAGCAAAGGCTGGTCCGGCAAGACGGGTATGCGTGCACGCCAACTCTTCGGACGGAATGGGAGTTGGCTGGATGTTACTCCTACAATGAATATCAAGCCCGATCAGCTAAATCCTGCCGACGAGCGGGCATGGCAACGAGATATTGCTAGTTTTAAAAAGAGATCCAGTTCCCAGATTCGAGAGAGGCACCAACTTCGAGAAACCGCCGTGGTCCGTATCCCAGCCGAAGCTGGAGATGGCTATTTCCACCTTGTACTTTGCGTAGGGGACAAGGAGAAGGTCCTGTGTACAAGTCCTGTATTCCGGCTTCTTTCAGTATCGTCAAATCCAAGTTGCGTCAAAGGCGCCAGTTTAAGCACTTTACCACTTGAGCTGGGGGCACTGGCCTTGTCTACTTACACACGGAAAGTGGCAACAACCATGGCCACTCCTGTTGGAGCGGTCGTAAAGAACCGGGTCGAGAAATACCTTCCCCGTTGGTGGGCTCGAGGAACTGCTGCTGCGACGTCGTCCATGGGTGGCCGAGTTGGCCTGTTTGTTGAAGACGCCAATTCTCAATATTCACGGCAACGGGAAGGCTGTTATACGAGTGTCGGTGGCCTAGACCTGGACCTGGAACAGGGTCCAGCACCACCTTATCCTATACATTTTACTGCTGGCTATGAACCTGGTGGGGGGAGGGAAGCTGAGCTGTCAAATATACCGATCCTGACGTTGGCTGGGGTGCCTGGATATGTGCCGCAACAGCTCCATGGCTATTATTTTGGCTGGTGCCGATTTAAACCAAATCCAAAGACAACGCCGGTCCCGTGCGACGAATCCTGGCATCAAACTATAATTTCGGCTTTGCCACCAGACGCTTCACAGCTTATCCGCGCCAATCTCTCACAAGCCAACAAGAAAATACTCGCCCTTCATATTGTCACCGAGATCGACGAGAGTCTTGTTCAAAATGGATCAATTGAAGTATGGACTATGGGCTTCCTCCGCCCCGACGAACCTTCGCAGCGCGCCAACTTAAGAGCCGGTCTGGAGGCAGGAGATGAGGCTGCAGAGGAAGCTTTCCTGGTAGCAGAAGTCCATGATATTTCCGCGATTCAAGGGATCCTGGATCAGCCTGCCTGGAGCCCTGAAGCTGCTCAGCAAAGACAAGAGGAAGAAAACCCCGCGGGAATGGACCAACTGAAGCATCGGTATGCCGGCATGAGGATGGCTGTTCAGAGACATGTAGATCGAGTACCGTTGCATAAGGTTGGGGTCAGGACAGAAATAGACAGGATGAAAGATAGAGCTGTAGTGACGAATGGGTTTTGTGTTCGGAGATGAGTTCTCCCTACGTCGGAGATGTTAATATTAATACGAAGTATAGAGTACCTAAGCTCGATGGGTATCTATATCTGCGGATTTTACCTGCCGCGATCAGTATATAGAGCAGTATAAATAATTAGTAATTTGCATAAAATAATTCGGAATATCCAGCTGGCTTCTACGATACGAGTGCTAATGAGGTAGTCGTATGGGGTGTTCGCCATGTTCGCGGATTTACATGCCGTATATCAGCAGGGAAGACATGGGTGCCAAGATATGTTGAAGAGATTGTAAAGATAGACGTGCTGCGTTGCGCAAGGCGTAATTAGCTACTATTGAAATGATTTCGATATTGAGCTTAAACTTTCTCACTTCGAAATAAGACCAGAATAAAAGAAACTTGGCACTGCATATTACCGGTCCGAAGAGCTGTCGATTCTTTTATGGACCTCACCACCGAGTGCCTTCATGGGAAGGAGGGTACGACAGAATCGGACAGATTGTGCAAATCCGGGTATGAGATTACATACGCTGGTTCGGGGTTGGCCACCTTTTGCCAGGGTGCAGAACGGTCTATAGAAAGATTATCTTAATTCTAGAATTATTCGAATGGAAAAGACTCGCCGTGATCCACGTCGTTGAGGTCCCTTCGCCTAGGTCACGCGATCAGCAGAATTAATGATCACGTGTTGCGGTATTGGTAACAGGGGACGGACGGAAAGAGCCGCTAGCGGGTAACTGGCTTGCGGGGACTAGTGTTAGTGAAGCTTGGCATCGACCTGGGCACTGATCGGTCTGCGACCCGACGCTTCACCGCCCAACCACCTCAAAATACAAAATACTGCATTCCTTCAGCATTAAAGCCTACTCCTCGCCTCTTTTCCCTTCTTTCTGTCCTGGCAAGTCAATTGTTTCTGGACGTTGACTAGCGGGTTCAATTGCAGTTGTATGAAATACTCATATTCCAGCGTCGATCAATTCCAGCTATATCCGCCAACCCGACGCCTTCCCCGAACACCCGCTCCTTCTCTATCATGGCATACCCAACACCACCACCAACCAGCTCCCCCAAGGACGAAGTCAACCGCTGCCACAACCAGAACTGTTTCGACGTGCCCTCTCAGGTTCCGGCACAAGAGCCATATTGCCCTCCACCTCATCACATCCCAGCCCAAGAATCCTACTTCCCATCCTATTCTGGCCCCAACTCACCCACAAGCTTCTATGCACCTCCTGGTCCACCTCCAAATCTCAACCCTCAAAGCAATCCCGTATACTATTCCAGCGTCCCACCAAAACGACGAACCCCTCCCCCTCGACCACTATATTTCTCGCCAACCAACAAGCCCCCCTCCCCCTACAACACCGGGCGTCCAAAACCGCGTCCCGGCTTCCTCGAGCGGGTCGCCCTAAAGTTAGCTGCTTGGATACAAAGCTTCATCCGCTGGGGTAAGGAGAATCCTATAAAGGCCGGCCTCGCAACCTTCATACCCGTATTACTGAGCGCGGGAGTGGTGCGGGCAGCGAAGGGATTGAGTGGGCCGTTAAAGAAAGTTCTAGGGTTCTTTTTGGAGGGCATGGGAGGTGGGAAGGCAAAAGGGGTGGAGAAGAAACTAGCGAAGGGCGCAAAGAAGGAATTTGGGTGGGGCTTGGATCATTTTGTGGGGTTTGGGGGGACGAAAAGCGGACCGGTTGATGGTATTATGAAGGTTTTGCAGATGTATACGTGAGTACCGGTATTTCTTTTGCCTTTGGAAGGTCCTGCTTACAGACTGCCTCGTATGGGATATGTGTACTTGAAAGAGGAACATGCTTTTGCTGACTGGAATTGACATCTAGGAACCAATACTGTAGATTAACCGCTAGCAGCGTGCCTCGCGCAGCTAGCGTCCTCCTCGAGCTCTATTTTTTAGAGAAGAAATAATGAGAGCCTTGCTCCTCTCATTATAACTTGTATAACGATGTCACGACGAATGGGAACAGCGATGGCAAAAGCAAACTTACGATTACGATTGTATGAAAATCATTTACCGCGATGGAAACGTATATAGAATATCAAAAATCTTTCGGTTTCTTGAATGTGAAAATGTAACGGGCCTTTTCGCATATGTATAGAGCATACTCTATATATATTTGCTCTCCCCTATATGTTTAAGGCTAAGGTGAACCTAATACACGCCAACTAAATCCTCCTCAGTCGCTACACTCCTAGAGATAAACGAGTGCTTTCCAATACCCCGAGTTCCGGATAAAATTCATTGTTTCCTCACCACGATTCATCGCACTTACGACATGTCCCGCTTTCCACAATTGCTTGGTAACAACCTTCTAATTGACGAGGTTATCCTCGACAACTAAATGCGGAAACCCCGTTCCGGCAGACATGGCGCCGGCAAATGAGGATGCAAGGCGGCCTTGGGCTTGTGTGCGTGTGAACGTTGTGGCGTTTGTCATGAGATTGATGAGAATTTGGAGGACGCGAGACGGATCAAGTAATGTCCAGTCTACTTTAGGACCTATAAGAGACGCTTGCTCAATGACGTCGAGTTTTGTTTCTGCTCGTTTAAACTCGGCATCGAACATCTTGAGGACATTTCGGATTAACTGGATGGGTTGCGCGGGTTCGGGTGATATCGGAAGGAGATTTGAATCCAATCTGGACAGCGTTAATATATCGTCGATAATGCGGTTTTGATGCATTACGCAACATATAATTGTGTTAGCTGTATCAGCGGCTTCGTCTAGCAGCTGAAAATTCCTAGTCCTCTCTATTTGCGAATTGGCCGGATTCGCACCATCGCGGCATACGCTCTCAGATTGGAGGGTAGCTTCTGCATAAGCTTCGAGTGAGTAGTGATCTCTTCAGCACAGCTGATCAGTGCCGATAGTGGATAGCGGATCTCATACCTACAAGGGGCGGTTTAGCTAGTTCTTCTTTGCTGGGACAATATAAGAGCGCGATTTAGAATATTGGATGTGCAAGGATTACTCGACAAAGAAAACTCCTGTCATCCTGCGAGCGTTAACAATATGAGAAATGAGTGTGCCGCTATTTCATAGTCATCGCTAGAAGACCGCTCTAGTGGCAAGTCGTTGAACAGGGCTGCTGACTTCTCATTTTAGCTAAAAGATACACACTTACCATGTTATATCAACGAACCTCTCCTGCTGATTCTTCATCTCGATAGCCTGATCATCCTTTTCCTCGGTTCGTTCTCCGACCACTCCAGCCCACTGATATCAGTTACACAAGACATTACCTCTATAATCTGCGACGAATCTTGACCTCACCAAAGTCCATTTCCGTCTTTGGACCTGAGCAGTCGCTGCTCTAACCTGAGCTAAATGCCCTGAGCCCTGAGCACGCTAATGACTCAGCTAGATCATGTTCAAGGGAGCCTCTTCTGGCCCCCTCACGAATCGGTAATAATTTCCATATTGTCTAAATATGAATCTTGCTGATACCTTGTTGGTCTGCAATACAACCACCTATTTGAACCTATTAAGATATCCTGATGGTATCCGTTCTCGCTCCCCTGTCAAACTCACAAGGGTCCCTGCCGAGGCCGATTTTGTATCCCTTTTGGTTTAGTCACACGTGACTAGCTAATCAGTCTTTAACGTTACGTGCGTGACCTCAATTTGCTTGGCATTTATTCAATTTCTCTGTTACGAGAGACTCGTAGTTTGTCCTTGTAGTCCAATAAAGGTCTTTCCTCTATATTCTACTGCAACACAATGTTTGGAATTCCCAAGGGTGTGTAACAAAACATCCCTCGCCGCCCTGCATGTCAGCCTTCAAAGCAGTCGAGATATGGGAATGTGTCAGAAATACGTATATGGACTAGTGTTGCTGAGTCAGGCTTGGCGAACGCACTGTCCAAAATATCCAGTCCCCTGAGCCATTACTCTTGTAATTAGATTAATCGTCCTAATTCATACTTTGGATTACTACTTACTTTGAATATATCTACTTATTAGTTATCCTTTGGGCCTATTCGTAGTGCATAATCTTGACAGAATGACCTCATAATTGAGGTCACGTGTTGCGGAGGAACAGACTTGCTTGAAGGGCTAGTATTATTTTACGACTTTGATAGCTTTATTTTTGACGATATGGCATAGAACATTAGATTTACAAATCCAATGTCAGGGTGCCATGGAATCTATAGAAGATAAAGTTCAAAAATATGCAAAAAATACGAAAACGCTATGTGGATGAAACGGCGCGGGCAGCCTGAGATCACGTGACAGCACCTACCACCTGTCACAATTTAAGTTAATACTATTAAACAGTATATATTACAAGAATGCGTTACATTAATAGATTGGAAATGGTTGAGGTATGTTGTGCAGTACATCTATACTTTACGCCGAAATAGTGTTAATTGCAATACTGCATCTGAGACTGCTTTGGCCTAATACGTTATCCCGTAGTATGTTAAAGTAGGATACTTCAGACGCAATTACTTTGAGGTGCAGTCTTGCAAGCTAATGTGCTCGCAGCGGCAGTACTGTGCTCAAGCCACTACATCGAAGGCCGAGTGGCAGGGGGGTTAAAAGCGGTTCCCTTTCCAGCTTGCTGGGATGAGGAGTGGCAAAGGGGCGGATTCACGCAACCTAAAGTCATGTGGGTCAGGTGGGGCCGTTGTCACCTTCAAAGTTAATGCTTAGTAAATTTTTATTACCTAAGGCTGCAACAGCCGATGTGTTCCACGCTAATAAGCCGCACGTGATGATGTCTTATCCTGCCACAAACAAAAGCTTACAAATACATTCCTATTCTATGTAAATGCAACAGAGCTGGCAGTAGCATGTTGCTGTATCTTCCTTGGCGAAATGCTGGCACCAAAACTGTCAAGAATTGATAGTAATGAAATGTTATCCAGGTTACGCGGTGAAGATGGTATCACTTGATGTACTTATTTCAACCCAAGGCACTAAGGAAAGTTGGGGAGACAACTAGAGCGGCTGAACAACATGAGTGGCTAGACGAAAGGTGTGGCTCACGACCTTGGAGGCGTATGACACCGGCTTTCGTCGTAGTCGGGCTTAATTATTTTTTATTCACTTAGTAGAGCCCGAAAACCGATCGATGATAAGTCATATAGCTAAGTTTAGGATGGGCATCGACCAGGTCGCTTTCATGCAATTCGTAGTTATCGTTCGGCAGATTGAGGGTGATGACGGGCTTGAAATGAGGCTGAGCGGGAACGTAGAAAGCGCAGCTTGGGCGCATGACACCGGGCAGCCTGAACACACATTCCAGCTCCCTTAAACTTGTCAGTTTGTCCAATGGTGGTCGTCTTCAACCAAGCCTCGCAGCTCTGACGACTTCTTATTCGACAAACCTGATCTGGTAAAGATCACAGTGACTTGCTCCGGCGCTTGCTGATGGCTGCCTTTCGCGAAGTGAGGAAAAGTGCAGGTAGAGCCTTGCTGCCTAAAGCATAGGTCGATTCGCCTAACGGCTCGTCCGCGACTGGCAGATTTCATTCTCGCTCTCTCTCTATCTCTTTTTTTGCTTGCTCAATATACCCAAGCCGCTAAGACCTCATAGTTTACTCATAGACTACACCCAGAGAGTCTGCATTCCACGTCGTGGCCGGAAAAAATGGCGGATATAAGACGATTTGGCTTTACCTTGCTATCAAAAGGGGAAGATTCTGGAGGACCAGGAGGACCGTCTGCGACGTAAGCACCTAGCCCCGAGCTAACTACGATTGCTGTCTAATCCGAATATTATCTAAGCATTATCTTTGTCCATGGGCTTGGGGGACATCCTAGATCCACTTGGGCCATTCCCGTAGAGCACCACCGCAGCAAGATTAGCGGACTCGACCTTGGGAAGATGCTCTCCTCGTTACGTCTCAAACAAGTTGAGTCCAAGGTTGAAACGAAGAGTGAAAATCCAAGGGAAGCTAGTAATCTACCAATATTCTGGCCGGAGGACTTTTTGTCACAGTCAGTACCGAATGCGACAATTATGACGTACGGTTACGATGCAGATGCCATCGGCGACTTCTTCGCGCGTGATGGAAGAAGTAAAAACACCATCTCGCAGCATGGGCAAGACCTGATGGTCAAATTAGGGTTTCATATTTCCGGTGAAGTATTGCAGTCGAAGTGTTATACCAATGAAAATAGTCCAGAATTCCTGACATATACTAGAACCCGATCATCTTCATTGCTCACAGCTTGGGCGGGATCATTGTCAAAGATGTAAGCAGTATTAATTACATCACATGTTCTTTCACCGCTAAATCTATCAGGCCCTCTGCAGGGCCAAATCTAGCGACAAAGAGATATTTACTTCAATCCATAAGCGAACGCATTGTGTCATTTTCCTAGGAACGCCTCATCGTGGTAGCGGAACTGCCGAATTCGGAAGGACCTTGGCAAATATTGCAGCTGCGTCGCTGAAAGATTTCAATGTCAATCTTTTACGTTCCTTGAGTGTCGATAGCGAGGTTCTTTCGAACATACACGCCGAATTCGTGAGGATGTTGAATGCAGAAGATTTCTTTGTGCATTCTTTCCAAGAAGGACATGGGTACACGAGTTGGAAGGGTATAAATGGAAAGGTCTGTAAACCTCATCCCGTAGAGTATATCACGATAGGAACCTAATTTGGCAGCGAAGGTAGTAAATGATTTCTCATCAATGTTTGACAATTACAAGCACCAAATTATCGAGACCATTGCAGCGAACCATATTCAGATGACTCAATTTGCGAGCCGGAAAGACGAGGGCTATAGACAAGTTTTGCAGGCTGTGCTCTATTATATCAGCTTGATCCCACAGAATGGACGTCCTCTTAATTGTACGTAGCATTCGATAGCTGCTCCATCAATTTGGGAAACTGAAGGTCTCCGTTAGCCCTCTCATATACTATTCCGGCCGGTCATTTCATGGTACCATTTTCAGAAAATCCTGAATTTGTGATCCGTCCTTCTTATATAGAGCAATTGGAAAGCGGTTTACATGGAAAAAACCAACACTCCCGACTTGCATTAGTAGGTCTTAGTGGGATTGGGTTAAGTCTTTCCCAAAAGCTGATCTTTGCTCTAACTGACAGTTAATAGCAAGTCACAGATAGCCTTGCATTACGCCTATAAGCACAAACGAAAGTCTCCAGAAACGTCCATATTCTGGGTTCGTGCCAGCAACTTAGCAAAGTTTAAGGAGGACTACCGGAAAATCGCCACAACCGTTAACCTACCAGAAAGCAAAGATCCGAACTCGAACATACTACAGGTCGTGGAGACTTGGTTGAGCAGTAAGGATTGTGGTAATTGGATAATGATTATTGACAGTGCTGACGATTCTAACCTTTTTTTCCCTGGAGATATAAACAAATTTTCGACTTTGGATGACGTTACGCTACAGGATAAGCCGCTTTTTGCGTATATTCCGCAGAATTCCAACGGCTCCGTCATCTTCACAGCTAATGATCGTCGTGCCGGCATACGGCTTACTGGCAATCAAATTCTTATTACTGTTGAGAAGATGACTCCTTCAGAAGAGTTGAAGTTAGTAAGGAGCAAGCTAGGCATCGACAATGCCATAATTGAAGATATGGCTGAGTTTCTGGAGGAAATGGCACACCTGCCTCTCGCCATTGTCCAAGCTGCAGCTTTCATTCGGGAGAATTCGATCACTATCTCTAATTTTCTTCGAATATACCGCCACAGCGATATCAACCAGTACAAACTCTTGGGTCGCGAGTTCATTGATCTGGGACGGGATTTGGAACGACCTAGTGCTATTTTGACAATCGTGCTGGCATCTCTTAATCGGATGAAGGAGAAAACCCCCCAAGCGGCAGCGTTAATATCATTGGTGAGCTTTATGGATTGGCAGAACATTCCAGTATCGCTTATCTATTCGGAAAATGAGAGCCTTTTGGAATTTGAAGAGGCCCTCGGGACACTGAAACGGTTTTCATTCATTACAGCACACCGTGGAAACCGGTTCTTTGAGATACATCGTCTTGTACACTTGGCAACACGCAAATGGGTGATTGATCATGGCGAAAAAGAAATATGGGCAAAAGAGGCATTGCGGTTAATGTCAGAGCGCTTCCCGAAAGGAGAGAAGGAGGACTGGAGGACGTGTGCTGAATATTCTCAACACGCAGAGGCCACTCTAAAGCTTAGCCTTAGCCATCAGACAGATGACAAGACAGATGCTCTCCGTCGATCGAGCCTCCTTTACCATCTGTCATGGTTTCTTTGGTATCAAGGAGACTTCTCCAAAGCAAGGGAACATGCCGAAGAAGCTTATGAGCTGAGCAGACGATTTATCGGGCTAGAAAACGTACAGACCCTGGACAGCCTCAGCATGTTAGCTACAATTTCTCGGTCCCAGGGAAATTACACAGAGGCAGAGCAGATGAGCCGACAAGAACTCACACTTTGTGAAAAAATACTAGGAAAGTCAGATCAACGGACAGTGATCAGTCTTGGCAATCTCGCATCTTCGCTTCTGAAGCTAGGGAAATATCATGATGCAGAAGAAAGATGTCTTCAGGCTCTGGCAGTCTATGAACAATCTGTTCGCAAGGAAGAAGTTCGAACGGAAGACCCTACTATGTTGACCACGATCGCTATCTTGGCATCAGCACTTGTGTTTCAAGAAAAGTACGAAGAAGCAGAAGAGCCCAGCCGAAGGGCTCTGCGAGGATACGAAAAAGTACATGAAAAGGGCCATCGTCACATAATGACTGCTATGGGCACCTTAACATCCGTACTTGTAGGACGAAAGAAATATTCCGACGCAGAGCAGTTGAGCCGAGAGGTTGTGGAAATCGGTATAGCGGAGTTCGGGGAAGACAATCCAGACACCTTGTCCAGCATGATCAATCTAGCTGTAGTGCTTCGACATCAAGAGAAGTACGGGGAGGCCGAAAAATGCTGTCGGACAGCTCTAAATGGACTCGAAGGAAAGCTTGGTCTAAATCATCCTCACACGCTGACCTGTGTCTTTCATCTAGCCTTGATACTTCACGGTCGAAAGGACTATGAAGAATCAGAGGCCTTATGCTGGCGGACATTGAAAGGGAGAGTGGAAATCTTGGGGAACGACCATCCTGCTACTATAAAGTGCTTAAAGAAATTACTAGAGGTTTTACGAGATCAGGGGAGATGCGGTGAAGCAGAGGAAGCAAAGCGACAATTTGAGGAGGGGGAACTGATCTAAGAAGAGTGGGAAGGCAAGCCCGGGCTATCCACTATCCAACCACCGATTCGCGTCAAGAAAAGAGTCTTGAAGGGTGTCCCGGTATGATGCCCTCGAGGTAAGGTCAAACTTAACTCAATTAAACCTGTAAGACTCATTTCACAATGATCTTAGCGTGAAGTGACGGAATATTTTCGCAATAATGGATAGGGAATTGGTTAACAGGTTGGTAGCAAGGAGGGAAAAGACAAAAGCGCCAAAAAAATCAATTGTTTGAGAACATGGAATCTTATAGCTCCATATGACAGCGGATCTCAACTGGTCTGAAGGGCCGTCTGGGCCAAACTTTCCCCTCTCTAGCTATCCCCCTCAAGGATAAGTCGTACTTAATTAACGTCGCATTAGTTGCTTCTTTAGTCTCCGCGATCACCTAGATAGTCCTCATATCTCGTTCAGTTTTATATTGACAAGGGCGTACTTTCCTATTACTAATTCACGATAGTTGTCTTTGGGCTAAGTTTGTATTCGACGCAAAAGTATATCAGAGAAATTAATATACTTTGATATTTCTATTATAGTAGTATACAGTCTTTTAGGGATATAAAGAATTTCTTTATTATAGCGTTTTATCATGATAGTGTAATTATTATACGGCGTAGTCTGTAATTATATGTCCGAAGGTCGTTATAGTAAGAGAGGATAACGAGTTTATAGTAGTAGATAGTTGGGCACTTCTTATCGATAAGATAATAGTAGTAGACTAATATATAGCGCGAAGTATAAGGACGAGTATTAGGTATAAAGTAGGCTATTTTTGTGAGGGACCGGTTCGGTATCTATCGGAAGCTAAGATAGGCTCCTTCGACATAGTCGTGTAGAGTTAATAGCTTTCGTATAGTAGAATTGAAGGATAGGTTAAAGTATAGTTAGTTCTCTAGAGGAAGAGCGTAGACGTAACTGAGTATCTTGAGTCAGAGGATGAGGCAAGGGTGAGTAGCGCCTGAGCAGAGCGGCGATGTTGACTTACCGCGTTGGAACCGCCGCAGGTTAAGATTCGGTACAGATTACCGAAGATACCTGGCCATTATCGTCGAGATCCGGATGAATCCCTGGAAAGAATGTGTGTATGTCCATATTACTCATTGCCATCAGCATCGATACCCGGCGCCTTCAATTTATTACCGATCTGTAGATGGATTGTGACCGCTTTCCCTTCTTTAGTCACTTGATCCTAGGCGTTGGACACCATTTCAAATTCCCCATCAATGAGTGCTTCCCTCCACCATGCCCAGTCACTTCCGATGTTCAGTTTCATAGGTTCTTTCCAGATATCATTGGCGGAGAGTGGCAGTCCGTCCGGTCGGATAATTTCCAACCCGAGAGGTGCTCGAGTCGCAAACCTTTCAAACTTCATTTCACTCTCGGAAAGCTCTTTGGATAGCTTTTGTCGGTCTAGAGCTTCCTGATTCACAATGATCTGTCTTGACTCCACCTCTTCAAGTAAGATGACCGCCGAGAGTTGGGGTGCAATACCTTGCTCAACCAATATGAGAATAAAAGCCCGATAGTCTTCATCGAATGGCCGCCGTGGGATTCAATGCAATGACCAGGAATGCGAGGATGTTGTCTGTGTTAATTGGACTTATCAGGCAAACTACAGCTTGACTTGCAGGACCATAACCTCGTCATTCAAGAGGTTGTACAACGTCGTCCAGAAGCACTACAACCATGCCTTTTTCTTCCGTAGCGTTTCGAAACCAGGAAGCAATGGTAGATTCATCGCGATGGTCAAGATTGATTGCAGCAGGCGCAATCTCACGACCCTTTTCAATGGCAACATACCCCCCGAGTGTACATTTCACGGAATCCAATGCTTCGGATGGTATGGACGGGGAGGACGGCGTAGATGGAGATTTCAGCGCTGAAGTTGAGCAAAGCCCATGCTAGGGGAATATCTTTATCTTCATCAGAAACTCCTAGAATAGTGCGCTTCCAAAGATCCTTAACAGTTTTGGCCTCTGATGGTTGGCGACGGAGTGTTTGAATCGTCGGCATTCTCCAACTCGAGATCACTTCTCTTGTGACCTCTATGACGGTAGCATGCGAACCCACAACACAACCCTCCCCTTATCCCCGATAATCGGGATGAATTTCCAATTGAAGTATGTCTCCTCAAGGAAATTATTTCTGTTAAAAAGCAAGAATGCTTTCGCTTCCACAACCGTTTGGCCGTTTTCTCTCTGGTCAGCGCACAACTTCTCAAAACGGTCCCAAATTTCCATCACCCGAGGCTCCGGACCCTGACCTTGAAGTTCGGGCCGCTTTTTGTCCTAAGAGCGGGATTTACTACTTGTTATACACCACAGTATTTGACTCCCCCCAGAAAATCGCGGGGGGGGGCGGTGGGGCTGGAGTCTTGCAGGATAAGCAAGACCATCTGTCGAAGCTGGGTAGGCCATTTGGCCACGGGGCCCAAAGGAGAGTTCTCCTAGTCGACATCGAGAACAAATCTCTGAAACGAGGTGAGGTTTTCTGATGAGGTGAGGAGAGCTAGTCAAATGACTTGCGTTTGTAGATATCGGTTCACTGATGACCTGTCTTTCGAAACTCCCCACGATGCTGACTCCAGTGTAAATAATTAGTTATATAACTACTTATTAGGTAACCTCGGCCATTAGCTGGTAGTACTAGCCGAGCCTATCTTACCATTATGCTATCTTTTAGAATATTTCTTAGCTTTACTTTTAGTTACTTCTCTTGGTAGTTATTAAAATAGTATTTCTACTTAAAGAAAAACTATAATATATTTATAGAACCATAGAAAAGTCTAATTACTATCTTTAATTTCTAGGGATATGTATTTTTACCCCTTCTGGCAGAAAGAAGAATATAATAGTTATAAGTAAGGTATATAGAGAAAGAAGCCGGGAATATCTAATCTGTTGAGAGTAGCTTTAGGCGGAGTGTCGGCTTTAGTCCGGACTCTTCGATCCGCGACGTTGATGAGCAGGAGAAGGAGTGCAGCACAGCATCCGATATATACTGCCTAAGTCTACGTACAGCTTCTTCTTTCCTATTTATGGTGCGTAGTCTCCAGCGTAGCTTCGATAACCTTCTCATCTGCATGTTGGCTCTGATACGCATTAACCTTGTCGACTCCCTCAAACAACACATCCATTTTCTCAAGACTGATGCCCTTAGTCTCAGGCCAAAAGAGGACAACAACTATCAAGCCAAGCAAGTTGATGCCTACCAGGATGTAGTAGGCTCTATGGCCGACATTGTCGAACATGACGGGCCAAGCCTGGTTGATCCAAAGAGTCGTGATCTGCTGTCCAGCCTGCGAGATGTTGATGCCCTTGTCTCGCACGTTCGTGGGGAAGATCTCGCTAGCGTAGATCCAGGCACAGGGGCCTAGAGCACCAGAGTAGGCCATTTCAATCACGTAGATGAAGATAACCTGCACGATTGCTGCGCCGTTGTTGAAGTTGGTTGCCGTAGGGTAGACGTCTGCGAGGGCACCTATGATAATGTAGCTGACGACCTGAGAACGGGTCAGTGGCATGCAAAGAAAGAATATAGAAGATACGTACCATAATGGCGGATCCGACGATCAAAGTGATCTTTCGACCCCACTTGTCAACTCCTCCAGTAATAACACAAGTCGCACTACACATCTTGTCAGTGCGGACCTGGAAAGAACAGGCATTCTATACTTACGCCAAGCAAAGCACACCAGAGACGACGTTCAACAACAGAGACATGGTCCCAGATGAAAATCCCAATCCCTCAAAGATCAACACTCCATACAACATCAAAGCACCCACACCGGAAAGCTGGCCCAACGCCATAGTCGCCATACCAAACCCAATCCGCTTCCACATCACATACTTTCCCAAGAACTCTCTCCAAGTGTAGTTGCCCTCATTCTCCAAGTTATATTGATGTGCGGCCACAAGCTCGTTAAACTCCTCAACCACGGTCTCGTCATCCTCGGGCAGTTTCCGAAGCTTCGCCAACGTCTTCAGCACGCGGTCAGTCCGGTGGGGATATCTCTCCAGGAGCCAACGTGGGGATTCGGGAAGGCCGAAGGCAGCGACGATGAGAACCGCACCGGGGATGACTTGCAGTGCCGTAGCAGTGCGCCAGGAGTTGTTTCCGGGGATCTTCACCGTGCCGAGACCAACGCAGTATGAGATGAGAACGCCGACTTGGTAAGAAAGTTGGACGAAGGAGACGACACGACCGCGGATTAAGGGAGATGAGACCTCGGCTTGGTAGGCGGCGAGGTTGGTGCCGATGCTAAGAGGATGTTAGATGGTGGTAATGGGTGGTGTATAGGAAACTTGCATTGCGGTACCGACTCCAGCAATGATACGCCCAACGATGATCATGGAGAAGACTACCGCACCGGCTTGCAGGGCAACGCCGACGAGGAGGATGATGGTCCCGAGGACGAAGGCGTAGCGCCGGCCAAGGTACCAGATGAACCACCAAGCGACAAATAAGTTTCCGAGTACATTTCCGAGATTGACTGGACAGGGTTAGTACGAGGTTGCTGTAAGGCTGTAGAGCAGAATGGCCGCGATAGAAACCGTGGTCCTGTTTTAGGCCGGGGAGAGCCTTGCAGTTCCATTGCGGCTACGAGAGCGTAGTAGAAGAGGATGGCATACCCATGCTGGCCACAACACCCGCTCGAGCGCCGCTAACATCAAAATAGTCGATGAATCGAATGTCTGATATGATGATGGAGTAAATTCCGGAATCAAAACCTTGGAATCTGGAAACTGTCAGTTAATGGCTTATGGACGAGAACACAACAATTGGCCTACACGTTCGCAATGGAGGCCACAGCACAGATCCAGTAGATATACCATGTTGCCTTTGTCTGGCCGAGATACGTCTTTTGCTGCGTGCTATGCGGTGTGACGGTCATCGTCTGGTCCGCCATTATATGAGGGAGGAGCGGTGATCCCCAGACACTGGAATGTGGAAGTAACTTGAAATGCAATATGCAATATAGAATATGGAAATATGGAATCAGCTGAAGATGCCGGAGTAGAAGTATGAGGATCTGCACGATACTGAAGAAGTTAAGAATAAAAGGAACCAACGGGCATACAAGCCTTTATATGGCCACCCATGGCCCCCGCTCTTACGGAGTATACTCTGCTCTCGAAGGGAGCATGGTGAACATCGAACGTCGAGCCAGACTGTGGAAATGACCACGATCGCCGGACAGTATACCACGTTGCGGGGAAACATGGGGGACCACGGGCGCCAACGCGATGATTCGCGCGGAAATAATGACTTCAACAGTTCCACCGAAAATGTCTCTCCAACATGCTCTCCCTGGACTGAAGCATCCACGACATCTTACGACAGTCCATGCGACCAGGTCGATGCTAGAGGGAGGTTTGGCATGGGGAACCTCCACTGAGCGCCGCACCCCCAAAAAGAAAACCGGAACGGGGGCTTAGGCAGTCGTCGACTCGTAAAGGCCTACGATAGGTGCGCCAATACGGAACGGGGCCAGCGAGCAGACTACCAGCTTAGTGCAAAGTAAGAGGACGAACTATTTCCCCATTACTTCGCACTTCCCCATTGTATCCCCATTAACTTCCCCTCTCGTCGTGTCGTCGTGTAGCACGCGTGGCAAGATCGGCCGCTAGGAGAAACCTAAGGTACCCTGCCTTACCTAAGGTAGCTAGGCAGCTAGGGGCCCTTAGGTAAGGTAGGTACATGTAGCTCTTATTATGCAGAGCCACTTTTTCCCCCTCGGCGAAAGCTTTTCACAGTAGGTAGGGTAAAGTAAGATGAAGCAGATTGGGCAGTGTGAGTACCTACTAGAGAGATGCCCGAGAGCCCTGTCTAGCGTGCATCCCCCGAGTGGCTTTAAATGGATCTCGTCATTCATCAGCCAGCCTTATCCTTGGTGCACATCCTTGCAAACCGGGGATCAACAACACCACCCAGACCCAGGGACCAAACTACGGGGTTTGGCAGGCCAAGCGAGGAACGGATATGGGCGCCTTCGATTGCGGCGCTTGCACGAGACAGAACCACACGAATTTCCGACTTTCTCAAGACACTCGGTCGAAAACACCCCACTCATATGGCCTTCAGCTTCCTTTATTGGTGCGCATAATGCTTCTGCTCGAAACCCCGCCAGAGAAGCTTACAAGTATGCGATTAGATCGTAACGTAATCACCGCCACAGCTATAAGTACCTTAACCTACCTAGGTATTCAGACTTGCCGAATGAGGCGTATCACGTACTACCACCTACCGGTTTTATAGCTGTTCTCTTATTATTCCTCTTCTGCATTTGGCGCACGTATTTGCAAGTTGCTGACGTCCAAAAAAAAATTTTTATCTAGTCGTGAGAGTCCACAACGAGTCAACGACGTGGAAATCATCCCAAAACTCTTATTAAAACAATTATCTTCACTCCAAGAGGACTTGCTGCCCAGAGAGCTCCCTCTTTTCATACCTAGATAGATAGGGTTGCCCCCTTTACCCCGCAAAAATGGCATATCCACAACAATCATCCATCCAAACCACCTTCGCCCCCTTCTCCTTCTGGAACCGTCGGCGAACCGTAGTCCGCAAGAACACTCTCCTCTATCAACTCAGCGTCCTCAAGAAAACCGGCCGCTACGACGCCTTTCGATTAAAGTGGCACCCAATCTACGACGACGAAGATCCTCTCAATTGGCCGGTCCCAAAGCATTTATTCTGGGACTCCGATGTGGCTAAATGGATCGAAAGCGCTTGTTACTTTCTAAGGGAGGAGCATGATAAAGAGATTGATGATGCGGTCCAAGAGCTCGTCGAGATGATCGGGAAAGCACAGCAACCTGATGGGTACCTGAATATCCACTTCACGGTCGTCAAACCGAACGAGAGATTCACCAATCTCAGGGACCTACATGAACTGCAAGTCTACCGCTGAATCTTCCTTTCCACACTTATCTTCACTACTAACTGATCATTTCTAAAGATATAACGCCGGTCACCTCATCGAAGCAGCCTACATCCACCACCTCCATTACCAAAACGACCTTCTCCTCCGCCCCATCACAAAATACATCTCCCTCCTCTCCCAAACCTTCGGCCCCGGCCCCCACCAAATCCACGGCTACCCAGGCCACCCCGAAATTGAACTCGCCCTCCTCCGTCTCTACTCCATCACCCACGAACCCACCCACCTCAGCCTTGCACGGTATTTCATCACCGAGCGCGGAAACCCCCATGGAGTGGATGGAAAGCACTTTTATTCTGCCGAGGCGGAGAAGCGAGGAGAGAAACTAATGGAACGCCAGAACCCGTGGCCCAAATGCAGGAGTTTCTGGTACATGCAAGCGCATAAACCAATTTTGGAGCAAGACAGCGTCGAGGGCCATAGCGTGCGGGCGATGTATCTGCTAACCGCCGTAGCGGATTTGGTGCGGCTCGATGAGGAGAGCAAGAACTATTCCGGCAATGCCAACGGCAACGACAGTGCAATCACCACCCCCAATGGTGGTACACAAACCACAGCCACCCCCTACCGCGACCCCCTCCACCGCCTCTGGCACAACATGATCAACAAGAAAATGTATCTCACCGGCGGCATCGGCGCCATCCACCAATGGGAAGGATTCGGAATCGACTACTTCCTCCCCCAAGGCACCTCTTCCGGGGGCTGCTACGCCGAGACCTGCGCCTCGATTGGAGTCATGATGCTGGCCGAGCGACTCCTCCAGATCGACCTCGATGGGAAGTACGCGGATGTCATGGAGCTGTGCTTGTACAATGCGGTACTGACGGCGATGAGTCTGGACGGGACGAAATTCACTTATGTGAACCAGCTGGCGAGCTCGGAGGATGAGGAGGGCGGGAAGGATGGAGGGGCGGGGGATGGAGGAAATGGGGGGAGTAGTTTGAGTAAGCGGGAGGCGTGGTTCGAGGTTGCTTGTTGTCCGCCTAATGTATGCCGGACGATGGGGATTCTGGGGGGGTATGTCTGGAGCCATGGTGAGGATGAGGGTGGGGTGTTCGTGAATGTCCATCTGTATACGTCTGCGAGTTTGGAGTTTCAAGCTGGAGGAGGGCAGAAAAAGGTGGAGCTGAAGCAGGAGAGCAATTGGCCGTGGGAAGGAGATGTGAAGTTTGAGCTGAAGACATCTTCGGATATCCCGGTGACGATCAGGCTTAGGATCCCGGCGTGGGCGGAGGGGTATGAGGTATGTATTTCCCACTTTCATCATCACTCATCTTCGAGTGCTTCCCACACCGAATTACCTCAAAACACTAACCTCAATCAAAACCACAACAGATCTCACCTTCCCTCCCCTCCGCAACCACCATCCAAAAAGGTTACCTCACCCTCCCCCCCTCCTACACCTCCCACCACCGCACATTCACCCTGTCCATCTCCGGCTTCACCCCGCGCCTCATTCGCCCGCACCCCTACACCGCATCCGACATCGTCGCCGTTGCCCGCGGCCCCATCGTCTACTGTGTCGAAGACGTCGATAACCCGTGGGTCACGAACCATTTCCGGGATGTGGCAATCGATACCTCTGTGCCCTTGCGTTTGCTCGAAGTGGGTGAGAAGATAGGAGGGAAGGAGGAAGAGGAATATGTGGCGATTAAGGCACCGGGGGCGGGGGTGTTGCTTGAGAAGGAGGCGGAGGAATGGACGCTGTTTGGTGGTGGGAAGAAGGGTGGGGATGGGAAGGACAAGGAGGAGGAGGGAAGGAGGGATTTGGTGTTTGTGCCGTATTATGCGAGGGCGAATAGGGGCGGGAAGGGGATGATGAGGGTTGGGCTGAGGGTGATGCGGTAGGCTTTTGTGTAGGGACTGGGTTAGTGAAGGCGTATATGGCTGGGCCCGACGGAAAAGTATCTTGAAATCACACTAATATTAGTTGACGGATTTCCTCTTTCCCTTCTTCCGCCTCCTCGCCAGATAAGTCTCGCGGATCCAGTAAAGGAACGACATTACCCCTTTGTCATAGTGCTGTGGCTGGAGTGCCGTTCGCTATTCCCCCATGAGCTCGTAGTCGAACCTGTTTCCTGTTAGCTCGATTAAGTCGCTCGGCTCCTGATAAGATTTATACCTGATGAACTTTTACTTAATATCATAGATACTGGCCTTGGTAAGATATTATAAGTTTAATTAAAATAAAGAAGATTTATTAGCTTTTATAATTAACAAAGAAGTCGATGTGGCGAAGTTCAAGTGTGGCTGTAGCGTTCATGGCACGAACGATTCCAGGGCACGTGCCAGTACTTGGGTACTTGGCGCCCCCTATCTTCTCGCTTCCCTCCCCCTTTATCTTGCAGCTAACATTTAGACGCCTGGCACGCCAACCCTAAATGTCCCCTAAGGCAATCGTCATTGGACCACAGAACCTATCAAAACCCCCTTTTTATCATAGGTACAAAGGTTTTATTTTTACTTTTCGGTTTCCAGCTTAATGGCGCGCTGCTACATGACATCAATCAGGGGTAGCAAACAGCCTACGGGGATATTAAGCTAGCTCGATCATCCCTTTTCTACGACCAACTAACGGAATTTAACATATTCCACTCTCGTCTAATTATTGATATCTATCAATCAATGCGCCTTTCCAGATAGCATAATAATTCTGCATCCCCCAGAAAGTCAGATCTATCACTATTTTCCGTCTCCGCCTCGAATCCGGCATCCTCTCCTAATACTTATCGAAAAACCCCCATCCCCCAGCTAAACCTCTCGCAGCCACAAGCGCTGCCAAAGCCCCAACATAACACATCCCCGTAAACTTGATCAACCACGAATAGTCACCGTCACAGTTCTGCAAGATTTCGCCGGCAGCCGGAATCCCAGTTAATGCCCCAATACTCACAATGGTATAACAAGTGGCATGATAGCGGCCATAATCTTTTGTATCGCACAGTTGCCCAATACACACCGGTGTTAAGCTGATATTGCTGCCTGATGCGAAGCCAAAAATCACGGTGAACATCACCAAGCCGGCCGTATTGGATCCGAAGGGCAGCCAGATGCCAAAGATGGCTGCAATCGTAACAACTACAAAGAGAATTGAGGTATTGAACCGCCCCAGTACATCTGAGAGAAGGCCTGGGATCCATCGCCCGAACAGGGAGCCTGCGTTGAGGATTGCGAGCATGGAGTACGCGAGGTTGGGAGCATAGCCTTCTTTAAGAGCGTAGGACGTTATATATGTTAGCGGGATGAAGAGCGCCCATTCGATTAGAAACACCCCGAGCACAGTCATAGCAAAGGCAGGTTGAGACAATATGCGCAAATCTGGGTGGGGTGAACGGCGACTAGGTGGAAGGCGCGACTTGATGAAGATGTTCGCAGAAATGCAGGGGACAAGAATTAGCACCTCTATGGTGCGTGTTGCCCAGACGAATCCAATTCTGGGAACAAGTGACTGGAGAATCATGGAGAATACTATTCCCCCGCAAGCCCCTCCGGTTGTGACTATTCCTGTGGCGTAGCCGCGTCGACGATTGAAGAAGTGACCCACGGCGGCGATAGAAGGTGTGAAAAGCAACGATGTGCCTATGCCCCCGAGGACGCCAAAGTTAAGGAGGAAATGCCAGTATTCTGTAATAATCAGCTACAATCACAGGTATGCTTTTGAGGGTTGAGGTGTTTTATACCTGTGCATTCAGTTATGAGTAACATACTAACGACCATGCATATGCTACCAGGAAATACGAGCCACCTTGGTCCATAAGCGTCGAAGAGGGGGCCAATGTAGATACCGCAAGCAAATGTCAGAAATGTGTAGAGAGAGAATATCCACCCGATCTTTCCAGGAGTGTGCGAGGCTAATTGATGTTCAGACAAGTATGCTTGTAAGGTTGCCAGAGAGCTGAGAACTCCGAGAGAGGCAAACATCCCACACCAACTGCCAAAGACCACAAGCCAAGCGCGAAGACCACCTTCGGGGAAGGAACGCTCATCGTCTCTAATACTTGGAAGGTGAGAAGGGTTAGATAGAAGCGTGTGGTCATAGGAGAATCTAAGCTGTCCAAAACGTGGAGAATTTCCGAAGGCTCTCATACTGCCGACAGCACCTTGCGGTAACTGAACCTCCCTGGGATTCAGGGAAGCCTCGTGCTCTTGTGTGAGGGCTCGTGGGCTGTTTTGGACACGTTTTATACTATCCATGTTGTTTGACACCTGTTGAGCTGCCCTAGCTTCAGATGTTCGATGTTCTACCTCTACAAGACTCCCAGGGCCACTGTCTATGGGATTCCCGTTATCGATATTGGGTGGCGTCAGTTGAGCTTGACTGACTTCGCCATAAGTCCCATGCTTTTTATGCGTGGAATGTTCGCTCAGCTCCGCTTTCTTGACAATTTTCGATTCCCGAACTCTCGTATACGTCATGTCTGTCTCGATGCTTATACTGTCGAGGCTGGGGCGGTTTCCGTTCGACACTGTTTCCTTAGCTAGTGCTGGTTCTTGAGGCTTGATGCTATTGGCCATATCTGTCTTGATGCTAGCATGGTCAAATCTTTGGGGACTCTCGTACGCGATAACTTCCTTTCTTGCCGTGTCTTCACGTGCTGTTGAGGCATCTGTGAGGTCGCTGGAATCTGCCTCGATGGCGATCCTCTTGCGATCCTTGGGTCGCTTTTTCTTGATTATCTGTATTGTCGATGATGTTTCTGCTAGCCCCACATCATTGGTCGGGTCTTTTTCCATTTCGGTTCTTGCACGACCCTGGAGGCTCTCAAGATGCGTGGCAGAAGGCGATAGAGTTGTATTTCCAGGATTATCTTCACCTCCAAGGCTATGCTGGTCTCGAAGGCCCCTCTCTCTACTACCATGGCCATATTGAATGCTATCTCCATGCTGTATGCTGTCAACGGAACATATTTGGCCTCCAGATTTCGGCAGCAGTTCTGCGCGATGGACAGGCACCCCTTCGTTAGCAGAGCTCATTGTCATTGGTGAGGTGGCTGCCAAATTGCCAGCACTGCACGGTAAGGGCGCAAAACGGATACAGAACGTTGCTGTTCATTGAAGGTCGAGGAAGAGTTGGGCCTATTAGGATAACGACGACATCTTACTTGTCCTCCAGTGCTACTGTCCATCTGGTTGTGGAAAATCTGTCGCTGAGTCGACACACTACCTATCAATTTGTATGAGGTAGTCACTCGGGCCAGATCACAAAACAGTGAATTGGGTAGTCTTGATGATCTGTCGCATCTGGCTTTGAGACGGAGTTCGCCAGGTTTGGAAGTGTGACTGGAAGTCATTCATTAAAGCTCCGTGATCCTGCTTTCGCGTCAGCGGGTATGATTCTATGCGAACTACCTTAAGTTAGTCCAGGTTATTATGCCATTGAGACTATTGTCATTAAGGTTTCCTCTAATCCTAATCACATCGCCCTTTATCCTGCCCCTAGCAGTTCACAAAAAGCTACCAGTCACCTACCCAAACCGACCTATTTGTGAAGAAACTGTAGTTTATTCCAACTTTAGCCGCACTCCAGTGATTGTTCCAAGGCCTGCTTTCGTGCCTAGCTGGACCCAGTTCCAACTGAAGAATACCACCTTTGAAGGCTCAAGCAGATCCTGAAGAGTCCAACCTCTCTTAAACCATCAGTTATTGACAGCCAGACCCGGAATTTCCCCGAAAGTTCCAGTCGCTTGGTCAGTGGGGTTACTGGAATTAGACAAACGAACCCCGGCGAATAGCCTCATAATACTCTCGGGGTGTCCGAAGGTGGGGTTTAGGGGGCATCGTGAACGTCAGTGGTATATAGGTAGGCATAGCACACCTCAGCATTACGGTACTATCAAAACATCGAACTGATAGCCAGCGTAAGCTTAGCACTGCTTGCTTTATGGATGCAGTAGGCATCGACCCAAATGTATTTCTAGCCGTCCTTCGCAGCTTGATGGCAGCAGCCCCTAATCATTGCGAAGCTGGCCATTATACGCGCAATAAGTTAAGAAGCCACATGCTGAGCTTAGATGTCGGAGCACGCCGTGAACGAATGGCGGTGGAGGCTGGTTCCAGATGTTGGTACTGGCAATACTTTTATGAGGCAGACGTGGGGCACTAAATTGGCGATATCGAAATGTCTTGGTATCGGCCAAAAAAAGCAAATGCGTACCTATGTATAGAAATACAAGCCTAACTAGAAACCATCTCTATAATGTTGCCTCTAAATTTTATCTCGACAGATAAAAGGTTTGAGATATCACTCTCGGGTGCGACTACTTCAGAAAGAGGGCTGGGAAGGGGATGAACATGCTATTTGTGTGCTAATCATTCTACCACCGACGCCCTGAACACCTTATTTTCAAATGTCTTATCCTACCGAGTGAACGACGCCGAGAAATCCCAAATCAACCAACCCATCGTCTTGCACTTCTAAACATTCTCACCCAAGGGCCAAATTCACCCCACTCCTCTACTCTTTCCTTAGGCACATAGCTACCGACATCAGCCATGATCGTGCGTTCCGGATGTGGCATTAGCGCCATAACTCTTCCATCCAAATTCCTAACCCCCGCGATGCCCTCCGGGCTCCCATTGGGGTTGAATGGATATCTGTTTGTGGCTCGGCCTCTATTATCCGTATATCTAATTGGAATCAAGCCGTCGGCATTCATAGCCTCAAGATCAGACGAATGCTTGAAACTGGCTCTTCCCTCGCCGTGAGAGACAGCGATTGGAAGAGAGGAGCCATGCATTCCATGTAGGAAGACTGACGGGTTCTTACTATTATCCTCGATCTTGACCATGCTGACTCTCGCTTCGAATTGTTCGCTTTGGTTTTCAATGAATAGAGGCCAGTGGGAGGTCCCAGGAATGAGTTCCGCAATTCGAGTTAGCATTTGGCAGCCATTGCAGACGCCGAGAGCAAAAGTGTCAGGACGGGCGAAGAATTTCTGGAATTCGGGACGAGCATTCTCTTCATGCATAAGGATTGACTTTGCCCAGCCTTGACCTGCATCTAGAACATCCCCGTAAGAAAAGCCACCACAGGCTGCTATGCCAACAAAATCGGAAAGGCTTCGGCCACCTATTATATCAGTCATGTGCACATCGATGGGGTCGAATCCCGCGGCCTTGAAAGCGAATGCCATCTCAGCGTGACCATTAACGCCTTGCTCACGAAGGATGGCAACGCGCGGAGGTTTGGCAAATGCGGCGGTAATAGTTGCCGTAAGAGGAAGGATATTTTCTTTCGGATCGAATGTGAGCTTGTAATAGAGTCCCGGGTCCTGATCATCCTTGATATTGTCAAACTCGGCATCAGCGGACTCGATGTTATCTCGAATACGCTGCATTTGGTAGGATGTGCTGGCCCAGCATTGCTGGAGCTCGGTGCGATCCATGCGGAGAAGAGACTTTTGGCCATACCGGATAGAGAGCTTCTGTTTCGAAGCCTCGGGTACACGGCCGATCTTTCTAATCAACCTCGGAGGAGGGCCACAGGTAGCGAAACATCTGATGAAATTGATCTCATCAGATTTGCGGACTTGGAAGACTGCGCCAAGCTCCTCATTGAAGAGGGATGCCACTACATCAGATACTGAATCACTTTTGGTAAATCCATCAATCATAAGTTCGGCGCCACATCGACCGGCGAACATCATCTCAGCGATTGTAGTGAGGAGGCCACCGTCTGAGATATCATGATACGCCAGAACAATCCCAGATTCGTGTAATTGGGTAACTGCGTCAAAGTAGTCGATTATGAGATCTGGATCTCTGACATCAGGTGCCTCATCTCCTAGTTGACCAAATGCTTGTGCCAGTGCAGAACCTCCCAAGGCCTTATGACCTCCTGCAAGATCAACGTACATCAAAATAGTTTCTCCAACATCCTCTAGTCTTCGGAGAGTAGGGGTCCACGTATTTCTAACGTTCGCGACCGGAGCAAAAGCAGAAATCACCACCGTTGTAGGTGCGGTGACGGCTTTTGCCTCCCCAGTCTTTTGGTCTTTCCAGGAAGCCTTCATAGATGTCGAGTCTTTGCCAACAGGGATGCTAATTCCAAGTTTGGGGCACAACTCCATCCCAATAGCATGTACCGCTTCATAGAGTGCAGCACCTTCGCCAGGATGGTTAACAGCTGCCATCCAGTTTGCTGAAAGTCGAACTCGTGGCAAATCGCCAAGGATGTGAGCAGCAGCCAAATTCATTAAGCTTTCTGCAACTGCCATCCTTGCCGAAGCTGCCGGTGAGATAAGAGCCAGAGTAGGTTTTTCTCCCATACTAAAAGCCTCACCAGTCTTAATTTGGTCACCTATGTTCAGTGATGTCGCAGTCACAGCGACGTCTGCTACTGGTGTCTGCCACGGGCCAACCATCTGATCTCGAACAGTCATTCCTCCGACAGTACGATCGCCAATCGTGATGAGAAACGACTTTGAGCCGACAGCTGGAACAGTAAGAACACGTTCAATGGCCTTTCTTAAAAGGTCATGCTCTGGGATTTGAGGATACGCATCCACGAAGGACTTCTCGGCATCAAAAGACTTGAGAACGGGTTTCCTCGACTGGACGATCCGATCCAACTTCCTCCCTTTCGGAAATAGTGTTGGCATGGGCAGATCGATGGGTCGTGGGTATTCTTTGGAGTCCCGATCAGTGACCACAAGTCTCGACACGCCCTCCTCATCCTTCGCCAATACCTTTCCAACGTCCGAGAACCCACACCGTTCTCGATCTAGGTGGACGATTAGAGATGTTCATAGAGTAGTGTACGAATAACTTACTTGCAATGCTAGTGAATCGATTGAGGCCCTCGCTATTAACAATCAATACGTATCTTTCTTGTGCTTCGTTGCACCAGATTTGCAAAGGACTCATGCTACTATCGGCGCTCTCCACTTGTCTGAGTTCGAATTGTCCGCCGTACCCAGCGTCGTTTACAAGCTCGGGTAATGCGTTTGACAACCCCCCAGCGCCAACGTCGTGAATGAATGCGATTGGGCTGTTGTCGCCTAAAGCCACACAAGCATTGATGACCATCTGGGCTCGACGTTCCATCTCTGGGTTGCCTCGTTGAACGCTATCAAAGTCCAGCTCGACAGAACCTTCTCCAGAAGCGTTACTGGAGGCTGCACCGCCACCAAGTCCGATCAACATGGCAGGCCCACCGAGGACAATGACATGCGCTCCATCTTTTACATCTCGACCATTCTTGAGGGCATGCTGGGGTCTGACAGTACCAATACCACCAGCGATCATGATAGGTTTGTGATATCCACGTGCCTCCTTCCCATCACTTCCAGCGTCAGTTTCGACCAGTAGAGTGCGGAAGCAGCCGGTCAAGCACGGCCTGCCGAATTCGTTGTTAAACCTTGCACTGCCAATAGGTGCTTCTAACATGATATCTAAACTGCTGGCGTAATGCGCGGGTTTGCCAATATCGATTTCCCAAGGTGCGTTGTGATCAGGAATCAAGAGATCCGAAACCCAGAAGCCGCAAAGCCCAGCCTTAGGAGTTGAACCTCTTCCCACGGCACCTTCATCTCGAATTTCACCACCCGAGCCAGTCGCTGCTCCAGGGAACGGAGAGATGGCTGTCGGGTGGTTGTGTGTTTCGACCTTGGCGAGGAAATGCACTCTCTCCTTCGTCTGTCTCCAACTACCAGTGGAATAGTCTGGAGCCCAAAAGCTTGCCATTTCTCCTTGCAAAACCGCAGCATTGTCGCTATAGGCGGAAACAGTAAATCGTGGGTTTTGAGTGTGGGTGTTTCGAATCATTTCAAACAGACTCTTTCCCATATTCAGGCCATCAATTGTCCAATTGGCATTGAATTGCTTATGTCGGCAGTGCTCGGAGTTTACTTGTGCAAACATGAATAACTCGATATCATAAGGCGGTCTTCCTAGTTGAGAATAGGCCTGGACTAGATATTCCATTTCTAATTGATCCAGGGCAAGGCCACGTTCATTGTTATAGACTTTCAAAATCTCGATAGGGGTCGACCCTGTAGCCCACAAGTCGATGACTTCTAGTGGGCATGGCTGGCCTTCTGCGAACATCTGATCCAAGTCGGGCTCAGTGGTGCTGATGTTCTCGGTCATTCGGTCGTATAAAACATCCTTAAAAGAGATGTTTTGGGCATCAGTGGGCTCAGCAAAATTGACCACGATGGCACGACCCCTTTCGATGCGTTGGACATCTTTGAGACCGCACACCTCTGCAATGCTAGTGGCCTTGGAGCTCCAGGGGGATATATTTCGTGGGGTGACGTAGTAGAGTTGAGAAAAGCTTGCTGGCTTTGGCACCAAGATGTCCGCGGCATTCGAATTCACAACACCCGGCAGAAGCTGCTGGAGCTGTGATTCGGCTTTCTTTTCCAGAAATCAGCGTTGGTAGAACTATGCAGATTTGCGAAAAGTCTAGCTGCTCACCTTCACGGCGTCGCGATCTGGGCGTCTCAGACGGACGTAATGCATCCATACCCCGCGAATGTCATTGACCTTGCCCACGCCCCGCTTGTTGATTCTTTCGGCAAGTTTCTTTGCCTCTGAGAGCGTGAAGCACGCCTCGCCTGGTAGTGTAATGTGCTCCATGTTGTAGATGTGTACCTATATATCTGTGTCTGCTCTAGCCATGCTCGAAGCAACACAAAGCAATGAGTCGTTTCTTGGTGGGGTTGAAGGAACATGGAACAGAATTTTAGGAGGGGCCGGATCAACGTTTGCGCGGGATCCGGACTGTGGCGGTGCAAGTGCTGTGGCTGGTGGGGAAATCCCGCTAATCTATTCTGAGACGCATTAATTCTCACATTCCAACAGCCGCGTCTCCCGGTGTTTGACTGGTCGCGGAAGCCCAACGTGAGAAGTAAAAGTTGTATTTCTGTTTTTATTTCAGGAGACTCACAGGAGTCTGCCTTCGCGTTGTCCTCCAGTACTTGGGAACAACCACTGCATCACCAACAAAACCCCCCCTTCTGTAAATATACTATTCTGTGCAAATGGATGTCCAATAAACAGCGTTCTGTGTACGCATCCACCTCCGCCTGCTGAAGCGTCGCTATCCTCAGATTGACACACTCGAGCTCCCTTCACCATGGGTATCACATCCTTCATATCGAGCGTTGTCGCTCCAATGTTCATCGTCATATCGCCTATACTCTCCTATGCTGATCAGATATACTCCATCCACCGGACCAAGTCGAGCGCGGGGTTTTCGCTGGATATTCCTTTGATTATGCTGGTTTCTTCTCTTCTAAGGTATCTTCTGGACCGCAGCAAGCGCAAGCCCTATACATTGAATTGTGCTGACAGAGACAGAGTGTTTTACTACCCGGGTGCGAAGTTCGACACATCCCTCCTTATGCAGTCCTTTATCATGATTGGAATCCAGACGGTGTTGCTCAAAGTTGCCCTCGAACACCGACCAGGGCCGTCTTCTAAAGGGGGAGAAGCTGCCATCCCCTTTACAGGCGGCAAAGAAGGTGAACTCGGTATATCGAGACCGTATAATTTCTGGCAGTGGAGATCGCCCAAGCCGTATGTCTTTTGCCTCCTGATGCTTCCGGAACCCCGCGGCTGATAAATTTGCAGATATTGGCAATTCGTCCTTTACCTTTTCATAACCCTCACTGTGCTTGAGCTTATCCTCACACCGATGACTACAATGTATTCTATATACTCGTCGACAATTGGCTACGTAGGGCTTTCTATCGAAGCGATTCTTCCCATCCCTCAAATTATTACCAATCATCGAACCAGATCATGCAAGGGTTTCCGTCTTTCGGTGATTGCCAGCTGGATTGGAGGCGATATGATGAAGATGCTCTGGTTCTTCACGGCGACGACTGAGATACCCTGGGGTTTCAAACTATGTGGCATGTTCCAGATGTGCTGTGATCTGTTCCTGGGGTTGCAATACTGGATATATGGGGACGGGCAAGCTCTAATGGCGGTCAAGGATCATGGGATGAATATGAATGGATTTGCGGCCGGCTCGAGGTCCCCGATGAAGGAGAAGGATGTACTGTACGATTAGGGGAATAGGATAGACATGTATAAAGCGCGTGGCTTCTTCGGCTCGACCTATGGCTGCTGGATTATACCCCCCAGGCAACACGAATGCTCGGCGTTTGCTTAATGAATTCTCCACAGTAAGAAGAATACCGTCCCATGTCCATATGTGCTCAAATGCCACATACAGGGGAAACGCCGATGTTCATTCGCCTAGCTCTCTGGACTGGACCGGTTCTCATCCGCGCTTCCTGCGACCGCCCGCAAGGCTAACTATGTATGCGACGCCCCAGAAAAAAGGAAAGTGGACTTGAGCTGCGCGCGGCCGAGGAGAAAATACTTCGGTTCGAGATAGTGGGCGAGGGAAGTTCCGCGGGCTGAGAGCCCTCGAGCATGTTGCAGCTGAGGCAGCTCGCTTAATCGTGGTGATGTTTCGTGATATCGCGTGAACTTCAAGATGAGACTTCTCTGTAGTCTATACCAACAGATCACCCCCAATGCCATGAAATCAAGCCTAAATAGGGCCAAAGATAAGCACACAATATGGAGTTTGAGTATAAAATTAGCCTGGCTTCTTTTGGGTGTAAACTGATGATTTGGTGTGGATTCTACCGCTATAGCTAACCTTTGAAGGCATCTGGTTGCTCACCACGACTCATCCCGCATAACAGTCGCCCGATATCAACTGCTCTATTCACTGCTTTGTTCCCAAGTCCCCTCGCAAGGCTACCTCGCGTGGCCCGCGTGTCCTCCTTTCGCGCTCCTAGCAAAATTATTTAAGGCCGCCGCCACTTCGCTCTCCAGTTCCTCTTCCTTTCCCAAACAACAACAACCTCATCCTGGACCTCTACCACAACACAACTTCTCTCGCAGTGTACCTCGACTCTACCAACTACAAGCATATCAAGGTAAGCATACTATCGTCTTACTAGTTATCTTGTCTAAACTTATCCTTCTCGATCTCTTGCTGATCTTGTTGCCAGCTTCTCGACCTCAGACTCACCTCAACACAACAACAAATTCAAGGTACGCCTTCCACCCTCTTAATAATATCTGCTGGCTATAATCCTTGCCATCGCAACTTTGTTCCTCTACTCTTTATCCTGCTTGTCTCTAGCTGAGATCCACTTCCTCAATTATCTTGACCAAACCCCTCCTCACTTTATTCATAAGTCCACATCCAACATATCCCCAAACCTCAACACCTCACTCCCAAATACATTCTTCGGTACCGATCTGTGTCCATCCCTCCCTCCATCTATCAACGCAGCAACATAAGTACTGTGTCCGACCGCGGCTTTCTCTTGTCATTTTCCGATCTCAAGGTTATCCTCTGTTCTACCATTCACTTTCCAAGTCCTCGTCCAGACTCCCACGCCTCGCCTTCATATTCCACTTCATATCCCTCTATCTATACATGCCAATCACTTTTCGACAATTTATTTCATCATGTGACCTTACTAATATCGTTTGCTTATAGACCTACTTCCTCTTGACATCACTCAATATGCCAAACTGGAAGTCTTACGAATCATCGGTCCGACTCCTGTCAGCCATCATCGCTGCCAATCCTAATCTTAAGCTTAACTACGACGGTAAGTTGAAACAAGTTTTCCATCTTCTCACCTGCCGTCCTTCGTCCCCAAACGCTGCTATTGCTACCTCTGCTCCTTTTTATTCCTTCAGCTTGACATTTTGGTGTATGTCCTGATGATTGCCCCGAAACAGAAGTTGGCAAATACTACGGCGGCGGCACAACCTACAAAGCTGTCTGGGGCCGGATGACTCAGATCAACAAGCATGCCAAACTTCTTGCTACTGCGGTCGAGAATGGCCAAGATCCGATCGAGATCGAGCTTAATGATAAAGCTCAAAACGGCAAACCCAAAGCTCAAGGTAGCCTCGGCCAATTCCTACTATACAATCATATTTTACCCTAAACCCCCAGAATATTTCACGAATCTCTTACCAAGTCGTTTATACTATCGTTTTACGTATATTTGATTCCGTTGTTGATGTTAGTATAGACATCTCTACTAGATTTGGGGGTGACTGCACAAAATCAGCCATCGAAAATAGGTTTCGCCGGATCAAGTCAGATGCGAAGCTTATCAACAATGCAGTTGCTAAAGGCATTGACCCGATTACTTTGAACATCGGCGATGCAAGTGGCGAAGTCGCTATCGGCAGTAATACCGGCGGGGCTCGTCGTGGTTAGACATTTTTCATTTACTCTCTTCATATCACCCAACATATTTTCCTTCTGTTTCCAGGCTCGCCTTCCCTGCCCTTTATCTGCTAGATGTCTCTTATTGATATCAACCACAGACATTGCGAGATGCTATGGATCTGAAGTAACAAAGATTGCCGTTATGTATGCGTTTAACTGCTATATCTAAGACAGGCTAGACGCTAGTGGAGATCCAAAAGACGTTTTACTTCGGGGCCTCAGCAAAAATGGCAATGGTTAGGAGATTTGAAATATTCCCTACTCTTTGCATTTGCTTTTTTCGTTGAGACTCGAGCTTTACTGCACACCTAAGGTTTTGTTAATAACCTGTACGAGTACAGATATCGCTAAGCACTTTGGCAGCGACACAACTGCTGGTGGTCTCAGCAAGCACATGAGTCGCCACGTCAATCCTAATATCAAACTTCTACGGGACTACGTCAAAGCTGGCGGTGATGCAAAAGATATGAACATCGGTGGAGAATCCACAGTCAAGAAAGGTGCAAATTGCCAAGCAGTTTGATCATCTGCACTTCCCCTAACACTTTGAAATTCTCAATTGCCCAAGTCTATCTCAGTTGAGATACTATGACTCGATTTAAATATTGATTGATTTCTTAGAGATCGCGGCCTGTTTCGGCTCAGATGCTACTCCAGGTGGCATCAGGTTCCAATTGCAAACCAGTCTCAAGCCAAACGTCAAGCTTATCAAGGATGCTCGGGCGGCAGGACAGGACTGTAAAACCCTTGGTATTGGCGAAAGCGACAAACCCGAAAGTAGAAAGGGTTAGATGCTCTTTTCGAAGTTTCATCAGATTTCTTCACTGCACAAATTTCCTACTTATCTCCACTTACTACACTTCAAGATGATATTAATATCCTACTAGCTATGAGCAAATACTTCGGGAGCGATAGTACAAAAGGAGGGATCGAGTTCCAGTTCCGTACTATTAAGGCTGATGCTAAGCGCCAGCGCGAATGCTATGATGCCGGTGGTGATCCTAAGACTCTGAATATTGGAAGCGGCAAGGGTGAATACTTTTTTTGATCGCATTCTTCTTTTGACACGTTTTCTATTATTACAGCATTGGCACAGGAATTCGGGGAAGTATATATTGACAGACTGTTCTATTTTACAGAGATCTCCCGTTACCTGAACGATGGAACCACTACCTCTGCGCTAGATCATCGTTTTCGCCCAATTAAGAAGGATGCTATAGCAATGCGGGCTGGTGCCGGTACTATCTATCCTTGACTTTCCATCCCTTTTGTTTTTCTGCTAAATTCAGATCTCTTGGGATATTTTCCTTTCGTCAAATCTGATTTAGTTCACCCTATCAATTTATCCGCATTATCCGCAACCTTCTAGAACTATATGCTAACTTCTTCATAGCTATTGCCAACCAGTATGGCGAGGGCGTTAGTGGTAAGGCTGTGTCGACATACTTTGAGCGCGCGCGCAAAGACCCGCATTGGAACCTTTCTAACACTGTAACAGAGAACGGTGGCACCCCCGCTAAGAGTCGCACACCTCGGGGCCCTGCCAAGAAGCGAGTCGTGAAGAATGAAGATGACGATGACGATGAGGAGGAGGAGGCAACCCCATCGAAGAAGCCGAAGGCCCCATTACACAAAGTCAAGAATGGTCGGGTCGCTAAACAGAATGGTCGTGCTCGTGTTCCGGCCCCGTACGTCGATGAAGAGGATGATGACGATAACATGATCAAGCCCGAGACTGCTTCCGTCGACACCAATACGTATGACGCTGAATTGAACGCCAACGAGCACTTTTACCCCGCGGGAGAGGACTTCGATGATGGTCACTATGAGGGTTAGCATGTGTCTGACGACCTGGAACATTGAATAGGGGCGATATCACTGGTGTTATGATACGTAGGCGTGGGTATTTACTACGCCCCCTTTCGACCACGGCTATTCCACTCGGCTTCTTGTGTTTTGCACCGAATTCAACCCTCGTCACTTGCACTTACACTTCGCTTTCTGTTTTCCTTTTGCTTTTCCGGCGTCATAGAGCTCGTCATACAAAAGTCACCGACTCAGCACGGCGATAGGCGTTTCCGGAGATGTCACAAAAATTGCGGCCTCTTGCACAATACATATGCTTGCTTTTCTCATTATGCTTCTGACCTTGAGATGGATGGGGTGGGGGATGCTGGAGGAATAATTAAGGGTTCTTTTTCTTCTGCGAATAGGAATGGGATTATTCATCAACGAGAAATTCAGTCATGGTCATAGTCAGGCGGAAATAGGCTGTGCAAAGACAGATGCCATGGAACTTTGCCAACTTCTGAAATTTAAATGGAATCGCATTTCATGCCAGCAGCTGACTTGCACTCTAGTGATCTTATGATGTATCCGTGACTTGAAGTTTAAAAGGTGTAGCCACCTTATATTATGCAAAGTCCCTCCTCTGCATAGCAGTGACAAAGTATTTGATAAAAAAGGTACACTTACTAGTTTATTAATCCTATTCACTTACTCAAAACTTACTATTTCCTCGCTATAACCAAATGCTAAGTATTATCCACAATTTATATATTTAATTGCTCATCCTAACCCTACAATCCCTATGACTTGTTTGCACTATTCGATTTCTTCGGCTTCAAAGCTGGTAACTGGAAAGCTTTACTCTCGCCTCCCTTCAGCTTCTCCCACTTTCCAAACTCCATTTGTGGTGTCCAGGTCAAAACACCTACCCACGGCTGAACATTATAATGTACCTTCAGCACGACACCATCCGTCTCTGCCAGTTTGCCTGTCGGGGAAGTGATTTGGTATTTCGGTTTCTGGTTTTTGAGTTCGATTTTACCTCTGCGTATACCCAATCATTAGCTCAGGTTCCCCTTTCTCAAATAATGTATTTTTCAATATGGAGGCTGGTATACCTAGAAGGATCAATTGACTTTCCCTGGCTACTCTTGAGCAACTTCTTCATAGCCGCCGGCCCAAGAGTTAGTAAGTGATCGGCGCTCGGGCTCGTAATAATCGTATCCCAAATCACCGCCTCATTGACCAATTCGGACGACGTGCTATTAGGCCATGCCGCAGACACGTAGACAAAGATCTGCTTCGTGTTCCATGTGAAGAGGGACGAAAAGTCCGCCGAGAGGGAGAAGCGGATGTGAGCGTATTCTTCTTTTTTGGAGGAGTAGTAATGGGGACGGCCTCGGACTCTGGGTCCAAAGGTTAGATGAGCGTTTACTTTATCTTTCACAAGCGTAGGCTAGTGCAGAACGACGATGGGAAAGCTTACACTTGCACATCCTTAACCAATACACTCGCGCTAGGCGTCCGGGGCGCAATGAGGTCAGAACCTGCGATTAAAGCGGCTATTATAAATGCGACTGTTGTGAAGAAACCAAAGACATTCTGCGCGCGGACTATAGTTGAGTGCATGATTGTATTGCTCAGCTAGTACGTGAGCGGGAGCGGGAGCTCTTTGGTATGCGAAGACTTTGCTGCTATGACATAGGCTCAGACGGGGGGGGGGGGGCCTAGAGTTTCGGACGAGCGGAAGAATTGGGATGTGAGGAGGTTGTTGGTTGTTGGTTGTTGGTTGTTGTCTCTGTGTCGCGGTGTTGAAGTTGTAAGTTTAACACGTCTCGCCTCGGGAATCAATCAGCCACAGCCAGAAGCTTATACTTGCGCGAAGTAAATACGAGTACGTGACCGTGGGGTAAACTGTGGCTGAGGGACATAAAAGCACTTCTAGCCGGGAGATCCGTTAGTCTAGACTCTACAAGTACAAGTAGACCTTTAGCTCTAAGTCTTATAATATTATATCAGAACTACTTGGGTACTCAGAACGGCTATTATTGCGTTTCATAGCGAAAGGGAGTAATGATATGGTCTGATTTACTATTAAGAGTACCACTTCTCTCCCCAGCTCAAATCGATATAAACGCTCCGTAAAGTAGGTAGGCAATTGGCTTGTATCGAGAGGATTTACTTTCGCAACTCATTCTAATATGTATTACAACCTGGCATATATCTTCTGTTTCTGCGTACCCTCTTGTATAAGATCATTCCCATTGTATTACGCCCATACTCGAGTATCATCAATCATCAACGTCGTATCCCGGTAGCGTCACCCACTTGTTCATCGTCACCATCCGTTTATCGCTACCACAACGCAAAAGATCACCCAGTCGCTAGTCTAAGTAACAGGCTGGACAATCGTGCCATAATTCTGCCCACCGCTCTGTACGCGCTCGCTATAAACGCCGGGTGCTCGTGATGCCGTAAAGCAGCCTGTGCGCGCCTGTTCGCGACGCTCGTAGTAGATGTATTCGACGTAGAAGGCGTGGATATGGCCTGGGAAATATCTGCTCCGCCGAAAATTAGTGGGATTAGTTACCGTGGATAAAGTCATCGCAGGCTATTTGGAAGAGAGGAGGTCGTATCATACCCGAGAAGTGTCAGGAGGATGTTGATTAGGAGATCGGGACCGCATCCAGCGACGCAGAAGACGCCGATAGGCGGGACTTCTGATTATCAGTATTTGCCATGCGATTTAAGATGGGGAATAAGGTCGCTCACAGAAAAGAGTGACGAAGATCAAGAAGATCGCGGAAATGACGCCCATTTTGACTTGGTGGAATGTATTGCAGTTAGAGTGGATTTCGCTGAGGTGAGGTGTTGGGATTGATTTATGTTGTAGAAATCTATGGAGGTAGATAGGTAGCTTTGTCTGATAACGAGAATGGAGATTGGAAAGTTGGGAGAATGAGAAAGAGAAGTTAAAGCTGCCAACCAACTTGTTATAGCATACCTGGTAAAATGATACCTACCAAGGCTTGGTTGGGCATGCGTTTACGTCTGACGTCAACAACGCCAGATGGAGGCGCTCTCGCCGTCATTAACGTGGAACATAAACAACGCGCTACCAATAATAGTTGAACCCCGAGGCTTAAAACAATCTATTGACGGCCGATGATCCCGAATTATCTGATCCCTAGATAATATACACTAAAGGGTGTTTTAAAAGCTAATGAATTCTTACATTACATGTAAGCTTCAAATCCAGAAGATATAAAATTAAGTAGTATAAAGTAATAATTAAGTTCCAACCCTACATTACAATAGTAGGTTCTAAATCGTTAGTTAGGTACCTAGCCAGCTACATCGGTACGCAGTAGCAGTAGCGATTATCTATATTTATAGTACCCCTACTTGTAGAATCAAACTAGATGCTATTATTCACTTTTACTAGGGCAACCTCACCGCTCATAAGTAATAATATTTTATTTCCAGATCGCTGACAAACCTAGCTCTAGCTCAGAGGCGTTAATGCTAACTACTACATTCCCAGCGACATGAGACTTGCTCATAGGTGAGAAACAAGCCTGTCAACCATATATGTATAGTCATGACAGCGTGATCCAGCCACCTCTAGGTCTGTCTAGTCATACAGCAACGTCCAGAGTCCCAGAACCTGGCAGGCTCAGGTCTGCTGAACTTGTACCTGTCCTCCTCGGCCTCTTTGCAGGCCCCGTCCTCTGCCACCGCGACCTCTACCGCGGCCGCCTCGGGCATCTAGACTGGCAGGGGGTGGAACAGCATTGAAGCTGGTATTCCCACCACCTCTGCCTCCTGCATACCCATTAGGCCCGTCACCTCTACCTCCTCGCGAGCCACCGCGAATAGCTACGCTGCTATGCACACCTGGAGCTGCGTTGTCAATTACCATGCCTCCCCTTCCCCGGCCTCGGAATTGGCCATTGCCCCTAGAGCCGTTCTGCCCAGCGATCGCACCGCGGAATGAACCTCTTAGGGGAGGAGGAGCACCAGCTTCCCGAAATTGTCCTCGTCCGCCAGGTCCCGCGGGGGCGCCATAACCACCTCGTGTCGTCAACGGCGTGCTCGTGGGTGCAGGCCGCTTAGCAGCGGCAGCTTTTGAGCCCGCAATAACCTGTTTGTTGGTCAAATTTAGCACTGAAGCAGCCGGCACCGTAGAGCCACGGAACGGGGTACAGCGATCTCCTAAAGTCGTACCACTCATGAACGTAACGTCAAAGACGACATCCAAGAGGGTGGTGCGGGATGTACGGGATATTCCAACAACCGTACCGCGAGTTGCGATAGGAACGCGACCAGAATCTTGTGCATAGACAACTCGGTCGCCAAGTGCGAATACCTGGTTTCCAAGATGGTGCTCGGCATCTGAAGGCTTCATGAGGGCGTTCCGAGGAACTCCCTTAAGCTTCTTGAACTCGACCCCAGATCCGTTTGCCAAAGCTGCATCAGCAGCGGTTTCGATTGCCATGACCGCATCGGAATCCAGTTGTTCTGCATCCAACGGGACCTTCTCAAAATTCTTTGATTCGATGGTTTTTAACCATGCGGCGATTTCTTTGATTTTGACATTGGCGGTCTCGGCAGGGTAAAAGTCCGTCGCATCATATTCGTTGCCCTGAGGTTTTCGCTGTATGCCGGCGATAAACTCTGGGAATTTCGTCATGTATGTGCTCAATAACTCAATAGCTTTGTTACTGAACTCCCAGCCATTTGCACTGCGGCGCGAATAGCCAAGGACTTTGAGTTTCTTGGCCTCGAATTTCAGATTGAGGCCGAGATTAAGGCGGGGTAGGCCAAGTGCTGAGATCGAGAATGACGACGTGATCTTGCTCAAAACAAGAGGGTGAAGACCAAGCATTTTGGCCACTGCATACGAGGGGGTGTACTGAGTCTGGAAGCCCTTCCCTTTAACAATGTCCCTTCCAAATTCGACCTCCTTTCCTTTGACTGTTGATAGCCAAATCTCTGCCCGGTTATCCTTGTGACCCACCACTTCTAAAGGTCTACCATAATTGAACTCTCCTAGGAAGAATGCTCGTGATCCTGGCGGAAACTCTTCCTCGATTGGGACAGCTTCCTTTTCCAAAAAGCGCTGGTCTTCACTCACAACTTCGTCCACGACGACCTGAGACGCGTAATCAGTCTCTGCGCCTGGAATCACGCCATACTCTTTGACGGTGGCACCTTCGTCAGTCTTCTTCAGGCCCTTCAACATCTCGACATGTGTGATGGACTCTACAGGACCGATAATAATACCTAGGCGCTTGCTATAATTATTTTCGATCCGCTCAGCCTTTTTCCTGAACTCATCGATTTCTCGGGGGCCATGAGGGGTTTGGATAGGATGAGGTGATCCATCAGAGGGGGGAAGGTAGTCGAACAATTCGTCCGAGACCCTAACCACTTTCCCTTCCTGCAAAAATGGATACCCCACAAAGGCCCGATGGCCCAACCTTGCCGTGGCACTTTTGACATTTGTCCGCTCCTCCGTCTTCTCGAGAGTGACAACCATGCTTTCGTTTCGGCTGTCCTGCTGAAACACGTTGACGCCGTGAAATCCTAGAGCCGCATTATATGGCAGGGTATCCAAGCTAGGGAAGCCAGCCAGCGCAGCACTCCCAAGCTTAACTCCTTCCATAAGGCCAATGTGGTACTCCAGCCCTTCGATGATAGGCAAATCAAATATGTTTTCGACGCAATGACAATGGGGAATATCCGGGAAAATGCCGACGAGCGATGACGGATAAGTGAAGTCGATATCCGGGTCATAAGAGAACTTCAAGGTGACTCCAAACTCGTTCCTGAACTTCTCGGCCTCACTCAAGAGCTTGTTTTTCGGGGCCATTGCGGCCAGCAATCTTTTTTCGTCAATGAACGGAATCTTGACCACAGCTTCCCATTCCATCTTCTTGCCATTCATATCAAGCTCGAAATCTCTCGGATAGAAATCAATAATTGGAGATGCAGGATTAGTCATGAGATCATGATAGACAGTTGGAACAATCTTCTTGCTTCGGTCAGGCAGCACACCCATGAGCTGTTCATAAGGGTGGAATGGCTGGCCAAGCTTGAAGTTGACATCTGCTTTCAGTCCCTTGATGACATCTAGAAGATCCCATTCTTTTTAGCAAAGTGGGCTAGAAGGGATACTAGCGCAGAGTACACATACCTGAAATCATAGGAGAATAGTGGTACTGGTAAAACCATGGCCATGATGCTACTCCTTGGTAGTAGTAGTAGAGTACCCACTGCAGGCCTTGGACGTAGTTCTCACACAATTTCGTCAATTCAGTTTCGTTCTTACGGTCCCAGTCAAATTTCCCCTCATAGTATTTGTCCTTCCACTCTTGGAATTTCTCCTCGTATTCCCGGTCCATTTCAGCCTGTGCCTCTGCCATTGAAATATCGATCGTCTTGGCCTTATCATATTGCTTGACAACGCGAAGGATCGCGAGTTGCGACTCCTCGTCTTCTTCCTCTTCTTCCTCGTCCGCGTCTAACTTCGGAGGAAAGGATAACTGCATGTGTCGATCCCCTTGGTCGTCCTCCACCGTCTTCCATTCCAAATGGAGGCTTTCCGCGAGTTCTTGGGCAAACTTCCGCTCTGCAGCGGGCAATGTGGAGGGGAGATCCAAAGGTTCAGCTGGACGACTGGTGACGTACTTCTTCACCTCTTTCCAAACTTCTCGTTGGGGTGTAGTCATGGTCAGCATGCCCTTTGACTTCCCCCTTACCATGACATCTTCCTTCGCCATCTGCTTCGATTTAAACCACTTCTGATCCGACATTTCTGTCTCGAAGAAACGATATTCCACGTGGGAAAGCTCTTCTAGTAAGACGGCCAGCCGCTCCATATTGATAACACCGCCCTCATTAATGTACCCTGTGCATCTCGGAAGCACCGATTTGTAAATCTTGAACATCAGAGCCAATGCGCCTTCGTTGATGTGCAAATTGGGAAGATGTGGTAAGAAATCATTCCCAACAAAAAACGCCATGAGTATAAAGTCGTCGATAACTCGTTCGAGATCGAATGGAAATCCAAGTACGCCGTCCTCCCGGAGCTCCTGGAACTCCAACGCTAGATATTCTCGTACAATGCATAGCTGCATAAGATAGAAATTTTGATGCTCCAACTCCTTCGATTTTGTCTTGCTTTGCCTGCCGAAAGTAACCTCTTCTCTTAGCAGACAGAAATGTGGGTCGTGGCTCAAAAGCCCCAACATGATCAGATCGGCGTCAAGACCGTAAAGACAATGTCGAACGTTCGGGTCGTAATCCGGTTGCGCCTTCGCTAAACGAATGTATTCCATGATCTTATGCTCTCCCTCTCCTGGGACTTCATGGCCAGACAAGACAATTTCGACACCTTGCCATTCGACATCTTCTGATATCTTCTTGTTGACGAAATATTTCAATTGCTGGGTCAATTTATGCATGAATTCGGTGCCTATAATGATTAGCTTCGCCCGCCCGATTTGGATTGTCAGCTAACCTGGCGTAATGGCATTGCTATCGAATGCTTCCTCCTTTGGCATTTCCTTCCCCTCCTTAATCGCCTTTTCCCTAGCGACCTCAACATCTAGCGCAGTCCGGAATCTCCGAGCTCGCTGTTGATTCATCTTTGCTCTCGGCGCCACTCCGTCGATGGCCATGAAGAAAAGCTGCTTCGGCTTGATCTTCCCGAACAAGTGCTCGATATAGTTGAATATGGCGATGAACATTTGCTCCTCCGACATTCGGAACGTCGCATCGTCCGAGTCCTTGTGCGTACAGTTGTGGATGATGCCATTCATATCTAGGTACAGGCAGTCAAACTCTGGTATCCGGTTCTCTGCGATGAGTTGTGAGATGGCCGGATATCTCTCGCTCATCCACCTGAAGAATTTGGGAACACCCATGGTGAAATATGGGGCAGTGGGCGCGGAGAATGTCTATGTGTTGTGGTGTGTTTGTTAAGCTCGAGTTCGAGTCTTGGTGGGATTGTAGTCTCGGAGACCCAAGGCTTGCTATTACCGCAAAGGCTGTTGGGGTGGATGTGGGTGTGGATGTGGATGTGAACGTGAATAAGAAATTGCGTGAATGCTGTTAAACCGCGTCGTGAATAGCGTGGTACTGCAGCTCTCCGATCCTCTCTCTCTCTGAGCGTATGCTCCTTTGTGTATCTGTAACTGTTGACAGGCTCACAAATGTTTGTATCTCAGCCTTCTTCGATCGTTGACACAGAAAGCATCTGGAGGCGAAACGACCCCTGCTAGCGGGGCATGAGAAGGCGGCGGCTGACGTAAGCAGGCACGCAAGCGATTTTGCACGATCCACCACTTAAACTTAACGCGATTTGAGCGCGTCCCTCCGACTCCAGCTCCAGCTTCAGCTTCAACTTCAGCACGCTGTTTCTGAAGCGCAGGCTTAAGCTTGAACCTCGTTTCCTCCTCACAACCGTCCCTCTCTCCACCTAAACTACGCCAGTTTTTGAGCTAGACATAATCTCAATCTACATTTCGTCCGAGATGGCGCCCGAAGCTACGGACCAGGCAATGGATGATGGTAGGCTCTGCATTCGTGCGCCGGTTGCGATACCTAGGAACTGACGCTCTCTAGTCGATCGCCCGGATCTTGACGATGCCGATGCCGAAGAAAAGATCGTTAACGAGGGTACTATAGCTACAAATCGCCCAATTGGCTTGTCCCTCGCGCTGATAGATTTGGATTATAGAGTACAAGACATGGAAAAAGAACAGCCCTTTCCTCTATGATATGATTCTAAGGTTCGCATGGCATTTGCACGAGATGTATTAAAATTACTGACCATGTAAAGCACCGCGCTGGAATGGCCTACGTTGACCACCCAATGGTTCCCCGACGTGAAAGCGTAAGTTCAACCAGTATTCCATGTCGTAGCAGCAACACTGAACTGTCTCGCAGGCCTGCCGGAAAGAACCATACTACTCATCGTCTCCTCATTGGCACCCACACCTCCAATGGCGCACAAAACTACCTCCAGATCGCCAACGTTGAATTGCCAACGAACATTACGCCCAATCCTCACGACTACGATGAGGAGCGGGGGGAAATTGGTGGCTATGGAAACTCTTCGACCGGAGAACAAGCAGCAATTAAGATGAATATAGAGCAGAAGATAGACCACCCGGGCGAGGTTAACAAAGCTAGGTATCAGCCACAAAACCCCAACATCATCGCGACGATGTGTGTCGATGGTCGGGTCCTTGTGTTTGATCGCACCAAGCATAGCAGCATTCCAAAGGGAATCGTCTCTCCTCAGGCGGAGCTACTGGGACATAAAAAAGAAGGCTTTGGGCTGAGTTGGAATCCACATACTGATGAGGCTGGGAAACTTGCGACTGGCAGTGAAGATACTACTGTTCGCCTGTGGTAAGGAGGAATACAAACGCAGATCTTGGTTGGCGGAGCTAACGACACATTCAGGGATCTGAAAACCATACAATCTAGCAATAACCACATCAAAGCCACACGAACGTATACACATCATAGTTCGATAGTCAACGATGTTCAACATCATCCTCTGCACAAATCCCTGATCGGAACGGTATCGGATGATCTTACTCTACAGATTCTAGATGTTCGGCAAGCCGAAACTGACCGATCGGTCTCTCAAGGTGTAGGGGGTCACACAGATGTTATTAATGCACTAGCATTTAATCCAGCTTCAGAATTCGTTTTGGCCACGGCATCCGGCGACAAGACTATTGGTCTTTGGGATTTGAGAAATCTCAAGGACAAGCTTCATTCACTAGAAGGCCACAATGACTCTGTCACATCGCTCGCTTGGCACCCATTTGAAGAAGCCATACTGGGCAGTGCAAGCTATGATCGCCGGGTGATCTTCTGGGATCTCAGCAGAGTCGGGGAGGAGCAGCTACCAGATGACCAGGAAGATGGGCCTCCTGAATTGTGAGTTTCTGTCTCCAGCCCTTGGAAAGGTAATTCTAACATCAATAGACTGTTCATGCATGGTGGCCACACGAACCATATGTCCGACTTCAGCTGGAATCTGAATGAGCCTTGGGTTGTCTGCAGTGCTGCAGAAGATAACCTTATTCAGATCTGGAAGGTGGCGGAGGCGATCGTTGGCAAGGACCTGGATGACATTCCGATGGATGAGCTTGAACGATGAGCATGTTCGTATTGCATAGGCTTGCAGATACCCAGGAATTATACGCCCCGGATATGCCATGGTAAATGGAGTTAAATTTCATGTGTTAGGAAGCTGGCGTTCATTGGTAACGTAGTAACTCTCAATAAGCAATTAGTTATTGTATAAAACCCAAATCCATCATTATATCACTTAGGACGAGAAGCTTCTATCTTTAACCTTATTACCAAATTGCGCTAGCATTCCGAGGAGCTAATCCGTCGACTACGGGGGAAATCATGAGAGCAATTCAAGTGTCGCTTGGTATCTATAGTATATGTTAAATCCATGGATGTCAAGACTTAGCCCTAGTACATCCCAACCTTGTCGGAAATTCTGTTCAAGTCCTTTTATCACCCCGCGAATATTGACTTCTTGTTTCTGCCAGCCTTATGGCGAGGCGGTCATGTTTACATTCAAAGGGACGAGCTCACACCATCACCTTTCCAACTCAGAACAACAACATTGCCAAAGATAACTCACCTGGAAGGTATTATATGCAACCACTTTTCTACCACAAAGACTAACCATACAAGCAGAGCAGTATCCAAAATGTATACACCTCAAAACGACAACCTGCTCTGGAAGCACTCTCCAGAGATCGACATGCTGTCGCAAGACAACGCAGCATCTCAGGCCGCCGCGCCAACCTCGAAATTTAACCCTACTACTCTTCACGAAGCTATGGATGGTCTTGAAGGCCCATCCATTGGCCTTGACGTTTCATCAAACTTCGAGGATGAAGAGATTATCAGACAGAATGAAGAGGCTAGAGCCAGACAAGAGAAGGCGCGACAAGAGATCACCATTGAAGCACTGGAGGCATTTGGCATCCACATCAATGCATTCATGGGTCCATCGCTTGACCATGAGATGCAAGGAGACATCTCGAACCAGTCAAGCCAGAAAAGTTCAAGAACCATTATCAACGTCCGCAAAGACTTCTTCCTCGACCTGGGCAACTTTCCCGAGCTCAACGTCGAACTTGCAAAGCATCTCCAGCTTAACGACTTTGTGTCTCTATACGCCATCTCCAATGACTTCCACTGCGCAGTCAACAGCCAACTCACCTCTGTTATGGTTAATCTTTCGCATCGCTTAGCCCCTGAGTCTGCCGAAATATTCCGCTTCACTTTTTACGACGACCTCTGCACTACGGACCCGATGAAGCACCCTCATCCAGTTATCCCATCCGCAATTCGTAGGGTCCCGAGTATCCGCTGGCTCCGGATGGTCATCCATCGAGACAAGGCAGTCCGCGATATCCTAGCCTGCATGGCGCGCCAAGGTCACCGAATGCCCCAAGGCATGAGCATGACTCTGAAGAAGATGTGGCTGCTCATGGACATCTCCACCAACCGCCACCGAGTCCAGTTTATGCACGGCAAATCCTGGACTGATTCGGATTTGTATAATGTTCAGATGTTTGTCGTCAAGTTGGATATGCGGTTCAACGACCCCATCGATGGACCGGGAACTGACCATATGAGGAAGCTGTTCTTGGGACAGAGGGGTTTGAGCCCGTTGTGTAAGTTGCTCAAACGCACGGGGTTTACTACTACTGAGGACATCCTCAAGCTGGCTGTCAAATACTCGCACCAGGTCCGACCAGAGCATAAAGGTTACTCGATCTGGGGGGTTCCTCCTCAGGATATCGGGACGGGCCATCTGGAGGGATGGGGAAAGGGCAACACTCACTTGATGCGACCGGATGAGTTGGTTATGCGAGAGTCTGTGAGGCGAGGATTAGGGTTGAAGCAGCACATTATGAATATGATGCTTTGGGGGTACATTGATCCGGTCACTACGCAGAATACACCAGCTACGGCGGAGGAGAAATATATGTCCGATGATGAGGAAGTCCCTATCGATCCGGACTGGAACGATTATGAAGATCCTAACACCGATCAGGACATGGCTGATGCTGCTGGATGAGGGAACGTGGTCTAAGATTTTCATTCATTCTGCTCGACAAGTTGGAGGTTATTCTGAAGATATTACTTGTGCGTTGCGCAGGGGGCCATTGAGGTAGGCATCCTCTAGATGCTGGTTGCTGTATCGGTTGGTTCTACTATGCTAGTCACAAATTGCAACATGGGGATACTACTTTGTGCGTACGTGCGATTAATTTAAAACGAATAGCAGTTGAGCATTAAGAAAATGCGTGTAAAGCCATTGTTCATCTCGATAAATGCAGCAGAGACTACCTCTACGTTCAAGTTCTTAAGAAATCCAGGAGCCAGTATAATGGAACTTGAGGCCATTCATAACTAAAAGATTTTTGATCACCTTAATAGTACTTACTAGGTGGCAGCGTCAGAATTTATCTGGATCTTAACAGCTCCTTATACTCCCCACATGAAAAGCTAAAAGATGTGGATTCTAGAGCACAGGATTTGCACAAATTATTATAGAGAAGCTCGCAATACGACATCATGCCTCATAGGACGGTCAAGAGTAAGTTAGCTCCTCTAATGATAGACGACGCTGCTTCCAGCCTCAAAAATAGTAGAACAGCTGGGCATCACGTGAGCCAAAACTATAAATAACACAGTTTGAGGTTCGGAGATATATATTTAGAGCTACAAAGCCCTTCCATCTATCTACTACAATTGCCTAGCAGGCTCATCTCTCCATCTTCCACTGATCCTCCTTGATCGTGAAGGATAAAAGCACACAAGCTTGCTGCGTCGAAAGGAAAAGAGGAAATTTTCAAACCACGCTCCATCCACCGCACTCCGCCTATTCGCTCACAAACCACCTAGCAACCATCACTCCATCTACCAACACCGAGCCAACCATCCGCCCATGCCCAAGCATCCAATTTTTCCGATCCTAAACTGTGACCGATAGACAACATCCCCGTGCTTGTTAGGAAAGGAAGAAACGCGTATGAGACAAGGAAAGAATCGAAAAGGAATCAGACAACAATAAATGACAAAATACAGAATAAGAAGCAGAACCAGCCCTCTTTTCATATCCACCAGCAACCCCAGTACCGTCGGCGCATGTAGGCTTCGAGTCGTCTCGGGGAGTTATCGTCGAAAAGGATATCAGTATAGAGATAGTTGTCTAGCATAGTCCTTCCGAGAGTCGAGAGTCGAGCAGCGAGCCACCGAGCGTCGAGTGATAGTAGAGTTGAGTAGATAGAGATCGAGTGAACCTAGACCCCGTACAAGAGACCCCAGACCCCTTCGCTATGCACCAAGAACAAATCGATTTTGTTTTGCCAGTTAATTCAGCGCACGTAACGTTCAGAATCAAATATTGCTTGCTGCCCGCCGTTGCCCGTCCCGTTGTAAATGTTCCCACCAGTATAGCCTATCCATCCCATCCGCATTAAATAACTCCTCAAGCATAACTACCTTTGTGCCAAATTTTCTCTCCACGATTGTTGAGACATGTCCATGTTGTGCGCTGTAACTTTTCCATCCCGATTTTCTTTATGCCTTCCGCCGACCCGCCGAAGCCTGCATGCTAACCAGATGCCCTTATAAAACGCTGTGCAAAAGTCTAGAAATCTCCGAACAAATAATGTCTATGTTTCATTTCAACCCCTAAGCCGTCCTGAAATATAGTCACACGTGTAGAAGAGAATCGAGACCTGTGTATAGACCATGGTCAAAGGGCGTAAAAAACAGATGATGCTTAGGCAGGCGATTTGCTCGGAGCGCTAAGCTGTGCGGAGCCGCCGTTCTGTCGCGCATCACCACTGCCCATGGACAAGTTACCGATACCAGTGGAGAGGAATGCAAACGGGTCGGTTTCACCTTGGTTGGAATAAAATTGGTTCGACGCTCCGGCACCTGCAGATGCAGGTCCATTGCTTGCTGACTGGAATGCAGCTTCAGCAGCACGGCTATCGAATGGACCGGCCGAATGAGCACCTCCAGAAGGGCCAAAGTGAGTGTTCAGAGAAGGGTACGGGCCTGTGGAAGCACCGAGACCAGATGGGAGCGCATAGGTGCTGGGAGGGCCACCGAAGTGTTGTCCACCATAACCACCGCCAGATCCAAATCCACCCGCTGCTGAGGCAAATGGACCCGGGCCAGGAGTACCGGCCATAGATCCAGGGCCCATACTATAGTTGGATGGGGGATCCATTGGAGAAGGGTAGCCGGAATCAGCGACAACGGCGGCACCTGCACGGCTAGCACCACAACGCAAGCAACTCACATTTTTGGCAAAATTGTGATAACCACACCCTTCTGACCCGCACTTCCAGTCGCCAGCACGGAAAGGTACAACACCACCGCTGCCGCCCATTCGTCCTCCACCATGACCACCCATTCCACCATGGTGGCCCATGTGCTGTGGAGGAGGCATCATGGCAGGTGGGCCGTAGCCATACTGTCCGCCATAACCTCCCATGGCATCTCCACTAGGTCCAGCACTCATGGCAGGGAAGGAGCAGCGGAAACAAGCTGTTCGGCGCTGGAAGTTAGAGAAGCCGCACGACGGGCAGGTCCAATCTCCTGGTCGAGGCCGGTTCTTGCTGGGTGGGAATGGCGTAAGGATCTCTGCAGCCCGGTCCAGAACGCGACTAGATGAAGGAGACACCTCGATAGCTTTTTCGTTCAAAGCACGTCCGTTCATGCACAAACTCTCCGCAGCCTGAAAAGGTGTTAGACAATGGCCCCTACTCGAAAAGAATTTTATATGTGCGTTAAGGGGCAACTTTAGGAGTTGTTCATATAGGAGAAGAACGTATTCATAAGTCTCCGTCACAACCAACTGATATGAGTTGCAGCTTCGACAATATAGGAAAAGATGGATGAAAGTAGATGGGCTAACCTCTTCATGGGATGAGAAAACTGCGAAACCTGAGCCTGTAGGCTTGTGCTGATCAGGTGTACGAAGAGTCCAGAACGCAATCGGGCGGCCGCCAAATTGGGTGAACCAACTCTCCAGCTCAGACTGGGTGGTATCATGCGGAAGACCGGCCATGTGAAGTACCTTGCTACGCTCCGACAGAAATGCTCGAACGTCAGCACGGGCATCCATTGGTCTGGTGAGAACATCTGGGTGCTCATGGGGTGGCTGAGACTTTCGGATTAGCCCGCGAAGAACTCTTGCCAGTGTCACTGCTTCCTCCATGGCTCGGCGAGGAGAAGCCGGGGCCAGAGCCTGCAAATGGAACGGAAGGTTGTGCTTAATTGGCGCACTGGCCTGAACCGGCTCTACTTCAAGGGCAGCACAGATATTTGATAGCATTGAAGGCCCAAAGGGTAGCGATTCCGGGTGGTGTTGTTGCCAGCGCTGGTATTCGGTTCTGAGGTCGAAGGTACGAGAGTGCTGGAGGTATGGCGGCAGCACTACAGCTTTATCGCGAGCTTCGCGGGGGAGCTGGACTCGGAGGTCCCAAGAATCGAGAGTCACGAAAGAGAAATCAAGATTCTGCGACGTGAGGTGTTCGGAGGCAAAGGCGTCGAAGCGGTTGATTGCATCGCGGAACGTACCGGCATTACGGACATGCTCCCAGGTAAGCGTTGTCAGGCTGGCTAGAGGAGGATTAACGTCAGCATATAGTTTACAAGTGCTCGCAAGCTCAACGCAAAGAGCGGGATCCGCAGATGCTATGGGGAAAGCCTGGTCGAGGCATGCTCGCACTTACTGCAAAGAGGCGTAATCGGGGTGTTGATGGGCTTGACGAGAGCACTTTCGCGGTGGAGCTGACACGGCGCAATTAGCAGACGCCTCCAAGGGGCAATGTCAATTGCAGAGCACGGAGGAGGGAACATACCTCCTCGCAACTCTTCGCGTCCAGGAGAATCCATCCGAGCTCTATGACCTCGGCGGAATCCTTCGTCACGTAGACGCCATGCTCATCACAGGTTGTAGCGACGTGGATAACAACGTATCTGTCTAGATTGCCTTGCTGGCCTTGTGCACTGGACGACATCTTGAAAGGTGCTGGGCGTTATCTGCGCGAGAGTGCACCGGAGGGTAGAGTGAGGTTGATCGGAGGGGGGGCTACAAGGTGAGGTTGCTGTCAACTTGAGGAGCTCCAAATTGGCAGAGGAAGGTCAGCGGTGAGAATAGCAACGCGACAAGAGAAAGGCTTGAAGGAGTCGGCGAGAGCAAAACACCAGGAGCCGTGGATTGAGGATTATTAACCCCGTTATGGCAGACGTGGTGAAGAGAAGAGAAAATGGAAAGGAGGTGGAGAACGACGATTGAGAAAGTTCGCAAATTGCTGTACCGGGGGGGGTCCAACTAGCGCTTCTGGAATCGGAGGCTTAACGAGCAGCGAATAAATAAATACAAGACTTCGTATAAGTTATAAAGCGACAACGGCCGCCGCTATTTATTGATATTCTTATACTTTTATTCGTATTCTTATGCTTATTCTTGTTCTTGTTCCTGTCTATCCTTATTCCTATTCTTATCCTTCTGCTTAGGCTTACTCCTGTCTATCTACGTAGTACTTCACATTCTTATTCTCAATCTTATTTGTACTATTCACCTCCCCCCCTACGCAGCACTTCTACTCGTATCCAACTGACTTATTGCAACCTCCCTGCAGCCTGCAACGCAATCTCTACTTGCGAAAAATAATGCAGCTGCAAATATCGGTGCTCTAGGCTGGTGCCACCTAGAGGCCCGTCTGAGCCTTGTGAATTAATATCGATGCGGCCCCAACTTTATATCTTCAGGGCGTGGTGCTCTCCCCTCCAGCCCATCCTCATATTACCCTTAACCTGCATTACTCCTGCAGCCTCTCCAGTTTATCCGTTTCTCCAACCACGTTTTCCTTGGGGCCGTTGAACGCGGACGCCCGGCCGCAGACGACATCTGCTTTGGCTATCTGGCTAACTGGCTAACGCCCCGACTCTGGCTTCTCGAGTCAGGTCAAGTCAGGTCATGGCAATCCTGCTACCAGTGGACAAGTCTGAACCGTCACATTTACCCCCCTTCCCGGCTTTCAAGGACTGATTACCGGTAGAGTGTGAACTTGCAAATAGAGTGCGAGTACGTAGCACTACGTACAAGCTACAAGTTACAAGATACAACTCTGTCAACTTGTCACCAGGCGGCCAATGCAATGCCAAAGCCTGGACTCAAACGATGGAGCCATGGCTCTTGAAGCCTGCAAATGCAAACTTGACTTCAGACGATGAGCCTCACCCGCCAGCCATACAGCAGCATGTCTAATCCTTACCTCCCGTTTGTGCTGGCTTGGTGTTTCCTGCCGGCAGGTGTTGGGGGCTCTCCTGTTACCAGGTTTGCGTTCTGCGGGTTTTGCGCGTCAGTCAAAGGCTCAGCGTCCAGATATATTACCAGACCCCAGACGCCCAGCGAGAAATACGCACAACCCCTTGGTGGAACTGCAACTCCTGCAACTGCAACTGCAACGCTACAGCGATGCAACCAGAGCTTCCGACGCCTCGAGGACCGGAGCTAACGGCCGTGCAAGCCACGAGTCCTGACTCCTATCAGGTCCTCAAGGCTCCTCAGGGCTCCTCAGGGCTCAATGCTCAAGGCTCACGGAGTCTCGCCCCTTTTACAGGAGCTCTCGGGCCCTGCGCTTCGGCTTGGGTAGTAATCAATTGTCAATGTTCCCTCTGCTCTGCTCCGCTCCCGACCTCCCGCCGACATGGGCTCTTGATGATCAGGGCCTTTGCGGCCAATCGGCCTCCTACCACCGCCTATCACCACGAGCTTGGAGCCTTGGAGGCGACTTTGCGCGGCTTTGGCGGCTTGACGGGCGAGATGGGCGAGACAGGTTAGCGATGCAACGGCGGCAGCAAGGACGTTGAAAGCGAGAAAAGGGTCTCTCCCGCCAAGATCTGTGGTCGCTGTACTCCGTACTACTGAGGGATACGAAATTCCCCGAGCTATGTATCTGATGCCGCACAGCTGGTGGTTGTGTTCAACCTGTGGAATCACGGAGTGTAGTCCTTCGTACCGATCAGTACTTCGTAGTGAGAGCGAGCTTTCTCTCCGACTCTATCTATCACTTCGCATGCGCTCCAATCACCCTCGGCCATCGAGTAGCAGGTGCATACATACAGTACATACGAAGTACAAATTACTCCCTTCAGTCCTGGCCTATCCCACAATTTCCAGCCATGGATCACGAATCCCCTTCTCCGAAGTCCCCTGCACCGTTTCCAAGGCGGCCAAACAGCCAATCGATCTTTCGAGACAAGGACGAAATGCAACCGTCATGCAACCATAAACATAGACACATTTACGAGTACAAAACCACTTCTCACCTCACCAAGTCTTCTCTGTCTACCTTGAACACCCGGCGCGAATCGACCTTTACTCTCCTCCCCTGATGCTTCGTATCTCATCCGATAAGTAGCTTGTTTCAAGAGCTGCACCAAAGCGATGATCATCCTCGCTTCCGGGTGCGCACGAAGGGCACAGGCACAATTCGCTCCTCCGATATAATTCTTCCGAACTCCTGAAGTTCAATTTACCTTGATGTTCAACAAATTGCCCTATTAGCGGCAGCCGGCATATATAGATGACGGAAGATATCCGAACTCCGCCACACTCTACCATGATAGAGACTTCGAGGTTGCTGAAGAAGAAAATTAAGATGGCATCTGGGAGAAGTATTACCCTCATGATACGGGTGAACCCTCTTGGTAGGAGAAGCAAAGGCGAACACCAGCTTCAACTGCGTTGATTCTTTCTTTCTCTCTACTACGTCCTAAGATCGATCCAAGCCAAGAAACGCGTAGGGGCTAGGAGCATCGTCCTGAATATCATCTAAATTTATGAAACTGACATCACACTGCGAGGTCCAGAGTATGGATGAAGTCTATTTTCTTTCCGTACTTTGCTTTCGGATAAAGTAGCTGCCCAGGCTTTTGGCAATATTCAGCGAACCCTGAACCCTATATCACTTGTCGCGCCCCTTTTCCTATTCGGGTCCATAACGACGTTCAAGGCGATCGCTGATCTCAGCAGATCCGTCAGGGGTCATCGGCCCAGCTTTGCTTCAATCTATAAGAATAACTCGTGCATCCCCTTCAAGCATGAAACCGTTCAGCCATCTCGGGTTATGGTCTATTAGGCCTTGCGCTTTCTGTTCAATAAAATATCACGGCCTCCTTTTATTACCCGATGCCATAAATATAACTCTACCTGTCGATGTTCTGACGTAGATAAGCCGAGAATCACTACGTAGCTACTACTCGATACGGGTGTCATGCTGCAAGCAATTTCTACAATCTATTGGACATGGCTCAAAGTCAGACACGTCTTTCCTTTTCATGTTGGTGTATGATAGCAATGTTACGGTTGCCAGTGCCAATAGGCTCAGTCGTGTTTTAGGGTCACACAAAGTGCCGTGCTCGTACAACAAAGCTATATGTATCATCCATATTTATCTATTAAAAAATGGTACCCACCAGAGTGTGTCGGAATTTGTGGAGAATTCAAAATTTTAATACCCTTTGTTACACTACAAGTTGATACGAGCATAAGGTCGATTATAAATAAAAGCTCTATCACGTTATACTTTTTATTTTGCGTTGTATTATAAACTTACTAGTAGGTTGCTATTCTACTATTTCTGACCACCCCCTGGACATGCCTGATGATCAAAACCATCCGTACCTAGTGCGATTGTCTCCCATTTGGCCGGTGATTTCCTTGTCCACTGCTGCAGTAGTTTGAATATATTTAATCATATCTCGTTTTATTAGGACCATAACCTACGATGGGCAATTCCGGGGTCTAGGGTTGTGCTTCTTCTAAGTCCATTGAGCTTGGGAGATTTTTATTTTATTTCGTCTCCCGACGTCTATATCTGCCTCTACTACTCTCAAATTCTTTCAAAGCTCCAAAACTCCGGCGCGTCTAGCCAAACCCGGTATGTTGTCATATGACATTAACCCCCCCGACTTGAACTACACCAAGAGTCCGTTTGGCCTGAGGTAGCACCAACCCTTTGAACCACACAGGGAAAAATTTCACATCCAACTTAAAACTATCTGTGCCTCTTCTCCTTCAGCGTCACTTTTTCTCTAGCGCCCCGATTCAAATATTATTTTCCTTCGTTGCTTGAAAACCGGACTATATAAAATACCCATTCTCTGGAGCTGCCAAACAGGCGCCGGTCTGGTTATCTTCTATGTTATACTATCACTAAAAACGAGAAACGTGCCGGAGCGGCAGAGGCGAGGTGGCCAAGTGCAAAGGCCGTAAAAGAAGTAAAAATACAACATTTCTGCACACTCTAGAAGCAAGGGTCTAAGCTGGTATCGAATGCTAATATTTATTGCTTAATTTTGTTTTCGTCCTTATTGATCCTCCCAGACCAGAGAGCCTTATTTCAGGCGGAAACCTACCTACGACCTAGGCAATTGTAGTTATTTTATCCCGGAAACTAAACTCGACTTCCTTGTCGATTTCTGTCCTAAGTATTTCCTAAATATATTAGAGATTGCGGACCTTGCATACAGAATCCATAGGTTTCTAGCCTTAAAAGCTCCAGTCCATGGACTTTTGGAAAATACCCCTTTTTGTTCACTTTGCAATCGGACATAGGTATCACTGTATCAGCCACTTAGGAATTGTTCCTGTAACTGGCAGTCCGCTTCACCCGTAATTTGGATCGGGTCGCCACATAGGTTGACCACGCTCTTGTGGTGTACTATAAGGTGTGTACTATAAGGAGCAAGTCACTCGACAACCATCATACAGATAGCCATCTAATAAATTCTAGGCTCTCTTGGTTCTATTAAGCGTACTTTCCCCTAGGAGCTTTATCAATTTACCACCCTAGTAGCATCCAATCCAATCGTTAAAATTACATTTAATCAGAAATCTAATAGGGTGGCAAGACCCTTATAGAGGGGGTTGTGGGAGAATAGACCTCAAACATTCTCACGAGCATCCCTTGAAGTGGCTCGAACACTGTCGTCTCGTCTCGACTACAATCTCTAAAACGAGACCATTTGCAGCACCCACGGGGTAGCACTTTGCGGCCGTACCATACAATGGATATATAAAGTAAACGACTACGCCCCGCAGGCTACAAATAGCGGTGGCCATTCTTAACTAAATTGCTTCTGGATACTAAGGCATTCAAACTGACTCTCTTAGCTACCACTGCCTATGGTATATATCTCTTGTCAAACCTCCGAATTTATGGACCACTGAGGGGTAACAAAATTACCGGGGAGCTCTTACGAGGGAGTACGTACCCTGTGTGACTTCCACCCCAACTTTCCAATAAGCTATTGGTTCAGGACAACTGAAGCTTTGAAATACTTCTGGTATCGGAGCAAATCAAACGACCCCTCTTCGAGGTCTTTGCTATTGGCTTCTCCAGCCCAGCAGAACGTTCGGCATCCACGCAACAGTTCTCCATCCTCTAGTTCAATATCACAGAAGCACCAAGTATATGCTCCAGTCTCGTACTCCTGCAAACGCAAGAAATGAGATTCTAAATCGACTTTCCATACTGTGCCGGATATATCTCCTTCGTTATTGGGTATAATTGTAGGATAAATGCCCCACATCTTCATTGAAAATCCCTTTATTACTCCTTTCGCAACGGTAGGGGTATCCTGAAGACTAAGCACTGACTGGAGAACCTCAGAGTCCATGAGGGAACCGTAGAAGAACATGAAGCATGGCGTGAAGGGGTTGACTAGCTTTAGGAACTTCGTACCCATCGCGGCTACATAAATCTCCTTCGATATCATTGGCCTCGGATTGGGAAGAGGAAAACGGGCCGGAGGAAGAGGAGGAAGAAGGGGAGGAGGTAGAGGAGGAGGCGGTGGGACAGGAGTCGGCGATGAGATATCCATAGTCATGAAATATCGTGTCTGATAATATAGATGGGTTGGAGGTGAGTAATTCCACGGTGGCTGTGGTTACAAATCTTTGGTCGGGCCCCTTGCCTTGCAAGATAGAAGGAGCCAACGTCAAATGCGCCTAGCACGTCGTCCGTCTTTCTTAGTAGCCGGCGAGCATAGCCCAGCCTCTCGTCGACGGTATTTACACGGCACATTCGTCAATGATAGCCATTCCGACAGATATCGAGGGCGCTAGGAAGCTTCTAGGGATTGCTGTAAAGAACAAATATCATCTGATGCCAATGGAGAAGATTGCAGAGACCGAGGCGGCTTTGAAGAGAAATGCAGCCGTGGATGAGGTGTGAGGTATGAATGCAGGCCCATAGATTTGGTCTGGATTGGGATGACAAATTCCGAGACCAACAGAGCTCACGATTCACGATTCACGAAGCGCGTCCAAACCAGGTATGTAAAGGTATGTAGTCGACGTGTTAAACGTGAATATTACAAGTTAGAGAAACCGGGTACAATAGCGCTGCGGGAGCTTTCCGGTGCATGTATCGGGCGTGGGTCCAGCCACACTCCTACTGTAGGTGCTATATTTAGGTCTGCCCTACAGAGGATCCAGACTCCAGACTCCAGACTCCAGACTACATCGGATTTTCGAAATCGACTTTGTTGTCAGCTGTCTATTGCTATTGAGGGCGTGCAGAAGAGTGCACCCCACTCGCGGGCTCGGGATAATGTGTGGACACCAACCACATTTACCCAGCATTAGACGGCTTAGGAAATTCCGGTTGGGCAAAGCATATGAACCTTTCATTGCTAAGACAACGTACCTTCTGAGGGCTAGACACTTGTTACAAACGGCGAAGCACCAACTTCCAAACACAGCCCTGGAAGCTTCTGAAAGTTTTCTGTCCCTCATCCGATCTGTGATCAAACTCACCTTCACAAAGTAACTCAGATCTTCGCAGAGAATAATTCACATCAAGGAGCCAGAGTTCGCGAACATGAACTCGATCACGAAGTTCACCGCGATCAACAACCCTAGGCCGCAAAACAGGTTGACTTGGAAAGTCCAGAACTCTAGTAACTTTTCCCCGCCGAGGGTGGCATTCGACCCTACGACGAGCGAGAGAGGCCAGCGTGCCCCTGTGCCTTGCCATTTGGTGGGTTCACAGAGATGGGCATATAACGGCGAATCACAAATTTGGTATTGGCCGGATTCATGATCCACCTTTGTCACCCCGTCTGAGAATTTGGCATACTGAGCAAACCTCTCGAACATTCCCAGTGCTGGCTAGTAGGTCCAAGTTTGGCGGGAAAGAGCCTTCATAATATACTGGTATGTAAAATTAGACTAGGATTCCTAGAAATTGAAACAAAGCGCTAACAAATATACTTCAACGTGTTTACCAACACCGAATCAAAGACCTTCTCTTAAGCATTGAATTTTCTTCGGCGTCGCATCTTCACTGGCCAATTATATGGTATTGACGTGAAATACGTCTCAAAAGTCCAAACCTGACCCTTTGTCACTTGTTCCCACTCATAATCCCTTATCAACAGTGCCGTGGTCTTGAGTATCTCCATGTGGGCAAGGCTTCTCCCCGGGCAGCTGCCGTACCCAGTACCAAATGCAATCATGTATTTCTCCATCTGAATCGCACGATCTTTGTCACCGAGCCACCTTTGAGCATTGTAACTTTCGGCGTCACTACCGAATACCGACTGTTGCCGATGAATTACCCATGGGCTGACGGAGAGGATCACACCAGGAGCGAAGTATCTCCCGCATACTGTCACGCCATCTGGAGACGGAGATACCCGAGGGAGGTTGAATCCGACAGGTGTATGGATGCGATAACTTTCCTTGATACAGGCCGAAAGAACGGGTAGTTCTCGTGTCTCCTCGTATGACGGTATGGGTGAGAGACTGGCATTGTCAATCTCCTCGCGTACGAGCTTCAAGCTTTCAGTATCCCGGAGAAGATAGTAGCAGAAAGCTTGGAGAATGCAGCTGACGGTATCGGCGCCCGCGCCCATCTTGAAAATATCTACGTCAGCGCTACCCTATTCGGAAAAGGAGTTGAACAATCTTTATGAACTGTCCGGTGACTGATTATCTGGGTGGCTTTGCACGTCTCACAGCTTGGGAACCTTGGCCGGCGAAAGGAAATCTGAACAGAATACGTACATTGGCCACAGCTGCCGCAAGAATTTCCTTCTCGTCCATTCGGTCAGGATGATTTCTATACTGCTGCTGCCACAACTCAATCATGTCATTTCTTGTTTCAACGCTCTCCGACCGTTTCTTGACAGCTGCCATGGAGGTGTCAAAGACATGCATTGAAGGCTGCAAGTTGAAATGCCCAATCAATGGATTCGCGAGGAGGTAGTCATGAGCCCAACTGAAATGGCCAATCAAAGCGATGTAAAGTCGCAATTTGTATTGGTTGGAGATGGAGTTGCCAATATCATGGCCAGCTTCGAGAAAACCGAAGGACTTTGAGAAGGTTGATTCTCCCACCACGTCGAAAGCGAGATAGTTGACCCATTTGTCTAGCTCAATACTGCTACCACTGGCCACTCTTCGGTCAAGCTGGGTTTGAAACAGCCCAAGTGCCTTGTCGATGTAGGGCTCTCCTTTGATCACGTTCGAAAGCGAGTATCCAGCAGCAACGTTCCTCGTCCTCCGGTTCATCTCTTTGTAGCTGGTCTCCGACATAGTGTTCTCATATCGGGAGTCAGGCATGCTGAACACTTTATACCAGTTGGCCTTTGGAACCCATTAGTTCGTGGTCCAACAAGAACTTATCAGGAGACAGACTTTGTCCATCTGGCTTTGCAAGACTTCCCGAACGGCCGCTGGGTCGCTAATGCTGACCTCCTTATGGGAAAGTCGTACGAATTTTCCTGCAAGTTGTCGGGTCAATCCCGTAGCCATCTCTCTCATCTAATGGAGTGTTAAGTACCATGTTTCTGGTGCTGGCTAATCACCGCTGCCTCGGTATGGCATTTTATGATGTGCCATAGTTGCCAGATGACCGAGAACGAGGCGAAGAATGGGCCGGGGATGTCGCTCAGGGGCGAATAGTACCGTCGACGGACGGCTGCCCCCAAGAAAACGATCAAGATGGTCGCTGCCGTGGCCTTGGGGATATCAATGCGCCCAAGCAGCTCTCCTCCCATGGAGAGAAGCGAGGAATAAGATATCATATTGCCAAGCCCTGTCCAGCCGAGGAAAAGCAAGCTGGAGACACGAGGAAAGTGATGAATGCACTTTCTGGAGTGAGTGGGGACAGGGCTTCTAAAATGCAGCTTCATCCCCCTTGTCGCTGCCCTTGGCCTTACTTCGTACAGCACAGTAGCATGGACGCTACTCTGTGCTTTCGCACTTGGCTCCCTACTAGCCACCGCCCTGCTACGACCCTACGAGTAAGAATAAACGTTTACCGCACTCTCGTCCGCCCATGCAGCGGTGGCTCGGCAATCGGGATGCTTCCGCTGCAGAAATCGCCCGGTGCGACCCAATGGCAGGCCAGCCTGGCTGGCAGAGCTGGTAGAGCTGGTACTTCGCAAGACTGGTGCTCTAGCCTATTGGCCCCAGAGCCTGTATTCCGTAGGAAAGCCATGCCACAACTTCGTGCTCTGTATGCTGACTGGTGCATATGGTAGTGAGTAGTGCTATAGCTGGATCGGCCTTGCTCCCTGCGCTGTATAGGTGGTCTGGCTGACTTGCTTGCCACCGTGCCACGCTGCCACCCCGCAATGCAATGCAATGCTGCCAATTTGCCAAAATATGGTGGTCTGCAAGCTTGCAAAGCAGAACGCGGTCCCTCAATCAATAGTCTTGTACTCGTATCAAGCCGCAAAGAAACAGCGCCCGCAAAGCACGGTCGCTAGCGGGGTCAAAGTAACGACGCCGGATGCGAGCCGCGGGCATGCGACATATCCAATAGCAACGGGCTGTGTGGCTTATATCCCGAAGTGTTCCAACTTTCAACACCAAGATATAGTAAAGCTGTGCACGAGCCATTATTGCAGGATCAAGAGGAATTCTCCGGCCAGCTAAGTATTCCGTCTGAACAACCCGATGTCATCGCCAACCGAGAATGCCATGAGTTCCCTGCGCGGAGCACCAGAGGGTGATGGGCCTGATGCCGTGGGAACAGCAACAGCAACAGCAACAACAACAACAACAGCAACAGCAACAACAACAGCAACAGCAACAACAACAGCAACAGTCGACAGCCCTCCCACGGAGGAAGCAACAGCACATCAAGGAAGCGGGGAGCAGGAGGCGACTCATGAGGACGAGGGAATAATCGAAGTAGAGGATGAGGTACACTTCATGGACTTCCACCCTTCATTATCTTGACGACTTATTGATGCGTGGTAGGGTAATGATAGTGGTTATGATACCGTAACTGGCCCAACCGCCTTCGCGCAAACATAGTATGAATGCTAAGATAGAAAAGACCGGTACGTCTTGTCAGACATCGTTGAACTCATCTGTGTTTTTGTTCAACCATGAACATGGCCACCGATATCATCGCAAAACGGACGCACTCCTACCGTAAGCACCCCCTATGGGACCCTTTACTTGCCCCGAATGCGCGGGCTATTGCCTCACGTTGACTAGGGAATTTTCAATGTTGACTTCTATCAAGAAATGATGAAAAGGAACAAGAGCGCCTCGATTTGCAACATGAAATCTTCCGGTTGTTGCTGGAGGGGGAGCTTTGCAGTACCCCAATCGAAGAAACTGGTTGGAAGATCCTAGATATTGGGACCGGGACTGGAATCTGGCCGATTGATGTTGGGGACGCGCATCCATCGGCGACTATCTTCGGGATTGACGAGTCTCCTATCCAACCGACTGTGAGCAAATCTAGCCAGTATTTCCTATCCAAACAAATTGCCTGCCACTTGAATAGACAAGACGTCATTCATGGCATAACAGAATATCTTGGAGCCCTTAGAAGAATGCCTTATTAACTTCACTCTGCTTTGAGCCGAGGAAAACTAACTTCCTACTCTCATAGTGGGTGCCCCCGAATGTTCAGTTCGAGATCGACGATGTTAACAAGCCATGGCTCCAAAAGCCCAACTCCATCGACTTTGTGCATGTCCGGACAATGGCTGGTTGTATCGCTGACTGGCCAACGATGCTGCGAGAAGCCTACAAAGTACTGAAGCCTGGCGGTCGCATCGAAGTCGCCGACATTGTGTGGAACTTCGACTGCCAAGATGGCTCTCTTCTCCCAGATTCCAAGGCAAAGTACTGGGCAGATACCTTCCATGTCCTAGCACAATCCCATTTCCACGTTGATTTTGCACCTTCCCCCAGTATGGCGGGTTGGCTAGCGGACGCCGGGTTTGAAGTCGAAGATCCTTTGATCAAGGTGGTACCAGTCGGTCCGTGGCCGAAGAACCGCAAGCTCAAGGAGATAGGTCACTATTTTTTGGCTCAGATGCTTGAGGGTGGCATGGAGAATTACTCGATGATGTTGTTTACAAAGGCTGGGTGGGACCCAATTGAGGTCCACGCCCTCCTTGGGCATGTTAGGAAAGAGATTACGAATCCTGCGATCCATGCTTTCACTAGAGCGTATGTCTAGCACCTCGCAATAACCCTCCCCTCCCCTCCCCAAGCTGCTATAGCAAAGAACTGACTCCTATGTTCTAGGTGGTTTCTTAGGGGAACCAAACCGATGCCAGGAGGCACATGAGGTAAAGTCAGTCAGGTAGAATACGAGGTGAACGAATATATGAACAACATTTTGTTATGTGATAAAATAATGGCAGTGGGTTGCTCTGCTTCTCCCATTTCAAACGCTAGCGAAAGCTGAAGACAGGAAATACTATAATATAAATTCATGTTTCTCGTCCGCTGAACTTTCAATTGAACCTCCTATTCGGGTAGACGAATGACGCGGAGTGTCAGGGGTTGAGCCTGTCTCAAGTTCTGCACCCCTCTGGTAGAAATGAAATATCACTTCCTCTATGAAGGCAAAGGCTTGATATAGGTGATGTTGGTAGTATGGTTTTGGCCGTAAATCTTGGTTTCTAAAGAGTGTTTCTCGATAGTAAGTCGAGAACTGCTTTCTGCTTCTGTCTTCTACCTATTTTGTACTTACAGAGGAGCTGCCGAAGAATTACCGAGATGCACGTGACATATCCGGATCTAGGTACCTAGCTGGTGCTGGGATGTTCGCCGTAGAATCTAGCACACCAAATACACGGAATACACAAACACCTTCAGCAACACCACGACCACGACCACGACCACCTTATTACATCACAACAGCATCAACGCTACAACACCAATGACTGACATGGCAATGGTTCTTGCGGGTACGCAGTGTCTCTTTATTGTTTTGCTATAGGTTTCATGGTGATCGATGGAATGGGACCGTAATCGCTGCCGCGGCCAGCACGACAACCTACGACGTCGCAGAAATTGCGACCATCATCTTACCAGCAATATCCCAGGCGGAAGAGTACCGTTCACCTTCACATGGCTCGCATAGCTCCCATCGCGCGGAAATGATTTGTTACAAGAGATGGAGTCCAAATAGCTGTGGGACGTTGTGGAGGATTGCCCATCTGCATCCCTCGCTCCTCTATCCATCCACCGGTGTGCTCGTATGATGCCTGCTTGTCACCACCGCCCTCATCAAACAGCGCTCCTCAGGTTCGGATTCATCGTCGAATAATATATATTGCGCTTGGGTGTTGGCAATTTCTGTTATTCCAGTCTTCAAAGACTGACTATCGCCGGTTTTCCTGGCTTCTTGGTTCTTGGTCATGGCAGGTTGTTGGGCTGTTTGCCTGTTGCCACTGATGTTTGGGGACGGAGACTTGCTGGGAGGGCGGCTTTCTCTCACCTTACCCAGAGTCCTGGATCGAGATGTATGAATGTGCCATACAAGTTGACCTGCTTGAATACTTAATTCGACGATGTATGGGCATGGGCTGCTGGGACCCCCTCCCCAACCAATACCAGCTCTGGTACAAACCCTCAGATCCAGTGGGATTTTAAGGGATCCCTTGCCTCTTGAGAACGAGAATAGGATTTGAAGATGCTCCCTCCTGGATGTACCGCGAATACAACCGAGACTCACTTTACCTTGGAGGCATGCGGCCGGTCCTGGGAATTTTTGCTGCCAACCAGTCTCTACTGTGTGATTTCTGATCAAATATTCAAACCCGTCAGGATCTCCCGATGGCAGAATATGAGGGCTACATCAACTCGATAAACTCTTTGAGCCACAAGTTTATTACCCGCTCGGCGTCACTTCAAAGGATATATGGTATCATGGAGGAGGACTACATGGACGTCAATACCAGCACATCAATTGCGAGGGCTTGAATGGAGCGTTGGCAGGCTTCCATTCCTAAGTATCGCCTACGATGTCATCTGGGAGCAGCTGGACCTCGTTAGCTTGGAACATTGCTGCCTGTATCCGTCGGCCACCGCCGCGTGGATGCCGCAGACGATACAGTTGAAGAGGGGGTTTGGTGTTGGACTGTTTTCTCGGTCTTGTCTTGAAATGCCCTGCGCTATTTGCGCGTCGTAGATAACCTGCGTACTTGTGTGACTTGAATGTGTAATAATACGCATCTCCAAGAGGCGTCGGAAGAAGGACAGCAACGCAAGAGGCTCGGCGCAGTCTCTGGACTCTGGAGCAGCGCAAAGATGCGACGGGGGTCCTTTTTCGCGCACCAAAAGGCTCCCTCCTCTACATGCGACTCGGATCTAACAGTAAGTTTTCACCTGCACGGGCAAAAGGCGAGCACATACGACTCTCTCAAGTCTCTTGTTATTTTACATCTGATATTTGATATCGTATATCGCGGTGGATGTCATCTTCTCACGCCAACCTGGCAGCCAGAGCGCGGAGCGCGGAGGACGAGAGCGAGGGTTTCGAGTCCAGATTTGCCGCTAGACCCAGAATGGGCGAACGACATTTTAGCTCTCCTCACTCTGCCAGAGAGGCCAAACCACGACCACCACGACTACGACCACTACCTCTACCACCACCTCCTCTTCCACAGTATTCTCCCGGACGAGCCCGGTATGTCGCAATGAAAGACAGCTGGAGCCACGGTGACGACCGCAGAGACCGAGGTAGAGTCGATCGAGGAGTCACACGGCCCAGGCGATCGCGATCACCTACATCGCGGCGCCACGAGAGCGAAAGGGAACCCAACGGGCGAGACCGCAGCCCGGTGAAGGCGAGAGCTATCTCGAACCATCACGGAAGACCGCACGAGCCTGAACGCAGACGGAGGACATCTCAATCACCAAGACGAGACTCGGGGGAAGCAGTACGTGAAAGGAACAGAGGCCGCGAGTTGCTGGACACGCAAGGCTCGGACAAACCAAAACGTAGTAGTACCCACCACTCGCCATCATCAAGCAAAAGGCGCAAATCTCGAACTCCTTCCCCATCTCGAAGCCACCACAAAAAGTCAAGAAGGGATATTTCTCGCAGTCCATCGCGTTCGGAGCGAGCGTTATTGCGGCCCGAGAAACGGAGACGAACACTCTCTCCTCTTCCCCCTCGCAAACGATCAACTGAACGCAAACCTTCAGATATTCGGTCGGAGGGGAGGTCTAAGCACCATCGGGATTCTACAGAATTTGACAGGCGCGGGCGGTCTCCAAGCCCAAAACTCGATAGACGCGAGAGGTACGATAGGCAAGAGAAGCACCGGGGCGACAGGCACGAGCGCCGCGATAGGCACGATAAACTCGAAAAGGAGGGATTTTCTCACCGTACCTCTGCACCACACCACGATAGTGGCTTGAGAGGTAACAAATCTCCTGTAGAACACTCCCAGAGAATCCGTGAGCGATCCCCGCTCGAGCGGCCAAAGGAGAAGGACCGCAAGAAAGACCAGTCCCCGCAAGCTGGCCGTCCATCTCTCGACGTTGATCGCTACGAACCACCAAAGCGCACCCGCCAGCAATCCCCACGAGCACCCAGAAGTCCCAAAGTCCCTCGAGGTCATTCCCCGAGTAGGGAAAGAAGAGATAAGCCACCCCGCGACGAGTATCGTCCGGCCAAGCCCCACCACAAAGGGGACAGGCCTTCGCCATCAGCTGCTTCGGGTGCAAATAATATTGAAATAACGGCGACAAGACGTTCATCAACTGCATCGGTGTCTAATAGTACCGAGGTAAAGCCTGAAAAGATGGCCGACAGAGGCTACTATGGCAGCCAGCACGGCTATAACCCACATCAACAGATGCAGGCTGCATTCCCATTGAAACCTCAATATAACCAAGGGCCTCCTATCGATCCGAGGCAGTATTCGCAGTCTCCACAGCACCATATGACGCCGAATTCATATCAGGGGTCGCCTCAAGCCCACTCCCCCTATTCCGCAGGAAGAGGCGGCTGGAATCAACAGTACTCTCCTCCACAGTAAGCTACCAACCCCTCAAAGACTTATGGAAGCTAACATATCTCAGCCAATATCCCCAGAACTATCAACAGCACCAGCAGCCCAACCTTCCTGCACACGGTGGCCCACAAAACCATTACTATAATAATCATTCTCATTCACCCCCTTACCAACCTGGGCCGCCTGCGCCACTTAACCACTCATACCAACAAAACTTCCGGGGTAACCAACGAGGTTTCCGAGGAGGTTACTATAATCACCGTGGTGGACGGGGTGATCGTGGTGGGCGTGGTGGCCACTTTCAAAATCTCCATTGGAATGCCAGTGGTGCAACTGGAGGAGCTGGTCGTGGGCAACATATCAATTCCGGCAATGCTACGCCCCAACGTACCTCTCCACAACAACAATATCCACCGCCTTCAGGATCTCGTGAAACTCCTTCCCAGAACAATCCCCCGCCGGAGGAAGAAGAGGACGCCGAGGACCTTTTCCGGCCATCCAAGGAATTGCAGGTTGAAGAGAAAGATACTGGAAAGAAGAACGATGACGAGCAGATGCCACCTCCTAGTAAACAAACTCCAACAGGACCACAGAGCCAGCAGTCGTCCTCGAAGTTTAGTTTTGCATTTAAAGCCTCATCCAAGGCCCCAACCACGCCAAAACCCGAGATATCACAAATCCTAAATGCAGCGCCAGTACGAAAACCAGTTCAGACCAGCCCTGTGCGTCCTCGGATACCGCCATCTCGGGTGTTAGCGAAAGAGCCGGTATCGAACAGGCGCGCCGATTTCCGTGAGCCCCCTGCACCGACAACGCGGAAGGTTAAGAAGATTATGAAGCGGCCAAAAGCAAGGCCGCAGCTTTCTGATGAATTCAAGAAATCCGACTCCGTGTATTACAGGAAACCGGGTAACGAGTCCGTGGTTGGTTCTGGGACGTACGGGAAGGTCTTCAAAGCTCTACATGTCTACACGAAAGATCTAGTGGCCTTGAAGAAGATACGCATGGAGGGCGAACGAGACGGATTTCCAGTAACTGCAGTACGAGAGATCAAATTGCTCCAGTCGTTGAAGCATGAGAACATCGTGAATCTGCATGAGGTCATGGTCGAAAAGAACGACTGCTTTATGGTCTTCGAATATCTCTCCCACGATCTTACTGGCCTTCTTAATCACCCAACGTTCAAGTTAGAGCCTGCTCACAAGAAGCATCTAGCAAAACAGCTTTTTGAAGGCCTTGATTATCTTCACCGACGTGGCGTTCTTCATCGAGATATTAAAGCTGCCAATATCCTCGTCAGCAACACCGGGCAGTTGAAGCTCGCAGACTTTGGCCTTGCGCGCTTTTATGCCAAACGACGACAGCTTGATTATACAAATCGAGTGATCACCATATGGTATCGATCCCCAGAACTCCTTCTCGGCGAGACACAATACGGCCCTGCGGTCGACATTTGGAGTGCCGCTTGCGTCCTGGTCGAGATCTTCACCCGACATGCCATCTTCCCTGGCGATGGAGGTGAAATCAGCCAACTGGAGAAAATATATGCTATCCTTGGAACTCCTAATAAAGTTGACTGGCCTGGTCTCGTGGACATGGCATGGTTTGAGCTGCTAAGGCCATCAGCAAGACGACCGAATATTTTTGCTGAGAAGTACAAAGAACGCGTCACACCTGCTGCATACGAACTCTTGGAAGCCATGTTCCTATACGACCCATCTAAACGGCCCTCTGCTGGTGATGTCCTTGAGCATCCATACTTCACTACGGAGGAACCGAAACCTCGACAAGTGACAGAGTAAGCTTTTCCACCACTCTTTCGCAATATGCAACAACTAACCACCTCGAACAGACTTGCGAAATTAGAAGGCGACTGGCACGAGTTCGAGTCCAAAGCGCTTCGGAAGGAGAACGAACGGAAAGATAAAGAAGCGCGCAGACAATCCCAGAAGGAATCATCCCTCAAAGCGGAGAAGGAGAAGAAGCGGGCCCCTGAAGGAGAGGCTGCTGATCGAGAAGCTAAGCGTGTGCAGATGGCACCACCTAGTCTACCTATCTCGAAGCAAGCCGAGGGATAGTCTGCTATGTGTATAACCATCTTTGAGTCTTAAGCCTGCTACGCTCATGGGGTTTCAAACGACGGGAGGCATGTGTGGAGTTTAGGAAACTCGAGCGAGCAAGCGTTCCGCCAGTCAGGTGCATACATATTGGGGAAATAATGTCCACGGAGTAATGGTCGTGTTATGGAACGATTTTGGGACCACGGGTAATCCGGGGAATGTAAAATATAGCAAAACAATCGCATTGTTGGTAGCATAGAAATCGCAAACGTTTTCAAAAAATGGCCAAATCATTTATGATCAGCGACATTCCCTGCATTATCGATATAAATCTTGGCTAGCATTTCTACATCATACTTCATGATTAACCACATACTGATATGGGTCCTTGTCCTGCCTCAAGGCTGCCTGCCTTCCTTTCCATGCAACAATCAACGCCGAAACACCGCTACCATTAACCAGTTCAAAAACAACACCACTCCATAAAATTTGGGTGGGAAAGAGAGCTCACGCCCCACTTCTATAAACCTGCGCCCCCTGGTTCCGAATAGTAATAGTGTCTCTCCTCTGGAGCACCGTAATAGCCCTAGCAAGAGCTTGCTCGCTATAGCCCTTTCCTTCACAAATTTCTCTCTTCAGCGTCGCAAGGCTCGTACTCCATCCAATGGGCAACCTCCTCTTTAGCTCATCCTCGAGCTTGTTAACCTCCTCGTTAAGCTCTTTACTGCCCTGGGTGCTCCCCATGGTCACTGCATCCATGGTCGAGGCGAGGAAGAGCCGGATCGCTTCGTCGACGTGGGATTCTGTTGCGATGGGGGAGAGGGAAAGCTTGGCGAGTGATTCCGTTATGCGGATTATGGCTTCGAGCTGGCGGACTGTGATGGGAATGGAGGAGCGGGCGTTGGCTTCTATTTCTGCCGCGTGGACTTGTTTCCGAATGGAGACGAAGTGGGAGGAGAGTTTTTCGGCGGCTTCCTGGGAGAGGCGAGGGGCACAGCGGCTGTTTGAATTGATTTAGTTTAGGGTGTAGGTGAGAGAAAAGGGGGGAAGGTCTTACGATTTGCAGTAACTTATATAGCGCTTCATCTTGTCCACAGAGATTTCGGCTTCGGCCAGTTCTTCCATGCCATGGCCCCCTTTATGGATTCCCAACACGTGTTTGGCGATAGTTTCATCCCTATTACGGTCATGATTGTCTTTGACAATGAAGATCATGTCGAAACGAGAGAGAATGGTGGTCTGGAAATCGATGTTCTCGCCTGGTGTTTTCAAATCATCGTAGCGTCCAAAAATTGGATTGGCTGCTGCAAGGACAGAAGTCCGGGCATTCAGAATTGTCGTAATACCTGCCTTGGCGATGGAAATGGTTTGTTGTTCCATGGCTTCGTGAATTGCTACCCGGTCTTCATCTCGCATCTTGTCAAATTCATCAATACACACTACTCCCCCGTCCGCTAAAACCATAGCTCCTCCTTCAAGATAGAATTCCCGGGTTGAGTGGTCGCGCTGGACGGAAGCTGTAAGACCAGCTGCTGATGATCCCTTTCCAGAGGTATAGATCGCAATAGGTGCAACTTTCTCTACGAATTTGAGTAATTGAGATTTTGCGGTACCTGGATCACCGAGGAGAAGGACGTTAATGTCTCCACGTAGTTTCATCCCATCTGGCAAGATTTTCTTCGAGCCCCCAAGAAGCAGACACGCAATAGCCTTCTTAATATCTCCGTTGCCGTAAATTGAGGGTGCGATGCACTCTGCAAATACGCTGTAGAGGTCAGGTCTCCGACTCATCTCCAAGAATTCCTGTTCCTCTTCTTCCGAGAAGACTGCGTTCCCCTTGGCAGTGTTGTCGAGATCGGTATGAATCCCAACCGCGCGTAAATATGGCGTTCTAATTGCTACTGCCGAAGTTGTAGAATTTCCCTTGGCCTGTTTATTCTGATAAATGGAAAATATGCCAGTAACTGTGCATCTTGATCCAGGAACCACTCGGTTGGTCAAGTAACGATCCGTCGAAATGAGCACATGTCTTGGGAGTTCCCCTACTGGGACTTGGTCCGGAGCCTCCTGGAGCTTAATAATTTGTTGATCGACAAACTGGCTACTCTCGTGGATCACAACATAGGGGTCCATGGGACACTGGGTATCTCCGGGCATCCTTGATCTATCGCACGTCCGCGGGAGAGACACACCAGTAAACCCGCCTGCTACGGGAAGAACCTTTGTTTGATGACAGTTGCGACATTGAATGTGGAGGGCGGTTGCTTTCGATGCTAGGACCGAGGCACCAATGACAATCCCCGGAACTCGAACAAGTCGGGAGATTGTAAGAGCGTCTAGGTTTCGGATCGGAGTATCTTCAGCTGAGGAGTGAAGAAGAAGTTGGTGTTCGGGAATGACGATGTCTTTCGTCGAAGGGTACACGATCCGGTGTGTACATTTCTTTAATGCAGCTTCGAACTGAGGTACGTTAATAACAGCGTTGCGGGTCTGTCCTGCACGCTGCCATGCTCACCAGCGGGATTATTTCTGCAGGCTCGGTCACAAGCCTATGGGCGAGCTCTTCGTTGAAGGAGATGAGATGGCCCACGTCCACGTCGCAGTAGTATTGCCTGAGGAGGACATTCTCGCGGATCTGATCTCTGCTACGGTGTCAGCGACTGCAGCGTATTTTATATCCAAAACCAACAAGGCGACAACGTGCTATACCTGTAAATGAAAGCATTTTCTAGGCGGAATTGGAGAATGAACTGTTCGAGTTGTGCTTGGACTTGGCCGCGCGTGTCCTCGTTGAGGTTGTCGTAGTCTGGTTGCAGCACACTCAAAGAGTACACGGACTGGCGATCCATACTGCCGTGTATTGATTTCAGGAGGGATATGGCGCCGCTGAGAGGTACAGGCGTAGGTGGAGGTGGTGGTCGAGATGAAATCAGCAGAAGGTTGAGAAGAAGAATATCAAAAACGCCGACGCGCCTTCAGGAGATCAACGCGACCGACGCGACAAACCGCGTAGAGAGCTTGCATTGGCGATCAATCCACCCAGTCACGTGCGATGCAGGTCCAGAACGCCCGACGGGGAACTCCAGTGAAGCTACAGTATACAATTAATTCCGTCAACTACAACAAACAACGCCAACGATATAATGTCCCTTGCACGAATACTCATATACCCTCGCTCTGCCTCGACGGTTTCCAATCCGAGTCTGCTTGCGTCCTTTTCCCTTTGATTTCCTTTCAGCAATGATACCCCGATAACGAACAATACCTGTTGTCGATCCCTAAAGCGACCCCGGTGCTCTACCCGAAGACTGTCTTGCGCTCGACGACAGGAACCGTTGACGGCACGGCATTATACGCAATCGCCGTGTTGCTCCCTTACAGCTGCCGAGGAGGCTAGAGTGTGGTAATATTGGCGGATGTGGTGACCGTGGTGTTGATAGGCGCAAAGGTTTCAACAAGGCAGTCGGAATCATGACTTTCCCAGCGCCCCGGAATTCCATAGACAGCTTCTCCCCCAGTTCGCCTCCATATCTTCGAAATGAATACCCTTATCCTGGGTATGTGCCTTGCCTCTGGGCTCCTGCCAATGCCCGTGGGCCAGCGCTGACTTTCTAGGCCGACTTCGAATACTAGATACAGGCCTCGGAGAGACTCTACCGCGAGTTCTATACACTCAATAGGAGGCTCGTTGAATACAGCCCCGCGGTGGCATGATCTAAGCGAATCTGGTCAGAATGGTGAGGCCCATTGTATTTCAGATCCCTAAAAGTCTCGAGAAAACCTAACGAATTAAGCTATATCTACTCTCCTCCAGCCACCCATCGTCCGAACTGGCCTTCTCCCACACACGTCCGCTCCTGCATCAAGTGCCCATAAGCCACCCACCGCCCGAGACATCCCACCTGTTGCCCTCACCAATATACCATCGGTCGACCCCTCGGAGTTCGGGCCTTATCTGTCGCAAGTTGGCGCCCTTTATGATGCGCTCCAGCGTGCAAAGGAAAACGAGGAAGAAGGCGGTACACAATTATTAAGGAAGGGCAGTAAGTTGGATGATTTTGCAGATATTCTCGACCCAGACCAACAGTTATCAAGTCGCCCAAGTCTGTCTAAGAGGGGATCCTTGGCCTCGCTGGCCTCATCTATTGAGGCACCATATTTGCCACGACGGAGGTCAAGTGGAGGATTCGGAAAACGAGCAGCTCATGCGCCTACACCCCTATCAACTATACCACCCGTATATTTCGAGGAAGACTTCCACTTAGAAAACCCGCGCACCTTTGATGTCGTCAGTGAGCGTTCGGAAGTTGTGAGACCAATACCCGGGGCGCCTGATGAGCGCAAGGCTGCAAATGGGAACGCAACAGGGCCACGGAAAGCCCTAGCAACAAATGCAATTCTCCAAGAAAAACTCTCATGGTATATGGACACGATTGAGGTCCATCTTATCTCATCGATATCAACGGCCTCAACCTCCTTTTTTGCTGCATTAGGCTCGCTTAGAGAGCTTCATTCGGAGGCTGCTGATTCTGTGGACCGGATCAAAGCACTGCGGAAGGAGCTGAATGATTTAGACCAAGAAATGGCTGTCGGCGGGCTTAACATTGTCAACAAGAAGCGAAGGAGGGAAAACCTGCGCCAGTTAGGGGATGCAGTTCGACAGTTGAAATGCATTGTAGAGGCTGTTGGTAGCTGCGAGTCTCTGATTGATGCTGGCGAGGTTGAGAAGGCATTGGATGCGATCGATGGTCTAGAGAGGCTTATAGCGGGGGAAGCGCCAGAAAGCACAATGGAAAAGGATATCAGACTTCGGGATCTCAGAGGGGCAACCGCGTTACAAGGAGTTACAAATGATCTCGATGCGCTACGGTATCGCATAGGGAAAGTTTTCGAATCTAGATTCCTTAACGCCCTGGTAGGCGATTTACGGCGTCATATCGAATCTGTTTCCACTCCTGAGACATTACAGCGATGGAACAATGCGTCTCAGAGATCAAGAGGGGCCCACAACCGTGAGCCATCGGTATATCCCGCTTACTTGATTTTGAGTGAAGACTTCAGGTCTGAGCTCCTATCAAATATTAGTGGTCTCCATCGTGCCCGATACACACTACCTGCAACTTCTGCTTATCGGGATGCGGTGTTGCGAGAAGTGCGCAATCTCATCCGCCGGCCACTTCCGGCCTCCAATGATGATGATGCCGATTCGATGGTGTCGTCTTCCACAGTTGGCGGTAGACATAAGTCACAGCAGGAGAAATCATCCATTCTAGCACGCAATTTAAGGGCGCTAGATCCAGATGATGCCGAAGAGCTGCTGAAAACGATATATATTAGCGTCGGAGAGACCCTGAGGAGATTAGGAACTCAAGTCAAGCAACTATTAGACGTTACCAGCACCCTTGGCGGCCCTCTAACACAGGCAGGTATGAAATCACCTCCAAGGAGCCCAAACATGGCTGCCATTGATGGCCGGATGGGTGCGCCAGCAACAAAGGGCCCCGCGGATCCAGAAATTCAGGAACAGATGCATCAGGTCTTAGACATGTCAAACCTTCTTGGGCAGGTTGTTGATATTGCACAAGACAAGATAGTCAAGGTCTTGCGCGTGCGGTCTGAGCAAACCATACACCTCCCCGTCGAGAGATTCTTGCGCTACTTTACTTTGAATCTTCTCTTCGCAAATGAATGCGAGGCGGTCTCTGGACGAAGCGGCACTGCGTTGAAGAATGTTGTGAATGGCCATATCAAAGACTTCATACACCAACTCGCCGAATCTGAACGACAAGCATTGGCTACTGGGATGGAAGCGGATTTATGGGCCGCAACCGACTTTACAGAATCTGATACTGAAGAGTTATCACGTCTTCTTTCGGCAAGCACTCATGATCCAGAAGCCTGGACTGCGGGAAGTAAAATATGGCGTCCGCCATCCCAATCTAACACCCTATCAATCCCGGAAATATCTGCAATTGCAAAGGATGGTACATCGGGAACCTCCACGCCCTCTGCAAACGCCTCCAAAGGTACCAGCCGTTCCGCAGTCATTGAAGGTGAATCCTTCCTTCTCCCCGTATCCGCGATCCTCTGTCTCCATGGCCTCTCCTCCTTCCTATACCTAAACACTGGCCTCCCATCCATGGCATCGGAGATTGCAATACCAATTCTATCATACCTTACGCTCTTCAACTCCCGCTGCACGCAACTCATCCTCGGGGCTGGTGCCACTCTTTCAGCGGGGTTAAAGCGTATCACAGCCAAACACCTCGCCCTTGCAGCACGATCCCTAGCCTTTATAGGTAGTCTAATCCCTCATATTCGTGAGTTCATTCGTCGCCACGCCGGGTCTGGCTCTGCAGTGTCGAATTTGATGGGTGAATTCGACAAAGTGCGACGTGCATACCTAGAGCATCAGCAATCTATCTACGATAAACTGGTCGACATCATGGCCGGGCGAGCAACTATGCTTGCAAAAGCAATGAAAGAGATCAACTGGGAGGAAAATAAGGAGGGTGTCAATCTGTACATGGAGACATTGGCGAAAGAAACCAGCACATTAAACCGCGCCCTTAACAAACATCTTCCTGCTATGAATGTGCGGATGGTTATAGAACCGGTGTTTAAAAGCTATAAAGAGCAGTGGGGAAAGGCATTTGGAGATGTGTCGTTGGCGAGCGATGCCGCTCAATCAAGGTATGTTGAGATTCCTTCCCACTCTAGCATAGTTGCAAATTTTCTGACTATTTGATCTAGGATGCTGAGGGATGCGGAATACTTCAACACTAGGATCGGTGGTCTGGATGGTGCGGGCGATACGGGAGTTGCTATCATTAATCTAGTGAAGCAGAAGAGCGTTGCTAGACCGGCTGAAGCAGCGCCTCCTGAGTCAAAGGAAGATGTGGTCACTAATGGGGAAGTTTCCGCGAATCCCGCTGATCCGGAGACAGTAGAAAAGGAGGATCAGGAGAAAGGCACCGATGAGAAGAAGGCTTCATAATTTCGCGTCGCTACACAGCCCGCCGGAAGGATTATCCGGATAAACCAACAGACGGTCTATTCACTCCAGGATTATGTAAATTATATCGAGTACCTTGAGAACACAATTTCAAACTCCCAATATACGAACCGTTTTTCCTTTTTCATATATTAGCGATTATATATAGTAGGACTAGCTATATATAAATAGAGAAGACTTACGGAGGTACAGCCCATAAGTATAGTAACAGCGGACAAGTGTCTGAACGCAACAGGCGATTTCAACACTTGATAACTTTTGATATACACAGCCAAAAAACCTCATTTAAGCACCAGAATAATGCTAATGAGAGGACTGTACACTTCTCCTTTTTCATGTTTTGGTGATGCGTTGTGGTTGTGATGCAAGGGGAGTACAGTGAGATCCCTGCTAGCGCGGTTTCTATACTTATGGGCTGTACCTCCGTAAGCTGGCTCGCTACCTGGTAAATGGCCCGAAGCTCTACGTCTGTGTTCTCGAAGCCGGGCTGAAACCTGAAACAAAGTGCCTTGCATAAGTTACAGTCTATCGTTGTAGTGGAAATAATGATCCTTCGTGGGATCCTCGGCTCGGAGCGAACCAATGCCACACAACAGGCCGATCCACTTTACCTCGTTTCCTGTCAGGCGCTGTGCCTCCGCGGGATCACCATGGCAAAGGATCGCGGCTATCTTGGCTCCTCCTGCTAGGGGCGCGCTCCTCGTCGTCCGATTCTCACGGCAATGTTACCTCATTCATATTAATTCATACGAGACCTCTCATTTGGTTAGGCACGGGGCTGTACCTTAGATTATTATCAAGGACCAAAACTTTCCAGTCCAATGATGAAGTCCCGATGAACCCAGACAATATTCGAGTATGAATCCTTTTGGTATTTATAGTTATAAGTAACCTTATATCACTCTACTGTACGTACAACTGCTACGCCTCTAAACCGCTCCTCCGGAGAGAAAACGGAACGTTCCATGAGGCGGGTATCGACCATCAACTCACAGGTCTACGGAGTATTTTCATTAATTGCTATACTGAATTTCTCAATGACATATAAACCCTCTTGATTCCCTCGATATCGTTTCTAGAAAAGCCAGCAAACTAGCTACCTCACAATATCATCACCCCTATAGTCATTATTTCTCAGCACAGTTTCAAGAAACTCAGTCAAAATGCGTTACCAAACCCTCATAGTTCTTGCGTCTGTGCTTGCATCCGTCTCTGCCTTGCCGTCCCAGGTCGCAAAGCGAGACTGGGTTCATGATAAAAAAGGCAATCTCAAGATCACATGTAGGTCACATTTCAACCTCGAGGATATTCCAAAAGGCTAACACGGAGTCAAGTCTCGGACGAAACAGTCAGCCTCGGCACGCTTCCTATAGACAAGATAATTGATAAGATGTCCGACGCTTGCCATACATCAGGACAATGCGACACCAGTCCAATCAAAATCACGGGTTACCAGCTGGTCCACAAAGACAGTGTCGTCGATGAAACCTTGACCATCAACCCAAGTGGAAGTTACCCAACCTGGATCCGTAATGGCCTTCGGGATGCTCTTCGCGCTGCAGTCAAGGCTACAGCAAAGTGCGAAACAATCGTTCACACGCCTAATTGCGGATTTTCAGCATATTACTGCCCAGGTAAACCTACTCGAAGCCAAATAGTTCACCTAGTGCCTTGCTAATGCTTCAACTAGGCAAAAAAACTAAGGTCACGGAATGTAAAGTGCCAAAATACTGGGGGGTCAACTATCAGCCCCATGATCTTGGGAACTCAGCCCCACCCTTCATGGGGGCTGATATGGAGATGAAAATTGAGGATCATGGATTCTGTTCAACTTTCACAACAGTAGGAGCTGCTGTCGCAGGTAAGTGCTTTAATATACCACGATGTGTAACCAATATAATATTACATATGCTAATATGTAAAATTTAGGAGCCGTAAATGGTGTCGCCGGCGGAATTTTCCTCCTTTCCAGTCTGGCATGCAACTAAACAAAAGCAACTGAGAAAATTGTCAAGCGAAACTCACGCGGCATTGAAAGAATGTACATTATAAAGCACGCGGATTTTATTGGTAATCTACACAAGGGATACAAGGAATCTCCAAGAACTAGCTTTGCGTCGCCGAAGCGCTTATGTGTGAGAGCCAATATGTAAATATCATTTTCTAGTATACTATTAGTCAAGTCTACAGCATTAGCAACTATATTATGCTATATGAGCTTCAGCTTTTGCCTACTTCGTCTTCTCGTCGTCTCGGTTCTGAATTTAAGTTCCAAGCGCCCGTTTGAGGGTCGAGGTGCCCTCATACTTCTTGTTGGCCGTACAAGAGTAGCTTCTCAGAACGCTGATGGCCGTGAACGGCGTGATTCCAGCCAGCTTATTCTCTCGCCTCCAGATTATTATTATATCCGTAGAGCGAGGGCTTCGAGTCAAGATCAACCAACGCTTCTTGTGGGATTTCGCTGGTGCCTATTTCCGTAATAGCAATGTTAAAGGAAATGTGGGAGCTAATATTCGTCACTCATTCTTAAAGTCAAGGTATCCTTTGGAGTAGGTGATGATATTTGGACCGAATCTCTCAATTCACTTGGACTTTGGCATGTCATAATTGTAGTCATATATTCTTTGTTAATATAGCTTGAAAACCCCAAATGCTAAACTTATAGCAAGCCATATATAGATTTCAAGGTTACCGTTATTGCGGTTGGCCTTGTATTTAATCACTACAAATGCTCGCTAAAGTGGGGGAGTTGAAAACAAAAACGAGTTGAAATAAGAATAAAAATAAATGGAAACGGAAAACTAAAAATAAAATTGTAAATGGCAAAAGAGTTCGTTGCCCACAGCCAACTAATCTCAGCCGTTTTGTAGTTGTCGCTAGACCTAGTTATATTTCTCTTCGATATGAGTGTCGTGCGATCACTTGTGGGGAGTGTCTTAAAGAGCTAGGTTGTCGTTATTAGCAGCTTTCTTATTTGAATATATATACTTTCTAGAATAGTAGCGAAGTTATCCCGGCCGCCCGGCTGTGAGCCAAAAGGAGGTGACAGTTATATGCTGGGGGAAGTGCGGTGTGGTTTTGCGGTTTTATACCGTTGTGCAGCTTCTTATTCACCTACTTACCTGCATGTATTGCTAAATCGTAAATATCTCCCGGAAAGTCTATACTTCTATTAGCAATCAAGCACACGCCTTAACCTCCTAACCTCCTCTTCACTACACATCTCCCCTCCACCCTCTAAAATAGCGCTAGAATGCCAGACCACATGACGATCTCCGCTATCATTCCTACAAACCACCTCCCTTAGTGCCTGTAAACCCTCACTCCTAACTCCGCCACCCAAAATAACGCATATTCTCCCCTCAGCCCTCCTCACCAACCCGCTCAAAACATCCCTCCCGTCCCACGCCGTCCGTTTCCCTCCAGACGTAAGCACGGCCTCAAATCCTAACGCAATCAGAATCTCCAGCTGATCTTCCATGTTCTCCGGCGGAATCTCATCAAACGCCCTATGGAACGTGCACGGCCTCCCGGCCGCTGCAGAAATCAAGGTTCTGTTAGCCTCGACGTCGACGAGGCCACGCCCATCCAAGACCCCCAATACAAATGCGGCGGCGCCTTTCTCGCTGAAGATCCTGATGCTGTCTGACATTTTCTCTAGCTCGGAGGCGGTATAAGTGAAGGAGTGGGGGTGTGGTCGGATCATGATGTGGATTGGGATTGCGGGGTTTCCTGTGGACGAGGGGAGAGAGCTGGTGAGGGTTTGATAAGTTTCAAGAGAGGGTGTGAGGCCACCGTCTTGGAGCGAGGTGCAGAGCTCGATGCGGGAGGCACCGGAAGTAGCTGCCCTGAGGGCGGAGGGGGCGTTGAATGCCGCGATTTCGAGGAGGGGTGCCATGGTAGGTTTAGGGGTTATCTTGTGAAAGCGAGATATGATTGTTTATTCTGAGAGGGAAAGTGGGGGACTAGGTTAGGATTAAGAGTTTATAATTAGAAGATTGGGATTCAACTTTAGGGTGTGCGTTATATAAGTGGATGTTTGGACATGGATGAAAGTATAGGATACGTCGATGAGGTGTAGTGAATGAGTGAGATTTATATAAATGCGGGAGTAGCTTGATGGCGGCTAACGAATCTGGCCCTCCACAAGAAAGCAAAGCAAAACTAGCTACCGTCCTTAACCTTCTACCCTTGCAATATAACTTGGAATCGTAAAGTAGCTGAAGGGCCTGTGGAAAAATTATATAATCATCCGTTTAAGTATTATCAAATAAGGGTACTCTATATTTAGGCACGAATGAACGAATCTAAAAGCAAAGATAGCTTGCCAGGATATACTTAGCACTATTGTATACAAACAAAACAATCCCGATTATATAGATATCAATATATAAATAATTCAGTGTACAGAGTCTGCTATGTATATGTACTTAATTTGGTATTCATGCCAATGCTGGTTTGTGCACAGGGCAAAATGTGACCAGGCCAGCTGCCCACAAAACCCCTCGTTTCATGATGCGTAAATGAGCGTTCTTCCAATCCTATCTACGAAGTACTCCTTCAAGGCCCCAATAAACCACCAAAGATTAAAAAAATGCGATGATCCCTGTTCACAGGCCTCAGAACTTGTGGTACCCGCCTCTCGTTGACCCCGTGCTCTGGATCTCCCCATTATGAGCAAACGACGGACTTCGAGGGATGTTATTTGATCCTGCATATCCGCTTGCCGGGTTTGGGGATCGTAGCGGGAAATCATTAGCACCAGTATTTCCTGAAATCTCTGGTAAGGTCGGGACATCGTTCCCCCTGGCTCTGGTACTACTCCCCGCAACAACATGCGATCCTCCCCATCCACCTAGGGCATCATCGCCCTGGTTCGCAAATTCCCTATTATCCCACCCACCCATGCCCTTCTCTCGTAGCTCCACCTGGTAGGTATAGGCGTCTTGTCGCTCTTTCTCCACCTTGGCATTATACGCGTCGCGCTCTTTGCGGCCCGCGCGGCGCTGGCGGATACAGACGAAGAGGAATGCGGCGAGGAGGAGGGCTGCTGCAGAGCCGCTGCCGATGTAAATACCCATCTTTGTGGTCTGGGGAAGGGCCTGGAATTTCTCGGCGATGGAAAGGGTGGGTTCTTCGGCTTTAAGGATCTTCTCGGCGGCAGTGGAATTACCGCTATTTGTACATTAGATATACATAGCTACGTACCTAGGTGCCCAGGGAAGGATTTACTTACGCAAGTGCCTTGATGCTCTGCCAGCTTCCTGAGCGATCACCCCAGTGGTATGCTGACCCGGTGGAGTAATCCTTGACATCGGCGCTCTTCACGTACATGGTGTAAGGGCCTTTGCTGAAATCCGTGAGGCCACCAGCCCAATCGATCGTTCCCTGCGGAAACGACGTATCGCCACCAGACCAGATCCCTAGACGGACCGTCACAGGAGTCTGAGGATAATTATGACCCTTGTTTGCCTCCGCAAACGGTAGCGTCCGAACGATCTTTCCATCAATCATCCATATCAACCTCTCGGCGGTCCAATCGACTGTGTAGTTGTGGAAGTTCTCGCGCACATCGGTGTCCACGGGGTAATATACCGCGCGGTCGAAGGATGTTGTGTTGCCCTTGCCGAAGTAATTGGTCTCAGCATGCGTCGCATTACCGCCCATGAATTCCCAATCCACCTCGTCGAGATCCTCCGACTGTAGCACAATGGAAGATATGATTCCCTGGCCGGTCGCGGCTTTCATGACGACGGATACGGAGCCGAAGAAGATGTAGAATTTGGACTGGATGGTGGGCGAGTCCTTACGCTTATTGATGGTAAATTCAGCGCCGTTGTTGCCATATTCGAGTTTGCCCGCGGTGATGTTGAAGGAGTTCGTGACGGTCGAGGACTTGTTGAAGACAAAATTATGGTGCATGCCCAGCGCCGGATTGTCGGGGCAGGTTGCGTTGAGGGGATTGCAGTCGGTCCATGTTTGGGCCACGGTGGGCGCCACGAGGACCGAAGCAGCGAAAAGGAGGGTTGAAAAGCGCATATTGGATTGAATCGAATCGAATCGAATTGAAAAAGGTACAGTAGAAATTAAGGAGTGGCTTGCACGTTGACGGCGGTTGGGTATATGATCGCAGGAGCAGTACAGGACGAACGATAAAAGCAATTGGATGCAGAGTCAATGATCAACAGGTTGAAGGAGGGTAATGTGCGCAAACGCACTGCAGCGAGCGAGTGAGTGAGTGAATGGCGATTTCACTTCATGTCACGATGGTGGCAGAAGGGGAAAGAGGAGGGAGGCAGAAGGAGAGGAAGCTATTCGCATCCCCGAACGACACCATTGGGGCGGAGATTGCGCGTGCGCCGGGTAAAGGCAGCACGATCACCGTTTCGCGGCGCTGGAAGAGGTAATTGTTGAGCGTGTTTGGCGGTTTGCCAAGGTCAAAAGGGGCACAAAGGACTTGGTTTAAGCTATTAATATTGCCAGTTCCTGTTTGTTGCATAAATGCCCAGCACCGATCGCTGATAGGGGCAATTTGCGCTTGTCTGGTCACAGTGTTACATAGCGCACTGCAACCCAAGCAGTCATAAGTATAAGTTATTCCTCATTCTCATTCCCTACATGACAGCGTACTTTTCGTAGCGCCCTAGAACCAAACCAAAACCAAACCAAACACTTGCGTGGTCTGTTGCAATTTCGTGCTCCAACCCCACCCTCAAAAGCGCCGACCATAAATGGCGAAACGTCAATGAGTGACCGAGCGCCATTATCGTCGGGGGCATCGGATGAATCGGAGTTGTGTTGGGACTGGGGAAGACGGAGATTGAAACAGATATAAGGTTAAGCTTTTGCGCCGGGCTCCTATCCGAGACAGAACAACACCGACAGTGGGTCCACGAGACGACGACGACGACGACAATAGTGACGATAATGATGATGACAACAGCGTCAACACATTCATCACCCGCAGCACATTTTACTGGCTTGGTCTTACCTCGGTGTCCGATTGGATCGAGTATTTGCTTTTGCGGTTTCACAGAGACATGTCAGGTCCGGCCAAGTGGCACCAGACATGATTACGAAGAAGCCAAAAGCTGGTGTGCTGGTGGTTAATGTTAATTACACATGCGTCACATATTTCTCGGGCATTGTAAAAGATTTTGTTTTGTTTGTTTGTTTAATTCATTTTTTGCAGTTGTGTTTTCCCCTACTATATACAAGGTAGAAGCAGAATTTTTTATGTAAAAGCGAGTGTAAAGGCGGGTGGGCAATGTCCTCTCGAGGACAAAAACCCCCCGAAAGAAGAATGTGAAAGGAATATTTTCCTGTGGGTATCGCAAAATCCCCGTTATCCATGTAACAAAAACACCAATCCTGTATCCCCCGAGTTCCAGTTCCTGTCTATTGCGCAGAAGTTCAAATGTTCATAAAAAAGCGAGCGTGGTTGTTGTTCATAAGTGTCGTGGGACATCGCAGCACGCAAGCGGCGCGGGGTGTAGAGATACCATCTCCATCCGGTCTATTTGTCTTTTCCCGTCATTCATGAGAACGTTGTGGTTGTTTATGTGGTGAGGTAAGCACGGTTGACTCGGGAGTTGATGCCGCGCTTCTTGTTCTCCTTGTTGCCGATCAAGGAGACTAGGTTCTTCTCATTCGTGCTGAGGGTGGCGATGTCATCCGGCAGGTTGTAGGCGTTGGCGCAAGGGAAGGTTTGGCAGCCGGAGACCGGCAGCTGGGAGCTGGCTGGGTAGACCATCTTGACACCGTTGACATCGTTGGGGTTGACGATGGCCGAGACATCGAAGAAGGTGGCGTCGTTGTAGCCGTTGAAGCGAACCTCGCCGAGCATGCCAGGGACATCTTTGGCGCCCTCGCTCACGGTATACCAGTTACCGATCCAGCCTTCTGGGAACTCCTGGTCGGCAGTTCCGTTACCCTCGATGGTGATGGACGGGATGGCCACCCCGTTGCCCTCGCCCTGCTCCTGAGCGGTGAAGACGACGGTGCGGCGGGTGCTGTCTTGGTTGACGAAGTGGACCGAGTTGGCTGCGGCCAAGGATGCGAGCGCGGTGGCTGCGACCATGAGGGTGGTGGTGAAATGCATTTTGGATGCTGTGGTATTTGCTTTTAAAAAAGAAGGATTGTGGTTGTAAAAGACGTTGCGTCAAAAGTTGATTGAGCTGGCTGAGCAAGTGAAGTGGTTGGAAGGTTATAAGTGTCGTAGAGACAAAGTGGTTGTGAGTTTGTTATGCGATCACAGATCGACAGTTGAAAGAAGAGAGTGTAAGTGTAAGAGAGTGTAAGAGAGAACTTCGTTGCACAAAGGATTGTTGACTGAGATGGGGGGATAGACAAACCGTGTACCAAGCGTCCTTTATATAGGATTCGAGGGACGGGGGCGATGGCACTAGGACACAAAGCTTTGCCAGCAAGACCCACAATACGCTGTTCTCAATCCTTCTTTTCTTTCGACCAATGCTGGGCCAGCATGCCCCTATTCCCCGAGGAGCGCTGGCTGCTTGGTTTTGCCATTTCCGAGGCAAGGCAAATGCGATCGGGCGGTGATTGGGGGCGAGGGCGAGGGCGACTTAGGACGTTGGGTTGGGACGAGGACTCGTACCTGTCCCGTACCTGAGCCATGCAAGGTACCGCGCGACTCGCCATGTGTTGGCCTCGCATAGGGTTGGGAGCGGCAGATGATGGCCCTGGTGATTGGCGAGAGTCACTCCCACTCGGGCTTCCTGTTCCTGTCCCTGATAACTTACCAACGCCCCCGTGTTTGGGGCTTTGGGGGCTTCGGGGGCCTTCCAGCGCCTCCAGCGCCGCCATCGCCTCCATCGCGGGGGCCAGTGGGGCTGGGGGCCCAGCCCGACTGGCCTACTCGTAGAGGCGGATCAGATTAGGGACGACCACGGCTGAGTCGCGGGCCTACTCTAGAAACGCGAAGCATCTTCTCCCAGAATCCACGCGACGCTAGGCCAAGTTGTATCGAGTCGTAGCTCAGTGAAAACCCTTTTTAGCGGGCACTACTACTGTCTAAACTCCGATTCTTCCACTTCCGGACACTATCCGCCTATCCGCTGAAGAAAGAAGAAGAAGACGCCAAGAATGGCTCTAGAACAGGACCCTTGTGCAGGGTTTTCGTCGGGATGTACTCGATGTAATAGGCACAGTACGTGGCAGAGGACAGGGGAGAGCAGTCTTTGTTGGTCCACGGAGTATGTCGTACTGTAATAAGCCATCTAGGCTCTCCGGAGCACTCAGGAATAATAAGAAAGCAAATAATAAATCATCAGCACGTTCACGTTCACGTTCACGTTCACCACTCCCGGGTCCACTTCGGCGCCCGCTGCCGTTGCCGCAGCCCGTCTCCGCTGCCGCACGTGGAACAGACGTAAGATGCTCCGGACGAAGGATTCCAGTAACTTCCCCCCTAATAATAATAATAATAATGTCTCTGCCCCGGGAGATGGAGAGAAATGGCCGAAGCGCAGAGGCCTCCGAATGTTAATACGGAGAGCACAGACATCAAGGGCATGTTTGCAAATAGCTGAGGCCTGGGGCGGAGCTGGGGGAAGGATCACAACAAGTCAGTGGCTATGGCAGCTGCGCTCGTCCGACGTGCGAGTGTTGGTGTTGATGCTCGTACGGCGCATCGTACAGTACGGTATTGTGCGCTGTACAGTAGGTACCTAAGGTACGTACGCACCTCACACGGAGCGCCTGTATTCTGTATCACTGTTGACGTGTCGCTGTGGGGGGGGCCGAATGGTAATCGTGGGCTCATGGGCGAGGTCTTGCCCTTGCAGTAGTGCCAGGCACAAGCCGATCAATAAACAGGAACCAGCACCGCCGAAGCCCACGATCCAGCGCCTCTGATGTGATGCCCAGCACCCAGGCTGCAGAGTGCAGAGTCTCGACTGTCCGGAGGAGGAGACCGAGTAGTTGCAGACGACGGAAAAAAACAGGGCATCGGCATCCACTTCAGGCTTCCGGCTTCAGGCCTCAGCAGCTCTATCGAGATCTCCTCCATCGACATCCACATCTCCATCCCCATCCCTCTCCACCTCCTCCACTCCTCTGCCGATCAAAAGGCCCAGGTCCCAACGCCCAAGTTGCTGGATGCGCTTGGCAGCCCGAGCGCCGCGAATCAGCTTATCTTGTTATCGCGTTATCGATTGCGACGGATAGCGGATAAGATCCCCGATCGGCAGGTCGATACAGGAGGGTACAGTAGCACAGTAAAAGGAAAACTCTTCAGCTCGAGACCATTCTGATTTTTCATCACGATTTTCATCGTCGTTTTCCATCTGGAACCGGTGCAATGGCAATGTTGTCTGGAAAGGGCCGATGCACCGCACGTATCACATGCAATAGCCACTTCTCCATGGCCCTTTTGTGGTGACGGTGAGTGAGGTGAGCTGAGGCCGTCGTTGGATGACGGTGTGTGCATGTGCCTGTGATGGGTAGGTCAATTGTCCCGTTGCTCTCCCACCCGAATCAAAGTACATGTACACGCGATAAATGGCAGAACCACCCAGGGCGATATTAATGACGCTGTCGTGCCGGTCGACGGGTACCGGGCACTCTGAGTTGGGCTACCCCGTTGATATCAGATGACAGCTCTACAATATCAAGGCCAAAGGGAGAGAGTCGGGCTTCCGCGTATCTATCAAACTCTGCAGGAGGTCTTTAGCCGTTCACCTGTGGTTGACAAACATGAATCGTGTACCTAGGTAAGCATATCCAGAGTTCCACATGATTCCGCTCGGCTTGTCATGTTCGCATGGGCATTGGTGGGATTCCGGAGTATTCGCGAAGGAGGTGGAAGGAAGGCGAGGAAAGACAGCCGAGGAGAACATCAACGAAAGGACGAGAAAACTGCAGAAAGCCACGAGTGCCTTAGGGGTAATGATTTCACAAAATGCCTAAGGCCCCTAAAATGTTGTCCATTATTGCAGCTACGCAGCACCACGAGTCAGGGCAGGGCGGCAGGTCTCAGGTCAGACAATATCCCCATGTTAGCTGACCTCTCTAATAGAATCGAGGAGTCCTCTCCTCTCCCTCTCTCCCTCTAGGTATACATGTCAGTTGGCGTGATAGTTCTGAGATACTGTAATGCATATGTGTGTTATGTATGTGTGGTACTCGTATAATAATACGAGTTGTGCATATCCAAGTTATTATCGCGGGGTGGCAAAGAGATCGACTGGTCGAGCGTCTTTGTTGCCTTCATTACTCGAGATTCCCGAGCTACCCTCCAAACGCCAGTCTAGAGGACTCTAGAACAGGCGTCGAGCATTACCTAAGGTACCTTTAGGTATCTCTTACTCGTAACCGTGCCGACTACCGAGCCCATCCGAACGGGTTTCCAGGGAAATCATCTGTTACGGATCGTGAGGAATGTGCTGTCACTGCCTGTCAGCAACTGATAGGTTATAGTACATACATATATATATTGGAAGAGTGGCATGTCTTGTCTAGTCATCACTGCATGAGGCACCTCTGCCATCTTAACCACCTCATCTATGGGCTCGGTATGCCAACTCGTTCCCTCGGTGTGTCTTACGGCGTTGCCAATAACCGGACGCTCTGCCGTCAGGGCGATTCGCGACTGGCCAAATAATAATGTCCTGGGAAAACGAAAAACGAGGATGTCGGGAATTCGTGTCGCTGCTCAACACGACCCTGTGGATGCTGGCCCTTCCAGAAGGAGCAAAGGTGCTCTGCGCTATGCGGTATATGGATTTCAACAGTTGTACTACCAGCAAGCCCCTTCAAAGTTCAAGGAACGAGGAATGATCTCGAATTGAATAGACGGTCGCGACCGGATGGGGAGAGGTCGCCGAGGAATGAGGTGAGAGGAAAGCTAGTGAAGCCTCGAGACACGAGAGAGGTTGTTTGTTTGTGGTTGGCTCGGAAGCTGGCATGGTGCTATCTATAGAAGGCCGCTGTCTAACGGTGGGGCGTACTACGTATTAGGTTCGTCCACGAGCACGATGATGCCGTGGAAAATGGGGGAGTTGACTTGGCTTCATTGCGGTATCCGTGAGGTGTTTGCTATCGCTGTCGGGGCGATGTCTTCGCTTCAAATACCCCGAGAGAACAATATCATATTCGGTCACACCGCTGCTCGTAAGATATGTGGGAATATTAAGGCCAAAGCGTACCTATGAATCAGCAGTCAGCACCGGCCATCTGCACAGCTATGTACTGTATATGCAACGTTGTCGAGGTAACAAAGAATATAAACGGGGACAGCTATCAGAAGTGACGTCCAGTGGGCCGCTTCGGGTATAGCGGGCCTCGTATCAAGGCGTCCAAAGTCCAAACCATGTTTGCTGCAAGTTGCTTTTGTGGCAGGGAAGCGGAAACCTGACAGACTGACAGATAGACGGGTGGGGCCATAGCTGCTGGCATTGCTGCTTTATGATCCGTTCTGTTTGTTTTGTTTGTCACAACACCAAGAAGTATCCGAGTGGAGGAAGTGAGTAGCTATACTTTGATAACCAATTCGATATTAATATTAATATTGAAGTAATTGAAGTAATAACATTGAGCTGTGTACCGTCATGCTGGGACAGGCGAGACGGGCATCCCAACCTGTAATCCGTATTCCCGGCGCCAAGCCAGCCCTGTGGCTGAACCACAGTTTTTTGTATGCTCACTTCGTCAACAGTCGAACCTCAACCTCAACATCAATAATATCAACCTCACTCTCAACATCAGGTCGCCAACGCCAACGTCAACGTCAATCTCTATTGCTGGGGCGACGGCTGCACCACCCGTCAGCACCAAGCCCTAGGTATGGAGAAAACAGTACGATCATAATGATGCCATATCCAGCTCGGTCAGCGCCGACTGGTACCGCGCTGTAGGTACCTCGTAAATACGGAGTCGATGGAGCCCCTACTGAGGAGTATTGCCATTGGACACGAACGATGACAAAATAGTCCAAGGATAAGGAATATCTCCAATGACAACCAGCCGGACATCAAAAATAGAACATCGATGACGCTGATTTGCACCACTTGTCCCTTGGCGACCCGCGCTGGGCGAGGGGCATGGAGCCCGGGACAGGGCAATGGTTCGAGTGAGTGGAGAGATCAGCATCTATAGCAGCCACTAAGCAGCCACCGATTGCACCAAGTTGCTGACTGACAGCGCCGCTCGTATTGTTCCTGTGTTGTTGTTTTGCCTTGTGGTTGCATCGAGTTGTCTGGGTACCAGTACATGTCACCAATGCTGGGTGGGACGAAGAGATGCTTTGGTCTGATTTTGATTTTGAACATTCCTAGGGAGGCATGATTAACTTTCCTATCATCTTTTCATTAGTTACTACAATACTGTGCCAGTTCCTAGGCGAACTGGAGGCTGAGCCTCGATACAGTCATCATGCCATGGATCCGTGGATTTCCACGCTGATAGAGTCTGAGAGACAGAGGCGAAGTGGATACAACGTATGGCCGTTCTCGTTCTCCCAAACCTGCCTCCCTGCAAGTCGATCTGCAGCATGCAGCCACCGCCCGCTGCCAACCTCTACCATACCACACTCCCCTTCGCCTTAAAGCTCCTCGCTCCCACAGCATTTGATCTTTCTTTTCCTCCTCCATCCACCTTCGTTGTTCACTGCTATAATACGTTGTATCACCAGCTTTCTGCAACCAACCGCAACCCACTTTCGTTACAGAACAGAAGCACTATTGTTTTTATCGCCAACATGAAGACCTTCCAGTCTCTTCTCCCCGTTTTCGGGCTCGTGTCCGCCGTTATGGGATGGTCCAATGAGACCACTGCATACACCACGGTCACGGTATCCAGCTATACCACCTATTGCCCAGAGGCAACCACCATTACCCAGGGCACCAAGACATAGTAAGTGCCTATTTAATATATTTCCTCCGAACAATCTCTCAGCTCGAACTCGAGGCCGCCGGGAGCTGTATTTTGCCATGTTATTAAAGATACACCTTAACTAACACCTCCATAGCACCGCCACTGCATCCGAGACACTCACCATCACCGACTGCCCATGCACTCTCACCAAGGTATGTTCGAAGAATCGCACTGCAGTTGTGCTTTATCTTGATACTAAACTAACTTCCTTCCAGCCAGTGAAGCCAACCGGCTACCCAACCGGCGTTCCTCCTATCTCTCTTCCTTCCCCCATCAACAATGCTACTGCTCCTCCCCCTGTCTGGGTCACCACTACAGTACGTTGAAACCATTCCCGCTATCCATCTAGCTCTATACTAACACATCTCCAGGTCAGCGAGTACACCACTTACTGCCCGGCCCCAACCAGTGTGATCCAAGGTAACCAGACTTACACCATCACCGAGGCCACCACCTTGACCATCACAAACTGCCCATGCACGGTTTCCTACCCACCTTCCACCACCAAGACCGTCACCGTCTCCACCTTGACGACCTACTGCCCGGCCCCAACCACCATCACCCACAGCTCGTCCACCTATACTGTCACCACCTCTGGCACTGCGACCATCCCCATTGTCAGCGTGACCACTGTCCCCAACAGCCCACCCACACCCACTGTCCCCGCTCCGGGCGTGACAGCCGCACCACCTGCACCAACCGCACCAGGTGTCGTCCCAACTGGCAGCAACCCAACCGTTGGCAAGCCCCCAACCCCAACCGCTTCTTCCTCGATCATCGAAGCCAACTCCGCCAGCAAGGCTGATACCGGTATCTTCGGTCTCGTGGTCGCCGGTCTCGCTGCCATGCTCATCTAAATCCTCTTCCTCGACGATCTATTTCGCTCACGGCTCTAATTTCCACCCCCAATCAACGCAGATTACGAATTTAATGGCAAGTTAAAAGGAAGGCAAGGAAATAAATGTAGCTATCAATGTTACCAAAGGACTCTTTTAGGCTATAGACGGGAAGGCAAGGGGGTGGGGAGTTTAAAATAAACTCGGACATTCATTTGGCATCTGGTATTTTTTGGTATCGGTCAGCTGATACATAAATGTAAACTTCTACGTACATAACTATTTTAACCTAACTTAATTGGAATGAAACATTATCTATTATATGAAACATAACAGTTGAAGGGGTGAATTAGTGTCGGGATATTGACGCGAAGCCCCCTATTTTGTTAACCGATATCTTGTCCAGTGGTAGCGAGGTATAACTTGTCAGCCATTCGCCGCCAGCCATAACAGGTACCAGATCATAAAACGTGAATAGGCCTGTTGACCGCCGCCCATTTACCAAATCAGTAAATTTTTAGTGCATCTACCCTACTGTACGTTCCCACTCGAGCCCTAGCGGCTCTGCGGGATGATTCCGTCATGGGCCGAACACCGCAACCACAAGTCACCTGTTGGTATTCACGGATCATAATGAGAAACTACTAGCTAGTGGGGAATTCCCGAAGAAGAATGCAAGGGAAATGCCGTGGGTAGATAGATATACTTTCTAGGTCCTCAGCTCGCTGCTTGGTAGGGAATTAGCTGAAGGGTATGTACTGTTTTACCCTACCTATTATCAGGGGCTCTGTAGGCCATCGTTTGTGAGATGGGATATTGTGGATGAGCAGGATAGCACATTAACCCAAGCAAAGCAGCCACTGTCTTGCGAGAAAAAATGGGGGTATCAAATACTGTACTCTATCTACTACTGATGCTTCATGCAACACGTTACATACCTTAGCTAAGAATTCCCAACCTCTAGCCTTACCCTAACGTCCCTAACCAACGCCTTCGCCTCCTCAACCTCGACGCCGTCCTGGCACAGTTCGGTCGCGAGTTGCATCGCCCTGGGATAATCACCGCTCCGCATGGCAAACTTCGCAAGCCACATGCGAGCCTTGGACGTAGCAGCCGTTACGCCCGTTCCAGTTGCTGGCCCTGTATTTTCCCCTCCGCCAAAAGCAGGCCTTGACTCGTCATCTGAAGACGTAGCATCGGTGTGGATGTTAATAACGCTCGTATCGAGACTCTCGGCAGCGCCCTCCTCCTGCGCGACACACATCTCCATATAAGCTCTCGCCTCCTGCTCATCATCCAGCCGCTCGTACATGCCCGCGATCTGCAGCAGGATTTCTGGGTCCATTGCTCCTCCCCTTTCTCGGCCGCCACCACTCCCGAATGAACTCCCAACACCAGCGTCGTAATAGCTGTCCGCTAGGAGAGCTCTTTTGAGGGCTTTGATCCCTTCAAGATCACGGCTCATCTTCTGGAGACATGATCCCACAGCCATCCACATTTTCCCGTCCCAGGGCCGTAAGCCTGCTGCGCGTTTGTAGTACCACAACGCGTACGCGTGCATTTCAAGAACTTCGTATGTTTGCCCTAGACCGTACCATGCTCTGTAGTCACGCCGATTAACATCCACAGCCCGACGATATGATTCGATGGCCGCATGGGTGTTTTTCAATTCCACGTACTCGTGTCCCATAAGGGTCCATGCGCTGAGGCACGAGCGGTCGAGGGTTAGTGCGCGCCGGAAGTACTGTACAGCTTTTTCATGAGAGGAGAGAAGGGAGTAGTAGTTTCCTATCACTACGCAGGATTCTGGGCGGAATTTATCGATGCTGGAGCAGAGGTGTGCGAGGAAGGATAGCTTGGGGCGGAGATTCATGACGTAGAGGATATTGGAGTAGTGGTCGAGGGAGTCGAGTCTGTGGGGATGGAGCGCGAGCAGGTTGCTAAAGTGGGAGTCGGCGGCTACAAAGTCTTTGGTGTGATATGCGAGGAGGGCTAAGCAGGTAAGGAGGAAGGGACTGGTTGGGAAGATGGAGAGCAGTTGCTCCAGCTCGCTGGATAATGTTGGGGTTGATTGATAGAGCTCGAGTGAGGTGTGGAGATGGAATATAAAGGAAACTATGTTTTGTGGGAGGTGCTGGGAGATTCGATTTAACTAAGTAGCTATTAGCACTGATTTTAAAGGGGGAATAGTAGCGTACGTCTTCCACCCGTCCGATCAAGGAGGTCATCTCCAACCAGCATCCCCAATTCATCGGATAAAGATGGACGCTTCGTAGCAGCCAGCGCATAGCTTCTTCCTCGCTTTTATCTTTTGATAAGACCATGCCGTACCTATTACATTAGTAATGCCCAGCAGTTGGTGATATCAGGCGGTGACTTACAGATACTCTAACCATCCTTGGCTTCCAATTACCTCCCCGGCCTCATTTGATCTTTCGTGAAACCATTTCTCTAGAAACTGTCTTATGGCCACCAACTGCTTGTTAACTGCACTCCCACCGTCGTGAGGACCCATGACCATCTCACTATCTTCATCTTTTCTTTTCTCGCCAGACATATATTTCGCGTATAGAGCTAAGAACATGCTTTTCTGACTCATTCTCGGTATATCCGCTGCCAGGGAACTATTATTTCGTCCTAACGTAGCTTTGGCTTTGCCTTTTCCTTTCGGAGACGCAATATTTTGAGCAGTGTTTGACGATGTTGAGGACAAAATTCCAGCCAGAACCGTATCTGGCAGAAAGACGGCCGCACATCGATCGAATTCTCGACAATCGAAGAATGACTTCGCTAGAAGATATTGATTTATCTCTTTCGCCTCAAGTGCTGATTCCTCCGGGTCGAGATTGCCAGTCACGACAATTGGAGGTAGTCCTTCCGTTGTGACCTCGGTCATTTGAGAGTCCTCCGGTTCAGAGGGCTCGTCCGGGGTAGGAATCGATGTCAGGAGCTCTGCTGCCCTTTGCCAAAGTTAGTAGAGCAATATTGTAATTGGTGTTAGCGACGCACCATTTTGCAGACTGATATAAACATCGCTCTGAGCACTTTACTACTGCCTCCTGCAGCGCAGCTCTCAACTGGACTATCAGATGAGCTTTTTCATGTTCATTGAACATGATGAGAAGCTAGCAGCGCAGCATTAACCGCAGCCAAATATAGAATCAGACTAGTCGTCGCCGTGGTGTAGTGCTCTGTCGCGGGGTGCTCGTGTTGACTCGGCCGAAATCTTGGACGCGTCGGGTCGGCGAAGCGTGTTTAACTGACGGCAGCCGCTACCCAGCTGCTGATGGCGGGACGAGGCCTCGTTTTCAAGTCCCCGAAGAGAAGTACTTCAACCCTTAAGTATGCAAGTGCTGAAAGGTCTTTTTCGCAGGTTGAGACGCTTCCCGCGATCCTCATCTTACGCCTCGAAGTCGGAATCGTTTGAATGACAACACAAACAAACCCCTGTCCCACCAAAGTATTCTGCCCCCGGCGACATCGCTCACCGCCTTGGGTCCCTGTGTTCCCCGCTGTTCCCCCCAAATAGGAAATAAATAAAATTGTCATTAATTGTACAAGAACCCTCCCCCACCCCAATTCTCGATTTCTCTAGAATCCAACTCTAAACACACAAGCTGTCCTCTACCCCGGATTTGCAACCCTGAGAATCAAATCGTCCACCATGGCCAAAGCAACCACCCTTCAGGAGTTCGAAGCAGTCTTCCCAAAACTGGTTGAGGATATCCTTGACCATGGAAGGGGATACAAACTCCCAGACCAGTTCGTGGACTGGTATAAAGCCGTGAGTATATACCCGGATGGAGATATAATATCAGTTAGCTGATGAGGTACCTTGCCTACAGTCCCTCAACGCCAACACCATCGGCGGGAAATGCAACAGAGGCATGTCCGTTCCGGACTCGGTGTCTCTCCTCCTCGAAGCTCCTCTATCCGAAGAGCAATATTTTCAGGCCGCGACATTGGGATGGATGACCGAGCTCCTACAAGCCTTCTTTCTGGTCTCCGATGATATCATGGACACCAGCATCACCCGCCGAGGTGCCCCTTGCTGGTACAGGCAACCCAATGTTGGCATGATCGCTATCAACGATGCCTTCCTTCTCGAAGCCGCGATTTATATACTTCTGAAGAAATACTTCCGCCAGCACGCTTCGTATATCGACCTCATCGAATTGTTCCACGAAGTTACATTCCAAACCGAAATCGGCCAACTGTGCGATCTTCTCACCGCCCCAGAAGACAAGATTGACTTGGACAACTTCTCTATGACAAAATACCAGTTCATTGTGATCTACAAGACTGCATACTACTCCTTCTACCTCCCAGTTGCCCTGGCTCTGTACCACCAAAACATTGCCACGCCCAAGAATCTCAAACAAGCAGAGGACATCCTGATCCCTCTTGGCGAGTACTTCCAAATCCAGGACGATTATCTAGACAACTTTGGTCTACCGGAGCACATCGGCAAGATTGGCACCGATATCATGGACAACAAGTGCTCCTGGCTAGTTAACCAGGCTCTCGCCATCGCCACGCCTGAGCAGAGGAAGGTCCTTGAGGACAACTACGGCCGAAAGGACAAGGCGTGCGAAGCAAATGTCAAGAAGCTATTCGATGACCTCAAGCTAGAGCAGCTGTATAAGGACTATGAGGAGAAGCGAGTTGGCGAGATCAAGAAAATGATCGCCGAGGTCGACGAGTCTGAGGGGCTGAAGAAAACCGTCTTCGAAAGCTTCTTGGCTAAGATCTATAAGCGGAGTAAGTAGGTCACCTGAAAGGTTTCAAGCGCCTGTATTGGTTAGAAAAATGGGTTCCATGATTTCTTATTCGATTTTACGATGAGCTAGTCGCTTCATAGATTATAGACCTTGAGCTTTGATAAGCCCAGGTTTGCAACCCCCCTGACAATTTGGGGACTGCTGAAAAATATGTAGGTTATGCTTGTGCTTGTGCTTGCCTATCATCGTATGCATATTTCGGGATCAAAGTAAATGCCCTTGCACATCATACTTTTGATGTTATGGGCCTCTTCCTAGCCGACTCGGATCATCCTCAAAGGTACTGTGGCGTGGGTAGCGGACCAATGACTGACTCTCCAACCCCAAGACGGTCTTCAAAGCCTAAAACAATATATATATCCAAGCTTAACAAAACGTCTGCACAAGAGTAGCGTCACTGTAGACAAAATGGGTGCAAGGTATGCACTACTAGTTTGGTGGTTAGAATGTCAAGCGGTATCCTCGTATCAAATTTAGCCAGAACGATGTGCCGTACCTGCATACAACCTAGAGCAACGTTGCCAATTTACCTAGCCTTTCCAATAGGATCTTGCGCGTTGAATGTACTGAAGGAGGGCTTTAGCTATATATTTCCGGGGGGGGGGGGGTTGGAATCTAGACGCAATCTTTCCTCTGATTCTGAGAGACTCACCTCGTCTAAACAGTGATTGCTCAGCTTCACACACCAAAACCCTCATATCCGTCATGTTATTCTCACTACCAACCTTTTCCCTCCTGCTCGCCAGCATCTTCATCTCTCCTGCAGTCGCCCAGATACAATACACCAACGCCCTCAACGTAAAATTCATCGCCTACCTCAACACCAAAAACGACCTCACGCCCAGCATCCAGCACTGGGATCTAACTAAAAGCCCCAATACACCATACGCCATTCTTACCCCACCATCCTCCGTCCCAGAGCAGCTTTTCTACGTCAACGGAACTTGGTGGGACTCCTACCACAGCATCGCCACACTTCTCACTGCAGATGATCCCACCAGGGGAGTCGTAACTTCCTCGCCTAAGGATAGAGATGCGGAAGGGCGTCGTACTGTGAGCTTGGATAGCAGCGGAATTGGTCAAGTTGGGATTGGTGTTGTTCCATTTCCAGGCGTCGAGCCTAAGTTGTATATTGAGAGTGGTGCTTTCTACGCTTGTTCGGAGAAGAAGGTGGGAGGTGTGCAGGTCTTTTTGAGAGAGTGGGATGAAGTGACTCCGGAGGGTTGCGCGGATGTTACGCTTTTGGCGCAGTGTGTGCAGGATGGTCCAGTGCATCCGACAGGCACGGATGCATATTGCTGTGTCGATGTTAGAGCTTACCATTGTAGTTCTAATTAAGCAATGGGTTGGCAAACATAAGGCACCCAAACCTTTGATATTACTAGGGATCGATTCTATAGCTTACTATATAGCGGGGGACGAAAATGAAAACTAAGTTTAACAAGGTATATATAAGGAGAGAAAGAAGGAATGAAACTTTTTGAATACTCCCTGCCACTTACATCTTGAGCAGCTGGCGTGGAAGCAGTCAACTTTACACCTGCTTCTCACTTCCGTTCAACGTGCACTCAAATCGTTTCTTATTAAAGCGAGCCGAAAACAACAGGCCAGTTACCATAATAATGGAGAAGAATACAAAAGAATCCGCTGGGGAGGTTAACCCCTTTTTGAAGCACACTGTACATGAGCCGCTTGTTCAACTGTGTTTATTCCCCAGGGGCAATTCAGCCTCGATCAACACTTCCGATACCCCTAGAGTGGCCCAAATGTTCAACACACTAAGTCCTGACCGGTCGATAAGTTCTCGCCACTCTGTCTCGGTACGAAGACGCTTCACCCCCATGAGCAGTAATTGATCCGTGGAAGTGGCGGCTAGGTTGCCGTTCTCAAGGTCGGGCATCATGACCTCATTGATGAGGACCCTTGAGCAACCGGGTCCTTTGCCAAAGCTTTCACGGTGATTCCATCCTCGCCTAGATCCTGCAGATGCTCAAACAAGCCTATGTTGACTGCTAAACGGCAATGGGCTGCTCGCACAGGCTAAATCTTTTAGCATATAGTGCAACAACTCCAAGTTTACATGGACAATATCACCACCCAGAGCAGAGGCCAAAAAGATAATAGGGAATTATACATTGCCAAAAGGAGAAAACCCTGCAACACTTTGAATATAAAACAAGCTGACAACTCACCTCTGCCCAGCCCATCCGTTGGACGGCCTCGGAGGGACGCTCGAGTGATGCGATGAGTAGCCGGCAGAGATCTATCAGAATCTCGCGGGCTTCTGGCAGGTTATCTACAAAGGAGTCTCCAGCAGTAGCTTGAATAATATTTGATGCGGGTATATTTGTCCACGCCATTATGAACTGGTGACGTTATGTCGATTGGATAAGTGGAGAATGTATACCCATGGGCCGTTGGGATCGGCGGAGGATGGATAACGAGATACTGAAAAGCGAGATGAAAATGAAGAGGAAGTGATGACCACAGCTCCCGGTCACTCACTTGGGCGACACTTGAACAGGTAGTGATGGGAAACCTTAAAAAGAACGGTTCTTCTGAATTGCTGGAAGGTGCCACCCATCCTCAACTTCTTCTTACGAAGCGGCATTCTGGTGCTAACATACGAAGGAAGCACTAGCTATCCAGACTATAATACAATAAGCGCATAGAGGACTAGAGGAAGCGGAAGCGGAGGAGGAAGAACAAGAAAATGATAAGAGATGGAGATGGAGATGGAGATGGTGCGTTCGTCAGATGGAAGATCGTGGTGTTGAGCGAGGATGGGAATACTGGGCGTTGATACGGGTACGAGTACGACTACGAGAGAGTGCCTTACGAGGAGTACACATTGTGGGAGCTGGGCCAGATCTACACACACTAGTGGGAGGCCGTGCTGATCTTACTCTACGCCCTTAGCAAGACAACTGCTACGCCCTAACCAATGTCTGCGGATGTTATCAGCGAGCTGAGTGGTAACAAGTACTGCACGTACGAAGTAGTAGGTAGTAGTACGTCTCGTATCATGCCAGCTAATTTGAGTATGTTTATCCTATTGGACCGATATTGATATCGTTTGGTAATAATATAGTAGCTATCGTCCTAAATGGGCATCCCCGATTGCTAAGCAAATAGTAGTACTCGCACAACGTGCACAGTGGGACGGTGATGGCGGTGAGATTTATAGTATTAAAGGCTTCGAATCTCTAGAAACAATACATCAACTTGTATGATTATCCCGTCGCCAAAGATGACCAACTCCAAACTCACGCTCTTTGACATCCCCAGCAAAGGCCGCCGGGCATGCTGGTCACTCAACCCCTGGAAAAGTAATTCCCACCAGGCACATTTGCTGAAGTGAAACCCTCAGTCTGCCATATCTAGGTATCTAACGATGTATTTCAGCACGGATGACTTTGAACTTCAAGAACATCGACTACCAAACCCAATGGGTAGAATACCCTGATATTGAACCAACCCTCAGCCCCAAGTGAGTAAGCCTTTTTGCTCCGTCTAAATTAATATCGTATCCCCTCAATAGCTAACACTAGTGTAACAGTGTTCCCCCAAACCCTCCTAGTAGTGGCGCGCCGGCGTATACAATTCCGGCCGTCCAATTCCCCGACTCCAGCTACCTGATGGACTCAAAGCCCATTGCCTACCATCTTGAATCCCTTTACCCATCTCCCCATTTGCATCTTGAATCCCCTTCTCTCTCTCAAGTTGAGGCTATTATTTCAGAACTTATGACGGCACTTGCGCCCGAGTCAATGCCCCGTGCACCACTCAACATTCTAAATGACTGCTCAGCGGAATATTTCCAGAGGAAGAGGGAAGAAAAGCTAGGAATGACGTTCGAGAAATTTGTTGCAGCGAAAGGTGGGGAGAAAGCGTGGGAGGCTGCAATGCCGGCGATCACCCAGCTGGGAGAAGTGTTAAAGAAGGAGGAAGGGCCATTTGTCCTGGGCACGACACGTAAGTATTCCGTTCCATTTCTCTGTCAGGAATACACCCTGGCGCCCAGAAACTAAGAATGAGAATTAATACATGGTTGGTGCTGATAATAAATTGGCAGCATCATACGCGGATTTTGTGATTGCCGGATTCCTGCAAATGTTGAAGTGGATGGAGGAGAAAGCTATGTTTGAGCGTTTTCTAAAGATCGAGCCGGCCTTGGGAAAACTGTATGAAGCTTGTGGGAAATGGCTTGAACGAGATGATCATTAAAGAATTATGTCTCTGAGGAAGTAGCTGGAACTTCACTTGTTGGTAACTTGGATAAGCTGTAGAACCTGAATATTATCCAACGAGCTATCAGGCTTTTGAGGACTACCCAGGTAGGGATAACGTAGGCATCTACTACAGTAAATCTCTCCCAACGCCGATCTTCAAAATACCGCTGGATATTTCACGACAGCTACTGGGTGAACTTGAAGCCGTCCCAATGTCTACCATCTGCCGGTGACAACCGCACAAAGACTTAGCGGGAGGAAGAGTACGAAATATTAATCCATCAAGGAACCAAACTCTCCCTTAGCACAAGGGTGGCCACTATGCCCACATCTAGACCGCAACAACATATGCTGTTATATACAACTCTAATGACTTCGACAATCCTAGACATCCCCAAACAACACCTCGGCCAAGCGGCTTTTCGCATCTTCCGGATCCCAGTCAATTAGGATCCGATCTCTCGACTCCATCATCTTTCTCTCCACAATGGTCCCATAGCGGCTCTCTCGTTGTCAGTCAAGAGACCCAATCTCGCCTTCCATAACTCATGGTTTTGGACACTTCCTCTGTTACCAAAAAATCTCTCATCTAAGTACTTCCAGTAAATGCTATCAAACGCCCAACTCTTTCTCGCAGCGTAGTTAAGCCAGAAGCGCCCAGTTTCCCAACTCTCCCGCATGTAAGTAGACAACCTAGGCGACGCGGCACCCACCCCTACCTTCTCCTCAACCTTTTCCATGGCCCGTAGCCAGGTTTTTAGGCGACTGTCGTAAGCCTCTCTCCACTTATCCATCCCATTAGGCCAGCGCTCAGGTTGGTCTAGTAATAACCACCAAGGCGGGTCGAGGGTAAACTGCGTAGGTCCCGCATAAGTAAACTCCGAGTCAACGACTGCAGCTATACTATCATCCTCATTTAATAGGACATTGCCCGCACGAAGATCGTCGCACCAAAGCCGGAATGAGTCCAGTTCGCCAGGGGCCGGGGAAAGTTTTGAGCCTTGGTTTGTAGATTGGGTAGACCAGTTATCATCCGCAAAGCCAAAGGTTGAAAGTAGGCCTTTCTTAGCCAGTCCTAGGAAGAGTTGGCGTGCCACGTATTTGTTTCGACAGTCATCGGGCGTAGAAATGAGATCGTTATGTTGAAAGACGAGCTGTGCCATATGCATCTCCGCTAGCGCGATATACCAGTCATCGGCAGTCTTATACGTCTTGTCCTTTGGTGGAAGTACTGCAGGTGGGATGTTTGCGAGGCGGATCATCGCGTTCATATTCACAGATATAGGGCGTCCTGCGACAGAGAAGGAGCCATGGTCAGTCGGGACTATAGACCCAATACAGGAAAGGCGTGGTTGTGGCTGTGAGAGTTGCAATAGATAGCCCGCCATTTGGCCGTAGATATACTCGAGCCTCTCCTCGCGCACATTGGGGTCCAGGATATCAGGCTCGTCGGGATCATTTTTGGGGTCATTTAGCGCTTCCGACAAGCTCCAGAAGTTTTTGATGTATGACATGATAATAAACGGACCAATATTAGGGCTCTGGTTCCCATAATAGTGCACACAAGGAACTGGGATATCAGTGCTATCTTTGACATACTTCATCGCCCCGACCTCGGCAAGGGTTTTTTCTTCAGGAAACTGGATCCGGCCCGGACAAGAAATTCTGAGAAGCACATCATCGATGTTTCTTCGAGCCGCATCCTGTATAGCATGTTATAGCCACCAGCCATCAATGGCGTTGTTAGAGTTGCAATCTTCCCCAACTTTTCCTTCGCAAGAGATTCCATGGCGAGACAAGTCGAGTTGGCTCGAAGCGTTTACAGTGTCTTTTCGAAGGCTTCATCATTCCTGTCCCACGCAACATGGTCGAAATCCTGTTGATCGTAATCCATACCGAATGTGAGATGGAGTCAACGCTGTCGAATTTGGAGGAGATATATTTCAAGGATTGATTTGGGCAGTTGGAATGAACGATAAGTTTGATGGTGATGGGATTGTAACGGGAGAATGTAGTATGGGGAAACTGCGGCCTGGAATTTGATGATAGATCGGGATGGGACGAGGATGGGAATTTGTTGTCAATTCCAGCCTGGCGCTTCGCAAAACGCGCTGCCTTATTAATTCCTGTAATAGGCCACCTATTCTATGTGCCTGCACTGTAAAGATGGCTAGGATGGCCAGCATTAAATGCCATGGTCCAGGAGTATATGGAGTACATGTAGAATTACAATAAACGTGCAAGTTGCCGCGGAGGAGTGCCGGGGGGGAAGGCAAGGAGCATTGGGCGACTACAGAGCCGGCGGCCCTGAGTCTGCACGTTATTGGCATTTCCTTTAGAGTTGAGTAGCGAGCGTTCCATGGTGGTTTGTGGTGGTTTGTGGTTGAGGAAGAAATCAAACCTGGCCGCTCGCCAGAATAGGATATCGGTCAAGCGAGGCAGAGCACCACGTGATGTTGTCAGCGCTCACCGAGCCGCATGTGGTTAGCGGCAGCGGACGAGCACCGACCGACTTCCTATTCTGGGAGGCGGCCACTCACCGACTCCCTTTTGGGACTTGTAAGGCGGCAGTCAACTGTGAAACGTGATCGACGACTGCGCCCCAGCCAACAATCGCATACAAGTAGACCATATTATTTGAACCACACTTATTCTATGGCTGCCCATAGATATATATTTGGGTATCCCCCTCTTAAAGCGAGTCTGAGATCGGAGCATAGATAGATACAGCTTGCTCAACCGCACAGATGTCGAACTACTCACAGCGCCTTGACCCCAAGGAGGGGGAGTTGATGTTGAGACGGAAAGTCGAATTGCTGGAGGATTTTCTTGCTCAAGGTATGATTGTTTCCCCCTTCATCATTGTTGCCCCGTGATTGCTGATGGTGAGCTTTTTAGGTGCCGGAGGATCGGTTATGAGGGAGAAGCGCTGTCAGGCGCTTAAAGCCAAAATTATGTGTATGGAGGCCAATATCGTGAGAACAGGTACGTGTTTTGCTATTATGTTACTTTTTATGCCAGTGAATACCCACTCCTACCTTGGCTTGTCTCTTCGGAACCTTGGGCGAAGGGAGAGCATATCTAATCCTGAATCACTCACCGTACGTGGGAATATTCTAGGAGAGAAAACATTCTCCTAAAGTCCCTCAATTCTATACTCAAGCCGAGCAATTTGCCCGCCTGTATTTTGACCAATGCGAGACCTTCCTTCTTTGGGCGTTGATGTTAATTGTAGCCACAGGACAAGTGGAAGCGGCCCGTTTGTATCTTGGAAACCCCAGCTTTCTAAGTCCTAATCGGACCAACCTATCCTCGAAATCCAGTGATAGCAGCATTTATGATTGTGATCCGGATGATAATCGTAGAGCGTCACAAACCTCCTCTGAAAACCCGCCAGATTTCACTACTATTGAGTTTAATGAGCTGCACCCTTCCTTGTCAAGTGGAACTCCCTCACCCAAGCGTTCACCTCAACTCGGTTATGAGTCTCCACCCCTAAAGCGCATCAAACTGGGGGCCAACGATCAAGTGCCATGCTTACGCTGCAGAATGTTGAAGAAGAAGGTTAGCTGCTTGATACCGGCAATTAGTTCTTCAACTAACCGATTATCATTAGTGTGATTCCCTAGAGCAATGCTCTCATTGTCCACAAGAAAGCTTTGACAACAAGAATGACTATTGGAAAGTACTAGGTTGTATTCGAGGGGGGTTGCGAGAGCTGGCTACTATATTCTGCCCAGGTTTGTAGTATTCCTGACTGCTCTGGACCTTTTCGTGACTGACACTTACCAGACTTTGCAAGATCAACCAGGAGAACCTTCAGATGCAAGTCAGGAGTGCTACTTGTTATTGATTTTAACTTGACCAAATCAAAGGTCTCCATAGGAAAGAAAAGGCGCATTCTACATTTAATTCAAACGCAATCTGATTTTGCTGAACTCCACCACGGAGCTTGGGATACGAACCTTCGCACGTCTTTATGCCGGATTGCCGCCAAACCCCTGGAACCTGCCGAGGCCAATAACTCACCCGCAACCAATAGCTTTCCATGTGAGGACTACGAAGCGCCCTGGGCCTTGCTCCAAGCCGTGGGTATGGATCAGTACTATTCAAAACCAACAGAATACAATGCTTTCAGTCTCTTTCGTCTTGGAAACAAATTCTGCAGTGACAAACCGGCAGGTACTCTGGTGCTAATCGGTGGAAAGTTTTGCTAAATTCCCTCTAGGGCTCCTGGGAGATATATAAAAAAAGTAGACGACTACTTCGACAAGCTGTCGAGATCTATCTTTTAGAGCGTCTATGCGGGTTTATCGTCTCAGAGAACCTCACTGGCCCCCCGCCATACGATCAAAGCAAGCTCCCTTGCTCAAATACGCTGGTACTGGTGGATATGAAAGAAGACATGGAAGACTTTCTGTGTGATTTTGAGAGGATCTGCGCGGGGCGTGCAAATCTATCCGGCGATACACAAATGGCTTGCTTCTATGCTCTTCTTGTATTCAGCATCACTAAATCCCTGCTGATTGATACATATTGTATTAGAGCCGTGTGTGACGATGAATATGCGATCGAAGCCGCATGTGATGATGTAAGCCCACGGAAAGGAACCCGCGCACTTCAAATCAATAGTGCCTACAAGTCTCTGGTAAGCTTGTTTATTTGGTCGTCAAAAGTGGATGTCATGCTACCAGGGGGAAGTAGCAATTCGATGGGCAGCATTTATAACGCACCTGCTGGTTTATCTGAGACATCGACATTAGTGCATCTATCAGGATGGGAAGAGCTAGGGTTCAAGACTACAAAGGACTTCCTCTTAAGGCTTGGGTCAATCATGTCACCCGCCGCCACTTACAATGCGTTCTTCGCGCAAAAGTATTTTTCGGAAGCTTTCGTAACATCTCGACCGTTTGACCACTCCTTTGAAATCGCTGGACACTTTAGTCACCGTATCAAGGAAACCGCGACACCACCATCCCCGATGAAGGGACCACCAAAGCCACCATATACGATCTACAAATTCAATGTGTCATCGGATCCAAGTGAAAGAGAAGAGCAGGAAGAGTTGCCGGACAGCCCATCGACCCTTTCTCCTGGCCCTGATACTCATGGCCCTGGTATATCTGGCGATACCGCATCAGACGGAGCTTCAAACACCCCAAAATTTGCAGCACCCCGACTCCAGAGCTTCACCTTCGTAGACCATGGCCATGAGGCTAGTAGGGGTGGGTCGAGGCGATTACGCGGCGGACGACGAGGTGCCTTAGATGATGCCACTTCGAAGAAGGCCAGAGAAATCCGGAAGGTTGGGGCCTGCTGGAATTGTTGGGTCATGAAAGTGCCTGTAAGAACCATTACAGATCCATAACCTGATTGTGCTCAACTTCCTAACCCGGTGTGTTAGTGCTCGGAAGGTCATCCATGTGATCGCTGCAAACCAAAGGCCCGGATTACCACACATCGAATTTGCAATAGATCTCCGTTTGCCGCTTACAGCGACCTCTTATTCCCAGGTTTGATACTACTAATTAGGCAGTTTAAGAGAAAAATGTTAATTTATTGAGTAGATGGTTATAATTCACGTTTTACTGCTGGAGTTGTGCAACTATATATCCACGAAAATATCGCCGGCTTCTCTGAGCACGCGCTGCCAGTTGAAATTTCTTGGATCGGGCATCGAAATATGGAACTACATGCCACACCTTTTACTCTCACACCTCACGGCACAGCTCACCAGAGTTATCCTGGCCAATCTAGTCAAGCGCTGGGCGTGGAATCGCTACTTGTTGGCCTAGCGCCGTTAGATATTCCTGGAGCAGAGCAAGATTGCATCCGATATTTCGAATCGTTTCTAGATAATCCGGCAAACTCAGCCTTGATCTTCAGCAATAGCATGCCAACACTTTCGAAGCGAGTAGTAGAGGCAATTTATTGTTATCACCATCGGATGCAAAGCGTAAGCTAGAAGCCCTAGGTATGACAGGCACCTACTAATATTTGAGGTTAGGTAAATACCCTCTTGCATGATACCCTCTTGCATGATGCCCTATTATCCCACCTCATCTTGACGGCAATGAGCCAACCAATTAAGTTTACGGCCACATCTGCAACTTCTCTTGTCGAGCAGCTCAAGATCCAATGCCCTCCGTCGGAATCTTTCTCGTCGCGAATGCTAGATCGACAAATCAAACAGATCCTCTATTCCCTAAACCGCAAAATTGTGACCCGACTACTTGGCAATCTGGAGAGGCTTATTAGGGGCCGCAAAGCTTCTTCCTGGCCTATATGCTTTTCCACCATCATCATGCTCTGCCTTTCCATGGAGCAGGTGCAAATCCAAGCGTGGTTCCATGCCAGCAGTCTCAAATCAAGCGCAGTATGGCGGAGGCAGTTGCCCCACGAAGCTAGCCGATTACTAGATGAACTTCCATTCTCACAGTTCTCACATCTGTTTCATTCAATATATCGGACTACACAAGTTGATAAGGGCGGTCTCAACCCTTTTCGTGGCACCATTGAAAGTCATCACGAGAGGGGTTTTGATCCGACTGCATTGATCATGATTGGGAGTTTCCGCACTATTTTAAATGATGGTAGGAGTGGTCTTCCGGTCCTTGAGCCATGCTAATCATTACAGTTCCTCTCCTGGATGGGCGCAGCCAATTGCCAGATTTGGGTCAAGCGCTTCAGCCATTCATCAAATGCAATTCCGGACGGCTGGTTTCGAAATTCCTCGCTCCATTTATTAGTAGGCCAGGTCATATAGATCAAGCAAAAAGCAATTCCAGCAAGCAGGGGATCTCACCGGACCCCGCGCCTACTCATCCTTAAGACCCGACGTCCAACTTCCAAAGCTGCCCTCATCGCCTTCATCATATATATATCCCATAACTACCATCACGCCCGGCACGGGAGACTTAGGGCCACCGGCTCTGTAGTCGCCCAACACTCCTTGCCTTACCCCCCGCACTCCTCCGCCGCGGCAACTAGCAGGTATATTGTAGAGGTTAGAATTCTACATATACTCCTGGACCATGGGATTCAATGCTAGCCACCCTGGGCACCTTTAGGATGCACCATAACATATTTCCCGCGATGCGGCGGGGAACCAGACTCAGCGAGTGGGGCCCTCTAGGTTAGAATTCCCGCCATTTTCTTCCGAAATGGCATTGCCTGAAACATCCCAGGGCTCCAAGAAGTAGCCATAGGTCTCCCTCCTCGGCGCTTCGCACAATGGTGCTTGTATTGAAAAGGGAAGTCGTGACCCCCGCAAGAAGTATCTGGAAACTTGTGACTGCGCTTGTACTCGCCTTTACTATCTCGACGAGCCCGTAGCGAAAGAACTGTCATGCTTAGCATTGGCCTAGCCTTTATGTTTGTCGATGTTAGAAACCGGGCGCAGGAGGATGTCATATACCCAATTGGTTCGGTGATGGAACCATTGCGGCTGGCGAGGACTACAAGCACCAGTGAACTGGTGGAGCTGGTGGAGCCTCAGATTGTATCAAAATTCGTCGAGCATTCGAATTTAATACCGTTTGTTTCGGCCAGACCATAACATTTAATTATAAACCAAGTTCATAGGGGTATAAAGCCTTATCGTAAACAACAGCTTTGTCGCTTTAGAAGTTTCATATTGTGTCGTGTTATAAAGTTACTACTTGCACCCTCACACGTTTATTTGGTGTTGCCATTCATCATGGCCATGGACACAAGTCGACACAGACAAACAGTCGACTACCTCAGTTGTCGCCGCAAGCCATTGCTTTCCCTTTTCTATCTATTCCTTTCGGCAAAATTGCAACCGACTCCGTAACCATCTCCAAAATTGGATAATAAAGCAACTATCATACACCCAATTTCCTAAACCCAGATCGCCGTTCATTAAAACCAAGTACTGGACGCATGATATGTCTACAACCACCTGAGGGAGACCTGGCCTTTGTTCCCGGCGCCTAGAGAATACCCGACAGCTTGCCCTTGAACCCAATTTTAGCTAATTTCAAGGTGAGAATCAAGTGCTGATGAACCAATTTAACAGCTTGGCGACGAATTCATATTCCCGCCGCTTCGTCTATCCCTAAATTCTGTGCATCTTGTGAACTGAGATTACCACTAGTGCTCATATTCCTTCCCATGGCTATGGGTTGGCCCATGCCAGCCAGTTGATTCATAAACTCGATGTCTCCTTCCAACATGAATTCACCTAAATCCATGCCTAGCGGTGACATATTCGACGTCATACCACTGGAGTAGCCTTGTGAGGCATTTTTCCCTATCCGATCTAGCCCTAGGTTGTAATTTTGTTGAAGCCCTTGGTTTGCCGGATCATCCCCTCCTCTACTTGGGAAAGGAGGCATGGCCGAAGGTGTAACTACTATGATCGTTAGATTTTGATTATCCTATTATTTGATTAGTTGGAGTGAGGGAAATGATGTACTCAGATTAGTCAATACTCCAGAGAGTTGTTCCAGATACCTTGCGCATCTCTCAACCATCCTATTGCCGACGTCTAGGAGTTGTAAATCCACTGCCGCATCCCCAAGCGTCTTTTGCAGACCTGTAGCCGGTAGCGATACTGGCAGCAGTATAGAGGCTTTAAGGGTCTGATCATGCGATAATATCAACGCTGCAAAGATTACTAGGGCTGCATTGAAAGCATAGTATAAACTAAACCACCAAGCTCCGAGCCACATCCGGCGAGGATTGGGAGAGGTCACGATAGTGTGAATGATAGCTATGATTTCAGTAGCCGATTCCACACAAATCCGGACACTGTTACCCCCCAACTGTTGAAGGAGATTGGTTTCCTGAAAATCCATGTCAAAGTTACCTCTTCCCACCAGACTCAGAAACTTTACCAGAATGGGACGGTGGAGGAGAATACGCAGATTATGATGGCGCAATGTCAGAATTATCTGGCACTTTTCGAGCAAAGGCGATATCCCACCTGAACAAGGAATTGCAGCTGAGACGTCGGCTGCTTGACGGAGCGCCAGAGGTGGCGGAAGCGACGCCTCCCACTCAACAAGCTGTTGCTCCATTTTGAATAGATGGGATACAGTATCAAAGATGTTGGTAGAGTCGTCGCAACCAAGATTGCTACCATACGATGCATTTATAACATCCCACATGATTTTGTAAAGCGTACTACAAATATGTCAGTGTTAAATCAGCTACGGAGACCTTCGAAAGTGGCCAGAAGCTCAGTAACTCACATCGTTGCATTGAAAAAATTTACACTGAGCCGTGCCAGAGAGTCTTGCGTTGGATCGGCTGGTGACGATGGCTCGATAACCTCATGGATGTGGCGGGGGAGTCCGATTTTGACATAGTCGTTGGGAATGGCTGCAGGTCTACCAAAGGTCATACTTAACGTACGATCCAGGACAATACACCCGTACCAGGTTCTTTTTCGAATCTCTTGATCCAGCGGGGAAAATCGTCGAGAAGCTTCAACTGAGTGTAGCCCAAGCTGCAGAGCAGCTTTAACTGCAAGTCCGTGTATCGTCCAAGTCTCGATAGATCTTTGAGTACCTTGCAGATACTGACCCATGACTAGAAGATATTGAACTACGACTGTAAGCTCCGGCGTGTGTACGGACTATGGCGCGACCTACCAACTTCTAGACTCGTCCCACGCATTATTTGCTCGTTACATAAAACCACAGCCCGCTGGTAGTAGATATCAGACTCAAGACTCCGTTGATCAGAATTCAGACCATTCTCGACAGCGGTGCTCGTTGCAAGCGCCATCACAATATTGAGCAATCCCAGCCATGTCCTCCTGACCTTCGTTATATTTTTTTTCTGCATCTCATCGTAGGTCTTCATGAATGTCTCTTCATGCAAATAGGGGAATAGAAATCCCGTGTCGGAGAAATATTGTGCTAAAAGCTGACGCGCTTTTGTCTCTGACGGTAACGCGTATATATTGATATGACCTGGGTCAAGACCATAGTTTTGCCGCCTCATATCGCGACCAGGTGGAGATGATGGTTGAGACACGCTGACAACGCCACTGTTGAGCTGGAATCCGCGCTCCTCGAAATTATCTGGAGTGAAAATTGGTTCGGCGATATGAGAAAATCGAGCGACTGCCCGGGATATATGACGGGTGAAGGAGATGTTCGACGATGGACCTTCAATACTATTAGCTAGCATGAAAAATGGAGATAAAATAAAAATCGTCACCAAAGAAGCCGCAATATTCCTCGGCGCTGAAAGTTACCGCACCCATGCCGTCAGTTTCATCGATAATATCAGGGGAGTCCTGGGATTCATCATCGTCTAAATCTACGCCATTTCCTTGTTGATTTAGTTGCCTGGTTCCAGGCACAGCGTCGGGCGGATTGGTGAGTCCAGTTTCTTCGTCATCAAATCGGATTTGCCGCTGCGGCCTTGCTTGTTGAGCTTTTACAGCCGCAAGACTGTCTTCAACGGCCTTTAATCTATCCTCGAGCAAGCCCAGATACTCCTTGCCCACTATAACGTTGGATGTCGAGGAGGATTGTGTATACACACATTCAAAGTTTAGCTCCTCACAGGCAGAACACTTTGGTCGCACCCCATCACACTGAAAGGCCAATGTTAGCGCACTGGACACATCTTAAATTCTTAATCGTCGCGGCCAAACACAATTCCAGCGCAGGCACAAGCAGATCACATACACGTGACTTCCGTGCCCTGCAAGCAGAGCACGCCAAGGAGACTCGACGTCTTTTGCTCTGTGGCTTATCATTTGGTGTACTGAATGAGTCTCTAGTAGCCTGGGAAGACATGACTGGTCACCACCGGGGCAGCGGATTCCTTTGACGAGGAATTCGATTTGCCCCGCAGGAGCTCCGGGAGGTCTCTGAGCGGGCTCAGGCTCACAGCTGGAGATCCCTGGTTGTGGCCTCCATGTGCGAGTTCCTAAGCTCGTGTTGCTAATACTCCGGGTCGTCACTCGAGAAGCTTGTTTGTGCGATTGATTGACAAAGGGTGTCGAGTCTTTATCAAGGCTCGAAGGTTCTAAGATGTCCTAATGAAGAGCCCTCGTTAGTTCAACCTCGGTTATACCTCGGCGCCCGTACTCATATATATTACAGGAGGGTAGCGCCACCCGAGCACCTATAAGGCGTCCCCTATTTCACACAATCAATCACTCTCCCATCTTGAACTAACAACCCCCCTACCAGCGTAGGCAACGGCCTCTAGCGGAGGGGATAACTTATTATATTACCACTTTGGCTTATTCTTGTTTATAACCTTAACATTTAGGTTCTTGTTTACCACCTGATCGCGATCACCCCTTACATCGAGTTAGACGGTTAATATCGTAGTCGTGGGTTCCATCAACCCACAATTAGGCCTCGCCAGTGGGTAGCTAACTACCGTAAGTCCTTATGTCATACCCTTCCGGCTTTGACAGGTTACCGACGCTCTAGGAAGTGAGACTGAGAATACAGGCTAAAGCTACTGTTGTAGATGACAGGTCCCAGAGTCAGTTTGGCACAGAAAGCTGCCTAAATCTTCTGTGATGAAACAACTGCCTAGGGAAGGTAGTTGTTGGCCAAGGATTTAATGGACTTGTAAGGATTTATGGCTGTAAGCTCTTGTTTCACAGGCAGGATGGAGAAAATCGAAAGACTAAGCTAACAATTAAAGGTGCTTCTATTTGTCCGGTTTACGCTATATATGGAAACTTCACACCATTCCTTAAAGTCCCGATCTTCGATATTTGCACTTCCATAACGGTTCCTGGAACCAGATACTTAGGGGGGTTTCATCCCAGCGCCGACACCTTCGAATGTTAGCTTTCCGCACAAATCGATGATTGGGGTATGGCCTACCTCCTGGGGTCCCAGTCATGATGATGCTTCCTTTCTGCAACGTTGTGCCGCTACTAAAATAGCTAATTAAATACGCGCAGTTGAAGAGAAGATCTGAAACTCCTTCATCTTGTCTCACGTCTCCATCGACAATCGACTTCAGGTGCAGTTTTGCGGGGTCGCCAATTAACCTTGAGCTCACCAAGCAAGGTCCTAACGGTGCAAAAGTATCAAATCCCTTGCTAAATCCCCATTGTGGAATTCGTCCCGCATATGCAGCGTCTCTTTGCAGTTTTCTCGTGGAGATGTCGTTTCCACACGTATATGCCGTAACGTAGCCTAGTGCATCCTCCTCAGAAACGTCTTTCGCATCACGACCTATTACGATACACTATTCGGTCAATCGGCATACATCCGAAGAGCAATTTAATCACATACTAATTCCCCCTCATAGTCCGCTTGATCGTCTTGACAGTTCTCAGGGATAACAACATCTACGTTATGATCGGTGATAGTGGTGACTGGCTTGAAGAATATGATTGGGAATGGCGGAGGAGATCGATTGGCTTCCTTGACTGTTTTAAAAACGGAGTCAGCGCGCTATGGGTTTCAACCACATACTATGTTTCGCATAGTTCAATCCGACGCATCTCGGAATTGGCACATCGGCTTGAGCTGATGGGCCTAGTAGCTCCCCCACAGTTACAACCCCATCTGTAACTTTTGTGGCTCCAGTGGTGTCGTATAGATCACTACCAGAGATAATCTTTGCCTTCAGTTGCGTCTCAGAAGTCGTGCTACCGAGATCAAAATCCGGAGAAGGCAGGATAGGCTCTCCACACAAAATGCGTCCGTCGGTTGAAACAAAACGAATTAATCGATTCCAAGCTACCGCCATGTTGCTGAGTGTATGCCGAATGAATTGAGCTGAGTTGAATAACAGATCTATGCTTACTCTATAATTAATTTGACTGGTTCCATCACTGGGTCAAGTACTAGCCTTGGCTATAGACGGGGGTAAACCGGGAAATGCGCGTTAAGTCCGCGACAAGAATACGGCTCCCGATGGCTCCGCGGGCGGTTACGAGTCACGACAACTTAGGATCCGTAGCAGAACGAGACCTTGCAAGTTGTGCAACTATTATATCTAGATGTATCTTTATAATCACCATCATCACCAACAGCTCAAGTCATAATGGGCGCCATCACAGGGATCTCGAGTACGTCATTGAGCGCATGTCCTCCGTCAAGACTGCCTCCGCGGAGAATGCCACCAAATCATTGCTGAGCAACCTAGAAGGTCCATACACAAAGCCTCTATAGGCTCAGATGACCAGGTTGAACCCACCGAAGCCGAACCCCACATGTATTCCCCATGTTTGGGAGTATGAAAAGATCAGGCCGAATCTCCAACATGCCGGCGAATTGATCACAGAGAAGCAGGCTGAGAAACGTGTAGCAAATTAGCAGTGCTGGCAAACCCTGCACGAGGTAAATATAGATTCATCTGTACTGGGCGTCACAATTTGCTGCCTATATTTAAATCTGGGGAGGGTATTAATATCTTTTAGATGCCCTATATACGGCAGACACCGTTCACGTCAGTCTTCAGCTCGTTGTGCGGAACGAGATTGGCCCCAGGGCATAGACATACTGCCTTTGCCATGCGTTTCATCATTGAACGCGAGGGAAGTTTACTGATGCACATGGTCGCCAGATCAAGACGCAATGGGCCAATGTCATTCTGACAACTACTTGGAACTAGCACGATCACGGCAAGGATGGCTCTGGTCCTATGATCTGGCTAGACTTCTTGGATATTCCCAACTTTGTCCATTACACAGTCCACTTTGTCGAACATTCCCAAGAGGCCCGGTGCCCAGCTTGTCTTCCCATGGTCGCGAATAAAGTAAGCATTGGATACTGCGGAGAGAGACTGGGCATCAAGGCCATACTTGAAAGCAAATAGTGATAAAGGTAGTTACTCCGCTATGTCAATTCAGAGTCTACTTTAATAACAACAGTATAGTTTAAAAAGTCTTAGGTAGTCTTGCGGAGTGACTAGATGCAGCGAAATCATCCCCTGCAATGAACGAGACTGCATCCTTAGTGTACCACGTAGTCGAGGGTCGTAGATGCAGCGAGATTGGGGGAATGAACTTCGAGTGGAAGAAAGGCGATACCTTTTGTGTCCCTGCCTAGTACAAGTACCAGTACTTTGCTGACGCCGCTGATGCTTTTTACTTGCACTGGTTCTATGACAAGCCTAGGCTAAAGGCGTTAGGCTTCTACAAAACCAGCAGTGAGTGTCTAGCGAACCCCCATTAAATGAAAATTTTCTATAATACCAAGTTGGTCTGTGAGGACTAGAGGTATGTTCTGGTATAAAAGTCTCTATCTTTACTCAACGTTTGAAACTCTTTATAAAGTGCACCCAAAATGCTTGATGAATCTTATTAGTGACGATCTCTAAAAGTAATTGTTCGTTTTAATCCTCCGCACTTCCTTGCAGCAGAACTTTCGAATTTCAATGCCAAAGAGGCTGTGATATGGTGGGTCAAGGTTGAGGAGAATTCCAACGGGCATATTAAGCCTCAGCCATTCAACTGTTTCGGGTGAGAGATTTGGGAAGTTTGCTCAATTTTCTGTCTTTTTATTGAGGGTTTGGACGACTCTTGGCCTCGTATTGTCGTACCTCGTACCACCCGAAGAGTACGTTTCCAACCCCAAGCCACCCAATGCTAAATATTAACATAGCTAAAAGACTAAAACAATTCAAATTCAAGACATATATTAAAATACATTAGGTCATCCTAAAATTCAAATCTTGGTATATTCGTATAATGTAGCGATTAAAATCTCCGGATGATTTTGACCCCCTGAAGAACCCCATAACATTAGCCAAGAGTACGCTAAATTCACTGTAGCGAAGGCGGTTGAGGGGCCTGGGAGCCGAGCCGATCTACCCCCGGAGCCCTAGTCTAGCTTCCCCAAGCTGATACTGCCGCCCCAACCCCAGTCCTAGTCGACTGTGGCGCCTCGTTGAACTCGCTCGCAGAAGAAGAAACCTGTCGAAAGCGCAAGTTACTGTGTACCTTCCCATAAGACTCCGAGCTGGTTTGAAATGGCAATTCGGTTGATGCGACGGATCTCGGGTTGTCCCCAGATCAAGGGATGGAGTCTCTGCATACAGAGGGTTTGGTTACGGTTTACTTCCAATAACGACTTAAGTTTAACTACGACAGCTTGATCTGAGTGAGTCATTATTGATAGCACGAATCACGCCTAACTCGGGACCGATTGAACTCTACCTTGCTAGAGTAAAGACTTGAGCTGCTCTCTATGTCCTATTGTAGATACACACGGTTGGCCGTTGCCGTCACATTCTTCATATCCAGCCTAGCGTCCTATGAACAGGACGTGGAAATCCCACTATAGAAGATATTCCAAAGCTTGAGATGGAGTCTTCGGAAGTTCTCAAGAACGCGCGCTTGTTCTAAGATGGGTGGCAAAGCTTCCGTAAAGCTAGAGGTTTAATTGCATTCGCAGAACCACGGAGCTAGCCATACCATCTAATCCTTCAAAGAACCGGGGAAAGGGGGTACATGGTATACGGAGTAGCCATCACCCAGTTTTAGCATTCCCATTCCCACCACCCATAAGCGTTCCTTTACTAGAAATGGGGGATAGGCGAGGTAAGCCGATTGGCCAGAGGAGTTTGCCAGGGGGTGAGCCCGGCGACCGAGTTATCGGGTGCGGGGTGAGGAGTCAGGGGCCTCCAGCTTTCGCCGGTACCAGGTAGGTGCCGGTTGAATGCCACATTCTGTATAGACCGTATCATCAATATACCTAACTCCCCGAAGATTTGTCGCAACACACGGCTATAATTCAGCTTCTCCCTGCTTGGTTCGTATGCTCCTAGGCAGCGTTCATCTCAAATCTCTGAATTCCTCAATTTCTCAGGAACGGAAGCCATCTAAAGTATCTAGTTTCGCAATGGCGCTACTTTCTCATTTTGATTTAACAGACGTAACCTTTGGCAAGTGTGCGCTACTGCTGTTGGGGATTCTTGTAAGAACCAAGACATGTCTCTCGCAAGTACCTCTAATGACATTAAACTCTTCCAGGCCCTCTACTACGTTTATGCCGTCAGGTTACACCCACTCCGAGCATTTCCAGGACCAATTTCGTGCAAGTTAACAGGCTTTCCACTAGCTTTACAATGCCGTAAAGCCAGGAGATCGGAATGGGTCCTAGAGCTACACCAAAGATATGGTAGTATGGTCCGAATTGCTCCAAATTACATTTCTATCAACGCACCTGAAGCTTTGAGCCAGCTATATGGGCATAAGACAGGGTTTACCAAAGGCCCCTTTTATGAAGATAAGCTGCCCTCCTCAGCCTACTACTAATCAACCAACTTACTTTCTATCTACCATTCAACCAAGTTCAGCCAGTCCTTTTCAACACCCGAAATTTGAAAATACATCAACGAAAACGAAAATATATCAATCCAGCATTCTCAGCGCGACATCTACAAGGGTTCGAAGAGCACATGACCCCTAATATCCTAAAACTTGTTCAGGCCTTCCGGAAGCAAGTTGCAAGCACTAGATCACTTGACTTTTGCAGGTGGTGTACGGATTATCCTACCACCAATTCCTCAAATTATGCTTACCCGTCGTAGCGAATTTCCTGGCCTTCGACGTGATCGGAGACTACTCGTTCGGCGCCCCATTTGGGTTTCTAGAATCTGGAAAAGACAACTACAATCTGATTCACACCGTTGACACGCGTGGTGAGGTCCTCAACGCCTTGGGCCATCTACCCCTGTGGGTCAGACCCTACATGAAGTATTTTCGATTAGATCCGTTCTGGTATAATGGGTTGCGGTCCACGGCCAATTTGGAATCAATAGGGAGAGCGGCTTTCGGGAAACGGAGGGGAGAGTCTACATCACGCAAAGATCTGATGAGTTTCTTATTGACGGCGAAGGACTCTGACACAGGTAGAACTCTGCCTCCTGAGGAGATTGTGGCAGAAGCAATCAGTTTTATTGTAGGAGGCAGTGATACGACAAGCAGCACAATGTCCAATTTCATGGACTTTTTATCAAGGGATACGAAGTTGCAGCATGATATCTACGCCGAGCTGTGTCAAGCTTTTCCAGGCCCACTAGACGATTCTTGGGTTGCGCCAGAGAGTGTTGCTGGAAAGCTTAAACTTCTCAACGCTGTTTTGAAAGAGGTGATGCGCTTAAGGCCGACTAGCTCTACAGGACTGGAACGAGTGGTTCCAGAGGGTGGCAGGACCATTGCTGGCAAGTACCTGCCATCTGGGACTTTGGCCAGCGTGCCAACTATAGCTATCCACCACCATCCTGAAATCTTTCAAGTGCTCATTCCTTCACTTCTACTCATAATATTTACTAAGACATAATAGAACCCAGAAATATTCGATCCCCAACGGTGGTTGGGCCTAGATGCGGCGGCTCTAAATGACTACTTTGTGCCATTTTCAGTTGGGCCACGTGCTTGTGTAGGTAGGAAGTAAGTGTTAAGGTGTTCCCAGATAGTCCCGAATTCAACATACTAATATGCTCGTTAGCTTTGCATGGATGGAGATGTCGAAAACACTAGCTACACTTTTTCGACTCTTCACATTTAAGCGTTTGACGACAGGGCCGTCGGAGACGCGGGAAGGATTTTTTGTCAAGATTGCCGAATGCCATGTGAGTGTAGGACTCAGAGAAGGAGCCGGAAATATTCAGGATTAGCAGGAAGCTAGCTAGTAGCGTTTACCTCTATATATCCTAGCAAGGTGTCAATGAAACGATATTCCTTGCTTGATCGGCATCGGCATCGTCAGAGTCAACTTTACTAGACGAACATGACTTCGTGCTATAGTAAATTCGTTTTGTCCCAAAAGGATCTCAAGTATTTCCCCCTATATTTCCGAAATACGGCGGAACCAAAGGAAAAGGTACGGGCCCGTACGGTGCGAAATAAGTGAGCAAAGGCCCACTGCTGAGGACTCTGAGGGGGAGATATACAAGGCTAGGAGGGATAGCTTCGTATCTACGTGCCTGTGTGAGCCTATCTTTATGGGGTTAATTTTGACCATAGTGATGCTGGCCTAGATCCTGATCCTTTACTTCTCTAGTGTTCTCTGCAATGTGTCGACGCGGGAGTGGGTCGGAATGGCTGGCTGACCCCAGCCGGTAAAATCGGGAGCAAAAGCCCTAATATAAGCATACTTGCAGTTCCCCAATTTTAGCTTACTATTTATGTCAAGCAATCTTTAAAGAAGCTTCAAATGGTAGCGTCGCGATCTAGACTTGTTGCCGGGGGTAAACCGGGAGACAAAGCGCTAACATCACAAAGAACACCCTTTGAGGCGGGTCTACCGGGAGTGAGAATGCCGAAGCTGTCCGGTTTACCCCCTTGCGGGGTGTGGCCTTGGCACGAAGTTAAAATCCGGGGAAAAGCTTCCCCATCCTTAAGAGTTAAGACGCTATCGCCCTGCTGCGTAAACAGCATATAGAGCCTGGTTGGTCCCTCAAGTCGCACTAGTGCTGGCCGTTCTTGTACTTAACTTTCCAACATCTGAAAACTTCTACCAAACACCCAAGAGACCCAACAATACCGCATCGAGTCTCTTGCTATTTTAATAATCTTTTCCACAACAAATATAATGGACGAAAAAATGGACGCTGATCATATCGAGAAAGCTAGTATTCATAGCTTCGATTATGATGAAGTTATCGACCCCGTCATCGAAGCAAGGCTTGTTAGGAAAATGGATATTAGATTTTTGCCAATTGTCACCTTGATATATCTTTTTGCATTCATCGACCGATCCAATGCTGGCAATGCTCGCGTCCTAGGTTAGCACAGTCTGAATTCTGCTAATAGTTAAAAGTCGTATGCTGAACCAAACTATAAAGGAATGGAAAAGGATCTCAAACTGACTGGAGACCGATTCAATATTGGACTCAGCGCCTTCTATGTCACTTACGTTGTATTCGAAGTGTAAGTGATGCCTTATTAATAGTATGCACAAAATTGCTAATGAATCGACAGTCCAGCAAACTTACTGTGCAAGAAATTTGGTCCCAAACTCTGGCGTAAGCTGCTAGACTGCCAAGTGAACTGCAGTGCTAATCATGTACAGTTCCCTTCCTCGCCATATCCTTCGGCTTAGTGACAACGTGTATGTCAGTTCTTCAAAATTACCATGGATTTGTTGCCGCGAGGGTTATTTTGGGAGTCTTCGAAGCTGGCATAATGCCAGGGATAACTTACACGTTGTCGTGCTAGTAAGCCTAACTTCATGGGTATCAGCAACTTTTCAAATAAATTCTAACAGCCTCTAGCTATAGACGACATGAACTTGTCAAGCGTGTTGGTGCATATGCCAGTGTAGCATCTCTTAGGTCAGTTTCGCTAGTGGTAGGAGCAATTTGTCTTTCAATACTGATGGTTCTTTTAGTGGTGCATTTGGCGGACTCCTTGCTAGTGGTTTGACCCAGATCCCTCCCTGGGGTATGATCCATACCTGGCGCAACATCTTCTTTTTCGAAGGCCTCATATCGATCCTCCTAGGCGTCATCGCATATACCCTGCTTCCTACCAGTCCAGAAACCGCGAGTTTCCTGACCGAGGAAGAGCGAAGACTTGCAGTAAAGCGGATTAGCATTGATACCAAGAGCAGATCGGTCGAGAAGCTAGAAATGCGTTATGTTAAGCGCGCATTTTTCAGCATCAACACCGTGTTGATGTCTTGCGCCTCATTCTGCACCCTGCTCACGATGAACTCCATGGCATTATTCGTCCCTTCTCTCCTTTCCGGTATGGGATACAGTGGCATTCATAGTCAGCTGCTTTCTGTGCCGCCATATGCATGGGCTGCCTGCTTTTGTGTTACTGTGACCTATCTATCTGATCGAACTAAGACCCGTGGATTGTGGTTGATTGGGGCGATGCCATTCACTGCTCTGGGCTTCATTTTGCTCTTGACAGTCAACCAAGTTGGAGTACGATATTTTGCAATCTTCCTATGCTTGACGGGAGCCTTCACAGCTTCACCGACATTGCTCGCTTGGTCCGTGGAAAACAGTGCAGGACATACAACGCGAGCCATCGTGGCTGGAACTACCGTTGGATTCGGCAACATCGGTGGCATCCTCGCAACCTGGACTTATGTAGTGGACGATGGGCCAAAGTACGTTCGTGGACACGCAATCAACCTTAGCTTTGCATGTTTGGCTGTTCTGATTCTAGGCGCTTCAACGCTTTATTTACGATGGGAGAACAGACAACGAAGCCTGGGACGTCGAGATTATAGACTAAGTGGTTTAACTACCCTCGCTGCGTCTCAGTTGGGCCATAAGCATCCCGAATTCCGCTTTACGCCATAAGAAGGGGGATCGTCACTTCGTCTTGATATACTTGGAGTGTTTCGGATAGTTTGAAAAGAGTGGTTGATTACCTCTAATACTATGAGGTGGAAGCTTCGTATATATACCTTAGGCAAATATAGCACCCAGCAGCTTCGGTGTTGCAGAAGTCCTAGAATACCGTGCCGCGCATGCGAACTCTGTACAGGTTGCTAGTAAGAACTATGTTTAACTTGAAGACCTTTCATATATGGAGCACGAGTGGGTGATTTACAGTGACACTTCGATATTGCAATCTGAAACGGCCATAGAATATGGAAATTTAGTCTCGTTCAAACTGGAATTGCCAGTTAGAGGAGACTGAGGCTAGCCACTAGGGGAAGCACATACCACGGTAGAGAGCTAGAGATTGTTAATAGACGTGAAGAAAAGCATGAAATTCACACCGAGGTCACGCTACTATATTACAAGGTAAAGGCGTCTACTGCGTCAGGTACTTGGGCATTTTAATTTCTTAGGTAGGCAAAGCTTAATTGGAATTTTGGAAAATACGGTACCTTGAACTAGTGTAACCTTTGCAAATTCGATACCAATATAAGAGATCATGTTAAGACTTTTTGAATTATTTCCTACAATTGCGAAGGGGAGCCCTTGGTACATACCACGCTAATGGATTTCAGACTTTCTTCTACCTAATATATATTCGAGTCCATTTGGAAATCAAGCACAGGTATTAGTCTCGCGCCTTCGTGTTAGCGCCTATCCAGCGTCCACGTACGAAGGAGAGAGCATCTAGACTCTAACAAGACTTATAGACATTATAAGCTTCAACAAATTCGAACATCCTTTCATCCTAGGACTCAGCCCGTTCTTTTAGGTGTCTTACCCGGCGAACTGCCTTTATCCGCATTCGCTCTATTCAGTTTCGCCATAGCTACCGCGTCCAAGCTCCCATACCAAGTCTTCAGATCAACAATATGATTTTTCTCGGCCATGCCGTACTCCACAGGCGGCCCACGAACCTCAGCTTCCTCTCCATCTTTGAAAACCGCCCAACTGCTGGCCTCGCTCTGTTCAGAACGCAGGCCGAACCCTCGATTCTTGACTGAGATCACTTGGAGGCTGCGAAGCAGAACACCATCACCAGCTTGAACAACGGGCAATGCTTCTTTATACGGTCGGAAGATCTGAACCTCTGCGACGCCGTTTGGGCCAATAGATGGGTCGGTGATATTGAATGTAATTTGGTAGTGCCGTGGCCCACCTTTACTACGTTGCGGTTCGGGCGGGGTAGTCGTCACAATAGCTAAGACATCGAGCTTGTGATTCAGGTGATATCGAAGCACTTTTAAAGCAGTGAACTCGCCAAGTTCCGTCCGCAATGCCCGTGAAAGCCGTAGTTTCAAATCAGCAACTGGAGGTTTCCGAAGAGCATGCCCCTTTGAAGGGGAGTCAAGCGACGAAAGTGCCAATTCAAAGCTTGCATCGTGTCCTTTAGGAGTTGATGGTTCATCCGTAACTATCGGCAAAGGGAGGTCTGCCTGGGTGTCATTATTTTCGCCGCTTCTGGCGGGGTTTGTTGGCTGTATGTCGGTTGCATCCACGCTTGACGCGGTAGATTTGATACGTCTATGGCTTCGGCGCGGAGTAATAGTGGTGTTGTCCAGTACTTGATGTTGAAGCTCATCTCCGCCTGGTTCTACGCTCGATGAGGTAGATGTGATGCGTCGATGACTTCGGCGGGGTGTAATAGTAGCGGTTTCCAGTACTTCGGATTGAAGTTCGTCTCCGCCTGGCTCTGCGCTCCTAGATTTGATACGTCGATGACTCCGGCGGAGAGTGATGACTGGGGGGTTCGCCGTTTCAAGTTGGGGTTCGCCGTCGGCCTGCGTCGAGTCCTGTAACTCTCTATTAAGGTTTTCTTCAATCCCATCTCCAGAAACCATATGTCTAGTAGTCTCATGCCGCGCTACATCTTCGGTCGCTTCTTCTAAGACCTCCGCCGCGGTCTGCTCTATGTTGCTTACAGGGCTTTTTTCACGTATGAGTTCTTCAGTCAACGGTTTCCTCACGTCAGAGGCCGAGGTCAGCTCAGGTTGATCCACAGCAATACTGCTGGAAGGCTCAATATCTCCAGTCTCTGGTTTGGTTTCTCCAGTCTCAATATCATTTGCGGGCTCATCGGCCTGACTAGAAAATTGAGTGATTAAGGTGTTTTGTGAGACTAACACAGAATTTTGTGTGTCTAGGCCAGTAGAAAATGAAGTTTCTGCAGAGACAATCGCTTCGGACATATGAGTATGGTCGGGGAAGGGTAATTTGATACCATCTCCCCTGAATAAATTATCGTCGTACGGAGGTGATGTTGCTTTCATGTTCGGAATCGAGGGAAGCGAGGAGGGATCGTTCTCAACTAGCATAGGAAGTGCGTTTCTGACATCGGGTCCGTCATTCGCACCGTCCAGGTCTAAAGATATGCCGGAAGGGGAGCGCTTGGCTTCGGATGGAATACCCCTTGGCGATTTAGGAGGCATCTCATTGGCTTCCTCACTATGATTATCAGCCTTCGTTCTATTGGCGTCTTCGATATTGCCCAGTTCCATATGCTCCTCCTCGTCATCGTTGATCTTGACTTTTTCCTCAATCAAACTATAACTTGACTCGGATTCCAAACCTTGACCTTCCTTGTCTCCACCCTCCTCTTGTATTGCCGAGGATTTATCAGCAAGAATGAAACTGTGTCCAGAAACCTCGATATTCATTTCAGAATTGACTTCTTCGTGTTCAGCAGCCTGATCTAATGGTTCTTGCTCTTGCTCTTGCTCAATCGATCCATCCGTCACTGACTCTTCTGCTGATGCGGTGTTGGTTTGGAGTGGGTCAGGGGATGCTATGTTCTGGCTATTTTGCATCCCATCATGTGAGCCGTGTTCTTCAACATTATCAGTGGCCCGAGCTTGAGACCGGAAGTCTTGAGGCGAGACAATTTCCTCCTCGGATCCAGATAGATCCTCGGCAGCTTCATCGTCAGAGGACGAGAAATCTTGATTATCTCGCATCTCTTCATCCAAACCACTTTCTTCGCTCTGATCACTCGTTTCAGATGGGGCTGGAGACCGAGATTGCTGCGGTGGAACAACGGGCGGCCCGGGTTCGTGTGGCTCCTCGGTAGCTTCGTCGTCAGAGGAGAGTAAGTCTATGACTACTGGCACTTTTGGGGCAGAAGCCGCGTGTGGGGTCTCGTAATCTTCCATTTCATCATCATAGCTCTCGCTGTCCTCGCCCTCTTCATCTTCATCATCTTCAATGCTCTCAAGCTCTTCGTCGTCTTCTGCACGGCCATTAGGGAACCCGATGTATCGCCCGGAATCCTCAGCTTCTTCATCTTCATCTTCATAATATCCATCCGGCTCTTCTTGTGAGCCTTGGGAGTACTCTTCCGCCCTCGTTGCAGCCTGCTGTAAATAGTGGTTGCGAACGTCGGCTGCCACAGGCGCCTCTACATCCTCCTTTGATGCCCCGTACTTCTCTTCATTCATCGAGCGTCCTTCAAAACCCATCTGTGCTCGAGACCGGGTGTATTTACTGTACTCATCTTCCTCAGAGCACTCGTCCTCTACCTCCTCGTTGCTGCTCTCGGTCAAATCTGCTACTTGCGACTGGGCGCTTTGAGATCGTGACATTGCAATCGGACGAGAGGCTCTAGAAGAATCGTCTTCTATTCGTTCCCGAGCCTCTTGCAAGTCTGGATACATAACCGGCGCAAGTGGAGCACCCCAGGTAGGAACCGGATTTTGCTGTGCTAGGTCATCAAGATCAGGATACAGTTGCGAGGTCGGATGGAGAGGGGATGAAGCAGGCGAACTGCCATGATCAGGGTGACTTCTCTCGCCGGCTTGTGCAGCGTGAAATAGTTCCGCCTCCCTCATCTCATTTGAATTGCCAGCCGTTCTACCCGGAGATACAGCGTGCTGCAAGTGAGCCGCAGATTCGCGCAGGTCGTCATGCAGGACCTCAGGAACAAATTGGTCGACCGGTTCTGAAATAGATGGGTCTAAGTTGCTGATATCGTCGCGCGGAACATGGAAGCTCCCGAAGCCATCTGGATTGCTTTCATCTCTATGGCCACGGGGACTAGCCGCATAGAGGTCCTCATATCCATCCTCTAGTAACAAACTTCCAGTTGCGATTGTTTGCACTCCCTTGCGACGTTCTTCAGAGGGCATGGCAGGGCCCGGTCCAACTTGTTCTATATCCGCTACAAATTCATTTGAAACGTGTGGAGACCTGAAAATTTCCGGTCGCGGCTGAGGAGAAATACGTTCTTCTTGTTCGGCTTCGAATCCATCATTTCTTTCCTGATCCGAAATCTGAATTGAGCCGGGAATGGGTGCAAATTCGTAGAGTCTTGGAGTTGCAATAATTGATTCCTTATATGTGGCGCCTCCGACGTTAATAGATTGCCGTGAGAAACTGGCTAGCGCCTCTGCAGCATCACCGTCGTCCAATCCGAAAGTTTGACAGCCCTCGTCAGTCATAATGGGTCCTTCGTTCACTGGAGTTTCCCCCAGAATATTGACAGTGTTTCCGTCTTCAGGTTGTTCCACCTCCGGTGTGGGTGACCGACTGGTATACTTCCATACGGAACTTAATCTTGTCCTCTTTCTGCCTTTTCCGGGTACTGTCCCGTCATCTTCGGCAAAAGGGTCTAGTTCAAAGAGAGATCCATAGGATGTCCTCGCCCGTTTGACAAAAGCAGGAGATGAGAAGATACCATCATTAACTTCCTCTTGGTCTATTCGGGTCGGAGCACCATTTATGTTGGAGGGCGAAGGTGATGTAAAGCTTGGAGGAATAGGGTCTATGGGTATTACTTCGACTAGAGGTTCTCGTTCTGGTTCTGGCTCCGCTTCTGGTACTGGGTGGTCGATATCGATCGATCCTACAATCTCGGAGCCTTCCGTTCGGAACTATTCGTCTATAGTCAGAAACAATTTCATTCTTTGTTCTCGAAGTATCCAACCTGAAGACGCAGCCTCTCCGTGAACTTGAGCTCATATTCAATGCCCCTTCCAGGAGTTGCTACATTTGCCGTATCGTGTATCCATTCCACGCCATCCAGGCATAATACGACCTCATCGCCACTGGCAATATGTGATTCGGCAACGTACTTCGCGCTGGAGCCAGCGAACTGTACACGAACCTGTCCTCGAGTGCGGCGCAAGCGGAAATCCGGTTCGGCCAGGAGGAACGCGACGGAGCCGGTAGCAGAACTATAGGGCCACGTCAAAGTCACTATTGCTTGGATTGATCTTGAGGTCGGCTCCTGAAGCATAGGACTGAGTTCCGCGATTGGTATTGGCATGTGGGAGATATTCCCCGTGGTCGTGGCTGAGGCTATTGGATTGGGGGATGTCATTGTGGAGACTCTGGGGACTATCCCTTGGGGTTGAACTTGAACATAGTGTTTCTGACCTGAAACTTTCAAGATTTCCGGTAGAATTAGGAGAAGTCTCGTCGTGCATCCGGGGGCGTTGTGAATTGCGACTTGGAAGAGCTTCCAACACGGTCGCAACAGCTTCAGAGAGAGCAACGCGAATGGAAGGCGGTCAGCAGTGGCAGAATTAATCCGCTGCCCCACAGGGCCAACGCCTGTAATCTTCTTAGTTCTTGCGTGCTTGGAGAAAAAATATTGTATAACTAAACTCGAGAGCAGCGTTGTCTTGTTCGGATTCTTGTTCTTGTCCTTATTCTATATTCCCCGTGGTCATTGCACACGATCTTATACAGCATCTCTATCATCGTTTAGTCCTAAACTACCACTGCCACCGCCCTACTACCCCCACCATCTACCCGACCTACCTAGGTACCTAAGTAGTGTACGAAGTATCAGATGGGGTCCATCCTGCAGCCATTTGCCAGTGGCCGGTATGATATCAGACGGATTGCAATAATTGGAGCGGGCCCGTCGGGGCTTGCAGCAGCAAAATATCTCCAGGCAGAAGAATGTTTTGAGAAAATCGACATATTTGAGCAGCAAGCAGAGGTTGGAGGAGTGTGGCACTATATTCCAATGACGGGCGAGGCAGTCCCAGTGCCGTCGACCACTCCCGACGTTCCCCTTGAGAAACCCATATGGCCCAAAGATTCAAAATTTCCGCTGTTCTCGAACCCTATGTATGACCAGCTATACACCAATATCCCCAAGGACCTGATGCGTTTCTCGGACCAGGCGTTCCCTTCAGAATCCCTACTCTTCCCTACAAGACAGGACGTTCAGAAATACCTTGTTCAGTATTCTCAAGGAATCCGACATCTCATATCATTTTCAACGCAGGTTGATGAGGTTCACCTGTCCCACGGGAATGGAAAGAATCGTTGGGAAGTTACATCCATGTCAACCATCACGGGAGAGTCGAAGCAAAATGAATATGATGCGGTCGTCGTCGCATGCGGCCACTATTCAGTGCCATACATTCCACCAGTGCCCGGAATCGAGGCTTTCAACTCTGCTCACCCAACGGTAATTACCCATTCGAAGATCTTCCGTGCCCCAGACAAATTCGCCAACCAAAAAGTTATCGTGGTCGGAAACGCCGCATCTGGTCTTGATATTGGGACGCAAATCAGTGAAGTCTGCAAAAAGCCACTGCTGAACTCAGTTAGATCCCCATCTGCTATAAAGATGGGAGAGGAAAAGAAGGAAGAGCTTCCTCCTATTGTGGAGTACTTGGTTGATCAACGAGGGGTTCGGTTTGAAGACGGGCGAATAGAGAAAGACATCGATGCCATAGTATACTGCACTGGATACTTGTATTCGTATCCGTTTTTGGAGACAATTAAACCTTCCATCGTTACAACTGGTCGTAGGGCGCTTGGGCTCTACCAGCACGTTTTTAATATCGCACATCCAAGTCTTGCCTTCACAGCATTACCGCAAAAGGTCATACCATTTCCTGTGTCTGAAGCGCAGGGAGCAGCAATTGCGACAGTGTGGTCTAACAAATTGGGTCTACCCGCAAAGGATGAAATGGAAGCGTGGGAGAAAGACAGAGCGGCCGAACATGGGGAAGGGACAAGCTTCCACATTCTCGAATATCCCCATGATGGCGAGTATATTAATAAGCTTCATGATTGGGTGAAAAGTGTCCAGAATGGGCGTGGCAAGGAGCCGCCGTTCTGGACTCCGAGAGAATTTCATCTGAGAGAGATATTCGCTACTCTGAGGCAGAAGTTTGCAGAAGGAGGACACAAGGCGAGAACAATAGAAGAACTTGGATTCAAGTTTGAGGGCCCCGATGAAGAAAAGACGCTTTGATTGAAGGGACATACTAGATGGGTGGCTTAATTATGACTGATGAACTTGGCAAGCAAGCAGGGCGCCCATAGCCAAGCCCATCGCCATACCTGGTCACAATCTGTGGCAGAAATACCATAATCAAATGAGACACACCGAGAGTTTAAGAATCCATTTCCTGAATGTTCTTGCGGTCACCATCGTGATGTTCACTGGAAGTAAACCAAGTAGGGTATCGGTGGGAGCTGCACCGAGGGGTGAGTAACAAGGAAGAAACAATTTCTGGTTCTACAGAGCATCATTTGATATGTGGATGGGGTGTAATTGTGCAACAGATTGACAACACAAACATCGCGCGGCATTACACATATGGTGTCGTCACATGTTCCTGGTTACCTACATGCTTCGTGGTGTCAGCAAACTGACTTTGATGCTGCCCCAACGGAGTCTTTGAATTGAAGATAGTGGCGTGAAAAATCAGACATCGCCAATAGGCATCTCAAGCTCAACCTGTGCGTGCAACGAGACGGAACACGACGGCTGAATCGTATTACCAGAGTTGTGTTTTCCTCATATGTAAACCCAGCAGCAAAGACAGAAACATAGCCACACATACTGTATCTCTGTAACTACCGGTACTTGCGCATTCCTCATTCCTCGCATCGCATCACAATGCGCCGCGCCGCAGAAGTATGTTCCCATCTGTAGGTCATCATCGTGTCATGGAAGCCGCACGAGGGGCCCTCGTGACGATGGTTTTAAAGTGGTGGATGATCTTGACCACGCATCGGAATCGCCAGCTGAGTGGGGAGGAGTTCGAGCTGGCGATGATTTGAGTTGGAGGTCGTTGTTGTAAAGAAGAAGAAGAAGAAGAAGAGGAAAAGAAAACGACGAGAGACGACGGAAATATTTCCCTGGCGGACCGGGCGCTGCGCTAAGCGATCTTTTCTGGCCCCGCCTGGCTGCCAACGTAACTTGACCTTGAACGCCTCTTCTGCTCTGCTATGTTATTATCACACCAAACACCAAACCAAACACCACCCCAGGCTCAACTCTCGACTCTCAACTATCAATACCACAATACTGCAATACCACAATCCCGCCATACTGCAACACTGCCACAATTGACCAGCTACACTTCTTTGACGCGCGATACCCGATCATTCAAGCAGATCTACAAGCTCCTACATCTTTCCTTGCCCTACAACACGACGGACAGAGCAGCAACAGCTCCGTCAACAGCTCCGCACGATTTGCCAGTAATATCACTCTCGATCTCGCGCCTTTTATCAAGCCAGCTCTGAAGTCACCCAGTCTCCCAGGAGCTTTGCATTGTACCACCAACCAGGGAGCTGCTGCGACCACCCAGTCGGCCCAAATATACCCTTACCCTTACCTCAACCTTCACCTTGTCGGAAATGGATAACCTGTGGACACGCCGTTCAAAGTAAGCCATTCCTGCTATTCACTTAGTCTCGCGCAAAACTAACCTATGGGTGGCATTCACAGCACCAGCAAGCTCTCCCTATCCACAGGTACTCCACCGACGAATGGCGCAACCCCTTCCAACGACCACCCGACTCGAAATTATACACCAGGACGGCGGCACGCTGATTCATCCTCTCATAGTAACAAAAATCCTTTCGGGAGCGTATCCATGTCCCCTTCGACCACCGCCCTCGCCTCTCCAACAGCTAATGCGTCCACCGCATTCGGCCTAGGGTCCGGCGCATTTGCGTCCTTTGGATCGTCTGCAAAGACTCCAAAGACGCCTGGCGGTGCGCTGGATTTCGGCAGCGTCATTGGCTCTGGCAAAACCCCAACGGCAGAGAAACAAGTGAAAGACCTTGGTTCTAAGCCTTCAAAGGCCTCCCTTGCAGAGTCAAAATCCAGCACGACTCATGTACATAACCTGAGACATAGCTGGGTGATCTGGTTCCGTCCGCCAATCTCAAAGTCGAACGGGTTTGTAGAGTACGAAAAGACGTTGCATGCAGTAGCAGCTTTCGATTCAGCCGAGGACTTTTTCACCATATACCAACACCTGAAGCGACCGTCAACATTGCCGCTTGTTTCCGACTATCATATTTTCAAGAGGGGCATTCGGCCTGTTTGGGAGGATGCCGAGAATAGAAAGGGTGGCAAATGGATTGTAAGATTGAAGAAGGGCGTGGCAGATAGATATTGGGAGGATTTGCTCTTCGCCATTATTGGGGACCAATTCGCAGAAGCTAGCGAAGAGGTATGCGGAGCTGTGCTCAGCGTGCGTAATGGAGAGGATATTTTGAGTATCTGGACTCGTAACGATGGCGGAAGAGTTCTCAAGATCAGGTATCGCTCCTTGCCCCCTTGTTACGACTGCCTTTGTGCTCACAGATTTTCTAGGGAGACTATGAAGCGCGTTTTGGCCTTTCCACCAGATACTAAGGTCGAGTGGAAGAGCCACGACTCGAGCATCCAGCAGAGGACTGCTATTGACGATGCGCGGAAGGAGAAATCCAGCCAGCAGAACCACCACTCTCCTGCTAGCTCTCGCAACAAGGAGCAGCACGACCACCCCTCCCATTCCGATAAGAAGCAGAATTCGTGAGATGCCTTCGGATCGCCAAAGATCTATTAGGGTATTGAGTAATGGGCCTTGCTCGCCATCAGAATCCCTTTCTGTACAACTATTTGGGTTACATGCATTATTTGGTAAAAGCGATATGGATAAGTTATGGTGGCGAACTTCCTCATTCTGGGTTTAGCAATTGCTGGCGGGCGGGAGACCAATGTTTGCGAGAACACTGTAACATAGGACAGTGAGAGGGGGATTCACCCTTTTTAGGTTTAATATCCCTCGATTATGAAACGAGACAATGCAAAACATCCCTCTAATTTGTTGCCTGAGTGATAGTGTTGGATTTTACATTACAACATGGCGGCTGTGTTGTCTTTTACATCATCCCTGTGAAATTAGACCGCGTGTACCAGGCGACAGGCAAGTAGTTTATTACTACTAAGAAAGGTCTTGTGAATGTGTCTCCAAAGTTTTTCTATGATGTTCTTTGAACTCAACTCTTTCAATGGCTGCCCGCATTGATATCAATCACCTATAGCGAGGGCCCTTCTAGATCGGCTACGAAGAGAGTAGGCCATGTTGTAGCTGGCAACACAAAATCAACTCACTACAACGACGAAAGGGTCTCCCTCTATAAATTTCCTCCCAAGTTCTCTCTAAGTCTTCTCTCTAGACCTTCTCCCCAAACTTCTCCACTACACTCCTCAATCCCACCATTTGCGATCTTAACCTCAAGAAGCGCATCCACACCAACCACTGGCACTCGTATAACCAAGAGGCCAATGGCGATACAGAATTTTGACTTCTAGTATTAAATAACTCACCGTTATTGAGACATCAAGACAACCGAACCCAAACTACTACAAACAGCACACACAACTACAGCTAACTTTCCTTATACCATATGTGAGCTCACCCTCTTTCAACACAAACTCTAGGACAATCTTAAGTTTCTACTAACATATATACTTCTCTTAGAACTTAGTAACTTTCTAAAAACAAACTACGATAATATAATATTATTAGCTACCCGAGGTGAGAACAACGCCCTTCAAAGTGAGAATATCTTTATTGAACTATCTCTTGTAGAAATATAAGGTGAGGCTGAATATTTCACTTGTTCAGCCCCGCCGACACGTCGCTGCGAAGCTGAGGCTGTCCGGCGACAGTGATTGGCTACAAGCAAATATGGCGGACGACAGCACCAGCCTTGCCAAGCGGGCCGAAGTAAGTTCACTCTCTAGTTGCTTGAACGTAAACATTCCCTCGATATATACAGGCTCGCGCTTCTCTGCACCACTTCCTGCGGACGAATAACACCATTTGTTTCTCCTTTGGTACTTTTATTTCTTCCCTATTATTTGGCCATGGCCGGAAGACCTACTGAACCTGCACACAGATGGAACAAGCTCCCTCGCAACAGGTAAACCCAACTACTACGAGTACTCCTAGACCAAAGCCTCGGGTTCGCCCATCTGCATCTATCGCGCAGTCGCCTCAACGCGCCAGCAGTTCCCGAGGCAAGAAACAAACCAAGGCCCCGTCGCCAGAGCCGGAGGAAGAGCTATACTCAATTAAAGATATTATCAGGGAGAAAACAAAGAACGGCCGCCTCCTGTATTTGATTGATTGGGACGACGATCCAGACACCGGAAAGCCCTACGACCGAACCTGGGTATGACATTGCATCTATACGCTTGGGGCGCTAGATATCCACTTACTAATGGTCCATTATACATAGGAGCCTGCCGACTTCGTGACTCCCGAGGCAATTGCAGATTGGGAGAAGAAGAAAAAGGACTCGGACGAGGAGAAGAGACGAGTGAGGTTAGATAAGAGGAAAGAGAAGAAGACGGAGAGGAAGAGAGTGAAGAATACGGAGAAGAAAAGGAAAAGGGAGGAGGAAAGAAGCAGCACCCCAGAGGTTGCTAGAGAACCATCCTCATTGTTTGCACTATCAGAGGATAGCACTTTGCCTTCTACCAACCAGCATAGTGGCATACAATCCCGTACTTCAAGGGATCCAGGACCAGCAGCCAAGAAACGTCGCCCAGGCACGCCCGAAACCGTTCAATCGCGGTCAGTGTTTCCAGAGATACCTGTTATACAGGGAAAGCAAGCAGCCACCAGAGAGATCAAGGATAGTTACGAGGACGAGCTGCAATCAAGTGCCGGGAATGATTACGGTGCCCGTGTAGAAATTGGTCCAGTCTCCGATAGCTTCAACCGGGACGAATATCTCACGGTTGCCGCTTCACAAGCCTCCCAAGCTGCACAGTCGACTGGGCCCCTCAGCAACTCGTCACCTCCTTCGTCACAAGCCCAACCATCTCCACAGCCTCAGCGCACGCGCAAGCCGCCACTACGGGAACGGGTATTGTTCTGGGAGGACGATTTTGAGGGCGAAGTGCCAGATTCACAAGAATTGCCGGGCTCATCGCTATACGTCCCTCCCGAGACTCAAGCCTCGAGATCCGAGCTAGGGTGCAAACCAAGCACTCAAATCAACACCCAGGTAGACCTCGGCAGAACTCCACTAAGTAATTCAAACCACACTTCATCAGGCGGTGGAGGAATAGTTTTGACAAGTAGCGAAAGCATTGCGGGATCTTCGAGCTACCATCCTAGCACAAACTTCCTACAAGAGTCTGGGCATATCTCAACTACAGAAGTATCTAGCATAGTGGCCCCTTCGACGGAACAATCTTTGGAGCCTACGCAGGAGGTATCCCAAGAAAGCCAACTGCAAATCAGTTCTTCTCCCAAAGTGTCGGAAGATACACGCCATAGCCAGTATCAGGAGGACGAGATACCCGACGCGCAGCCGAATCATTACGAGACCTTGAGCACATTCACTGTTCAAACACAGGTATCATTGCCGGCCTCGGTTATAGGCTTTGGTCCAGAGTCCGTTTCTAATAACTCAAGCTTTCTGAATAATCCACCCTTTGGAGGCGTCATACAGAGTGTCGAATACGCTCCAGAGGTCGGCCCAAGCCCACGCACACCGGCACCACACAATTTGCCGTCAGAGTCCAATATGGAGGACCGACCTCCTACCATGCCGCCTAGCACGAGTACGAAGCAGCTGATGAGGGAGGCCAGAGCACGGGCTACTGCAAAGAGAGCTGCGGAACGAGCTGCGGAGCGAGAAGCAGCTAGAAGCGCATCAACGATGCCAGCTTCTCCACCCCCCACGATTAGCGCCCAGTTGCTACCTTTAAGGGAAACTCTTACAGAGCATATCGCGTCGATAGCTGCTGTTGAGCCAGTCTCTTCCCCCAAGCCCTCGCCTGAGGCTGATGAGGAATCAGTCTCTAAGGCTCTACGCATTCTTCCATTGGGGCCTGGTGAATATATTATACCATTACCGCTGGTTTCTTATTCGCGGGATATATACATGCAGACCATCCGAAATTATAAAAAGCAAAGACTAGCTTTTCTTGAAGAGGAAACTGGTGCCGATCTGGTTTCAGAAATCGATGTTATGCTCGGTGAACTTGGAAAGCTGTGTGACCACCAGGATTTAATTGCAGACGACTTTTCCTCGCAAAGAGCAGAACCGATCGAAAACCAAGCCAGGTATGCTGAGACAGTGAGCACGAAGTGTATCTTTCTCGCGGAATTTATCACTGCCCTCCGCCATTTTGAGAAGCACGTTGTTATCCTGTCACGACCTGGGAGATTGCAAGAGATACTCGAGACTCTTTTGATTCGCCATGGCTTTGACAAGGTCCCTCAGCAGCCCAACTGGTTCATCGACACTTCAAGGGGGCCATTGCGGATAAGCCTACTTCCGTTCGATAATATTGAAGGGCCCGTATGGTCCAATCCGGCTGATGTGATCATTTCTTTCAATGAACCAACAGGACCACAAGGTTATTTAAAAACATTAAGGGCTGCTATGGCTGGCCCAGATCAATTGATTCCTTTCGTATCGTTGGTTGTGATGCATTCGGTGGAACATCTCAATCGATGCGTTAAGAATGATACGGACGGTGCTGAGAAAAGACTCTTTCTCGTCAACTGCATATCTCAGATACAAGACGATGTGGGAAAGCTGGGTTCGGATAATTTAGCTCCTCCAGATGCAGCACATGCTACTGCCTCATTTTTGATGAATGAGACCGAGGGCACATGGCCAGTACCTGAATTGCCAGAAATTAATGGCCTCGACTTTGAAATCTCTCCATCTCCAGCTGAATCGGGGGATGGGAAAGCTTCGGGCTCGACAACACAGTCGTACGACATGTCTTCATCAGCGCAGCAGTACGGTGCCAAGCGGCAATTAGTAGGTCATGTTTTTAATATCCATTTGCTTTGATACTGATTATATACAGGGACTGGATGTTGGAACCGGTTCTGACACCCCGAAACGGCAGAGGCTCTCGCCACTTCCTGGCGAGCAAATAGACAGATCGGAAATGTCCTGTATCAGCGAAACTGCACGTCCATTGTCCTCCAACGAGATGCATACTGAAGTAGTAGAGTCGTGGAACATGCCCTCTGCTCTTGATGTGGTGCAACAAAATCAACCCGCACCGCTTCTTAACCGGGTATATATGCCATTCCATTCGGAGGTCTTATTTGAGATCTTTACTGATGTAGGCCTAGATTAACGACCTTGAAAATCAAATTCGAATTAAGGATGCTACTGAGGGCGAACTGAGGGAACGGAATCGAAACCTAGAAGCTAGATGTAAAGATCTCGAATCAAGCATCAAGGAGATCCAACCCAGGTACCAAGATGCTCTCAATGATCGTGGCCATTTCGAGCATGAAATCACCGAATCCCTTCGCCGCGAAAGTGCACTACGTCGGAAACATGATGACCGAGTCGCGGAGCTAGATAAAGTACGAGAAGAAAAAGAGGTCGCCGATACCGAGCTCGCATCTGCTCTAGAGTGGCTCTCGTCCTCAGCTGTCCCAGAAATCGCCGAGGTGAATAGGATGAAAGAGGAAGTCCGCATTGCCAAAGCAGAAAATGAACGTCTGCAAAAGAGACACGCAAACATGCAGAACGACCTTGACTTCATTCGAAATCAATACCAAACAGCCTCATTCGAAGCCGCAGAATCCAGCCGCCGAGTCGAAGCACTTGAAGAAACAATATCCGACCTATCCATCAAAGCCTCAGACAATGCAGTCCATATCCACAAAATCCACCACTCCAGTGAAGTCCAGCAACACCTTGACCGCGTCAAGGAGTTGGCGGCCGATAATGAGGAATTGGATAGGGAGTTGGAGAAGAAGACGGAGGAGTTGAGGGTTCTTATGAATGGTCGAAGACAGACCAGGGGTACGAGCGTACCCAGGAGTCCAAGAATGGGCGCGGGCACTATGAGTCCTGGCGCTAGGCCAGCAATTGGGAGGGTGATTGGGAACTTTGGGGGACAGAGTGGCAGTCGGGGGAATAGTCCAGCACCGGGAGAGGTGGGTGCGAGGGGGTCCCAATTTGGAGAGGCGTTATTCCAGGGGCCTAGTAACAGCGGAAGGTGGGGAAATCATTTGCAGTAAGGGATGGATGGATGGGTTGCTGGGGAGATGGTGTTTGGGGGGGTATGGCTTGAGGATGGCCTTCAGTAATGTCTGAATATTGTCACTACCTGCGGAGTACATGGTAGGTAGTAGATTTGCAACTAAGAACGAAAATCCAGGGGTGGAAGGGGTTATAGCGATGATCTTCTATTGAAACTTCATAAACGCATTGCACATTACTATAAGGTCGACATGTCTCTATGCTTACTCGGTACAATAACTGGTGGTACACCATTCTTCAATAGGCGAATCACAAACGAGGATGGCAAGTAATGTTGGCAAGTCTTCATTATTTATGTCGACATCAGCCAGCTAGCTAGGACTTCGTGAGCGCCATAACAAAGCCCCACATGCATCCATCCATTCCTTTGTAGAACAACCGAAAAAAGCAAGCACCGAGAATCCGAGCCGCACCACTCTAATCCTCCTTCAGAACAGCCGCGAACTGGGTTTTCGACGCGCGCACTGGTTTTCCGGAGTCCAATCCCTTCTGGCCGATCTTCTCGCTGCTGTAGGCAGCCGCATAGGGGTTCAGTCTCAGGAGGACTTGCTTGTTGTGCAGTGGGTTCTTCTTTTGGACGCCAGCACGCTTGGTGGTGGCTCCGCCCTTGGCGGCTCTGATCACGCTCTGGATTTCAGAAGAGTTGATCAAACGGCCGATGTCAGCTTGTTGAACGACGCTTGATGGGAGAAGGAAGTCCTTCTTCAGGGCTGAGGGTGTGGTGGTGGAGCCGTAGATGGTGTCAAGGGCCTTGAATGCGGCGGAGGTCCAGATGACGAATCGGCCAAGGTGTCCACCGGGGGCGAGTTGCAGGAGGTTCAGCGCGAAGACGGAGCAGGTCTCGACACCGGCGATGTTGCGGAAAGCGAAGGCGAGCTCCTTGCCGTCAACCTCAGGGTCATAGACAACGAGAGGGCCGCGTCTTTGGCGGTGACGGCGTCCTCTTAGCTTACCCTTTCCTGCGCGGAGCTTGCGGGAGTTCTTGACCTTCTCGACATCGGCGACTGCTCCAACGGACTTCAGGAGGCCGAGAGCGGCGGATGTCTTAGCAATTCCGGCGCTGGAGAAGACCTCGGAGTTGATAACCAGAGGAACCTCAGGGACGTTCGAGATTTGGTGACCACGGGCCAAAAGGAGAGCTGGGACGGAGGAGGCAGCCAAGGCGGAAACGGTAGCGAATCGCCTAGATTGGAACGTCAGTATTCTTGAGGGTTACTTGAGGGGGTAAGTGGCATACTTTTGGCCCAGGTTGATCTTCTGATGCCACTTTCTCCAGACCTTGGTAGGTGCGAACATGCGACCAGATCTGCACATGTTACCGAAAGCAGCCTGGCCAGCACGGTGGGTTCCTCCTCCAGAGACACGGGGAATACGGGCAACAGCGCGGCCTGTAAAATAATATATTAGCCATCGGTCCAACGATGCTCCAAAACCACCCAGTTCTGCGCCCTCTTTGCATCCAATATCCTCATATCGCCATAGGCCCGAGTTCGTGTAATCCTCCGCCAGCGCAATATCCAACATGGCATCCAAAGTGAAATGTGTGTACTAACCAGTACCCCAGGACTCAGCAGAGGTTTGGTGACCAGCCTTCTCGCTCACGGCATATGGTTGACGCTTGTTCTTCGCAACACCGGTGTGGACGGTCTGGACGATATCCGGTCGGATGGGAGCAGTGAAGACCTATTCAATTTCAATTCCAATCAGCTCAATTCCTATTGCTCCCGCAATTTTGCAACCCAACCCATCAATTCGCGACCAAGGGAAAACTTCGAATCGTACCTTTGGCAGAGGGTGAGTCGCGCCGCTGGCAGTGCCATCTGCCGACAGGATGGTAACGGTCGGTCGGGAAGCCATCTCGAGGGTTGATGACCTTTTTGTCGTGGGTTGTCGAGTTGGTGGAGTTGGTTGTCGATATTCGGCGCCAAAAAGTATTTCGAGGTTCAATTTCGAAATATCAACCACAGTGCGCCCTAAGCGAATTTCTTCACGTGACACATCCCGATCACTTTTTCTCGCGACCCTTATCCGGGTTATCTCCGGGACTTATCTCAGACTCCAGTCGAGTTATCGTAAATAATGTGACTCAGCCAACATTGATTAACACAACAACCAATGTATGAATCCTCACTTTAGAAGTTCTATTCTAGTGCTCTATGCCACGAACCGGAGTTTTGTGATTAACTGTTATTGAAAAATAAACCTAGATTCATATATCACCATGGCGAAGCAGCCGGAAAATGCGGCGGTGGCTATAGAATCACCAGATTCACCAGACTCCATGTTCCAGCGAGGCTTCCTTGCCGATGTATACAACGAAACAGCTTTGGGCACACCTGAAGTTGACAAAATCATCACGCGATTTCCCCCAGAGCCAAATGGGTTTCTACACCTTGGACATAGCAAGGCAATTCTAATCAACTTCGGATTTGCCAAATTCCACGGAGGGGAGTGCAACTTACGTTTCGATGACACCAACCCAGCCGGCGAGGAGGACCGGTATTTCGTTGCTATAGCAGAGACGGTCAAATGGCTAGGCTTTGAGCCCGTGAAATTTACCTATTCAAGTGACCAATTCGACCGTCTGTACGAATCGGCAGAGCAGTTAATCAACGTGGACGGTGCCTATGTTTGCCATTGCACAAGTAGGCCGTTACAAGTCCTAGGACATGCATTCCGTGATACTTGACACTTGGTGGGATTACACTAAACTTCGTCTTCCCACAGAGCCCGAAATCGAAGCCCAGCGGGGCAACCGTAAAGGGGGTGCTCGATACGCATGTCCGCATCGCGACCGTCCCATCTCGGAATCTTTGGCCGAGTTTAGAGCTATGCGAGATGGGAAATACAGCGCCCAAGCAGCCACTCTTCGAATGAAGCAGCATCTTGAGAGCCCAAATCCGCAAATGTGGGATTTAACGGCCTATCGTGTACTTGAAGGTAAAAAAGCACATCACTTTCGAGCAGGCGACAAGTGGAAGATATACCCAACATATGATTTCACACACTGTTTGTGTGATAGTTTTGAGCACATTTCACACTCGTTGTGCACAACTGAGTTCGAGTTGTCGAGAGTATCGTATGAATGGCTTTGTGATAAGCTAGGTGTTTACAAGCCGATGCAGCGGGAGTGAGTTGTTCTCTGGCATATCCTCGGCGGAGCTCTTGAGCACCCCAATTTACCCAAGCGTTAATTGCATAGACCTAACGAAACACAACAGATATGGTCGATTAAACATTAACGGCACGGTCCTATCGAAGCGAAAGCTAAAGCAGCTAGTAGACGAGGGTTATGTTCGCGGATGGGATGACCCAAGACTCTACACCCTAATAGCCTTACGACGTCGTGGCGTCCCCCCTGCAGCAATCTTGACCTTCGTTCGTGAACTAGGCGGTGTTTCGAAAGCAACAACTTCCATTGAAATCAAACGATTCGAAAGCGTTGTTCGGAAATTCCTCGAAGTGACGGTGCCAAGGTTGATGCTAATCCTCGACCCTATTCTAGTCGTTATTGACAACTTGCCAGACAATCATTTAGAAATGATTGACTTAGCATTCTCCAAGGATCCAGGCGATGGCGTAAGCCAACCTTTGTTTAACATTTATTCTGCTGGACTAAAGCTAACTGGATTGACAGTCCCATTCAGTCCCTTTCACGAACAAGGTTTACATCGACCGACGTGACTTTCGAGAGGTTGCGAGTAAAGACTTCCGGAGACTCACCCCAGGTGTAACAGTTGGACTACTGAAAGTGGCCTACCCTATTATTGCAACCAGCTTTGAGAAGGATGAGACAACAGGCCTAGTGACTATCGTGCATGCGAGTTATGCAAAACCTGAAAGGGATGCTACCTTTAAAAAGCCAAAAGCGTATGTTACGGTTTATGTTTGCTCCTCGCGACAAGATTTCGAATTGCTAATAACTAAACTTGAATTCTAGATATATCCAATGGGTAGCAGATTGCCCTTCCGAGAACTCTCCTATCAAAGTCAAGGTCAATGTTTATAATCCGTTGTTTAACTCTATCAATCCAGAAGCACATCCAAATGGCTTTTTAGCCGATATCAACCCAGAGTCCGAGGAGATCTATTCTGACGCGCTAATTGAGAATGGTTTGGCCGAGATTGCAGAACGAGCACCATGGCCCAAAACGAAAAAAGCTAATGAGTCGGCGGGTAATGGAGTACTCCCTGAGTCGGTTCGATTTCAAGGGATGCGTATAGGATATTTCTGCCTTGACAGCGACAGTACGAAAGACAAAATGGTAGTTAATCGGATCGTGAGTCTAAAGGAGGATCCTAACAAAGGCTGAAGTTATATTTTATTTAGCGCTAGAGGTCGTGTTGGTGTTTCACAGAAAATAGAACCGTCCAATGCCTGGGAATAAGTCAATTAAAACATGAATAATAGAAGAGCTAATCTATTTCCAAATTGTAGGAGACCAATGGGGCTACCAAAAATTGTGTACTTTTAGCTTAGTACCTTAGGTACCTCCACTACTACTTACCTTAACTAGTAGTTATTATCACTTACTCGCCCCTATAATTCGCCTGTGGCTTATGCAGGTGGCGCAGCAGCCGGTTGCAGCGCACAGACGTCGTCTTGACGGTTTCACAGCTGAAGCCAGCCACCAATTCGATTGAAAATATAACCTAACTGGCTATTGTCCAGTTGCCTCCTATATAAGTAGTAGTTGATATAAGAAGCAGCTCTGCAGAAAAGTCCGGTGATGATTCTAACTAGGCAGAGTTGCACTCGTCAGAGAACTCTAGATTTCATGGCGAGAAACATAGCTATACTCATCAAGATGGGCCCAGAAACACATCTCATGAAGCTCCTGTTTCAGTTACCGACTGTACCAGTAGCTCTTAAGAAGGGAAACGCCTTCGCAGCTTCATTATGTTTGCTATACATCTTCCATGACCATATACTAATGCGAAAGGATTACTGACATATCCTTATCAATATCCATCTAGTGGATCACAGAAACGGGACGAGGTTCAACATGGGTGCGCTCAACTTGTAAGTCTCCTTTCCAGGGACCTCAATAGCAACTGCTAACCCCCGCCAGTCCGTCAGGATTCTTCACCCGCTTCGTCAGATCCCAACTCTTCACCAAGATCCCCTACCCAACGCACAGCTTCGCGGGCCAAACAATCCTCATAACGGGCGCAAACGTGGGACTAGGTCTCGAAGCGGCACGACACTTTGTCCGTCTAGGCGCAGCAAGGGTGATTCTTGGATGCCGCAGCATCTCGAAAGGCGAGGCGGCAGTCACCGACATCGAGAACAGCACCCAGTGCAAAGGCGTTGTCGAAGTATGGGAGGTAGATCTCAGTTCCTACAAGAGCGTGAAAGCGTTCTGTGAGCAAGCTACAAAGCTAGATAGATTGGATGTGGTGGTTGAGAACGCGGGAATTGCGATACCAGTATTCGAAGAGGTTGAGGGGATGGAAAGTACGATTACGGTGAATGTTATATCGACGTTTTTGATGGCGCTGTTGCTGGTCCCAGTGCTGAGGGCCTCGGGAATGAAGCACAAGACTACGCCAAACCTTGTTATCGTTTCGTCAGATGCGCATGAACAGGTATATTCTAATTTCTACATATAAGTCATATTCTCTCATATCGTCTATGATAATGGACCTCGACTATCAAACCTAACTAACCCATCCCACAGGCATCATTCAAAGAACAATCCAGCCCTGAGATATTTAAAACCCTTGCAACGCCATCCACCGCTCTCCAACCAGACAGGTACAACGTCTCGAAACTCCTCGAGATCCTAGTAATCCGGTCCCTCGGCCCAGACCTCTCCGCTTCATCCAAGCCAAAGATAATCCTCAACACCCCACACCCTGGGTTCTGCCACTCAGATTTAATGCGCCATGCTGTATTCCCGCTCAATGCCCTCTCTCCTATAGCGAAACTGATTATAGGGCGTAGCACGGAGGAGGGAAGTCGGACGTTAGTCGCGTCTGCCTGCGCTGGGGAGGATACTCACGGGTGTTATATGGTGGATTGCGAGGTTCAGGAGCCGAGTGCTTGGGTCAGGAGTGGGAAGGGAGTTGAGACGCAGGGGAGGGTATATAAGGAGTTGTTGGAGATTTTGGAGGGCATTGAACCTGGGGTTACGGGGAATATCTAATGGGCACTATGGGTTGGGTGGGATGCTGCTGCCATTTGAGATGGAAGGCACTCCGGGGTAATCTAGTCTCACGAATCCGCAAGCCCTTAATACAACTATCTTAGTTGATCTCTCAAACCCCACCGTGGCCATGTTAATACGTTGACATGGTTAGAGGGACGATAGAGGCTACCATCAAATAGTCCGCCTTTTAGAATACTTCTTGGCGTGATGCGGACCCGCGACGGAAACGTGGCAAATCTAGTACCAGCTAAGGCTTGCTGGTTTTGTGGACACTTTACCGCTCGCGTCCAACTTGGAAGACAAAGAGAAATCTTAGAGCATGATAGCAGAAAGTATGCCGACGCATACTCGCCCAATACGAATAGATCAAGAAGTCAGAGACGAGTCCTTTTTGGGACAGTTAGTGTTTAAGTCTTCATTGTAATTGTTACTTTAGGGAATTCCTCAATAATGATTCTAATGTGCGAGCAATGTTGATTACTAGAGCCAATTAATCACAGCTCTAAATATATTAACCACGGAATAGGTTGTATAACATCCAACGTTAATGACCCTACTATCGAGCAAAATGCTCGACGCCCCACTATCTCCACTTTATTTGGCCCGGATGTGTTCGCTCTCACTGTCACCATCGACTTATTTCCCACTTATTTCATCAAGGATGTCTTGACGTTAAATAGCTCTGTACTTAGAGAAGGATTATTCGCTAATAAGAACTTCTTGACTTTTAGTTTGAGGAGGCTTCAGGGGATTTCTAACCTCGTCGTTATCTATCCGTGTCTCTCCAAGATAGCTTGATCATAAAATGAAGGGAACAGTTTGGAGTGATAGTTATTCGAGACATGTAGCGAGGCAAATCTTAAACCCTAGCTCTAGATGTTAAATACGTAGACGTCTTGAATTTATTCTTGGGAAAATGTTAGCCAGCCGGAACCCGTACGGATTGCCACATCATGCACTTGTCTATTTTTATTTGCATGCCATGTATGAGATGAGATATTGGTTTAAAAAAATATCTATACACGGAGAAGAAACGCTTGCCCGGATGCAGGATGCCGTGCTTGAAAGGGACAGAATGGGACACGATGAATACGTATATGCTACGGAAATGACAGGGAAGCGATGCTAAGTGTAACGTTTTGAAGTACTAGATGAAACCTATACCAATACTCCGCGTCCTTAACTACCTAGTTGTCAATCTTACATGCCATCTCAACCAATGAAATACCAACCATTATGCGATCGCTTTATCCGTTCAACCGCCTGCATTTCCAACCTTGATTCCAACCACTTCTCCACTTCTCAAGAGAGTAATACTTCGCATCTGATTCCCCGACTGCTCTCTCCCGGGCGCACCTTGAAATGAATTTACGCCCCATCATCAGCGATGCGAATCGAGCCCTCACCGTCCGCTCCCCGACTCCACCAACCATCGAAACTCAGCGTCTCTCCAGCAGCATTAGCCCACAAAAGCCAAAATCCAAACACAGGCTTAACCAAAATATCCAAAACAGCATATGCAACGATCTCCGTATCAACGGACCATTTCCTTGCTCCATCGCCAATAGCCCATACGATGGGATACAATATCCATAGGATTAAGACATAGCCACCAAGACTCGCGAACAACTTGCCCGTCTTACTATCCTTAGAACTAACAGCGCGGCGTCCAGATATGACGAGCTGGTACACTACGACAAGATAAGCCACGATGGCGAAGGTGAAGTATCCACATTTCTGGCTTCTGGTGACCCCGAAAGCGGCGAACAGGCCTAAGAGGTTCATGAGGATGTTTGCAGCGATGGTAACGACGATGCTAGCTCCGTCCATGCCGGCGAGGAGCGCAAGGTTGAGGAGGATGAGAGGCGTGGTTATAGCCCAGTCTATATAACGTGCCCAGAATATTTGGCGGTAGACGAATTCTATAGTATCGGGGACATGCTTGTGCGATTCGTGGAGTATGATCTTGCTAAATGAGTTCCCGTCACCAGTGGCCATGGCGAAGTAGGAGATAGTTCCGACGACTGTAATAAACGTTGTCAAGACGTGGAATACCCGTTTTTGCTGTTGTGTTGTTGTCAGGGTATGTACATCAATCGGATGCTGTTGGAGGACTTACCACTGGAACTCGCCATGCCATGCCTGTTAAGGCGAGGGTCGAGAGCAGCATGAGAGCAAATATAACCTAGTAAACGATTAGTTCTGGGATAATTGGAGGGTACGTATGTACGGAAGAGCGTTCTTACCCAGAGAGTCCTGGTTCCCGTCTCGCCCACTTTCTCATGATAGATGGGAGGCCCTGGTCGAACGGTGGGAAGTGGAGTCGGTGTTGGCCTGGCCGTACTTGTAGGGACGAGCAGGGATGAGGTATGTCCTTTGAAGGCCTCGATGGCCTGAGCTGGATCGATCATCATATTAGTTGGCTGGAAGTTGATGGGGATCTACCGGGTCAGTGGTGTGTTTGGGGATGGACGTAATACGTCGGTCTACGTGCCGCTCAAATGCTTTGGCTTGGATATCGTCGGCGTGATTGACTTGTGTTAGAGCTTCGTGGAAGAAGAAGCTGGATATTAAAAGGAAGTGGAGATTTAAAAAGTAGAAGAGGAAGAGAAGCAGAGGGTATTTGTACAGAGCGATGACGCGCTCACGGCGGGGCTGAACTTGGACAGCTAGAGGCCGCTCCCAGGTTTCTACGGACTTCGTAGTCCCCAGCTTAGATCTGCCCAATAACCGTTCGCATACCAGACCTCCGCACGAGTTGCCTCATGTCGATACGCCACTCCGTAACGAAGTGCATGCCAATAACCAAAGTACTGTATGGATAAAGCAAGAGTTTCGCATCCAGCTTCCACTTTTGCATTCCTGAGAAGCACTTGAGGGGGTGATTGGCCATGCCAGTACTGCAACCTAGGCAGTTTCTTGTCCGCGGCAAGACGGAAGCTATGGCTGTGGCTGGGAGCATGAAACATAAACATAAAAGCAAAAGACGTCACAACTAAAAGCATCATCATGCTATATGATATCCCATGCTAAGTGCGGGGTCTAGGGGCAGCCGTGTTTCCCGACCGGTCTATGAGTTCATGATGGTCCACAGGGTATAAGAAGGGAGAACAGGGCATAGAAGTATATAATATACGGGGTAAAGACCGTGTCTCTATGGAGGCAAAGCAATAATAGCATGGGGGGAAAGGAATTGAAGCTTGGCTACAGCTCCACGAGGTGGTAGTGATACAGCGCACACGCACATAAGTGAACAGTGCAAACAAATCCGTTGATGAAAAGTTGTTGTTGATCTCTGTCGTCATATGCTTGAAGTATAATGTGTGGCGGTGGTGGCGGTGCATCTAACAGGGGTTCGTGTCCACATAGATCATTCCGGCTATCGACGACATCACAACTTCACAACAGCACAGCAGACTCCCTTCAAACTGTAAAATCTCAATCTCAGCGCACGATGCCGACACTATCTATATTATGATTATTATATTGGGATAAGAGACAGCAGCAACATTATATTACCTCTTCTTGCAACTCCTCCTATCTATCCGAACCACAACTACCGTTTTTAAGCACAACAAAGTGAAGTTCAATACTCCCCTTCTCGTTGGCTACCTCTTTGACGCTCAAGGTAGCTAGCTTTGAGAGAACACCACTAGGAATGCTGCGTTCAATTATATATCAATTACTCGACCAGGATCCAATCTCTTGTGGCGAAGTCCTTCTGAATTATCTCGACAGACTGAAAAAAACGTAGGCAGCACTTTCAATGGTACAGGGGCGAGCTCGAAACTTTTCTGTTGTCAATCTTGAGGAATAAACAAACGAAACGACCCATTATATTACTTGTCGACACCTTGGACGAGTGCAATGAAGAAAACGTTCGAATCTCGAATTATACTCCAAGACCAGGCTCTAATCCAAGGTTTATAATCACATCTTCGCATCCTTCTCTCCAATTTCAATTTTTTTTTATCTTCTGCTCCTCAACCTGCCTCTTCCGCTTTTCGACCGCTTCAAGAGGACTGTCCTCAATCAAATCACTCTGCCCATCCAGCCCAGTCCACTTCGGTAGTCCATCCCGAATATCAACAGATCGACTGCCGTAAAATATATGCGATCTATCAATCCAAAATTATCAAATGGCCTCTCAGTCGCATTAGCAGATGGGAAATTGAACGCTTACGTCGGATTAAACTTCTCCTTCTCCTGGGGATTCTTGAATTTAATTAGGGTCGGGAAAAGTAATATCATATTGCGGCCCTCATCCATGATCGGCGAGCGACAATACGCACATGTTACGCAGGGTAATTTATGACGGGTAAGCATTTCTGAGCTATCGTACCAAACGAGATCGTTGTCTCCATGCGTGAAGTTAATATCATCCTTTTTGAATATCGCTGCCCATTGGAACGGTGCGCCTATTCCGTATAATATTATCCATTAGCACAATTATTGAATCTTTGAATCTTTCAGCCAAGTTTAAGGGGATGGCCTCAGGATTGATAATAAGTTAATCAGGTAGCTTACCATGCAGAACTTGACAGGTATTACAATGGCAGAACTTCGCATCTAATGGCTTCTCCCTAGCTAATTGATATTCCACTCTTCCGCAATGACAGCTAGCCTCATACAAGGCCTTGAAACTCTCATCACCTCTATGGACTCTATATGGAGCGCGGAATCTCCATTGGTTAAGCCCAGTCTCGACCTCGTCTTGCTCGTTGCCGCTGGTAGCGGCGTGACTAGGTTTCATCTGGAGGGTGGAAGTGTGGTAGCGTTGAAGCAGAAGTTTGGGAACAGCTATTGATTGATTCGTGAATGGGTTCAAGGAGGTGGCTAGAGTTCTTGGCAAGCACGAGTTAAGTAGTAGGGGTTTTATGCTGAGGGAAGAGAGTGAACGGGTGTGTGAAGTTGGTACAAGGAAAGCCAGAGTGAGATAATGGTGTAACAATGTCACGTGCAGACGTCTTGTGCATTTCATTTCCAGATCCTTTCACACTCTGGAAGCTGCTAAAAGCCGACGACTAAATACTTAAACTTGTACTTGTATAAAGTGTTACGCTGCACGTTGCGTAAACGTTAGTTCCTTGCCCCATGTTTAAACCAGAGTGACGTTTAGCACCTAAATCGCTTTAGGTGGACTGTAGTGTCGGCGTGGCAGCGGGAGATCATCGTGTATCCACATGACCCAGTATTATACTATTCTACATCGTTGGGTACCTAGGTAGGTGTTCATCCTCCATCGTCCATCTATCAAAGAGATGGGATGTGGCTAAATCCCTGATTGTCAAGGTATAAAGCCAAGGCGGGATACGACGACGTAGCATACGGATATGCGTAGCTGTATAATTATACCATATTTCTCAGCCCCCGGAATGGCCATTATCGACCCTTCTGGTTTTGCTGAATCAATGTTTTGGCAACCCCCGCGGCAAACCCAAGCACATTCGTCAGATAATTGAGCCTAGAAAGGAGGTTAGTACTGTTAGCGGTGGCTGAAATATGCGTTACATACTTTGCTTCATATGTATAGCCTTCCTTCATCTCTGATAGATGCCTCTGACAATCGTCCCATTTAATGGCTCGTTTCTTGGGCGAAATTCTCTTGACCAACATGTTGAACTGCCCCGTAACAGGTCTATGGTCCGAGACTCGAACTTCGTGGCGTAGATAATCTATCTGCTCGATACGATCGCGGCCTCGATAGAGTATCCGATCACACCATGCTGGTGATCGTTTCTTCTCGCTCGTATCGTAATTATCCGTTCCAACGTCGTACTTGTAAGTTGGCGCAAATGTAATGGGCAATTCCTGGAAAGAGCGGAGTTTGAACCACGGGTTCTTCCTCTTTGAGGCAAGCAATTGATCTCTTTCAAGAAGCTTGCTGAGATTGTTGGCCTTTACCGCGTTGACTACTGTGTCCCTACCCATAGTGTCGATGCGGTAGTTTAGGTCTCCGTTCAATATGCATATTTCATGATCTAGGATCATTGTCCCGTCGCCCCCTCCGATGAAAGTATCTTGCCGGACAGTGCGATCCCTCTCAACAGGAAACATTTCACTCTCTAAAATTGCAGTTATGTCGTGGTTGCGATCCTTGGTTTGGCTCTGGCCAGCTGCAAGATGGCAGTTAATGAGGCATAGTGACGTATCATCCAAGAGGAATCGTAGGACTAACGCTCCCTGGGATACATTAGACAAGAACCGAAATGGATGGCATATTACTAACCTTGTTTCCATGCAAGCCACCCATTCCCCGTTTGACTTCGGCAGCACTTACACTGCGTATTCGCTCTCGGAGAGGTGCCCTCACAAATATGCAAGTGAAGAGCCCTACAAGGGTTGCGGTATGCAGCAGATGATACAGTTCGCTTGCCGGCATGTAATCATCTAAACAGCGCGTGAGAAAATCTCGCCAGTCACGGTACTGATGGCTCATATGTTCCAGCTCTGAGTTGGGGTCCTTCTTTTTGGACTTGAAAAAGCTTTCTGCGAAGCTGTTAGCGAGGGTCGCCGACGACCGCAAGTAGACATACTAGCTGTTCTTGTTTTATCCTCTAGATCAACTAATTCTTGAAATCCAAATACAAGGATGTCGGGAGAGTCGCTGCCCTGAATAAGATCGCGAAAAAAGGTACCGTCGTTATCCGAATGCTGGAGATGATATGGTGTGGTTGCACCTGCATTCCAGGTCATAACCAAGGCTTTAATCTGTGTGAATTCGCAGAAATCTGCTTCCTGGGACTGCATTTGAGTTTCTGCAGAAATGTTAACCCTATGTTCTCGAGCATAGCGAGAACCTTACCAATCCAGTCATCTTGCAGCAAGCCATCCCATACCCGTAACATGTTATCCTGGCCGAGGGAAATAACTTGTGCCCGGTCAAGGGACCAGCAACTGCTCTTGTCGGCGATCAGCTTGATTACAGGGTCGTGATGGGCACGCCAATCTTTCTTCACCATCCATGGACTTTGAGTAGTATCATAGACATAGACCATACCAGTGCTAAAACCGGCCCAAAGCCTGCCGTCAACACCATCCAAGCTCGTAATCTTATACACGCTAACATTCACAATTCCTAAGCATGAATAGTCACGGAGCGAATAGATGCTAATTTTTCCATCAGTATGACCAAAATACACTCTGTCGGGCTTGGGGCCAATAACGCAGCCGGAGGTTATGTCTCCAGCATTTGGTTGGCTAAGTGGTCGTGCCAGCACTTGAAACTGGGCTGCTCCATCTCGAGTGGGGACAAAAATACGGATTTCCTTGCCAGTTGCATGCCACAGTTCATCCCTGACCACCACCGAGAAAGTATGTCCTTTAGGTATCCTGTAACTTTGATGAGGGGTGGTAAGAGCCGGGGCTCCAGAGCTGTCCGGTGCCCATATATGCAGTGTACCGCCATCGTCAAGTGTCCACATCTCGTCCAGATGGCGATAAATTTTAGTGATCTCGCGACGAGTATGGGCGTTGGTTTTGACTGCTGTTACGCTTTGTGACCGAACGTCTACCTCGAAGAGTTCGCCAATATTATTGCCAAGCCAGAGTTGGGAGCCTTCGTCGCTGATATCTGATGTGGGCTTGAAAGCAACCGAGATAATTTTAATGCCTTCGGTATGGGCCAGACTCATGATCATCTCCCCATCAAGCAAACTCCATACCCTAGTCAAATGGCCGGATGTGCAAACAAATTCGCCACAAACATCAACGATTCGAGTATCATATTTGGTAGATATCTCTAATGCCCCCTGTTTAAAATGCGGAGGGCGACGATTCGACTGTGAGGAATCCGGATATTCGGCGGCGTTCGAGCTCAGAGCTTGACTAATATAAGACATAGTAGGAGCAACATCTGGGGATGGACGACGCTGAGATTGGGCTACGGACGTATTCATTGGAGTACGGAATTCATCAGGCGCTTTGTTGGATGCTCGGTCGACTGTCATTGACCGTCCATGGCGTGGTGGGGTTTGTAATTGCGAAGTGGGGTTTGAAACTATTCTCTTGGGAGGCGTAGCTTCAGCGGTCGGGCGTGTGTTCACGGGTGGGCGCGTCCGGTCCATGGATGGCCGAGGAGGAGGGGGTGGCAGCATGGAATTTCGAGAGGCACTGCGAGGTATTGGGATTTCGGAGGTTGCTTGAGGTCGTGTTGGCAACGCTGGCCTCTGTTCGCCTGTAACTTGGACTGGAATAGGGGTTCGGCTTAGGCCATTAATATCCTGGTCTTTCCGCTTATTGGCAACAGCGTAATGAACTGGAGGCGGTTCAAACGACCGCTGGGTCGCTGAGGTCACCGAATGAGCTTCAGGTCGTATCGCCGGTCTTGGACCCGGCAAAGGGGGGGCAAATATTTCATTTTCACCGCTGCGTCTACTATTCGGAGGGCTGCTAAATGGCGAAGACTTCTCATCAATGATTGGGGAGTGAGGAGGTACCAGAGTTGCTGCGTCGGACCAGTATCCTAATGAGAAGGGCTTGCTCGCAATTTTGGGCTTTTCAGCCCTGTTGACCGGAGGAGGTAGTGATTGGAAAGAACTATTCCGCCTGAATTCGCCTGACCTTCGAGGCGGTGGTGGGGATGGGGGCCTAGATGAGGGCGAAGAGGGGGGTTTTCTTGGATCGAGGAGAGGCGTATGTGGTCTGCTAGGGATTCGGAAGTGTCGTGGGGACGAGCCTGCCGAAGCAGCGGATAATGGGACATCAGTTGTGAGATATGGGGACGGAGTGGACAGGTTTAGATTTAGAACCTTTCCTTTCGGAGGCGACTGCGGAGGTTGTATGGTAACTGAAGGGGGCATTGTAACTGTCGGCTTCGTTCGAGGGGTTCGTGTGGGTGACGGCGAATAACCAGCAGCATGGTTGGCTGCAAGAAATCGAAGCCCAACATCAGCTGGTTCCCTATTCCTCCCTCTGCTTTCCTGACGGTCATCTGCCGGAGGTCCTATACTCTCTTGTCGGCCGGTATTATTTCTGGCAATTTCCACTGTGCCAGCACTGGTCGTAGTTGGTTTCGGGGATACAGGGCGCGACGCGAGATTGTTGGCCGGCTTGGAGCTCGACATCTGTTCAAAATGGGAGCGGAGGGAGGATACAGGCTTCTACATTTCCAATGTTAACGAATGTACCAAGCGCCTAGCATAGAAGCACACGTACTATGGATGAGCCATCAAGGCTCTCCTCCCCAGGTTCCTGCATTCCCAACACTTGCAAAGCGAACGATCAAACCGAGACAGTTTTGGTGCCCATCTGGAGTTCAACTGCAAAGTCATAGAGAGGCCTTTGTGTCCCTCGGGCGTGCCAGTGCTGTATAGTGATTGGGGCAACTTCGGGTTTCTTCGTGGTGTGGGGGGATGAGGGAGGAGGCGCAGGCTGAGCCTCAAGGCCTTGGAGGGGTGAACCAGGTAATTCGGGGACGCAGTCGATTACTTGGAGGTTTGCGATGCCGATCTGGGATCTGGAACAGTGCGGACCGAGTCCGGGAGGCGCGTAACCGAAGTGATCGGAAAGGAGATTTCCCCCCAGGTCATGGTTTGGGTTATAGTGCGTTTCAAAACAGTCTTTCGTCTGCGTGCAAGTTATCAGTTTCCAACTTCCAGCGTGGATCCAGGGAGCCGGAGCGGAGCCAGGGTTTATTTTTGGCTTTTGGCCTGCCAGCATGGGTCACGACACGGGGCGTGCGGCCGCTGCCGCTGCCGTTGCAGTACGGAGCACGAAGTATGGACGGTATGGTTGTGCGAAGAAGAAGTACCTGCGTAGTACCTTATAAGGTAGGGGAGTTACTAGTATGCTGGTTGTAGTACGCATGTACCTATTCTATTATGTATAATTACGTAGTACTGCTGCATGCTCTGGTGCGATGCCATCTCATTCCTACAAAGTACACACGGCACTTATGGATATGGAGTACCTGCCTAGGCAGTTACGGTACTTCGTACTTATACCTCACATCTCCTCCAAGGGTTGCGAGGTAAGAGAATGACTGCCGGCCTTAGGCTAATAGGTAAACACCGCTCGAGTACGATGTACGATGTACTCTGTACGTGGGACACCAGCAGCCATCTCTAAGAACACCGGTATTTGTATGTTGTTGTCCCTGTGGCCTCGAGCTCGTTCCCTCGCTTCCCTACTCCATATGAAAAAGTATTGCAATTGAAAATAGTCTATTCGCCTTCCTTGTACAAATAGTCGGCCAAGAACAAGACCCCAAGTCGTCATCGGTACGGAGTAGATCGGGTTGCCTATTAGTCAGCATACGTAACTACGGCAATTAACCAGGAGCCAAAGCAAGATTTATTCAGATCAACGACTCCGACTTCTCAACATCTTCCGAATCACCAATCTCTTTCCCCCCAAGCAATACAAGTAGACAGAAACAATCGGCATCAAGCTTTGATCATCCAACATGAACACTGTCAGCCGCAGACCCCCTTGTCCACTTCTCGAGCTTTGCGGCTAACATCCCCAGGTTAAATCTTTCTGGTACGGACCGCATTGAAACGGATTGAACTAGTAGCTCGATATTGACCATGTCATCGTAGGGTTGGAATGGGTTCGCTTTGCGTTGGTTTGTATCTGCTGCGGCTACACAAGCAAGATATTGGTGCTAATAGTTAATAGCGGGCGGCACGGCCTACTTCTTCGCAAAGAGACAGATCAATGAAGACCGCGCAGTTCGCTTTGAGGCCGAACGCCGACGCCAGAAGATGCAGAACGACCTCGAATACGCCAGCAAATTCGGCAACCCACCAGCGACTGATTCCGCCGAATCTGCGAAGAGGGATGCGATTGCGAAAGGGGATACTGCGGGGTCGCCGAGTCGAGAAATCAACTCAGACCCTGCAACAAAGAGCAAATACGAACCAGAGGTGCCTTTCAGATCCACGAAGGGGGACCGGTTTAGCTGAGGTACCCATCCTCATTAAGCTTGACATGAAGAAGAAGGCTGTCTAGCCAGGCTGCTGTATACAATAAGATTCTCTCCGCTTGCGGCATTTGGAAACGGCGTTGGTGTCTTTAACCTTTCTTTCTATGACGATGGGGGAAAGACAGAAAATAATAATGCATATCAATTACCAGGTCAAATACATGTCAAATACAGGTCAATCAACGACTCAGAATGGTTGTTGGCAGCAAAATCTGCGTAACGCCCAGTTTATATTTTTGAACCGAAGAACTGCAACTCTAAAAGACCTCTTGTAGAGAAGTTTTCAACAAGGGTGTCCATTTTCAGCCAAAATTATGCCTTTAATATTACCCTGTGTTTAAGCTCTTGGTGAGTTATATCTTCGTATGTTCGTCATGGATTGATTGATTGGCTCTTCCTCAAGGGAGCCCGATCACGTGCCCACAAGGCTGAATTCCACGACCGCATCGCGTGTTCTCTTTGTGAGCTTCAAACAAAATACAGCTCTTTTTCCTCGACCTCAACTCGTCAAGCACGCCCAAATGCACATTCCGTCTAAACGCAAACCGCGATAGCAAAAGCCAATCGACATGGCGTCGCATCAGCTCGCCATCGCGAAGGCGTCATTTTCTGCAGGTCTCCTGCGACCCGATCCCACCTCATTATCCCGAGATGATATCGCACACTTTCATTCTCTACTCAATTCAGTCGTTGTACAGTGCACACGCTTAAACGTCCAGGTTTGATGAAATGTCCCACAGGCTATGTCAACACGATGGCTAAATTGCTCTGTGAGGATAGAAATGCAAGCATTGGATATTAGAGAATACTATCCAATCTACGGCAAGGTCAACAGCGCTGGGGAAATACTTGACAGCATTAGCAAATTCTTTCGCTGAATCTACTCGAACGGATACAACTACAAGGCGCGAGCCATCCACCAAGCGGAAACGCCTTCACCTACTATATCTCATCAATGATCTTCTTTACCACGCAAAGTACCGAGTCAACGATGCCTCGGTTTGCAGCAAGGTCCAGCCAGTATTGGTCAATCTGTTTGGGAGCGCAGCGTCTTTCAAGAACTGCCCAAAACACCAACAAAAAATATCGGATATCTTAACAATATGGGAGGATAAAGGGTACTACGCCAAGGATTATATTGGGAAGCTTAGAGAGGCTGTCAAGAATGCCTCGGAAGCTGGGGATTTTGCACCAGGAGGTACCGGGACACCTGGAAATGGTAACCAGGCTTCTACCACAAAGCTCGCGAAGTCAGCGCCATTTGTCCTGCCAGCTATGCATGGAGATCCATCCACCCCCTGGTTTGATTTGCCAGCTGGAAACCTCATGCCCGCCATTGTACCAAACTCAACTAGGCCCATCAATCCGGATATGATAAAACCCATGCAGTTTGTTGCCGGACCAGCTAGCGAGGACTTGGTCCATGCTGTCAAGGCTCTTCTAGAGAATGTACAATCGATTTATGGGATAGAATCTAAGGAAAATGAGGGAGTGTCTGGAGACATCGATGAGCTTGGGCAGCGAATCATACTCGATGAGATAACTGGGGATGTTCTAGAAGGCGAGGGATATTATGGCTGGTCGCGGGGGTTCTGTGAGAAAATAAAGCGACGGAAGAAGGGTCTGGATAGGCCAGGAGAAGGCCGTGACAGAAGGAGTCGGAGCCGAAGCTCAAGTCGAGGAAGAAAGCGAGGGCGCAGCGACTCGGAATCAAGTCTCGAAGGGTACCGGCCTATGCGGCGTCGACATTCATACAGCTCCTCTCGCTCACCCGAATCTGACCATGGCCGGAATGGAGGCCATCGCCCAAGATCAAGGGATCGATCATACTCCAGGTCACCTCAACGGTCACCTAATCCACAGCAGGCGAGTTCGTACTCAAGAGAAGCGCAGCCTCCCTCAGGTCGAGGCAATGGGTTCCCGCCTCCACCTCCACCTCCAATAGGTGGGAATCACCTGCCCCCTCCGCCTCCGCAAGTACCGTATCCAGGATTCAATCCTAATTTTCCTCCTCCGCCGTCGTTCAATGGTTCCGCTCCACCACCATTTGGCTCATGGCCACCTCCACCACCGCCTATGCATTTCAATCAGCAAAGTCCGTGGCCAATTCCGCCGCCGCCTCCCGGAAACCCACCTCCACACATGAACTACCAAACACCTGGAGGATTTCCACCAAATGTACCTGGCGGGTGGCAGGGCGGTGATGGGAGAGGATACAACAATAACTCATGGAACAATGGACACCGGGGAGGCAGAGGAGGAAATTATCGTGGCAGGGGCTGGTCTTAAAATCTCTGTACCATATGACTATTACGAACAAGAACGCTACGCGCACGCCAGCGAGCAACCCAGCCTTCTCGGAGCCAGTTAGGCTTTACAATCTGTCGCACTTTACTGCCACCTGAACTGCGCACTGGTACCAGCAACATAGTGTAATATATGTGACCCCCACACTCATCCGTTATCTGCATATGCCTTATGCTTGCGTGCATGCTGCAGCAAGCAGAGAACCTAGCCCACAACATGTCGTGCAATCGTAATGTACCTGTCCCAGCCCATCAAATCACCACCCCTCTAATAAACATTACCTTGCCCACCAAACCCCACCCTACAACACACCACAACTCTACGTAGGTGCACTATACCAGCTCAGCTTTATCAACTTCTCGGCCCCTCACCGAGAAACTACGCCGCCTCTAACCGCTCACGTTACATTCCAGGGTACAGTATTTTGTATTTACCAACGGCTTCGATCCGTGCTGCATATATGCGGGACCCCACTCATGCACTTAGTGCGCTCAATTACTGCAAACGCCGGTACTTGTACACAATTAAATTCTATGCAAAATCAAAGCAAGCAGAACACATGCGAAACAGCCATTCCTGGTCGGAAAATATAACTTGCTAGTTATCTGAGTCATTATCGCTGCAAGATTTGGTGCGCAAAATCAGGGATTCCTTGGTTTCCTTGGTGAGGTTTTGGCCTTAATAGGCCAAGTAGGACAAGTTTGCCTTCTAAGTAACGATATTCAGCGCGCCGAGTCGCTTCGTTTAACAACCACCTGCGTGCCTCCATGCTCTTCCTTGCTACAACTCCCATACCATCGCCATACTTTTCTCTTAGCCGCGAGTCGAAGAATTCCATTGACAACCAACCTCTGAAACCTGTGTCTAACACGGCTTTGGTAACTTTCATGACAGGGAGATATCCACCATCGAACGGCATTGACCTGTAGTCATGGCTCCATCTCGTTCTCGGACGCAGAGCATTCTCGTCCGACTCCGTGGAGAGTAGTGGAGAGACTTTGTAGGCATCGGAAATCTGCAGGAAGTAGATCTTGCCCTTGGGTGCGGTTGCTGTCAGGTCCCGCAAGCTCTCGGCAAGGCGGTCTTCGAGCACCTGGCCGTATATCCTGTCTCCTTCGAGCCCTGATTCTGTGGTTGGGTTGGCCCACTCGCTGCCGGCAGTTTAGAAGGTATCCAGACAGCGGCTGGTGTGCCCCCTATCAGCATTGCGTACGATGTCCCATACAGACTGCCAGGTGGGCGCGCAGTTGGCCCAGCACCAGTTCTCATAAGCAATGCGGGAACCCTTGGGTGCTAGGAGATCGGCAAGATCAGCAAGATCAGTAGCGAGCTAGCCTTGCGAAGTTGGTATATCTGGAGAGTCGGACGAGCCAGCCGCGCCACTATCTGCATCCACCCTCGCGCTCTCTCAAACGAATCTTTGCCCTCCGAGGAGCCCTTTGCCCATCCCTCGAAGTGCGAGAAGGGCTGCAGAATCAGAATTTCCGGCCTAGCGCCTCGCACATGCGGCGCACTGCCTTCCCTGCCGTGCAAAGGTCCTCACAGTCCCCTTTGAACACCTCTTTCTTCAGTAAATCGTTAGCGAAGCCAAGGAGGTCGGGAATGGAGTTTTCAATCGCATCAAACCCCGCGGAGGATATTGCGTTAAGCTTTTGTGGTAGTGTATCTGATGGCTTGGTGCCAATAGCGCAGCTGGCGTAGCAAGTCGGGATCAGGCTTCCAGAATATCGATTGGCATGTTGATATTAGGAATGGATCTGGGACACTTCTGCGACTTTGGAGGAGGATGAATGATAAGATGTCAATTCCGTTCAAAGTCACATCCCTCAGGGTCCTACTCGTGATGTCGCCACTATTTACCATTCAAGGTTATATCGGCGTCCATCTCTATCTCAAGCTAACCCTCCAGTCCCTCGCCGTCTAACAACTAGAATGTTGTATGACATTAGTTGATGAAATACCTCAATCAGATGTCGTATGGTGGAGTTCACGCGTGGGACTTCGGTGGATATCAGGCTTCAAACCCCTTGGGCCACCTACCACCGTCCAAATACCACGTTTGTTAGACAGGTAGGAATGGAGATATGCTAGAAGCATTTCCAAATGACATCAGTTGATCTATTACAAACGCTCCAATAATGTTCACATCGCTCCATAGCTGCACAGCGAATTTATTCACAGACCTTTCTGGAGCCATTACAGCTGAAAAGAGGCACAATTCCCGGTGCAAGATATTGTTCCCGGAAGCCCATTATCGGTAATTTCGGGTGATGGGTTGGGGCTGAGGCTCTCTACCAGAGTGCATACCCATGAGCTACGAAACCCGGGATAAACCCCTCACAAGAGAGCAGACTCAGCATGGAGTTGACTTGAAAACTGTGCTTAGGGTAAGATTGGTGGTCACTTGAGAGTACGAATGACCGGGTGAGATAGGATGAGCTAGAAAGAATTGAATGGGTAGGGGTCTTTGAGCTGAGTAGAGTCTACGAAGTACAGTCGGGAGACCCAGAACCGGCGCGGTGGTGGCTCCATGGATAGCGCACCCAACGATAACAAAATACCTTCCAATGGTAAAAGGAGAAATATATGGGAACGTGGATGGCATTCTTTCCTACTCTTTGGTAGAGTTTGTCTTTGAAACGCAGTATCTCTGATAGCCGGCTCCCATTCTATTTTGTAGGCTTTAGACAGAGGCTAATGATACGGCAGTATTCCGCAGCAAAATAAAGTTGCAACTGAAATGAGGAGAGAACGCAAAGGCCAATTGCGAGATTTCTATACAATTGTATGGGAAGTTCGGAATCCCAGAGACCCTGTGGGGTAGACTATTGAGAAGGGCGAGTGGCATAGACTGTGAAACCCAGCATCTATCGCAGCCTCCCAAGAGCCGTTGCTAAATACTAGGTGCCTCTTCCGAGCCAATATTGGCATTTTGCCGATGCAAAGTAGATCCATAGATGCTGGTCCCGGGCACAGCCCGTAAGATGGATGAGGGAAGGAGAGCACAAGAAGACGACATGTAAGCAGATAATTCGAACATTGCAGCGCCATAGACGTCATCCAACACAGGAATATAACTCCGGAATTATTGATTTAAGCGCAATATCCCAACCTCAGCCGGGGTCTATCCTATTGCAGAATTACACGCATACAGCCATGCATACAATCATACCTTGCCTACCTGCCTACCTTACTCGTAGCTGTCTAGAGGTACTGTACAGGTACCTACATAAGATACCTTCCTTACCTTGCTTGAGTAACAGCCCTCTCTTAATATTCCATTGTTTGCGCTTTACCTGTCTGCTAGCACCCCGGAAACCCCCACGCAAACCCTAATCTAGCAGCAGACCAACTGCAGCACTAGCCACGACTACTTGCTCTGCAGTTCTATCCTCGACTTCTCTTATCAACCGTCATCGCTTTGTGGCGCCTGGCAACCGTCGTCGTACTGGTCCGTTTCATGCACGTCGCGCAGCATCCGGCCTGATATTGGCACAGATAGATCGCTGGCTTGAGAGGGGAGATCCTGAATACCCCCGCTGCGCTGCATCGTCGAGGTGCGAGGCAATATACTGGTATTTGCGGACAGGAGAATAAGAAGGGCTTCTCATCCCCTCGACCTCCTACACCACACACCGCACCCACCAAACAGATTCAGCTGAGCTGAGACAATTCCGCCTTTTCTGTCTGGCTATTTCGTAGCGATCCCCATCCAGGCCAGGAGGATTATACGAGTGCTATCGTGGTGGATCAGCTGAACCCTCTCCGTTTTGTGTCTTTGTCGTTGCCCTCACACTGCGATCCGATCCGATCCAGCCTTCCATCCTCCAGACAACAAGCTCAATTTATTTCCTCCCCTTTCTCTCTCACCTGCTTCTTGCACCGCTTCAGCCACACTCCGCGGTGCTGATGGTGATTGCGCGTGTGTGACTCGCCGCCCGAGACATCCGTTCGTGACCGCAGCCAGACGACTACGCCTCACTCCTCCACATGACGATCTAGCCCATCAAACTGGGTCGTATTAATATCCTGCCATCGTCATTCTATTCAACTAGGTTGCAGTGTTTGGGAACCGGTGGCTGCAAGGTACTGTTTCTACGAAGGTCAGGCTGCATCCAGGAATATAGAAACATCATGACTGCCCAGATTTCCTTCATTGTAAGTTATCTTGTTTGATTCATTTTGCTCATCACCATTTCCTCGGCCAATCTTCCGGATGACTGAATTTCCTTGGTTTGTTTAAGTCACCCATCCACACAAGGCTGTGGGCGTGCACACCGGGCCATCATTACCCATTGAATACATTCGTTCATCATGGGTCAGGGCCTTGCCCAGATAAATCAAGCGTATCCAAGTGCGTCGATCATCTATACCCCCAATATCCATCTCATAGGCATGTGGAGCTTCCATTCATGTCCGGGTATATCAACGTCAAGCCGATCCTGTACAATGATACTGACGGCCAACAGGAGGGTCAATTCAGCCTCATACATATTCCCTTGCATCTTTACTCCTCCCTCCTCCAGCCCATATTACGAGTCCTCCTACCAAATGGAGGCCCAATACACAACGAGGATCCTGAAGGTCCACTTGAAGGAGTCTCGGTCGATAACAAGCACGGTTTTCTCAATATTAGCGTAACACCAATAGAGTGCTCTATCGTCTGCCACAAGACATGGGCGCAAAACGTCTTCGACCCGGTCATCGGGCGGCTTCCAGAAGAGCTATCAAAACAAGTGCAAATCTCGAAAGACACCTATATGGTCTTCTCGGTCAGCAGTGCCGGTATGGAAGCCGGCCAGCGGGTCATGGATTTGACAGCACCGCTCGCCATGGCGGGGATTCCGATATTCTTCATCACAACCTACTATACGGACTTCATCCTGGTCCCGAGTAAAGACCGGCAGACAGTTGGGGAAGTGCTCCTAGAGCGAGGTTTTGAGTTCTCCGAAAATGATTCCGCCTACGTCGCTCCTATAGCCTTCGCACACGCCCGGTCCCCAAGCGTATCCTCTGAGCCATCTACACCGCCACCTACCAATGTGCCTGATCTCCAAGCCCGCACTTTTTCCCATCTCAAAAAGCGAAGCGTAGTACCGTTCGTAGAACCGAACCTCCATCTCGTGCAATGCTCGGGCAAAGAAATCCTGTCCGGAGACGATTACCTAAACCGTAACATGAACGGCAACAGCTCAAACGGAAATCACAACGGGCATTCCTGGCTCGATAACATTGATCCGAAGCTCTATATAGGCATCGTCTCGGCGCTCGTACAACGCCCACGATTCCTCTCCATCACACTGGCACAAGATGATGCGCCGTCTCTCCTCCTCGATAAAAACTTACTTTACCTTTTCGGGAACTCAATAGCGGGAGATATGGACTGTGATCTCGTGCCCATCTTCCTAGACCTTGCGAACCTCCCATTCGAAAGCACTGGTATCGTTTGCGGCGTGGCGGGCAAGTTAGTCGATGAGATGAGAGGTCTACAGGCAATAAACCAGGAGGAGGGTAGCTTGCCGGAACTCAGCTATTCGAGTACGGCGAGAGCGGGAGCGGTGGTGTTGAGCTGTGAGGAGAGTGTTAGGGCATTGAGCATTTTATTGCCTTTACTGGAGACAGCCGAGGTGACTTGAACGGCAAGTTCTCAGCTGGATAGATCTTCCAGTAATAAAACGAAACACAACTCATGAGGATGCACCAGGGCAAGCGGGGGGGGATCGTCCCATCAGGCCACCGGAACGAGTCGCGGGGCCAGTACGGGGTAGCTCTCAACATCCTCCCGCTGCTCATAAACAGCTGGTACACAACCTGTCACTATCTAATTAAGCACGCAAAGGCCATGACACCAGTTATTTAAAAACAACTATGGCGGGCCGAAAAGAATTGGTCGGCTGTAGATGTATAGGACTCGGTCGGCAAAAACTTGTACATGATGGGGGTGTTATTGCTTCACGCTGTATATTCATTGTCTTTCGGTCCGGGAAGCCGACTAGTAGTATGATGATAACGCAATGCAATGCAGAGAAAGATATCTATATATATTCTTTACTTTCTAGATATACTTTTATTTATATAGTATTATATTAATAACTTTGTTAACTTCTTAATTAGATAAAGGAAAGATATAGCCGTTTTAGCTAAAGCGTTTATATTTAGAGTGAGTATAGTTAAGAATCTTTTAAATTAAACTTTCTTTTTAGTTTTTTTACATCTTTAATTCCCGCGGTCTGTATCTTAACCTTATTAAAGCCGTTGGTTTGGTAGCGGCATGTGCGTTGAGATCTGGAGGGGGAACAGCATCATAAGGGACTCCCTTATCGTCGCAAGTGTCGTAGTCAAATCGGGTTAGAAAAATAGCAACAATAAGGAATTGCTCTAATTTAGCGAACTTGGAGCGAAGTGTTAGCGACAGTACAAATAAGAGGGGGAAAAAGGGACAAATAAAATAACTCACTCGCGTGCCGAGACACGGATGCCTCCCCGCTCCCCATCCTAACCAGCAAAATGGCTTCGTCTTGTCCTCGGCCCGCTCAGGGAAATATCGACTGGGGTCCCATTTCAGCGGCTCGGAATAGATGCTTGGATCCTGATGCACATCGGAAAAATGGTACGTCTGCAGTTCGCATCAGCGCCTACGAGGAGAAGAAAACCAAAAAAACGTGGGCAATGTTAAACACATACCACAAAGGCACCACTCGGAATAACCTCATTACCAACCTTCACATCGCCGATGCCGACATGCCGGCGATACATGGTCCCTAATAGCTGCAGGCGGATGCTATCCTTGAGACAGCAGTCCAGCAGCGGGAATTCAGACTCCCAGGCCTCGATCGGGATGGCCTCGAACCGCTGCGTCAGCGGCATGGAGCGGTCGGGCGCGTACTTGTACACGACAGCATCGATTTCGGCGCGCACGCGGTCGTACCAGTACCGGCTACTACCTATGTAGGTGAGCATGAACGAGGCATTGATGCCGGTGTTGAGTTGCCCGGCGAAGACAGCGCCGACGATGAACTACGAGGATGGGGAAGCAAGAGTTAGTCGAGCGGTCACTCGAGTAGACACCAGTTTGCAGGAAGTGGGGAGCGGACCTGGATAACGGATTTGATGTTGTCACCCATGTCCATCAAATACTGCAGCGCGTCGTCTTCGCGACGGCCCGTTTTCTTGCGGTCGTCCATGATTCCCTTGAAGAGACGGTACAGCCGGCCGCCTGCTATCGTGCGTTTGAACAGGGCGAGTGTGGGCATCCAGGGGAAGATGATGCTCGTAGGCGTGGTGCTTTGCTCGATGGTTTCGAAGAGTCTCAACGTCTTTCTCAACCTCGCGGTATCGTTGGCGATCTCGGCGCAGCCGACCATGCGCATAGTGAGCTGGAACACGATCTCGTAGATGGAGACGAAGGGGTCAGTCATGCCTGTCTGGGATGGAAGTTCGTCGAGACGCGCCTGGATGTCGTGGATAAAAGGGCGTATATCTGTGAGTAGTAAGGGGGGTAGTTGTCAGCAAGATACATGTTTTTGAGAGAAGCAAAATGATATGCTGACTTTTGGCAAGATATTCGCGGCGGAGGAGATGGGTAACCCGGCGCGCGAAGTAGCTTAGGAAGCCTGGCTCTTGGGCTACATCGGAGCCCTTGTCGTTCTTCACTCGTGGACCCCCTCCGAAGAGGACGGCATAGCTGCGTAGAGATCCCAAGTCAGTGTACTTTCGAAATACACATCCTTCGCAGGCTCGATGTCGAGGATGTGATGTGTCGTCGGGGATTTTCCACCGGGGGAGTTAAGGGTGGAAACTGGGGAGTCCAAAAAAGTCCCAGGCTTCCTCAGCAAAGGCAGGCAGTAGCTCTCCCTCCTGCCCTCTCTTTCTCTCCATGTCCATCTCCACAGCCTCCGCAAAAGAAGAAAAGAGAACGAAGAAAAAAGAAAAAAGAAAACCAAAAGCACACTTACCCCTCTGCAATACCGAAACTTAAGTTCTGGAAAAACACCTGCCTGCTCTCGTCGCCCGATAACCCTACTATGAAATGCTGGCCTAGCCAAAAACAAAAGTTCCCCGACGCCGAGTTGCGAATGCCATCGCGGAAGAACTCGAGGCGTGCAGTGAAGAAGCGCACGGCACCCAGAACTGGATAATTTTCAGAGATGGAGAGCAGCTTTGGCGCTTTGAGGGGGTGGGCAGGCCGGCGGAAGACGAAGAGGAAGAGGAGCGTGAGGGCGAGTATGGCGTAGGCGCAGAATTGGAGGAGGGGGGCTTGAAAGAGCTGGAGGTTGGTGGTGGGGAAAAGCATGATGGCTAGCTGGAAGGGGGTAGTGTAAGGGAGGAGGAGGAGGAGGAGGAGAAAGAGAAGGAATGGGATGGAGAGATGTTAGAGATGGAGTAGGGAGATTAAGATACCGCGACGATATTGAACAATGCGTCATAAACAGCATGCGGAAGTGGGTAATAAGTGTGTTGTATTAGATGTGGTTGAGAAAGCGCAAGAGCTGTAGTGTGAAGCTTGAACCACACTTGATATGGCTATTCTCAACACACATCTAAATAACCTTGCCTCCGGCCCTCCTTGCAAATCGCAACCTACCGTTGGTCTAGTAGGTTTTAGTTCAGCTTCATGCCGATCATCTTCGTTTCGATCTCGGTCGGATCCTTCCATCTTCATTTCTGATTTTCGTTACTAGCTACGCCTCTGCCTTGCGTCTCTCGCGTCGTCTTTTTTGCAATCATTACCTACCAGTAGATTGCTAGGTAGGCTGTGGCTAATGTAGTTAGTTATGTGTGGCACACAGCATTGACACACTGGTTAATATGGGTTTTAAGGGCAAAATTTGATTTAATTCACGTACCTCAAGTTTAGGATATAGATCTCTGCTGACAACATGTAGCCGGGTCTTCCCCTCTCCTTGCAGCTAGCCGTCATGCATTGGCAGGTTGAATATCTACGGGGAGGTGATTTTCATTCCCTTACCGGTACTCTGGTAGAGATGGCGATTACCAGTGGGACAAATCGAGAGTCGGATTACTTTAATCTGCAGATGCAGTCCTTTGAACCAATCTTTTATATAAGCCCTGATCCTTGGGATTCGGGAGTAATTGGAGATCGAGATGCCAAGACCACCAAGTAGGGGCTTATCGACCATCACAACCACGGCACTCGCGTATATACTACTCGACTATAACTCCCTTCCCAGCGGGGGCCAAGATACTACGTACAAGTACAGGCGTGGTTCAGCGCCAAGGGGAAAACTCATCAAAGCGTTACTGTAGCCTAAATCCGTTGTCTTAGGGAATTTGTGCGATTCCTTTTTGAAATTCTCTTTCCTCCTTTAGCTCAAGTAGACCAATCCGCTACCATGATTGTGCTGTTTTAGGAAACTCATGGTACAACGATAAGACGGGAAGTCGCAGCTCCGGTGAGGTGCTGATGGGTTTGGCTTGCTGCCCTCCCTTGCGTCGTCGCAAAGGTGGTGGGTTTTCAATGCCACAGTGTTCTGAAATCAATTCTACGCCTGCTTGGCATCCTACGTTCACTTCAAGGGAGCTCTGCTCGTAGGTCTTCCTACGATACGAAAGTAATCGCTTGCGGCGCATCGAAGGGTGTCGTCAAATTCACAATATGGAAACAATCAAGGTTCCTCCAGATAATCAGAAATTCTTAAAATTGTAATTGAATTTAAATATTCGTTTATTGTGATTTCTAGGCCAGCCATCGAAATATCTCTAAGTCCTCCCTCTTCTGCTACTTTATACCTATGAGTTTCGAGAAACCCTCTTGTCCTGACTCCTGAATTGATATAATACCCGATAAGCTAGAAGGTAACCGATCTGGGTTTGAGTAATATGGGGGTGCTTGCATATGGATAGATAAAGGATCTCCAAGTAAAGCTGTGTTTCGATCTTTTATGATCTGCAAGTTTCATGTCGTAGTTCATAATCAATAGAGCCAGCATAGTCTTGGCCAGGGCTGTTGCGTAGAATCTACCCGAGCTAATATATCATCAGTTATGAGCCCAGTGCTCACTGCGTCACTTGTAAGTTGTATATATAAACGCTAGAATGTCACTCACCAGGCGTTACGTCCCGTGCCCCAGAGCTGCCAATCAAGAACTTCATTGAATGCAGATTCTTTGCCAGGCTCCGGAATCTCGAACTCAGTAGCGCTGAGAATCGCTTTATACAGGGTTGGCTCAACAAATCTGAAGCCGTGAAACTCGAGGGCCTTTGCCCAGTAGGCAGGATCACGGTGCATTGCACCGGGAGCTGTGCAAACCCATTCGCCGACGGGGACCTGGTGACCGCCGGACAATTCAAATGGCTTAAGAGCTATACGCCGCGTGCTCACTATTTTTCTGGGTTAGATACTTGAAATTGATAATGAGCTAGAAGGTATATCTTACTAGCTTCGACAGGGTTTAACCGAGAAGATTCTTTCATGAAGCTGTCAAGTAATGGGAACTCCTGACCCTTCGATTGATCGAATGACTCCCATCCCGACCGCTCGATGTCTTTGCGGATCAATGGAATGTATTCAGGGTGAAGGCAGAGATCATGCAGCACAAAGCATGCGGTCTACTAACGTTAGCGTTTAGTCCACTCTTATAATAATAGGATGCATACTGTGGAGGTGATATGGACTGAGCCGAACCAGAGAGCAATTAGCTCATGAACAACCCGCTCGGCTGCCCAGGGTCTTGTGGTGCCATTAATGATCCATTGGATACAGTCGTGCTGCCTTCGTGTTAATCATTCGCGCAGGCCTTGATAAATTGCAGTTTCCTTACATGTTCAGGCACATCGTGTCCCTGCTTTTTCCGCGCTCTCTCCTCGAGCCTCAATTCCACGATTGGAATCAAGGTGTCAAAGATAATAGTCTGAGAATTGAAAGTGCGAGATAGGAATCTTCCTACAGCACTAGAAAATATGGGTTAGCCGTCATCAATAAATTGAAGGGGTTGCTCGAGTCACGCTCTTACGGAGCAATCATGCGTGGGAGCACTCGTACTACCTCCGAAATAATCAGAGTGTTTTCAATAAAGCCAACCCCGGCTTTTATAAACTCCGGATCCTGAACTAGGAGCCTGGTTAGTTGATTCGTATAATGTTGTACATTTGATCACCCATGCCTACCTAAATCTTCCCCGAAAAAAGACATAATATTGGAGTGGGCGATAGACTCGACCAACATTGGGAAAAGTTTAGGGGATCTGAAACCTAAGCGAAAATCATAAGTTGAGAAATCCGATCGGAGATAAGTTTGCGTTCTCTTCATACCGTTTTTGAGTGGCCCTGCCTGAATATGTCGATCAAAGATAACTCTCAGATGTCGGCGGAGCTTGGGAATCAGATTTGGCAAATGGTTGGTGAGATATGTCCGCAGCGTTCGATTCAGAGGCACCGAATCTCGACCCCTAGAGATGTCCCAGTCGAACTTATGCATCGTGTACTGGGGCTGGAGAATCTCCTTTGCTGCAGCGGTCAATGAGAGTACAGTGTCCGGAACAGCATTGATTTCTCCGATATGGGTCCAGGTAGAAACAAAATGATAGCGATTTTCTGGAACATCAATGAGGAAGGGGGCCCCATTAGCCTGTCGGAAGCATTGTCAATAGGTGTGCGTTTTCCATTTTGAAGAACGGGGAGAAACTTTTTTGTAGGCGTCTGCGATCAAAGTAGGCCCCTTCAAAAGGAAGCGCCATGCCTTGACACGCTCATTGATTGTCAAAATCAGTGCCTCGAATAGCGAGAAAGCGTCGTCCTTGGATTTCTAACAGTGAGTTAGCTCTCTTCGAAAAAGCGACCCCCTGACATCTCTCACCAGTCCAGCTTTTCTCTGAGATGACCACTTAGCATATTTGGCACCTATCAAGACCGTGCCTAAAAGGCCGACCAGAATGGCGTTCCTCGGGAATTCAAGGAGAAGAGAGAACATTGTCAAAAGCAACAAAAAAATGATATTGCAACTTTATGTGCAATATAACCACATCAGTCACCGGAATACCAGAACAAGGAGGCGAGGAAGACATTTACTATATACAAATCATTGGTAGGGGTACTTAGTACCAGACATCCTAGTATAAAGCAAGGCCACAGGCGCAACGAGTAGGGCTGATTACTAGTACCCGTTGGCGAGGCCACCACTTCCGCACCACGACTTGAGTGGTGAGTACTTCGTACCAAGTTAAGTTTTTTTCAAGAAGACATATAATACCGTCTCGACTCGACTCGGACTGTTGGCTAAATTGATACTACTTTGTATCATGCCGAAGAGAAGCACCGTGACTGTGCCTCAAACTAACTTATCCTCACCTCTACTCGCGACCCCACCGAGATTGGCAAAGAATGACTGTCCGAGGCATATCATTTATTCGTCGATAACGCATCTATAGGGTACTATACATATCAATAACGCCCTGTTGATCATTTCGGAGGCTGCTTACGCCTAGGCAGATGGCGTCACTTGGTGATTGGTGCTCGTATATCGATCGACTTTAGAAGCTACAGGGTTAGCGAACCCAGTATTTAATACTTAGCATCTGAGCTCGATCCATGATCGTTGACTACCTACCTAGGTAGGTAGGATGCGATTAAAAATAACCTATCAATACCCTGGGCATTTGCTCACCTGGCCATCCTTTCAATTATAACTGATCCAAAGCCCTTGTCATGTTGTTCTGCAAATCGATACGCTTAAAACTTCCTAACGAGTTTTCCTCCCGCCCCCCGATTCCAACCTTGGAAATTGGGGCGAAAGCCCTCAGTCATCTGTGCAGTATCGGGCGTATTGGGCAAGTAGGGCTCCCAGACATATCAACAGTTACATATTTCAAAGAGGTTGGACAATAGAAGGTTACACGCACAGATCTAGTGGGCTCCTGATTCCGATCAAGCGATGAACTTCATTCAGCCTAAAACACCTAACCAACCTTACTCTAATCTTCTTCTCCGTGCCGTCTTTCATCATACACTTGCGCCTTAGCCAGAGAAAAGAAAGTAGCAGACATATCAGACCTCGCTCAGACAGAAGGTCTTCCCAGATCTGAAATGTCAGAGCAACAGCCCACACATACCTTAGAAGGGGAACCAAAGGTTGAAATGAGCGATAATGTCGAAGCCAAGGAGCCAGATGCCTTTCGGCACTCGTGGGATGTTATGGGAGTGTTTTTCGCCTTATTACTACTGTCACTTATGTCTTCGATCGACGCGACTATTGTGACAACATCTCTTCCTACGATTGCTCGAGAAATTGGCGGAGGCGCGGAATATATCTGTAGGTCATTACTTGTTAGAATATGGGAGTTATGGGAGTTCCCCTGGCCGGCTGGTCAAGCCACTTAGGCACCCCACTTGGCAYTTCTCCACCACAAAGGAGAAATGAGATATGTGTACTCGCGATGAGCCGAATACACGGATATCATCGCATCCCATACTAATTAGTATGGCACATGATGACGGAGGCCCTGGGAAGCCATTCGGATACCATCGGTATTATTTCCTTGAGTCACCTGATTGATCACCTGACCCCATACATTCATTTGCCTATATATGTGAGGCTTTCACCCCATAGTATTAGGATTTTTAATCAATTCAATTACCCCATTCCATGACCCATTCTGACCAATCAATTACCTGTATTAAGTGTACCAATTTGGGTCCCATTAATCAACAGTTATGAGCCCGGGCTGCTAAAGCATCACGTGGCAAACAAATTGTTTGAGTGTTCTTCATACTTATTTGGAATCCCATTGATTCTACCACCAATTCTTCAATACTTTTAAATCTCTTGCAATTCACACTTCTTACCACTTTATACCTTCATATCCACCAACATGTCGACAGAGTATTCAACTCCAACTGTATCCAGACCACCCCTGGTTCTTGATAGGCCTAGAGATTGGGAACCCTGGCTTGAGACAGTTAGATCAATGGCCTCAGGAGAAGACCGGTACGCCTGGGAGTATATCAATCCTAATTCGGAAACCACCCCTGAAAAACGTCAAAAGCCAACTAAGCCTACCTTCAAGAGTATCAACCCTGAAGCTGACTCACCCAGCAAGCTCTCAGCCAATGAGATGGAGCTATTACGCCTACAGCACTTCGACTATCAGATCGAATACAAGGAGTACCAGGAGACCTCCAGACTGATCAACTCAGTACAGGAGTATATCTTCAAGTCCGTCTCGATTAGGAATAGAGTATACCTCCAGGATCAAGCCACTGTATACGACATGCTAGTAGCACTTAAAAAGCGTCTAGCTCCCACCGACTATGCGACTAAATTGGACTTGTCGGCGGAATACGCCAAATTGAGAAAGTATAACAAGGGAGAAAGCATTGAACAATTCCTCCAAAAGTGGGAAACCACCTATGGAAAGGCTGTAAAGCTTAATCTATCGGAAGTCCAGGGTGACAAACCCCTCCTTGACTTTGTACAAGCTATAAAGCCAATTGAACCCAACTTTTCGGCAACGCAGGATTATCACCTGACTAAAGATATCAGGAACAAGTCCCCATTACCAACCCTGTATGATCTTGTGGCAGATTTCAGAGATACATACCGGAGAAACATCGCCGCTTCCGGTTATTCAAAAACACACGCATCTTTTGCTACGTTCCAGAATCAGGAGCAGCCAGGGAACCCCCCGAAAGATGAAACAGCAAAATCCAAGAAAACCCCAAAGCCAAAGTGCCTATGTGGATTTACCCATAAACAGGAACAATGCTGGTACTTGAATCCATCAAAAAGGCCTACAGATTGGAAGCCTAATCCGGAAAGAATTGACCAATTAAACAAGCTATTGGACCATCCGGACCAATCAAAGACAAAGGAACAGTGGATACAAAAAGGGTACGACTTGGCAAATAACCAAGGCTCCATTACCACTCCAGCTCCCACTTCGAGCCCTACTCCTGAAAGAACATTGGCAGCCTACACTGCCTCCTTCGCCGGAGTACATGCGCCAAGCAGTCAAACTGGCATATATCGCCTAGTAAACTGCTGGACACTTGATGGAGCCTCCGACATACACTTATGTAACGACAGAAAGAGGAGCCAATTCAAAAAGACCAGGGATGCCCACGACAGTGATAGGCTTACTTCTGGCAAAACAACCTATCCAATTGAAGCTTGGGGAACTGTAATCCTGAATATAGACACCCCAAAAGGCCCTGACCAAATCAGGTTACTCAATGTGGCCTTGGTGCCAGGATATATGACCAACCTTGTGGCCATGGATATCATCAATGAAAAAGGACTCCACTGGAGTTCACGACGACCATTGGAACTACACCAAAATACAGGGGAAACTATGTGTTACCTCAAAAAGATCGACAGGCACTTAGTCATCGACCAAACCACTGAAATTGAACACTTATCATTTGCCACTTCAACTCAATCACCAATAGCCAGGCTGACAAAACAAGAACTCCATTCAGCACTTGGCCACCCAGGACCGCAGGTTATCGACCATATACCCAATTCGGTAGAGAACTTGATAGTTCTTGATCCAGAGAGTCCGACACCCAAAACGATAGATTGTGGGGATTGCAGCGTCTCCAAGGCCCACAAAGTAATCTCCAGGAGAACCGAAGTCGACGATCGCTCAAATGGGAAGCCCTTCGACCGTATGGCCTGGGACCTAATCCAAGAAGACGTAGGTTATAATGGGCACAGGTGGGTAAGCCATTTTTGCTGTCTAGACCACCGATATCACCTTGTATTTACCCATCACTCGAAATCCGACTCTTTTGCCTTTATGGTACAGGTCATAATATGGGTCAAAGCCCAATTCGGATACGACGTTCGATTTATTCGTCTTGATGGAGAAACTGCCTTGGGCACCGAATTCGCTGTATTCGTCAATTCAAAGGGTATCAAGCAAGAGAGAACAGCTCCTGACTCTCCTGAGCAAAATGGAGGCTCTGAGCGCGCTGGTGGGATCCTCACCCAAATCGCCAGAGTGATAATTATATCCGCAAGGATACCATTCAACCTGTGGCCAGAGGCGTACCAAATGGCAGCTTATCTGGCCAATAGACGTCCAATACTAGCTCTCTCCTGGAAAACACCTTTTGAGTCAGTTAAGGGATATAAGCCTAGGCTAGGGCACTTACACCCATTTGGCTGTAAGGCATACGCCTTAATTAAAGGCATACCAAGGTCCCAAAAGATGCGTCCAAGGGCCCACGTTGGGTACTTTATGGGCTATTCGTCGACTAATATATTCCGAATTTGGGTCCCATCACTGGAGAAGGTAGTAAGGACTAGGGACGCGACGTTTGACCACAAAAGCTTTTACCAGCCAGGCGATATTGATCTAGGCTTTGTATTACGCCAAGAGGAGGAGGTTATTGAGAGTCTTCAGCTCCCAGACGATATGATCGCTGAGGGGGAGGTGGATGTAGATTCAGATACTATCATTGTTGACGTTCCATTTCTGCCGGCAGAAACAGCCACTCTTAGCACTCCCGAGGATCAACCAGCCAATCAGGAAGCCGAGAATACAATTACTCAGCAGCCGACGGCAGAAAACAAACAAGCGAATGATCAGGCAGCGCATTACCCAACCCCGGAGGCTACACCAGATCCAATTTCATTTCCAACTTTACCACCAGCAAATCCAAGCCCTGATTCCACGATTGAAGCCACCTATAATGAGGGAACTGCACCCCAATCAATGGATTCATCGTCCACAGGCCAAAATACAGTGCCAAACAGTACAGGGAACTCAAGTGCCCGCAGAAATGAGATTTCGTCCCACCTGGACGAAGAAAATATCATACAGGGACCGAGGAGCAGGAGACGGAGGAACGTATACGCTACAGCACTCCTTAATACCCATCACTTATCAGGGTATAATATGGCTTTTGGAGCTGCCTATTCGCTGGCTTCCACTCAAATACGTCCACATCACACCCAGCTTGAAAAAGAACCCAAGGGCTGGCATCAAATGATTCGTCACCCAAATGCCACTGAATTCAGGAAGGCAGCCGACACCGAATTTAATACGCTAAAGACTATGGAGGCATTTGAATTCGTTCCGAAGCAGAATTATCAAGTGCAGGAGCCACTCCCACTTACTTGGGTATTCAAATACAAGCTCAATACAGATAGATTCCTGACTAAGTACAAAGCTAGGCTCTGTGCCAGGGGAGACCTGCAAAAGCTAGAGCATTGGCAAGAGACTTACGCAGCAACCCTGGCCGCTCAAACCTTCAGATTTATGATGGCTCTGGTGGCTGGATTTGGCCTAGAGACCCGCCAATATGATGCTGTTAATGCATTTATTAACTCCAAGTTGGAGCCTCCGCTGTTGTGCAAGTGCCCTGAGGGGTATGAGGCTCCTGGCAAGCTGTTGTTGCTCCACAAGGCCCTGTACGGGCTCAAAGAGTCGCCCTTACTCTGGTATAGGGAACTCACATCTACCCTAATCCAGTTAGGGCTTTACCCTGTTCCTGGAGTTAATTGCTTGTACTCAAGCTCCTGGCTTACCCTATTCTTTTACGTGGATGACATCATCGCTATTTTTGCCCCAAAAGATGCCGTCAAAATGGACCAATTTGAGGCCAAATTGATGGCCAAATACCATTTGCGCCTACTTGGAGAGGCCAATCACTTTCTTGGGATCAGAATCCTTAGGGAGCGTTCCACTAAGAAACTCTGGCTTGTTCAGGACTCATATATTCAAGGTATGAGCTCCAAATTCAACGTCAATATCAATGCCAAAGCCCCATCCACTCCACTGCCAACTGGAGAATTAGGCCCTTATACCGGCCAGGCTACCCCCCAACAGATCTTTGCCTACCAGCAAAAAGTGGGTAGTATCAATTACGCCTCCGTTATTACACGTGCCGATGTGGCCAAAGCTATCTCCAGATTGGCCGAATTTCAGCTCAATCCTGGACCAAAACACATTGCTGCTGCCGACCACCTATTACAGTACTTGGAAGGCAGTAAGGGATTGGCTATTGAGTTCAATGGCAACGCGACTCAATCCAAAGAGCTCTTTTCGGCATGGAGCGACGCAGCCTATGGGGATAATCCAACTACCAGATACAGCTCAAATGGCTTTTGCTTTAAGCTCTTTGGTGGAGTAATCCACTATAAAGCTACTAAGCAAAAGACTGTTACTACGTCAAGTACTGAGGCAGAACTCCTGGCCATCTCATTGGCTGCCAAGGAGCTTATTTGGTGGAATAGGCTCTTCAAAGCTATCCAATTCGATCTCCAGGACGACCAATCACAGACGTTATACTGTGATAATCAACAGACAATACGCTTTCTCACTGTGGATATTCCACGGTTGGAGACCAAGCTCAAGCATATTGATATCCATCAGTGCTGGTTGCGCCAAGAAGTACTTTCTGGGTCAATTAAGGTGGAGTGGGTACCTACTGCCAAAATGGTGGCAGATGGGTTTACCAAAAGCTTACCTGCCCAAAAACATGCCGAATTCGTACGGCAACTCAATATGGTGGATATCTCCAACAAACTCGACTCCAGGGATAAGCCCAATTAGGCCTTAAATAAGCCCTAATTAAGTGGTCGATCCCTGAGGGGGAGTGTTAGAATATGGGAGTTATGGGAGTTCCCCTGGCCGGCTGGTCAAGCCACTTAGGCACCCCACTTGGCATTTCTCCACCACAAAGGAGAAATGAGATATGTGTACTCGCGATGAGCCGAATACACGGATATCATCGCATCCCATACTAATTAGTATGGCACATGATGACGGAGGCCCTGGGAAGCCATTCGGATACCATCGGTATTATTTCCTTGAGTCACCTGATTGATCACCTGACCCCATACATTCATTTGCCTATATATGTGAGGCTTTCACCCCATAGTATTAGGATTTTTAATCAATTCAATTACCCCATTCCATGACCCATTCTGACCAATCAATTACCTGTATTAAGTGTACCAATTTGGGTCCCATTAATCAACATTACTCTCTCATTAAGCTCATAGGATATCGCTAATGCTCGATGCTTTAGGGGTCATCAATGGTTTCTTGTTTGCATCCACAGCCACACAACCACTTTTCGCCCAAGTGTCAAACATCTTCGGTCGTCGAAACCCCATACTTTTTGCTCTATTCCTTTTTGCTTTAGGAAGCGGCATCGCGGGGGGTGCACAGAATCCAGCAACGTTGATATCCGGACGTACAATCCAAGGTTTAGGAACGAGCGGCTTGTATGTGCTAGCCGATATTATTCTCTGCGATATCATTCCGCCGCGATATCGAGGACCTTATCTGAGCAGTGTGCTCTCGATGGCCGCCGTCGGCTCGACAGTTGGTCCCATTATTGGAGGTGCGCTGGCCCAGGTAGACTGGCGATGGGTCTTTTGGATTAACTTGCCTGTATCCGCCCTTGGACTTGTCATTATCCTGCTCTGCCTCAGAGTTAAATATCCGCCGACTCCAAACTGGAAACAGGCGCTGGCGGAGGTTGACTTCACGGGCAATGGCATCTTCATCCCGAGTATAATTGCAATACTCCTCGGCCTTGTGATGGGCGGTTCCCAGTTCCCCTGGGGATCGTGGCATATTATTGTTCCTTTGGTTCTCGGCTGCTTGGGATGGGCGGCATTCCACCTTTACGAGTCTTCGCCCCGGTTCTGTAAACAGCCAACGATGCCACCCAGGCTGTTCAAGCATCGCACATCTGCCATCAGTTTTGTTCTCATATTTCTCGGATCCATTATCATAACAGCTACTAATTATTTCCTTCCTGTATACTTTCAAGCCGTCAAGGAAGTGTCACCTCTCGATTCCGGCATTTATTATCTCCCTTTCGCTCTCGCTATCATCCCATTTGGAGGCCTTGGGGCTGCATTTATATCCAAGACCGGCCAATATATACCTCTACATGGGATCGGATTTGCATTAAGCGCTATCGGAACGGGACTTTTGTCCACCTTGGATGCATCGTCTAGCCCCGGGGCTTGGATTGGTTTTCAGATTATTGCATCAGGCGGTTCGGGCCTTGTTTTTACATCTACCTTGGTCTCGGCACTTGCGCCGTTGCCAGAGGAAGACGTCGCTATTGCTACCGGGACGTACTCATTCGTGCGCTCTTTCGGCTTTGTATGGGGATTGACCATCACTTCGGTCGTTTTTAACAGTCAAATCGACAGGTATTTATGGATTGTGGATGATGCGTCGGTGCGTAGCTTGATGGCCAATGGACAGGCATACGCATATGCGAACAGAGGCACGTTTAATGCACTGTCTACTACCACTAAATCCCAGGTCATCGAGGTTTATGTAAAGGCTCTACAAGTGATCTGGATAATAGTCGCCGCTTTCTCTTGCTTTGGGTTCCTCTGCATCTTTGCAGAGAAGCACGTGGAGTTGCGGAAAGAGAAAGGAAACGAATTTGGGCTGGCGGAGAGGAAGTCCAAAGGACCTTCACCAGAGGTTGGTGGGGTCCATATAACAACTCGAGAATAATCATAATTATATGGTGGTTTCACTAGGTATGGTTGGATGGCACGAGTAACGGAGAGTCCTATGATGTTTACATGACAGGGGTATGGAGTATTGCATAGATTGGGTGGGTGAGTATATCGTAAGGCTGGACATGGGGTATTATGGGGCGTTCGCTGCTCGATCCGCTCATAGCGGGTCAACGGTTCGTTCCGTCCCTTACGTACGACGCCAAGTCCGCCACCTCCACACCCCAACAGCCGCGCCATTCGCATGCATTCATCCGCCTGTGCCATCTGTACAGTACGTACTCCGTAGGAGCAAGCACTCTATTTGGAAAACCTCATTCAGAGAGAAGAGCTCGCGGTCATGCCCGCAAGACCCCAACCGGCGATGCAAAGTACACTCAGGAGACGCACAGGGATCACACTCTTATTGCCGTGGTACCAAATCGTAAGCACATCAGCGATACCGCAATACCCTCCCATAACTACCATCGTGGTGTCGACCCCAGTAAGATTACCCTGGAGGTAGAGTGCGAATACCAAGAGACCCAAAGTGCTAGTTCGCATCGTATGGCCGTAATAGACGATCTGAGCTTCGCGCGATCGCGCAACCTCTTCGGTCATGCCCCAGGTGAGGAGGGCTGCTTGAGGTTTGAGGAGGCCGTGGACGAGTCCGCCGAAGAGCATAGGTGTTGCTGAGAGGAGGGCCGGGATATGGCGCCATGAGAAGTGGTCGAGCATAATGATAATGATGGTAGCGTTTTTTGGTTTTGTTATTTGTTATTGGTTATTTGTTTTGAGGGTACGACTTGCGCGATTCGTTTGGGTTGTTGTATTGGAGGATTTAAAGAGTAATTCAGAGGCTGACCTTTTATGTATGGAGTACTGATAGATACTCGAGTAGGAAAACTAGCCTAATATGTTCAGGGGTTGGCGTGCAGGTGGTGCTGCATCGCCGATCGCTTCACTTTTTCTACCCGCCCTGTAAGGAGTAGGAAACTGTCATTATTGCGCCAACACCAACAACTTTACGAGCAATCTGTACTACGTACTATGTACGTACTCTACCACAGCACCAACTCTATTCCTCCGTAGCCCTACGCCGCAGCCATACAGTACAACACCACCATCAGCTGGATAATCTCGACTTCCTATCAAACCCCCTCCAAAAAAGTCCTGACGACATTATCCATAACAACGTGGCGGGGATAACAATCCTATTAACTGCCCAGCCATTTCCTTTCCTCTGTACTATCTACTAGGTGCTGACATGCTCGAAATTTCGGGGATTTGGCATTCTGCCTGGCCTTTTACGGCAGCATTGGCGGCCTATAACACAGCGCTTGACCAGTACGGTTCCCAAATAAAGAGAATTAAGGTGTAAGATAAAAATTCTTGTCATATTCTTATTATTCCCGGTTCCCCGGAGTCAGTGTGACTCTTGAACGTATACTCAGCCCTTTAGAACACAATGGCTACGCCTTCTTTTGATCCGAACACAACCCCTCTATCCTTAAATCCAAGTGGCGCTCCACCGAACTTCGTTAATCCTGAATCTCAGGCTCCAACAGTCCTTAGTTCGGGTCTTGTGCTCATTATACTCAGCACTTTATGTGTGTGCACTCGCTGGTATAGTAGTTTGAAGAGCACGAGCAAACTTCACCTAGATGATTGTAAGTACAGTTTTGAACCTTACTCTTTTTAATTATATATACTAATTTATGGTTGTTCAGATTGTGCTGCCTTTGGACTGGTAGGAGCAATTGCATACTGGGCCATCATTTACTCTTGTAAGTCACAACAAGTCTTCATGACGATCGGTCGGTCGCATTGTATATCCACTAACCAAGTGATGTTGAGATTAGTGGCCAAAGATGGCTGGGGAAGACACAGCTGGGATGTTCCATTATCCTTCCTCGATGACTTCTACACAAATGTAAATCTTCTATCATATAACAATGGCTTGTTGAATTACTTATTTCCCCCGTCCACAGAGGCAATTCGCGTCCCAAATCCTCATCTCGCCCGTCAAATTTGCCATCACGTCGGCCATCATCATTCTCTATGTGCGCCTTTTCGGAACGCTCAAATGGGTTCGCATCACATCCTATTTTCTCTACGTATTCCTATTCTTGATACAGGTCCAAAATATCGGGATTGCTTTGTATTGGTACATTCCGAGGGCGAGTGATGGCAACAATATTCAAGCCGCCCTAATGAGGACCGCAGAAACTGGCGCCTCAGCGATCGTTAACGCTGCATGTTCCACCGTTATCGACATTGTTCTCTTCATGATCCCTTTCATCATCGTGCCCTCTCTAAACATGTCCCGCAAAAAAAGACGGGCTTTTTATGCAGTATTTTTGTTCGGAATCCTGTAGGTTTTTGACACGATTGCCTATTTTCAAGCGTCAATCGAAATGGATCACTGATATTGGTACAGAATAATCGTCGCTGATTGTGTTGGTATTGCCTATAAGACATATGGTGTTCTTGGAAAGAAAGGAGACCCCTTTTGGATTGGCATGATTTCTATCATCACTGTGTAAGCCACAATAACTGTAGCAACTGGCTTGAATTGAGGGTAGAAGCAATCACTAACTATCCTCACCTCAGATACGCCGAGACATTCGCCCTCATAATAATTTCCTGCATACCAGGCCTCTCCGCCTTCTACGTCGGCACTTTCATGAAAACCCGCTTTTACTCCTCCCTCCAATACGGCCTCATGTACCGAATGCGAAGATCCGAAAGATCCGAAAGATCTAACCTCCCTTCGGTCGAAGACGATACCAACAGGTATAATAAGTCTAATAAGTCTAATAAATATAATCCATCGGTACAACGTCAGCCGAATTCTTTGCACTCGACTAAGTCGTTGGTTGGTAGTAGTAAGAATATTTATATTGAACTTGAGCCGACCAATACTTCGAATGCTTCCCCATATTCGACCCTGGGGAAGCAGGAGAACGGCCAGATGGGGACTAGTACATGAATAAACTGCCTGGACACTCATGGCTAGAACGGAAGGTGAGGAGAGTGGTGACTGTTAAATGGACCCCTAGTCTTGCCTATGAATGCGATGGCCGCTAGATGTGCGGTGATCGAGCGGGGAGATACGCGAGTTACGACTATGTATATAAAAGAGCAAAAGTTCGAGCAGAAAATTGTCCCTGGAACAAACTCTCCAAGAAGCTTTTATTCGCTTTTTTTTAATAACTTCTATTAATTCTATATTTATACTCGTAGTATTCCGGGAAATAAAGGATGAATCTTATTTCCTAATTTCCTAATTTCCTACTCCTAATTCCTACTATTATTAAATCTTCCTATACTAGTTTAACTGCTATTCTATTTTATATATACCAATATACAGTTTTTAAGAAGCTAAGAAGCTCTAAGAGCTGCCTCGGGAGCTGTTAATGTCTAGTTACTACCGAGACAGCTCGTAGGCCTATTAGCTCCTTGTCTATTACTATACTAACAAAATTACAGAAAAAAGATACTATAGCTAGTAGTAGTATTGGGGCCTAGGATGCGCTTGTTTTTTGTAATCTCTGGGTTGCAGGCGTTTCCTGTATTATTTGGGGACGTTTCTATACGTATCCCAAATGCGTAGAATCCTACTACTCCCGAAACTAACATCCCTCTAGTTTAATATTACTATAACGAGTGTAGATTCGGGGTCGGGAGCTTGGTTTGGGGGTGTCTGGGACGTGTGTCGGGTTTGGTTCTTAGCTAATAAATTTATTCGTCATTAGCCCAAAATAGTGTCATTCATAATTCTTTGGATGAATTTCCCTACAAGAGAAGGATTGAGCAGGCCAGCGAGGATCGAGTACAAAAGCCCAGATAGCTGTTCTCGAGGATGGCTAACTACTACTACCATGTTTGGTTTGGCAGTTTCTTGAGAGGGTTCGAAGTGGATGACGAGGGCTTGAGAATATTCCAACAGTGATAATATAGATAGTTAACTAGAAAATTTATCATCAACTTCCCTAACCTCAAAGTTAAACATATCATTCGACGGAACGCTATTCTTATCTAGTATCTTCCTCGCAGTATCGACCCCTGCAGCGGGGACCCTATACTGGAACATTTTCCCCGGCCCAGGCTTCGTGCCATCTGGTAATGTATACGGGAAAGGCAGGTATTCAGGCATCAATCCGAGCTGGACTAATACAGAAGCTTGGTCCCAGGCAATGTGTTCGTGATATAATCGGTCGCCCCGGACATTGACGACGGAGGTAAAGGGGATGCGCACGTGTCGACCGGTTGGCGGGATTCCCGGTACACTTTGGACGATTAATTCTCAGTATAGTTAATACTAAGAGTATATAGGGCAGGTTTACTCACAGCCAGTCAATCTGCATGTTATGCGTAAAACTGAAGACGAACTCGTCCACAATCCTGTCTATGCCCACCGTGCGGCTAACAAGCTCCAGCTCTGTATCGGCCGGGTTATTGAAAATAAAGTGGTGTCGGTAGAAATTTGATAGTCTCTCCCGTCCAATGCCTCCGGTCATCTAGACATTTTATTAGCCATTACCTGCTCCGCATATTCTCTAGGGAAAGAGGAGGGGGAGGCATGCCGTGGGAATATGGTTGACATATGGCTCCTGGACCATCGTCCCCATAGTCTTTGCAACGGAGCGGTCCCCAAACTCGTAGTGTGTATGTTCCTCCCATATTGCCTCTAGGTCGAAAGATGGGGCTCCAACGTGCTTTTTCAGAAACGTTAGATTTCGTGAATGGGAGACAGATTCGGAAGTCGGGTGGAAGCCGTCATGGCCGGGGAAGGCGAAGAGAGGAGATGAGGCTTTGGGGTATTCGTATACGGAAACGATATCTGTCGGCTTGCTCTTGATCCCTGTTGTACCTGCTAGATGATACGCATATGGGACTGTCGAGGTTGTCTTGAGCGTAGGTGTTAGAATATGGGAGCTCCCATAGACGACCACGGCTACAATGTTGCTATTCGATGGCAACGCCGGCTCGATCTTGTTCAATAGCATAGATTGATAGACTATATACCAATTAATGTCAACATGATTTCATTACTCTCCCAAGGGTAGCGTTATCTCACCTACCAATGCCACCTTATCCCCCTCGCAGGATGAACACTGCTCCAACCCGGCAATTGCCCGCCCTAGGACCTTCCCAGCATCCTCCTCGATATCGAGCGCGTCGGCCTGTATCTCTACCACAGCAAAACCCTCCTCTGCCCATTTTTGTAGCGGCGGGAGCAAATCCGACGTGATATGTTGTTGCAGTGAGCCCTCAGGAACTACGACGATCAATCCAGGTCCGTGTCCCCTTCGCGAAAGGGGTGGCTGTAGGGAAACGCCAACTCCGAGCTCTATTCTTTCTGTGGCGGGCAATGCCACTGCGTTTTCTTCATCTTGTGAATTAGAATTAGCCATGTTGGGCTTTGGATATTATAAATGAGTGTCTAGTCCATTTCATATGTTTTATTTGGAAAGACTGTCTCAGTATCTAAGATTATATACCCCGCGTCACCCCACTTTCATTACTATTATCGACCATCAAATAAGTTCAGGTTCCGATTCACACCGAGCTTGGTGTTCTAACGTGGTTATTGAGTGATGCTTATTATGAAGTCAAGATTGCACAAGCAGATCTCGATAAATTCTACTGTTCTGGACCTTTGAAGTCGACAAACCGGAAACCTATACATTCCCTTCAACATATCGTACATCCCATTCTATATTGACGTTCAGCCTAACAAAGGAAATGAAAGCAAGGTAGTCCAATATCAGATGACTTTTGTGCGGTCTGAATTGTTTAAACCCTCACTGGGAATTTCAGCGGCCCCTTAAATGCCATGATGCCTCAACTCCTCTATTTGAAAACACGCTCGCTGTAAGATCAATCAAATAGCCGCCTCATCGATACACATACAATCCTCCTTCTCCCAACCCAACCTCCAACTCCGTCCAGGAGGCGGACATCGCCAAGCAACCTCCGGCGTACTACACTGCAGCAAGACAGCCCAAAGCCTCTCGATAGTAAACCCCAACCAAGGTCTCTCCAAGCTATCAGGCTTTCCGTAAACGCCGCCATTCGGATCCCATCTCCCTTCTCGCTTCTGCGCTGCTAAAAATTGAGGGAACTTGGCCTCCTCGTGCGCCCAGGAATATTCTATGGTGTCCCTCGTTAAACCGTCATACAGCACTTGCCAGACATCTAGTGGAACTCCCCGTATTCTAGCGGCACTTGCTAGGAAGTCGTTCCCTAGAGTGACGACGACTTGGTCGCATTTGTAGGAATTGCCCGGGCGGGCAGCACTCCACATCGATGAGATGAGATGAAATGAATCTTCCCATCCTAGAGAATCCTTACATGTTTCGCAGGAGCAGGTTTCTTGACTCCCTAGATGGAGGAAGCCAGTTTTGCGTAGGGCGTCGGGAAGTGGGAAGCCGGCGGGGATGAAGTAGTCCTGGAGGCGCTGGATGGAATAGTCTAAGGGGGTGGAAGAGGGGGAGGTGGTTGTGCTGATGAAGAGCATTTGCTGGCTGAAAGACTCCCAGGAGTTGACAATGTGATTGAGGTATGTGGCCGTTACTCCCCCAGTATTGTTGAGAGTCTTAACGCGTATGTCGCCCTCGAAGGAGCCGCGGATGGATCTCGGATCTGCGAGGTTGAGGTTGAGGTCGAGGTTGGGTTGTTTAGTGTATAGGATAATGCTTGGTCGGAATCCGGCGATTTGGGGAACGGATGTGTACTGTGAGATGACGTTGCGAATCGACTCGATGGGGTCACCGTCGGAGTGGGCGATGATGATGTCGAACGATCGAAGTCGTGGTGGTCGATACACGGTGTCGACGTTGAGAGGAGGGCTGACCCAGTGTTTGAGGCTGCGATTGTACGCTACAGTATCAACCCAAAACATGACATTGCTGCTCATGAGGATGGCGAATACTATAGTCGTGCTAGCGAGGACAATTGGGAATTGCCAGGGTTCAGAGCGGATTGGTTGTGGCTTCCGACGGGTCATTCGTTCCAGGAAATGTATAAATCTGGGTGGATAGTAGCCAATGTGTTCTGGCCCAACACTAACAACATAAACAAGAGTCAAGGCGAGAACTTGGATCCAGTCGATGAGGTTGTACTCTTTGCTGAGGACGCCAAATATCATGACCAATAACCCGGTATGAAGCGTGCTCCCGACTGCATCTTGGGACTGGATGGCTGGGTCATCCAAAGCTCCGCCAGCATAATACTGAGATATATACGGATAGGCAGAATTCATCCCGCTATTAAATATGATCTGGAGAATAGCGCCAGGGGCGAAGTTCACGAAGCATGACCAGCCAGACCATGAGTTGGCAATGTTAGTTGCTGTTACCAAGTCCTCATACATAATTGCCGCACGGAGCGTGATAAATAAGATGGGAATGCCAACACCTAAGAAAATGTATAAGGGCGAGCTCCATGACACAGGGCCTTTCTCGATTCTAGGTCCAATTTTATGAACTGCCATTGCGAGGGACGAGAAAAGAAACGAGGCGAGCGCAAAATAGATGCCTCTGATTTCCAGTCGATAGTCCTCATGTACGGCCAGCCACACACCTAGTGAAATGGGGAAAGTCTTCCATAGTGGCTTCCACTCAGCAGTGACATTGGCTTGAGGCGAGATCCTGAAGAGATGCAAGAAGCGCACAACAACGCTGTCGCAGACATATGTCAATATCTATATTCCGGTCAGAACAAACAGATCGAAACCGGCTTACTTCGACCACTTACCGGCAGCATAACAAGGACGTAGAGATTGTTGTACAACATCACGGCCTTTGCACCACACAGCATTGCGAGCGCGGAAAAGCATGCCGAAATAGATAACCTCACTGCAAGGATGAGAATTTCCGAGACGGTGTACTTTCCACCTTCATCTTTCTGTTTTGATCTTCGGAAACGGCGTAGTTGGAGGAGGACGGCGACGACCGCAACTGAGCAGTAGGCGGCCAATTGTAATAAAAACACCAAGTAGAATGCTAATCAAAAGCGAACAAGAAATGGTTAGCACAACTGGGAAGTTGATAAATTCAGAAATAGCACCCTTCCACCGGCCAAGAAGTGCACTTACGATATGCTGCGAGGCAAAAATTAGCAAATGGAGAAAAAGATAAATAGATCTATCAGATGTGATGACAGGGACTAAAAACTCACGAAAATCACCCCTCAAAAGCCGCCGCCCAGTTAATGTGGCCGAGGTGGCCAAAAATATCCATAGCGGGCCTTTAATGCTTCTCTTCTCCCGGTGAGGGGCGTAGTCACTCTCCCTCTCCCTCTCACTGTCACTCTCACTCTCACCCATCTCATCCCCATCATTCTGGTTGAGACGCTCTAATTCCAGTTCGTGTCTTGGCAGCCAATTCCTGTCATCCCTTCCGTCGGCGACGGCGTCGTCGCCCTCGCCCCCTTTCCACTCCCCCGTCATGGCTCGGCGCCTGATTCAGCGCAGAGCAATGCAGCCCAATGGACCAGAAGCAAGGGCGGATTCCTCGGTGTCGCTCGGGGGCAGCTAATTGATGTATCGAGCCCTCCGACGACTGATCGCATCACGCGTGCTGCTCCTCGTCTTCCTTGGTGATTACCGCACACGAGAACTTCTTGCGTGGAGGCGTGCAAAACTGGAGGGTTGCTGGTGATGGCGCTCGGAACACAAATGAAACAAGCAGCCAACCGAACACACAACAGCAGCCAGATCGCCACGCGAGATCGCCAGCGAATGAGTGAATACGAGGGCGCAGCCGCCCAAGTTACGGGCTTACGGGCTTACTTCGTATTAGGGTACTATAGCAACAACGGCCTTCTCCAAGTACGAAGTATCGCTTTCTGTATTTCCCGGGACAGTATCAGTGGAAGAGTAGTAAAAAAACTGCGTGGCCTCCCTTCCCCCACCTACCTTTATCTCAACCATGCCAGCTTCATATCAATTCAAGGGTATCAAATACACGAGTGATCCACGCCGTTTATTGGGCAATCTGCGGCACGGATCGATCGACGAGCTAGGCGCGAAGGGTTCTGGACCTCGCACCTCGTAAAGCTTATGAAGATCCGTCTCGTCCGTTGCCGCAGCTAGGTAGGACGGCGCGATGCTTGGAAGGTAATAAGTTAGGGGGTTTGGACACTTGGAGTCTAGACTTTAAAAGCCAAACATCTAAAGCCACGGAAAGGGAAATGGGTCATTATCAGGAAATCGATTGCACCTCAATATGGCACAAGACACGTATCAACCGTGTCGTTCATTAACCCGTGCTATATCCCCAATCGTGGGCTGCACACTGAAGCCAAATAACGCGTTTTTAATGACTACACTATCATCATCGTCATAATTGCTAAAATAACACAACTCCAACCTGCCTTCAAAAATCATCCGAGAACTCCATCCCCATAACATAACATGCACATGTTATACAATCAGGCCCATTTTCCAAATGTCCCCCGCGCATCCCCCATCCCCATCCCCAGACCCCACTCAACGCCTAATAAATGCAACACCGCCTTTGTTCTTCGCCCCCTTGGTATCATTCGCCCACTTGCGTCACAAGCTGAAACCTCTTCAAAACAAATCATCTAAAACCCGAATGGGCGCTCAAGCGTTCAATCCTCAAACGCAAGTCCATTCAGCAAAAACGCACCACCGGGCACTCCGGTCTGCGAGCACCAGGCCCCTCCAAACACCTCGCTCACCAACCTTGATAATGGTCTCCCACGTCCCACCGTCACCCTTTTCCAGCGCCTGGCTCGTGCTCTGGATTTTCTCGTCCTTCCTCATCAGCCTCAACACTTTCCCCCCAGGAGACTGGATCGCGAGCTTCGCTGGCTTCTTTGAACTATATGCATTCGTGGTGCTAGGGTTGGATCCCGATGCGGATGAATTGGTTATTGACATGGCCGAACTGGGGCGGATGAATGGGATAGGTGATGTTCCACCGGGATTTGGCGGTGTCAATGAGGTCGAAGATGGATGCTGCCGGACCGCGAATACAAACGTATTGTTTAGAGCCAGGCGGTGGCATTGTGGTTGTGCAACATAAAGATCGTGTCTTTGAGCGTGAGGTGTTGGGTGTCGGGTTAGGAATTCATATGGTGGATTATCTCCTGCATGAATGATCGGAAGCGCGAAAGCCAGAGGATGAGGGATATCTTTGATCGACTGCATGAGCCCACGCTTGCCAGCGTAAATCTTCAGAATTGCTTGTCCTTCGTCGCCAGGAAGCAGTGCTTTCACCGTGTATCGTTTTTGCCCATCAATCCACTCGGCTTGCGCTAGAGCACGCTTTTTAAGCGTTTCACCACTTTCAAAACAGTCACCGTCTGCATCACGTTCAAAAGCTCGTGCTTCAACCTCTGCCACGCACTCGACATCTGCTGGCACGGTAAACTTGATATGCACGAGTTCAAGGTCTTCGATTCGAACAAGACTGGTGTCGTAGCCAACCATCTCCAGAGAGTTCTTAAAGTATGGCGGGCAGGCACAAGGTAAGGCCAGTAGGACTTCGTGGGCAATTGGTGGGCAGAGGTGTTGTTGTTCGTGAACTGCTGGAACGTGTGTCCAGCAAATTTCACTTGGTCGAGCCAAAAACCACCAGCTTTCCCCTTGACCGCCGGCACTAGAATACAGGCTGCGGCGAGGGTGCGAGGGAGCTGCGAGCGAGCAGTCCATCATCCTCCACTGTCCATCCACAACGACAGCATTCCACCAATGGTTTGGACGAGGCATGATCCCCAGCTCTGGAACCTCTCCCGGAGTCTTTAGGTAGCCTCTAACAACCTCGGCATGGATTCCCACAGCGGTGCACATCTCTAGTACGAGAACCGCCACCTCTTCAGCGCATCCGCGCTTGCTTTGGATAACCCTTCTAGAGTCTACTTCACCCTCGAAGTCGTCCTCCCAGGTGATCTTCTCGCTAACCCACGTGAAAATTGCTCTCAATCGCTGAACGTCGCTTCGATACGGTCGACAGACGAATCCTGTTGCCAAGCTAATGGGGTTGGTCATGGGTGGCAGGCTGTTGATGAATCTTGCATTCTTGTCGACTAGGGAGAGATTGACAGCTTGGAAAGCCGTGGGTTCAGCCACAGGTTTCCCATCTGCGCCTTCATCTCCATCGCATCCCTCGAAGAGCTCTTCCACTGGGCTTATGGCTGGGTAGTCCATCATCTGACAACGCTCTTTCCTTTCGATCCGTTCGATTCGACTGAGAGAATTCGACCTATTGACGTCTCGGCGAACCTGGACCCAATCGACACCGCCTCCTAGACCCATATCATTGGCTACGTTATTTGCGTTACTGTTGCCAATACCTCCTGCGATCGATGTAACCCCATTAGGCATAATATTCCTTGCAGAACTGCCAGGTCTTGATGCATCGCTCACTGCAATGCTGCTCCTGGCGCTGGCAGCACCGGTCTTGGCTGATTCAATAATCTTCTTGAAAAAGCCGCTCTTCTTCGGCTTAGGGGCCACAAGACCACCAAGCATACTCTCTGACCCTACGTTTGACCCTTGCCATCCAGCTTGCGATTGTGGACGTGAAGGGCCAGATGCGTGGCTTGTATGGTATGAGATTCCTGTAAGCGGAGTCTGAGGTCTACTATTCCCAAAGTCCACTTGACTACCATTAGCACCCAGGAATTGGTCTCTCCTGGATCCAAATGCGCTTCGAGAGCGGCCCTGGAGTTCTTCCTTCTTTCTCGCGTAGCTACCGGCACTCGTGGAGGAGAACCCACCGGCCGATGCTCCGCTCATAAGACTCCGGTCAGTCATTTGGGTGCTTGAGGTCATATTGGTAGTTGTACTCCGACCTCCTGATGAAGAGCTTGTCGAATTAGTTTTGGTAGTAAATGTCCTACCCAGCATTGATCTTCCGACCTCGTAAGCCGATTTGCGGTGGCGAAGCTTAGGTTCTGGGGGCATATTCCCAACCACAGATTTTGGTCGATCATATAGGCCCATTTTCGATGGAACAGAAGGTGGATGGTCATCTTCTTCGGGAGGGCGTGGGCTACTGGTGTGCATCTTGTTTAAACGGTCTTCCATCCGTCGAACATAATTGCTTAGTTGAGGCGGAGGCTGGTCCGCCACATAGCTGGATTGGGCGCCACCCATATACGGCTGATCATCGTGATCATCATCATAGGCATTCAGCCCGCCAATTCCTATCGCGGTATTCGGCCTTGGTGCCTTATTTCGCCTTGCATTAATATACGTTTGATCAAAGGCCTCTGGAGACCAGGGGTCTAGTGGTGGTTCTGGTGATTCTGTTGTACGTGACACACCCATATCATATAACGACGACATGACATCATCCATAGCCGAACGAAGGGGAGATGGGGTGAGACCAGTAGCTCCAGGGGAGGGCGGACATGGAGACGTTGCTCGTGGGGTGTGGTAGTTTCCATTGCGTTGCGTTTGAGAATTCATAGAGCCATGGGATGTGAAGTTGGTTCGATGGGGAGGAGGAGGTGGGGGTGGAGGTGAAGATCCAAGATCAGATTGTGGCTCTAGTGAAGGCGGTCGATATGGGCGATACTGGAAGGATGGTGCGGGAGACGGCGCCCTGGATCCATAGCTGTCACGATGCATCGGCGGGGCTGGAGACGGAGCACGCGACCCATAGCTATGAAGTTGGGGCGACGGTGCTCTTGAAATAGTACGGTGCATTTGAGGTGACGGTGCCCTTGAAATGGTACGGTGAATATTGGGTGATGGTGCTCGGGATATCGAGAGACTGTCTTGCTTCTGTAGCTCTGCTCGTCTTGCTGCTGCCGCATCTGGTGCAGCATAAGCCTGGAATGGCTTTCGGAAAGCCTTGCTTTTGGTTTTTTGCGGGGCTTGGGGATTGAAGGGATTCGGGCTCGGTGAGCGGTCTGGCATAGGACTCGATGATCGACTCGTAGGAATAAAGCTTTCGTCAAGTACTTCGACAAAGTTCGAAGGGAATAGCCCCATCATGCGTTTATCCCGCCTCAATCTGCCCATCCACCACGACCCATCGCCGGCATTCAAACATTCTATCAGATCTCCTTCGACAAATCCAAGATCGCGTTTGGACTGGAGCACGGTCAGCACGATGTTCGACGGTATACACAAGGCGGGCTCTATTTACCTCGCCGCCGTACGAGTACACGGCGCGACACCAACACGGAAATCTCGAAGGAACAGCCATGTTGATCTAAGGACATCTATAACCTGGAGGCATAATGCGACGCTGGAGATGGGAGATTATTGAAGGTTGGAGTTGACGAGAACTTAGAACATAGAAGTCGGAATATTGACATTGCCCAGCAAGGGTTGTGTCGCTCGTGTGAATTGGCGGCGGAGAGCTACCCCTGTCAAAACAGGGACCGAGATCGGACGTTGCCACAGCAACAAAGCTACGCCTGAACGCAGTCTAGCGCCTGTCGCCGCGCCCAGTCCCGAGTTCCAGTTACAGGGCGCATTACAAGTACAAGTCTTATTCTTAGGCGCAGGAACAACTCCAGGCCAAGTCAGGGACCCCTTCGATTCTATCGATATTTCTTCCGACCACTATCGCCATTGTTCTTTGCTTTTATACTCGAGCAATATCAAGGCATTATTGTTGCCCCGTCTATATGCGACAAGTCGTTATTTACTTTCAACCCACTTTGGCAGCGCTGCGACCCGGTCCTGGTCCGTGCCCGTCCCTGAGACATCTTGGGTTGTTGATGGCAACGCTGACAGCGTCCCCTCAAATCCGTTTGCTCTGCCGGGAGTAAACATAACATTGTTCTGTTCAACTCTTGCTCTCTTCTGAGTCTATTGCCTCGTTTCCCCCAATTGCGCCTTCTTTGTGGAATTTGCTCTTGCAAATCGCTATATAGCAAACATGTCCTCAGAAGGTGCAGCCAGCCAGTTCCAGGTGCTCGAGGAGCTCGGGAGCGGTAGCTTCGGGGTGGTGTACAAGGCAATTGAACGCAGCACCGGGGAGATCGTAGCAATCAAGCATGTCGGTATCCCCGCAAAGTATCCAATTGGCTACGACTGACTATCTTTAGATCGATCTCGAGTCCAGCGAAGACGATATACAGGAGATCCAGCAAGAGATCTCGGTTTTAAGTACCTGTGCCAGTCAATACGTTACTCAGTACAAAGCCAGTTTTCTTCGGGGCCATAAACTATGGATTGTAATGGAATACCTTGGTGGGGGATCGTGCTTGGACTTGGTAAGAATACGTAGTTCCCCATCGATATACCAAGCTAACTCGCCACAGCTCAAACCAGGCTCATTCAACGAAGCCCACATCGCAATCATATGCCGAGAGTTGCTCCTTGGACTTGAATATCTGCATCAGGAGGGGAAGATCCACCGAGATATTAAAGCTGCCAACGTATTACTATCGACCGGTGGAAAAGTCAAACTCGCAGATTTTGGAGTCGCTGCCCAGCTCACGAATATAAAATCGCAACGGAATACGTTTGTCGGTACGCCGTTTTGGATGGCGCCAGAGGTTATCCAGCAGGCTGGGTATGACTTCAAGGCAGATATTTGGTCGCTTGGTATTACTGCTATGGAATTGATCAATGGGGAGCCACCGAATGCGTCGGTGCATCCGATGAAAGTATTATTTCTGATTCCGAAAGCCCCCGCCCCGAGGCTGGAAGGATCACAATACAGCAAGGAGTTCAGGGATTTTGTTGCTCAATGTTTGGTTAAGGATTGCGACCGACGGCCGAGTGCTAAAGATTTATTAAGGCATAAGTTTATTCGATCCGCAGGAAAGGTTGAGGCTCTCCAGGAGTTAATTGAGAGGAAGCAAGAATGGGATGGTGGTCGAACAAGACCCTCGCATCCTAGACTTTACGAAGAAACATTGTAAGTTTATGACTCCTTTTGCCCCTAATTCCCCACTAACAATAACAGAAATACTATGACGCCAAAAGTCGAACCTGATGAGTGGGTGTTCGATACTGTCAAGGCACCAACCATTGCCGCCCGCAAAAACACCACCAAGAGGAGGAAGTTGTCTGTTATCCACGCCAATGGCCAAAGCATTGATGCGGGTCCCGAAGACGCATTTAGGAGACTCGACCTCAAGGACGCGCCCTTAGAGTATTCATCCCCTCCGCCCGCCACAGTCAAGAAGAACACTGTCCGCCGGCAACCTTCAATAATGCAGATTACACCCACAAAACAACGTCAGCCAAGTAGTCAAAAGAAGCCCCTCCAGCCAGATTTGAGTTTTGGAAATAGTGGTTCTACTGTTCGGCTTTTCCGTCGAGTATCGGACAACTCCACATTAGCCCAGGTCAACTCCGACGTCTCTTCAGTGACGACCCGCGACGAGAATAGGCCTCCGATGACCGAGACCGTCGGCAAGGAGGCAATTATGGGCAGGCGGGTTTTCAACAAAGTTGTGGATCCGTCCTTTCAAGAACTCCATGCTCAAACTGGCAACCAAGCCAAGCGAGAGGCTCTTTCCCGGCTAGCCCATGCTTGGAGCGCTCTCGATGCTGTCGATCCAGAAGGCGAATACCAATTCCTTAAGGCCATGCTTGAGAAAGTCCAAAATGATCCAAAACTATCTTCGCTGTTGTCTACACCGAAGGCTTCTAGCAGAGACGGAACACCCCAAACATCACCACAGAAGCCCGGGGCAAAGCTCGTCTTAGCACAGAACAACCCACATCTCAAGAGCCACCGTCGGCGACAATCGAGCATGCTTGCCGAACCCGACTACAAGGAGAAACTCTCTAACCTACCTGGCCAAGCCGTTCCAGGAATGGAACACACCAAACAGCTCACGGACGTGCTCTATGGACGCTGGGCCGGCGGATTGAGAAATCGATGGCCAGCCGTCTAACCAGTGACATCAGCATATATCGGCGCATGTTTTTATATTGCATCATTGCAGGAGTCGAATAAAGGTTTTCAGCACAGTTTTTAAGTTTTGCATAAATATGGAGAGACGCATAGAAGTTCAGGCGGTTTGGAGTAACCCTTCTGAATTGCACATCCTATCGATTCGCAGTATTAATCTGCAGGATCTGATGAATTCATGATAATGTCTTTTTATTGCGTGTACTTTGATTTTTTTTAGCACTTTGGGTTAGGGGAGGCTGTTTGTATAGTAATGTATGTGCGAGTAGCAAGATATATCTCTAGGTAGGTACCTAGGTACTTTATTAGCAGGGCAATCGAGAAGGTTGGAATTAGTTGAGCATTTTGGCTTTCTATGAGTCCTGTTTATAATATATATATCTCATCAACCCTTACCAGTTCACAGAGTTGTCATGGATTAGGCTCTAGTGATGACCAAGGCCAAGCGTCTTACATATTAAGAGCTAGATTTCCGCTGTGACAACTGCTGTCATATGTGAGTTGTGTGCATGAAATATGAAGCGCTGTGCTTGCCCCATGTAGTAGCCAGCCACCACCATCGCTGACGTCAAATATACTGACATAGATACTGTTATGAGCATATTTAACCGCTTGGTGATAAGACCTTGCTAGGCTTTGGATTTGGCGATTCCTCATGCTTGATCCAATAGTAGCGCCAACTGTGAGGCAATGTCCTGTGTTCAGGGACACCTTCTGTAAAGCACACCCAGTAGAGCGGTAACTGGATCGACTCTAATCTACTTCGTTATACTTGACTCTTGAAGTTCCTGTATCACTAACGCTATTAGCTTCTTGTCTGTGTTAGAATTCTAGAAACATATTCTAGCACGAACTGACCTACAAGTCTATGAACCGACGAAGCCCAGCCAACAAAGTGGCAGTCTAAAGAGCAGGACTAGCAGTAAGGCTAGTATTGTCACTTCGTTTGTAGTTCCGCAAAGTCAAGTCAACATTCATTCAAGTGTACTGCCTGCCACCTCTAATGATCTATGAACAGGAACGGAAACTCCTCCACAAATTCGATTAATAACGCTGAATGCTAGCGATAGCCTCTATATCATGACCTATTTTCTAGTATTATTAAAGCCAATAACTAGCTAGATTAACAGAGATGGCAATAGGTCATGTACTTGGATTTCATGTATGATAGATGCCGCAAATGATACAGAGATTGGAAGGGGACGAAGTGTTGCCTTGTGAAGGCGAGCTTCATGAGAGACAGTGGCTCCTGCCTGCCGCCAGAGTTGCAGCCACTCGATGCATCCACGTTTTTGGCCTAGCGGGAAACTTACAGCGATGTCTATGACCAGTGTAAAAACGCGTTTTCTTTTTAACCTAGGGGGAATTTCATAAAGCCTAGGAGATTTTGAGCTTTCCCTGCTAATAGATGGAGGCCGACACAAAAAAAAGACACACAAACTTCGCCAAAGAAGCTGTCTAAGGTTCAATTCTCACCCAAAATTTATTTTGGGACTTTTTGTTTTCAGAAGACGGAGGTAATGTTACGGGCTACGCCTTCAGATGGACTATGCACCTCAGCAAGCAGACCCACGTCACCACGTGCACTAGTGCCTGAGCATATAAAACAACTTCTGTACATCCGCTCTTAAAGTTTCTTCTTCCTTTCTTTTGTATATATAATATACACAGTATTCAGTAATAACTCTTTTGACTTAGTAGATTATTAGAGTCTTTCACAGAATTATAAGGTAGCGCTTCTATAACTAGTAAGTTCTTGACACCAATGTCTACACGAATGCAAGCACGGATGCCCCTGAATAGGTAGATGCTAGATAAAGAGCTAAGCAAGTAGGGAAAGGCAGAGCCTATATACTCTTGCCAAGCTTGCCATGCCCCTTGAATTAGCTAAGCTGAACTAGCATCTTCTAGTCACTACTAATCCTTTTAAGTGCCTCCACCATTATTATGTAACAGTTCTACTAAACCCACTTCTTTTCCCCTTCTAATCTTCTCTCTTTTGTTCCGCTCTAAATATTAATCCAATAATTATGGCCTTCATCGACGACGGCCTAAAATCTGCTTGAGTATAGACAAATTGAAGAAAGCCTTCGTAGTACGCTGCAATGCTTCCCAGTCGATCGGCCTGCTAGCGATAACCGTATACCCTTCATTAACGTACGACTTGTTCTTCTTCAATTCGCGGTTATCCTTAGTCTCATCCACTAGCTCTACAACACCCTGCCGAATATCCCTCACATAATATTTCGCCTCCTTCGCTTTCTGACTAGCAACTCCTGCAATACTACCAATCACGCTCTTCATCTTCGCCGCTTCATTAGCAGCCAGCATCATTCCCCCAACATCTAGCCACGGACCTGGCTCAATTTGTGAAGTCAAAGTAAAAATTCCGCCTCCTACAAGTGCCGTCAGGACCACGGCGAGTACTATCACTGATACCCATTCCCAAGCCAATCTGGGGCCGGATCCGTAGACCTGCCACTTCACAGGAAATGAAGTGGTATTGCAATTTGGATCAGAAGATACGGTCATATTCCAGGCACCGGTAGTGAGGAGGTGTTGAGTTATAGTTGCCATAGCTATAGTAATACCAGCTATGTCGTTGACGGCTAGGATATCGGGGTTGAGAAAGCTAAGCCGACGCGAGATGAGAACCATGTGATAAACAAGACCTGTTTGAAGTAGCCCATTTATTCGCCCTACAGTACTACCTAGTTGAATAGCAAGGGATTGAGCGCTAGCACGGTCACCAATAGAGGGTGCGAGGAGCACCGGAGTCGAATTCATATTTTTGCCATAATTGTTGATCGAAACATCAATATCACCCATGTTCACTATCCAGGTACCAACGGGAAATAAGGCTTGATTGAGAACTACTGCACAGGTGGCTCCTGTGAAGTTCAGAAAAGGAATTTCTCCAATGGGGACAATAAATTTAGACTCCGTTGGAGACGAGTCTGAGGGACCATTAACCTGGCAGTAGCGCATTAGCTAAGTGCACATTAGACATCGAAAACGAACCTACAGGAATAGTACCGATGGGTATGGAGCCATTCATGGCTAGACCGGAAACGCAAGACGTTGTCAATATTGGAACGGTTATATTTATCAAACCACTCCAGCCAGAGGAGTGTTTGTAGTATGATTCTGGTCCATTCGCTCGCAGGTTGGTGAAGATATCTCGAACTCTGGACTTTTGGACTGAAATAGACTGCACAGTTGACCCGTTAATAACCGTATTGATACCGGTTATAAGTCCGTCTACTTCGCTAGGTATTGGTAGCCAGCCATTTGGACTACTTGTATATAGGTGTGGAAGGCCACCCAGGAGAGGCAATGTCGATGCAGCAGCTAGAGCTAGAGCTGCATCCCAGGCACTGCCGCCGCTACCAACAAGATTTTGACCTGTATTCCAGTAGTTCATCCAATCAAGCCCGTTGAGCATCATACATGGCGAAGTTATTGTCATGGACTTTCGAACATCATCAGTCAACCGCCAACCGCCCCCTGCTCCATTAGGATACCACCGTGCCTTTGGAATTCCCACAGTATTGACAGCCAAGGCTAAAAGCAACACACAAGTTGAGACCCCCAGACACGCGATAAATCGAAAAACACCCCAGTATCCCAATCCTTTCCAGCCGAGAACTGAGCACCGTGTCCAAAAATTAAGAATGCAAGTCCAAGGTTGGGTTAACTCCTCTTTAAGCTGAAAATCTATCATATTGACTCCCGAGAACCTTGAGCCTAACGCCATCCATACGGTGAGGAAGATTGATGCAGTGTGTTTGAGAGAGGCCTGGACGAATACATCAAGGACTTTATTAAGGAAGCCGACCAGCGCCAGTTGAACGTCGACATTTATACCAAAGCCGAATATAGAGGTATCGCTGAAATTAAACGTTCTCCAACTTGCGCCGAAAAATATAGCACTACAAGGATAGTAAGCCACGTTCAGTTTGTAACAAATCAAGTCACGAAAACACATACAGTATAATGGCAATCGTCGGAAGTACTTCCCGTACAACAACTAGACACGACAATGAACTACGATCGGCCTTCAGACACAATTTAGCATCCGGTTGTTTCTCAACCTTATCTGACTGCCAACATCTTTTCTTGCCAGGCCCTATCTGGGTTTTCGCAACATCCTGCCCCGTAACTGGTTGGAGAAAGCGCTCGGTGCTCGCATCAGCCATGTTGTGAGTCGTTCTGCGTGACTCGGGCTAGTGTTTCCAAAGAAGAGAAATGTGTCCCATCGACTTGGAAGGAACGACGGATCTTCTTTGTAGCGAAGCAGAAGTAGGATTGTATCGCTAACAATCTGATGGATCTGTTCACCTTGGCGACCAATCAAGGGACCGGCCCGCCCCGGGACAACCGCCCACCCTAGTCAATCGCCCAACCAAAATTTCGTAGTGACCCCCTTTTCTCCTTCTAGATCCACCACCTGTGACTGACAGTTGGCATAGTGCCCAATCCTTCACACCCTTTAAGGTTACCGCCTTACGATTTCGCCAGAAAGTCATTTCCACCAAGGATATTTTTTACTACCAGGGGCTGCTGGCAGATTGTTTTGATGAACGATGAACGATGAACGGTAGATAACGGATAATACCCATGTATATATAAAAACAAAGAGTTAAATATAGGTAGGTACCTACTTTATCTACCTAGGTACCTTACAGCTGCCTTGCCGGCCGACCTGCGCTCCCGGTACCTTGATATGATAGACTTTAGGTAAGGTAGGTTCAGTACATAGTACATACCTAAGGTACCTAGGTACCTTAGGTACTGTAGTGCCTAGGTAAGGTTCTACTCATCGTCTGTGGTTTGGGTTGGATGTCTCGGGCGCTTCCTTCATCTTTCCTAGTGTATGTCGGCCGAAATGGCAACGACGAGTTCAAGGAATAATCATTCTATGATAAGAAT